CCTTGGCTCTCATCAGCCCAACCGCCATGCAGCCATGGCCGCAGCCACGTTACGCATTATCGCACTTGGGCACAACACGGGCCATGCAACGCGTGCCGTGCGCCCGCGTGCAAACTATAAAACCAACTCGTAACTCGTTGTGCCGTGCCCGAAACACTTGTATCGTGCCCCAACAAACAAGACAACGCCACGCACCAACGCACACATGTGGTCATGCATGGTTACAACCTTGATCTAGCAGTGTCTTCCGGGACCTTGCTGCTGGACCTCGATCTCGAGCGGGACCTCGACCTTGACTTCCACCTCGACCTCGGGCCGCCGCGTGGCCAGCCACGCGTGTGTATACGCCGTTTACCCTTCTCGTATAAATACAGGTTCACAAACGTCACAAAGGCCCATGGCATAAGGAACGGGTGGGCCCCCCCCCCCTCTGCCATGCGCCATCCCCGACCGCCATCATGGAGACGTGAGCACAGACTGGGAAAGAAGCGTGGAACTGACGTGGCGAGAGTGGCAACTGGGGTAACTGGGGTAACTGACGCCTCACCATTCCCCGGGCACGCGGAGCACATGGATGGGTGACCCAGAAAATGTCACCTTACAACGCGCCGGGGTGCGCACGTTGTCCAGTAATATCCAACAGGTGTGCCGTCATGTGGCCGACTGCTGCGGACCGTGTCGTGCGATGGTGCAAGTGAGGGTGTTTGGGTGTGCGATTCACACAAAGTGGCGAGTTGGTGTCGAGTCGGCCCATCGGTGGCCTCGGTGGGGGTATCCTCGTGCCAACTTGCTCTCTTCCCCACACCTTGCTCCACTGCTCTCCTACCCATTCCTCACCCCGCCGTTATTCACAACTCGGTGCAGCTCCAACAATGGAACCAGAGCCGCAGGTGACCCAGCAATGACAGCATACCCATCGCCCGAAAACGGATCCATCCCAATCCCCCCAACATCTGGCATCTGGCATTCACCGGAGTCCAGCACGGGTGTACGTACATTACAGTACACCACGGCGAGGCGCGGGCGGTGACGACGACGACGACGCAGATCCGAGGCTAGAACACTCCCCCACCCTAGTCCAAGTCGTCGTGCCATCCTCTCTCGGCGTGTACCTGTGCCGGCACTGACAGGACTCAAATGAAAACACCACTTTTTGGCTGATCATGATTGATGTCCGTGCTGAAAGGCCCGCGGATGGAACCGCACAACCGAGACAACAAGGCCCAACCCGTGGTAGAGTTTACAGAGTTTACACGCGATCCGTTTAAAAACACGCTTTCACACTAACTCTCACTAGCCCAGTTCCTTGCTTCAATGTCGGTACCTCTTGATGGGAGCGCGGGTGTGGGCAATGGGTGCGTGCCTCAACGCAACGCAACGAATGTTCTTGGTGGAAGAGCCAGAGCCCACAGAGCCCACAGAGTCCAGAGCCTAGAGGCCCAGAGCCCCGCGTTATGGGCTGGTACATACCGCGTGGGGATCCTGAAGAGACCTGTAGCGACAAGGACAAGGCCAGATTGATTAAGTCTGGAGCAGGAACGAGCATCTCTGTCCCCTTTGCAGAACGTAACCCAAGATGCGGTGTTTGGGATCCTCCCCCCCGGGACCCAAAGGGTTTTGTACTGGCCGTACTGGGGGGAAGAGGGGGGGAAACCTAAATCCATAGGACGGTGCGTGACCCGCGCGTGCGACGGCCGTTTCGGCGGCGTCGTCGGCGCCGTGTCTGTCCTCCACAGATGCCGAGACGGTCAGCTGCAGCGTGTAGTCGGGAACGAGGGCAGCAGATCCCGGCAGGAAACACGTTACGGGGAGAGGGGAGGGGGCCCGAGAGGGAGCAAGGGCAGGCCGCGGGATAGGGACCGCATCGCAGCGTCTCTGTTTCCATCCTTAGTTACTGTGTCAACGCAAAGCTTGGGTCACAGTGGTGGTGACAACGGGGAGAGCAGTGGGCGTTGGAAACGTGGTACGGTACATACACAATGGTGCTGGGGCTTGGATACGTGGATACGATGGGTCGTTCAGAACATGCATACAGTACAAACCCATACAATAAGACGGGATGCGGGTGCTTTCGATCACCTCTCCAACCTGCCAGATGCCCATGGCGAGATGACAAAGCTGTGGGTCGGCGACAGCATGCGTGTGGTACTGTGCTGACCCATTTCAGCAGAGGACAGGAGGCACTGACGACTGCGTAGATCTTGTCCACGGCGTGAGCTTCCCGTGCAGCAGGGAGCAAAGGCCGGAGGTTGTGGTCGTACTGACCTGCACTGGAAGACATACAGAAGCTGTCTAGTCAGAGAGTCACCCAACCATAACAGACAAAAGGCCCCTCTGCCATGGTCTTGCGCCTAGAACTATACTTCTGGGGCTGGGAACGGCTTGCTACCTTGGGAGTCGACTCGAGCCTGTATGAGCTCACAATTCGAAACGTATGGCCGTGAGCAAGTCCAAATCGCTGTCACTCGCGTGGAAGCCACTGTTACTGGACCTTCTGACTAAACCTTACGCTCATGCGACAAACCCCCATGCAGCAGTGTCTGCACCGGGCTCCTCCAGGCTCCTCCACACTCTAGTCTGTCGGCTCCCGGTAAAACCCACCCCCCAGAAAGCGCCTAACATGGCAACTGGAATATCTTGTCATGCTTAGCACCTGTCGCTCATTACCTTCTCAGGATCATGCGATCAAGCATGAGCTGGGGCACCGTTAGCGCCGGGGCTAAACGCACAGGGAAGGCATCCACACGGTCCGGAAGGAAGCCGCAAGACAATGTGCCCAACAAAAAACGAGAATGGCACCGCCACATCATGGCTGGTGGTGTCGGCCACACGACCCACTCGCTCCCAGCTGAGTCGTGAAATGCCGTGACAGTAATGGAGGGCAATGACAGACACACACCGGGAATCAGTAAGCTCTGTGGAAGGGAATCTCTCACGGTCGTGTGGGAACCCCCCCAACAATCAGGCTGGAACCGCACTGGAATTCCCAGTGGCAACGAGCAACCCGCAAAAGGTACACCATGGCCACTGGTGAACCTTGCGTGCGCGTGCTGTCCCACGGTTCCACGTTCCACGCGGGCTTGGATACCCCCAATAAACAACTGGGGGTGACAAGGTTTGGCCCAGGAGCCCGGGTCTCGAGCGGGTGGAGTGGCGGATTTGCGCTCGTTGGGTGTCTGTCCTCGTCGAGGTTATCGACTCGCCTTGCAGTCTGCCAGGTGGGTGGTGTTGGTGGTGTTGTTTGCGGTTCAAGGCGTCGTCGTGGGATCGACGAGCCCACCGCCCAGCTTATCCACCGACCATGTCTGTCATCAACTATGTATATCCCATGTCCGACGGGTGTCACCAGGGATCCAACCCTTCTCTGTCAGTCGCCATGGTGGCCACCACCCAATCCCAAGAACCGACTGTCTCACCCAGCAATCACAGGTATGTCTTGGCCCTTGACACACCGGCACAGCCCTCGCCTACCACGCTCGTCAGCACGTCACATCAAACTCCTCAAAGCCAGGCAGTGAGGGATGCGCATCTCGCTAGCGCCATCCGTGCTCCATGCTTCAGGGGCTCTGTGCATTCGAGTGCCAGGTCTCCTCTGCCAAGACGTGCACTCGGAGCACTCGCCACACGCCCCGCACGCCGCGTGCGCGCGCGCACACATAAGAGTGTATTCATTCATCTCAAAGCCCAAGCCCATACGTCTCACGATCGAGGAGGGAGGGTGGCTGGACTGTGTGGCGGGGTGGTGGCGACGCGGTGCAGTGTCTCCCGAGGAGAATCTGGTGCAGCGTGGCATCGAGTAAAACGTGACGGAAACACGCCTCTTCATCGTATTGAGAGTAACGCTGCACCTGCACCTGCACCAAGGACCGCAACTCTCTCTCTCTCTCTCTTTCTCCCTCGGGTCCGTCCAGTCGGGCCGCTATCAATGGGCCACCCGCCGCACCCAGTGCCACTGCGCTGGGTCCTATCATCCCTTGTCCGTCCAGTTGGTCCGCAGCTCTGTGTGCGCGTTTCCGGTGGGTAGGGCCGCGCATCCGCCCAGTGGCCAGTATCAGCTGCTGGCGTCAGTGCTGGCCGCTGGCCGGCCGCTGACCTGCCGGTCTGGTGCGGATTTGAACAACTGTTACTCACCGCCGTTTGGCATTTACCTGAACGGACGTGCATCGTCGACCATGAACCACAGTAGTAGGCACCACCGTGTCGCGCAAGCAGGCTGCCGCGCCGCACACGTAGGTCGGTTTGGACAACCTATCGCGGTCACGATGAGAACGACTCTACATAGATACCGGCCATCACGCAGGCGGCAGTCGAGAAACTTGCCGCGCGGACCACTGTCCACTGGTTGTCTTTGTCCCTTGCTTGACGCTGTATGTGGCTACGTGCGTGAAGCCATCGACCTACCTTCCCTCTGGGTGTTCTGTTTGCCTTTCCTTTCCTCTGCCCGACTACTTTCACTGCAGACCCGCGTCTCCTCCATTGGCAAGTATGAGAGTCACGGTATTTCGCATCGCGGGCATGGATACCTTGCCTGCAGGCATGTACCACCCCATTCCGTTGGGACGAACGGTCCAGACGTCAGCTCCAACAACCTCACCACGGCACGCCAACCCTCCGCCCTTCGCCCTCGGCCCTCCCCAGTCTCCTCCGCTCGCGCTCTGGATGTCTGTATGAGATTGCATACACGCGCCCCCCTCCCCGCCAGCCGGCGGGGGACGGGGAAACGCGCCCTGGCTATAGTTGTTGTACACAATAAAGGTGGGGTCGGTCCATGCACGCGACCCCCCCGCGGTGGATTTCGTTTCTCCCCCAAAAGAGACCTAAAGACCTAAAGAACCCGCAGCAGCCACGAGCCCCCGCGCATAACGTTCTGCAGGGGCTCACCCATGAGAAAATGAACGATTTGATTTTTCTCCACAATAAGACCCAAATTCCGTGGATGCGCGCGCGCGCGCGCGAGAGAGAGAGAGAGAGAGAGAAAGAGAGATTGAGGCAGGCGACAGTTACACCTTCCCTGTTTGCGCCTGTCAGCTGCTGTACTCCGGGGAACAATCACAGCCACACTTACACGTCGTGGGACCGAAGCCTGTCGCTGGGGCCATTTCAAAGGCCAGTCCTTGCCAGTCGAGCGCTGCCGCCTGTCAGCTGGGACACATTCACGAGGTGGACACACGCCACACTTACTCTTCACATAGACGGTGTTGCCCCACCAGTTGATGCTGGCGCCGGGGATCTTGAACACGAGGAACACAAAGATGACGCTCAGAAGCGTGCCGACGTCGAGGGCGCAGCTGAGCACGTAGTTGTACTGTCGGGGAGGTTAGCACCGCGTCGCGTGTGTGTGGGTGTGTTTGTTTGTTCTCACCTTGCACCACCAGGCAAAGGCATGGCGACGGACCCAGAACTGGAAGACAAAGCCGACGAACAGGAAGCTCGCGACGTTGATGCCGGTCGCGGGCGGGATGAAGAGGGCGACGCAAAAGACCAGACACACGTTGACGTTGCGCACGATCGACTTGGGGTACTTGCGGCAGTACAGCCAGAAGGGAAAGGGCGCGAGCGCTCCGACGAGCAGCATCCACAGCTGGGGGCGGTAGATGCCGCCCTTGTCGAACAGGCGTGCGGGGCCGATGAGACCCCACGTGATCGAGGCCGTGTACATTGTCTTTGCGGTGCTGCATACCAAGAGGTATTTCTGGTGCGTGGAGCACATGTCCGGGATGGTGCGGAAGATGAGCTCCTTGACGCCGACCTGGACAAAGCACGCGATGGAGCACGCGGAGATTTGCGCAAAGAACATGGACCGAGGCGGGATCTTCATGTAGTGGCCCAGCTTCATGTCGCGCACAAAGATGAGAGACTCGGCGAGGGTCTGGACTGCAAACGTCTTAAAGATCATGCCGGCGATGGGCTGGCCCTCGAACGCATAGCCCGGGATGAGCTCGGCGATGAGGTTGAACGCCGGCTCGAGGTTGGCCAGGGCGTACATGATGGCCGAGGGGATAATGTACACGAGCGTCATGGCGATGGAGACCAAGTAGCCCCACACGGGCAGACCTGTTGAAAAGACCTCGATGGTGACAATGCCCAGCACGATGCAGCAGCCAAACACGACAAGGTACCACCAGTCGGGGACTTCGGGGTACTCACGCATGAGCTTCATGTGGATGTCGTCGGGCTCTGACTGGACGCTCTTGATGGCGCGCCAGATACGCGTACCGTGCACCAGCACCGTGTAGACGATGAGCGAGGTCGTGAGCGCAAACGCCAGCATGTACGTGACCAAAAACGTCGACGTCAAGTACATGGGCGAGTACTCTGCGTAGGCCGTCGTGTTGAGGGTGATCTCGGGCGTCAAAATGCGGGTCACGTTGTACACATTCTGGTATCGATCGGCGGCCGAGATGGCAGACATTGGGAGGAAGTTGGTGTACCAAGTCTGCAGGGAAGGCTGTCAGCAAGAACGTCGTGTCTCAGCACTCACGTTCGTGTAATGGAGCAACGGGGTCAACAGCCAGTAGAAGAGGAAGAGACCAAACGCAACGTTGACCTGGGCCCACCACGGTGCGGTGAGGGGCGAACCGATCCACGCAATCTGAGCCCAGTCAAACGTCAGGATACCCATACCGAGACCGTTGTTGACGCCGAACAGCTGGTTGACGACCATGTTGCGCGGTGCGATCCACGTCGCGTACGAAAAGTACGACAGGCCCGTAAACAGGAATCCGGGGACAAAGTACCACAGGAACGCGGCGCTGCCCACAATGAGCAGGAAGCGGAGACGCGACATGCCGCCGCCGCCCATGTCGGCCTCGGCGTGGAGCGTGTTCAAGTTGGTGGTGAGGACGAGGACACCCGGCCAGATCATGGATGCGGGCCAGACAACAAACCGACGCGCGATACCGGCCAGAGACATGCCCGTGACCTGTGTGGCGAGAATGTACAGCATGCTAAAGCCGACGCCGAGGTTCTTGCCGTACCACAGTTCGCTTGCAACAATGGTGCTCATGCCGTACGCTGGCACGACGGCGACGCTCGCCATCATGACGATGATGGTGTGCTCCTTGACGTTGAACGGGCACGGGTTGAGACTAAACTTGACGCTTCCCAGCCATCGCGGCAGCGTGTATTCGCGAATCGGCAGGGCCCACGCGGCAAACTTGCCTATTGGGTAGGCGGCAATCTGGACCGCCAGCACGGGGATGGTCGGGGTGGGGTTGCGGAACGAGAAGAAGGTGTTGGCGCCAGACACGATCAGGCAGAGGACCATGCCAAACACCCATGACCGTAGCGTGAGGGCAGGCATCTCGGGGTCGTCAATGTTGGACACGGACGCGCGGACCTCGGCAAACGGGCTGTCCTCCTCCATCCAGTCATAGTCGCCGCCTTCCTCGCTCGCGTCCTTGCACTCTCCGCCGACACCGTCCCCCCATGTCGTCTTGCCGTCGGGCACAGTCTGGTCGCCAGTCATGACGGTCAAGGGGTAGCTGCGGCCCGTGTCGGGCCGTCCGCCGTCCGTTGTCAACTCGTCGTCTTCCGACGACGACATGATGCTCTGGTCGGACGCGCCAATGGGACGGACGTCGTCGCTTTCGAAATCGGACGCCGACTGGCCCGTCGTGGGCTCGCCGTGTTGGGGAGGGGGTGGGGGCTGTGTGTGGTGGCGCATCACGTACGCAAACGTAGAGTTGTTGAGGTTGTCGCGGCCACTGAACGGTGGTGGCCGGGCGGCGTCAAAGAACTCTTGGCTGTGGTATCCTCCAACGTCGACGTCAAACACACCAATCGCGGCCGCAGGCGGCGCATGAACGTCGGGCTGGTGCTCGCTGCTCGATAACCGGTGGTGGCCATCCGTAGCAGGCAGGTGTGCAGCGCCAGCCCCCTCGCCGGTGGGTGCTGTGGGCGGGCGTTCAAACGCGAACACACCCCCAGCACTCTCCACGCTGCTGGCGTCTGCGTCTGCGTCGTCGTCGTCATCCGGCAACGATCTCAGCAACGTGCGGGGCTCTGGTGCGGCTTGTGGCTGTCCCTCGGGCAGACTCCACCGCACCGTATGTGGCCGTGTTGTTGATGGTCGCGTACCCGCGCCATCGTCTTCCGCTGTTGCTGTTGCGGTAGCGGCGGTGGTGGGGAGACGATGGTCGGACGAGGAAGCCGCCGCCAAGCCAAGGGGGTCGGACCGTGGTGTGTCTTCAATACCCGCGAGGGGGTTGTTGGCCAGGGGGTTATCCGCCACGGCCTCGACCTCGATAGGACCGTTTGCCGCAGACACAAACGAGTCTTCGCTTTCTGACACTGACAATGTTGATGCGTTGGCGTCTGGGTGCGCATATAATGGTGTCGCAGAGTCCGATGTAGTGTGAGCGTCCGAGGATGGGGCGTCCGAGACCTCTGCGGCGACGCGCTCGTCCTCGGTTCCGGGGACATGAGCATGAGCAGTGGCCGCGGGTATCTGCTCTACAGACTCTGCAGAGGAGTGGTGTTGGTGCTGCTGCTGCTGCTGCTCGGCCGCAGCCGGGGTCGCTTCCATCGCCTCCGACATCGCTGCGCACTTGAATCTGAGCCTGGGGTTGGTCAGAACATGTACTCAACTGCGGGTGGTGGTGGTGGTGGTGTGTCGGTGCGCGCAGAAGGAACACAGAAGGAGCCACGACGCGGGGGGTGAGGGTGGTGGCGCACGAATGGATGTGGGCGTGCGCGCGGGGCAAGTGTGCGCTGTGTGGATGGTATAACAAACTTACGTCTAGCGAGTGGTGGAGAGAGACGCGATGGTGGTCACCCCTGCTTGGCCGCTACCACTGTGGTCGGCGGGGCAGGTGGACCGGCTGCGGACAGCAACGCGCGCTGGGGTGTGGCGGAGGAGAGGGGCGTGCTGGGTAACGAGGAGACGCGGGAGGTGCTCTTGAGTGGAGACGGAGGTGCAGGAGAGATGAATGGGCGCACTGGATTGAGGAGGGATGGAGAGGGAGTAGAGGAGAGATGTGACGGCGATGCGAGAGGCAAGGAGGTGGATGGAGTTCGCGTGCGCGCGCGCGAGTCGACGGATATGGGAAGGAGGGGGCCAGCAATTAGGCAGCGAAGGGGGCGCGCGCGGGGGGATTGTTCTCTGCGTGGTCGTGTGGTGTGGTGTGGTGTGTGTGTAGAGAGGATGTGTGGACGGACCCACGAGAGAAGGGGCGGTGACTGTCAAATTCTTTGGGTTGGAGAGGAAGAGAACATGAGCATGTGCACGACCTGCTGCTGCGCGTAGGAGAGAGAGGTGTGAGCGGCGGGGCGGGCGGCGGCGGGGAGTGGGGGGGGGGGGGGGGGGAGGGAGAGCGAGTGGGTCGAGTGGGTGGGTGTGTTGCGGGTAGAGACACAAAGGGAGAGAGAGGGAGGGAGAGAGGGAGAATAAGGGATGGAGGGGGGAGGGAAGAGGGGGTGTGTGTTCTGCAGTGTTCCTAGGCGTGCACTCGATGGGAGGAGGGCCCGTTTTTGGCTCGTTTCTCCTCAAATGTCTCTCTCCCTCTCCCTCTCTCGCAGCGGCCAGCCAGCCAGCGGCAGACAGCCGCAGCCAGGTCGTCGTCGTCGGCGGCGTCGGCGGCGGCGTCGTCGTCGTCGGCGCACAGTGCCTGTCGGTCGGCTGCTCTTTTTTTTTCCTTCCCTGTAGGTGGCCACACTCTCTCTCTCTCTCTGTGTTCATGTTTCCTGTCACTCTTTGTTGGGGGTTTCCCTATTCTGCTCAAAAGACACTGCGCACCCTCACACGCTGTCTGCGTTATGGTTGCAGCCCAGAACGGCCAGAACACTGCAGGACCAAGCAGTAACCTACAGTCCCTTTGGCCCCCCCTCTCTCGCTCTCTCGCTCTCTCGCTCTCTCTCTCTTGCCTCGCTCTCTTGCCTCGCTCTCTCTCTCTCGCAGCAGCAGCAGCAGCAACAGCTCTTTTTCGCCCGACACTTGGTCTCGGTCCGGAACTGGTGTCAATCCTGGGGGCTGGGAAAACCTTGTTGCGAGTTAATCCCGAGCGACGGCGCCGTCTCCGCGCTTTGTCTGGGCCTCTGGGCCTCTGGACCCACGGCAAAAAAAAAAAGCCTTGTGCACCTGGTGCAACCACTAACAGTGTTCCAGTCGTTTGGCGCAGTGGGCCTGACGGTCTACTGTCCCTGGCAGAACGATGGGAAGAGGGACCGGTCCGACGGCGCGCGCGCGCGCGCCAGAGCAAAGACGAGCAGGACCACCTCTCTGGGCCTCTGGGTCCATTGTCTTGGGTCGACGCCGCCGTGACTGCGCGACAGAATGCGCGGGCCACAGATTGAGTGTGACCATGTCCTGTCGTCTTTTCCCCTTCGAGGCCCTTGTTCTTGGCACGTTGGCACACCACCACCACCACCACCCACCCACCCACTCTGACGCCTCTGCGCCAGCCATGGCGCCGCCCGGGGGCTAATAATCCTTGCTTCAAACCTGCAGAGAGCTGTCGCCAGAGTGCCCAGAGTGCCCAGAGTGCGCTGATATGCTTACGAGACTTGGCTGACGGGGGGTTACGATCGGAGGTGAGAGCCAGGGCACAGCGTCTCCAGACTAGAGTTCAAGGAATTGTTTTGCAGGGTCCACGAGACCCAGTCCGCTTCTGGAGACGGGGTGTGGCCTGCAGGTAAATCTCTGCTGCCTGTCGAAAGCCTGGGCCGCCGTGTCACTCGCTGACTCTCTCTCTCTCACAGCGCGCACAGCCCTCTACAGTGTGCATATGCGCAATCTATAGCTCTCGATCCCTTCGCCGAATATGCCGGCTGCCACGGCGCCGCCCCAGCAAAGGAAAAAATCCCCCTGGGGTCTGCTCTCGTGTCCTTTTTTTTTTCTCCCCGAGAACACGAGCCAAAAAACCAGTCCAGAACAAACCACCAGGCCACCAGTGTTCCCAGAATGCAAACTGCCATTGTCGGCGCTGTTCCAGGTCGCGGTTAGCCCGTGCCTGTTGGGGACAATGTCCTTGTGGTCGTCCTCAGCTTTGCAGCGTGCCAGCGCGCACAGCGCAAATGTGGCATGCACGCCAGATTTAAGACTTGTTACACACACACACACAGACGCCAACTGACAATGGCAATATAAACTGGGCCACTGGATCCATTTTGCGGAATACACACAGCCTGTCGCACGCGATTGCACGCCTCACAGATCCCATACCCACACACTGTCACTGCCACGGCGTCCTGCATCCTGCATAGCAGCATACCGTCATGCACGACAGGCGCAGCGAGCAGCAGCAGCAAGCACACCCGACCAGCGCGCCGCATAGCCGGTTTTGGAGACATGGAGAGAACGCACAGGTCCGGAATATGGAATGTCGGTATCAACACCCTTTCTCCCGTGTCCCCTTTACACTACCAGATCCCGGGTCTCGCTGGGTTTTGGTTTAAGCGACTCAACCGCGACTCAACCGTCAAACCAACGTCCGTCGTCGTACGCGACCGACGAGACATGCATTGACCGGTTTGTGGGAATTCTGCAGGACGAGCGCAGGCGGTGTACAATCATGCGACTGAAACGCAAGATCCCAGCATTGGGCACACTGCGCAACCCCTTCGCGTCCACCATCTCTGGTACTCTGGCGACACCCACACTCGGTTCCATTCCACAGCTGCCAGGGTTCTCGCGCGCTGGTCAGAATGCGTTAATGCGCAGTGTTGGGTCGCCAGAAGGACCAGAGGGACCAGAGGGGGCAGAGGGATCACACTTGCCCGCCACTTGCCCGTATACGGTCATTTTAGCCCTCCAGGCAATCGAGACATGCACTCCTGTGCTCCTGCAGCGACTGCGGCGAGCATTAGGCTCAAGGGCTCCCTCGCTACGTCACCGAACCGGCACCGACACGGACCTGTCCATGTCCGGTGTGTCCAACGTCCGCTTCGCGAGCAGAACCGAACCATATGCACCCCATGCACCCCATGCACACCCGGTCCCGTGGCGCCGAGGCTCTTCCTCGTCCTCTTCTCCTCTTCTCGCAGTTGTTGCAGACGAGACACACATCCCCAATTGAAAAGGCGCGATAGTGCCTCGACAAGCTCCAATTGTTTAAACCCCTCCGTTCCCGACGGCTGCTTGGAACCAGAAACCTATTCATTGATCATTCTCTCTTTCGGCAGATCCGCGCCCTCCGCCCCCATGTGCTCTCTGGCCCACAGCCCACAGGCCACAGCTTGCCCCGAAAGGGGAACCCGCATGAAGGTTATGCGCAGCCGGTCGTGCGTCGTGCGTGCACATCATTCTCTTTTGTGCTCCAGCAATTTAAATTCGATTGCGGACGGACGGACGGAACGGACGAACGGATGAAGCCGTTGATAGCAGGAATGGTTTGGGGTGGTTGCCAGTTGGGGGCGCGACGACACGACGGACACGACGGACACGCGAGGGGAACGAGGGGGAACGAGGGTGTCGGTTCCACACGCCAAAGGCCAAACCGAGTGGCCCCCGCTCGCGTCTCGGTTACGAGGAAAGGGGCTCTGTCGACGGCCCGAGTGGCGGCTGCGGCCGGTGTTTGCCGTTGTTGCCCAGGTCGAGATCGCTGTGCTCTGCTCTACCCTCTCCACTCCATCCTCTATATCGTCGTACAGATGCATGGTTTCTGTCGCCATGTGTGCTGTCCTCTGGACAGCTGTTGCCCACCTCGCCTTGCCGCCTCGGCACGGCTCGCGTGGCGCTCGTCCATGGAACATGGAGCCCGGAGGCGTCGACTGTGGCGGTGGCCGGGTGGGCTTCTTCTCCTTCTCCCCTTCTCTCTCCCCCGGCGTCGTGCAACAACAGTACGGCACTCGGATTCCAGCATGTGTACATGAGGATCTGGCACCTGGCACCTGGCACACCTGTCAGCCCAGATCGTTCTGAACCGGCACCAAGGCGCCTGCGCTAGGAACAACCACGGCGGATTCCAGATCGACAGAGGAATGGAAGCGTCGAACAAAGAAAGGGTGGGGGGTAGTCCCATTGTTGTCACAGACACGCACAGGTACATGTACACCACAATTGTTGCCGTGGCATGGAGGCTGCTGTACTGCTGTTCTGGGCGAGCTCGCCGCCACGGCAGGATTTGGGGGTGCGCCAGAATTTAGCACAAGGCCGATTACAAAAGGGTAATAGATCTGACAAACGTGGGTTATTAAAGATTCCTAATTGCACGGGGAAAATGATGTGATTTATAAGGGCCAGAAATGGATACTGGTACAGCCCTTTGAATAGCTTAGCGTGCCGCGGATGTGAGTTCCCGACTTTAGAACACTTTCCTGCCGTCGCAAGTCGGGGATGGGGGATGCCGCCCGTTCGACCCTTAGGCGGTTAATCTTTTTGCCTTTTTTTTGCGGGAGTGGCCGCCCAGGGGGTGTCTCTATGACTTTGGCAAATTAACCCAGTGCTGACAGTTGGGGAGGAAAGGATCATCTCCATCGGGAGGTGAAGGCAGCACCAATGTCCTGATATCATGTGGGTGCGAGAACGGTCTTCTCGGCCCTGTACACTATGTGTCAAGATCGTTGGAGTTTTATTTTATCGAGAGAGTGCCACCAGCGCGTTTGCTTTCACGCTTAGCGACAAGTTCTCGCCCAGCGTTGCAGGAAAACGCATAGGGAAATGAGGATGTGAGCGTTGGCCTGTCTTTGCTGTCTTTGCTGTCTTTGCTGTCGACCCTGTCCGCGACAACGTCGCCTGTGCGGTTCGGTGACCCAAAAGATGTGCGAAAACATTCACCTCTGTCCAGCTGTCAGAATTTACCTTCCCCACAATCAACGTGACCGATGGCCGTCGATGCGTTTCGCCACTTACGGCTAATGTACATTGCGTCCCAGTACCTTTGCCAGTGTCGACAAGACGCACGGCTGGGTGTGTGTTTCTGCAAATCGTGTGGCAAGTGTCGGCCCATCCTCCACTGCTTATTTCACAGTAACCCCAGAGTGAACATGCGCGTTGGCACTCTGTGTGTTTCTACGCGCTTGAAAGAAGAATAACACGACCTTGTGTTTGTTCAAAGCGAACCCCCATATGTGGATATCGCGGGTGAGTAACAGGACTCCTGGTCGTTGGGATGTCATCAGCAGACATATCACTTGCTAGCGATGAAGGTGTGTGGTCAGCGAGTACCACTGCAGCTCTTGCCGTGCCATATAATATATCGAATATTACTGTGTCACTGTCTGACGTGGACAGCGCCACGAGCGGCCGTTGCATTGGCCACTAAGTGCCACAGGTATGCCACAGCGACCCACACGAGTGGTACAGCGACAGAACCACGTCAACAGCACGCTTGCACAAAATGCAGCACACACGCCCGCCGGCCCGCAGCACGACACGGCCCCAGCTCAAAGCAAGTCAATACATGGTAACAGTCGGATGCGGCTCCTCTATCCCACACCTAAAGACACCACCCCCTCCCCCCATGGCCCCTCCTCGGGGCATCAACAACCCAGCCTAGTGGCCCTCAAAGGTATAGTCGATGCCGGCAGCCTTGATCTTTGACCTCCGCTCCTCCTGGCGCTTGAGGACGTTGGCGTTGGCGCGCTCCTGCTGCTCCTGTGTCCTGGGCTTGTCGTTGCGGACCTTTTCGAGACGCGCGCGCGGCACCTTGCGGAACTTCTTGTTGGCGCCGACCCAGAGCTCGGGGTGGACAGACTCGGCGGGCACAATCTCGCACCTCAGCAGGTGGCCCATGAGGAGGTAGTTGTTCATGGTCTCGGCGACAATCTCGGCGACGGGGAGCGACGAAAACTCAATGTAGCCGTAGTGGCGCGAGGCACCGGTCTGTGAGGGCGCGTCAGCAAGAGCACGGGCAAGGCGGGAGCGATCAGTATGTCATACCTTGGGATTGCGCGCAAGACGGAGACGCGTAACGTCACCAAACTGGCCAAAGTACTCCTTCATCGCGTCCTCGTAGAAGCCGTGGGGGATACGGCCGAGGAAGACGGTTCCGACGGCGACGCCCTATAGATTGTCAGTGATCCGCAAAAAGCCTTTGCTTCTTTCCTTGCTCCCACGGCCACACTCACCTTCTTCTTGGAAGCCTTCTTGAGGCGCGCAGCGACCTCCTTGTCGTCCTTGGACTTGGGCAGCTTGGCGACCTGCACGCTGGTACGGCCAGCCTCGGCAACGGCGGCGTCCTCGTCGTCACTCTCGTCGTCCGACGAGTCGGCACCGCCCATCTCGTCGTCCGACTCAAAGGCGCCGATGAAGGACGCCTCAGAGCCCTCCTCCTCGGCGGCCTCGGGCTGGGCCTCGACCTCAGCCTCGACAGCCTTCTTGCCCTTGGTCTTGGTCGCGGTCTTCTTCGCCTTGGGCGCATCCTCCTTCTTCTGAATCAGTCCACTGGCCTCGCCAAACTCGCGGACAACGTTGTTGAGCGCCGAACCGACCTTGTCGGCCACGTTTGCGACAGCCTTCTCCGCCTTGTCCATAAAGTCGTCGGCGGTCTTGCGGCCCTTGGGTGCGGCGGCGGCGGCAGCCTTCTTGCCCTTCTTGACGGGAGCAGCGGCCTCGGCGTCGGATGCGGCGGCGGACGCAATGTCGTCAATCAAGAGGCTGCCGGCAGTGTCAACAGCCTTGGCAATCTTCTTGCCCAGGTTCTCCTCCTTGGCGGCGGCGGCCTTGCGCTTGGTGCCGCGGGTAGCGGCGGGCGAGGCGGCAGCGGCGGGGGCGGCAGCGGCCTTCTTGCCCTTCTTCTCAGCGGCGGGCGACACGTCGTCCATGAGCAGGTCGCCAGCGTTGTCGACGACCTCGGCCACCTTCTTGCCCGCAGACTTGAGCGTCTCGCCGACCGTCTCGAGCGTCGACTTGGGAGCAGCCTTGCCCTTGGCGGCGGCCTTGGGGGATGCCTTGGAGGCGGCGGCAGCCTTGGCCTTCTTGGGGGCCGTGGTAGCGGATGAGGCGGGGGCGGCGCGCTTGGGAGGCATGGTCGAGCGAGATGTGGGAAGTGTTGTGTTGAAACTGTGCGGTTCGCAGGTCAGCTGAGAGTGGGTACACAGACAGCGTTTGGACGTCATGTCCGCCAAAATTCGCCAGCCGTGGATTTGTTACGTAAGAGGTGGCGTGGGTGGGATAATATTTATTTGAACGGGGTCAAATGAGTGGGAGAGGAGATCGGGGTATTATTTCTAATGAAGTAGGAGTCACTGATTTGAAGATCCGCCACCCCATTTGAATTTGCATTTGAATTTTGTTAATGCCCCGACGTTGCTCCGACACCCAAAAGTTGCCTGTTCGGTCACTTTCCGCCCTCCACCTCTCACCCTCTCCTCCACCTCTACGGCGCGGCTCCGAGAGCAAGACTGACCGCACTTCTCCGTCTCTCCTGTGGCCCTGTGTCTTGCCGCGCAATCCACCCGTCTCCCCCACCCTCCACTCGTCGCAATTTGCATCGTGGCCCCCTCCTCTTGCCATCGCCAGTCTCTCCATCGACTCGAAAGGGTGCAAGCAAGAGGTCTTGTCTCAACGTCGACAAGACTATAGACTCGGCTGTATATAACCCCACCCCCGCAACCCCTCCCCTCGCGCGCGGTATCGCCCACATCGCTGCCATCCCGCTCCACCATGGTTGCGCAGTGGATCGCATCCGTGGCCTCTGAGGCCGTCGTCGCCAGCGGCCATGGCCACAAGCACGGCACACCCGGTGTCCCCAAGTGCTCGTGGCCCGTCCAGATCGTGTCCCCGGACCGCGATCTCGACTTTACAGAATGTTTCGAGCTCGTCGTCCTCCTGCCCGCCCCACTGCTGCTCGCCATCCTCATCGGCGGCGCACAGGTGTTCTACCTCACCCGCTGGCTGCGCCGTACTGGTCCTGGGTCCATCGACTGGGTCACCCGCTCGGCTCGCAACGAGCGCGTGGCAAAGACAAAGAGGGTGAGTCAGCATCGGCCACTGAGATTGGAGATTCTCGGCCATGCCCGACCGAACAAGGGCCGCGCGCACAGGTGCACAAAATGTTGACAAGCCTCGTAGTTGTTGATGGCATTCGCCGCAGTCGTCGTTGCCGCATCGGCAGGTCTGTCCGCCAAGCAGATTAAAGAGTCACCTTACGCCTTTGTCCAGTACGCGCTCTTGGCCCTCACGCTTGCCATCTTTTCTCAGCTCGTCTGGCTCAACCACCATGTGTCGCGCACGTCGTCGAGCCTCGTCCTCCTGTTCTTCCCTCTCTACATCCTCGTCTCGGCTATCCGTGTCCGCACCCAGATCATCACGGGCTCGCTGTCTCTTGACCTGTCCCACACCCTCCAAGGCCGCATTGTCCTTGCCCGTGAGGCCTTGTGGTTCTCCAGCGTCGGAATCGCCCTCGTCGCCTACATCCTCGAGCTCTACTCGCCCGAGAAGCACTGGGGTGTCTGGACTGCGCCATGGTCCCGCGGCAAGATTAGGCTCGAGGAGGATGAGGAGGAGGACAACTTTGACTCTGCTGGCCCCTTCAAGGAGGACAACGAGGTTGAGAGCCCCGTCGCGACTGCCAACATTTACGAGAGGTGGGTAACCTGACGGCGCCCCAGAAACTGACCCACTCAGGTTGACCTTTTCGTGGCTGACTCCTCTCCTCTCTCTGGGAACCAAAAAGTTCCTTGGGGAAGAGGATATGTGGCTTCTGCCGCCTGCCGACTCGGCCGAGGCGCTGTCTGAGCGTCTCGCCACTGCCTGGCAGCAGCAGGTCGACCTCGCCAAGGCCGGCAAGAAGAAGCAGCCATCGCTCAAGATTGCCATTGCCAAGGCGTACGGCCTGCCATACTTGATCGCCGGTATGATGAAGGTTGTCTACGACTGCTTCAACTTTGCCCAGCCCCAGCTCCTCCGTCTCCTCTTGGCCTTTGTCGCTTCGTACGGCACTGCCAGCCCCCTCCCGCCTTCGGCTGGTTACGGTATCGCCATCCTCATGTTCCTCATGGCCAACATGGCCACTGCCGTGCTCCACCAGTACTTTGACCGCTGCTTCCAGACCACCATGCGCGTCAAGACTGGTCTCATCACCCTCATCTACCGCAAGTCGCTCAAGCTCAGCCAGGGCGAGCGTTCCGGGCGCACCTCGGGCGACATTGTCAACCTCCAAAGCGTCGACGCCGTTCGTATCGGTGACATTGCGCAGTATGGCCACATTGCGTGGTCGGGCCCCTTCCAGATCATCCTTGCGTTCGTCTCGCTCTACCAGCTCGTTGGCTGGCAGGCGTTCACGGGTGTGGCCGTCATGCTCATCTCGCTCCCTATCAACACGTTCATCAGCCGCATCCAGAAGCGCCTCCAGCGCCAGCTCATGGCCACCAAGGACGTGCGCACGCGTCTCATGAGCGAGATTCTCAACAACATCAAGTCGATCAAGCTCTACGGCTGGGAGAAGGCGTTCACCGACAAGGTGTTCCACGCCCGCAACGACATGGAACTCAAGATGCTCCGCAAGATTGGTATCGTCATGTCGTGCTCCAACTTTTTCTGGCAGACCATCCCCTTCCTCGTCGCGTTTGCCACCTTTAGCACTTTTGTCTTCACCTCCGACCGCCCGCTTACCGCCGAGATCATCTTCCCCGCCATCTCGCTCTTTACGCTCCTCAGTTTCCCGATGAGCGTGTTTAGCAACATTATCAACTCGATCATCGAGGCGCTCGTCTCGGTCAACCGTCTCGAGGCGTTCCTGGCGGCCGATGAGCTCGACCCCAACGCTCGCAAGATCACCCTTCCCGAGAACGACCCCCGTGGCGAGGCCCGCATCGGCGACGAGGTGGTCTCGATTAAGAACGGCGAGTTCCGCTGGGTCCACGACTCGAGCGAGCCCACTCTCCAGAACATTGACCTGTCTGTCAAGAAGGGCGAGCTCCTCGCTGTCATTGGTCGTGTCGGCGACGGCAAGTCGTCGCTCCTGGGTGCCATGCTCGGTGAGATGACCCGCAGCGAGGGCTCGGTCTCGCTCCGCGGCGACGTTGCCTACTTTAGTCAAAACTCGTGGATTCTCTCGGCTACCGTCAAGGACAATATCATTTTCGGCCACCGCTTTGACCCCGTTCACTACGACAAGGTCCTCGACGCGTGTGCCCTCCGCTCCGACCTCGCTGTCCTCCCCCAGGGCCACATGACCGAGGTTGGCGAGAAGGGTGTGTCGCTCTCGGGCGGCCAGAAGGCTCGTATCTGTCTTGCTCGCGCGTGCTACGCCCGTGCCGACATTTACCTTCTCGACGACCCCCTGTCGGCCGTCGACGCCCACGTCGGTCGCCACATCTTTGACCAGGTTATTGGCCCCAACGGTCTGCTCAAGAACAAGGCTCGTATCCTCTGCACCAACGCTGTCAATGTCCTCCCCCAGGCCGACCAGATCATCATGCTCCGTCGCGGCGACATTATCGAGCGCAACAACTACCACTCGGCCATGGCTGACACCTCGTCCGAGCTGTACAAGCTCATCACCGGTCTCGGCAAGCAGTCTACCCACAGCGGCGAGGAGTCTGGCACTGTCACCCCTACCATTGTCGCCTCGTCCGAGGAGGACCTGTCGGGCGAGGAACTCGACGACCTTGATGACTCGACCGCCGTTGCCAAGCGCCTGGCCAGGCGCCGTTCCAGCCGCCGCGCCTCGATCCTCTCTCTCCGCCAGGCAAAGCGCGACGCGATCCGTGACCTCCGCGAGTCGGCCAAGCCCAAGGAACACTCTGAAAAGGGCAGCGTCAAGCGCGACGTCTACCGCAAGTACCTCAGCGCGGCCGGTATCAGCGGCGTGGTCGTCTTCATTGCCTGCCTCGTCATGGGCCAGGGCGCTTCGCTTACGTCCAACTTTATCCTGCGCGCCTGGGGTCTTGCCAATTCCAAGGCTCACCAGAACGTAAAGGTCATGCAGTACCTGCTCGCCTACGGCATCATGGGCTTTTCGTCCAGTGCCCTCAACGTCCTCGCCACCGTCACCCTCAAGCTGTACAGCGGTCTGCGCGCGGCGCGCGTCATGCACGACGTGTCGTTTGCCGCCCTCATGCGCTCGCCCCTCAGCTTCTTTGAGATTACTCCCACGGGCCGTATCCTCAACCTGTTCTCGCGTGACATCTTTGTCATTGACGAGATCCTCAGCATGGCCCTCGGCCAGTTCTGCCGCACATCTATCCAAGTCATCTTTGTCATTGTCGCCATTGCTATCCCTGCCGGCTCGCGCCCCGTTCTGCTGGTCTTCATCCCGCTCGGCTACATTTACCGCATGGTCATGCGCTACTACCTCGCGACGTCGCGTGAGCTCAAGCGCCTGGACGCCGTGTCGCGCTCGCCCATCTTCTCGTTCTTTGGCGAGACCCTGGCAGGTCTTCCGGTCATCCGCGCGTACGGCCAGTCGAGGAGGTTTGTGGCCAACAACGAGGCCCGCGTCGACCGCAACCAGGCATGCTACCAGCCTGCCATGGCCATCAACCGCTGGCTGGCGGTTCGCCTTGAGGCCCTGGGATCGATTCTGATGGCCTCAACCGCCCTCGTCTGCGTCACTGTGCTCCTGTACATCCCGCGCCTCATCGACGAGGGTCTCGTCGGCCTGCTCATGTCCTACACCATCTCGGTCACGGGCGCGCTCAACTGGCTCGTGCGCACCGCCTCCGAGGTGGAGCAGAACATTGTCTCGGTCGAGCGTGTCCTCGGCTACGCCAACCTGCCCTCTGAGGCGCCCGAGGAGATCCCGGCCAACAAGCCGCCCGCGTCCTGGCCGTCCGCCGGCAGCATCGAGTTTGACCAGTTCTCCATGCGCTACCGCCCCGAGCTGCCGCTGTGCCTCAACGAGGTCTCAGTGTCGATCAAGGGCGGCGACCGCGTCGGCGTCGTCGGCCGTACCGGCGCCGGCAAGTCGTCGCTCACCCTCGCCCTCTTCCGTATCCTCGAGGCCGGCAGCGGCCGCATCCTCATTGACGGCGTCGACATTGGCACGCTGGGCCTGAACGACCTGCGCAACCAAATCAGTATCATCCCGCAGGACCCGCAGCTCTTCGAGGGCTCGCTCCGCAACAACATTGACCCGACCAACCGCGCGTCGGACGCGGCCATCTGGCAGGCCCTCGAGCAGGCCCACCTCAAGGACCACGTCACGCGCAACATGGGCGGCACGCTCGACGCCGAGGTCGCCGAGGGCGGCTCCAACCTGTCTGCGGGCCAGCGCCAGCTCGTGTGCTTTGCGCGCGCGCTCCTCCGCCACACCAAGATCCTCGTCCTGGACGAGGCCACGTCGTCGATCGACCTCGAGACGGACGATGCCGTCCAGCAGATCCTGCGCGGCAGCGACTTCAAGGGCGTGACGACCATCACCATTGCGCACCGCATCAACACGATCATGGACTCGGACATGGTGCTGGTCATGGACCAGGGCAAGGTCGCGGAGTACGACACGCCAGAGCACCTGCTTGCCAACCCCGAGTCGGTGTTTGCCAGCCTCGTCCAAGAGTCGGGACTCGATACGGGGGCGGGTGCCGGTGGGTCGTCGTCGGCTGGAGCAAGCAGGCCCGAGTCAGCCGCCAAGTAGGGCGGCTTTTGATCCCGGGCTGTTATTGTCATACACATCAGAATACAGTGGTACAGATGCATCGAACTGTGAAAGGTTACGCCAGTGGCCAGTGGCGCGGGGCGGGTGAAGAACGAAAGCGGGGCGTGTGGTGCGGGTGTGGAAGCGTGGCGACGGGTGGAGGCTCGAGGCTGGCGGCCGGCCGCATGGCCTGCACGAAGAACGTGTGAAGTCGCAGCACCCGGCACACCGGCACATACCAAACAACCACGTTTGCTGTCGCCATGGGCATGAATGAATGTGGGCCATGGTGCCAACCCTGGATGTGTCAGAGTGTCACAGACAACCAACAGAACACTTTTTGCACCCGGACGTGCTTTTGATCAATTCAAGGTGCAAAAGACATGAAAAGTCACTGGGCGGCACGCTTGGCCCCTTCCCCCGCCTGGGATAAAAATAAACTCCTGGCAGAAGCGTCTCTGGCTGTTCTGTCGGTGGACGTCCAGGCACCCATATGGTGACTCACTAGAGCACTAGAGCACTAGATTACCGCCAGCGTGAATGCGTGTCTGAGACAAGATTGCAACAAAGATCGAGAGAGAGAGGGGGCCACAGAGTTTGGCCCCGCCGTGCCCCCCTTAACCCCCCCATGCATATGCGATGCATGCCATTGCGCGTCCTGTGAGGCGCGCGACGTGCGAGGCACAGTTGATTCCACAATCACCGAATGGCTAGCGCCAGCCCGCGATCGTGACGTTTCTTTGTTGCACACCGGCGTTGGCAGGCTCATCCTCTACTGAGAACACCACTTGTTTGCTTCATTCCACCCACACCCACACACCCACACACCCTGTGGCGAAAATAAGACGAAAAAAGGCAACGGGTAGCACACCCATTGTGACCATTGTCGTGATCCTTGCGCCTCGCCAACTACAGCCAGCCATCCAGATGCAAAATGAAAGGTACACAGTAGTGAAAAGGTACTGGCTGGGTCACGGCTGCATTGCGTGCATGGCTGTATGGCTTGCATGCTGGAGACCATTGCGAGGGACCGAAAAGGGCTGGCTGCTTGTGTTAGTAGCGCTAGTGACATGGGTTGGCTAGCGGTATGTCTTCTTGGTGACGACGGAGCCTGCGCCCCACCAGTCGCGGGATGCGTTTCGGTCAGGTTGGGAGATGTGTGCGCGCTGCCGTGGTCCAGGTAGGGCTCTCAGCAGAGGCCTAGGTGACAATCTTTGCAGGCAGTACTCTGCTACTTGCTGCAACTGCTGGCAAACACAGTTACATACCACCCATGCACACATGTGGCCTGTGGCCGGTGTGGCTGTCTTGTCCGCGCTGTGGCCAACCCAGTCCCTCCCACCCAGTGTGCCAGAGATTCAGAGATCGAGATTCAGTAGTGTCAGGTATTGCGGATGGATAAGGTGCGGAATCCCATTCAGACGCACGCTTTAGCCGGATCTTGTTTCGTGTATGGCCTTTAAGGGTTGCCGCCGGATCACAATGGGGCTAATCACGCTAGCCCGAACCGCATGGCGTCTGTGAGTTGTGCAGGTGCTTCCGACAAAAGGTGACGCCTGGCATCGGTCGGCTCGGCTGCAATTGATCAGTGGCAGCGCTTGTGTCGGGCCGCTGACGTTGCGTAAGACCCACTGCCCACTGGGGGTGCACGCTGGTCACTGGCCCCCGGAGATGGGCCGCCTTTGATCAATTGTAATATGTGTGGCACATCCCATAGCTGCTTTTCAGACCTGGTCCACCGGACGCCCCTCTGGCCTCTGGCCATGCTCGCACCCGGTATTCGTCTGATTTGCAGGTCTGCACGCCATCACCGACTGGCTGGCACGCCTCGAGGACCCATGGCCGGTGATCATGGGCCTTTGTTTCACGGCCGGGAGGTGTGAGGGCTCCAAAGCGTTCCAAATGGTTTGACCATTCTGAGAGGCAGGTCGAATTCCCAACACGGTTTGGAGCTGCAGTGGCTGGAGTGCTGCCCATGTTTGCGAGGGCCAGTGCCCCAGTTTCCCGGGCCATGCTATCGCCTCCACTGGATGCCGTCAGCGGCAGTGAGCACGTCACGAAATGTACAGTCAGCACAGGAAATCATTACCGATTGTGTCAGAGTTTGTATTACCACTGTGTGCGTTTGGGGCTCATTGACCAGCACTAAACTGGTGTTTGAAACCCACAGGGTGCACACACGATCATTCTGGTGTCCACTCGGGATGGCCCGCGGACGATGTGAGCTCTGAGGGCCGTCTACATCCGCCAAAGGAAGGAGCAACCATTGTATTCAATCTACCAACAAAGGCTGCGCTAGATGGTGCCTCACTTGTACCATGTTCCTCTCTCTGCTGTTCGCTCCGGGCATCATTGTAGGAGATGAGACTGACTGCCTGCCGCTAAGGTCGGGGTGCTGGTTTGTTTTTGTTTTGGTGGTGTCTCATGTCACGGTGTGGGTGGTGGATATCGGCAAGGAGTGGTGGTGGCATGCCCCGATCGGCCCTGAAAGATAGTCGCGTGCCTTCTCTGCCACACAACGTTTGTATGCGCGCTCGCCATCTCTCGCCGTCCATGCCGGCCATTCTCAGAGGTATGGCTGGTGGCATCGATGGTGATCGCGGTGAGGGGACAGTTGAATGATCGAAGGCGGAAGTGGGCCAGCAGGGAATGGATGGTGTTGATTGTTTGTTTGGATGATGGGATCGGCGGAGGAAGGATGACTCTGCATTTCCCGGCCGCTTCCTCGGTCTCACAAGATATATAACCACTCCTCCCCACCGGTCTCTTCTCTCCATCTCATCTTCCCAGTCTCCCACTTTCACACACACCTAATACTCCCAACACACTCCTTTGCTTCCCGCAACCCTCCATCACCACCAACACAATGCGCGCTGCCTACCTTTTCAGCCTTCTCGCCGTCCTCGGCACCGCCGTCGCAAGCCCCCTCCCTGTCTGTGAGTCCGGTCTACAACCTTGCATCATCACCGGCCTTGCCCATACTAACATGACTGTCAGCGGTTGATGACACCGGCGTCTCGGTCCCCAGCGTCCCCAGCGTCCCCAGCGTTCCCAGCGTCGGCGCTCCCTCCCTCGGCACCGACGTCGACGGTCTCCTCACCACTGTCGAGGGCCTCCTCGCTGCCCTCCAGGGTGGCACTCCCATCAAGCGCGACGCTCCCAGCCTCGGTGTCGATGTCGACGGCCTCCTCACCACCGTTGAGGCTCTCCTGGCTGCCCTCCAAGGTGGTACTCCCATCAAGCGCGACGCTCCCAGCCTCGGCGTCGATGTAGACGGCCTCCTCACCACCGTTGAGGCTCTCCTGGCTGCCCTCCAGGGTGGGACTCCCATCAAGCGTGACGCTCCCAGCCTTGGCGTGGACGTCGACGGCCTTATCACTACGCTCCAGGCCGCTGTCAACGCTCTCCACGGCGGTAACCCCATCAAGCGTGATGCTCCCAGCCTCGGCGTGGACGTCGACGGCCTTATCACTACGCTCCAGGCCGCTGTCAACGCTCTCCACGGCGGTACTCCCATCAAGCGCGACGCTCCCAGCCTCGGCGTCGATGTAGACGGCCTCCTCACCACCGTTGAGGCTCTCCTGGCTGCCCTCCAGGGTGGGACTCCCATCAAGCGTGACGCTCCCAGCCTTGGCGTGGACGTCGACGGCCTTATCACTACGCTCCAGGCCGCTGTCAACGCTCTCCACGGCGGTAACCCTATCAAGCGCGACGCTCCCAGCCTCGGCAACGACGTTGACGGTCTCCTTACCACTGTCGAGGCCCTTCTCGCTGCGCTCCAGGGCGGTACTCCCATTAAGCGCAACGCACCCAGCCTCGGCAACGACGTCGACGGGCTGGTGACTACCCTTCAGGCCCTTGTCAACGCCCTCCACGGCGGCAACCCCATCTAATGGACCGTTGAATCGGTTCTGCTTCTGTCACGCCCATCAATCTGGACTCTTTTTTCTTTACCCAAACGAAGCCTTTGAAGTAATGTGAATGTGAACTTTTATTGCCTTGAACTCAGAGTTGCACACCGTGTTGCATAGGCATGGCAAAAGCTGACACTGGGCATCACTCTTGGGTGCTCTTGGAAAGCCACTGGCGACCGTCTTGGTGGGCAGTTTAGTGGGGGGTGTAGGGCCAATGGCTAGCTCAGCGCTCTTCAGGTCGCAGCAGGTTTGTCCTCGTCGTTTGGGCAGCGGCGTAGGCTGTCCAGCCCGAGTTGGGTGAAGCCTGTAGCATGTACGTCCACGAACCCAAACCGTCTTCACACATGCAGTCGCACCATTTGTGGTTCGTCTTGACACATACACACATTATGTCGTCTACTCTCTAACCCGTGGATTGGTAGCACCGACGTCAAGTTATGGCAGAAAATAGAGAAATAAAGAAATAAATCAGAATGATAACATAAATACCATTTGGAGCCGGTACTCCGCCTGGAGGAGGTGATGGCGGTGCCTATGTATCCCAGTCGTTGTCCATGTCTCAACAATAAGATGACAGAGAAGGATATGATGACCACCCAGGTTGTTTAAGGTTGAGAGAAAGGGCTGCTTGTACATACAATAGAAGACAGTCCAGACATGAATCAGCAACGGCGAGTGTGTATTCATTTATTTATCCCCCGGCTTGGCGTGTTGCACGGCTAATGCGTCCCATCACGCCTATCCCCAGCCACAGGTATGATCTCAAAAAATATAGCAACCACTCTCGCCCAAGACCACCATGCACGGAGCGCTCCCGCGTGCCTCCCGGATCTATCCCAGTGGCTGTCTATGTCCCGACCATATATGCTCGGACGAGCGCGTCCCGTATGCGCGGACCAGAATCCGTCGGATTGACGCAGATAGATTGCGAGCATGGGTGTGTTGTAAACTTCATTCATGGCACCACTTGCACTGAATGTGCTGGCTGCGGCTCTCCCGTTGACAGGAGTTTGCCCCCATTTGTCTCCATGTTCCGGTCTGAGCAACATAACCTCAGCCTTTTCGGATATACAGGCGGGGATTCCACTACACTAGGTCGCAAGGTGTTTGCCAGGAGCATAGGTCGTCACCGAGACTATATGTGTACGTGCTCACTGTTAGCGACGACTCGGAGAGGCAAACGGGCGAGACCGAGACCAACAAAGGACGTCATTTCATCAATTTTAATTTTGATGCAAGTTGCTTGTTATGAGGTGATTCATGAAGTGATACGCTCTGCTCGCTCGAGTGGTCAACAATAGCTTGAGCTATCACTGATCCCCTGTACGTCTGCTCACAGTCACAACGACTCGGAGATTCCAACGGCCGAAACCGTTGACAACGGACGTGTCGCCCATCCACTTTATTATTGCTGTGAGTGGGCTCGTCGTACGTTTTGTACGTTCCGGCCGACACGGACGACGAGGGCGCGAGATCGTACCCATAGGTTGGTTTACTCACCGCCACAGGTGATGTGTGGCGGAATCGTAGCCGTAGGTTGGTTGACTCGCAGCCACCACCGAGATCGAGGCGGTACCAAGGTGTGCAGGTGCGTGCGTAAACCCGCCACGGCACCGTGGGTGCGAGCACATGGTCTGCTCCTGGCGGTGTGGCTTATGCCCCTGCTGCGTTGTTTTGCTTTGCGATGCTTTGTGTTTCGAGTGTTGCGGACGCGATATGACGACGTGTGAGGACGGATACCATACCCTGTGTCCAGCAAGGTGCGAGCTGTGTGGGGCTGCATGGCCTCGAGGCTGGGCGCCAGGCGGCTTGTGCGGATCTTGGCGGACGGGGGGCGCCTCAGGCCTGAGGACAACAGGGAGACAGGTTCGTGAGTGTTAGACGTAAGTGGATGATACTGGTCACGATGGCGCAGAGAGTCTGTGGTATCCTGTTTGCATCTATGATCTTTTTGGTTGGCCACAAGATTAACGTGGCCGCTTGCACATCGCCGCTGGGACAAGCACCAAGGTGAGTCTCAGCTGACGCTTATCCCTCATCGTGGCGCCGCACGTCACGGCTCTTGGGCGAGCTTAAACCGACTCGATGCCAGTGTACTCGCTCTCGACTCCGGGCTCCATGAGCATGGCGTGGCCGAGAATGAGGATGGCCGACGAGCCGACGAGCCAGAAGAAGACGGAGAAGGGCGACGCGATGAAGAGCATCGGCAGGCCAATGACAAAGAGGGCAATGTACATGGTCTTCTGGGTGATGACCGTGTTGCCGACCTCGAGCGGCTCGGGGCCTGTACGTGACAACGACAACAACAAATGTTGGGACGGGGTGCGGGGTAATGTTGCGGTTGGGGTGTGGGGCGGTGTAGCAAAGTGGAGGTGTAGTCAAAGTACGCGCAAGCGAACGGAAAAATAGGTCCAATGTGAGAATGAAGAGACAGTGTCAGCTGCTAGACTACGGTATACTGCTTAGCTGGACTCACCGAACCTGTTAATAGCATAGAAGCCACAGCCGAAGAAGGCGATCGCGATGAGGAGGAAGGGGTTGGTGAGGCTGAGGGTGTCAACTTAGTCGTTCAGGAACGATTGGTCCAGCTCACAGTGCGTAGATTGAGAGGATGAGAATGACGAGCAAGTAGTTACCCGAGAACTGGCGCGTGTTGTAAGTGAGGCGCTGGAGGCAAGTCAGTATCGCGGGTAACAGCGTCGTATGTAGCTACCCACCTGGGTGGCCTCGTTCATGTTGGACGGGCGCGAGATCTGCCTGTGGTCGAACTGACATTAGCCATGTTCCTGGTCCTCCTCCATCTCCACGCTCAGCGCTCTCCATATTGTCCCGCTGAGAAGCCTGAAGGGCCAACAGCTGATCTCGAGGAGCCCAGTGCAATATTCTTGCTCGCTGCGCCGTCCGCAGTCCACCAGCACTGCACCTTTCCCAGCCGTCCAAAACTCACGAACTCGCCGACGGGGCGCAAACCCGACAGGTGCTTCTCCTGCGATTGTCAGCTGCTACCTCTTCAACTCAACTCACGCTGAAGCTCCTAAACGCGTCCTGGGCCTTGGCGACAACTTCCATGGTGGGCGAAATGGGCGATGGGGTGGATGGGAGATGTGGTGACGAGCAAAGACGGGAGCCCCAGTAGCCCAGGATGGCCCACGAGGCCCGCAAACGTCGCCACCCAACGGAAGCAAATTGTGTTCCTCTCAGCCTCCACTTGAACTGGATTGCTTTGTTGTCATCACTCTCCCTCCTCTCGCCATCGCCTCCGCTCTTCGTTCGTCGCATTTCCCTCTCTCCTCACCTCCACACCCCCCAACCCTCCTCCAGAATACATTCTCCACCATGATCCGCTCAAACCCCACCGCCATCCCCCTGCGCCCATCAGACCTCAAGCTGCTGCAGGCCGAGCTCGACGCGCGACGCGCCGAGCGCGAGCGCGATACCGCCGCCGCTTCCGGCAGCGCCAACGCCGCCAACACGAGCACGGCGGCCGCGTCCAGCCGGCACAAGTCCAACACGAGCATCTCGACCAAGACGAACGGCGCCAACGGCAGTGCGGCAGCCGCAACGTCGACGCCGGCGCCCGCGCCTGGCGACCACGGAGTGGATGAGCGCAGGCGCAGGCGGGCTCACATGACTGCCCAGGAGCGCATTGGAATGTAGACCTGGTGAGTAGCTAGTCGTCAAGTTGAAAGTTGCTGTCCAGCTACTGACACTGCCAGCCACTGCATCGCTTCAACGTAGTCGAGCTTGATTGCGGCGTCAAGCGTCCCCCCACCTTTGAATGTCGCCAGTGTGTCGACTCTTTGCCCCCTGGCTGCATTGACGAGCCTATGGAGCGCATGTGCAAGGACTGCCTCGGTGAGTAGCTGTGGACTCTCCATTAAGATAGCTACTAACACCTCAGCCGTATCCCCAAGTGCTCACAGCTACCCTCGCATCAACCTCAACCGTCCCTCGTCTCACACTTGCTCTGTACCGCCCTCTCTCATACCTTGCACACATTATTAACATGTTACTGTATACATTAAAGGACCATCCTTTGTACACCTTGGCACCCGGCCAAACCCGCCAACCGCCATGCTGCCGCGTTTCCATGTCTCCCGCGCGTCTGGATACACTTCTGACAAAACCCGTTATTCTCCCGTCTTCTTGTTGACTTTACTTGACTCTAGTATCCCCTCCTCAAACGCTCAATCTCCGCTGCTTGCTTGGCGATTGTCTCGCGGCTGGAACGCAGCTCGTCGACGAGCGGGGAGACGGCTGAACGGATCTCGTTCTGACGTGTCAGCTAGACGCAGAGGCACCGAACGCGAAAGCTGAGACATACCTTGAGACCGCGGCCCATGCGTAACATGTCCAACTGGAGGTTGGCAATCTCGCGACGCATCTCCTCAAACGCCTCCCACGTTGGCGCATCGCCACCGCTGCTCTGGCCGTTGTGCTCGTGAGGTGGGGGTGCACGGCGCACGCTCGCGCTCGCACCCGGGCTGAACGCCGTCGTCTCGTCCGCCTCGTCAATGACCGCGGGGCGGATGCGCACAGTGCTCGCTGTGCTGATCACGCGGGAAGCTGGGGCGGCACTGGGTCGGGAGGCGGCGGGGTTCAGAGGGGTGATGTGAATGTCGGTGCGGACTGGGGCCGTCGGCGCGCGTGTTGTGGGTGCGGACACAATACGTTTCTCTGATTCCTTGGCATTCTTGTCAGACGTTTTCTTGGGCGGAGCCGAGGCCGCGAGGTTGTTTGTCAGGTTGTTCTCGGCGAGGACACGGGCCAAGGGGCGATCCGAGGGGGCACGCGTGGCCCGAGGCTGAGAGTTAGGTGGAGATATACTCTGCAACTCACAGTTGGGAGAGCATGGACGTCAAGGACGGGCTGGTCGAGCTCCACTGGTGAAATGCTTCCTGTACGCATATCGCGAACCAACATCTTTCCTGTTGGGTTAGTTGTGATTCAATATGTGAACCCACCAGAAACGGTTCTCGCAGCCAATGTTTGACCGTCGATCCAGCTCAGACCAGCCACCTCGACGCCAAACTTGATCGTCGAGACGTCGCCGTCCGTTAGGGATACAACGGCCACTTCGCCATGGGTTCCCTCAGAAGCGACAGCGACCTGGGTTCCTGAGACGACAATGTCCCGGCCAGCACGCTCGAGACCAAGATTGTATGCCTTTGGGATGCCCTCGGTGTCAATGGGGTACGCAGTGAGACGGTCTGTCGATGGGACGAGGAGGTAGGGGCGGGAGTCGAGGTGGACGATACGTGCACAGGACACGGGCTGGGGGCGTGAGCACTGCTTGTTGTTGCCGTGGCGACAACTCGCACAGCATCAAGGGATGTCTGTCATACTCACCATGTCCATGTCTTCAATAGAAGCCTTCCTGCCCGTCTCGAGCTCGTAAACGACCACCTCGTCGGCGCAGAACGCCATCAGGTCCGCGTCGCCAGTCATGGCAGTGAGTTGGCCCCTTGGCAACTGTGGGGGAGCGTCAACAGCTGTCTTTCCAGGGTGATCACCAGCTACACTCACCTCGAGAGTCCTCAAACAAGCCCACTTTCCTCCATTCCCAGCCCGCTTCATGACCTTTGCCTCCTTCTTGCAAGCGAGCACCACAAGGGTTCCAGCCGTCGCCACCCTCTGGACTCCCAACGAGGAGCCCGTCATCTCACCCACACGGCGTCCCTTGGAATCATACTCCCAGACCACAGATCCGCTGGCCGTTCCGGAGGTGTTGGCGGCGTAGAGGTAGGTGTGGCCTGTTGGACCGGCAGCGGCACGCGGGAGACCGCCCGAGGGAAAGCGGGAGGGGAGAGCGAGCGGGGTTGAAGCGGCAGTGGACGTGGTTGGCTTTATGGGCACCAACGCCAGAGCGCTGGGGTGCACGACGAGGGCGGACATGGGCGACGGCAGGAGGAAGAACGAGGCGGGAGGTGGATGGGTGGATATGGAAATGTGCGGTGGTTGTTTGTGTGTGTGCGTGTTGTTGTCAGAGATCAGAGAAGAAGTCAGTCGCGACGCACGGAGGTAAACATTGGACCGACAGGGCGATGGCACAGCGGGAGCATTTTTCAACTGGCGGCGGAGACGCGGATTATCAGTGCGGATTATCTCTCAGTATCAACAGGTTGGGGACGTGCCGCTTGTGCGTTCTTCTCTTGTCAACGTCGCCTATGTATGTATGCATCCCATGCTATCGTTCTCTCTCACTCTGCATGTGTCATGCTCAGATAGGGATGCCGCCTCCCAAAGCCTTAGGAACAAAGGGCCACGCGGCCGAGGCTGGCAACTCGAGCGCCCCACACACCCGCCCAACCGCCACCGCCGGTGCGCCGGCGATTGCCACCTATGGCCAACTGGCGGCGTCGGGGGGCTGAGTGGTATGAGTGGTGGACGATGAGCGGCGATGGGGCGGCGAAATACATAAAAAAACGAGGTCATGTTGATGATGACGATTGTGCGGCGTATCCCCCAATCAGTGCACGCTGGTACGCTGGTGCTCGGGGGGTTTGTGGTGCCGAGGTCGGCCGCTAGGGCATTGACCAGGGTACGACCTTGTGGCGGATGAGTGACTGCAGGTGTAGCGGTCACTCCTAGAATTGCTGTTGGGGCCAACAGTATCGATATAGATAGAGCGGACATGATGTAGGTTCTCGGACGTCTCGAGAACACATGTCGTTCCCTAGAAGTGATGTCGTTCTCAAGGTCATGCTCGGAATGGTGACACATACTCTGGAATGGTGACACGTGCATGTATCTTGCTTACGTTACTGCACGCTCTCTCGCTCACTCGTACGACAGTCGCGCGACTGTCTGGCCTCTGGCGCACGGGGCAGCGTGACAACTCTGGAATCAGAGTGTGGACGGCAGTGCTCTCGGTCGGTCGGTGTTCAACAGCTGTTCCCCGTGAGTTACACCCCGCCCCGTGAGTTACACACCTGCACTGCAAAATGGCACTTTGTCCTCTGCTTGTGTAAATGCAAACGCATGCACTGCATGGCCGCAGTTTGAGTTTCATCTCGGCGTCCTGGCATACCATGAAACGGGTCTGGGCGTAGCGTCACCCCTCGCACTGGTGTCGACACGTTTGGGGTAAAATCGTCCAGACTGGCCACTGGCAACTGGCCGGCCACTGGATCACTAGATCACTACAGGCCAAGGGTCACTGTGCATGTGGGGAGGGTCCAGGTGGAGTCCAGATGGCGTCCAACGGGGGTCCAAGTGGGGTTTAGCTGCGTTCTAGCTGGGGGATTTCCAACGCGGCGTCCATTGTCTGTCGTCGAGACCTTACTGGTAGTCCAGGGTGACGAAGGACCAAGGTGCAAGGAACAGACGAGGGGTGTGCGCGCTGTTGTGTAGAACACGGAGGGGGGTGTATGTGCAAGCACCAGGGGGGGAAGGTCTGTGGACGAGGCGATGCCACACTGCAGTGTGTGTGCGCGATAACCCAGCGGCCAGCGGTATGACCATGTTGACCGTGGCGCACCCCACCTGACGCTGCTTGGTCATGGGCATGAGCAAACTGGGTGCTGTGGCTGTTGCCGAAGATCGGCACGAACAAGAGCGGGGAGGTGCCGTGGCATGTTTGCCGGTCACTTTTGGGTGTTTTCTGGGCCCATCCGCGGGGAGACCGTGCGCGGTGGCGTGGAAGCCATCGCCGTCGACCTGAAGGAGGCTGCAAGACGGGCTGTTCGGCCGCGGTGCCCGGCGAGCCACCGACGCGGCCAACTCACCCAACTTGGAGTGCGCGTCGGTTATGTATCGTCCGTGTCCTCACTCTGCCCTTTCCCAACATGCCAGTCCCCGGGCCGCAGCTCAACACCGCGTAGGAGGTACGACGAGGCTTTGCAAGGTACAATGTCTCGCAGGCCCTAGAGCCATGCGCTAGTGTGTGCTGTGTGTGTGGGTTTGTTTCGTGGTGGCTGCCCTTGTCGGCGTCGTTGGGCGTCCACAGCGGATCTGGCTCTCTACCGGGGCTGCTGGCTTTGTGGGTATGTATACTCCTGAGGATCTACATTGGCCTCCAACTCTCGCCCGTTCTCGCACTCTCACTCCTCTCACTCACTCATTCACTCTATCGCCACCACGCCCAGAATGACAGTGGACGACGACCCAGTCCACACCGCAGCCTACTTTGAGGCAGACAAGTGGCCCGAACACCCATACTGGAGCCACAGGTACGCCACCACGCGACCAAGCTCGGACCCGCCAGGCCGAGCGCGCGTTCGGCAGCTCGATTGATCGCTGACGGGAGATTTGCAGGTACGACTTTTTCACCGCGGAGCCCAACTGGGGTGGCGAAGAGTTGGCCAGCGGCACCGTGCGATATGTTCGACCAGTGGTGATGCCAACGGCGAGGGTGGCAGCCCGCAAAAACATGGTGGGCAAGATGGGCATGATTGGAAAGCTTGTCCCACCATCACTCGTCCCCCAAGCCCCCCAAGGACCCCGGAAACGCAAGCCGCTCTACTTCCAGGCGTTTCTTTGGATGGATGGCGGCTCGCATAAAGTGGTGAGTCGTTCAAACGAGTGACAGAGCAGCAGCAGTGGCTGACTGAACCCAGACGACAAGAGCCGACTTGATGCAAGTGTTTGAACGACTGGTCAAGCCCATCGACGCCGCTGGCCAATTGGTCTACGACATCTTGGCTGTGCTCGACCAGGTCGATGCAGTGTGCGACGAGGAGGCTGCCCAGTCACTCGAGTTCACCAATGCCCGGCTACGAGTGGAAGAAGCCTTCCATGCTATCGACCTCATCATGCCCAAGATCATGCGCCTTGCAGGTGAGTGCATTTCTGAGAGTGTTTACTCTGGCCACCTCAGGAACACTTGCTGACCTGAGCAGTCCATTTTGGAATCTACCTCCACCGCATCGCAGACCTGGAGCGTGACCATCTGCTTCCCGTCAACTGGACACCCTGGCCGCACCCCGTCACGAGCACCTCCATTCATCAGACAGAGGTCCACAACCCTACCTCGGACTACCTCTTCCGCCTATGTCGCCTGATCCAGAAGGAAGGGCAGCCAGTGTTTCCCGAGTATGACAGTACAATCTCCGCGGGCAATGAAGCCGTGAGGGAGCTGGAGGCAATGTGTGACAGTATTGAGGTCATTGACGTGGACGCGTCTGTTGACGAGCCTGGAGTGTAAGGGTAGTTGGAGTGATTGTTGTACAGTATGATACTCCTGATTGTAGTCTTTGACATTGATGCGACGTGGTTTGACGCCAACGGCAGCGTTGATGGCGGTGTTCCAAGTGAAAGGGCAAAGGAGAGACAAGCACACATGTCTTACAGTCACAGTGACGAGCTCGCCACTGGCTGGTACACTGGTCCTGTCTCTCATGTTGTGCATTATAAAGAGACGCGGGGCCTCATGTCCCATTCCTTTCCCATCGCAAGACGAGGGTACACACCAGGACCAAGACCACCACCACCGAAACATGATCAACTGCCATGAGGAACCGCACGTCTGCTCGCCCCGCCGCGACATTAGGAACGGCAACTATTACTGCATCTACTGCGGCCGCCAGATGTCATAGCCCCTCGTTCTGTGCCATATGCATGGACGAATAAATCACAGAGCATACTCTGAACTCTATGTCACGCGGAGAGAGAGGGTCTTGTAGACAACCCTATACGGTGGCCAAACGCCACACCCGCAGTGCACGGGCCCTCGCACTGATAACGAAGACGGGCTGAATGACGTGTGATGTCACGTGACCTCAACCGTGCCAAGTGGCGAGTGCTGAACTGCTGCTGCCTGTCTTGCGTCGTTGAGTCATCTCCACTGTATCCGTCATCTCAACCATCCATTCACTCATTCACCATGCCCCCTCTCACAGCAGCCGAAAAGCAGAAACTGCTGTTACAGCAAGAAATCGCAAAACTGTCTGGTATGTTGTTGCATTGGAGCCCACGAGCCAACTGGAATCCTCAAACTTCCATCACTGGTCCACTAACCCGACCAGGCGCAATCACTCGCCATGCAACCAACCCCCATCCTTCCTCGTACCACCCTTACCGCGGTGGCAGCACTTTCCCAGCTCGCGGCGGCTATACTGCTCGTGGAAGGGGACGTGGTCGTGGCCGCGGTGGCAGCTCGTACGGGCTGGATCTCCGCGGCGCGCGGGCCTCCAGCACCGGCGGGAGCGCAACACCCGGAGCTGCGCCCTCGCCTGCTGGGCCGTCTCGCACAGCAGACACGGAGATGGAGGACGGCGAAGTGGCTACTCCCGGCTCGTCGACCTCGGATTCTGCTTTCAAGCCCACACACAAGGACACTTGGGTCAAGAAGACGAGTAACCGCGGCAACATGAGTTTGATGACTGTACAGAAGAGGTGAGCTGCCATACGGCAGGCCGAGGGTGTCAAGCTGACAGCCAGCAACAAACTTGCCTTGCGCCCACCACCTCCGCGCCGCCCCAAGGTCCCTCCCCAGATCCAGCAGCTCTCCTCGACATCCGAGGCCTCGTCAGACGGCAACGAGAGCAAGCGTGTCGTCATTGACGGCGTCATCTTCCAATTCGAGCAGGGCGGCCAGAAGCTCGTCCGTATTGGCGGTAGGTAATCTGTCCACCACCAGACCACCGACTGACGCGACCAGAACTCGCCCAGCCGTCCAATGCCGGCCCCTCAAGCACGCCGACTCGCTCGTCGCTCAGCTATGGAGGCGAGCAGTACAGGCGCACCAAGCGCGGAAACCTCATTTCCCGCTCAAGGTTCGGTTCCGCTTCAAGCGTTGCCACACTTCACAAGCTGACCACGTCCTGCAGACGCGCCGAGCAGGCTAACAAGCCCTGCCGGTACTACACTAAGACGGGTGCGTGCCGCCAGAGACCGCGGCTGGCCCCCTACAACTGGCCTCGCACCTTGACACGCGTTTAGAACAACACACTAACACTTGTTTTGTTTTTGCTTCTGACTAACAGGCCGCTGCGACCGTGCCCTCACCTGCCCGTACAAGCACGACCCAGAACGTCTCGCCATCTGCCACAAGTTCCTGCGCGGCGCCTGTCCCAACACGGCCGAGAGCTGCGCGCTCTCACACACGCCCACCGCGCACAACACGCCTTCCTGCGTCTACTTCCAGACGACGGCGACATGTCGCTACGGCGACAAGTGTGTGTATCCGCACGTGCGCGTCTCCGCGGAGGCGCCCGTGTGCGAGGCCTTTGCGCGTGAAGGATGGTGCGACAAGCCTGCGGGGACGTGCGCCGAACTGCATATCTGGGAATGCCCCGAGTATCGCGCACGGGGCACGTGTGCCCGCGGTGCCAAGTGTGGTTTGCCCCACGTCCTCCGGTCCGAGGCCGAGAAGAAGAACCAGGCGGCCGCTGCTGCTACTGCTGCTGCTTCGAGCAAGGCGGCCGACGAGGACGTGAATGGGTTCGAGGACCAGACCGAGTATATCGGCTTGCCTGGTCAAGTCTTCTCCGAGTCTGAGAGCGAGGATGATGACGATGAGGACGAGGACGAGGAAGAAGACGAGGAGGACGAGGAGGAGGCGAGTGATGAACAAGATGGAAGCGAGGAGGACAGCGACGGCGATGAGAACGAGGGAGACGTGTCCATGGCGGACGTGTCCATGGCCATTGGTCGTGGCTTCGCTTCAGGTAAGCTTCCCCAACGCCAGACACCTAGCATGAGCGACGATGGCGACGAGGACGACGAGGCGCGCGTCCTCGAAGAGGTGTAGCAGCCATGTCTTTCCCAGAGTCACGCGACGTTGTAGTATAACCCCTTGATTGTAGTTTTACCCCTCATCCACCGACACCCTCCCCCCAAAGCCTCCCTCTCTTTTCCAGCTACAATATACACCAAAGAGCATGTCCCATGCATTGTCATGTGCAAGAGCTAGCAACGTGACGGGCCCAAAGACTGAATGGTGGCGCCCGCCTTTTATATATCATGTGTTGTGAGAACAAAACTGCCAACCGGAACCCCCCCGCCGTCTAGAACAACCACACCTGCAAATAAAAAAGCTACTCTTCTATCTCTTAGGCGGACGAGTGCTTGTTGCGGTTGTTCTGGCGACGAGCGCGGATACCGGCACGCAGCGCGTCGAGGACAGGGACGGTCTGCTCGAGCGAGATGCACGCGTCGGTGATGGACACGCCGTACTTGAGGGCGGCAGGGCCCTCGACGGGGATCTTCTGGTTGCCCTCGTTGATGTTGGACTCGATCATGACGCCCATGATCATGTTGGCGTTGGCCTCGTTGGACGCCAGCTGCGAGGCAATGTCGTTGCCGACCTCGATCTGCTTGACGTGCTGCTTCGAGCTGTTGCCGTGCGAGCAGTCGATCATGACGCGCGGGTTCAGGCCGGCCTTGGAGAGCTTCTGGCCAGTGGCGAGAACGTGCTCGGCGGCATAGTTGGGGCCCTTGGTCGAGCCGCGCAGGATCACGTGGGTGCTGTTGTTGCCGTTGGTCTCGACAATGGCAGAGATACCCTGCTTGGTGACCGACAGGAAGGTGTGGCCGGCAGCAGCGGCCTTGATGGCGTCGAGGGCAATGTCGATCGAGCCGTCCTGAGAGTTTTTTTGTCAGCACGAGCATGCGTGTGTGCGACAGCAGACAGGGCGTGCCGTGTCCGCTGCGAGCAGCGACGACGACAACGGGTGACTCGAAAACGAGAGGGTTATGGGATGTATCGGCGGTTTGCCGACGTTTCCCGGCGACCCATCCAGGGTCGCCTGTTCAAGAGTGGGTCAAGTGTGCGCTGTACGTGGGTGACGAAATCGTAGCCGCCGCAGTACACCCTTGAAACCCTCGCCGAGCCCCTCTCTCCCTAATCTCCCACGACTTGTCTTTGTCTGCAAAAATGTTCACTCACAGTGCCGTTCTTGAAGCCGACCGACATGGACAGAGCCGAGGCGAGCTCACGGTGGACCTGCGACTCGGTGGTGCGCGCACCGATGGCACCCCACGACGACAGGTCGGCGAGGAACTGGGGCGAGATGACATCTGCGAAAACAGTGTTAGCAGGGTCCTACAGCACCTCCTGAACTTTGCGGGGCCGATAAAGGTCACACTGCCAGTACCGGCGCGCCCAGCGGCCAGCGCCAAGCGGCGGCAGCGGCAGGCTCGCCAATTTGCCATTTTGACAGTCCACGTACCGAGGAACTCGCCCGCAGTGGGCAGACCAAGCTCGGTGATGTCGAGCATGAGCTTGCGGGCCATCTTGAGGCCACGGTTGATCTGGAAGGTGCCGTTCATGTCGGGGTCGTTGATGAGACCCTTCCAGCCGACGGTGGTGCGGGGCTTCTCAAAGTAGACGCGCATGACGATCAAGAGGTCCTCCTTGGCCTCCTCAGCGTACTTGGCCAGCTCCTTGGCGTAGACAATGGCCTGGGCGGGGTCGTGCACCGAGCAGGGGCTGGACGTTAGCTGCAATTTGGGAAGAGTGAGCTCACCCGACAACGACAAGAAGACGGTCATCGTCGCCCTTGACAATGGCCTCGACCTGCCTGCGGCCGTCGAGGACGGTCTGGGCGCCGCGAAGGGTGAGGGGAAGCCTTGAACGTTAGCATAAACACGTAAACCATGTGACCGTACTCCTCAACAAGGATCTGGGGGCTGTAGGGATCGTGTCAGTAAAAGGCGTCTGCGCTTGAGCGAACGTGTGTGCCAACTCACGGGATGAGGGGACGAATGTTCTTGACACGGCGGTCGTCAAGGAGCTCTGGCAGCTGGCTGGATGAGTGTGGCTCAGACTCGGGAGGAGGAGGGGATCGCACCTCGCGGACAGAGGTAGGAGTGTAGGCCATTTTGAGAGATGTGGTGGTTGTGGTGGTGGGGTTGTTTGGGAAAGGAGTATGGATGTAGGAAAGAGACAGATGAAAGCCGGCTCGTTTTACAGGTCCGCCCGAATGCAACTGCGGGGTCGAGGACGGGGGGCGCAGGGAGCGACTTTTGTCGAGTCGTAGCAAAACGCGGGTCGATCATGGCTCATGATTATCCGGCAAAACTGGTCCGGTTAATAGTCACGTGACTTTTAGTATGACAGTGGGCGTAATCTCCGTGTGTCAGGCTCATCCACCCCACAGCCGGCAATGAGGTCATGGTCCACACACTGGGTGTTGTTTCCTTGCTTCCAACTTCGCATCCCTCCTCCATCACACTCGCACAGCGGTACCAACAGACATGGCCGCAGGGATAAAGAGTACGTAAAGGGCATGTTGCAACTATACAGGCAGTGGTCCTGGGCTGACGCTGTATCTCCCGTTTCCGCTTTCTGTCGCCGCCCGCAATGGTTGCCTCCTTCGTTCTCCAACCACACACGCGTACGCGCTGAAACCGGTTACTTTTATCAACGGCGGTGCTGCTCGACCCGGCAAACCTCTCATATCTCATCTTGTCTTCCTTTGAACGTGACCTTTGGACGTAAACCCTCTCCTGTTGCCACCCGCAGCCGTCATCTTCCTCGCGTTCGTCCTCGCGCTCGGCTTCCTCCTCGTCATCCTCAGCTGTGCGCTGTACCAGAACTGGCTGCCCTTAATTGTTGGTGGGTATTGCGTGGCTGTGTCAAGCAGCTACCTCATCTGCTGGCATGTAGCTGCTTTTTCACGAGTATGCCGTCCACCAGCTGACTCACTCCACAACACAGCCTTTACATTCGTTCTTGCCCCCCTCCCCAACTCTATCTGTGCACGATGTGCCCGCGCAGACGATATTTCGCCAGAGTACAACTCGGCATATGTTGATTTCGGCCGCTTTGTTACGGGCATGCTGGTTGTGAGTACCGCCGTCCAGGGGTGTACGGGGTTGTGGTGCAGGGTACACGGGCACTGTGATGGCGACGTCGCCGCTCGTGTGTCCGAGTCGGCACAGCAATAGTCTTGCCACCCCCTTCTTCCTCCACTCTGAATCTGCAAACCACTTTAGCTATCTTTCCTTTGTATCCTGTAGCCGTAGCTGACTCTCTACTGCAGGCCACGGGCTTCGCGCTCCCTCTCGTCCTCCTGCACTCGGGCATCATCTACCCAGGAGCGTGCTGGATGGCCATCTCGGGCGGTCTGCTCGTCTACGGCACGATCCTGGTGTACTCTGGATGGTTTGGCTCGGGCAGCGACGATGACGAGTTTTGATTAGAAGTGAGCTCGCAGAGGCCACGTATCTGAGGAGGACGAGTTGTCACGTCTGCTTAATGATCTCGAGACGAGAGGACGACAGGTTGGTAGGGGTGGTTGTTGCCAGCGTCGGCTATTGGTGTCGGTTCGCTGGTACCTAACCGGCATGGTGATGCATGAATCAGAGATATTCGAGCACACATGCACACATGCACGTAGTCGTACCTGACCTGACATTGTCATCATTACGTTCGCGCCTGTTGGCGACAGGACTAGGAGACAGGCAGCTCCCAACCAAGGAGGCGACCACACCGCAACAGCCAAAGTGATGCCCCTAAAGCTACTTTTCGTCATGCAGTGTCTTGTCCAGCCTCCTAGATTCTCTAGATCTCTGGTGGGAAATAGCAGGGTTATCCGTGATCCCTTTACAAGTACGGCAGCAATAGCGACGGTGCGAGACAGTGAGAGTGCAGATGTATATAGCACTTGCTGCGGACGGTGGACGGGAGGGCCACAGGGCACAGGCCATTTTGCTCAGGCGCGTCGTCGCCCCCGCCGCTGAGCCAACGCGGGACACATACAATGGGCTGTGTTATTGCACAGCTGCTGCGCTGCGCTCGTTCTCACATTATTGCTCCATCGTCGTCTCTCATACCCACACACACACACAAAGTCTCTCATTCCCTCTCGTTCTCTACCCTTCCGTCGACGCTCACGCTCCCCACACATGCACACCCGAACATAACATACCCACCAGCGACCGCTTGAGCTTTTATTCTCCCCCTCCCCTCCCTCCCATTCTGCTCAGCTGCAACAATGCTGGTACCGCCTCTCGTCGTTGCCGCCGTCGCCCTTCTGGCACCCTCATCCATTGCCGCGCAAGTGCGGCATGCGGACCGCGCCGAGCAGCCTGTGCAGGAGCGTGATCTTGCTCTCGGCGAGGTCACGGGGCGCGCACACGCCCTCCCGCTGCTTGCGCACCCACATGCCCGGCGAGGAGGCGAGAGCTCGTCGGCTAGACTCAAGGCCAAGCGCGCACGCCGTGATACGTTGACCGTGGCTGGCGTTGTCGGCGTGGGTGGACTGGAGCTCGAGCTCCGTCACCACCCTCGCGAGGCCGAGCGTAGTGAGCTTGAGAGGAGGGCGGACGTGAACGGCTCGATCATTGCGCTGGGTACTGCACAGAGGTACGTGGTGGTGATATACAGCTACGTAACCGCCCCAGCTATACTGACGTCGGCTCAGCACTTTTGTTCTCCCTGTAGCCTTTGGCGAGCCGCCTGTCGCGTTTCCTCTCCAACTCGACACTGGGTCCGCCGACCTCCTCCTGGCCACAACGTTGTGCGGGGTCAACTGTCCGTCCACCTCGGACACCAACCCATACTATGTCGCCAAGACGTACTCGTCCACCTTTGAGAGCGTCAACAACAATGCGACCACTTGGTCGACCTCGTATGGAGATGGGACAGTCGCGTCCGGCTTTGTCGGGCGCGAACGAGTCGGCATCGCCAACATGACCGTGCCCGGCCAGGTGTTTGGCATGATCAATGCCACAAACATCACCTTGTCCCAGCAGAAGATCTCGGGTATCATGGGACTCGGTTTTCCGCGGCTGTCGACGTTGTCGAGGGTGCTGTTGAAGGCTGAAGCCGACGAGGCTGCTGCTGATGCTGCTGCTACGACAAGTCTCGTTGTCACCACCACCTCCTCCGGCACCATTGACGCCTCGTCGACGGTCCTCTCCTCGGACACCGACGCCTCGTCAACGGTCGTCTCTTCGGATACCGCTACGGCGACGTCTGTCAGCAAGCGCAGCTCCCACATTGCCCAACGCGACTCTGGTGTCCACTACCTCCCGCCTCTTCTCGAGTCGCTCGTCTCCTCTCCTGATATCCCATACCCCGTCTTTGCCCTCGCACTCTCCCCGCCCCTCGTTCCGACAGAGACAACGACAACCTCAGGCGCAAGCGCGACTTCCCGGTATGGCCTTAATGTCGGCTCGCTCACCTTGGGTGGTGTGTCATCGCAATACGTCTCCGATAACACTACGTCCGGCCGGACCGTCGATGACATCGAGTGGTGGCCTGTCGTGCCGTTCGGTTCACCCAATACGACGACTGAGGCGACCACTACGGTGGCGACGGTGGCGACTACTACCGATGATGCAACGTCCACAGACGTGTCATCCGCGGCAGCGACGACCTCTGCGATCGACGGTCATGGCGTGCCCACCGACCTGGCCCAGCTCGAGTCCGAACAGTACCTGTACTGGACGGTCGAGCTTGCCAATGTCGCTGTCAATGGCACTGCCGTTGGGCTCAACTCGACGTATGCTTCTCTCGGCCTGCCTTCTATTGCCGTCTTGGACGTCGGTACGAACGGCATCTACGGCCCACAGCAGGATGTGGCCAAGATCTTTGCCAAGATTACCGACGCGCGCCAGGTTTCCACTGGCCAATGGGCTGTGCCGTGTGACACCAAGATGACTCTTGGGTTCTCTTTTGGGTGAGCTTCAAATCTGACCCATCTGACTGCACAAGGCACAAGCTGACTTTCAGTGGCCGATACGTGCAGCTCCAGCCTTCGGACTGGATGTCCTACGCCGTCGCTGGTTCGAGCATGTGTCTTGCCTGGCCCGTTGCCGTCGAAGACTCGGGCGATGGTATCGACTGGACGCTGGGCACCCCGTTCCTCAAGAACGTCTACAGCGTCTTCTCGTACGGCATCAATGGCGTGCAGGCGCCTCTGGTCGGATTCCTGCCACTCCAAGACGGGGAGAGCAAGGACACGTCCGCAGTGCCCACTGCCATTACCGCCGCATCCCTCACAGCCACCATCCAGACCACCTTCCCCAACCAACTCCTCACCGGTCCCAACTACCCGACCGCGACGTACGCCTTCTCCACCCCGATGCCAACCACCGGCGCCATCCAGACCATGGGTCTCGCAAATGCGTCCATCTACGCCGTATCCGCCGTGCCCGTCGTGTCGCTCCAAAGCGCCAACGCCAGCGCCAGCTCGGCAGTGCCCATCGGCTGGCCCGGAGGCAGCAGCGACCGGACTGCCAGCTCGGCGGTGGGTGCTGTCCTCGGCATCAATGCCGCACTGGTGGTGGCGCTTCTCGCTGGTGTCAGTGTGGCAGTCTGGGTCTAAGGAAGGGTCCAACACATCTCCCACCACCACCTACCGCATATCTCCTGTAATCCCTCTGTTGTGTACCGTGTCATTGCTAGCATTGGACATTTGAAGTAGAAATTTGACGAGGGCCACTAGGGCGTAATGCAGAAGCTTTCCCATGGCCCATGGATCAGTCGTTTCGCCTTCCTCACGTGGTTGCGCCCGGTGCACTAGTGCACTCCTTTCCGCGGCGGACGAACCTCACACACTCTTCTTCTTCTTCTCTTCCCACCTTTCTTTGCAGTCGCGTAGACACTGTTGTCTCATCCAACAATGGCCTTTCGAGACAGATTTGATGAGGACGGAGCCGAGTCCCTTCGTGAACGTGTGAGTGCAGTTCTCGTCCGTCCCGCCCGATGGAGGTCCTCCCTCGAACGAGGTCCTCCCTCGAACCCACTCAGCTGACTGGACCAGGGCAACACCCTGTTTGCCCAAGGCCGCTGGTCGGAAGCCATCGCCCACTACACCAAGGCCATTGAGCTGTACCCTCTCGACGACAGGGCGTGGTCTAACCGCTCCATGGCGAACATCAAGCTAGAGAGGTGCGCTCCATTCCACAAGCGACTGCTGACGGGGTAGGTGGGAGGACGCGGAATTCGACGCCACCACCGCGCTCTCACGTGGTGCCACCACAAAGGCTCTGTATCGTCGGTGCTTGGCGCGTCACAAACTTGGTCGTAATGAGGCTTCCTATAGGGATCTCAATCGCCTCCTCGACTCAGACCCAAAGCGACGTCAGCAACTCATTGACTCGGACCAACCGCACCTTCGGCAGCTCCTTGAGGTCGACGCAGTATTCAACCTTGCACTGCAGGTATACATGGCTTTCAAAAGGTCTGCTACCCCAAAGCCAGCTCTTATATCAGACCCGCCAGTGGTAATCGATTACAGCGCCTACCCTCATATCCTCGATGGCATCATCCAATACGCCGACCCCGAGGTCCGCGTTGCGTTGCGCCAGACGTGCCGCAGTCTTCGGAACCGTTTGCTTGGCATCAACTTGCACGTCGAAATCACAGCCTCTCCGAGCAACTCTCAGGAGCCATACCTTGACTTTGTACAAGCACAGCCATTGGGTAATTCGTTTCGCCGCTACCTAAAGGACACACTCCTACCATCAACGCCAGAGGAGCGCAAGAAGCGGACCACACTTGATCTCAGTCTCTCTGGCGGTCGTCGCCACGATCTCCGTGGTGTGGTCGACAGCGATTTGCTTGAAGCACTTGTGGTGACAACGAACACAGTCCGCATCAGAATGGACGACAAGGGATTCTCTGCCGATAGCAACATCTTCCTCGACAAACTCGAGTTTCTAACCGCCGTCGTATTCCCCACGACGGACCCGCTGGCGCATGACATTTTCGCAGTCCGTGGCGGGCCAATGCTTCTCAACCTCCCGGTAACGGTCACCCGTCTTGTGTACCCGCTCGCTACACCGTCCCCTACTCAACCTTTGTGTCTCCCTGTACACTGGCCTCGGGAGCAGGAGCGGATAAAGGCAGTCGCCATGCACGACTGCGAGTGCAGCCACCACATGCCGCATGCTGAGCGCGACTTCGTCATCGTCTGTCCGACAGTTGAGAGGGGCATTGACGCCAATACCTCGAGGAACTGATTACCTCTGGGTGGACATCTACAGTCTTGCCGTTGCTGGTATTCTCTGGGACCCTCGTCACGTCAAGATTGTCAACATTGCCGGCGTCATCCCACTCCTTGCGGCACAAGTGCAATGCACGGCGACCGTGCCCGTCAACACCGTGGACCTCGAAATCGTGTTCAAAACAGCGCTCAAGGACAAAATCTGGGAAGGCGTGGACGCGAGGACCACCGAGTACTATCAAACACCCGCCTCGCTGATTCTCAAGGAGCCTCCGCCTTCAGCAGAGGAGGGACTTCGCAAGATCCAGTTTCTCACCAAAGACGAGTATTGTGCAGAGCTCAAGCCAGGAGAGTGGGAGGAGCAGACTGTGGAGGTCATGCCCGGATTCAAGTAGTTTGTGGTAGTAGCCGGCTCAAGCGGATGGTTTGCCTGTGAGACAGACCCACAACGAAGTAGTCTGAATTGTCGAGGAGAGAATCGAAGCATGTGCTTGTAAGATGTGACCTTCTTGTGCAACCCCGCGCCCCAGAACAGTGACACTGTCCCGTAGGGCGAGTGGAGACGTGTGTAGACATGTATATGCTTGGAAAGGAACTGTTCTACTGAATACTGGGGTGGTGTATTAACCTCTTCAGAGAATTTTGCGCGGTCGTGGCCGGTGAGGTGTACGTGCCACCTGGGGGCCCAACGGCGGCGGCCTCCGCTGCGCAACTCTTTGTGCCATTCACACGTCAACCACCTTGATCCAACACCAATCCCCTCACCATGTCGTCGTCTGCGATAGCGACCTCTCCGCCAGTGTCGGACTTGGCCAAACAGGCATCCGACTCCCTCCGCAACATTGTAAGTGCCAATGCATACACTGCACCTTTCGGTGGTGCTGACGGACACAGGGAAACACTGTGTTTGTCAGGGGCGACTGCTCCGCCGCCATCCGTCTCTACACCGCTGCCATCGCCGCCAACCCCGGCGACAGCCAAGCATGGTTGGAGCGCTCCTTGGCCCACCTCAAGCTTCAAAAGTGAGAAATCTTGTGTTCGAGATACCGCTGTCTGAGACGTACCCTGCTCACTCAACAACAGCTGGGCCATGGCTGAGTTTGATGCCACCAGCGCAATTGACCTGCAACCCAGCGACATTGCCTACTGGCGTCGTGCGGGCGCTCGCCAGTTAATGGGACGCCTGGAGGGCGCCAAACGCGATATCAATCAAATTCTGCTCAACACTCCGTCCCATGAACCAGCGCTCTGCAGGCTTCGCGAGATCCAGGACGCAATCCATCAACGTTCTTTGTCTGTGTCCCACCCCATCACCGTCCTCGACCACACGGCGTTGCCACACATCCTAGACTTGGTGTTTGCGTATGCCGACTCTACCGCTCGCTTCCGCCTGTCCCAGACGTGTCGAGCTTGGCACCAGCGCTACACGCGTCTGTGCCACCACAGCGAGGTGACGGTGTGGTCTGACAAGCGCGGGGTTTTCGCCGAATTCACCCAGCCAGCGCCCCTCGGCAGAACATTCCGCGTGTACTGGGACTATCGAGTGCGTCCCAAGACTCCAGACGAGCGTTTCGCTCGTACCATGAGTATCGCCTCCATCGTCCACGTCCATTGCGCCGACACTCGTGGCAACCTGCCCCTCGAAGTCGTGACGGACTTCTGCTACCACACGGCAGTACTGCGAATCCGACCAGACAAGAATGGCCGCTACCCCAATGGAGATATCGACCTCTCTACGAACGAGCACCGCAAGGTCGTCATTTTTGGTCCGCCAAACCTCGAACAGGGCACGACAGTCGACATCGGTCTTGATCCGCCCAGTACTGTCACCCGGCTGGTGTACCCCATCGTTGTTGACGCCTGTGGCGATGCTCTGACCCGCCGGACAACACTGTGGCCGAACCTTTACTCCCGATTTGGCCGTCCATCGGCGCCTAAAGTCCAAGCCAAATGCGAGCTAGTCGTCATCTGCCCGACCTTCGATAGCCGCCTTGCCTACACTCAGGAGCAAGCTGCCGTCGTGGTGGCCATTTTGTGTAATGCAGGTAGCCATGGACTCGCTTGGGGAGCCCACACGGTCAAAATCGTCAACATTGAAGGCTGTGCACCACTGTGGATGCGCCGCAAGGAGGGCGAAATGGCTGCTGCCGCGTTCAGCGCCGATCATCACCTCAACGATGTGGACAGGCGGACAAAGAGGGCCGCAGTGCTCAAGACCAGCCTCGTCACCCACATCAACGCTGCACTGAGGAGTTTCGAGGTCCAGCACCTGTTGGACAACCCCCGCCACCGCTTCAAGCGCCCTCCGCCCGACCCAGACGCTGCCATCGCCAACATCCAGTTTCTTACCGAGGACGAATACCGCGCGACACTCAAGCCTGGAGAGTGGGAAGAGGAGACCGTGGAAGTGTTTCCCGGCTTTGAGTAGACGTCGCGAGAGGGATGTAGTGGCGAAGACAGTACCATTCATGTGAACTGGTGGCGCGGGTGGGGTTGTGAGGACGTGTACCAATGCATACATGTGTCATGTTCGCGGGCTCTTGATTGCTGCAATGCGGGGTATGGGGCCCGTGCGTACCGCCCGTGCTACACAGCGTACACAGCACAATGGTTCAATGCAACGGCTGCACGGTGCCATGTTACATCTTGCTCCCGTCTGATGGATTCACACACTGCCTCGCACATAAACGGGGATACCTCGAGTATCTTCATCTTCACCCAGTCATCTTCTTTCCACAGTCACTTGGAATCACCACTGCTTCATACTCATGCCCGACAGCAACAAGGTCATCTCGGCCAAAGCGCGTGAACGAGTGGGTACAGAGCTGTGCTGGCGCGCATTGTGTGTTAACGGCCGTGGAGGGCAACGCCGAGTTTGCTCGTGGCCATTGGAGCAAGGCCGTCATCAGCTACATCGGGGCCATTGACCATGACCCCCTCGACGACAAGCCTTGGTCTAACCGAGCCCTGGCCCATATCAAGTTAGAACAGTATGTACATATGCCCCACTTCCCTCCCGACGCAACTGACAACACAGGTGGGAACTGGCCGAGTTTAGCGCCAGCACCGCTCTCTCCCTTGGTGCGACTGGCAAGGCTCGTTACCGTCGGGCCCTCGCTCGGCATAAACTGGGCCACCACCAAGCGCCCAAGAGAGACCTGTCGCACCTACCGAAATCTGAACCAAACAAGCTCGACGAAATCCACAAGCTCCGCATTGAAGTCGACCAAGCCATGCTCGCCCAGCCTCCGCCAGCAGCCATCCCCTCCGTAGCCGTGCCCATCGACCACTCGGCGTATCCTCATATCATTGAGAGCATCGTTTGCTATTCCGACCCACAGACACGTATCGCTCTTCGGCAGACGTGCAAGGCATTGGATAAACTCATCCGCAAGGCCAACTGCCACCTGGACATCGTAGCGCCGCCTGGTGCCATCAGACAGCACATTCAGTTCCAACCTCAGCCCATGGGCCGGACCTTCTGCTCGTGGCGCAAGGACCAAGTCCCTCCCCGAACACCTGAGGCGGGCAAGGAAGAGACGTATCGTCAACTGGTCATCAACGATTGTCGTCGCTTTGACCTGCGCGGATTGGTCGGTACCAAACTTCTCGACCAGGCCATGGTCATGAGCAACACGGTCAGAATCCGAAAGGATCGCAAGGGACACTATGCCAACCGCGACATCGACTTGGCCCGGCACAGTATGCAGACGGTCGTTGTCTTTCCCACTGCCCACCGACAGCCAATCAAAGGACGCAGAAAGATGGATGGCCACCACCTCTATCTTTCCCAAACTGTCACACGCGTGGTGTACCCCCTGGTGTGGGGATCTGTGCAACAAGGCATCTCATTTGCCGTCCATCTCCCAGCCGGAAACGGAGAGAGGGATCCGCCCACGGCTTTTACAGCGATGGAGACATACGTCGACGATGACTACAACCCCGAGCTGGACATCGTAATCCTTTGCCCAACTGTTGAAAGCACCCAACAGACAATCTGGCCGACTCTTGAATGTGGAATCGCCAACGAGATGTTGACCCGAATTGACCTGGTTATCCTCGCGGGCATTCGCTGTGGAGCGCGTTCTGTCAAGATTGTGAATCTGTCCGGAATCCTCCTAATGCTGCTCCATGGACGCCACGGCAAAGACGCGCCGACTCCATCGACGCTTTGGGGAGACGAGGCCAAACGGCAATTTCACGAATCGCAGATGGAGGATCACATCAGGAAGCATCTCCGACTGTGTCTGAGCATGCTGTCGGAGCAGCACCAGCAATCCCTTCCGGACTGGATGCGAGGTGGCGTAGCACAGTGGGTCGAAAGCCGAGTCAACAAGCTGCGGTTTCTCACCATCAACCAATACCGCGCCACACTCAAGCCCGGAGAGTGGGAGGAGCAGACAGTGGAGTATTTGAATGGTTTCATGTAGCGGGTAGGTCTGTCCAGCTGGACGGAGTGCCCCCTACCCAATCTGTGAGAAGTTACGGCGCCTGCTGAGTATAGTGTAGTTGATTGTCCATACATAGTGTGTATACATGCATGTCATGTTCAATACCAAATGATGCCTTCATTCACTCGTGAACCTGGCTGCAAATTAACGAACTCAGCAGCCTTTACCCTCAACCAAGTACCAGATGGCTGTTGCAGTGACAGCATATTGGGGCTTCGGCGAACTGTGGCGTTTCGAATTTACACCTTTTTCGGCGATTTTCAGGAATTAATTGCGCCAACAGCCCGTACGTCCCGGACTCTGCAGGTGCCAAGTGTGCATTGTACATGCTCAGTGATCAGTTCCGGAGTTCACTTCCTTGGTGTCGGATTTCAATGATAGATAGAATTCAAGTAGCTGACCTCTGGCCGCTGGCCGGTGTGTACTCACGGATGTATTTCGTCTCTGCGCCCCTCCACGCTGGCACCGATGGTCACTTCCCATGTTCCCACAGGGCAAGACCAACCCCCGCACCAGCATCCTCGATTCACCCACCATCCATTCTCTTTCATCTGTCATATTGCGTCCCTCCTTATGGTCAGCAATCGCCACTTCGATCAAGTAGCCGGCGGCACGGCCCGGTAGCAGGTGGGCTCGCTGTTACTGTATCTGGGTTCTGCAAAGCTGACGCCGCTGAAGGGCAACACTGCATTCGGAAAAGGACGCTGGGAAGAGGCACACAAGTGCTACACGGCCTCTATCCATGCTTATCCACTCGACCACCGCACTTGGTCGAACCGCGCCATGGCTAATCTCAAGCTCCAACGGTGAGTGCTGCGGGGGAAGCCTGTGTTGGGAGACTCGCTCGAGCTGACTGTACAGGTGGGAGGAGGCAGAGCTTGACGCTTCCAACGCCGCTCAGCTGGAAACGACCTACAAGGCCTTTTATCGTCGCGCCCAAGCCCGTCTCAAGCTTGGACATCCTGAAGCGGCCGAACGCGACGTCAAGCGGGTTCTCGATATGGCCCCCAAGAGCGAAGAATCCACTGTGCGCAACCTCTCGGCGGAGGTCCAACAGCTGCTGACCGCGCCTCAGCCTTCCTCGAGCCCATATTTCAAAGTTACAATTGACTACTTGTCGTATCCCCACATTTTCGAGGGTGTTTTGTCCCACGCCAGTCTCGAGGTTCTGGTGGCCCCACGGGGGACCTGTCATACCCTACGGACCCGCGTTATTGAGACTTCCGGTTACACCGAAATCACCACCAACTGCAAGGACAACTGGGATCAGTCGTGTACTGTAATCGTTCAGTGTTCCGCGCGGGAGGACTTGTCCCATGTCTCTTACGATGATTGGTCTACCCCACCCATGACATTGTCCGCCAGATCCGAGAGAATGGCGCTCGCGCTCGCCTGTAAGACAGCTCGGATTGTGGACCTCTGCGGAACCGTTCCAGATGCCCTTGTCAAGCTGGTATCAGTGGCCGAGGTGATCCGTACACGTGTCGACCACGACGGCCTCTACCATTCAGCCAACCTCGACCTTACGGATTGTCGACCTCGCAAGGTTGTTGTCTTCCCCGCGACCCATAAGCACTACCACACTCACCAGGAACCGATATCGCAGGTTGTCAAACTACCAACGACAACTACCCGCCTTGTCTTCCCTCTGGGTCTCTATCGCGAGATTGACGCCACAACAGCCGGTGTCATGTCGGCGCCCATCTACCCTGTCCAGCTTCGCAACTTTGACGTTACCTCAACACCGACTGTATCAAACCCCCAGTGTGACCTGGTGATTGTATGCCCCCAGATAATCACCATGACACCGGTGGGATGGAATCGAACAATGTCAATGGATGACGCTTGCTCAGCGGCGAAGAATCTCCAAGTGCAGATAATGGGTCTCGTTACCTCCGGCATTGTCTGGGGAGTGCGCACCGTCAAGATTGTCAACATAGAAGCTGTCCTGAAGCTCGCCAGGCTGGTGCTGCGAGCCCAACATGATCCTAATGTCAATGGAAACGACCCTCTCGGCGAAACGCCAGACACCGAGGAGGTGGCCATGCTTCTCCCCGAGTTTATGTTTTACGTCGCTGGGTTTGCCTGTGAGAAGATTCAACAATTCCGGAACGCCTACCACCTGAGAATACCTCACCTGTTCAGGTCCTTTTCCCAAATTCCTACCCATGACGAGGTAATGGACAAGATACAGCTCTTGTCTCTCACCGATTACCGTTCCTCCCTTGAACCAGGCGAATGGGAGATCGAGACAAAGGAGGAGTTGGCGGGACGCGAGTAGCATGGGCAGGGTTCCTCGATGAGCGGCAACTACGTATTCTCTTGTGTCATGCACTCCGTAATTGTGCACAAAAACGACAACAGCAGTATATCTCTTTGGCATTATGTTACCTGAAGTTTTTACCCCAAGAAACGCATGTAGCGGTCAATGTCGCCTCGAAAGTGATCCGTTTGGTGGGATCGTGGGACGCCTAGGTGGGTGACACCTGGGGATGCGGCCACGGATTGCTGCCGCTGCGCCCTTCTTCTGCGTGGCCACTTTTGCCACCACATCCAAACACTCCTTCTCCATCACCCATAATCGTCTCATCACGCAACAGAACTTCTCACCAATCTCTCACTCTACCCTTTTGGCCCCAGTCACGGCCGTGTACCCTTGGCATACTTGAGCGACTTATCCAAGTACGACCGCCATGTTGCCGGGGCAGCGCATTCAGCACTGCAACGACGTTAATTGTTGGTGCCAGCACGTCGACCTTCACTACATCCCCGAGCGCAAGGACAAGGACAGTTCAGCGGGAGCCCGCGAGTCCGTATGTACATCTTTGGGACATCTGTTTTCCAGGAGCTAACACCAGACAGGGCAACGACGCCTTTGCGGCCGGCGACTGGAAGGAAGCCATCCGCTGGTACACGGTGTCCATTAAGGCCAAGCCCAATGACCACCGGCCTTGGTCCAACCGTGCCCAGACGAATCTCCAGCTTGAACGGTAAGTAATACGCTTCCAGATATGGGGTCGCAAATTGACTGATGTTGCAGTTGGGAGGATGCAGAGTTCGATGCGTCCACTGCTGCCCAGATCGCCCTGATCGAAGGCGAGGCTCCAGACAAGTCCTACTATCGCCGTACCCAAGCTCGTTTCAAGCTCGGTCACCTTGAAGCCGCCAAACGCGACATGAACCGTCTCCTGAAGTCGAACCCCACGCAGCAGCAAGCGGTTCGCAAGCTTGCCGAGATTGAGGAAGCCATTCGTCTGCGCCCGGCCGATTCGAGCCCAGCCACGGAAGCCGCGTCCACCAAGTATGTGCTCGATCACACCTCCTACCCCCATGTCCTCAAGTGCATCATTCTCCACGCAGCTCCTCAAGTTCTTCTTGCGTTGCGTGCCACATGCCGCACTCTGCGTGACCTCATCGCCTCTCCAGCCACCCACGTCGAGATTAGTGCGGACAGCAATGTGTACAATCACGAGGACATGTCTCAGATTTTCAAGTTTACCAAGATATTCAAGACGACAATCACCCAGTCCACCCCACCAGGCTCCACCCACACCTCGTATGAGGGTTGGCAGGACCCCGCTACTTCAATCCTTGCCCGCCAGGAACGCACCATGTTTGAACTTTGCTGTCTGAACGCTCGTGTCGTAGACCTCCGTGGACACGTCCCCCAAGCCCTTCACCGTCTCTTCCCCAACCACGAGGTAGTGCGCATCCGGACCGACAAGAACGGCGACTATCCCCACCAACAAGACTTGAGCCTTATGACCTCTGGCTCTAAGAAGGTGGTCATCTTCCCTGGAATCGCCAGACCGGAGACGGACGGTGGTGGGGCAGAGGTCCGCATTGACCTGCCTAAAACTGTCAACCGCATCGTTTATCTTCTGGACGTGTTTACCCCAAACGCGAGTACCCCGGAATTTCTTCCAGTGGAAGTCCTTCCGTCTCCTGAACAGTTCAGTCGTCTTGGCTTTGGAAGGCACACCTTTGACACGGTTCTCAACATGGACCCGTCGGCCCCCATTCATCGGCAGCGCGACGTCGTCCTCATTTGTCCCACCGTCGCCAGCACTCCTGAAGTTAAACGCCACATTGATCTCGCTACTCTACTGCTGTGGAAGAACATTGTCGGCATTACCATCACGGGACTTGGCTTGGGATCTGAGCGGATCAAGATTGTCAACCTCGAAGGCGCCGTGCCCTTCTTCATTCACGCGGCACGTTACAACCCCGGCATTCTTCCCCGCTTTCCTGGCCGCGTCTCCAGGCCTGAGCCATTCAAGGACAACCACTTTGGTCCTCAAGAGCGCATGTTCGTTCTGCAGGCCTTCCAGCGCTTCATCAAGGACAAGGTCTTTGAGCTTTACCCCACACTGGCCGAACGCATGAACTCCTTACTCCACACACGTCCTTATGCGCCGTTGACCCAGGAATCCCTCAACAAGATCGACTTTCTCACCGAGGAGGAATACCGTGGCGCTTTGAAGGCGGGAGAGTGGGAGGAAGAAACGGTCGAGGTCATGCCCGGCTTTATGTAGTCTGTCGACTTCGTGATGGTGGCCGCAATGTTGGCCCAGTTTGAATTGGAGTGAAGGAAGGGTCTTCAAAGGCCAAGACCAGTTTATGTAGTACCGGCAACGTGGCCTGAAGCAGTCTTTTGTAGTATAACTTGCGCTTGACGTGCGCCTATGCATTCCATTGTGAACTACATCTGTACTCATGTACATGTGCAGAGTAGAAGTAAACTCGCATACCGCCTTCATATTCAGTCCTTCTTGAACCAGACCTCACAGGCCTCCTCGACCCCCTCGATCACAATCGGTTTCGTAGGCACTGTCGAACCCTGTCCCCATATACCCCATGCACCAATGCCATCACCTGTAACGACCACCGGGGCGGGTCCCAGGACGGTTGAGACGTTTCCACGGACGTACATGGCCGTAGCGTTGAAGAAGTCGCCATCGAAATGGGTGAACACGAGCTTTGAGCCAAAGAACTTGTTGATATCAGCCACCCAAACGGGACCGGTCAAGTTGATGGGGAGGTCGGGGCCAACAAAGAGCGGGGTGTAGACTGGGTCTGTGGCCATGGCAGTGGCATTCATGAGGGTGAGGTTGACAGTACCGTACCCGGCGTCTGTGTACGAGCCGGCAATTGAGTCAAACGGGACACTGGGCGGTGTGACGTTGACGGCTGGAGGAGATGGGTAGGCCGAGATACCAAAGGAAGGAAGTGACGCTGCCAAGACCTCCTGAGACCAGTCAATGGGCTCCAAACCCAGAAGTTGGTCCACGATATGCCAGCAAATGTAGTCTGTAATACTGCTTGCGCCGTTGGTGAGGACAGCCACAGCCACCCCCGCATCGGGGAGGCGCATGATCTCGGACGCAAAGCCTGGCACCGAGCCGGTATGGTACACGACGGCGTTCCCGCGATACGAGTAGCTGAGTTGACCGTACCCGTAGGTCTGCTCGCCCATCACCTGGGAGCCAGGTCCGAGGCCCATAGATTCACGACCCAAGGACACGTCCTGGACAATGCCCGCGGGGAGCACCGCTGGTTGAAGAAGCTCGCGGAGCCACAGCGCCATGTCGGCCGCAGTCGAGGCGACAGCGCCTGCACCCCCAAGGACGCTCACGTCGGAATCGGCAAACCATCCAAGCGACTTGGGGTTGCCAAAGCACGTCGGGTCAATGGTGCCCTGCGAGGACACGTAGGCCTCGTAGCAGTGGGTAAGGTTGACACCCGTGTTCTGGAACCCGTCCGCTGCGTGTCCGGTACCCAGGACGGTCGTAGAGTTGTAGTACGTCTCGTTCATTCCTATCGGGGAAAGAATGTGGGTTTGGACAAAGTTCGCAAAGGGTGTTCCCGAGACGCGCTCTACTACTAACGCCAGGGTCATGTAATGGAAGTTGTTGTACTGGAAGGCCTGTCGGATCTCAGTGGACGGCCGGAGGTTGCGCATCATTGCCACCACCTCAGACATGGTAGCGTCGGCGGCGTATGACAAGTCGTGGCGTGGCATTCCCGAGCGCATGGTAAGGAGATCGGTAACATCTACGTGGGTCGATGCGTAGCTGTCCTGGAGCTGCCATTCGGGCAAGATGTCCGCAATCTTGGTCGCAAAGCTGAGCGTACCGTTCCCGCTGGGAAGGACGGTTTGGTTGGCGATGAGGAGCTCAATGGCGAGGGCAGTGAACAGCTTCGAGTTGGAGCCTAGAGCAAAGATGGTGTGTTCGTCCACTGCCTTGCCGCCGGCCGTGGCGTTGCCAAAGGAGAGTAACTGGCTCGCCCACGACCCGTTGTTGCTTCCAAACGTGGGGGCAGTGACTACTGCAATCGCGACACCGGGGATAGCATATAGGCTTTGGAGTCCCTGGATGTAGGCGGTAGTGTTGGGACTGATCAGCTCAGCCGTGGACAGAGACCTGGTGGACTTGATGTTCACCGGCTCTAGAAGTGGGTGGGCAGCTGCAAGGAAGATTTGGGAAAGGAGGACGGGTACTGTGAAGAGAACCATGGCAGAAGGCGTGTGGTGTGGGAGCTTTGCTTTGCGGAGGAACTTGGATCCTTATATGCACTATCAGTAGATGATGCAGCGGTGATGGAACCCCGTGCAGGAACACCTGCACTGCACCGCTGCCAAGAAGGCCCATCTCGGGGTCTTGTAAATCCCTCATCAGTAACCAGTAAGCGCAGGGGATGGATACCGAGCCGAATAGGAACATGTCGGTGAAGCATACATGGTTCAGGTATACGCTCGCGGTGCGCGAGGGTTGAACTTGGCTTGGCTTTTCAATCGTCAGACAAACCCGGATCATGAGTGTTCCGCGCCGGCTTGCAGGAACAGGAATGGGGGATGTGGGTCTCTTGGGTACCGAGCGGAGCCGTGGCTTGGACTGTTCTCAGCACAGCTCCAGAATGTTCCTTATTCTACTCTGCTTATTTCTCAGCCAGAAGGGCACTTTGGCATCAAAAGAGGAACGTGCGGCCCTTTCGTCTTCACGATGATTGGTATGTGAGTGTGGACGGCGTGTGGACGGCATGAGCGAGTTTGACGTCTTCAAGCATGATGGTTGGCGGAGGGACGATGGCTCACCGAATCATGGAGGCAGTGCTGGCCGTTTGAAGCCCATCGCCCCTTCCGTGCTGCAGTAAAGTACTCCGTGCCGTCCGACACTCATGCGCTTACCGGTGTAAGTCCTGCATGGTCAAACCGTTGTCCGTCCTTGTCCTGATGCATAGGAGCACTTGAGAGACCCAATCCCCCGCCGAACTCCACCCCACGGGTACACAGCCCATTAAGTCGCCGGCTTGCGATGACATCATGACAGCTGTCGGCCCGGTCCGAAGCTCCAGCCCAGCCAAACTGGTCAGGCGAGCTGGTGTGAGCGACGTCTGCATCCTCCTTCTCCATCTCCCTCGATTCTCATCGACCCTATTTCATCAGCAGCAACGGAAACATGGTGAGTCGTGCGAACACATGGGCGAGTGGGCGGGGGGCTGACAGCGCAGTCGAGCAAACCCATCAGTGTCGTGAGTCGGTCCATCGGCTACCTTTGCAGAGGTCATCGACACCTCAACATTCTCCCCTCTCCTATCCCAGCTCACATCCTTCCCCAGATGGCAGCAGCCTCAACCCTTGGAGGTATAGCTGGATACACGGCCGCCCGCTCCGTCCCTTCCCTCCTCGGCGGTGTCGGTGTTGGCGCCGTGATGGCCATTTCTGGCATCAGGATTAAGGACCAGTTGCCGGGTGGTTTCGAGCTTGCGTGTGGGAGCAGCGTAGTCATGATGGTGCCGATGTTCAGGTGAGTGGAACGTGGTGTGCGGAAGGAGTCGTGTTCGTCACTTTGGCCAGAGGAGGGAAGACCAAAAGGGAAGACGGGGGAAGGCGCCTGCGGAGAATGTCGTCGTGGCTGGCGCGGACGTCGGGGACGTTGGGTTAGGCAATGGCACGAACCAGTGTAGATGATAGAGATGACTTACTGACCCATTCAGGCGCGCTGTCAAGACCCGCGGCCCGATCCCCATCACCATGGGCCTCGCGGCGACAGCAAGCGCTGTCTACTACGCCAAAGCTGTCTTGGACCGTCCCAAGTAGCGAGACCCGGGGGGGGGGGGGGGGGGGGGGGGAGGAGCAGGCGGACAAGGCATCGAAGAGTGGAGGCTACCGCAGAGAGGGCCAGGACCAGGCGGACCAGGCGCAGCAGTTCGTTAACAAACACCGTGCACAGCATGTGACAGACAGGTAGCTGAACGTGGAAGGACAGCAAGGTCGAGGAGACAGTCACACCACAATGGGCACCTTGGAGCCCACGGGGATGACCTGCAGTGAAGCAGTGTCCGATCTAGACATGTAGTATGAGAAGTGCAATGCAAATATGTAGTATGAGGATTGATTGTCTAATCACAACGCTGCCATGGGCTTGCTCGGAGCATCCTGTCCCGTTAACGCTACCCAGTTCCTAGCACTTACTCTAACCATAAAGCTGACCCGATGACCGGGAACGAGCCTCTTGCCCTCCCACACGCTTCCTTCGTGGTCATACCCAAGAATAGAGTGCTTGTAACCATACCTCACCACTCCCTTCTGGATGTAAACCGACCCACTGGGGATATACACATCCCATCCACTGCCAATGTCTTCGCCCTTCTCCTTCTCCAGCCTCAACACTCTGGGTGCGCCAAGCGAGGCGCCGACGATAGTCTCGCCCATGGCATCGAGGTTGTCGAGATGCGGCAAAATGGCGCCGTGAGGAGCCAGGTGGAGCACGTGGGTGGAAGAGGATTTTGGTGGTAGGTCCGCTAGGGTAGCATTTGGGATGAGGGGGATGGAAGGGACGAGGGAGTACAGGCGTGAGAGGATTGCGGCGAGGGAAGATTCGGCTGTTGGGGGTAGAGACGTGAGGAGGGACTCGCGATAGTCGTGGATGACACTGTCAAAGTGGCCCTGGAGAGTCCGTCAGTGCATGGCGCCTATACGGGGGAGGAGACCGCGTTATATCTGGATACAGCAAAAGTAGCTGAAGGCACACGCGCACAACCCACCTCCTCGAAACCGTAGTTACCCGAAAAGAGGTCTTGCAAGGGAACGTCACCGGCAGGATCAGCAGTTCCAGCGACCGCCGGCGCAGCTGCTCCCCTCCTACTCCTTTTCCTACGTGTAGGATCCGACCTATCAAGCTTCCACAGTGCGACTTCCAGCAAGCGCCGTGCGTCGGTCGCGTTGAAGAAGTCGGGAATGATCGCAAAGTCAGTCTCCAGGGAAGCCGGGAGAGCAGTCGCGGCTGCTGTCGGGCCGCGCGCCCGGATCAACGGCGACGGTGCCGTGAGGACGTGTCTTTGGAGGGACTGCCGGAGACGGAGTGTCGCCCTCATGTCGCGTGTGAGGGAAGAAGGAATGTGGTGTGGAAGGGGAGAGGATGTTGGTGGGTGAGGCTCGTGGAAATCCGGAATTGTTGACGGCGACGAGATGACGCGGACGGAACCAAATACACAAACACACTAAGGCTGCAGCCGAGCTCATCAACACGGAGCAGGTGAGCCGCTGTTGGTATCTCTTGACCGGCGGACAATGGTACACCGCTGCGATGCGCAACATGCAAATAGGCTGCAGACAGGTCATCGTGTTGCTTTATTTTGTGAACGGTGGTGACCTTCATCGGCCTGCTCCGTGCTGGACGTTGTTGTCGAGCCAACCAACGTCGCTGAAGATGGCGTCACCGTGCCTCCACCTTTCGTGCGGGAGTGATTACCGAGCATCCTTAACGATGACAAATCCCAGACCTGACCATTACAATAATTGTCTAATCGATCATCTTAATCCCCCACATGGGCGCTAATCCCGATCGCCGGGCCGAGCGGTGACGAGATACGCAGTGTCGCTCATGCCCGACGGCAACCCACATTCTTTCTCCTTCTTCCTCATCCATTTCCTCAAAACCACAGTCCAGTCACCATGTCCAACGACGAGTTCGCAACCTCGACTCCCGCCTCGGCCACTTCCAAGGCTCCCGTCGCGCCCCTCGCCCCCGTCTCGCGCGAGACCCGTCCATCCATTGTGGGCGGAGATGAGCCTGAGCACCCCTACCCTATGGAGCTGTTTGGTAGCGTGACCAAAGGCTTTGGTCGCGGTGCCAGGTTCCTTGGTATCCCCACTGGTAAGTAGAGAGCGACGGAACGCAAGCTTGTCGACCGATGGGCAGCCTGGTTGTGGTTTGTGTTAGTGAAGGGTCCGGCCCATTCCGCGATATCGCTATCTGCGGTGACAACCAACCTTCCACAACCTTCATGCCTGCAGCGCCCCGCTCTACATACGGACTGACACCCGCAGCCAACCTTCCCGACTCATCCCTCGACCCCCTCAACGACCTGGGCATGACGGGAATCTACTACGGCTTCGCTCGCGTGCACCCTACCTTCTCCACCCCACTGCCGACGGCGGCCCCAACCCCGGCCCTCACCCCGCGCTCGGTGACTCCGTCCAGCTCGAACGCGGCTCTGAGGGAAACCCTCGTGGGTCACGTCAACGCCCAGGCTGCAAGCATCAACGCCGCCCGTGCCGCTGGCCGTGATGTTCCCGGGGGAAGCTACCACCCCAAGAACCCGCGTTCGCTCGCGTCCAACCCGCTCACGGCTGAGGCGATCCAGAGCCTGCCCGCCCACACAGCCCCTTACCCTCCTGACTCCGTGCCGGCCACGCCTGGTGAGGGGGGCGAGGTCAAGGTTGTCCAGCGCCGTTTGCCTGATGACGATGGAAAGGTGTGGCCAATGGTCATGAGCGTCGGCTGGAACCCGTATTTCAAGAACGAGAAGATCACCGCGGTGAGTACTGGCGGGGTCCAACGATCTTTGATAGTCCCCTGAGAAGCTCGGGAATACCAGTCCAGAGTGTTTGACTGACATCTTTTAGGAGGTCCACATTATGCACCCCTTCGCCCACGACTTCTACGGCCACGACATGAGCGTCCTTATTCTGGGATATATTCGTCCCGAGCTCGACTACGTGTCCAAGGGTGAGTCAGAAACGAGGCGCCCGTGTCTACAATATCCACAGGAGAGAGGCGGAATGCGGTTCTACGCAGTGGCGTGAACATGCGTCCACAGCGAATTCTCAGCCTCCTCCCTTCCTGTTCTACTGGACCACCAAGAAGACCGAGCTGACCCATCACAGATGCGCTCATCGAGGACATCCAGACCGACGTCAAGGTGGCCCTCGCCTCGCTCGCGCGTCCCGCATACGCCGAGTACGCCACCAGCCCATTCTTGACTGGAACCGTGTCAAAGTAGCGGGCCGAGAGCGACAGATCCGGTCACCGGCTGGAATGCGAGAGTGAACGTAGCGAAAAAGAAGCTGGTTGATGCTTGACACGACTGGGCGTACACGACAGTGTGGTGTCGAGGAAGGACGATGTAATGCCAGAGTAGTTCGGGCAGGGCAGACGAGATGTGGGGGCCGAGAATGTGGAAGGCCGGACGGGGACGCAGGGACCAACGGCGTAGTCAACTAGCATACCATAGAGGGGGCAAGGCAAGTCCTTGCCAATACCCATGCATCGGCGTGACGAGTTTCACAGAGGTGGGATGCTGACATTGCCTGTCTGCCATGACTGTGATACTGCTGCTGCTACAGTATTGTACTGCTCTACTCTACATTTGCCCTGTTTAGAGCCACTGCTGCTCCTCTTTGCGTACCGCCGTCCACCGCGCCTTGACCTTTTCCTGTCCGTCGAAACCAAAGCACACCTCATAGGAACCTGCGCTCCACCTCGTGCGCGGTTCGCCCTCTGGCTCAACTGGAGCAGCAGCCTCTTTGCCCTCGTCCTTCTCCACGCCGTCCTTTGTCAAGTCGTCCTTGTTGACCTTGCCCTTCGCCTTGCCATTCGTCGCCTTGCCCTTCTTGCTCTCAACATCCTTGACCTTCTTCTCCTTTGGCACGTAGGTCTGAGACCGGACCCACACAAGTCCGTCCCAGAACTCGCGATACGTCCTCTCCATCAACCGCAATGTGAACTCTTGCGGGTGGCGGAATTTGCCCGGGTTCTCCCTCGTCATGGCCGGACGAGGTCGCTGGAAGGGGTCGGGTGGAGACCTCCCCTTGAACCTTTTGGGCAGGACAGCTTTGAGGCTGCTAGGGAGGAGCATGTACGTGGGCAAGTCGCGTGGGTTGATAGCCGGGTACTCTTTACCAGGCGCCACCGGCGTGTGCTTGATTCCAGCGATTGTGCGGAGTGCCTCGACGACCCCCTTGCCTTCCCAACCGGTCTTGACTGTTGAGGAGGAGGGGAAGACAAGTGGGACCTTGGCATTCTCCCAGTTCCAAGCGGTCTCGTCGGCCACGGCCTTGAGCAAGGCCTTGCGAGTGGGGCGCTTCAGGCGCTCGCCCTTACCTTGAGCAACTGTCTGGGGTCGTGCCGGGAGAATGACTTTGAGCGGGGCGGGAAGAGGCTGGAATGCGCATGGAGGGTACTTTGTTTCTGGGACCTTGACGTCCGAGGGGAGCGGTGGGTAAGTCGTCCCCTGCTTGCCGTCTGCCGAGGTGGTTGGCACGATACCAAAGGCCTCTGGTGGCCAGTCCTGGTCGGGGATAGGGCAGGTTTGGATCACGTTCTGGTCATTTGTTAGCTTGCGACAGGAGAGTTGAAGCTCACAAGTATACGTTCGTGGCGAAGGGTACCGCGCTGTCCGTAACTCCATTCCAGTGTACGTTGGAGGGCGTGCGGGTGACAGGCAATCGTCATACGGACGTGGGCGAGCATCTGGACGTGTCAGCCCGGCCCTGAAACCAAAGCTAACTGTTTGTCCCAGCACTCACAGTACGCAGCTCTTTGACATCTTTATCCCTCCTCCGCAAGTCTGCGCGAGCCTCAGCAGATCGACTGGTCTCGGGACCGATATAGTCTGCGCGATCGTGCACCTGCTGCAAAGGCTTGTAACATTTGACAAGACGCTCTTTGAAGCGCGGGACAAAGTAGGCCCATACTTGTGGATCGGGGATGTATCGCAGGTTCTGAAGGAATTGGCGGTACACTTCTCGCGGCGGCGGGAGAGGCGCGTGCATGGTGAGATGGGTCGTTCTTGTGTATGTTGTTGATGGCGAAATGGGCTCGGCGGAAATATTTGGCTCTCGCTGTCGTCATCGGGTTGACTTGCTAATGGGAATTGTAATTTCCACCGCCCATTCCTAAACATTTACAAATGACATTAGAAAGATGACCTCCACCTGCGTCCACGTGCCGGGAGCTCGGACGCGTTTCGCGTCGACCTGCGGCGTCAAGCGACCCGTCAACAGTCTCACAACAGTCTCACATCTATCCATTAACTCGTCATACAACATGTCCGAACGACGTCGTGCCGAGATTGACGAGAAGCGTGCCAAACTCGCAGAGCTAAGGCGCGCCCGTGAGGAGCGGCAACGTCTTCTCGCTCAGGCTGAGAAGGGTACCGACGTGAGTAGATAGTTGTCGGACGACCACCATCGTTCTCGCCGCCGCCTGTCAGCTTGACCTGCCTTTATCGACTAAGCTGACGTCTTCAGTCTCCTCTCCTGTCCTCACGTAAAGATGTCAACGACCTAGTGGACTCGCTCCTGTCCCCCTCCCAGCGCCCCACATCACCTTACAGCGCTGGCGCCAGCGCGGCAGGCGGACCCTCCCGCGTGGCCAGCACGGGCATCAGCGCCGTCGGCTCTGCAACTGGAACGGCGAGTGGCCGCATGTCCCCTGCTGCGACCGGGGGCGCACCTTCCGCCCCAGGTACGCCTGGGCGCGCGGCGAGCCGTCTGAGCGAGGCCAGTGGCGCTGAGAGGAGGATGCTTTCTCAAAGCGTCGGCATGGGTTATGCAGAGTGGGTTCAGCTGCTCTGCGCGAATCGTCCAAGCTGACAACCAGTGAGCCGGTCCCTGCGGTCCAAATTGATTATGTGGACCACTACACTGAGGTTTACGACATTCCCTCCAAGGTGAGCTCAGTTGGAATTTTACCTCTATCTAACTGGCAGAAACCCGAGACATACTCCAAGAGCGTGCAGACGACCATGGTCTCGGCTGGCACGTCGCCTGATCCCGAGAGCGACGACGACTTTGGCCGGCGGCGCGGTGGCGGTTCCGGCCGTGAAACTGAGGACGAGCTGCGTGCGCGTATCGTTGCGGAGCTGGATGAGGAGCGTCGCTCCCTCGAGCGCGAACTCAAGGAGCTCAAGGAGAAGACGGACAGCTTGCAGCTTCAGGTCCTGCCTGATGACCAGAGGCAAGCCATCTTTGCTGCTCCCGATTTCAACGCCTTCATCGAGGGCTCGGCGCGTATTGTTCAGCGCGCGTTGAGTGATGGCTACGACTACATCAAGGACTACACCATTGGTGTCGAGGGAGGCTACGACGACGGCGAGGGCCAAAAAGTCAAGCTCGTGTGCGCGTTCTCGGACGAGCGGTGGACGAATGGCCGCAGCGTGACGGACCTGGACTGGTCACCCAAGTTTCCCGAACTCGCCGTCGCGTCTTACAACCGCAACCCATCTGCCCCCAACGACCCGGACGGCATTGTTGCCGTGTGGAACTTGCACCTCCTGGAGCGACCCGAGTTTGTCTTCCACTCGCCCTCGGACATCTTATCGGTCACATTCTCCCCCTTCCACCCTACTCTGATCTTTGGTGGCAGTTACTCTGGCCAGGTGTTACTGTGGGACACGCGTGCCAAGCACCTCCCCGTCCTCAAGACACCGCTGTCGGCCTCGGGCCACACGTACCCGATCTACGCAATGAAGATGGTTGGTACCCAAAACGCCAATTCACTCATCACGTCCTCGACCGACGGACTCGTCTGCTCGTGGCAGACGGACATGCTTAGCCAGCCGCAAGAGGCCCTCCTTCTCACAATTCCTGGTACGCACAACAAGACCGACGAAGTGTCGATCGCGTGTCTCGACTTTGCCGAGAATGAGACTGCGACGTTCTGGGTCGGTACGGAGGAAGGCTCCATCTACCAGGCGAACAGGTACGACCGTGCCAGCGCCAAGGCAGGCCTGAACCCCGACGACGTGTATCGTGGCCACGCGGGACCCGTGACGGGCATCAACTTCCACCCGGCCTCTGGATCCATCGATTTCTCCGATCTCTTCCTCACCTCCAGTGTCGACTGGACTGTCAAGCTCTGGCGCGCCAAGGGTGCCTCGGGCAAGACGGCCCACGGTCACGGTAGCAGCACTGCCGGGGCTGCTGCAGCCGCCGCCGCCGCCTCGGGAAGCAGCATCGCCCCCGTCCACTCGTTCGAAGAGGCCGACGACTATGTCTTTGACGTGAAATGGCACCCTGCCCACCCTGCCATCTTTGGCACTGCGGACGGCACGGGCAAGTTTGACCTGTGGAACCTCAACGCCGACGTCGAGGTGCCCCTCGTCTCCACGCAGGTCTGCTCGCGCGCCCTCAACAAGCTCGCCTGGGACCGGACCGCTGTCCCGCGTAAAGTTGGACTGGGAGGCAGCGACGGTACGCTGTACGTCTACGATGTGGCGGAGAAGGTGGTGCAGCCGAGGGAGAACGAGTGGGGCGACCTTCAGAAGAATGTGCAGAGCCTGGTCGCCAACCGTGATTCCGGTGGTGGTCTGTCTTCTGCGCCTCTCCCGGAGACCAACGCCCGTTATCGTTAGAAATGAGAGACAGTTAGTGTGTTGCGATCCCGCATATATATATTTTATGTTCTATGGATGCATGATGACCAGACGACGAGCCCCGCCCAGCCCACGACATGTAAACTCGGCTGGGACCAACACTAGCCCAGCGAGCTGTATCCACCCCTGCCTGTGGAAGTCCGCACGTTCTGGAACAGGTGGCCGCCGAGGTCAGCCACCAGCGTGGGCAGTTCCCTCCAAAAGTCCCTGTGGGGAACGAGATCCCACCCGCGCGCGCCGTACTGCTGCTGGTTATACAGCGATCCCAGGATCAGGTAGCCGATCAACCCGACGATTCCAAACCAGAACATGAACTTGAGGAAGGACCAGAGACCGAGTCCACCGCCACCTGGGTTTGCGGACAGCGCGCACGCGTCGGGCGTCTTCCATTCCAGCTCTAGGCGGCCGCCGGTGTACGAGAGGAGCGTGGGGTTGGGGTCAGTTGCGGAGGTGTCGCAGAGGAGGGAGAGGTGGACGGATTGCGCGGAACTGGCAAAGTTAGCTAACGACTCAAACACCAAGCTAGCGAACGGTGAAATGGAATAAGGGCACTCTCCACGACGGCGGCGAGCTGGTCGCCAGCGAAGGTGCGAGGAAAACAGCATCAACCGGACCGAGGGGCCTGGTCAAGGGATGGTGAAGCCAGCTAAAACGCGTGCTTCCCAGCTGTACTCACCCAGCATAGTCGTCGCTCTTGATGTCCAGGCGAAGACCTTGCCCCAGAGTCGAGATACGAATGTCCTGGTCGGGCGTGTCTTCCTTCCACAGAGGAATGACGGCCGTCACGCGTTCCTTCTCGCTCGCCGACTCTTTGTGGTTGACTAGCTGGAGACAGATATGGGTGCCATCTGGGCACTGCGAGGGCGTGTCAGTGCTGGCCACTAGAATGGTACACATAAAGGGAGTAATGGAGCCCGTAGGCCACACAGAGGCTAAAAATTGAGGGGGGTGATGGGCAGAACCAACAGCTTGATCTGGTATGCACAAGCTGCTTGTTCTCGCATCGCTCATCCCTCCCTCCGGTCGTTCCTCCTGTCCACCTCTCACCACCGTCGCGCCATCGACACCCTCACAACCACTCACCTGGTCCTCGTCATTCCCCTCATGGTCGACCTTGCCACACAGGTTCATCTTGACCCGCGCCTCCACCGTCGTGGGCGGGGTCTCGGTCGTCTGACTGGTGTGCCGCTGGCCAGAGAGCCGGCCCAGGTCGTACTGCGCCTTTCCGGCGCTCACATCCTCGCACTGCCATGCCGATACGATGGATGGCAGCAGGAGGGCGGAGAGGAGTGGTCGGAGGCGCATGCTTCAATGCGATATGTAGCGCTGGGAAAGAATGGAGCGAATGGAGCAATGTAGAGGTACAGGTGTGGATGGTGAAGAAGCAAGTCGAGCAGATTGGGTGGCAATAGAACGCCGGGCGACGCTCACGTGGCGTTTTGGCGGCATCTCGATGACGCACTTTTGGCGCGGTTTGGCGGGTGGCGGAGGCAACGGGGCTCGAAGGCTCTTGTGGGGTGCTCTTGGGGTGTCATCAATTGCAGTTTTCGCTCGACAGCATGGCCTCAGATTGTGCACACAAGGTCAAAGGATCAAGGGGTATTGGTACATGGGTGAATATATATCTACAGGCCGGCACTGCCGGGAAAATCAAATTAAAGACAAGGAGTGACGGTGAGGACAGACCAGGCTTTTCAGCCAAAGTGGGTCCTCAGGTGGGAGGTTGGTTCGGCCAAAGGAATTGGTCTTTTGTTGGGGTGTTTGTATATAGCGCTGTTACGGTCCGGAAAAGAGAGTGGAAGAAAGGAATGTGTCAATACGAGGCCTCGAAAGAGACTGTTCTAGTTGACGCGCGGAGCAACGGCGTGGCGCACGGCCGTGGGACTGTGGGCGTTGACCTGGTTGTTGCTGCCCGAGTTTTGGAGGTGGGTGCGTCCATTCAGCGACAAGGTAGACACAGATACCGGAATCGTGGGAGCGATGCGGTGGGCGCCGCGGAACCGGGCAAAGAAGTTTGTGCCAGCGTGGAAATCGCGGTCCTTCTTCTTGACGACCCAGTCGGTGCGGATGTTGCCGATGATCGGGAGACGCATGATCGCGGCACCACCCTTGGAGCCGAGGAGGACGGTCGAGTTGCGCAAGTGCGAGGGACGCTGGTATGGCTGCGGGCGCTGGCCACGGAGGACATCGCCGAGAATCACGGCGAGCGCTTCACCCTCTGCGATGCCCGCAATGGCCGTCTTCCAGCCGGGAGTGTTCGAAACGTCGCCAATGGCATAGTACTGGCCGCCAAGGGGAGACTCCTGCGTGCCGGGGCGAACGCGGAAGTACGGGTCGACAGAGACATAGCCGTTGGTGGTGAGTGCTCCCGGGTCGGCAAAGGCGACGAGGGACGCGTTGGGGCGGTTGCCAGTGGGGTTGAAGACATAGTCGGCCTCGACGATGCGGCCAGAGACGAGCGGGATCTGGCACAGGCCGGGAAGGGGGCCAGGCTGACCACCCCACTGGCCGGGCTTCTTCGCTGACTCGAGGTCCACACGGTCCTTGAGGATGAGGCGGACTCCGCGAGAAGTGAGCTGGGACTCGAGTGCGTTGGAGAGCTTTTGCGACGTCTTGGGCGGGACATAGGTGTGGCGCGTGTTGCCGCCACTGTCGGACGGGTGGAGCAGTCCGACGTCCCAGTGGACAATGGTCACCTTCTTGTGTGGGTACATGTCGGTGATCTCGCCGGCCACCTCGATACCGCAACTACCACCGCCAACAATGAGCACGCTCTGGGCGGCCGCAATGTCCTGCTGGGACTGGACGAGGGCCTCCTGCCACTCCTCGAGCGAGGTGCATGGCATGGGGCGGATGGGTGCCGGCGACTGGGCGCCAGTGGCGAGGATACACATTTCGAAGTCGAGCACATCCTGGCCCTCAAACTCCTTCTCGAGCCACACTTGGTTACGCCTCAACTTGACCACAGAGTTGGGGCATACGACGCGGTGTCGGCTACCGGCGGGGAAGACTGTCTCCTGCGTGACCGGCGCCACAAACTGGGTGACATTGAAGCCTAAAGGATCACGTCAGCTATTGTCCTAGAGCTTTTGAAATCCGGTTGGCATGTGGGATGCGTTTACGCAGGCATCCGCCGGTCCGCGTGATCACGTCCGTCCACTCGAGGAACGAGGTATACACTCGCCCATCCTTAAACACGATATGGTGCGAGAGAGATGATGTAGGTCCGACGTATGACTCTGGGTGTGGATACCCTCATCTCGGCCCGGATTACGTCGACGGCCGCCTCTGCGGTTGGGACGACCACGGATCGTGACGAGCCACGCAGGAGCCGGTTGGGTTACATTCCATGGGCCCATTGTGGAACGACATGGTGCCAAGACTAGGACGTCTACAGGCGCTACACGCATGTACGCCTTACACCCGCTGGGTAGATGTCTGTTATGCGGAAGGACGACTGGTGTGCACGGTCACAGGAGCACAGGTGGCGGTGAGGGATGGAAGGAGGTGAAAGGAACCGCGGGTGCCACTTACCGGGGACAACGAGCGCACGGACGACGCAAGAGGCGTGGAAAGTGAAATCGTTACGCTCGACGAGGACGATGCGGTAGCTGGCAGGTAACCTTGGGATGAGCGCATTGACGAGAGTGTGGCCCGCAACAGAGGCTGGCAGTGTCAGCGTACATCATACAGAGTTGAGGTGAAAGAAGCCCAGACTGGCTCGCCGGGGGGAGACTGCGGTCTCGGAGACGACCGGGCCAGGGTCGAACAAGATCTCGTCGGGGCGAGCAGCGAGCAGTTTGAAGGCAATACGCACCACCGATGATGACAATGTTCTTCCACTGGGTGCTTGGAGTGGTGCTGGGGGTGGTCGACTGCGAGATGCTGGACTGTGAGGGACCAGAGAGGCCAGAAATGGACGACATGGTGGTCGAGATCGAAAGAAGTGATGTGGGTGGCAGTTGTGGGTAGTGGTGTCGAGGAGAGGGAGTTGCGACTCTTTCGAACAGAGAAGACTTCGATGGAAAGCAGTGATGTCAGAGAACCAAAGAGCGTAGAGCCTTCGAACAGCTGGCAGTGGGGTAGGGTTGCAAGGTGTGGGGGCAGTGTTGTCGGGGGGTGAGAGATGACAAGTGAGGGATAAACGAACGCGACGAAGATGTGGCTGCTATCTCGTTGGTCTCTTGACGGGGTACGATAGCTTCCATGAACCCCAGACACATTCCCTTGCGCTCAGCGTGTCTTTGTCGCGCGTGTATGTACTACCTTCTCGTTGTCGTCATTCCCTGCCATGCCACTCACTCGAGAAATGGACTCTCCACCCCACAAGCAACAACCCTTTTCCTGCGGGCTTGGGGCGCGCTTTCCCTCTAACACCACATAGCCAGGCACTGCGCGTGGTTGGGTGCACAAGCACAAGCACAAGCACAAGCCGCCGATGCTCCCTATCTCGCTGCGGTCAGCCATGCGGTCAGCCAGCGGGAGCCAAAGACGGATCGGGACGCCGAGGAACCGACAAGGGTCGACGAGGCGAGAGGGATGCGTCGAGTGGCCTGGATGGACATCCGCGTACCCGGCGCTGTAGCCGCTGCGTTTTGGTGTGCGCCAGTATGGCGCCTCTTTCAGTCCGCACTGTTTCTGGCTCTGGATGTCGCCTCACGCCTCCTGGCTGGGGCGGCACCAACTCACTGGGCATTGTTCTTGCGTTCTTGGCAGCCGTGCGGCGTACGGCGCCGTACACGCCGCTTCTGGCTTGCGTTTGCATCACTTTTCCTGTTCGTCCAAAGACGGATCGCCCTGCCGCCCACTCCCGCCTCCTGATCCTGGATCGTCGGGGTATGGCGGTTTATGGCGCCTGCTCCCAACAATGCAGTGCCGTCGGAAACCCAACATGTGCGCATGTGCACGGTGGAGGGACCGTTAAACTCTGGCAGAGTCGGAACCACGCCGCCGCTGCCCATGCTGCAAGGGATGGGACAGTCGGACACACTGACGAAGGAGTGCTGCCGATCCGAACAACAGATGTCATGGCTGACGAGAAAGCCACACGCATTACCATTGTGTACCGCGCGGGAACCTAATTAACTGACGGCCCAGTAAAGTCAGTTTGCAAGCTCAAGGAAGTTTTGCGATAGGTGAACAGTCTCTCAGCCAACCATTCACCCTCATCTCGCGCAGCAGGTACCAAGTATGGAGCTATGGAGGTGTACGTCGATGTATCCGCTGAGACTGCTGTCCCGTCCCGTGGCGGCCATTAGGTTTTGCCCTTCCGGCCCTGTGGGGAACGTTTCCGACGACAATATTTTTTTGGTGTTCTCGACAACAATGAACAAAGAGAGGTTACACGCGCCTCCTTTTCCCTGGGCCGCAACTGTTACGACGCCGTGTGCCAGCCTGCCGAGAGCCCGGCACCAGGGTTTCTCCGACCTCTGCGCCAGTGGCTCCGCTTCTCCAGGCGTTCGTGCAAACGTGAGCATGGGCTGGTCACCCCACACGGCGGTGGCGTGGGTGTAGTGGTGTGGCCACGAATTGTTTTGAAACGCCGCTTGCTCGCACCAGACCCCATGGAACAGAGAGAATAAAGTTCATGACTGCTCTAGAGATATGCCGGCCGCTTGCTGCAGTGCTGCACCCCGTGCGCTATGGACCAGGCAGACAGTCACCCTGGCTACCCGTGGGCCATGCTCCGCCGTGTTTGCTTACAATATCCGACATGTACGCCATTGCGAACGACGATCATAGATGTGGGATCGTGGGATCTTTGCTCTCTGCTGGCATTCATGTCGTCGTCATCCTCACACCCGTCTGCCCGTCGCAGTTGCTAACGGTGCCAGGTGCACTGACATGGAAGTCGCAGGGTCGATCCCTGCCGCCAGTGTCGCGTACCTCACCTCGTCCTGTCTTTCTCTCCGCGTCGTCGCATCCTCGCGCCCGCACATGTTCCGCCGTATGGCTGAGCGCTGGGCTATCAGACTCGTATATGTACGTCTCGGTTGGCCTTTCTGCCTCCTTGCGCACGAGCGCTCGTGTACTACAGGTTCGGCCGTCCATGCCCTTGGAGCAGTGCACAGTCCACTGGCCACTGCCTCGTGTCTGTGGCCTGCGGCACGTTTCATACATGGTCTGGGTTTTGCGTTTGCGTTTCCACAGCCACCACCAACCGTGCTAGACCAGTGCCTCTCGCTTCCCCGACGAATTGAGGTTCCTCCCCCCTCAACTTTCGCGAGTGCCATACCAATGTCCAGAGGTGGACAGACATGTTCGCAGCAAAGTGCCTGTCTACGCCGCCTTGCCCTTGACTTGGCACGGGAGCCCGCACTAGTCTTGCTATCCGGCACACATGCCTGGCCCAGCTTCCACGCAAGCAAATCTCTAACCTTCTCGGCTTCTCATGCTATGAAGATGACAGCAAGTCAAAGGAGCAGACGCGACGCAGGATAAGCTCGCCATTGCCTCAACGATGTGGCGTTTTGAGGCGCTTTTCTGAGCTGCTGCAAGATGACCCTGGAGTTGTTCAGGCCTCACGTCAGATCTCAGATCAGACGTTGCCAGCTTCAGGATAGAGCAGGGATGCACCCAGAACCGCCCATAACGCAGGATACACGCGACTGCTCTTTTCTTTTGTTTTCGTAGGGATCACCATGCACTAGTGAGAAAAGGGGACCGGGGAAGCACCCAGTCGGCCGGACGGCGAGTTGTCACCGCAGTGGCCGGTATACTCTGCGCGGCCAAGCGGTGGTCTCTATGGAATCATGCGTGCGTTAAGACACCCAGGTACCAAGGTGCCGCCCGAACAAACAGCAACTCAACAACTGTGCAGCCAATGTCCTGTGGCCGGTTCCTCACCCCACCCTACACCACCTCCCCGGCCATCCCGGTGTGCTCCCCGCCTCCGCCCCCGCTCCCCCCGCCTCCGCACCTCTCCGTTCCCTGTTCGGAACCGCACGAGGCCTGCGCATGTTGGTGTGCAGGTACATACATGCAGCATGTATACAAAGCCCGCTCTGCCAGTACAGTCTGGATCAGTTCGTTTGCGGAAAACACAGGGCTTGGCCCCGTTTGTCGCGGAGGTCGCGGAGGTGACATCCTCCGAGGCGCGGGTGCGGGTTGTCTGGTGGCAGATTGAACTGAAAAACGATGGGTGACTACAAGGGTGACTACAACGGTGCGATCAAGCATGGTCCAGACCTGATACATCTGTGGGTAGAGGTGGGACAAGCCGTTGACAGTCAAGGTCCAGCACATGGTGCAGTGAGCAACATCTGGATCAGGTCGGGACGTCCGCCTCATCAGTGCCGTCCAGTCGCGGCCCAGCGCGCCACAGTGACTCATGCTGGCCTGGAACGCCGGACCTCGCGCCGCCACGCTCAAGTGGCTACTGATTACTCACCAGCTGACAGCTGACAGACAGCATGCCATTGTATGCATGATGTCTCGTGCCTAAGCACGCCTGGCAGCGACGTGGCGGATGTGGCGGCTATGTTTTCTGCAATCCTGCGACAGTGTTCGAATGTGGGCATCGAAAGCGACATACGAGGTCGATGCGCACCGCCCGAACGTGTGACTGAGAGGGGGAGACGGATGCCGAATGTGGCCTCCAGAGCAGAGGCACCTCGGCACGGCCTTGGCCTAGTGCGGTGCCCAGCTGAGGCTGTGAATTGGTGGTGGTAGGCCACAGTCCTGTGTTACTTGTGAACGGCACGCTGTGGACGGCACAGACGGCACCTCGATTTACGGTGCGAACGACCGGGTGAGACGTTTGTCTCCCAAGCGCCTCTGACTGGCGAACCCAGTGCACTAGTGGTTCCTCGGTCGCCTTGTGGTGATCGCCACATCTGGGTGTTGGAGCCGGAACGAGGCTCGAGGGGACGAGGGACGAATACATTGCGTTTCATGACGCAGACATCGAATGCTCGCTTGTAACGAAGTTGGCAACTACCGAGACAAAGACACCTCGTGGTCGTCACTCGGGCTGCCCCTTTAGAACGAGAAGCTATGGGCGTGCCCCACCATGTGCCTCTGGCGACAGAGTAGCCCATGTTGGATAAAGTTAACAGTCCCTCTGATGTCTGGGTGTCCTGTGAGAACACTACCGTGTAGAGCTTGGGAGTTGCAGTTCTGGGGTCAGTAACTTGGGGCGATAAGTCCCTTCCGTGATACTTTCTGAAGAACCACTTCGCAAGTACTCTGCCACTTGCGGCCATGATCGACTTGGCCGCCGGCTGGTATCCTTGACTGTTCATTATCAAACAAACGCCATCTCGTCCAGACGGAATGTAGACACTTGGGTTACAATAGTGATCAACTAATGACCAAGTGGCGCCGACGAGCGATCCACGGACAAACATATCCGGCGCCACCTCCGGGCCACTGCCTCATTTGGAGGTGGACGGTGGACGGTTCCGGTTTGGGAGCAGAAATACAGCATGCATCATCGTACTACGACTGGGACATTCCACTAGACAGTATAGTCCTTTTTTTCAGGACGGTATTGAGCGGACAGGTATCGCTATGTAAAGGGGGTCGACATGGTGGGACAAGTATAAAAAGTCCGAAGAGGCAAAACACTAAAAAGGGACAGGACAGCAGTGTCCATGTCCAGGTAGAGACAGGAGCAGGGAGGGCATGAATAAGGAGGGCGATCAAGCAGTGGCGAACAGCTTCTCCTTCGCGCGCACCTCGATGGGGCCGTAGGCCTTCTCCTGCTCGAGCTTGACGGCGTCGCGGGTACCGAGGACGAGGAGTTCGAAGAAGAAGGCCGAGGCGGCGCGCTTGCTGGCGCCAGCGGCGACCTTGTCAAACTGGACAGCCTTGTCCTCGGCCTCGATGGCCTCAATTTCGCGGCGAAGGACACCCATAGCCATACCGGTGGTCTTGCTAAAGCCGCCGGTGGCCTCAGGCTGGGTCGCGTCCAGGGAGGGGTCCTGGGTCTGGGTCTGCGCCTGGGTGGACGTGCGGGTGTCAAAGCACGCAAGGGCGTTGTCGCCTCCGTCGCCAAACTGGATCGCGCGGGCCACCGACTCGGCACGAGATGGTGCCAGAGAAGGGTCGCGGATGCGAGCAGGAGGGGTCTTCAGATCGTCAAAGCCAAAGCTCATGTCGCCCATGTCGCCACCGTCGAAGTTGCCAGCGTCAAAGCCACCGTCAAACGTGTTGTCCATGCCGGCGTCAAAGTCGACCTCGGATGGCAGGCGGCTTTGCCTACGGCCGACCTCGTCTTCGTCCTCCGCCTCGACGGTGGCCGTGCGGAGACGCTTCGCAGCGTGGTCGTCCTCCTCGGGCTCGTCGCGAGCGCGACGAAGGACGTTGGTGTTGAACAGGAAGAGGTCCGCGAGCTCGGGGGCAAGACCAGCAGGGCCGGCAAAGATGAACGAGTCGGCGCCAACCTTGACGGTAGGGAGGAAGTGCTTGGCGGGGTCGTCAATGATATCACGGAGACGCACGGCCTCGGGGTCGGCTGGGATGAAACGTTCCTCGCCGAGAATGTTGCTGTCCTCCTCCGTAGGTGGCGCAAACTCCTCGTCTGCCAACTCGAGCTCCTCGTCCGCACGAACAACGCGCACGCGCTTAGGCTTGGGCTGAGCTTGCTGGGCGTCGGCAATGCGCTTGGCCGTGCGCGGGGTGACATCAATGGTGGTGTTGACCAAGGGAGGCGACTCGGGCGGGGGAGTCGAGAGTGCGCTGGTTTCACGGCGCTGGCGCTCCTCGAGCTCCGGAAGGTCATCCAGACCAAGGTCAAGCTCGATGGGCTCAAACGTGTCGTGGTTGTCAATGTCCATGCCGTGGTCCTCGAGAAGGTCATGGAGCACAGAAGGAGAGCGGAGAGGGACAGCACTCTTGCTGCGTTCGCGCATGGCATCACGGCCGACTTCCATCGACATGTCAAAGTCGAGGCCCATGTCCATGTCGTCCAGACCGAGACCGAGGTCGTAGGGCTGGAAGTCTTGCGAGTCGAGGTGGGAGGTAGCGTCGTCGTGGGAACCCTGGCGAGAAGACTGGTCGTCGCCGTAGATCGACGGAGCTGTGGGGCGACCGAAGTTGAACGCACCGTACTCGCGAGAGCGGAGCGAGGTCTGGGTCAATGGCACAGTGTGCAGGCCACGAGGTCCGCTGGGAAGGTCGTTGATAACAGGCGCAAAGTTCCAGTCGAGGAGGTCGATAGAGTCAATGTTGTTGCCAGTCTCAGTAAAAGTGATGGCGTTGCGGTTGGCACGGATCTGGTCCTCTGGCAGATCGACCATGCCTGGACGGAAGGCCATTGAGATGCGCTCGCGAGTGTCACGGCAGTCGTCCATGAGGTACTGCACCTTGCGGCCGTAGATGCGCACGACACCAAGCATGAGCTGACCCGAGATGCGAAGCGTCATGGGCTCAACTTCTTGGGTGAGGATGGCGTCAACACTCTCGCCTACGTCAACGCCCAGGGCCTGCTGCTTGCTGAGCTTGCGCTCGTGGTGTGCCGACAGCCAAACCTTTGCGAGCGGCCCGCGCTTCGCAAGGATGAGCTCGGTAAGGAGCATGTTGGTGGATGAGGTGGAGGGGTGGAGGAAGGTTGGATGGTTTGGTTTGCACGACGCGTCGCGGGAAATCAAGGGATGTTGTCTTTCGACTGCGACGTAGAGCGCGCCGCCGTGTCCGTCGAGACAGAGGGGCCTGGCGCGCGGAGCGGGTGGTGTATGGGTAGGGGGTGACGAATGGGGGGTCACAGGCAACGTCGATGGGGGTGGAGGATGGGAGTGGGGAGCGGGATGGAGAGGTTTGTTCACAAAGGGTGACGAAGAAGAGAAGATGGCAAACGAGGGAATGGGGGGCAACGACCAGCCACCGCTAAGAACCGTCCAGTCATCCGCCCCTGACAGCTCTGACGAGGTGCATTAGACGCGGGAGTATAATTAATAATGGAGGTGCCTGGATAATTAGGTTAGTGTACTATTTGGGCGTAATGGCCAGGTCCAAAACAACAACAAGGTGGCGTGTCGCGTCGTTGTCGAGCCCTGTGGGCCTGTGACGCTCACACCACATGCAATGTTGCAACAGTACCTCTGCTCAATGGGTCTGTCGGTAGTCATGCCTGCTCTCTCGATGCTCACAAAAGACTTGAGCACATGCATGCTCTTGCTCCGCTCACGCGAAACGCCGCCGCACACAACTCGGCGCGGTCATACAATAACAATCCGCTTCGACGGAAGCAAAATGCTGCAGATCACATGTCATTGTGAATCCACGCCTCCACCTTCGAGCTCGCTCATCACATCCATCTTTCTTCATTCCTTCCCTCCCTCAACACACCGCAATGACAAACGAACCTGGGCCGTCTCGCCCATCAAAACCCGCCAGCGGTACCAGCGGAGTCGCCAATGGCAGCGGCAAGACTGAGAACGGTGCGGTCGCTAGCGGTACCGCAACGCCGGCAGCGCGTGCGCAACCCACGCCAGGCGCGTCGCCATTCCACGAGACCTCGCAGTTCAAGCACTGGCGATATTCGCGCGAGGCTATTACGAATCTCCGTGCCGAACTCAATGAGAAGAGTAAAGAGGTCACAGCACGCAACATGGCCGCTGAGAAGGTGCGTGTCCTGGGTCATGTGGTTGAAATGGCGGCGTTGGAGCTGTGGAGCGGTGTGGTGTGAACTTTGCCTAGTTGGCTAGCAAGGTGATGGAGCGTACCATACTGACACGTTGTAAAGGAAGCCCAGCAATCTTTAGGCCACACGTTCGCCGACCCACCCCCTCAAGCGGCGTACTTGAGCGTCGAGGACGAGCTCCTTCTCGTCCGCTTCTACTGCTCGCAGTGCAGCAACATTTGCCGGGCGGGCTTTGGTCTCCCGGAAGCTGTCGAAGCCACGGCTATTAGCTACATCAAGAGGTTCTACCTCAAGAACAGCGTCATGGAGTGGCACCCAAAGAACATCATGTAAGTGAGGCATCTGGACGGGTTAGCTTTCCAGAACACCCCAACCCTGTCGGAAGCTACCAAGCAGGAGCTCACCACATCCAGGCCTACAGCGCTCTTTCTCGCCGCCAAAACGACCAACCACCCCGTGCCCATTGAAGCCTTTGTCGCCAAGCTTAAGGGCTTTGAGCCGTCGGACGTCCTCGACCTCGAATTCCTTGTCGCCCAGTCCCTCGGCTTCGAGTTTTGGGTACGCGGCGCCGACAAGCCCCTGCGCGGGTGGTACCTCGAGTTCCAGGACCAGGCCATCCCACCCACAGACAACTTGCAGCGCGCGCTGCCTGCCGCACTCGAATACCTCAGTGCGAGCAGGTACAGTGACGCCGAGTTTCTATACTCGCCTGCGCAGATTGCGCTCGCGGCATGGCGGCTGGCAAACAAGGAGCTCGTGGACAATTTCCTCGAGTTCAAGTATCAGGCGGCGGAGGCCGAGGAGGGCGCGGCACTGCCGTTTGGCGCACCACTGGCTGAGCTGCGTATAGTCCTCGCCGAGGTGGAGGCGGTTGTGGCGGCCAGCACGGCCAAGTTCGACATCAAGAAGATCAAGGAGGTCGACAAGCGGTTGAAGGGATGTACCAACCCAGAAAAAGTGCCCGGCACTGCACTGTGAGTATAGCCGACTGTCGTGTTCTTGCACGACAGCATGACTGGCTGCGCGCATCTTTTGCAATGGCTAACCCGTCTTCCACAGTTACATCAAACGCAAGGCCGAGCAAGAAGCCAAGAACGCCGAAGCGAAAGCTGAAAAGGCCGCCAAGGCTGCCCATGCGCGCGTGGCAGACGACACAATCTTCGGCGCGCCCATTGCCAGCACGAAGGATGGCGAGTCAAACCCACCGCAGGCGGCGCTGGACGACCCGTTCGCATGAGACGAAAGAGTGAGATGAGTTTCGAGATCGAGATGAGAGTGTACGACTACGAGGACGAGACACGAGATACGGCCAGCGACAGCACATTACATTACATGCATGAGAGCCGCCGCGTCCAGATGCTTGGATGCGCTGCGGCTTTTGACTACAGGAACTACTATGACACAGGACCGTTGCGCTCGTCTGATCTCAGGCTCGTACGATACAGGAGTTTATGGTTCCGGCTCAACACGACAAGCGCAGTTTTAAGCCGTCGCGGCGATGCGGATGCCGATGGGACCACAGTGCTCGTCCTGCGACAGGCTCAGGATACGCTTCGTGGCAAGGTCTGCGTGGGTCAGAATTGCTTCAACAAAGGAGAGACCCACTGAGGCAGTTGTAAAACGCCGCCGCGGCGACGCGCTTGGTCGCGCCCGCAGGGAGGATGTGTGTGAGCTCAATCTCGTCGGTCTGGGCCTCGACCATGCGGGTCTCGAGGTAACTGAGATGTCAGAAATACAGCGCGACCCCACCTCACCTGAAGAAGTGGCGACATTGACTGTCGAGGGTGGCGAGCATGGCGGGGCTGAACGCGTCGGCGGGGTGCGGACGCTGTCCGTCGAGCTCCTCCAGGTCGAGTTCCTCGAGCGGCACTGGTGTCAACGCTGTGCTGTGGTCGGGTGGTACTCACGCTCATTATCGTCGCCCGTAAGCATCAAGTCCTCGTTCATGTGCATGTTGCTCGCGAGAGAGCCGGAGCGCGAACGGCGGTTGCCCCGCGCCTTGTCCTGCTTTGAGGCGCTCACGGAACGGAGTCTAATATCAGTTTCGCTGCCCGTACTGTCAAACTCACCGAGCTTCCAGAGGAGTCATGACGCTGAAGCGACGGCTACTGGGAGTGACGCTAGCGCCCATGTCGAGAGGGAGGTCAAGGCTGTGGTCGTCGAGGGCTGGGTCATCCCACTGTCTGTTCAGTGCAATTCTGGGTGGCAAGTACCCACAGGAAGTCCATTGTTGACGCGAGGAACCACCTGCTCGACCTGATATGTTAGCTCTCGCTGTCTCAGAATGGAATCCAATAGCTCACGTCAGCCTCGGTGTTGACATGGTCCTGAAGCTGGAAGTTGAGGTCCTGCTGGAGATTGAAGTCTTGATCTGGCATTTGGAAACCCTAGTTGTCAGTGGTGACACGTGCCTCTAACTAACCTCCGGGTTGCCAATGTCCATGTTCATGTCCGGCTCGAACTCCCTGATAGCAGCCGATGGGTCGTCCTCGATGATATCCTCGGGCTTGTCCGAGTCCTTCTTCTTGCCACTGCGGTGGTCACTGACGTCAAGCTCCCACTTGAACTTGTCGACCTTGCTGATGGTACTGAAGAAACCAGACATTCCCGGGTCGGTGACTGTTGGTCAGTTGCATCTGATCTCCGTAAACTCACACTCGAGCCAGAGACCGGCACCGTCCACCATGGCAGTAGCTTTGACCTGTGCGAGCTGCTCCTTCTTCTTGGAGGCCGCTTCGGCACGCTGCTCGGCCATGGCCTCTTCATAGTCTTGAGTGTCTGCAACGCCAACCTCAAGGCTCTGGTGGGTCAGCTCCGTTCATGCTTCAGATACCCGCCTCGTCAAACTCGACCGCCTTGATCTTCCTGACGCGTTTCTTCTTGACGTCGGGAGCAATCACCTCCTCCACGTCAGACTCAGAGTCGTTGTTGGCAGAGCGTTTCTTGCCATCCTTGTCAGCTTCAGGTTGAAGCTCTTTAGCGGCGGGCTGGGCCTCCTCGATGGGTTGAATCTCGCCGCCAAAATCCCTATTTGATCAATTGCGATTGAGACGAAGACTGCTTACATGTTGGGGTTGGCGTTAAAATCGTTGCCCATGAAAATGTCGCCCATGTCGTCCATGGGGCGGTTGGAAGGGTCGCTGGGACCGTCGCTGTTACCAAACCCGTCGAGGGTGTCGAGAATGCCCAGGTCGATGGGTTCGTAGTTCATGTTGTCCTGGCTGTCGATGACATCGTCCACCTGGAAACCGCCGTCGCCGAACCTGGGCTGGGGAGTGGCCGAGTAGCGGAACTGCGGGGTGTCTGGTGGGTAAGCCGAGTTCACAATACACTCTACCCACCCGTGCGCTTGCGCTTGCGCACGACGAGCTCGTCCTCGTCACTCTGGTCACTGCGCTCGGACTGCTCTTCGTCGCCATCAGCAAGGAGGGAAGACAGCTTGGAGCTCGCGCGGCGCTTGCGGGAGGAGACGAGTGGGTTGGCCCAGTTCTGGACAGTGAGTGAAGTTTCCCGAGCAAACCCCAACTCACAATGTGTCCAAACTCAAAGTCGAAGTTGACAAATTCAGTGTCATCGAGTGTGGGGAAGGTGATCTGATCAAGGCTACGGGCCGTGAGCTCCCTCGACCTCGGTGGTACCAGATTGCCGACTCACCGGCTTTTGCCTCCATTGGGAAGGTCGATGCCTCCCGAAGTCACTGCAATGGTGCGTCCATTGGCAGTGGTCTTGAGCTTAGTCTCGATGGAGCGACGAAGCGTAGCGTCGAAGTTCTGAACGTCCTGGTGGCCAAACACGTCAGTGGCCCGTGCGCCAGCCTCCGTCTGAGACTTACCGAGTAAAACGTCTCATAGCTCTGGTGATAGAGACTGCAACAGCTGTTAGACTGCAGTAACCCAGTAGCTGCTGAACTCACCGAGTGACACCGACAAGTAGGTGTCCACTGAGACGCAGGGCCATGGGCTCAGGAGGCTCGGCAATGATCTCGCACGAGCGGCTAATCTCAACGGCCGCGAGTGTCTTGCGGTTTATACGCTTGTTGCGCGGGCCGAGTGTGGCCATGAGCCTAAGGTATCAGCAATGTCCCTTGAAGCCGTGAACGCTCGGGCCATAAGGGGCCTCGTAGTAGTGCAAAGGGTGGAAAGAGTGAGAGCGAGGGCAAGAAGTGCACACGTACCAGATGACACCCAGACTGCGGCAAGGTCAGCGAGTAGCCCAAGAACAGGGTGTGGAGGATGGCGGCTGGGACTCACCTGCCCTTCTTGCCTGTCAGCAGGTCGTCTGAGAAGAACATGGTTTGATTGAGAAGGAGGAGATAGTTGTAGAGTCGGGGATGGGGATGGAGTCGGAGTTGAGAAAAGGTGACTGTGTTGTTGTGTGCGAGGAAGGAAACACACAGGGGTTGACTGGACCCGTTGGCCCGTGTGTGTGGGGTGGACAGATCGCCGCGTCACAGCAGTCTTGTCTGCGCACAAGAAATGAACTCCCTTTGAGACACAAATGGTATACATGCCATGATATCCCCAATGCTCCACGCTGCGGAATAGATAGAAGAGACACTTGGTTAAGCTATGCAATCCTAGTCAAACCACTTCCGGGTTCTTGGTCCAGAAGGAGGAAACATATGCGTGAATAAAAATGAACGACCAACAATACACTCGGCATTGGAGGAGAGGAGAAACCGGGCGCAACGAGATCTGTCTTTGCATTATCAATCAGCACGTCTCCATTCGTGAACGTCCTGTCATGTGTGTACCAACTTGGGAAACTGCGTTAGATGCCGCCTTTGCACACAGTGCCGTGTCGCACACATGCAGGTGAAGAAATGAGGGGGCAACGGCTGATCACTGCCGACTCACGACTGACACCTTGAGTAGGAGGCGTGGTAACTCGCTACAGGGTCAGTAGATCAGTAAAGGTCGCACATGAACAGGTCATAGACGCACCGGCGACCGAAAACACAAGCTCGCGCCACAAAAGACACAGAGAGCCGGAGATTTGTGGCGGCCATGTCACAACTTGTCCCCTCGACTTCTGGCAACGTCCCCAGCCCGAGAGACACCATTCGGTACACCTCCAACAACCCTCATGCATGTCTGAAGCTCCAAAAAGGTCACGACGGGGATCGAACCCGCGATCTCTTGATAAACGAAGATGATGTTGCATCGTAGTCAAACGCCGTACCATTTGGCCACGCGACCGATGGTGTTGAGATGGTGGTTTGTGTTGTTGTGATTGATCCTGCTCTCCTTCTTTCCGAAAGAAGGCGAAGGCAGACAGCAGAGTGTCTGCAAGGATACTGGACAAGTAGAGTTACTTGTTGTACAAGTGAAGGCGGCTTGGAAGCGCTCTGAATGTCTGAATGGCGAAACCAAGACGGGAGTTCGATATTTTATTGTAGAAAATTGGTCCTTAAATCCGGAAATAATTGACGACACGGCGGTATTGGAGTCTGCGGCACCTTGTGATCCGCCTGGGCACACTATCCCTCAACCATGTTGTTAGGTAGGCATGTAGGCACAAATAATACATTACATTCATCACCATTCATGTATTCTTACGCTGTTATCTGCGCCGCCGCTATTTACGTTATTTCACAAATGACGGCTGCAGAGTGACCCACTGAGCACAATCAGAGAAATCCCGGGACCTTCTCCACGGTCTCCATCTTCCATTCTCCTTTCTTGAGCGTGGAGCAGTACTTGTCCTTGGTCAAGAACATAATTTTGGCCAGCCCTTCGGAAGGGGAAGGGGGTTTGCGGTGAATGAGCCGTTCGCGTTCGTCCAAGTCTTGGTATGTGTTTACCGAGTTGGTAAGCATCGTTTCGATATTCTTCCGGAGGAGGGTCTCAAAGAGGGTGACTCCCTTTTGTATTTTGGCAATGTTGGTCGAGGACTTGGAAGGTAGGCCCCAGTGCACTACCCCCGCAAGGTTGACGATCTTGATCCATTTGACACCCCAAAGGAGGCCCCACATTGTGTTCTGACAAATGAGGGTGTGTATGCTCATCACGAGATCTTGAACGTTGTCCTTTCGTGTCTTGTCATTGTGTGTCTTGACGTCCGGGCAGATGATGACGAGCTCCCGCTGGTCACTTGGATCGGGGACATCAAGTATGAGTTTGGCAGCGAGGGGGAGATTAAGTTGTTGGGCGGTGCGGAGCAAGGACATCATGTCGATTTCAGGATTGGGCTTGAAAGGCATGTGAAAGGTGACCAAGCCACCATCATCATTGAGGCGGACGATGAGAGGAACCACCAAGCGAGTGACAGTGTCGGGCAGTAAAAGAGACCAAAACGGCAAGTCCGGGTTCACAGTGAACACTCGATTGGTCGGAAACAGCACCACTTTCCGGATCGCGCAGTGACGGAGGTCGAGATCTTCTTGAAAATAACGGCCGTCCTTTTTGGGTCGAATGCGGAGAACGTCGGACTCGAGGACCAATAGCGAAAGGATTTCTGGGTCGAGTGGACCTCGAAGATCCAGACTGTGACCTGAATTAAGAGTCATCAAAAACGCAACCACCTCGCGCCGAGCCGTAGTCGTTTTGCGAGGGACAGCGAAATCCTTGTAAATACGATCGACACGACCATATGGTAGAGGCTGAGTGATATTGGCGTACGGTCCGCGCTCATCAGCGCCACCGGTGATCTCATGATGGGAAGCGAGCCTGTTGAGGCGATCACGAATTGCGCGGCAGGTGTGGCTAAGCACCAGGCGGACCTCTGGGTCACTGTAGAGAATAATGAGACCAATGATGTGGGGGTACGCTGTGTGATCGATGGTGACCGAGACGGTGAAGGGAGGACTAGGCACAGGGGCTGGTCGTTGAGCAATGGTGACCTCGAGCTTGATGATCCTGCGGGAGATACTGCGATCGTTTGGGGCGTGAGAGAGGGCCGCTTTGAAGTCTCTCATAGCTGCATCGAGCTTTCCAAGATGCTGACGAGCGAGTCCACGACGAGAGTACGCCTGAGGTAACCACTCGCCTTCCTCGGCAATGAGAGCGTTGGTCGCATCCACCTCTGCATCGGCCCACCTGAATCGTCAGTCCCTGTGTCCTTACGCTGTTGAGCACTCACCTCTCAAGCTTCAGCTGTGCCAGAGCGCGGCCGCACCAAGCCTTGAAGTCAAACGTATGGGCTTCGATGGCCTGAGTGAAAGCGGCCAGAGCTTGGTGGTAGTCTTGGCTGGCAAGAGCTTTGTCGCCCTGGTTCGTTAGTGACAAGGAAGAGTGCTGGACCTCTGTGTAGCACTTACCTGGGCACGAGCCCTGTCACTTGCCGCCTCGTCGATTGCTATACGTGCCGGAACCTCCATGATAAGAGTGAAGGATAAGGGCAGAAGTGAGAGAAAAGGATGCTTTGAGGATGTTGCAGTGTACACTTTGTTACGAGGGGTGACTGGACCGTCCAGATCACCTGGGGGAGGGACCGTGTGGCACTGCGGGAGCAAATTGGGGGAATCGCGTTTCACAACTACACTCAACCACTCAATGGTGTTTGCTCCCTTCACTTGCGTGCGCAAAACATTCTCTGTATCTCCTGCTGTCGCAATGCATGCAGAGAAGAGCCAAAAAGGTCACGACGGGGATCGAACCCGCGATCTCCTGATAACAGATGCTGAATCGTAGTCAGACGCCGTACCATTTGGCCACGCGACCGAGATGTTAACAGGCGCGGAGTTAGAAGGGCTTTCCGAAAGAATCCCCGCTGTCTCCGACTTTTCCAGCTGTGCATGAGCATTGGCAGTAAATGATGGACGAGTTGGGCTTTGTGCGATTGGTTTAGTGCTCATGGGCTTTCAGTGTGTGTTGACTCACTGAAAGACTTTGAGACTGGAGGCTCAGCGGATATTCAACGAAATTGGGGCTAAACGACCTGCCCTGCACTCAGCGCTTGGAATCAGTGGCCCCGTGGCCAGTGGCTTGGTCCTTGGGGTTATAAGAAGTCATTTGCCAGTGGGAAGAATTCCATTTCAGAACTATTGACTTGATAAAGCACCAGGTGCTTCTTACTGCTCGCTTGCGAAACCCCCCAATTCCTCCCGCCTCCACACTTGAACATATCATTGAGGTTCTTAGACGACGACCTCCTTGTGCACGGTCTCGTGCTTGTTGTCAATAGCGATGTTGCCAGCGGCAAGAGTCTTGTCGTTGCGCTCAAAGATGTCCATGTCGACAGTCTGGAACTGGCGAGCAGGCACTCCGGCGTCGAAGCGAGCGTTGATCTCCTGGTAGGTGAGACCGCGAGGCTCGGGGAGGCGGAAGTAGATCCAGATGGTGCAGAGGAAGGCCATGCCAGCCCAGTAGAAGGCAGTCTTGCCGCCCCAGTTCCAAGCGGTCGGGTTGAGCATGTAGGCCATGTACGAGCCGTTGATAATGCCAATAACACTGTAGAAGGCGCGGCCGAGGTTGATGGACTTGATGGCGAGGCGACGCGACGGGATCTCAGCCACGAGCGAGTAGCAGACGGTGCCAACAGTGAACTGGTAGGCAACACTCCACATGAGAAGCATGACGCCGGCAGCCCAAGACGCGGCGGTAGTGTGAATGGTGGAAACGCCACCGATAATGAGCAGAACGGAGCCCATCCACAGGCAGCCATAGAGGTAGAGTGTACGGCGACCGACACCAGCGCCCATGAACGCCCAGGCGATGAAGGTTCCACCGGTGTTGATGGCGTGCTGGCCCATGGTCATCGAGAAGGCGTTCTCAGTGGAGAGACCGGCTTGCTCCTGAAGATAGTGTTAGCGGTGGGTATGGATTAGCTTTTGTGTGGCTCACAAGGAAATAAGTGCAGTATCCCATAAACGCCGATCCACAAAGCTGCTGAACAGCCCAGGCACCAAAGACAACCTCGGTACGCCTGATGTTCTTGCGGCGGAACAGGTCGACGTAGCTGGCAGTAGAGCTAGTGGCGCGCTCCATGGCGATCGTGTGCTCAATCATGGCGACAGTGTTGTCAATCTCCTCGCCGCTGTCACCAGAGTAGAGGCGACCAAGCGAGTGGCGTGCGTCCTCGACACGGCCCTTGCGAACGAGCCACCAGGGGGACTCGGGACAGGTGACAGCGATGATGATGAGGGGAACCGGCCAGAACCACTGGAGACCGTAGGGAATCTAGGCAGGTCAGTGCTACATTCATTGTGAAGTCTGACGCTTCAACTCACGCGCCATCCCCACTCGTCTGTACGGTGCAGGAGACCGCGGAGGAGACCAACACCAATGAGCTGGCCAATACCCCAGCATGCGTTAACCCAGGTGGTGAGGATACCGCGAAGAGGCAGAGGGGCCACCTCCGCAGCATAAGTCGTAGTGAGCGTCTGGAAGATACCCCACGCGAATCCGGCAATGACCTGGCCACCCATGATCATCTCGAGGCTGTTGGCAAAGAAGAAGAGGAAGACGGCGCCGCTGAACCAGATGAGAGTCCAGAACAAGGTGCGTTTGTAACCGTAGCGCTCGGCAAGGATACCGTTGGCCTGAGGTTAGCTCATATTGTGTGCACTAGTACTCACGACTGCGCCCATGATGCTGGTAACAGCTCCGGCGTTGCCGATACCCGCCATCCAGCGGGCAGGGACTTGCCAGTCATCCTCGCCCTTGTCGTTGATGTAGTGGGTGCCGAAGCGCTTGCGGAAGCTTGGGTAGGCGTCTGGGAGTCATGTCAACCCTTGGTCACCGAGTGGCAACCGTTCCGTCACTTACAGAAGTTACCAAGCAAGGTCAAGTCGTAGCCCTCCATGATGACGGCGATCGAGAGGGCCATTGACCAAGCAGCGGCCTTGGGGTACTTGCGGAGAGCGGCCATGAGAGTCATGTTGTGCTCGGCCTCAGTGCCCTTCTCGGCTTGAGCGAGGAGCTCCTCGATGCGGAGCTCCTCGACGGTCTTCTCATCCGTGTGTGGGTCGAGTGTAGTAGAAGCTGGAGACATGTCGAGAGACAGTTGAGTAGTTGGTTGGGCCCCCACAGCTCACCATCGGTTGCCCTTATATGTATGTTCTAGCTGTTCTAGCTTACAACGCAAGGTACGCGCCCTACCACTATCAGCACGGCGGTCCGTCCAGCTCCCCCGCATAACTTGGCGTTGGTAGCGGGGCAATGTGGGGCTCAAATGGACACCGATGTTGCGAACGGGAATTTTGAACAGCATCGCCAATTGCTCGTTCATGATCACAGCTCGATACGTCGGGTATCGCCTATCGACCTGGATCTTGGCCGGGAGTGACCCGACTCGGACTGCGGCCGGACTTGGCGGTACCCAGTAAGATGCCAGCAACGACACGGACTGGAAGTGGAATGACGAAAGTGTAAACGCCGGCCCTGATATCTCCCCCACTTTCACCTCCGATCTTCCCCCACCCGCGCTTTATCAAGAGGCACTTTGCAACCACCAAGACCAAGCCATTTTTCGAAACGGGAAGAGACTCTTGGATGGGAAAGATGTATGAGCACGAACGGGAATTTTGAGCCTTAGCCATGACCGTCAGGTGACTTTGTTGAGTGTCTATTTGTACAGACCGGTCCGGCGAACCGGTTTGCAGAGTGGGGGACAAGGCGGAACATTGTCAGTTGCTCTTCTTGCTTTGGAAGTAGCGGCCGCGGGCACTTTTCAGATCTGGTGCCTGTTAGGCGCTTAAGGATGCCGGCGGAGACGTCGAGGCTTTCCACACCTCCGCCAACATGTCCACAACGTCAGCATGCAATGCTTGCGACTCAAACGGCGGCCGCGACAAGGCCCCACCAAATGAACATGCTGAGCGGCACACTACGGTTTGTGTTGGAGACACAACTGGATTCCCGTTCGCCAAGACGGCCAAGTCCGGACGCTTGTCCGCTCCCTGCCGCCATTTGGCGATCAACCTGAAGTATGTCCTGCACTCCCGTCCCATGTGAACCCACGTGATCGTCAAGTCCGGACGGCCAGGGACGCCGCAGCAGGGACAGAAGAATGGCGCAATCCACCACCTCTACACAATGTACAGTAGAGGACGTGCCCACTTTCCGATTTGTGGCGGACGGAAATTGACGGAAATTAGGCAGAATTGTGGCCTTGACGACACCCACCCCGGCTTGCTGTCGGCGGGCCTTTCCGTTATTGGTGGAAGTGAGGAGCACGTTGCAGTCCTTTTCTGATGACTGACCGCCGGCCGAGTAAACGGAAGACTGGACAGGATAATAGGCATCCCTTTGTCAACGTTGTTAAACAATCTCCAAAATATATAGGTATTTTAAGAATTTTAATATATTCGCGTAAGTTATGATTTATATGTACCCATTTAATACCGTGTGGGAGCACAAAATAAAGACAGCGATCTCTTCAACTTTGCATAATCATTCTAAACTTTGGCAATGAACAGTACACGGCTCTGATAGTCTGCTCCCGGAAGATGCTCGGGCTCCCATCTGAGCTTGAGTCCAATGTGGGTGAGAACAGACCCAGTGTACTGCACGCCATCCACGTCATACGTGGCGTCCTGGTCCAGTCCTTCAAGGCGAAGCTTTGGAGTGTCGACGCGAATCCGAGCATAAATTTGGTATGCAAGGAGCACTGCACTGGACTTGTCCTCGGAGACGTAAAGCGCCGCGGGCCAGTTGGACTTGCCCGGCACAGCCAATCGGTACATGTTGCCGTGGATCACGTACGGTTGGACTCGCTCCGCAAGCGACACCAATCCAGTGATCTGTGCTTGATCCTCGGCGCTGAGCTTCTCTGTCTGGAGCTCGAAGCCAAAACTGCCACCCATAAGAGCGACGTGTGCTCTGAAGTCGAGACTCGTCGTCCGACCCACTTGCTCATTCGGAACGGCCGATACGTGGCACCCCATCGCACTCGGCGGGTATGCAAGGGACGTGCCGAACTGGATGTGGAGACGCTCAACGGCGTCGGTGTCATCCGATGTCCAGCTTTGAGGCCAGTAGTGGAGGATACCGGGGTCAAAGCGACCGCCACCAGACGCGCAGCCTTCGAAGAGAATGTCGGGGAACTCGGTCGTAAGGGTGTCCAGAATGCGGTATAGACCCAGCATGTAGGCATGCGACGTGTACGGGAATGGGGTTTCGTGCATACCACGGTTGTTGTCCCACTTCACATAGGTGATGTTGGTCGAGCGGAGGATGGCGCCGACGGCTTTGATGATGTAGTCCTGCACCTCACGCTTGCTGACGTTGAGCACCAGTTGCTGGCGGACTTCGGTCCGGGCGTGGTTGCCCGAGTGCAGAGCCCAGTCTGGGTGGTTCTCGTACAGTTCCGAGTCTGGGTTGACCATTTCCGGCTCGAACCAAAGTCCAAATTGGAGGCCATCGGTGGTGCCGCTCTCTGTTGCCTTGACAGGCAACTGGTTGATACGCTTGACAAGGTGGTCAAGCCCCTGGGGGAAACGACGTGGGTTAACGACCCAATCGCCCAATCCCGCATTGTCGTGGACGCGGGGATGCTTGTCCCCAAACCAGCCGTCGTCTAGGACAAACAGCTTGATGCCTAGGTCGGCACAGTCCTGAGCACGCTTGTAAAGCATGTCCTCTGTGAACTTGTAGTACATACCTTCCCAAGAGTTGAGAAGCACAGGTCGCTCGAGAAAAGTGAAATTGGACCGCGAGAGATTGTGTCGATACAAGTTGTGGAGCGAGCGGCTCATGCCACCAAGACCCTCGCCATAGACAGCGACCGCCTCGGGAGTGGTGAACGACTCGCCTGGCGCAATCGGCCACGAGAGCTGAAGAGGGTTGAGGCCGATAGCTACGCGGACGAGATCAAAGGCGTGACGCTCCACGTCCACAGCGAATGAGCCGCTGTAGATGAGGCTGAATCCGTACGCAGGGCCGCGGGTCTCAGTAGTGTCGGAGTGTACCATGGAGACAAAGGGGTTGAAGTAATGCGAGGAGTAGCCAGTAGCACTCTGGAATCTGCACCAACGTCAGCCATGAACGGCTATTGCAACTGCTTACCCTTGGGTACCAATGTTGATGGGACGGCGGATTTCCCGGGCCTCACGACACCATTCGCCAGACAGCTGGATCATCTCCCACTCCCCAGACGGAAGATCCGCAGAAAAGCTAGCGGCGCGCTGCACCTCAATGGTTCCGGAGCCGTTGTTGGTGAGGGTAAAGCTGCGAGCGATGGCATTGTGGGCCGGGAAGATGGAGTATCGAAGGTCGGCCACAACGGATGAATGCTTGTCCTCGAGGTGAATGACGAGGGTGGCCACCTCAGAGGCGTCACCAAATGTTGCTGGAAGCCCAGGAAGGGGCGGTTTGCCGGCGACCACATCGTACCCCACAAACTTGAATGCACTCACAGTGCTTCCTGTGGAGTGGCGGATGTGGACGGCGGGGACTCGAAAGTCACCGCGGCCCAGGTCAGGAAACTCACGCCGCTCGTCGAGCAGCTTGCGTCCCCAACCATTGCCGCCGGACGACTCCCAGGTTGCGAGACCCGATGCGGCAGGACCAAAGTGATCGTGGACGAGCTCGTCATCGTCGTCGACGTGAAAGCGGTAATCCGCGCCTACGCCGGACAAGATGAACTCCCGACCGCCACCAAGGACCTGGATGGGCGAGGCCGTCTTGGTGGGTGTATTGTTGGCAAGCTGAGTGACCATGATGATTGCAGTTTGCGGGGCAGTGGAGCTCCGAGTTTGTGATAGTGGATGTGGGGGTCGAGCAAGGTTTGGATATCCGATCCGGAGCGTTCCTGTGATCCTGTGACGTTTGTTGCTGAAGTTGCTAGGCAGAATTCCAGCGAGAGGGCAAGTGGGGATCTCCACGGGAGCGTTATGTCAATGTCAGCGAATAGGTTGCTGGGGCCTGCAAAGGGGAGGTCCTATAAGTGACATGTCTCTGGACCATGTCATGACTGCAGACACGTTCGTCCAGGAGAAAGGCCTGTTTCCCCCACCCTTACCCCACGAGTGGCCCCGCCGGTCACGAGGAACCGATTCATTCGCAATCGTCGACTTTGTGATAGCAACGATAGCAACGAACGGGAATCTGGTCATTTTAATGCAAATCGCCGGTCCGTTGTGCATAATGGCCGGCTCCGATCTCTGTCCGGTGCGGAGCTCTCATTCCATCACATGTAATGTGCGCAACTCAATCACAGCACGGCTCCACACACCCACATCCCCCACGACACACGATGGACACTACCTGTGGGGATCACCTGACGTTCTCGACTCCGGCCAAGCGATGGGTCGAGGCGCTTCCCTTGGGCAACGGCTCGATTGGTGCCATGGTGTTTGGGGATCCGTGGGACGAACGCATCGCACTCAACGAGGCATCTCTTTGGTCTGGTAGCCCGCGAAACGAGCAAGAAGGTGCGGTACCATCCTATATCGCCCGTCCCGCTATTGCAGAGGCGAGGAAGGCCGTTCTGGAGCGCCGGTTCGACGACGCAACAGCTGCAGTACAGCAAGTCCAGTCCCGGTATTCGCAGACCTATGCACCCCTTGGCGATTTGCGACTCTGCATTCGTCCTGCTGGTGAAGTCAGTCATGGGGAGGTATCCGGTTACTCGCGGTCCCTCGACATCGAGCGAGGTATTCACACTATCAATTACACCATCGAAGGCGAGCAGGTCAAGTGGGCTACATGCGCGTCGTACCCAGACGGTGTTCTCCAGCTGCGTATCGACTCGACTACTCCTCTCGATATTCGGGCGGAAATGGCCAGCCAGCTGGTAGCAGAACCTTGCGACATCAATGCACACACGTCTCAACTGGTCGCGACGTTTCGCGCACCGAGCGACCTCCCTCCGCCGCATGAACCGCATGTTCCCATCACATGGTCGGATATGCCTGGCGATGCGATGAGGGTAGCCGTCGTTGTAGGCATCACCCATGATGGCGTTGAGGAAACACCAGCCGACTCCGGCAAATCGAATCTTGTCGTCAGGGGCGTCCACCACCTCACTCTGGTACTGGCCACCACCACCACCTTTGTGGACCCGAAGACCCTTCCTGGGGCAGATGTAATGCCTGCAGTTAATGCTGCCCAAGCTCTCGTTGACTCTGCTCTTGCGCGCGGAGCTCAATCTGTGCTTACTCGTCATGTCGAGGACCATACCCGGCTGTACAATCGTGTGCGCCTCCAGCTCCCCGACACCCCACTTCACGCAACCTTGTTCGACTACGGCCGCTACCTCCTCATCGCCGGATCGCGGGGCGGGTTTGCCCCCATGAACCTCCAAGGGATCTGGAACGAGGACCTTCGTCCCCCGTGGTCGTCCAACTACACGGTTAATATTAACCTCCAAATGAACTATTTCGGAGTTTACACGGCGGGGCTGGCGGAAATGGCCGCACCATTGCACAACCTGGTCAGCGCAATCGCTTCGGCTGGACAAGACACCGCACAGCGTCTGTACGGTGCCAGCGGCTGGGTCGCCCATCACAACTCGGACATTTGGGCATACAGCTCGCCCGTCGGCATGGGGTCGGCATCACCCCAGTGGGCATTCTGGCCCATGGGCGGCGTCTGGCTCGCACTCTCGTTTGCAGAGCATGTCCGACACGGATGTGACGACGTACAGCAATTTGCCCGTGAACAAGCTTTTCCGGTGCTGAGGGGTGCGATGGCCTTCGCCCTCGACTGGGTGTTTTACGTGGACGGCGTAGCGACCACTGCTCCCTCGACGTCTCCCGAGAATACCTTCCAGGCCAATGACGGTACCTACGCAGTTGGGCGTTCCTCTACCATGGACCTGGCCCTCATCTCTGAGCTCGGACATGCCCTCCTCGAGATTGCCACGGTGGCCGGTACAGAAGAGGACGAGATTGTCATTGCAACCAGGGACAAGCTTCTCCCCTCAATTCCGCGCATCGTGCCAGGTCGCGATGGGCTTATTCCAGAGTGGGCGGACGACGACCCACAGGCCGAGCCACAACACCGCCACATCTCGCACCTCTTCGGCCTCTACCCAGGCACGACGCTCTGCGAACCTGACCAGCGCGAGGCCGCCAGTGCAAGCTTGGACGACCGGGGTGATGACTCGACAGGGTGGTCCATCATCTGGAAGCTCGCTGCCCGCGCCCGTCTGCGTGACACTGCTGCTGTGGACCGTCTCCTGAAGCTTGTTTTCCGGCCTGCCGACTGTCCGGACGACGGTGGGCAGAGGTGCGACCAACGTGGCGGCCTGTACCCCAACCTCTTTTCAGCCCATCCGCCATTCCAGATAGATGGGAACCTTGGCTATGTGGCTGCCGTTGCCGAATGCTTGGTTCAAAGCCACGATGGTGTCATAACCCTGCTCCCCGCTCTACCCACTTCGTGGCCAGCCGGATCTGTCACAGGTCTTGTAGCCAGGCCGGGTGTGCGGGTCGACATATCGTGGTCTTGTGGTACCCTCGACTACGCCACTCTTGCCCCACTCGCCAACTGCGAGAGGGGTGAGCTAGTCGTTCAGCTGGGTTCGGTCAAGTTGACTGTGGCGCTGAACCGGGGTGCCAAGGTCCGCCTAAGTCACATAGACTTTGAATAGTTCTAGGAGGAATGCATCGTATGACCTTGGAACAGCCGGGTGCAAATGGTCTTCCGCACCATCTCGATTTGACCGATCTGCCGTCACTCGGCCTCGACCCACCGTCGTCCTCTTCTCCAAACTCCAAAAAGCTTTGGGAGGAACTGAATCCTCTTCTGACAAGAGTGGGGTTCGAACCCACGCCCGAAGACTGCGAGGAATATCCTAAAGAAGGAGAAACCTGAACACAGCGCCTTAGACCACTCGGCCATCTTGCCTTGACAAATGTTAAATTGTTAGAAACACGTGACCAGATTGCTTCCACCGTATGATGTCAGCAGTCCCCCAAGCGCTACCTATATAAGATGATCTACCGCTAGTATGCCATGCATCTCCGTTTCTCTTTCACTCTATACCTCATACCCTCGTTACCTCGCTGGTACTGTCTGCAGCAGTGCTAGCATCGACATCCGAGGCTCTCTTTTCTTACATAAATTGCCGACATGTTCATCAGCGACTCCTCTCATCCCTTCAGATTCTGTGAACTGACGCTGTGGTCGTCTTGAAGGACACAGCAGTACTGATAATTGCCTGCCACCCACTCATACTGGTTAGTGGGGAGCCCAACGGGCACGGCAGTTGTGATGTTGGCCGAAATCGATTTCATTTCGCCAATGCTACAGATCGAGCAGCGATACAACATGTTTCTGCAGTCAATGGCCACCCACGACCAGCCCCAACGAGCCTACACGCCAAGGCCAAGGCCAAGAGCACTGACAAGAACCAGTAGCACGGCCAACAGCGACACAAGTGGTGCGACGGCGTCGGACGATGCGGCGGCCTGGGCGGCCTGGGCCGCTGTGGCAGCCTGGGTGCCTGTGGATGCTGCTGCCTCGCAGGTTGCGTTTGGGACGAACGATCCGGGGGGCAGACACTTCATGATCTCGTCGGGCATGCAGGCTGTAAAATTGTACTGGCCGTTGTAGATCGCAAACGCAGTGTCGTAGTCGGCGGTACAGTGATACAAGGAGTACGGGTTGGTTATTTCGCTGGCAGCCCCGAGCTTTTCGAAGATGCCCATGTCTCCCTGGATGGGGTGCGACAGCTGCATGTTGCACACGTTTTTGGCACACGGCACCGAGGAGAAGGCACAAGTGGTGAGGTTGGTCGTTGCGATGCGCCACTGGGCAATGTCGGGAATGTCCGGGTAGAGACTCACGGGCGGGCCATGAGGTGTTTGGCACTCCGTTCTGGTTGCCAGCGCATTGAGGCTGCGGTTCGGGTTGCACAAGCACGAGACCACAATCTCGTCCACCACCATGGGATCGTTGCCATCTTTGGCGCACTGCTGTGTGCCACACTGTGGCGGCATTGCGCTGTTATACATGCAGCTGAAGAAGGGGATGGCAACCGCAACAGCCTCGCTCGGTGGCGGTACTGTATAGGGGGCGACAATGATACCGGTGCGGACTGCCTTAGGGGGTCGGTTGACTACAGTGGACATGTTTGTGGAGAGCATAGTGAGTCAGGTGGGCAACCGCATGTCATCGTATCGCCGTCTTGAACTATATATGACTCTGCTTGCTTGGCTAGAGCGTGACCTGTTGCCGCCAAGCATTTGTGGTGGCCATTTGCTGTGCTGGCCCGAGTTAGGAACCGGGCTACCAAACATTCTTGTCTCGTGACATCAGCCGCCGGAACTGCGCACACTGTGGCTGTGGCTCTTTTGCACTAGGTGTACCGTACATAACTCAAGTTGTGTAGCTGGAGGAGTGTGGCCCCCCTGCCTAATAGGCGCCCCTCGATCCCCTCTTGTCCAGTCGTGAATGAAACAAGGAACATGCATGCGATACAACCAGACCCACTGCCCACCGAAGTCACCGACGCGCGCCAGGCCCCCTCCCATTTACAGCTGGAACCGGAACCCGGCCTCGACCTGATTCCTCGTGGGCCCATTGGGGCCCAAGTCCTCGCCCTTGTCCAGCCGCCTGTTAAGGTTGGCGAGGTACGTCCGCTTGCCCAGCACCACCACAATGAGCATCACGCTTGCGGCGAGGTTTACTGCAAACGCGACGGGATACCGCGGGGGCTGGTAGTAGAGGTATGCGGTCCAGATATTGGGCGAGTTGGACACGGCGTTGATGATGGCAATGGCGATGGCGCGCTTGACGTGCGGACCGACAATGGTCGAGCTCATCCACGACAGGATGGTGATGGACGACGAGTAGAACGACGCCGGCATGAGCATCATGGCCACGTACCGCGGTGCGATCTTGGTCGTTGACAGGGCGATGACGTTGGCCACAATGGTGACGGTGAACGCGCAGCATATATGGATTGTGCGTTCCTGCGTCTTGTCCGAGTGCCACCCCATCCAGGTAATGACGAAGACACAGAGGATATACGGTGGCGCGGTGAGGGCGAGCGAGATGGCGCGGTTAAACCCCAGGTCCGCAACGACAATAGGGAAGAAGGATGTGACGCCCGCGGGGATGAAGTTGACCGTCAAGGCGATGGCGACAAGCCACACTTTGACATCGGTGATGGCCAGCCTAAATGCCTGGGAGGTGGGCATCTCGTCCGAGTAGTCCTTCGTCGCGCGGTCAGCCTCGAGGCGGTACAAGAGGCGGTCGCGCTCCAGGGGTGTGAGCCAGCGCATGGTTGCAGGTTTGTTCGGGATGTAGAGCGCGAAGATGGCCGCAAGGCCGACAGTCATGACGCCTGTATGTCAGCTGCGCCTCTTACACAAGGGTTATAAGCTACACGCACCTTCGACGATGAACAGCCACCGCCAACCTTCCAAGCCGTGTTTGCCGTCCAGCTCGAGGATCGCCAAGGCGAACAAGCCCCCAAAGGCATTGCCCAGCTGGCTACCACAGTAAAGCACGCCAGTCCGGAGTGCAATCTGGCGGCTGGTGTAGAACGTGGACAGCACCCACATGGCGCCAGGGAAGAAGGCAGCCTCGGTGAAGCCGAGGATCAGGCGGCACACAAGCAAGCCGGCAAACGACCTTGTCGCGCCCGTACATGCCGAGACGCAGCCCCAGAGCATGCACATGAGGCAGATGTACACGCTTGGCCGCGCGACACGGGACGCGATCATGTTGGACGGGATCTGCATCGAGACTGGGACCGGCGTCAGTAAAGGTCTCGTTTCGTCTGGCATGGAGTGCTGGCGGCATCCGAGACGCGACGGTGCCGAGGTCCAAGCCAGAAGCACCCACTGTATCCGACAAAAAGGATGGCAACAACGGTCGAGAACTGCTGTGCGGTCATGCCCAGATCGTCTGTCATGCCGCCAATCTTGGCAATGGCGACATTGTTGCCTGTACATCAGCACCCAGGTCCAGCAGGCCCAACCCATAGCTCCACCGCAAGCGTCCACACCTTTGGACCCTCCCTTCCCCTCCTCGCTGCGTCACTCACGGTCAAGAAAGTTGAGAATGTACAAGCAGATAAGCGTCGGCATGAGCAGGATATCAACCTTGCGTGTAGCCGCTTTATCCAGCTGGGCAACCTCGCCGTCGCTCAGCCCCGCCAGACTCGGCGGGGCGTGGACTTTGAGCCGATCGTCGTTGGCAGCGGTCCGGCCGTCTGCGCTTGACGAGTCGTACTCGGCTAGGGGGGCGAGGCTGCCGCCTGCACTGTAGCTGTATCCCTGTACGAAGCTGTCGCTGTCGCCGTCCTCGTCGCCGTCGCGGCCTCGGTCCGCGGACGCAGCGGACTGCTCCACATCGTGTGTGGTGAGTTGAGATTTGTCGTCACGATCCGGCTGGCGTGCCGGAGGAGGAGGAGCGTGTAGGGGTGTGGAAGGGGTCACCGTCATCGTCCAGCGTCCGGGCCGCGTCTGTGCAGCCGTTTAGCGGGACCGATGAGGAGATTGGGAAGGGGAGGGGAGGGGAATGGAACAGAGTCATATCGTGTTGTCTGTCGCCGGTCCTGTCGTGTTTTCGATCGCGCACCTCGATCCCTTTGGATGCTTCTTTCATGTGAGGACCTGGGACACCGCCGGTAACCGTGCCTTGCCGTGCCTTGCCGCGCCAGGAGAGCAACGTGGGGGCCCCCGCGTGTCATTGGAAGACCCCGCATTCGCGAGGGTTGTAGTCCACCGACTCCCTCGGCGATGCATGTTGCAAGTACGGCGTGTATGGGGTGCGGGCCGCGTGTCGGGCCGGACTGCGTATCAGCCGGAGCAGCAAAGGACGGGCTAGTAACAAAAGGGACAACAGCTAACAATGTACAAAAGGCCGAGCTTGGCGATGGTGCCTGGGTCGTGGATGCGTCGTCCCAGCCTGCGCGTGCGAGGTGGTGGTGGTGGTGGTGGTGATGATGGTGAGAGCCTCTGGGCCGTCTGTCGTCTTCGCACGTCTCTCTCGTGTGCGTCAACTTTCCCTCCTCGCTGCTCCCTGTGTGTGTGTGTCTCTCTCTATCTGCCCACGAGGTTACACGAACCCTTCAAGACCAACGAGATGTGCAGTCCCAGCAATCGGGTTTGTGTTCTGGGACAACAAGCTTGCGATGAACTGGTCGAAGCCGGCGTCTTCGGACCATGCCGCCGGCTGATACGCAGATGGGCTCGGATCCAGGGATCCGGTCGCGCTCTCCTGTGACTGGAGCGGGAGGGTTCAGCACATTGCTAGTGATAATGTGTCAAACCTACAGTACGCTCGCCCGTGGAGACTCCTCCGCGGCCGTCGGTGTGGCGCCACCCGCGCTGCATGTCGCCCATGAACGTCGGCACCTCGAGAGACGCATGCGCCACGTCCGTGACGAGGTCTTGCAGGATGACGGCCAGCTGGCGCCCCGCTTCCCAGGTCTTGCCAATCTCTTGCAGGTACTCGAGGCACGTGTGGACCTTGCGCAAGGACGCTGTGGCGTGGACCTCGTTGGACGCCTGCGCAGCAGCCAGGAGGAAAGTCGTTCCGGCGCTGTAGATGATGGTGGTGAGGGTGGGAGGGGTGAACCGTAGCGAGTGCTGGTCATTCCACATGGCTGCCAACTGCACAATCATGATCGCAGCTTGATGGCCGCGCTAGAGTCGTCAGCTGGACCCACATCTTGGTTAGCTCACAGTCATGGCCAGGGTGCCAATATTCTGATATTGGGTGGCAATATCACGCTCGCGTGAGACAATCTGGCTGAACGGCTGATACAGCACAATTACGGTCCAAGCCCAGGCCATGTTGATCATGAGGACGTGCGGGAGAGTCGGTTCGTTGGACATTGGGCTGACCTGGAGGGGGCCCGGTAGACTTGACAGGTAGTTGTCAAGACGGTCCGAGAAGCGCTGTATTGCGCCGGAATCGACGAGAGCAAACTTGTCTGCGCGTCCGGAGTGGCTGGAAGTGGGTCAGCACAAGAGAGGCAGCATTCACCCACATGGTACGCTGCACCTCTAGTGCAATCTGGCACAGCGGGATAGTATACACCAGCCCAAGGCTGAGGTATGACTTTTGCGGTGGTAATGTCTCTCGTGGGCCTGGCGGCCACGTCCACAGCGTCTCGTCGGTCACTGGATCAGCGGTCATGGGGGGCAGGCTAACTGTCAGCTGTGTGTAACTCCATGCAGCTCACGTGTACTCTTGCAACATTGGGTTACGGCCGATGTAGATGGCCCAAAGGACTTCCTGGCAGTACCAGCTCCAGAATGTGACGTTGCGCTGAACGTTGGCCTCGCGGCTGAGCTTGCCGCGCGAGACAAGAGGAGCTGTGTTGAGGTGCAAGCCGACTGAGACGTCAGCAACGGGTCCGCTGCAGAAGCGACATTGTCACTCACGAGCATAGCACAGCCTGCCTGAGATTCCTTGGTTGACCCATCCGACCGAGTAGTTGCCCATGGTGCTGTAGAAGCTTCCCTTGATGGCCAGGCCCTGCGCCGTCGCCACGCTGGGGTTGGCACATTCCTGGTCGAGGAACTTGTCTGCCTCGGCGACGAACACCCGTCGGGTGGCGATGTCGCGCAGGTGCTCCTCGTCCATGAACGCAAGGCCAATGGAGAGAATGACATTGTGTAGGAACGGCGAGTAGTTGGGCGCCACGACTGCCAGGTCGGCGCCTTGCTCTGTCCACAGGGCAATGTCCATGTCGCGGTAGAAGAGGTGCGGGGTGCACCTCTGCGCCCATGCAGCGAAGTAACGGAAGAAGCGGTCAATGGCCACGTCGTGCTGTGCGCGCGTGAGGAAGAAGTCGGGCAGGTAGCGCTTCCAAGCGTCTGTATCGCTGCCCGCAAAGGGCGGGCGTTGGGTGGTTGCTAATCGCTGACCGGGCGATGACGAGGAGGTAGTGGTGTGGTCTTCTGCGTTCTCGTGTCTGAACGCAGACGAGGGGCCATGGACACGGATACGGCCGCGGTTATCTTGTACCTGTCTGTGTCAGCTCGAGTGCGTGGTAGGTGACTCACCATCAGGACCTCTACATCGTCTTCGTCGTCCCGCTCCGGGGTAACGAGGGAGTTGTACTGGTGGTCAAACCCGGAATCTCGCGGTGTGTATCGCGACCGGCTCGACTTTGGACGGGAGCTGTCACCAGCGGACGTGGGCATCGAGCCACTGGCTGTCGGAGGTTTGGGCAGCGGTTCCCAAAGGCCCGACGGCGCTGGCAAGGGTGGGCGGCTGGGCGGCGCGACCGACGTGCCGCTGTATGGTCGTGTCACGTCCGAGTGGGATGCAGACGAGCTGGCCGTGTACCCCTTGGGCACGTCGGTGAAGCTGTTGTCTGGCGGACGGGGTGCGGACTGCGCCTGGAGCATGGCTTCAAGCTCGGCAATGCGCGCGCGCAGACCGTTGGCCTCGGCGCGCGAGACGTTCTTGCGCCAGTCGGTCTTGTTTGTCCACACGCAGTCATCCTGGGATATGGTCAGCGCGCCACATGCAGTGTGGTCACTGCACCCACCTTGTATGACTCGCAGGTGCTGCAGATGGGTGTACGACCGTCACACTTCTTCTTCCTGTCGCAAAAAGTCAGTGCTGCTGAGGAGTATAGTAAAAGCCCGCGATCCAGCACGTACCTCTGCCTGCAGTTGATGCATGCCTGGGAGACGTTTGAACGCCGCCCACGCTGCGACGACGTCGGCGAGGCTGGGGGCATGGGGGTGAGGCCCAGAGTGTGGTTCAAGAGGGAATGGATGGACGGGAAAGGGCAGTGCCAATGGTAAGGGAAGATGAGCGGCGGGGGATGCAGTGTGTGTGTGTGTGCTGTCTCGATCGCTCTATCTGATCTCTCCGGGGCCTCTTTGGGTGTGTGCGGGCGTGCGCAATGGGCAAATCGTCCGGGGGTGCAACGGCTGCGCACAGTCGCAGTCATCCTTTTCCCGCCGTCGACTCTCGCCCCCTCCCCCCCCCCACAAGCGAGCCAGCGGCAAAATGCATATGGCACGAACACGCATTCCCTCGCACTGTCATGTGGACTGTGCTGGACACTTGAGTTGTGACTATTATGAGCATAATCTGTTTTGGGCGGCGGGGTCATGTGGATGAGATTGATCCACCAAACTCTTTTCCTTTCTTCCTCTCTGCGTCAGCCTGTGTGGTTCCAGTGGACCCACTCGTCTGTCGATCGACGCCGAGAAGACTCTGGCCTCTTGGCTTCGGCACAGGAACAACTACAGTTTGGGAATGCACCCGACCCGACGGGCTCGTACTCCCCCGTAACTCTCTCTCTCCCTCTTTGTCTGTCTGTCACTCACAAACCCCGACGACGACGACAGAAGCGCACGACACAGGGTGTGGAGATTGTTCCAAACCTGGAGCTCCCAGCTGCGGCCTGCGGATACGAAGCAACATACACAGGTCTTTGAGAGTTTCCGGCCTCGGAGAGTCCGGGGTAGTGGACCAGTTGGGAGGGGGTTGACCATCGCAACACCGGCAAAAGACCGAGCACACCACTCTGATGACCGACCGACGGAGCAACCGGGGGCGGGGCGCACGTCGTATCTTTGCTCGCTATCACAGCGTATCTCGGAAACTGCGCGGCGGTCATGTCTTCCAGCTCACTCATCGGCTTCGCCAGTGCGCCAGCCGTGCACCTGCATGCGCCGGACACTTGGCCGCGACGTGGAACGGCACGTCGCGGCCATGTGTATGGACGACTTGGAGGTACGGCGATTTGGGCAGCCCCAAGAGCCCGAGACACTAACGTGGCGGAGTTTTCTTGGCACCATCAGCACCACTGCCGGCGGCGAATGGCAAGTGAGCCTGGACCTCCAGGCGACCGTGAGGCATTTGGGGCTGCATCGAGGCATTCACAAGCCCCAATGGCCTGCTCTATATGGATGGTATCGTGACCATGATCACGAGTCGCACTCGCACTCACGGCACGCAACTGTAACTGAAATAGACATAGCTGGTGTTACGCTCAAGAAGAATAAATAGCTTGGGCCGTTACAGGCCGTTGTAACGTGGGCATGCTGACGATGCCATACAAGGTACTGTATTTACAAAACTACATGTTTCTATTGGTACGCCAATTGTGTACAGAGATGTAATGAAGATGGGATGCCGTGCTCAGAGTGCGTAGCGGTACAAGTAGTGGTGGTCGCCCGTGACCCCCTTTGCGTCAATTGCGGCCTTTTCCTCTTCCCCCAAGGCTGCCCGCCGCGCATTACGGCGCCGCCAGATAAAGTATTCCACAGACATGCCGATCATAGCCAGCAGCCACATGCCGAGCGAGACGCCGTGGCCCAGCTGGTAATGGGGAGCGTCGCGTGTGCGGAAGATTTCTATAGCGGGAGAGGGTTAACTCAAGCTCGGGTCTGTTTGGTCCACAATTTCAACTACTTACGGCCTGCAATGACGCCTCCAATGTTGCCGACCGACTGCTGGATGCCGACGCTCGTGGAACGTTTCCGGAAACCGGCAATGTTCAGACCGAGCCAGGTGATGTGGAGCCCGACCGCGATATACAGGCCTGTGCTGACCAAGAAGCAGGCGACGAGGCGACCCGCCACCGACTCGATGTCTGCCAAGAGGACGGCATAGCCGATAGCTGTGGGGACGGCGAGCGTGATCATGAGCTTGTAGCGCATGTTACGATACCGTAATGAGACGACCATGGCACACAAGTAGGTGACGCCACCCCCTATCCGTCAGCAACATGTTGCGGCTTGGGCATACGCACAAAAGTTGACAGGCGCGGTGAGGAGCTGTGAGACGACGACCTTGAATCCAAACTCGTTGACAATGACGACGAGAAACGTCGCAAACCCATAGAGACACGTGTCGATGCCCAGCTGCACAAACGCCGAGAGCCAGATAACGGGGTCGACGAGCGCCTTGCGGATCTCGACCCAGGAGAACCCTTCGTCCTGGGCATACCCGCCCTCCTTGGCTTCACGGACGCGCATGAGAAACTTTTCCCGGTCGGTCAAGTATCGGGCCGTGCGGTGGTCGTCGGCGACGAGCAGATACACGGCCACGGACCAGAGGACGGTAACGGAGCCCTCGATGATGTACAGCCACCGCCAGCCGCGGATGGACATGTGCAGGTGTTCCATCTTGAGCAGGCCGGCGGCCAGCAGACCGCCGACGGTGCCCGACCCGGCGACAGACAGGTACATGTAGCACAGGCGGAGGCCGAGCTCGCTCCGCCGGTAGAACGACGTCATGTACAGCACGGAGCATGGTGAGAGGGCCGCCTCGGTCACGCCCAAGAGCACGCGGCACGCGATGACCGTCTCGTAGTTGCGCGCAAAGCCGTTGCCGATGGTGATGACCCCCCATGTGACGGTCAGAATGGGCATCAGGCGACTGGGGCGGAGCGTGCGGAGCAGGACAGTGGACGGGGTTTCGAACACGACGTAGGTTGCGTAAAACACGCTCGTTGCCACTGATAGCCCGTTGGGAGGAAAGTCTACGCGCAGCAAGGTCAGCAGAGGAATCGACACAGCACACGCCTTCACGTACTGAGGTCGGCGGTCATACCCCCGACAGCGGCGTTGCCTGGACGCGTCAGCTTGTGCGACAGGTCTCGGGTCTTCGGGGGATAAACGGCACACACGTACCAATCTGTGCCCGGTCCAAGAACGCGAACACGTATGCCACCACCACAACGGGAATAATGTGCCAGTCCAGCTTGCGCACCAGTTTTCTCTCTTCCTCGGGGTCGATCACGTAGTCTCGCAAGTCGGAAGGTGTGGTCGGCTCGTCGTCGACGGGGAAGCAATGGACCACACCCTTGGGCCCGGTCGCGGCCGAGCCCAGGTCGTCCAGGTCGTACTCGTCCACCGACTTGGGCGGCGTCACGCTCTCCATCCGTCGCAGACTCGCAGGTCGTTCGTACTGGGGTGATGGCCGGTCATCTATTGTTGGAGACATGGAGGGTAACGACAAAGTCGTCTGTTGCACGGAATACGCGAGTAGCGGGTGGGCGAGATTCCGATGGAAGAGAGAGCAGGGGTGGGGTCTCCACACCAGCGCGGACCCGTGGCTGACGAGAGCAACTCGTTGGGCTCTCTTCTAGGTCGTGATGATGATAGAAGCGAATACGATGCAGCTGCTGCTGCTGATGCGATGCCTGGTGGTTGGTGAGGTGCAAAGGTAAAGTGAAAATGAAATATGGTCGCGTCAAAGCTGCGGGTCTGCGGCCGGGCGGAGGTAGAGGAACAGAGATCCACCGATCCCCCACCGATTGAGCGCTTTTGGGTGGCGCGAGGCACACCTTGGCTGGGCCGGTTCTTTTCCGGATCAGCGGGACCTGGGCCCGTCCTGGCGATTAGGTCCGCACAGTCATTCTCGTTCGTGGCCTGGCTTGACCAGCGACACCAAGAAGCCTTCATTTTTAGATGGCTGTGCTGGTGCACATGCTAATCCAGGTCAGATCCAGTTGGAGCCGGAAAAGTGCTCGGTCGGATGCTGCGGTGGCGAGCGAGCCATTTTCGTTTCAGCTGAGCCCATGCCTCCCATCGCTCTTTCTGGTGTCATTTACGCGCAAACGCATAGGCCGCAGGGCATGTCATGGTCACGCTGCCGCATCAAATGATCTGACACAGAGCTAGTTCGTCAGCCGGTATTGCGCAGTGCATCTGTGCCGTGGAACGTGAGAAGTGCACGTTCACGCGGTCAGTCAAACAATGCCCCTTTCGCTGAGTGTTCCCCCAGGGCCACTTATAATTGGAGCCTCTAATGAAACGCAATGCAGGTCAGCAGGTTCGTTTTCTGGGACCTCTGCCGGCATATCAAGGTATTTTGCTCTGGAAGCTCTGTGGATATAGAGTGGGTGAAGTGGACCTGTTGTTGGCTTGGCCTAGAATTCACGTCGGAGTGTAGATGTCGTCGGCGTCCAGAGTTCTCGGAGCCTAGAGTGGGAGGCAGTGCCTTGAGTGTTCTGGCCGGCGAACAGTGGATTCAGGCGTGCTGCCAAGGTGTTAAGAGCGTCCACCTCTCCCCTGAAATAGTACAGCTCGTCTGCTATTCCGTCAGTATCTGCTAGACGGTATCTCACAGAGGACAAAGGGGGTTGTAAAGTCCTCTCCTCTGAACCCGACACCACACTTGGGGCCGGTAATTCGCCCCGCCATGGTGACACTGCTCTAAACGTGCGCCCTAGAGGAGGTGGAGTTCTGCTCCAGCCGGCCCGCTTCGGCCTCGTCGTCCCGCCACCTCACTGCACGATAAAACTCACACTGGCGTCCAGAGGCTGTACATACGGAACAGGAAGAGCAAGGCGTTCATAACCACAACCCAGCCCGCAGAGCCATGCTTGTCTGGGTAGTGGCTGGGAAACAGGTGGTTGGCGCGGTCATATCGGGACACCTACGCGCAACGCAAAATGTCACTTGCCGCTTGACTGTGAGGATCACCAGGACAATGGTGAGCGGCACTGGGACGAGTTAGGATTCCGCTGTAGGCCTTACCGCTCACAGACGATGACCCGGCCTGCAAACAGGCACTGCTGGCGACTGACCGTTTACATGCCATGCAGAGCAAACGTCAGGGCGGTCTTGGCTGTGGTGTCCGGTGGAGGGAGGAAGGCTGAGGCTTCTCGACAGTGTCGTCGGTGGCGATTGCGGTTCAGACAGATGGTGATCGTGGTCATGTGAAGCATAGAGGATGAAGGAGGGTTGGACAAGGGTAGAAATGGGAGAGGACCTGCCTGGAGGTGGTGTACAGTACTGTGCGTGTTGGGAGTTAGCTGGTGAGGCCGTGCACGATGCCCAGTTGATGGTGGAAGTGGAGAAGGATCGTCCGGAGAGGTGATGCCGGAGAAGTGTAGTCAAAATGGTCCGACAACACTGTACGTTAGATGCAAAACGATGGATGGACAGTGTGAGAGATTATGAGAGACGCATGGGAGGCATGGGAGGCAGGCTGGGTAGTACACAACACAAACACACATGCCACTGGCCACTCGGCCACTCGTCGACTGGCGCGAAATGCCCACCGGAGGGAGGGTCTGTCGTGTCGCCACGCCGACAGATATTCCGCCCTCGACGTTGATCCATCACGGCATGTCTGTATTTCGGCGCACGGGTGGCCGTTGGCAAAGAGGATGAAAAACATGCATGAATTATATATAAAAAAAAGTGCCAAACGACGTCGTCAAACGGCCATCGGGTGAAGCGTGAAAAGGGCAGATTCGTTAAACGTTGAGCAAGGACGGGCATCTATTTGCGCAGCAGGCGTGCAAGCAGGCCCTTCTTCTTGACCTCCTTGTCGGCCTCGCCGTCCTGGTCGGGACCGTCGGCAACGAGGGCCTCAGCAGCCTCGGATGCGTTGCCCGCCCGCTTCTCGGCGCCGAGTCCGTCCGACGCGAGGTCGCCAGTACAGTGCCCGCAGTGCGGGCTGTGGCTAATGCCGTGGTGGTGTTGGCCAGACTCGTGCGTGTCCAGCTGCGTGGTGTGCTGGTCCATCAGCGCCGCCGCGACCGAGACGGCCTCGGGCGCCTCGGGGTCGGGCTCGGCGCCACCCTCCGACTCGGGCTTGAACAGGTCCATGACCTTGCCGGGACCCGTGAGGGCCTTGTAAACGTTGAGGGTGGTGGGGAACTTGGACACGCCGTCCGCCTTGATAGCGTCCAGAAGGAGGAGGGCGTATGTCTGGCAGTTGTTGGTGATAAGGTTGTACGCAGCCTGCTTTTCGCGCACGTGCGAGATGACCATTTCGCCTGGAACGTCAGCGACATGGACACGGCCGTGTGTTGTGGTGAGAGAGAACGACGGGTGGTAGGTGACAATACCACAAAGCGTGCGCAAGTGGTCCGCCGTGTTCTCCCGTGACGACTGCCGATGGATAATAGGACAGATAACTCACCAGTTCGACGGACGGCGTCGTCGTTGAAGCGCGTGTGGCCGACATGGAAGGTCGTCCACTCCTCCCTCACGATTTTTGCGTTGGTGTAGATGACGTCAAAGTTCTCGTCCTAAGAGTCGTCAGCACACATGTCCTCCCCAGGGGGCTTTCCGGGAGGCCCCGTCACTATCGCACCCCGCTCTCGCTTGCTCTAGACATAGTTGCCACTCGCAGCCGTCGCGTCGCCAACCTCATCGCCACTCGCCACTCTCGCTCCCTGCTCCGCTTTCCCTCCGCCAGCGACCCTCAACACTCACCATCCACAGCTGGTGCGCATACTCGCCAACCAGCACAGCCCAGTGCTGCGTCGGGTCGGGGTACTTGTTAATCTTGTTCGTAATGAGCTTGCCGATACGCGTGTCGTCGGCAAACCACTTGCCGACGGCGCCGCCGACGGGGTGCCAGCCGACGTGGATCTCGCGGGGGTTGGCATTGGTGGCAGGAGGAAAGACGGGGACGACGTTGGGAGTCTGGCCGACACCAAGGAGCGAGTGCTTGACAAGGAGCTCGCCCTCCTTGAGCTTGTCGGTTCCCTCGGCGATGCCGGTCTTGCTGTGCAGGTGTGAGCCTCATGTGTGCGAGAACAAGTACAGCGTGGTGACGTACAGTAGACGAGCAGCAATGTCGCGCTTGCGTTCACGCTGGACCTCGGAGTTGGTGTCAGAGTCGGCCATGGTTGTTGCTTGAATGGCGGTGTGCGATGAGAGATGAAGGAAAGGGAAACAGAAAAACAGCCTGTCTGTTTGGTTCGGGCGCCGGGCGGCGTGTCACTCACACACTGCGCTTCTGGCGCGTCACGGTATATCGCTGCGCACATGCTGCGGTGACGCAAAAGGGGTCATTTTTTGGTTCCGCCGATCTCGCTTCATTCTTTGGGTGGGGGCAGTCGTGGCAGTGGGACAAGCGGCCTGGAGAAGGTGGGTGCCACTGACCTCTGCAACGCGTGAAACATTGTGGCCATTGTACCATGATGGTAGTGCAGCCTAGACGCCTACGCAGGGGGGAGTTTGTGGGTTAGGTGGGGGCGGGGCTAGCTGCGGGAGGAAGACACACTGGACTCTTATCGTTTTCGTTCTGGGCCACGGCAGGGACTGTAGGCGCTGCTTTAAGCACTGCAGGAGATCGAATACATCACAGTCGTGCACCGTCCGTCGCACCAACTCTGTTTTGCAACAGCCGCATATAGATCCTGGTCGGTGCCACCTGGGGAATGGCCATAAATTAGGTTCCGCGCGGGGGTAGTCCGGGGCGCCGACCCACCCCTCATACTGTCAAATGTCTCGCCTGGGGTATATCGTCTCCAGTATCTCCTCGTTATCCATCCCAAAACATCCACACAACTACAAACCATCTTCCTGTCTCCCACATCCCCCTCTCTCAGCCGTCTGCTTCCCGCCAGCACACAGTGCACAGTCGACACGCTGCCATCCCCGCCCCACCACCATGGAAATCTCGGTTCCCGAGTCCCCTGAGGACCGCGTGTACGACCAAAAGTTCACCGACACCGTCTTTGCCCCGCTGCGTCAGCATCAACAGCCCACGTCGCGCCCCACCCTGCCCACGTCTGAATCGCGGTCAACACGCACGCGAGCGCGGTCTCCCTCGGATCCCGCATCCACCTCTGGACCCGCATCCGATCGCGCATCGGTGCCGCCGTCAGCGCCATCGCGCGCAGGGAGCAAGCGCACCGAGCCGGCATCCAGCTCAGACGCACCGGGGTCGGGGTCCAAACCGTCGCGCCGCCGTATATCGCACATATCAAAGGCGTGCAATGGATGTCGTCGGAGGTGGGGTGACAGGCAGGGGATGTTGAGCTGACAGGACAGGAAGATGAAGTGTGATGGAGCACAGCCCACCTGTGGTGAGTCGCTTCAATGGAGGAGGGACCATGGACTCGGTCGGGCGCCTTGTGTCTCGCTTCCCTGTCATTGAGCGATGCACCAAGACCCTCATGCTAACGCACCAGCCATCTGCAAGGTATACAAAGAAGACTGTGTCTACAATCCCGAGCAGGACGGACGTCGATCTACTCCCAAGGCCTACGTTGCCAGTCTGGAGGAACGCATCCGCGTCCTGGAGGGTATGCTCCAGACGGCGGGTGTGGACTCGAACGACAAGAACGCACCATTACCTCCTGCAGACTTGTCTGCTGGCGCCACTCCAACTGTGGATTCTGGTCTGGATCGATTGAAGGTGTGTACGGCAGCAACACAGTGATGTCGCGACCCGGTACTGATAACAGATGGACGAGGCTACTGGCGAGCTGCACGAGGTTGGCCCGACGTCGTTGTTCAAGCACCATGCTGCCGATGGTGATGGCCGATCACCAGCCGCGTCCTTATCGCCTGGCTCGCTAGGTATGGGTTCTGCCGGCGACCGACCAGCTGCGCTCCAGCCCCGACCTTCATTCTCCCCGCACCTGGGTTCGCCAGAGCTCGACGACGCGACGCACCAGGAGGTTCTGCGACTGTTCTTTGACTATTTCAACCCGTGAGCTAACCAAACCTCGCCGGCCAGCTGACATTCAGGCAATGCTTTTGGGTCAACGAGAAGGGATTTCGACGAGACCTGTCCACCACACCAACCATGGAGGGCACAATCATCCGCCCACGACGCACAGCATACTACTCGCCCATGCTGCACAACGTGGTGCTCTCTGTCGGCGTGTTCATGCTCCCCATCGACCGGACCGTCCGCGAGCAGCTGGGACAGGCGTTCTCAAAGCGCGCCAAGGACCTGATCGAGGAGGAAGCCGAGTCAGCCATGATGAGCACCGTCTCAGCATTCATGCTGCTGGGTACATACCACGCCAGTGTCGCCCGGCAGAACCTCGGCTTTGTTTACTCAGGTATGGGCCTGCGCCTGGTGCAAGCCCTCGGCCTGGGCACCAACTGTTCGTACTGGGTGAAGAACGGCAGCATCACCGAGGAGCAGCAGCAAGGACGCTACCAGCTCTTCTACGCGGCCTACGTTCTCGACAAGTGCTGGAGCACCTATGTGGGCCGCGGCGCCAGTCTCCTTATCTCCAACCACGACATTCCTCTGCCAGAAGCTGACCCCGAGGAGGACGATATCATGTGGCAGCCCATTGTGGACCTGGGCCAGCACATGAGTTCGTTTGACCCCAGCGTGGGACAAGCGGCACTCGACCTCTCGGCGTCAATCTCCTCGCCAAGTCTCGAGCCCATCAAGGGATGGAGGAGTACGACCTGGGTCTGGACGTGTAAGCTGGCCATCATCGCGGAGCGAGTGCTGGGCACTGTCTACTCGATCGCCTTCAACACCGGCTCTAGCAACGTGAGACACGTCGTGTCTGACCTCGAGTGAGCTTGCCTTCACCGCTTTCGGATTTAACTGACGTTCAGTGTCGCGTTGGAAAAGTGGCTTGACACTCTGCCAGATGCACTGAGGCTACCCAACACGGCGCGTGGCGAGACGCGTATAGTGCCGTCGCACATTCTCAACCTCCACGCCCTCCACTGCTTTATCCTCATTCTCCTCCACCGCCCTTGGTTTGCGCGCTTGAAACCTGACTCACCTACCGAGGTGTCAGTGGCCAAATGCGAGCGAGCTGCGCACAAGATGGTCCAGATCCTGCAACTGTACCGCAAATGCCCGGGCCTGAGGTACTGCCCCATCACGCTCAACCAGTATGCGTTTACCGCTGGCACCGTGCACCTGCTGTCGGCCACGCACAACGTGGACAAGTCGTCGCGCAAAGCCAAGGCGTCCATCGAGGCCGTGCACACCTGCATCACGGCACTGGAGGAGATGGGCGACACGCTCGAGTGTGCTGTCGTGAGCGCCAGCACGCTGTGCAAGCTGCTCAATGAGTCGAACCACGCGCGTCTGCCCAAACCGCCTGTCCCAATCACGGCTCCAGTATCCAACACTAGCATCGAGCAGTTGCTCAAGGACCCGTCGGTCGCTGAACAGCTCCGCAAGCTCGGCTGGGCGCCACCCAGTGCGCCAAGCCCTGCTCCGCAGCCACACGCGCCCCTCTCGCCCGTGGCAGGCCGTACGCCAGGCCCGCGGGGCCAAGGTATCGACTTTGACTGGTTCACCACCCCCATCTCGTACCAGTCGATGGGCATCTCGTCATCCGGGACGGCGGCGGGTCCGGCGCATCCGGCATCGTTCGTTCCCGTCCCCACAGTTCCGCCAGCTTCCGTTCCAGGACATGGCACCATGCCTGTGCCCCAAGGACAATCGGCTCTGGGGCTCGAGGGCACGCTGCCACTCAGTGAGGTGCTGTATGCCGGCGCGCCCAACTCGCCGTTCCCGGCTGGTAACGTCTGGACATGGCCGTTCAGCTTTGACTCCATGTAGACGCAGGATCTCTGGCCGGTTGTTATTTAGGATTTTTGCACACCACACGTAACGGATCTAATTGTTGTGATGCAAGCATGCCAAGTTCACTGCCGAGGTATCGAGATGTGGGTAAACGCCTTGAGACACGCTGGCGTCAGTCTCTTTGGCGTCAGTCAAAGAGACTAGAGCCCTTGATCACAGAAGTCATTCTTTCTCAGCGCTCCTTGCGGCAGAGGCAAAATGCATCCACCACAAGCAAAAAAGCAAAACCAAAAACGATGTGCCCCCTTGGGCCGCCATCGTTTTATATGTTTTATATTTTATTTGTGTCTCACTTTCAAATCCCTCACGGGTGGTCTTTTGTTTAATGACCGCGTCCTGGCAAGTGGCGCTACAGGACCTGCCCTCTGTTGGAATCGAACCCCCTCCCAGGTGAGGGGGGGAGATTTTTTACTTTTTTGTGCAACCCTACAGCGTTTTAACGACAAACGCAGCGTCTCTTGGAAAACATGGGGGTTCAATGCCATCAAATTGGGAAAGGCATTTTGAAGTTCTGTTGGGATTTGATGCCGTTTAGCGCCCGAGACCGATGGTCTTAAGCTGGCAGTTTGTCTTTCAGAAGAGGATGGGGATGCATAGGCGTCTACAGAGCTGCTTATATGCACACAGAAGGGAGGCCCGAGCACTACAGAGAAGCACGAGGACAATGAAGAAGCAGAAAGAGCAGCATTGGTGCAGTACCCTCGTTCTCCGGTCAGCTCGGTGCCACACTGCAGTGGCGCAAGTGGTTACGTAATCTCAACAAAGTTCGCCAAGCTCGGGAAACGTGCGCACACTGATGTCGGCGCCGGCCGATTATGACACGATGCGACCACACCCGCCCGCACAATGTGGCTGCGCCCATTCTTCCTGTGCTGGACAAGTACTCACCCATTGTTTGACATCTTGGCATCTGCTTTTGCATCTCCTCTTACTCACCTGTTGACACTTGACTCGTTTGCATCCACCTTTTTCTGACCATGCTCCGCATAGCCATCATAGACGACTACCACGGCCTGGCGCTCGAGCACCTGCCCGAGTCGCTCCTGTCGCCGTCCAATGACCTCTCCGTGACCATCTTCGAGGACCCCATGCCGCCCGAGTCCAACACGCTCGACCACCTCGTGCACCGCCTGAGCGACTTTGATGTCATCTCGACGATGCGCGAGCGCACACACTTTTTCGCGCCGCTGCTGTACCGCCTGCCGCGGCTCAAGGTCCTGCTCACGACGGGCAACTACAACCGCGCCATCGACACGGTCGTGTGTCGTGCGCGCGGCATCGTCGTGGCCGGCACGCCGCCCCCGCCCATCCGTAATGGCGGGACGGTGCAGCATACATGGGCGCTGATCCTCGCGCTGGCGGACAACATTCCGCGCGACCACGACCTCATCACGCGCGACGCTGTGGGGTGGAGCACGGCGTCCCCGCTCAACACGTACCTCACAGGCAAGACGCTGGCGGTGCTCGGGCTCGGCAAGCTGGGGCGCGTGGTGGCGCGCATCGGGCTGCTCGCGTTTGGCATGGACGTCATTGCCTGGTCGGCAAACCTCACGCAGGAGGTTGCCGACGCAGCGGCCACCGACATGGGCCTCGGGCCGGGCGCGTTCCGCTACGTGTCCAAGGACGAGCTGTTCAGGCGCGCCGACGTGCTCAGCATCCACCTCGTGCTCTCGGCGCGGTCGGCGGGCATCGTGTCCGCGGCTGACCTGGCCAAGATGAAGCCCTCGGCGCTGCTGTGCAACACGTCCCGCGGACCGCTCGTCGACGAGGCGGCGCTCCTGCAAGTCTTGGAGCGCGGGGACATCCGCGGCGCCGCGCTGGACGTGTTCAACGTCGAACCCCTGCCGGCCTCGAGCCCGTGGCGCACGACGCGGTGGGGCCAGGACGGCCGCGCACAGGTCATCCTCACCCCGCACACGGGGTACGCGTTCGAGGAGATGATGGGCTGGATGTGGGAGCACACGGCCGAAAACCTCCAGCGCGTGGTGGACGGCCTCGAGCCCAAGTGGCGGATCGACGAGGACGGCGCGACCGCAGCGGCCGTCGCGCAGGACGAGGACGTGCCCCCCGCCGATCCTGGTGTCAGCAGTGGCCAAGGGGACGGGGTGTGTGACGTCTGCGATGTCACCCACCCTGCTCGGTCAACTAGCCGACTGGAGTTGCGATAAATCCCCCTCCCCTCTTCCGCAGTCCCCCACTCACCTCGGTGCCCTCGGGCCGTCATTTCGGTTCTTGATTGTCCGATGCTGTCGGACAAGGCGAGCGAGATCGATGGGGTACATATCTCGTCTCGGCGAGTAGATGAGCGACTGCGGAGCGACACCTGTCTGGACGTTGCTCGCCGATACCAAGGGCCATCCATGATATTACCACCTTGGCTCGCCCCTTTCCTCAATTCTTGCCAAGATGTACGCCAAGTCAATCCCAAGTGTCCAACCTGTGGTGCGGCCCAAGAGTCGTCCAAACACCATCCATCTCATACTACTCGTATGCATGCAAGTACTACTGGTACATATTTCCCAAACCCCTGCATATTTCTTACACATAAAAACAAAGGAGACAGCGTTGAAGCGCGCGTTGTAGCGGTCGGTATCCGCGGTGGGTCGTGGCAGATTGGACTGGTTGGTAGCCAAAAGAGCCCGTGTTTGAGTCGGTGTGCGCCCAGGCGCCAGCGGGTGTGGGGTGGGTCTTGGCAAAATGGGTACACTTTGTTGAAAGTGGTGAGTTCGAGGCGGCCGTCTAGGGGGAGGGGTGACGCGCAATTGTCCATTGGAGAGAGGTGGGTGGCAAGGCCGGGGGTGGTGGTTACAGAGGTGATCGACAAACGACTGGGGTGGACGATGCAGGAAGCGAGCGTCATCCATCGTCAACCGGGGCCATTTCAGCGCCCAGCACGAGTTCATGCTGAGCCAGATTATCCGGACACGGTGCGGATACGGCGCAGAGTCCTCGAGTAGCTGTCGGGAGACTCGCCCACGATCCTCTTGAATGTGCGCTGGCTGATGGACGTCAGAATGTGTTGATAAGGGTTCACTATGGACCTGGCGCGGAACACGGGGAAGACTTACAAGTGGAACTTGGACATGGACACGGCCTCGGACAGCTTGGACAGGCTGGGGACCGGGATACGGCCGTCCGAGTTGACGGCCTCGGCGATGATGGCCTTTGCCTGCTCCACTGCGATTATCTGTCGAGTTTCGCTGGCGCTTGCGAGGCAGTCGGGAAGGCAGCGGCGGCATGCACGGTAGCCGAGCTCCTCGGCCTCGCCAGGAGTGCGGGTGAACACGACGTTGTGCCGCAATGCGCGGCGCGAGGGGCAGGTTGGACGACAGTAGATGCGGGTGCTGGTGACACAGTAGACAAAGGCAGCGTCGGCCGCCGGGTCGCGCGCGAGCACCGCCGCCCACTTGTCGTCTTCGCTTGCGAACGCTTCCTGCGCCAGGATGAAGGGCGTCACGTCGAATGGAAGCGAATAGTCGGCGGGAGGGGCGGTGGAACGGCTTCCACTCGAGCTCATGGTTGGTGCGGGCTGGGGTACTGGCAGTGGGAGCTGCTGCATGGGCGCCGGGGGTTGGTGGGAGACGGGCTTGGCAGGAACTGCGCTCGGTGTCATGGGTGGTGTCCACGCCATCATCCACCCGGGTGGCGTACTGGACGACGACGGCTCGCCGTAGATGTGGTGGTGGGGGGCGAAGGGGTATGAGGGCGAGACGCCGCCGCCCACTGCGAAGGGGTACATTCCATGCAGCTGCAGCCCGGGATCCATGAAGAGAAGCGCGGGGTCGATGCCAGTACCGGCTGCCGCGTCGCCGTCGTACAGGTCAGCGTTGTTGGTGAGGAGGGGGTCCATGTCGAGCGGCGAGAGGGCGACGGCTGAGAGCTGAGTCAGTTTCCTGTCAAGTTCCGCCCAAGGGCCGGACGCGGGCTGTCGCGGCTCTTGGCTGACTCCACACTCACAGCTTGCCGACACGGATGAGGCCGAACGGCCAGGTGTATCGAGGGGAGGTGGGAACGAGTGCATGTGGTGGTGGTGGTCCATGGCGAGCATAATCCGCAGTCCAGACAGAAGGTTGGAACACTCAAAAAAGGTGGGGTTGGTGGAGACAAGATGAGATTGTTGGTGTGTGCGCGCGCGGAATATAGGTGGCGGCTGAGTGGATGATTAAACGAAAAAGAGTTGGCTCTTTCTGTGTGGTGCTGTTTCTTTTGATGATAAACCGCAGACGGGCAGCGTGCGGTGCGGGTCTTGGCGTGCGGCACGGGCTTCCATAAACAGGGGAGAAGAGCACGGAACAGCTAGGTCGCGATCAAAGGCCGCCGCTGGCCGCTGACACGAGTCGAGTAGACGCAGGTACACACAGAGTACACACGATGCCCCCCCCCCCGCCGGCAACCTCGGCAAGGGACCTCTCATGGGCCCTCTTGGGGTGCGAAGGCGAGAGACCCACTCTCACACCTACGACAGGTGTGAGTGTGGAGGGCCCAGTTGGGGGGGACGACGACGAGGGCACTGTACCTGCAGGCGGGCGAGCCCACCAGCGCGCGCGCAGTGGCTTGGCTGATGGAACCATTCCGGACATGGGTGAGGGAGGGAGTGGGGGGGGGCACGGCCAAGCACGGTTTTGACGTCACGGTGGGTCGTTGCTATCAAATTCGCTGCCGACGGCACCCGTGTTGCCCGCAGCCTGCCGCGAGCCTGTCGCCTGTGCGTGGTTGGCATTTTTCATGTGGGTGGCCTTGGGTGCCCTGTGTGTGGCCGTGTCCTGTCGACTGTCCTGTCCTGTCCTGTCTCGCCGTCGAGACGTGCCTTTCTCTCTGCCTGAACACTCCTGTCCTTCTGCCTTTGCCCGCCACTCCGCCGTCCGTCCGTCCGGAGCCGGACTCCTGAGAATCCTACTGGCCGTACTGGAATGTCGGACCGGTGTGGCGCATGGTGATTCCCAGCTCCAGGCAACGGGTGTGGACAATTGCACAGCTGCAGCACGCGCCAGGCATCGGACGCACAGGGGCGAGAGTGGACGGACCCGTCCGAGAAGGGGGGCGGCGGCCGTCCCTTCCAACCCCAACCGGTCGTTCCCAGATCCCACATCCTCTCAGGTCAGGTCCGAGGTTTTAGTGAGCGGTCCAGAAAGAAAATGCAGCGTGCCCAGAAATGCTCCGCGTCCGCATTGGCAGACACGTTGCTCGCCATGGAAAGGACTGCGGATATCACAGTACCATAGCAATGGATGTCACTGCTGGCTGCGCACCAGTTGCTTTTTTATCTTATCACGGGCGACGATCACCACAAGTACACACAGATCCACGCGCCATGGTGATTTTTTTTCTCGTCAGCCACATTACCTGCTTCACCTGCCCGTGCAGGACCGCACATTTACGTTCGGCAATCCGTTGATCCGCAGCAGGTGGGAGAGGTGCATGCGCCGCGAGGCCAACGGACAAAGAACACCCACAGGAAGAGCTCTGGACATCAGGCAGATCTCGCAGAAGTGCCGGCCGACGTGGAGGGCCAACGCACTTTTGCTCCCGCTGTTAATTGAATCTATAGAATCAATTACGATCGGACATGACTGGTTGGTAATTAATTCAGCGCGTGCGGTCAAGCGCGCTAATAAAAGCTCCCCCCCACGTGACCAGGGTGAGCGCCGGATCCGGACGGAAATACCCGCGCTTCCCTGGGGGAAATGGAAAAACATCAACCTGTGAAAGCCAGGTCGCAAGAAAAAAAAAAAGGGGCAAAAACATGACTGCTCGCCACTCAGCGACCGCAGTGACCGCAGCGACAGAGCGACAGAGCGACAAGTACACAGAAGTCGGGAATGCGCACGTAACGACAAGAGTGGGGGAGAGGGCGAGATCTTCCTTGTTGTTCACCGACCAATGTCCGATCTGCTCAAGGAAACACTTGGCTCCGCACCTCTTGGCATTGTCCGCTTAATGGTGGCGCACCCCCAATCCGCCGCCTCGAAACGCGTCGTTCGTGCAGGTCGTCCGCCAAAAAAAGGACGACGAGGACCCCCAAGATCCCAAGCATCGGACATCGGCCACGGCCATTTACAATTACCGTCACGCTCTTTCCTGAAGTGAGTCTGGGGAAAGGGCGACATCGAGCTCGAGACGAGGCGATGCAGAGGGAGGGCCCATTACGAGACGCAGGGGTCCGATGCCTTGCAACTGCATTGTGCAGAAAAAAGCATGCCAAGAGATCGTCGTGTACGTCTGCAAACCAAATGTCGACTCCGACCAGCTCGAGTTCCCCCGATGAAAACACATGCTTTGGTGACACCTGGATTGGCTCGCCCGGACCATGCGAAGTTTACGAGTGTGCTGACGGTATTCACGTGCCGCATCGGTCATCTCCACCGCACCGCTCCCCCGCAAATCAGAATAGGAGATTAGAAGAAAAAAAAAACAGAGGCCAGCGGACATAGGCAAAGTTGGTAGAAACCGGTCTTCTTGGCGCTGGCGGCGGCCCGTCTCAATATTTGGCCATGTGAACGCACGCAGAGGGCTGCCACCCACGGCCACTCTGCGACAGTCCCCTAGCTTGGCCGTCTCTAGGGGTCGCTTGGACGCCTCAAGTCACAGCAGCGAGCACATGTCGTTCTGGCTGTCGGTGGAGTTTCGGTGTCTTCCTTCCGTCCACGGAGATCCCAGCAGAGATTCAGTGACATGTGGAGACTACTCATTCACATGTGGAAACCTTTTAAAATAGCTCCCAGTGCGCGAGAGTGCACATCAGACGCGTTTAGATGCGTGTCCACGTCCACTTGACCCGCTACTCGGTTGTGTGAAGCTGTGCTGACACAGTTGCGTCTCCCGCGTGCAATGCTGCTGAATGTGGCGGCGCCAGGTGGTTAGAATAGGAACAGAACGCCTCTCGCAGACCTCCAGGGTGCACGGAACCTCCCTCGAGCTCGCAAGAGGATCGTGATCCAGGGTTTGTTCGGTCCAGCAGCTCAAACACCATTTCATGGGAACCGACGTCCGAGAGCTGGGGGCCTGGATGTCAGCTGTTATTCCACCTGGGCTGGCAAGATGTTCCAGAATCTTTTCCTTTTGTCTAGCACATGTTCTCCACCATGGGCCCATGGGCTCATCGACATGGATAAACGATACATGGGTGATGTCAAACCCACCGGGCTCACCGCAGAGGAAGATGCCGTGGCGTCCCGTTGGCGTGTGAGAAACGCCGAGACTGACAGGGATCGGCCCCCGGGACACCTCGAACAGCACGCTCGCACTCGTTCTTGTTGTAGCCCGATGCAGGGTTAAAAAAGAACCTGTCCCTCAGCAGGGTGCGCATCGGAACTTGGACTTGATATGGGGCTCCGAAGGTCGCTGTTGTCGGAGTTGGTCCGCACACGCCGTGTCCCGTTCAAGCCAAATGGTGGATGACGAGTGCTTTTGGTTCGCGAGGTGCAGGTCCGTCGGGCGGACGGATTGACGCCGTGGCGAGTGTCGGACAACGGTGCGAGCGGCGGGCCTCTCCGCTGGTGGGCGGTCCGACAGGGTCGTCTGAACACCATCTGTATTTTCAGCCCAACTGTTCCCCGAAGTGACGGTCTACGACGCTGTAAGAGTACCAAATTTCATGGGCCATTACTGGAGTGCCACACACCTGGACATGGAATCTTGTATCCGGATCGTCGAGGACAGACTGAGAATACACGTCCATTTACTTTACGCTTATTTAATGAGCTGGGACGTAAGTACTCGCTCCTCTCCTAGTCGAAACTCACTAAACAACTGGTCCCACACGGGAACCGCCACACACGGTACGTGCCCAAGGCACTGTTTCCATCCTCCTCCAGCTCTGCCGCACATGCTCTCCTGTCCTCGCACGTACAGGTACCTGTCATTGCACATGGGCTGCGACCTGATAACACCGTCCTCGGGCAAGACAGCACATGCCTCACTCAGGTGGACGATCTCGTGGTCTTGTTCCTGCACCACGCGTGTCAATGAGCTGGCCAGGGCTGTCATTGTGTGATTGCGGAATGGGCATAGCAGCGACGGATGTGCCGAGGGTGAGGGGACACACTGTCAGACAGGGAACCAAAATATGTCTACTGGTGGTCCACGGTTTGACTGAAGCTCGTTACGACAACTAACAGAGCTGAATCCGGTTTGAGCTGCGCCTGATGTGGGATCTGATGGGGGGAAAAAGGTGAGATTCACGCACTTGAGGGGACTCTTGGCGCATCGTTCGTTAGCTGCGGGTTGTACTTGGGGGTCTCTGGCTGCTCGTCGTGCTTGTGCTCGTCGTGCTCTTGGTTAGTTGCCGCTGACGGCGGCTGTGGCGTCATTCCACAGGGTTTGTCTCACCGCAGCCGAGCTTCTAAGTATGTAACGGAGTAGAAGCTAGCTGCGCACTTGCCCTTCCTGCCTCCCGTCCACGATCCACGATATCCTCGACCAAATTAGGCTGGGGACGCTAGAGGCCCTACCGACCTTGCCGACCATAGGCAGCAAACTTTCTCGGAGCCGGGGAGTCACCTTGGATTCGGGTTTGTGCTCCTGGCCCTTGGTTCTTGGCAGACTCGCTGGCTGACGCGATGGCTGTGGATTTGGCTGGAGGGCCTCCAATGGTCCGGATGTCACTGAAGAGGACGAGGATGTAGTTGTTTGCTTGCCACCGGGATCGGCAAGGCCGCCATCGTCGCCGGTGCCTCGGTGGGATCGGTGGCTGTCGGCTCGCGAAATGGGGATGAGTCGACGGTTTGGGAGCGAACAGTCGAGGACTGGCCAGTTCAACTGAAGCTCTGGTGTCTCGATTCGGCTAGTCGATCTTCGACTCAAGATCTGGTCTCACCGACGTTCCAGAATAGCCATCACCGAGATGTGCGTCGCGTGTGTGGTGTGCAAGCTCGCCCACACCGTGGTCGCCGTTTTTCCCCCGTCCCCGAGGGCTGCACGCTCGGGTACGTCCACTCTACATCTTGCCACGACCGACCTCGCTTCCGACGTCGCTTTATAAGCAGCTTCGCGTCGGCAGGGCTGTTGAAGCTGTTGTGTGACTGAGGATCGGTGTCCAAGAGAGGGCTGATTTCAGGCGGTCAAACATCGCACATGAAAACGTCCTTCAATCTTCAAGTCTGGTGACTGTCAGCGGCGACTCTCGGACAAGGACCTGGCCGCTTCAGCCTGTCATCCATATCCTCACACGACATGCATGCCACGCCTTCCATTAAGGAAGCCCGGATGGTGGCATGATATCAGCCTTGCAATATCTACATGTCGCCACGTGCACAGCACATGGCGATGCAGAATTTGGTTCCGCTTTGCCCCACATCCCTGAGCATCTCATGACGTCGGTAACTGACCACCTTCTTGCTCACTCTTTCAACAACAACAACCATGCTCCCAACGCCGACCCCCTCAGAGGAGAGACACTCAACACCCTCAGACGAGGGAAACTCGTCTCCGTCTGACACGGAGCCCACGCTCCTTCACCCACAATTTCTCGCGCCCGTTCCCGCCAATGTCTCGAACCACTGGGTGTACCTCTTCTTCCGGTTCTGCGCCGAAAGGCATGCCATGTACGACCGTCGCGTGGCCGGTGTCGAGCGCGACAAGCTCACCGCGGATGAAACCATGCAGAGTTTGCATATTGGCAACGTCTACCGCGAGCTGGACCCCGGCGGAGCCAACATTCTCAAGAACGCGCTGAACGTTGGCGACCAGTCGCGCGAAGAGGTGGTCTGTGAGTAGGCTGAAATGAAAGAGGTACCTTTTGCAAGGCGTCCCCCTGCTCGAGAACCGGGGTAACATGGATGGGGCAGGTGGTGATCCTGTGCGCACATTCGTGTTCCCGGCCTGCTGTGCTACGCATCGCGTGGATCACTGTACTAATATGTTCAGTCCGCATGCTGCTGTATGCCCAGTTCTACAACCCGGACACGTGGGCGGCCCTCAGCAGCGTTGCGGAGGGTGGCCTGCCTTCATTGGCTCATTACGAGGCCGACCTTCCAAAGTTCGAGGCAGTGCTGTATCGTATAAGCATGGTTGAAGGTGTCAAGATCTACTACGGCGGCTTCCAACTCGTTCCGCCAACGATCTACTTTACCGACGACCGCAACCGCGACAAGGCGATGCACCACTATGCAGCGTCCCTCCGCCTCGTTCTTGCCATGATGAAGGCCGGCCTCCCTGCCATGCTCGAGCAATGCGTTGTGAGTTGAATTGCCTCTGGCGTGTCCACGACTTACCCCAACAGTTCGCTGTCGACGCCAGCAACGTCTTGCAGACTCTCCCCACCCTCGGCGGCTTCCTCTCGCTCAACATCCTGTGCATGCTGAACCAAACGCCGCACTTTGACTGGCCGTACAGGAGGTTTGCGTCGTGCGGCCCTGGTTCGCGCAAGTGCCTGCAGAGGATGTTCGGCAAGGAGGTCATCAACTCTGTCGCCATGGAAGAGGCAGGCCTGCAGTGGCTGAGCGACAACCAGTGGAGATATTGGGCGCGGCTCGGTATTGACCCGACGTATGCCAATGACGTTCCTGGCATCAGGCCTGGTGAGTGGAGGCAGGCCGTTCGATGGAGGTCGCCATAATCTAACATTCCAGGTATGCGCGTCCTCGACTTTGAAAACGCACTCTGTTGGGCGCACAGATACATCGCCGCATACGAAAAGAAGAGCAGCATGCGCTCTTTGGCGATGTTCCTGCGCCCGTCTACGATGCCGAGGTCACTGAGACCGCACACGAGCCGGCATGGTGCGTCCCGGAGCAACACATTGGTGACTGGCGCCTGTTTGACGAGGCTGCCGCGAGGCTCGACCATCTCGACGACGGCGAGGACGTGTACGAGGTCGAGAAGGTTGTCGGCCGCAGGGGCGGTAACGGACGCGGCGACACGACGGGTCTGTTCCGCGTACGCTGGCGTGGCTGGGCGCCAGAGGAGGACACTTGGGAGACCGCCGCCGTCCTCAAGGATGGTTCGGAAGAGGTCCTCGACGAGTGGCTCGACTGGGAGAAGCGCGTGTGGGCGGCTATCGAGGACGTCAAACAGAACAAGCCGTTCAATAACCCCACGGACCCCAAGGCGGAGGACGGCGAGGGCATTGGCGAGCCATCCTCGAAGCGCCGCAGGAGTGGGCGCATCAGCCTCCCCAAGGCCGAGGATGCCGAGGCTACTGGTGAGCCATCCTCCAAGCACCGCAGGACTAGGGGTACCGCTCGCACCAGCTTGCCCAATGTCCACGCCGAGGATGCCGAGGTCAAAGGCGAGTCATCGTCCAAGCTCCGCAGGACAAGGGCACCTGCACGCTCGAGCTTGGGCAAGCTTAAGGTTGAGGTTGTGATCCCGACTCGTCGCCCGGTCCCTATCACCGTCGACACCAGTGACTCTGAGGTTGAGGTTTTCATGCCCTCCAACCGTCGCAAGACCCGCGCCAGCACCGTCACCAGTGTGGTCGACAGCGACGACGGCGACTGGTCCCCAACCGATCACAGAGCCCGTACTAACACGGGCGCAAGTGAGGTTGGCAACAGCGACGGCGACTGGTCTCCCACCCGTCGTAGGCCTCGCACCAGCTCGGGCGCCAAGGTGGAAAGGACCCCAACTCGCCGCAGCGCACGCACCAGCCTGCGTGCCACGGAGCCCGAGACAGACGAGGAGTGGTCTCCCACCCGCCGCAGGCCTCGCACCAGCACGAGCGCCAAGAAGGTGGAAAGGACCCCCACACGCCGCAGCGCACGTGCCAGCCTGCGTTACAATGAGCCCGAGACGGACTCGGAGTAAACGGACAGCCAAGGAGCGGAACGCAGGACTTGTATCATGACTCGTATACTGTATACAACAACATGTTATCGGAGAAGGGCTAATTCGGGTGTCTCGCAATTGACTACACGTATCGTCACTCGGATACTCTCAACGGAACATACTTTCAGAGTTGCTACACTCATAGCTCAAACCACCGAGATGACGAATGACGACTTCGGTATGTATCTCTCAGATTGACGGCGCCGTACCCAAAGCGGAACGAACAATCTCAATCTGGCGGTTCTTGGCCTCTACTTCGCGGTGCTGGCGGACGAGCTCGCGTCTGAGGCTGACGATTTCCTCATCGCGGTCCAGGAGGGTGTCGATGAGGACACTGCGGCCGCAGTTGGCGTACGGGACAGGTACAGCGGCGGAACCCTGCATCGGAGGTGGTGGAACGTCGTTGGTACCAGAAGGGCTGGGACCATGTTGAGGAGGGAGTGGCGACGGTGAGCTGGGCGAGACCGTAAGCGGTGCAGCGAGAATGTCGACGGAGGTTGCCTCTGGGTCCGCCTGGTGGGGAGGAATAACCTGGTCGTCTACTGGTTTGGGTACAGCGTCACCGTTGGGGCTGTTCGAGGACCAGGACGGGGCGTCCCTCCAAGACTCGGGTGAGGCTTGCGAGATGGAGGTCTCCCAGAAACGACGCTTGAGAGGGCGACCACGGAGCCCTCCCTCGTCCTCGGTATCAGAGTGCAGGCGGTACCGACGACCCCCGGTCACGGAGGTGGGAACGGCATTCTCTGCGTTCAGAGACACCTCGGGACCTTGGGAACTGCTTGTAGCAGTGGGCTGGGGCTTGGTGTGGTTGGCGGCCCGGGTCGTGACTTGCTCTTTGGCCGACTTGCTTGTGGACGTCCCGGCTGGGACCTTGGTTGACTTCTTGCCCGGGGCCTTGGCTGACTGCTTGGCTGGGGCCTTGGCTGACTTTTTGGTTGGGGTCTTGGCTGCATCCGAAACTACAGTGTCCAATGCAGCTGGAGTGGAGACCATGGGTGAGGCCATGGGGGGAAGCGTGGGCGGCGCGCTGGCGGTCGAGGGCGGAACAGAAGCCTGCAGTTCAGACTGACATGAACTCAGGCTTGGCACTGCGGGCACTCACTGGAACTTTAGCACGCGCAACACTGCGACGGCGGTTGTTATGCGCAATGTTGTAACGCTGCATCTTGGCACGACGCTCCATTTCGGCGGCAGGGCGAGGAACAAGTTGATACTTGCCCTCGCCGACATGTTGGTACTCGTTTTGCCCTCTGAGGGTTGGAATACCGCACTTTTTGTTGCTTGCCAAGCAGCCTCTGCATCTCCGCTCAATGGAGGATCGACTGGAACCACAACCTTCACGGACGGGGTCAATAACGCATTCATGACCGGCCTTGTCGCAGGGCGCACATGGCTGGGGAGACCTGATGCGTCAGTTCAACGGTCACTGACATTGACGGAGTTGGTGGAGGCAGAAAGCTCACAGATAAACTGGCTCGTCTTCAGCCCAGTTCGGAGCGCGCTGGATATGCAGAGCAGCGTGCTCCTCGGGAGTGAGGATGACAATGAGGGATTTGCTCATTGGGGAGATAAATGGGCGTTTTAGTGGGCAGTGGGTGACGAATGTTGAGAGGAAATAGGAGAAGAGGTGGAGTTGCAGAAGAAGGCCTTCCCTCTGACAGGTGCTACCTTCCCTCCCCACGGTGGCACCCCATCAGCTACCTACCACCCACACTGGCTTGTAGGCGGGGGTGACACTATGGCCTGCTTGCACTCTGGCACACCTTGATCTGGCCGTTGCCTTTTACCTCCCCCTTTGCGGTATGGCAACGCTGCAGGATGGTGCCATACACAAGTCTTGAGGAGCTACAGCGAAGTGATGACGTACCAGCGATACAAGAAGGTACATGAAACAATCGAAATGAAGAAGGCTATGTCTAGAGGTATCTCTGGAGGAGTGGAGACGGTATCTCTCAAAAAGCGGACTAAAGCTCGGCCTCATCAAACATCTTCAGTGCCAAGTCACTCGACTTGGAACCCAGGTCGCGAGACTCGAGGGCGAGTTTGCGAACGGCGACCAGCTTGTTCCTCAACTCGTCGACATCCTCGTCTCGTTGCTGAAGTTGATGGTCACGCTCAAGGAGAAGAGCAATAAGGTCTTGGTTGACAAGTGTAGAATAGTTCTGTGGACTACCTGGCTGACGTATGTGAGGGGCAGGGGCATTGTCGGGGAAAGAGGACACTGGTTTGGAGTCGCCCATGTCAGGGAGGAGCTTTTCAGGACAGAGGATGGCTTGACGTTGAGGGTCCGCAGCGTCCTCATCACTGTCGAGGTCGGCGGGTGTAGACGCAACACCTCGCCTGTCGGTGGCGACTGGGTGGTGGGAGACTGTACCGGATGGACCTGCTGCCTCCTCAGAGGACTTATGTCAGCTAGAATGCTACATATGTCACTGCCTTACTGAGTCATTGTCCTGGGTTTTAACGAGAGATAGTTGTCGTTGACGGCGATAGTAAGACACCAGATGTTGACGCCTCCGCTGAAGAATGTGGCTCGGCCGGAGGACTTTATGCCAAACCTTGTCGGCACCAAGCTGCAGCTCGTAGTCACCTTTGACGGTCACAAGTGTACACTTTCTGCTCGGGCAGCCGAGGCAGCAATTCCAAACAGAGACGCATTTGGGACCGAACCCCTTCCTAAGCGGGCGGACAATGCACTTGTGCTTCTTTCTATAACAACCACCACATGGCTGCGGGAACCTGAAAATCAGCCTGCGTCTGGTTTTTACGAGACCAGGCTCACTCGTACTGCTGGTCGTCCTCGGTCCATGTTGATGCCTTTTTGATACCCAGTGCTGCATGTTCCTCGGCTGTCAGGGTCATACCGGGTTCTGGTGCGGTGATGCTGGGTGCTGTCATTGCCAAGAGATACGAATATCTAAATGGGGTGGATGAAGGAAGATGGTGTGAGTTGGTGAACCTGCCTTCCCCCGCTGGTCCCTATTAAGTGTGGCACGCCAGGTGCTCGAGCACCTACCTCCTTCTCTGGTGGTGTATCTCTACAACCACATTGACACACTGTCCGAGTGAGCGTCCTCACTCAGATATCACGGCTTGTCAGCGCCTCGACCCTCCTCACTGGGGTGATTCCTGCCTGACATGCTTCTTCTGGAGGCCACCGTTGCCAGGGGTCGCGTCCAATACTGCGTGGTTGTCGGTCATGAGGCCAAAGTCGCCACCAAGCCAGCTCACGTCGATTGTGAGTCGGGGGATTATGGCGTACACGGCATGCTGTAGGCGCTGTGGGTGGAGGCGGGTGCGTGTGCGAGAGAGAGGTGTTGCATGCATGCAGTATGTACCAGGCCAACGGAAATGTGGCAGTAACAGGACAGGCCCAAATGGAGCACAGTTCGTGATCACGTGACTATGGTCGTGGTTCATGGTTCATGGTTCAGGTCCTTAAAAAGTAGGCGCACAAAGGCACGATTGGCGCCTAACCTCAGCAAAACAACGTGGTATACGCGTGGTAGACGGTGGCAACCGACACTGGAAGCGAAAGCAAAGTGGGACGCGATTTTAAACCGAACGGAAGCGAGACCGTTCATGGATCCGCGGTCGTTGAAGCGGATATGGCGATGCTCTCCTTGCTTGATCCGCAAGCCAGCAGCGTGCAGTAGGGCAGATCCAGGTGCCAAGCACAGCTCTACACGAACCCTTCATCGGCTCTGTAATCTTGAGTTCCCCTGACGACATCGCGCCGCTTCCTACCGCGTTGTCCTTTTTTTCTGACACTGGAGAGAGTCCATCGTTTGATCCGTCGCCAATATAAGCGTCAGGCGTGGTGGACATGTCAGTCGACATCATACCACCGTCAGGTACTCCACCTCACACCTACCACCGCCCACCACGCTCTCACCATGTCAACCAGTGCGGCTCTTGACCAGATGAACTTTACCGGCGGCTACCCCATTGGCAAGGACTTTGCGCCCAGCCTGATCTTTTCCCTCATCGTGTGTGGCACTGATGGTCGCCGCCTTCGCCGCTGTCCACAGCTAACCACAACAGTACGTCGCCCTCGTCCCTGTCGTGATTTACCGCTGGACACGCCCTGTATCGCGCTGCCGCAGTCTCATCTACCCGACCCTGTTTGTGGTGATACGTATAGGCTCCTTCATCCTCCGCACCGTGATGAGCAAAGTCAACTACGGAAAGGGGACTTTCAGTGAGTCGAACGCAGGCATGGCCGAGACTGTTGGCAAAAGGCCACACGCCACCCACACCTGCTGACGCCACAGTCGCCGAGCTCGTTCTCCTCGCCGTCCCCTTCTTCCTCATCACCTCGACCACCATCGACCTGTGGGAGCGACACGTAGCATCGGGCGTCTCGGTCGACGCGCAGCCTCTGTGGCTCCAGCGCGTCTGCCGCTTCCAGCAGCTCGGCCTGCTGGCTGCGACCATCATGTCCATCGTGTCCTCGGCAATGAGCGGCGGATCGGACCCGAACATTGACTTGATCAACAGGCTGCGCAAGGCGTCGTACCTCGTGTCCCTCGCCGTCGTGGTCACCACTTTTGGCGGCGTGCTCATGTGCCACGGCCAGCTCGGGCTCCGCACCCACGGGGCAGTGGTCCTCCTGTCGCTCTGTACCGGGCTGTTCGTTACCACCGTCTACAGCATTGCTCGTGTGTTTACGACAAACGCGGGAGCCTGGGTCCGCTCTCGTGCCGCGTACTATGTCCTCTGGGCCGCAGTCGAGGTCGTTCTTATTGGCATCTTGCTCGGTATCGCCATCCCGGTGCTCTTCCCCGGTGCCACCGAGGTGGAGGACGAGCGGAGGAGTGAGCAGTACATGCTCAAGGAGACCGCCGAGGGGAACGCAGAGGAGACCGCATAGGAGGGCAGGTGGAGGAGAATTAACATCGCACTGTTTAGAATTATCATAGATCATAGATGCGTGCCTCGCACATTACTGGATTTTAGGATGTATCAGTATCTCACACTCTTCCTTGTGGGACAGAAAACTGCATTCGACTGGGAGTTCCACAACATGCGTGCGCCTCGCCCTCTTCGCAGCGAGCGAAAGAGTGGGTACATCTGCCCGCACAATCCAACACAGCCGCACCTGTGCTGCTCAGATATACCAGGCATGACCAAGATGTGACCACCACACGCTCGTCGCTCCCTGCGACGATCCACTCCACCGGAGTTTTCAGTGGCACGCCACACGGGTCATTTTCCTCCATCATCGACCATGCCTCCGACCTTCAAACGTCCACAGTTCTCCTTCCACACGTTCAATGCATGCATCCAAAGGCATCCCCGCGATCGTCTCATCCAGGAGAACACTGCACAAATGGCAATGTGGCGGAGTGGTTAACGCGATTGACTCGAAATCAATTTCCTTCGGGAGCACATGTTCGAATCATGTCATTGTCGGTTGGAGAGCGCAACAGCGGTATCTTCTCTTTTGCTGTTTTACTTGGCGTGCTGACAAGTGTTATGCATAGAGGAGAGACTGTGGAACTGCTCTCTTTAGGTGTAGTACTGCACCTTTGTCCCCAGGATCTCCTCCTCGACCTTGTTGTTTACACCCGATCCACCCTTGTTCGACGGCGCGTCTACCATGATGTCAGCACCAACTCGAGTCAATGCGGCACTCACAGCTATTGCCAGTCCTCCTGATACGCTCCCTCAGCCACTCATCTTGCGTGGGAGCCTTCCCGCCAGCATCAATGCGGTCCTGGAACGGGTTCGTGCCGGCTGCCTTGACGACTGGCGACTCCCAGATCGGATTCAGAGGGAGATCGCGACGAGTGCGGGCAAAATGGATGAGAATGTAGCGGATCAAGTCGGCCTGGTCGAGGGGAGGACGAACGACACGGTGACGGGTCGCCTTGAATACGCCACCGGAGAGGAACTCGAGAGCGTCGGCCGTGTTCACCACGACGGCTCCTGGGACGTGCCTGACATACTTCCACTCGTCGTTTTTGGCCAGAATCTGAAGGGCCGTGATGGGCTGGGAGTATAAGAGCGAGATCGAGTTGTCTGTAAGTGTCAGCACTGGACAGGCAAAACAAGACCGTACAGTCCGTGTGTCCGCGGATATAAATATCCTTGGGCTTGTCGTCGTCGTCGCCCCTTGGAAAGTAGCCCATGTACCGCTGGCAGCTGGCGCCGATGATCTTGTCGTGGTCATGCAGTGCCCAAAGGTAGTCCTCTGGTAACTCCAAAGCAAGCGAAATGAGCTTGAGAATGCGGTAGACGACAAACTTGTACGTATGCTCGGCAAACGCCTTGATCTCGGGAATGAGAGGGCGAAGTGCATCAGGGTGCTGGAAGCCAGGGTCGAACGAGGACGACTCCAGATTGTAGTGCTCAATGTTATCCTTGACGCCGTCGCGCACAGCCCAGATGCCCCTCAGCTTGTATCCTTCATAGCTTCCAGCTTCCAGGTCGGCTGCATAAGGCTGCTTCTCCTCAAGAGGGAGGCTGGTGGCGTACTGGGCAATAGCCAGATGACGATTGAGGGTCTCGTCCGTGACACCCGTACCGGTGACGAAAAGGAAGCCGTCTTCGACAAGGGCCTTCTTGGTCGCGGCGACCAACTGGGCGCGCACACTGGGGTCGGGACTGTCAAGCAGCTGAAGGTCGATGGTCTCAAGATCGGCCCATGTCACTTCACAAGTCAATACTGTCCTGGTGCAGAGCACATACCTTCCGCGGTGGTGACGGGTGGTGGCACGAAAGCGGGAATGGCAGGTGCGATGGCTGATTTGTGCGACGCCGTGGTACGCAGCACAGGCGACTGGGATACTGCCGTAGGACTCATGTTTGGTATCGACGAGTTCTGTGTTCTCTGTTATTGGGGTATTTCAACAAGTGTGAGAAGTTGGCGAAGGAACGACCGAAGCATGCTGCGGTGAGGATTACGCCATCGGTCACTGACATGTCGTCTGCTACATATCTTCGGCAAATTGCCCGACAGTAACGCCGCGTTTTTCAGTACCAAATCACACTGAAAACAGCCATGTGCCCTTGCTGGTCGTCAGCAAACGGTGCCTTCAGGCCTCCAATGCAAGGCGTTGCTATGTATCCAGGGCTGCTTGCTAACCTGACCGGGTTTGCCGCGGCCGGTTGCTGGGGAAATTCACCGATCAGGTTCTGTTATCTAAATGCGCCACCAGTGCACAGATGGAAGCCATCGCACGTCATTTTTAGCGTGTCCCGTAACTGTCGAATGGCATTCCGTTTTTCTCAGTGGCAGTGGCAGTATGGTAAACTGGTCTGCCCCCATAGATAACGGAGGACGAGAGGGCAAGGGAGTCCCATACCTCGGATACCCACCAACATGCCTGCAAGTGTTGAGCACTCGGACACTGACGATTCGGCAAGCGTCACGTCACAGCCCAAGAAGGGCTGGAGCCTGTCGGCTGGTGAGTAACGTTGGAAGCAGGAGAAAAGCTGATTTCAGAACGCAAACTGGTGCTCAAGCTCGATGCTTCGCTCCTCATTTTCTCGGTCCTCGGACTGATTTGTCGCTACATCGACCAAACCAACATGAGCACTGCTTGTGAGTGACGAAACCCATATATCGTGTGCTCACCTGCCCTCAGTCGTCAGTGGAATGAAGTACGTGTGATGTGATGTAAGAACCCCAGTTCAGCAACTGACCTTCTGCAGAGAGGACCTGGGCATGTACGGCTTGCAATACAACTATGCCAACACATGCTGGGTGGTGTGAGTGCCCCGCAGAATAGCAGTGTGCTGACCACCCAGTGGCTACGTGATTGGGCAAATCCCCGGCAACATTCTTCTCAACCGCTTCTCTCCTCATTAGTGAGCATCTTGGTTTGGGTGGCGGCTCATACATGCTCAGTGTTGTGTTCATCCTGGAGTTTGGCTGGTCCATCATGACGCTCTGCACTACCTGGGTCACAACTTACCAACAAATCTACGTTATTCGCTTTTTTGTCGGACTTTTCGAGTCGGCATACTATCCAGGTCTCCGTGAGTGTCGCAAAACTGTGTGCCCAACAGAATGTCATTGACGGTCAAATCCAGACTTCCTAATCGGCTCCTGGTATTCAAAGGAGGAACTTGGCAAGCGGGCCAGTTTGTTCCAGGCCGCATGTGCGATTGGTACTCTCCTCTCCCAAGTTCTCCAAGGCGGCGTCCACACGACCCTCAACGGCGTCGCAGGTCGCCCCGGTTGGCGTTGGATCTTTATCATTGACGCCGTCATTTCGTTCCCAGTCGCCATCGGGGCTTTCCTCATGCTTCCTGACTTGCCTGAAAAGATTCGTCCGAACTGGATTTTCAACCAGGACGATATCGATCTCGCGCGCGCAAGGCTCGCTGCTGAAGGTCGAAAGGGTACATCAAAGGATGGATTTAGTCGCAAAGCGTTCACGGAAATCTTCTCAACGTGGCATATTTGGGTGTTCACAATCTGCTACTCGCTTTACATCTTCATGCAGAGTAAGTTCATATGTTCACCAGTTGAAGGGCGTTGCTTACATGCAGATGTGACTGGCTCCATGGCTTTCTGGTTTAAGAATTCGACGTCACCGGTGTACACCGTTCAGCAGATCAACTAGTAAGCAGTGGCAAGTGTGCGGTGGCTGACTCATAGCTATCCGACGGGTATTTACGCAGTCCAGATCGCATCCAGTTTCTTCCTCGGCTGGGTGGACGACACGTTCCTCAAGCAGCGTCGCTGGCCCTTGATCGTCGCCACGAGTGCAATCCACATCATCGTGTGTGCCCTCCTTGCTGCATTGCCAGTGTATCAAGACAACCGGGCGGGACGATGGGTAGGTCGCATGGGACGACATATCTGACGAGCACAGGCCCTCTATTACCTGACTGGAATGATTGAGGTCGGTGCAGGGTTGACCTATGCCTGTGAGTTTGTGAGTAGGAGTCGACAGCTGACAGTAAAGGGGCTGCCTCCGTGATCAGCACTTCATCTGAGAAGAGAGCCATTGTTACTGGCACGTACAATTCAGTCGCATGTGAGTTGCCTCCATACTGTCATTACCTGATCTCTGACGTCCCAGTTTCTTTCAATGCGTGGTTACCTCGTGAGTGGCAATGGCGAGGATGGCCAGGGACATTGGGACTGACAACCCAGTCATCTTTTTCAAGCAGACAGACCAGCCCGCGGTCTTCAAGGGTAACGTGGCGGTCTCTGTTGCCTCTGGCTTGCTCATCGTCTTCATTTTCCTCATCTTGTATCTTTCGAAGCGCGATGAGCGCAGGGCAAGGTTGGCGCAGGGAGACGAGAGTGTTTCGACAACCGCTGTTCAATATTATCCCCAGGCCACAAAAGCCGATAGCTTCGAGGTGGAGACGGGAAAGCTGTGAGACCTGCACTGGATACAAGGTGTCTGTGCCATGTGGAGCGGTGGCGGTGGTGGAATGCATCAGTTGCACCAATCCTGATACTTTCCTGTGGCGCCATCGAACGGATTCGGATCGGTCCGGCTGGTGGCCGTATCATTGTTTGGATGCCGTGCTTATTCATCTTGCTCAACGCCCTCCGCCGCAAGTGGTCGGGGACCAACCATTTCAAAGAGCCCATACCCAGCTGCTCAGATAGTTGCAGATACAGATGGCCGATGGTGCAGTGCAGGGATAGACAGTCCGGTCTGAAATGAGATGGGTCGGACTTGACCGAAAATGACGGCATGGTGAACTCGCCGAACGTGCTCGGTGGCGGCGATGGCGAGCGAGCGGCTTATTCACCGACATTGACGCGCAACATTCTGCCCACCAGTCTCTGTAATCCGACCCATTGTCTTCGCTATGAGCACTGGCGAAGAAAGTGGTCACGTATGCCGATTTGTGGGCACATGACACCGTTACATGATACATAAGCCTGGAACGCATCTACATAGCTAAGATTCAGACGACATTCCCTCCACACATCGCAACCATGACTGCTGCTGTACAGGCCCCTGTGGACCTCCTCAACCACCAACTCAAGTCTCTGGACATCCAACAGATCGACAGGTACAACGGCGCCTACGGTGACCTCAACAATGACCTTTACGGCAAGGCCACCAAGGCTTACAAGAAGGAAAATGTGACAGAGGATGAAAAGCAACGTCGCATCTTTGCGACCAGCTACGAGCCGTCGGAGGAGTGGTGGGCTACCAACCAGAAGGAGTACAAGAAGCCCGAGCACGACCCGCTCCCCGAAGGATTCCCCGAGAAGGTCGTCTCACCCACTGTATGGGATGGCAAGGTGCTCATTAACGAGCGTGAGTGCACGTTAGCCTGACTGTTTGCTGACGACTTTTAGCCAAAAAGTGGACCTACAACTTCACCACCGAGGACATCAACGTCCTCAACGCCGCATATGACCACTTTGTGTCTCTGAAGGTGTCGAACGACTCGATCTCACGCGAGACATTCCCTATCCCCGCGGACTCGGGACTCTTCAAGCAGCTTCAGGAGACCGACAAGGAGATTAAGAGTGGTCTCGGTTTCCGTGTCCTCCGCGGTCTGCCCGTTGACGACTGGGAGCGTATCAAGCAGATTGTAATCTTCGCCGGTATCTCGTCCTACGTCGGGGGCAGGCGGATTAAGCAGGGACCCAAGAACATTGTCCACCTGCGCGACATTACCCAGCTCGAGGCCGACAAGCGTCCCGCCATCGGTGAGTTTCTCAGCACACAAGTGGCGCTAACTTGCAGTCGTCAAGGGCCAGACAAGCGGTAACCAAGGTATGTCGTAACCTATCATTGGGAGACAAGCTTCTGACACCTTCAGTCTACCACAACGATGGAAGCACCGGTATCGTCGGCCTCCTCACCCTTGGAAGGGCAGAGACTGGTGGACTGTCGCAGCTCGCGTCCGTCGGACACACGTACAATGAACTGGCTGCCACCCGCCGCGACATTGTCCGCGAGCTGGCCAAGGACGACTGGAAGAACAAGATCTTCCCTGATGGTAAGCGTGGAGCCGCGCTGTCATTGAACTGCCTCACTCACACTGTCCAGGCAAGGCACTCATCTTCCCCATCGACGGTGATCAGATCGTCTCCTCATACTCTCGCCGGCCCTTCTTCGGGTTCTTCGAGGCTGACGCGGACGTCCCGCCTCTTCCCACGGAGAAGCACCTCGCCCTCGACGCCATCCACTTCACCGCCGCCAAGTCTGGACTCGACATTGAGCTTCGCAAGGGCGACCTGGAGTACTTGAACAACGTCCTGGTCTTCCATGGTGAGTAGCTCAAGGGACCGTGCACGGCCGTGGTGTTGACCCAGTGCGCAGCGCGAGACGCGTCCGAAGACTCGGAGGAGAATGCCAGGCACCTGATTCGAATCCACCTCGAGAACCTGGAACAGCCTCTGCCTGCCCATTTGCGCGAGGCATTTAACACTTTGAATGCCGGCGAGGCTCACGACTGGCCTCTGGAGGCCTGGGATGAGTAGACCAGATTACGATGGTTAAGGTTGTAGCAAGGTTATATGTGAAGCAGTCTTCTAAACATCGGGTCGGCCAAAGGTATCCCCACATATGCGACCGTATTCCCTAAAAGGGAAGGGCATATCTACATGCTGCATATCAGGTGATCTACAAGTATGGCAGGAGTAAAAGCCGGACTGGCTTGGTGACCGGCTTCGTGGTTGGGGTGTCATCGTCACATCCGAATACTGTACCATCGAGCCGTTGCGACTAAACAGTTGCTGCCTGGGAAATCTGGGAGCCAAGTTGCGCGATGGTGTGGAGCTTCTGCATCAGAGCCTGGGCGATGTTGTCGTTCTCCTTCAGCTGTTCGTCGCGCCTGACAAGTAGAGTCACGAGGTCCTCGGTAGACAAACCAGCATACGGTTGGCGCTCCCAATCTTGAGTCGGGTTCGAACGAGTAGCTGTGTCGGGCAGTTGTGGGGCACGCGACGAATGGCCGTTGTCGTCCACAAGAGCGTGGTAAGAGTCCAGTTCTCCACTCATCTCCTCGTCTACGCTGCCGGCGTTTGGGCTCGCAGGGTCATTGTGACTTTCACGTGGGCTTTCAGCGTCGTCGGGTTGGGAGTGGGAATCGAGCGGCTGCGGCGTGCAAGCGGCAGTCCAATCGGAATCGGAATCGGACTCGGAAGCTGAAGGCGAAGGAGACTGCTTGCGGCGACGGAGGCTGTACTTGGACGTCTGCTTGTTTAGGAGGGATTTGGGCCTGTCGGACTGCGGCGCGTTGTATTGAGCGACTGGTTTACTACGCTTCCTTTTGCGGTGGACCACGCCCTGGCCGTTAGTATGAGGTTGGCCCACTGCCGGCTCTTACCTGGCGCTCCCTGAAGTTCTTAGCATTGCGGGTGATCCTTTCACGTTGCTTGATAATGTGTTGGGGAAGGCGAACCAGGCTGAACGTGCCAGACGCCGCGGTGAATTTCCATTGGTGCTTGCCACGTCTGGTGAAGATGTTGCAGACATGCTGTTGGGTCCTGCATCCGTCGCATCGGGCGAAGACCGTATAGTAGTCCTTGACGTCGCCAATACGGAGTGGTGGGATATAGCACTGCTCGTTGTCAAGGGAACACTTGTCGCAGGTGAGCGGTGACCTGTGGGTCCATTAGCGCCCGCTTGACGCGACGAGCTTGGTCACCTGGGTGACTCACTGGTATAGAGGGTCCTCTTCAGTCCACGAAGAAGCCTTTTGAATTCCCAGGGCTAGATGCTCCTCCGCAGAGAGGATATGGCGCCGCATTGTATTACAAGGGTTGTTGGAGGAAGAATGGGTGGAAGCAAGAACTTTGATGTGCGCTGATGGGGCGTTTCTGCGTTTCTGTCTGTTTTGCCTCCACCCAGCCACCGACCACGGGGTGGGGGGTGGTGGACAACAAGGTGACGTGGACAACGGTTCCAGATAGAGCATGGGGCCACCCATCGACCACAGCGACATCTTGATCGTTCCCACTACTTCCATATATCTATAGGCCATATATCTATAGGCCATATATCTATAGGCCATAGGCAGGGCAATGTAACTGGTTAGTGCATGATGTGGTGCAAACTGCGACGACTGCTTGGCGCATACTTCGTCACTGATCACTGATGCCACATGGTGCATACATACATGCTATTCCTCCGTTGGCTGGTGGTGCTCTGCCTCTGTACTGTGCAGGAGGCCACCAATACCATAGTTCCTTTTTCCCACTATCGCCTGTTACTGTCACATGCACATGCACACTCTTATAGCCTGCTGCCACGGAGAATCTGGCGCTGAAGGTCAATGACCTCGTCCTTAAGGTTCGCATTTTCCCTCTCGAGCCGTTTGACACGCTCCCTATCCGACTTGAGACGGCCGTTTTCGGATTCCAAGGAATGGATAGCGGCGTTCTTGCGCTTCAGTTGTTCTTCGAGTTCCTTGATTCCTGGAAAGAGTGAGCTCGGGTAGTGGCGCTCGGTGCCACCCACGTCTCGAGAACCGAGATTGTTCTGGGTTGCCCCACGCGTTACCTTCTTGCTCATCATGAACCTTGGTTCTGTCAGTGGGAATGTACGGTGCGCAATATGTGCACTCACCCTGGGACGCTTGCGGCCCTCGTTATCAGCTGACAAAGCGTCACAGGCATAGCCCTTGGTCTGCCTGTCCTGGATTGGCGGCAAGGTCGCAGGCTGAGGGCTGGCGCCGCTTTGAAGCTCAGCATGAGTACCGTTGGCGTCTGGTGGGTATTCGGTATCGAGCTGGCCAGAAGCAGAGGCCATATCGTCGCGGCTACGGTTACCAGTGCCCATGGAAGAAGATGTTGACGTCCGTTCGCTTCTGTTGGATTCAGTTGATGCAGTGCCCTCACGGCCGGGAAGGGCGGGAAGGTGGTCGGCGGCGATGGTGGGGTTCGAACTCGCGCGGATGTCCCCAGACGGGTGGCGTTGAGGCCAGCCATGGTCCTGGGCGGCGCGCTGGTGCTGAGCAGGGGACTGAGGACGAGACATGGCGTCGGGACGATACACGTCGTGTCCACGGAACCACGATGATGGCTCCCGGTCCCGCTGAGCCTTTCTCTGCTGCGCGCGCCTTCCGCGACGCGGACGACGGCCCTCATCCTCGTCATTCTCCACGCGGTACGGGCGGTAGCAGTCGTTGTTCATTGTGTGAGCTCGAGGAGTAGGGGCAAGAGAGAGTCGGCGGAGAAGGTCATTGGAGTCGGGAATGCGCGGTGAGGGGTTGTTACGGCTGGGGCTTGGTGAGGGCTGTCCTGTCTGGCGCATGTCGCGAGATTGACGCTGGTCACTCTGCTTTAGTTAGCATCATCGTTCGCCTCCCACACATCCCACACACCACGTACCGTGAAGGGCACGGTGACGACGCTGAAGGAGCCTCCACCCTCGCAGAGGTACTGCTTGTTGCGGCTTCCAGTGAGGATGGAGCAACCGCTCTGATCGTGGCGACCGCAACGTTGGCAGCGTTTGGGAATGTCGACCAATTGATCAGTGTCACCAGTCAACAGAGGTTCGATGACGCAGAGTCCGTCGGCACACATGTGACATGGGTAGGGCCATCTGAGAAGTGAGCGAATGAGTGTGGGTCGACTCACATGTACAGTGGCCGACTCTCCGTCCACGTGGGGGCCCGTTGTATCCCGAGAGCTAGGTGCTCCTCCGTGGTAAGCTCGCGAGAGGTCATGGGAATGTGGTGTGTGTGTTGTGGAGGAATGACATTGAGGAGAGAAGGTCCCCCCACACCTTGCCACACAAACCGTCAGGTTTTGATTCCGCCCGCTGGTCGATCCAGTCACCCGCTTCATGAATGCCACACGCCCAGCCCGCTCCTCACATCAACACACACACCATGTTGGCTTACAGCCGACGACTCACGCCTCTGGAGCATCATCAACTCGGGTTGGAGCCAGTGGAGGGATCGAACAAAGCGGCTCCCTTGTACAAGCAAGTCCAATCTCTCAGCCATTTCTAACCTCTGCAGATGGTCTCCGCCGTGCGAAAGGTGCAACGACAGCCAATGTGTCATTGAATGCCTGTGGACTGGCTCTCACGACGACCTTTTCATTATTCCCAAACATTGTCAAGGCTGCGGCACCTCCAAGTCTGTCAGCCGCCGCTGCACCGCGAGGAGCTGTAACCAACCCGATTCCCGGTCACAGTGGCAGTACATCAGCCCAGGCGTGTTCCGCCTGGTGGCCGTGTCCGAGGACGTGTACAACGAGGGCCAGAAGAAGGCGAAGCAGGTGATCAAGGTCGAAAAGAAGGCCAGGCTGAAGGCCAGGCAAAAGGCCAAGAAGAAGGTCGAGCTGGAGGCTAAGCAGAAGGCCGATCAGAGCGCCAACATTGTCAAACAGGAGCCTGAAAAGGTGAGCTTGCTATGCTGCGGACCTGACACATGTACAGGTCGAGAAGGCACCTCCGCGCATTGCCCATACCCGGCTTCAATCAACCTCAACTTCAGCCCTTGGAGAAGAATATCGCTCCAACACTTCGCTCACTCTCTCGACAACACCTGGACCAAGCAATTGTCCTCCTGACAACGACTGGTTCTTCATTCGTGATATTCCTCCCCATGTTTCCCTCCGCAATGGGCCCATAATCGACTGGGAATACAAGGCTCGTGAGCGTGAGGAGAGGAGAGAGAAGGCGTTTGGCCGCGAGCGCAACATGCGCGACATGAACTTCAATGCCAATGGACAACACCGCGACACGATTCTCCGGAACCACGACCACCGCCGAGATGGAGACTGGAGGGAGACGAGGGGTGACTGGGCCCCAGTTCGTGCTGTAAGGCATGACCACCCCCAGTACTACCACGATGTCCACCACAGGCAAGCACCCTACCACGTACCACGTCAACCGACTCTCGCTGAGCACTGGTCCCCGCCACGCCCCCTGAAGCGCATCAAGGTGAGGATCACCACATACAACAGCTTGCTGACCCGCCGCAGCTGAACGAGTCCATGGCCGCTTCGTCGTCCACTGCACACTACCACCAGTCGGACAGTGAGATTCGAACCCGCAAGACGAGTCTCGACTGCTTCACATCTGGGCGCTTCGTTCAAGTCGAGAACAGCAGCAAGCAGTCGCTGCTGTCCGAAAACCACCGCCTCCAAGAATGTGTCGATGCAAAGGACAAGCTCTTACAGACCAAGGAGCAGCTTATCGAGGCTCAGCGTAACCTCATTAAGTCCCTGGAGCGTTGAGTCCTGCGCGAAGTGAAGCGCAAGGAGAGGGTGGGACAGCAATGTGGACATGTACCGTTTGTTAGGGGGGGTGCTGTTTACGTAGCGTGTGTGCAAGCATGTGTTCGCTGGTGACTTGTGCAGGTGGTCTGCAAGATATCCAGGTATTGAAATCGTTCTCCACTAACAACGAATTCAGTAGTCTGGGCTAGAGTCAATCGGGGCTGGAGCGTGGACACCCTCAAGCAACTCAATCTTCGACTACAAGAATCTACTCTGCACACTTTTCATTACATTGTTGGTCATCCTGCCGTCTCCTTGCTCTCGTAAGTGCCCTGCACCCACAGAACGGCGGCATCAACGTGCAAATAGCCTCGCTTGCCTCATCGCTTCTTCTGCCAAAAGTTGTTCCAGTCCGTCAAGGTGTTGTGATGTGGCTTGGGCAAGTTCTTCTTCTCCGTCTTCTGTTTGGCTGTTGGGCGTCATCTCTGAGGGTCCGATGGTGACGAGCCATTCGATCTCGTCGTCGTCATCGTCCTCGGTTTCGTACTCCTTCTGCGCCGTGGGGTTCTCGGTACCGTCGCTGAGTCTAAGCCGGGCGAGATTGTCACCAAGCCAAACAATCTCGGTTTCAAGGTCGTCTTCGACGTTGGGGCCGCGCGCTTCGAGAATGTCACCGGTAAAATCATCGTTATGCTTCTGACCTTCAGGTAGACGGGAGGAGTGACGGTTCTCCCTGTTCAATGGATCGGGGAGCTCTCGGCGGGCAGGAACATGATCTGGGCGTGCTGGGACCGATTGACCACTGCGCGGATGGGTGTGATCGTTGGAGCGAGGTGGTGGCTTCCATGGTTGGGGGCGACTGAACGGATGGTACCGGCGGTTGTTGTCGTCACGAGGTCGACTACTTATCAGCAAACAGTTATCGGTACACCCTGGTGGGGGTTGAACGGCACCCGCGGTAGGCAGCCTGTGTACTCACGCGCGGTCTAGTTGGTTGATGCTGTTGGGGAAGGTGGCCACCTTTGCAGCGGCATGCGCACGGGTGTATTCAATGTTGGGTGTGTGCCGCGCCCCAGTAAGGCCGCATCTGATACGGCAAGTGGAGCAGTACGGTCCACAGCCCGCACAGTACTGCGCGCACGCGAGACACCAGTGACCACAGATGGGGCAGTAGCGTACCGGCTGGAGATGGTAGCCCCGTTGCATGTGGTGGAAGTCGTTGGTGGAGGAGTGATGTTGGGCAAGAGAGAAATAGAAATACAACGCGTCACGCGGACAGGACGGTGTGTCCGCAATTTGCCACCGGTTGGGCATCCCGTCATCTCCCTCTCTCTTTTGGACACACTCTCCATTTCTCCCAACTGCTCAACCTCTGAACGGCCAAAAACTCCACTTATGGAGTACATAGACCCGCATTCTCCAGATCGACAGATGGCCTCGTCTCGTCTTTCCCTTCCTGCTGGCGTCGTGCCGGGCGAAGATGAGGTCGTCGTCACTCCAAACCAACCCCGGCGCCTAGGGTGCGCATTTACCCCCGAGTCAACAGAGGAACACAGCTTGTCTCCAAAGAGTCCACACAGCGTGCGTCAATTCCCGCATGATGAGCTGACCAGTACACAGCATACACACATCGAACCAAGAGTCAACCAGGGAACCGATGCCACGGAGCTCAAAATGGAGATTGCCTGTCTCAAAGCCAAGCTCTCTCTTCGAGAGGAGGACAACGCACAACTTGTGGTCGCTTTCAGTCAGGAGCTCAAGAAGGTTTCGGACAAGTACAAGAAGGACGTTGCCGACCTCGAGCACGCTCACACGGCCAGCTTGAAGAAGCTGAAGAAACAACTTTGCCGAGCCCAGGACGACCTTCGCCTCCAGGCGGGGAACCACAGCAGCGACGTCTGGTATCTAAATCGTCACCTCAACCATGAGCAGAAGAAGAATGCCAACCTGAAGGCCGAGGTGGACCGACTCAGCAGTCTGCTGCGTGGGCGTGATCAGCGCGACCTGTACAACCAAACAACAGACGACCGCGGGCAGTACATGCGCCACGAGAGTAGAACTCGCCTTCCGGGTCCAAGTCGCCGTCGCACCTATGAGGACGCCCCGAACCACTACGAGTCCCGCCACTACGGTGCCGTCCGCTCCTACGAAACCAACATGTATCCACAAGATGACGACAAGCATGTTGGTTCTGACTGCTATCGTCCCATTGGATACCGACCAAACCGCCGTTGACGTAGAGACTGATGAGGAAGACCGAAGACGCTTGTAAAATTGCACAAATACATACCACTGTTGATAGTGTTCTAGTTGGCAGTTTCATATGTAGCGAGGGAAGCTCGTCGAGTGTCCGGGATGCAACAAAACACGAAAACCAAGTTGGCCCTCTACGTCTCTGCATACGACCGGTGGGGCAACACCCCAGTCGGTGGGTGTGCATGGGTGGGGGGATGTTTTGCCGGTCTGCCGGTCGGCATCTGCCTTTGTGGGACAAACACAGCGGGGCCAATTTCCAGCGGCGAATAACACCATTCTCACCATCATTGTCTTCTTTCATTCCATCCACCACCTCTCAAGATGGGCAACGTACCCTCTCAGCCTGCCCATCCACCGAGGGCATTCCTCCCTCCCCCTCCCCCCATTCCCACTCGCCCCGTCCACCTTGCTGCTACCAAGCGCAAGGCCCACCTTCCACTGAAGGGTGCTGGTTCGGCGGGAGACACGAAGCGCATCAAGGTGGGTGTTGGGGTCCATTCCCATGCAGCATGCTGACCGTGATTCAGGTTTCCGAGGACGACGACGACGACGACGATATCCAGGACGTCACCGAGATCCAGTCCCTCAAGGAAACCATCGACAAGAAAACCCTAAAGATCAAGAGACAAGCGGACGAGATCACCCACTTCCATGTGACGTTGAAGAAGCACAAGAATGAAAAGAAGACCCTTATCGACCGCCTTGATCAACTGTCAACTACGCTCGAAGAGAAAAGTCTGCAGCTGGACCACGTTGCCAAGTTAAAAGAGTCATTCCAGGCCGAGAACGTTCGCCTCAAGAAGGAGATGGAGACGTTGAAGGCCGACCACGCTCGTCCCCAGCAGCAGCACGGCAATGGCGTTGCTCTCAAGTCCAACAACGAGAACGTCCGTCCCCAGCAGCAGCAAACCATGGGCGTTGCCAACAAGTTCAACAGCATGAACGTTCGTCCCCAGCAACAGCACACCACTGGTGTTGCCCACAAGTCCAACAACAAGGCCTCTGAGAACGTTCGTCCCCAGCAGCAGACTGGGGCCATGGCCGACCAGCCCCAGAACGTGTAGCCAGAGAAGGAAGTGATGAAGTTTAGCGAGTGTCGTGTTTGGCGAGTGCCGTGTTTGGCGAGTGTCATGTAGTCGACTATGCATACCCCACTTGTACGGTTTGCGTACTGTTTTCAGCCATTGAACCAAAAACAAGGGGTGGCGAAAGAAGCCGCAACACAGTCCACTAACCCACGTCACACATTACGTAAGCCGCCAACCCGCCGAAACCGTGACAGAGTTGGGAGAGGAGAGGAGACCTAAAGGCGGGTTCAATGCCGAGTCGGCATGGTGGTCCCAGTACGGCTCAGATACTGGGGACCAGGCGACTGGTTGGTCACAGTTTGCAGTAATGGTTTCTCTTCTCAAGGGTGGGTAGACAGTTGGCTGTGAGTGTGGCACTGTACTGTGGCACCATGTCGAAATGAAAAAGAAACAAATGTCCCGAAAATCGAGCATTCGAACTTCCACTGCCGTAGCGGCCTCGTATGCAGCATGCCAAAGGGAGATGGCCCAAAAAGGCGACCCTTGCTGACCCAGGTCATTCTACGGTCACTGTCTGAGTTCCCAATGCAACAAGGATCAAAAGAGAACACTGTTCTTGCCTTCTACCCGAATTGAACGGGTGACCCTTTCATCTTAGCCGGCTGTTGACGAGTCACAGACACTACTAGTGAAAAATTCTAACCACTGAACTAAGAAGGCCAATGGTGATGACCGACTGCTCTCCAAGACGATCTCGGCGGCTGGTTTCTCTCCTAAAACATTCACATTACTCGAAGTTTTTGCGTGTACGCAAACTACAAGACACTACGGACGCTGGGGGTTTTCTGCTTCTTGCTTTTCCTTCTTTCTTCCGAGTCCAGCGAATTACAAGGTGACCTCGTTGAGGCTGGTCTGTTACAAGGCTACTTCTGGGATGTGTTTTTCAGGCATTTACGGTTGGGGTTGGGCTTGAACGTAACGACGGCGGAGGGGAGGAGGTCGGTCGCCGCGTGCGTGATGCCGGGGCTACCGACTGCGTTGACACCCATGGCCTAGCGACCGAGCATGGTCGAGTCGGGTGGCATGTCCATGCGCTCAATGTGCTGCTGCTCGTGCTTCTGACCGAGAGTGTTGACACCGGTCATGCCACCGCCGAGGGTGGCGCCGGGGACACCCGCGTTGGATGGGGCCATGAGGCCCTCCTCGCGAGCCTGCTCGCGCTCATACTCCCGCTTCTGGTGGTGGTGGTGGTGGGCCTCACCAGCACCACCGCCGGCAAGGGCACCGAGACCGGTGTCGCGTACCGTGTGAGAGTGGTGAGTGTCGGGGAAGCGACCTTCGGTCCTGTACGTCTCGGCCTCGCGGCTGGGGTTGTAGGATGTGTCCGCAGCCGAGCCGGTCATGGGGGTGTGGCGGAGACCGTTGTCGTCCATGATACCACCATGGGCGTGGGGAGAGGTGTCGTGGTGAGCAGAGATCCCGTGAGAGGCAATACCACCAACGGCGCCGCCGGCGAGGGCGTCACGGCCGGTGTGCGAGTGGGGCTGCTGCAGGCCAGCCGAAGCGCCGGAGAGGCCGGAGTGTCCAGCAGCCGTTGAGTCGAGGTGGGTACCGCCAACGGTGGGGCCCATGCGCGACTCTTCGGCCTTGCGTTCCTTGTGCTGGTCGTACTCGTGCTTGCCCAGGGCACCAGCGCCGAGAGCACCGGCACCCATGGCCGCGTCGCGGCCAATGTGGTGCTGGCCATGCTGGTGCTGCGTACCAAGGGTGTCGGAGCCCATAGTGGAACCCATGGTGTTGGAACCCATGGTGTTGGAACCCATGGTGTTGGAACCCATGGTGTTGGAGCCCATCACGTTCGAGCCCATGCCGGTAGAGCCGGTGGTCCCGCGCATGTGCGCTGGGGAGTTGGAGTCAAATGCATCGTGGTCGCGCCTGTGCTCCTTGTGCTGGTCGTACTCGTGCTTGCCGAGCGCGCCCGCGCCGAGAGCGCCAGCTCCAACGGCCGCATCGCGTCCAAGGTGGTCTGGAATGTAAGCATTCAGGACACGTGTGCAGTAATGTTCACTTACGCTGGTGGTGCTGGGTGCCAGAGAGATCAGACTGCTGGTCCATACCCGTGGTAGAGTGGTGGGTACCGGTAAGGTTGCCTGCCTGTCGGTTGTCGTGCTTGTTGAGTTCATGGGCACCGAGGCCAGTGGCACCACCAGCCATGGCAGCGTCGCGGCCGACGTGGTGCTGTCCGGTAGTTCCGGTGAGACCCTCGCCAGTCGTCCTGTCGTGGTGCTTGTTGAGCTCGTGGGCACCGATTCCGGTGGCACCAGCAGCCAATGCTGCGTCGCGGCCGACATGGTGCTGAGTGCCATGCTGGCCGGTGGCGGTAGTGGGAGCAGTGCCCGCCACGGAAGCGCCCGTCATGTTGTCCTTGTTGCGAACACCATCACCGCCGGTAACAGCAGCAGTAGGGCTCGTGGGCGGAGAGACAGCCTCGAAGTTGTCGTTACGCCAGTCCTCCTTGGTGAGGCCCATAGACTTGAGCGACTCTTGCATCTTGCGGTCCTCAGCAGTCATGCCTTGCTCGCGGACGGCATGGGCCGGGACGGAGCCGTCGTTGGGCGAACGCTCCGCAGCAGTCGCCGCGTCGGCCGACGAGGTCGACAGACGGCCTTGAGTGCTGTGGGCCACGTCGTGGCGGTCGTGGTGCTTACCGAGCTCGTGAGCGCCGACACCACCAACAGCCGCGCCAGCAAGAGCGTCCCTGCCGAGGTGGCTGCTGCCGTGGTGTGTACCACCGACATTGTCGCGGCCAAGACCGGTTCCCGTAACGTTGTGTTCGTGGCCGAGTCCAGTTCCGGTGGTGCTCGTGCCCAGGTTGTCACGGCCAAGACCAACACCAGTCTGGTTGTTGTCGTGTTGCTTCTGGTGGTGGTGGTGAGCCAGCTCGCCGGCAGCGAGTCCTCCCGCGCCGACCATCGCAGCGTCGCGTCCAAGGTGGTGGTCCTTGTGTGTACCACCAACATTGTCGCGGCCGATACCGGTTCCCGTGACGTTGTGTTCGTGGCCAAGTCCAGCACCAGTGGTCGAGCCGAGATTGTCACGGCCAAGGTGGTCACGGCCGAGGCCTGTGCCAGCGTGGTGGTCAAGGTTCTTCTCGTTGTGGTGGTGAGCCATCTCGCCTGCGGCCAGTCCTCCGGCACCAGCGACAGCTGCATCACGGCCTAGGTGGTGTCGGTGACCCTCAGTAGCTGCGGTGCGGTCGTGGGATACGCCAGTGGCAGTTGTCGTGCCCATGGTGTTACCAGTGTTGGGAACGCCGCCACCCAGGCCGCCGAGACCGCCACCGGGCGCAACAGCGTGGGTCGTACCGGGGGCGTTGACACCCTGGCTGTCGTGGTGCTTCTTGTATTCGTGAGCGCCGAGGCCAGCGGCACCCAGGGCGCCAGCGCCCATGGCGGCGTCACGGCCATAGTGGTGCTGCTTGTCGCCAACGTTGTCGTCACGGCCAAGTCCCTGGTGGTCGTGGCCAAGACCGCGCGAGGTGGTGTCGTGGACGCCCGCACCTGCGCCGAGTCCTGTGCCAGCAGTGGGTGCTACGCCACCGGTCGTAGTGCCAAGGTGGTGGTCACCGTGCGTCTTGTCGTGGTGGTGCATTGCTGCCCCACCGGCGCCAAGAGCTCCCGCGCCGACGGCCGCATCCCTTCCAAGATGGTGCTGGTTACCGCCAAGGTCTGAAGACTGTCAGATTCACTGAGTTACGTCATACTCACTGCTATCGTGGCTCAATCCAGTCTGCGTGTTTCCGAGGCCAGTGGTCGTGTTGTCGCTGCGGCGATTACCAAAGGTACCTCCCACGTCGCCGTCAGGGCCAAACCCGGCAGCATAGGCAGCGTCGCGCTCAGCCTCCTTGTTGTGGTGATGGTGCACGGCAGCGCCCGTCGCACCAAGAGCGCCCGCTCCAAGAGCAGCGTTGCGGCCGAGGTCTGTTTAGGATGTCAACATGCTGTTCCTTTGAGCAAGTTCGTGACACTTACGGTGGTCCTTGTTGCCAGTCGTCGCATCGTGGTGGCCGAGACCTGTTCCGGTAGAGCCAACAGTGTTGCCAGTAAGGCCCGAGCCGACACCGGTGGTGGTCTTGTTTGAGCCAAGGCCGGTCACACCGGTTGTGCCCGTGGCGCGGTCACCAGTAAGATTGCCAGCGGCATCCCGGTCACCCTTGTGCTTGCTGTGCTCGTGAGCGGCAATGCCTGCGGCGCCGAGACCAGCTGCGCCAGCTCCGGCTACCGCGCCACGGTGGTCATGGAGGCCGGTCGAGCCGGTGGTGTGCGTGCCCGTGACGTTGGTACCCGTCGCGTCAGTGGCAGTTTCGTCCTTGCCAAAGATGGCAGCGACCTTGTCCTTGATCTTCTGGCCGACGCTGCGGTCCTCGCCGTCGTCGCCGAGCGAGCCGGCCGCGTGTTGGGTGGTGTGCCCTGCAAGGGGGTCGCCAGTGGCCGTGTGCTTGGAACCGAGGTTCGGTCCAAAGGTCGGGGCAGCGGCGCGCTCTGTCGCAGAGAGCTCCTTCTTCTCGTGGTGGCGGTGCTCTGCGGCACCCACAGCGCCGAGGGCGCCGGCTCCGAGGGCAGCGTCGCGGCCATAGTGGTGCTCTTTGCCGGGCGTGACGTTGGAGCCGCCCATGGCTGTGGAATGGTCGGTGGTACCGGTGTGCGTGGTGGTACCGGTGTGCGTGGTGGTACCGGTGTGCGTGGAAGGCGAGGTGCCAGGAACGGCAGCCTTGATCTTGTCACCAACGGTGGGCTTGGTGTTGGGGACCCCCGAGAAGTCGTGGCGGTTGTGCTCGGCGGTACCAGCTGCGCCAAGAGCACCCGCTCCAAGAGCGGCATCACGTCCGTAGTGGTGCTCCTGGCCGGGGGTTACGCCGGACGTGCCCATTGTGTTGTGGCCGAGACCAGAGCCAGTGGTACCAGTGGTCGTTCCGAGGCCAGAACCGGTAGTGGTCGCTCCCGACCCCACACCAGCGAGGTTCGTGTTGTCCCTCATGGCCTTGTTCTGGTCGTGGTGGTGGACGGCAGCTCCGGTTGCGCCGAGAGCTCCGGCGCCCAGCGCCGCATCGCGTCCGTAGTCTACCACCGTGTCAGCTTGGTTCTCCCTCTTGCAATATCGGCATAACTAACGGTGGTCGCCGTGGTGGGCAGTCTGGCCGCCCAGAGTGGTGTCGTGCTGGCCAAGACCTGATCCCACACCGCTGCCAAGGGTAGTGTTGGGTCCCATGGTGTTCCCAGAGGCGCCCATGGTTGAGCCGAGGTTGGTGTCGCGCATGGCCTTGTTCAATTCGTGGTCCTCGACGGCCTGGCCGCCTGCAAGGCCGGCAGCGCCGCCAGCCACCGCATCGCGACCAGTGTGTCCTTGGGCGTGGTGTGCAGTGTCATCACCTGTCGACCAGGCGCCAGGCATTGAGGTGTTGTCCTGGAACGGATCTAAATAATTAGCCGATGCGGAAGAAAAAGCAGTCGCCGACTTGAAAAGCCGCTACTCCAGACTCACTCATGCCGCGCGCGTTGTCGATGGGGCGAGTGCTGTGCATGTTCATCGTGTTGGTCGAGCCCATGGGGCCCGACGTGGAAGAGTTGTCGAGGACGCCCTCACGGGCCATCTTCTTCTCCTCGTGCTTGTGGAGCTCGTGTCCAGCAAGGCCGCCAACGGTAGCGCCACCGACTGCGTCCCTGCCGAGATGGGAGTGCTGAGTCTGGCCGGGCATGGCGGTGTTGGCGCCGACGTTGCTGCCCATGACGTTCGAGTGGGACGAGGTCGTGGTCGGGTGCTGCGACCCAGTCAGACCGGTCATGCCGGCACCTGTGGTCTCAGTGGCGGTTGTGTTGGTCGGCGAAAGGCCGGGGATGGCTGCCTTGATCTTGTCGCCAAGCGAGGGCTTGGCGTTGGGGTCGTTGAAGTCACCGGCAACACCGTGGCGAAGGCCGGTGTCGACATGCTGCTGCGAACCGCCGATGGCGGTCGGACCCGTCATTCCAGTGCCGGTGGTGGCACCCGTGGCGGGGATTTGACCTGCGCGGAGGTCGGCGGTCGTCCCGGTGAGAGGCCGGCCGCCCAGATTACTGTTGTCTTGCTGGGGGTTCATAATCACAGTGCTGAGAAGGCCAGGTGGGTGTCTGACCTATTCAATATTTGTAGGGGGTGAGAAGAAAAGCCATGGAAGCGGGGAGGACGACTGTAATATACACTGGCGGGTCGATATCGCTGGCCCATGGTGGGGCCTGGATTCATCATGTGCCAGACGTCGATGGTGGCGAAGGGCTATGAGGTCATTGAGGCCAATGCCAGCGTGGAGAGCAAAGCCTGTCGGGACCTGTGACGCATAGACCCAGTACCGTAGACAACTGGACGATACAGCAAGTGGTGTTGCACGATGACGCACCTGGACCCAACGCGGGACAGGCAGAGGAGAGTGCCACCATCGGGTTGGTGGCGGATCCAGCCGCCTGAACGCACGGTTGTGGCGGAGCAGCACCCCAGTATCGCATTCCATCGTCTAGTGCAGCGATGAGCGCATCATTCGTCGTCGTAACCCCGTGCATCCATGGTTGTGTCCCCTCATCTCTGACGCATGTTGGCTAAAACGAGCCGCCTGCGTCTGGACCGTCCCTTGCTTCAGGTGTGGAGCGGACATTTCATGGTCATCGGTCCACCACAGGGTGCCTGTGAACGTCATCAAGCGGCGTGCTCTCTCTCGGCTCGCTCGCTTCATCCAGTTGCCTACCACTCCAAAAAGCAGCATTTCGTCGATACGAGGGCTCCCGCAGATATGTGTTTGGCATTTTGGCATTTGCGAGCAAGGGCCAACTTGTGGGGCTCACATGGGATCCTGCTTTGGCAACCATGATGTGAACGCCGCATACGATATACAGGTGTGGCCAGTTTCAGTCGGCCCGGATGCCGAAAAAAAAAGAGCCACTACCTGCGGTTTCCACGTCCACCGCTGCTTGCGACGAAAACGACCGCAACCAAACCTCTTTGGGTCGCCGAACGAGATGCATGGGTGGCCTAAGAGGACCCATGTGCCGCTCGGCGTCGCCATCTCCCCGATCCAGCGGAGCGGGAATGGGTGTTGTTTGCGGAGAGAAACACGACGATGACGTAACTCTGCTGATGACGTTTATCCAAAGTCACCACTTTGCGTCGCCAATCCGACATGTCACCCCTCGCACGCAAACTACTCATTCACCATGATCGGTAGATTTCACCTTATTATGACGCTTGCAGGACTGCTGCAGGTCTTGTTCGCGGCTGCGGGATCGGCGCCGGTTCTCGTGCTCAACGATGTCCCGTCCGACCGGCGTCTCCATTGGATGAAGGTCGCCCACGAAGTGAGCAGTTCTCACCAAGCCGCGTCCTGACACGTCTTACAGGCCATATATGTCGTCCCGAATGCACACCCTTGTCCGGCGCACCCGTTTGGGACTGCCATTGTGAATACTACGTCAGATCAACTGGTATGTATCGCTGCAAATCAAATCGACGCCACTGGTGGTGGGTTTATCAGGCAGCCGTGACGAGTCTGCTGACGATTGTCAGACCCAACGCTGCACGGTGAGATAGCCGGCATTCGGAACTGCACGAACGTGCTTGCCGCTCGTGGGTTGTCACCTGCCGAAATATCTGCTGCCTGGCGAGACTTTTCATTGTATACGAACGGGGAGCCTTGCGCCATGTGTGGTTCTGCCATTCGGTGGGCTGGATTCAAGGAGCTCATATACGCAACGAGTGCGAACAAGCTTGTCACCTGTGAGTTTGAACAGCCAGGGGGTTGAGCTCAAAATGTCCAGTTGGATGGGTGGCAGGAGTGTTGGTGGATGGGTCAACCATATGGGAGAAGTCCAACTCGCTACCTCATGGCACAAGCAGGTGGGTGCATGTTGCCATTCGATGCCTAACATGCAGACTTGGTGATGTTCTCGCCGAGGAGACGGATCCGTTCTTTCAGTACCAGTATAACGAGACTGCAGCGTGTCGTAAGCTCATCTGGAAACGCAGACCACTAGCTAACCTCAGCAATTGGTTGTCAGCGTCGTATGGCACCTGGTCGCCGGGTCGCGACCTGCACGCCTGTGGACAACTGGCGCGAGGTTGTCAGACGGGCTGGCAAAGGCCTGGTCGCCGGACGTGCAAGCGAAGTCCGGGACAAGCTCTAAGAGTAGGACTGGAAGTACGGCACTGCTAAACATCACTTGATGCAAGAATCTGATGACGATCCGTTTAATGAGGGCCGTGCCAACGGCCAGCGGGCCAGCGGGATGGCCCCGTCACGTACAGTAGAACCAAACATGTTCCGCGTTCTAACCACGCCCTCGTCATTTCGCTTCATTCCTCTCGTATCAACATTCCCAATCAGCACTGCGTTTATCATGGCACTCCACGATGTGCTTACCCCCGGGGAGCATGAAGCCTTGGGGTTCAAGAAAGCGGGCAATTGGGATGCAAGTGACCCCAGATACAAGTAGGTCCTTTGAAAAAGGTGGAAGGAACATGCCTAAACAAACGGCAGGTGTCCGCAACGTTGCGACCGCTGCAAGAAACGCGACATCGACTGTATCATCCATCCCCTCCAGCACGGACATGGCAAGAACTGTGTCTCCATCAATAGCAGCTGCGCGCAGTGTGCAGGCCGCCAGCTGTGCTCCAACTGTACCAGATTCGGCGACCATGAGTGGCAAATCCACGACGACATGACCTTGGTCAAAGTGCTGCTCCCAGAAAAAGTCATCCAGTCTCGCGTGCGTGCCACTCTGAAGAACAGGCGCCACCAGGTTAGTTTCTTGAATACACCTCACCGCTCATCCGCTGACAGCGTTCCAAGGAAACAACTACCAGGGTTGGGGCCGCCCATCGCTATAGGCGCATCACATCCACCACGTCCACAAACACATCCACAAGCATGTCCACAAACACGCCCACTCCCATCAGCCAGTACGCCCCAGGCTCGCCGTCCAACCCACTCTCTGAGACTACCAAATTGCCTGTCGAAGCCATCCAGCACGCCTCCTCGGACATCGACTCTCTCTTCGATGACGACGGTGTCGACGTCGATTCCGAGCTGGGCGACTTCACGGCGACACTGGAGACCGTTTGGCCTCGCAAGCGTCAGGAGGGTTCCACTCCGACTTCCGAGCCACCTCGCAACCCTTCTTCGGCGAGCGGAGGAGGAGACCACAGTGATGAAGACAACACCCAGCCACTGTCCAAGAAACGCAAGATCCACACTCCCAAGCCTACCGTCGCGAGTCCCGATGGCCCTCCTCAAAACGCGCCTGATGAGGTTTGGGAGCGCGACCAGTACGCCGGTCTGGAACCCGAGGACCTTATTACCCTACTTGTTCAGCGTGACAGGCAGCTGTACGACAGTGACGAGAAGGTTATCGCCCTCAGGGAGAAGCTTGCCGCGGCGCGCAAACTCACCCTCGCGATTTGCGACGAGACCACGTTTTAACGCCATCAGCATTCTGCTCGTCCGCACTCCTGGCCTCCTGCTCCGCGTCGTTTCCACACCGCAAGTTCCCGACATCCACCCCGAGCCAAGTACCTTATGAACCTGACCCATGGCACCCATTCCTGTGTAGCTACCATGACGATGAACGCATGTGTTTGTCGTGGTTGCCACCCGCTTCGCTTACTCTCCACTAACGGGCATTTTCACGCCGCCAGCCTCGAGAGCCAAAACACAATCCACGAGTCTCAAAGGGCTTGGTCTTCGGGACCCAGAGAGGGAGGAGAACGAACGTGTTGTCTTCATCAGCCTCAGCAGCACCTACCCGATGCTCATTGCCCACTGTGGTCAACGGCGGTTGCTCGGAACAGCAAAAAGATTGAACATCTTGTGCTCATCTTCTCCGCCGGGGAGTCGAACCCCGCTCTACCGCGATCCTGAAGCTGTCTCGAAGACTGCTCATTGAAAAGCGGGGATACTAACCGATGTACTAGCGAAGAGGCGATGTTCGAGTCTTTGATGTCGGCTGATGAAGTGAGGAAACGAAAATCGAGTTCCTTGACTCTAAATGGAATCTTGGCACCTTGCCAGTGCATGCAGCGCTTGATGTCGTTTAACAACCACCAGACTGGCACCCCAAAGCACCACCACATAAGAACACCCAATGATCAAATGACACATGTGCGACGGCAGGAGGCGACTGACGGGCGTCTACTCGGTGTCTGGAAGACGAAATTGAGCCCATGTTCTGATCTGGCAGGACCCGAGGACATGTTGAACCACGGTGGGGGCGGAACATGAGTGATGTGAGGTAAGGCGCATGTATATGGCGGGGGTTGATAGGATTCAATAGAAAAACTGGTGCCTGTGTGAACCCGCGACTTCACTGGTTCAGCTGATGTGACTGCTGATGCGAAGCTGAGGAGACCTCAGTAACTTCTGGGGGCGTCGACTCGTCCCGGCGATCAACCACCGTCAACCATCAACAATGATCAGCAGACATTCGCGCTTTCTCTTCTTCAAACTTCCCCACCCTCTCTGATATCCCCACCAATGATTGGTCTAGGCCACGAACTTTCACCAACAGAGCACGAAGCTCTCGGCCTCAAGCGTGCTTCGTCGTGGACTGAGAGCAAGCCACGTTACATGTACGTACGGCCCGCGCCCATGTTGTTGTTCCCCTGGTGACTCACATGGCTCAGTTGGCCAAAGCCGTGCTACCAGTGCAAAGACAAGGGACGCAATTGTGTCGTCCAACCACTCACCGCTGGATCCAAGAAGGGCCTGTACCTCATCGAGAAGCGCTGTGAAGGCTGTGGATCCAAAGGTGGTGCCCGCAAAGCTTGTGGCACGACCAGCGGCACCAGCGGTGAGCGCCAGTATCGCTGGCTTAGAACGGGAGTTTTTGTCTTGGAGGAGGTTCCTCGTCGAGAGCGTGGCGGCAAGAAGCTGGACAATCCGAGAACTGAGAATGGCGAGGTGAGTCGTGTCTCCTTGCCACCACCTAACGCTGACTCCACTGCAGCCGGGCTGGACTTTTGAGGACTCCAAACGCGCGCGCCAGAGCCAAGACAGCTGGGTGAACCGCAGCGGCTCTCTATCGCCGGATCCCCGATACCGCAGCAACTATCAAGCATCGCGCGACCGTGACTATACGCCACGCAGGGGCCATAGTGACATCGACGAGTACCCCCACAAGGCAGCGCGTGAACGCTACTACCGAGACTCTCTCTCCAGGCCTCTGCGTCACGACGACGACGAGGAGCGTTCTGTTCGCCACGGCCGTGAACGCGAGTCGCTCCATGACGACTACGAGCGCCCTGCTCGCCACCGCTATAAACGCGAGTTGGTCTCTGACCAGAGCAATGCCTCTCATGAAATTGTGACTGGGGCCGCGACTCGTTCTTCTTGCGACAGCCGAGTGCCCGAGAGGCGCCATGAAGAAGACCATGCCGCTGAGGAGCTAGTGCCGACGGCCACGAACCTTCCTTCAACGAACTACTACCACGCTCATCTTGACCCGCGGGTCAACCGTAATCTCCATCGACGTTCCAGTGTGGTCGAGGCTCAGAGCAAGCCCAGGGCCCTCGCAGTCCCACTGGATACCGACAACGCTGAACCTCGAGCCACTACCTCCACATCGCAGCCCTTCTTCATCGCCGACATCGCGGACCGGGCGAGGTCGGAAACCATGAAGGGCCCTGTGGCCAGCTCGTGATGGCGGGCCAGATACCAGTCTGTGGAGCTCAAAAGGGCAAGGCCTCAGAGTGGGAGGACTCGACGCAAAGCATGAAAGTCTGCATGCAACAGTCGACTTGGAAGTTGCGCAGGCAAGGAGGAGCGCGTTCGCCACAGACCATCGGGGATATGGCATACCAGAGTAGATCGAGTACATTGTGGACGGCATAGGGAGCGTGGGTATCAGGTACATCAATGTATAGACAATACCATGAGCGCAACGCTGCAGGAAGCGTGACAGGTGCAAGCGAGTCGCGAGTGGAGTCAACATGGAGCGCCTCGTCACCGCGTTTCGTAGCTCGCGCGAAAGGTAACAGATCACCTTTCGTTGGTAATACATGTCAAGCTTTTCAATCATGCATGTAATGCGTTGGTATTCTGCGTGTTGTTGCTTGCGGAAGCCCGTGTGGTGGAGGTTGACCAGCGACCCGATGCTCCGATGAGTGGGGCGGACGCGCACAGCGGGTGCAATCTTGTCGTGGCGATCACACCATGCCATCACTTGACAACCTTCCTCGGCACACGTCCTTCTACAACATCCACTACCCATCCCATACTCGACCAGCCATCATGTCCCTCACAGCCCCTTTCCAAATCCTCACACCAGAGGAGCACGATGCGCTCGGGCTTGAACGTGTTCCCAATTGGACTGCGAGAAACCCCCTGTACAAGTAAGTCCAGTCAACCTGTCGTCCTCTGCTGACCGGGGGAGGTGGCCCACACCATGCACAGGTTGTGAAGGTCGCCATTTCTGCATCATCGAGCCTTTGGCCAAGGGTACCGTCAAAGACCACTACGTTGTCCTGAAGCGCTGCGTTCCTTGCGGCCCCCGCCATGCAGGATCCGAGTCTCATGGCTGCACCATCACGACCGGCCCGGACGGACGCAAGCAGTACCTGTACATCAAGCCTGGTCGATTCAAACTTGTCCAGATGTCCGAGAAAGCCGTCAAGGATATCAAGATCCAGAACGACACGCAGAGGCGGAAGCGCCATGCCGAGGTTTGTTCATTGGCTTCTGTTCTTGAGGCTGATCGCAGTTGGAGCAGATCACGAGTGACTACAACACGCCATCGGCGAAGCGCAGTCGCAAGGATCATGCAGACTATGAACGCCACCCTCCGACGCCTTCCTCCTCCTCATGGCGCTCCCATGCTTGGGCCGACCCCGAACTCGGTCGCAAGGACGACCGATATCGTTTTAACCGCGAGCGACGCGACCGCCGTGACTACCACCCGTGGGATCCTGATCGCCCCCGTCGCCTCTCGGAACGCGAGTTCGAGTCTGAGCGCCGCCACTCATCATCCCGCGCGTCGCCTGGCCGGTGGTCGGCCGAGTATTACTCTGGAGACGGAGGACCATGGCTTGCGCACGAGCTCTGCGACCCGCGAGCTGATTTGTCGCGCCGTGAGAGCAAGGCGCCCTCCCCACGCCGTCGCCCACCCTCTGTTTCCTCTGCTCGTCCCGCCAAAGGTGACATTCGTAGCGAGATGGAGAAGCCGGTCCCCTCGCCTACACCCTACGACACCACTGGCGCGTCCCTTGCCAGTCCGTTGGAAGTGGAGGCACTGTTACAAGAGGTCCAAGACAATCTCAACAGCGTGGCTTCTAAACTTAGTACTCCCAAAGCACCCAAGACGAACGGAGTTGAAACCTCCCAAACCAAAAGTTCAGCGCCGGTTTCGGCATCTGCTCAATACAAGAAGGTGAGCTGCTTCGCTACGCCGAAAAGAGCCACAGTTGACACGCGTAGCCCCAGACTGTTATCGCTGGCAAGGCTCCGTCTGACCAAGGAAAGAGTAACACCAAGAGTCTGTTGTTTCGCTGGTGTGTTGGGCATGAAACTGACCTAGACCACAGGAATCGACGATCTCCAGTACGAGGTCTGGCACCGCGACCGTTCGATTGACCGGCTCGAGGACGAAAACCAACGCCTCCAGGCGGCTCTCACTGCCATGTATCGCCTGGTGGAGACCAAGGATCGCCTTCTTGCCATGTACCGGAAGCAGATCGAGAGGCAGGGTTGAGGTAGTGGAATTCAGCCGAGGAGTGTGCATGCGTAAGACTACCAGAGGCGTGTAGCTGAAGAGTTGTGACGAGAATGGTGATGTCGATACCCAGGTATTAATACAGCTTAATACAGTGTGTCCTGTGGTGCAATGCATGTCGTGAGGGAATTGTAACATTCGAGTGGGCGCATCCATACAGCAGACGGCGAATATTGGCCCCACCGCCAACACTGAAACTCTCCACCTCGCCGCTAAGTCTTCCTTCCTTCACCCAACTGACAAATACCTGCACAAGGAGCTCTGGTACATCACCGTATCTCCAAAAGCAAGTCCCAGGATATCAGGTGTACATGCTGTTAAGATTCAGCATGCCAAGGGGGGGGGGACACTTGGAGGTGGGGGCGCGGCGAGCCCCGAGGTTGGGCATCCATGTAGTCACCGGCAATACCCAGTGTTTCACAGACTTTTGTTTTTACCCACTCACTCTCACATCCACACATCATCTCTAGCTTCTAGCATGGCTATACTGAGTCGTTTCGACCACGACGCCCTAGGGCTGAAGGTTGCGCGTACATGGACAGAGACCCATCCACTCTACATGTATGTGTGCATGTGTGCATTGACGCCACCCCCAGCTGACCGTTCCAGCTGGCCAGAGCCCTGTCGTCCGTGTCTTGAATCCGAAAAAGACTGCGTCATCAAACCCCTCACCCATGGCACCCAGAAGGACTGGTACAAGGTGGAGTATCGTTGCCAGACCTGCTCCGCTTGCGACCCACCCCTCTTCTGCTCCACCATGTGAGGTAGATCGGGACGGTGGCAATACCTCTGGCAGTCCTACGGCGCGTTTGTGCCCGTGAAGGGAGAGGATTCGAAGCCAGCCTACGCTCCTGCACGCGACCATGCAGTTGTACGTCCCAAGCATTCTTACATATCCGCTTACTTTTGAGCCTGCTAGGCCGGCACACTTGCCTAACACGCCCTGCATGGAGAGCTCCAAGGATGAACGCCGTCCACGTCGAAGCCGTTCCCAGTCACCTTCTCGTCTATCCGTTCCGCACGCCTCAAGCTCGTACATGAGGATTAACCGAGAGTACCACCCCCACCAGACTCGCGACGTCTATACGCACTCCAAAGATGGCAGTTCAGACGACAGACTCCCGTACGACCTCCAGGAGCCGACTGGGGAGCATATTCTAACCCCCGTGTCCAACGCCCGCCAAGACCCTCATTCCCAGCCGCCCGAGTCCGATTCCTGTGCCACCTACAACTACCAACAACCCCGACACTGGGAGAGCAGTACGGGCCGTTACTACGACCCCCGCGGCGGCCATCGGCCCACCACTCTCACCAAAATGCATCCCCGACCGGCCTACGCGAAGGAGAGTCCCATCCGACAACTCGGAGCCCTCCGTGAACGTACCAACTGGACCAACGCACCAATCGACTACTCCCTTGACGTCATGGAGGGCACCCCACACTCGGCGCTGTCAACTGTGGAGGAGGGGATGGTTCGTCACTGGCAGTCTCCCGATGGGAGCACTCCCGTGAACGAGCCTGTTCAAACCGGCATGGCCAGGACTAGCGATGACCTCGAGCGCGGATCGAACACGTCCTTACAGCCTACCCCTGTTAAACACAAGAGTGAGTGGAGTGGGTCGTGGCCTGTCTGCCTGCCTTTCAACTGACTTTCATGCAGACACTCGAGGAATGTTGTCAGAGGAATTCGACGCGACAGAACGGATCCAGTTTCTCGAGGGCGAGCTCGTCCACCTCCGCGAGGCGCTGGCCACCAAGGACAAGTTGCTCCGCTCCCACGAGGAGGTCATTCGGTCCAAGGATGTGATTATTGCGCTGCTGCAGGAGAGGGGTTGACTTGATAGTGTGGTACTGTAGGGAGGTAACATGTATGCGCTGCACTGCGAAGACCACACCCCTGACCTCGTCAGGTGGAGGCTTGCTTTCATCAACAGAGCGATAGGGTGAGGCAACTGTGGTAGGCGCAACTTCGAAATCGCCCCACCGGCGATGTCTTGGGCGTCTGAGCCAGCGCGTAGCTACCTGTTGAGAGCTGGTCGGCGTCTGCGAGTGATGATGCGGCCGCGCCAAACAAATGATCCTGGCCCCTGGGCTTTCGGGTCCAGCGGCTTGCACGACAGCTCAAGCCATTGATCATTGACGAGGGTAGCACCGTAAACGCAGTATTGGAATGGGCATTTGGTGGACCGGCTGATAGTGTGTTTTGTGGCGGTCCGCCAAACGCACCCAGTGGCGCACGATTCTACGGTTGGTACGGCCGGTGGCCGGTGACACTGTGGTTTGGTTCACACATTGACATATCCCTGCCATTTACTCTCCGTCACTCTGCGTGTGCTGGCCCGATACACATGATACTATATACATACCACCCCTCCTACATGCTATAAAGACAGAACACATGTATATACACTATTGACACGGCCTTTGACATAGTACGCTGCAACACTGCAGGGTCACTTCACGATCTGAGAATCTTCGCACTTCACTGTCCAGTCTTGCCCTGGAGTTGGTCGAGGATGACTCGCTGAATCCTGAGCAGCTCGCGCTGGCTGTTCATGGCCACCTCGGCGACCGCCACCTCCTCCTTGAGACGGGCTACCTCGTCCTTGCTCCTGTCCATGTCGGCAATGCGGGACGACAGCTCGGTCTGGGAGGTCTGAATGGCGGCAATACTGCGAGTAATCGTCTGGTGGCTCTTGCTCGCCTCGGAGATGTCGTGGGCCATCTTGTCCATGTTGCCGACCAGCATCTTCATGTCGTCCACCATGCTGTGCTGGTTTTCCCCGAGCTGGAGCTGGTTTTGGCCGAGTTGGAGCTGGTTCTGCCCCAGCTGACATGCGTCAGAGTTCATGGTTTGCTGTTGCTCGGCAATGGACTGCTGCTTCTCGATGATTTTGGCAATGTCGGCGGCGATTGAATGCTGGTTGGCCTTGAGCTGAGCCATGTCGTTACCAGCCGTCTTGTGGCTCGCCTTGAGCTCGGCAACGTCGACTATAACCTTATTCTGGTTTTCATAGATACGGCCAATGTCCTTGGAAATAAGCTTGAGCCACTGCAGGGAGGTCGAGTCGGTGGCGCTCAAAAGGTTGGAGACGGCGGAGGGCGACATGGATGAGTTTGCCTCAGGCGTGACGCTCGATGGGGGGGGTGCTCGCCGATGGGGAGTGGCCGGCGGTGGAGGGCGTGCCCAGAGCGGGGCTTGCAGTGGACGACCCGGCAAAAGTTTGGACGGGAATAACACCTGCCACGCTCTGCTTCGCAAGCTCCATGGTGCGGGGAGCTGGTGAGATGGTTGCAGGTTGAGGCTCTTGAGCGGGCGTCGGAGGTGGTGGGGCTGGCGCGGTACCACAGGGTGATTGAGCTTGAGAGAGGCGACGCAGTGGTTGGACAGGAGCGAAGGCAGGGGCTGGGTTGGCCGGCGAGCGTGCAGGGAGTGGTTGAGCAGTGGAGGAGGTTGCGGGATTGTTGCCTTGGCCGTCGAGGATCTATAAATGGGTCAGCGACCATCTCCCAGTGCAACACATACCTTCTGGCGTTTGCGTGGGGGCTGCTCAGCAAGTGCTACCTTTTCCAGCTCGGCTTCCTCAGTCGTGGACATGAGGTCGTTGGTTAATGTCTCTGGAGCAGTCGGGGAAGGTTGGCTGGAGGGGAGTTCGCCGACGTTTGGCTTCTTGTCTTTGGAAGGAGATGACGCGCCTTTGGCGGGCACCTTGGGCTTCAACTTCTGCTGCAGTCTGCCGTTACCGAGGGGGAGCCACTCATGGTCACTGCGCAGGGTGGAGAGGGAGCAAGCGTGCTGTCCACCGGCGAAGCAGCCAACGACGGCGACACTGCCATGCGCGACACCCCACTTGAGAGCGGTAATAACGCATATCTTGCCCTTCGTCTCGCAATGTGAACAGCGGGTACCCTCTTCACCAATGCTACTGCTGTGAGTTGGATGACTCTGTCAGGGAAGAGAGAAGCACCCACACGTATCGTGGTTTGCCTGGAGTGGAAAAGGCCGGTGAGTACTTGAAACCAAGCAACTCATGTTCTTCGCGAGTGAGCGCGTTCCCGCGCGCACCTGGTTGAACGCCGCCAGGTAGAGCGACGGAGGTGGACATGGTGTTTTGAGGAGGGAGACAAAGGAGAGCAGTGACTGGAGGAGGAAGGGTGATGGAAGGAGGGAAGATGGAAGGTGGAAGCGCTGCCCTCGGGTGACAAGGTGGCCAATGTTTGGTCCCAGGCCGCTGATCAGTGTTCCAAACCCCTCCGCGCCCATCAGACCGCGACTGGGCGTGGAGTCTTGGAACCTGTCACATTTTGTCTTCATCAATACTCCCTGCCATCCCTGCCAAACTTCAGTCTCGTCCGCACACAACCATGGGCCACTGGCCACTGGGCTCAAAGTCTGTCATTCGACGTCCATCCCTACTTATTTGGTTAACCGTCTTGACCTTGACGTCGCAGACCCCGGCCAGCCCACGGAGCCGAACGATTCCGCACCCAAGACGTGATGATGAGCGATGTGAGTCTCCCTGGGGATGTCGGGCCGTTGACCCATCCTAATGACAGCTTTTCGAGGCGTCTTCATCGTGTGCAAGAGGTGGAGATGGTGTGGGAGCGACTCGCGCTGTCGTTGCTGCTCAAAGCAGTCCCTGGCCGCGCCCACACATTGTGACACGTCCATGCGCCGAACGGCGCCGCAATGTCCGCGACCAAGGACCCACCCAACAAACTAACGAGTGGACATCCCATCTTGTCTCTCACCTTCTCCTTTGTTACTGGCCACACAGGTGGAATGCTCGGCACTGTTGACCATTACCACTGTTTCGAGTCACTCACGTGCTGGTCGTCAGCGGCGATCGCGGTGATCGCCCCCAAGAAGTTGTATCAGTCGCCTTGATCGCGCGTCTCCGAAATCCGGTGCCCCACGCCGGTGACTACGGCACTCTAACCGACCAGGCCCCCACCTTCATAACCCCATCGCATCGGCCTTGCGATTCTTGCAATCACTCCCATTCCCAACATGTCGACTCGCTCAGTGCTGAAGCAGCTCACAGAGGTCTTGGCTACGGTCCACAAAGGCCACATCCTTGAGCTCAGACTCAACACGCCCAAGAACCTCAACGCGTTTGGTGGAACCAAGTGTGAGTTGAAAGTCGCGTCTACGAGCTGACTGGCAGACCTTGTGCGTGTTACCAGCCCCACGCTATATGACAAGCCAAACGCTGACTTCTCCGTAGGAGCTTATCGAGGGATTCAACTATGCCCGCGACAACGATGACATCAAGGCTGTTGTGGTGACGGCCAACGGTCGCTTCTTCTCGGCCGGTGCTGCCTTGACCGGTGACCGCATGGTTGCCGACGAGAACGTCAAGAAGGGAATTCACCCTTCTCTGTGAGTGCTATCGTCTGAACAGCACTGACTCCAGGATGTACATTGACTGTCTTATCGACTTCCCCAAGCTGGCCGTCTGTGCTCTGCAAGGTGAGAAAACTCCCACTCACCCACCCGAGCTGACCTTCAGGCCCCGCGTACGGTATCTGCGTCACCACCCTCCCCCTCTTTGACCTGGTGTACGGCTGCGACGAGGTGACCCTCACTACGCCCTTCTCGCGTATCGGCATCTCGCTTGAGGGCTGTTCGAGTGTCACCTTCCCGCCGCTCTTTGGCTCGAGCATCACCTCGCGCCTGCTCTACATGGCCGAGACGATTCCCATCGCAGAGCTGAGCCACACTGGTCTCTTCGCCGAGGTCCTTCCCCAGGCCGGTCTTCCCGAGAAGGTGATCAAGAAGGTTGAAGACAGCCTCGCGGACCTCTCCATTGGATCAATTGGTGAGTTCAGCTTCAATCCGCTGCTCAAAGCTAACTTGCAGTCGCGTCCAAGAGCATGCTGCGCACCCCGCAGATCCGCGACGAGCTTCACAGGGTCAACGCCGTCGAGATGGATGTTGTGGACAAGCGGAGGCAGACCGACGACCACCGCGATACCATCGTTCGCTTCCAGCAGAAGCGTGCGGCGGCCAAGTCGTCCAAGGCCAAGCTTTGAAGAAGACGTGGCTCGTCGAATCTGTAAACGAAATGAAGAGCATTGTGCAGTCCCTGTGCGAGCGATTCTGATGGCAGTTACACTTCACGTTTTGCTCCCCCAGTTGTGCACCTCGCGCCGAGCGCGCCGAGACTGGGTTACCATCTATGCATCCACAAAGCACACAGGTACACGCTGAAGGCGTTGCATCATCGGCCGCCGGTGGGGTCTCTCTGGTGGTCCCACGGACGAGGCCGATGGGCCGGCTACGCACGTAACCCGTCGGAATTCGGTGACTGCTACATTCCACCACCCATTGCTTCGAGTGCCAAGATACACTAGGCGGCACGCTGGACACTACTTGATGTCCAGCGCTGCATCCTCATCTCCATCTCGCTGCTCCCCCATTTGACCCCCCCTACAGCACCACCATGTCACTGTCAACCCCCATCACCGAGCTCTGTGCGTGGAACTCGACAGCTCGGCGCCGTAGCTAATCCCCGCAGTCGGCATCCAGCACCCTGTCGTCCTGGCGGGCATGTTCGTGGCCTCGGGCCCCCGCCTCGCGGCCGCAGTGTCCAATGCCGGCGGTCTCGGCGTCATCGGCGGCCTGACCCTCACCCCCAAGCAGCTGCGCACGCAGATTGCCGACCTCAAGTCCCAGCTCGTGGACAAGAGCTCGCCCTTTGGTGTCGACCTGGCCATCCCCAAGATTGGCGACGGTGCGCGCAAGACCAACTATGACTACACCCACGGCCACCTGAGCGAGCTCATTGACATTATCATTGCGGAGAAGGCCAAGGTCTTTGTCTGCGCCATTGGCGTGTGCCCACCCGAGATTGTCAAGCGTCTGCACAACGGCGGCGTGTACGTGGCCAACGTGAGTGACAGAACCAACGTTCCGCAGCTGATGGTTGCAGATGATCGGCTCTCCGGCCCACATCCCCAAGGTCCTCGCTGCTGGTGTCGATGTCGTGTGCGCACAGGGCGGCGAGGGAGGCGGCCACACCGGCTCTACCCCCTTCAGCGTCCTCATCCCCGCCATCGCCGACGCGTGCAAGGGCAAGCTCACTCCCTCTGGCAGGCCCGTATGCATCCTCGCTGCTGGCGGTGTCTTTGACGGACGTGGTCTCGCCGCTGCGCTCGTGTACGGCGCGCACGGCGTGTGGGTCGGAACTCGCTTTGTCGCGTCTGTCGAGGCCGCGGCTCCCGAGGCTCACAAGAAGCAAATCGTGTCGGCAGGCTTTGGCGACACCACCACCACACTCATTTACTCGGGCCGTCCCCTGCGTGTCCGCAAGACACCCTATGTTGCCGAATGGAACGACACGCGCGCCGATGAGATCAAGGCTCTCACTGACAAGGGCATCATCCCTCATGCGGCTGAGCTGGAGAAGAACCCAAAGAGGAGTATGGAAGGGCACCCATTCCTGATGGGCGACGATGCCAGTATGATCAAGGAGGTGCTCCCCGCCAAAGTCATCGTCGAGAGCATGGTGACCGACGCCGTTCGCGCGCTCAAGACGGGAAGCTACGAGATTCGGGCCAGGATTTAGACATTGGGTTTTTATGAGTTGTACATATGATAAGAAGGCTGTTCTTGAAGCAATGCGCTACCTGCCTTGACAGGCGTGGCTGCAGGGATGTAGCGTCAAAACTGACAGAGAACGATGAGGACGGCTTGTTTCACGGCGTCGCACAGCATTCATACTCGCTACAGCTACTTCTTGTTGTACTTGTGAACCGCCTCTTGTGTGTCTGGGTGCGCAAACACCTCGGCAAACACGTCTATGCTCCTCTCGATCCCTTGCTTGAGCGGCACATTGAGCCAAGTCTCATGCAGCTCCTTCTGGGCCTTCATCACCACCGGGGTGAGACCCGTGACCTTGCCCAGGATCTCCCCGGCCGCCTGTTGCAGACCAGCCTGGTCGTCTGCGTAGCGGTTGACGAACCCGGCCCCCAGGTCTTGGACGGCCCAGACATCGCCCGCGAGGATCATCTCCTTGGCCCTTGACAGCCCGACATAGTGCTGAAGCAGCGCAGCATCGACCACGGAGGGTATGCCGACCTTTGTCTCGGGCAGTCCGACTTTGGCGTCCCGCGTCGCGATCCGGAAGTCGGCAGCGAGGGCCATCTCGAACGCCGCTCCCAGGCAGTATCCATGCATGACGACGGCGGTGGGCTTGGGACTGAGCCGCAGCGAGCCGACGGCATGGGACACTTTGGTGATCACGTTCCGGGCGCCTGCGGCGTCCAGACCCTCAAACGTGCTCGTGTTCATCCCTGCACAGAATGCGCGACCCGCCCCGAGGACGGCGATGGCGCGGACTGTGTCGGGCGCGTCGTTGACTGCGTCCCGAAACGCCTCCAGGTCTTGCAAAGTGAGAGCGTTGAGGGATGCGGGTCGGTTGAGAGTGATCCACCGGATACGGTCGCGGTCCTCGACCAGAAGGGTAGATGGGGTGGCTGGGGGAGGGGGAGGAGGGGCTGGCGGGCGTCGTCTGAGGTGTTTGAGTGATAGTGCGCGAGCACCAATGCATGGGGCCAGGAGAGGGGCCAGCCCAGTTGTTGGTGACCGTAGCAGCATGGCGACGCCAGTGAGAGAGTGTGCAAGTGAGAGAGCTGGATGGCAGACGGCTTTCGGCAACTCCTGCGCCGTCGGTCCGGCAGGTCGGCAACTATCCGCCCGTTTCCCCGAAGGCTCACTGAAGACAAACAACGACGTCGCATTCCGGGCATTCCCGGCTACCTAGGGTGCTGCAGCCTCCAACAGTAGCTCACACAGGCTCCTCCTTCACGCTGACCACATCTCCCTCGTCGGCGTTCTGCGTGACTGGCTGGACATTAACAGCCTCGGCCTGGCTCGCACTTGTCTTGCTGACAGGGGGCAGACCCACAAAGTCGCGGACGATGGTGACCAACTTGTCCTTGGCCTCCTCGCTGAATACCATGTCCGCGAGGTGAACTGGGCTTCCAGTGGCCCCGCCGCCCCACTCAAGAAGCTTGTCAAAGGGCATGGAGCGGAGTTGGTCCTCGGTCTCGAAGAAGAGTAGATTCTGTGAATCGATCAGCTGCAGCGCGGAAGCCCAGCTGGACAGACTCACCTTCATTTCCGTGTGTTCCTCAGCTGTCGTGTCCAGACGATGAGTGTCAAGGGGAAGATTGAGGAGGTAGCGGTAACCAATCTTGCGGCTGGTAGATTAGCGTCGCCCGTCCATGGTACTCACCGAACAGTGTCACGCTCCGTATCCGCCTCCAGTGACTCGAGAAGGCGAACAGCCCTCGTGGTCTTCATCTCCAAGGAGTTGACGTTCATGATCGATGACTGGTGGCGGCTGGAAAGCTCGTTATTGACGTTCTTGTCCACGTCCTGAACTTTGTGGTCCAAGTTTTCAAGGAGTTCTTTGATGTTGTCACACTGAGCCTCGGTCGCCACCACTTTGTAAACGGCATCAATCTTGCTTTCGACTATGCCCAGCTTGGTGTGGGGCATGTCCTTCAGTGCAGAAGAGACATCATCCAGCTTGCTGCACGTCCGCTGGAATCCACTGATCACTTCCTTCAGCTGCGGTTGTCCTAAGCACGACTTGAGGTCACCAAGTCGCTTAGCGAGTTCAGAGTCTATGGCGTTGGCAGGCTGGTTGCACAGACGGCTCTTGATATCGCTCAGCATGTTGGTGTGGCCATGGATTCTGCCCTCGAGCTTGACAAACTTGGCTGCGGTTTCCTGGACCTTGGACGCCTCGAGATCCTTGCAGTGGAGATTTTTGAGGTCACTGAGTATGGTGCCGTGAGACTTGAGCGTAGCATCCAAGCGGTCGACCTTGGACGTGATCTCCTTGAGCTCTGTCTTGAGCTCTGTCTTGAGCTCGGCCTTGGTGATGCCGTTCGAGTCGGTAGCCGGCTGGGGTGGACTGACCCGCTGAGCGTCCCAGCGGTCGACCTTGGACGTGATCTCCTTGAGGATCCCGGTCTTGAGATCGGCCGGGCTGATGCGGCTCCAGTTGGTAGGCTGTCTGGGTGGACTGGCGAGCTTTGTTTCAATGGATTTGATGCGCTCGGTCATTCCCTCCACCTGGCCCGCCGTCGTCGTGACAACCTTGACAACGGCGGCGAGCGTATCCTGAATGGCAGCGAGAGTGGCCTTGATGTCTTCGGTGCCAGAAGTGGTGGTGGGAGAGGCTGACAGGACAGGCGTGACAGGAGACGGGTCGCTGGCGATGACTGAAGGAAGGTGAGCTCGGCAGTCTAGGTAAGAGGACCTTCGCCACCCGTCAGTCGGAACTCACTCTCGCTCATCGTCAGAGCCTTAAAGCGGATTACCTCTGCCAAAGCGTACACCTTGGAGTCGCGCGGAGCCGTGTTCTGGATGGTAGCTGTAAGACCAATAACATCGCACAGGGTCGTGTCATCGAGTGGAGCTTTGAGCAGACCTGCCTGGTGCTGGTAACGGAGGCGACCATAGTGGGAGAACGCCGGGTGGTTTTCGAAGTGGCTTAGGTCCAGCACCATGGTGAGGAGAAGGGGCGGTGTAATGCCGCGGAGGAAGAGATGACGATGAAGGAAGAAGAAGAAGAAGAAGAAGAAGACGTGTTGACGGAAGGAAGGCGATGGATCGGCGTGAGAATGAGGAAACTGTTAAAGTGGAAACGTCAAAATCAGGGGGTCCGTGCGCCCGTCCATAAACGCGCACACGCAACATGACAGTACCATCGTCCAGCAAACGATTCAGTAATGGATCCAATTTTAGAGACACTTTGGTGACAACATGCATACGTTTGAGCCATGATTGAGGTACTGGGGTTGGCCGGAGGCCTTCCTGTGGGAAAAGACCCCCAAAAGCCTCGAAAATGCTAAACGTGACAGGCTGGCAAAATTCACATGCTTCGTTCATCTCCTCATGCTTCGTTCATCTTCTCATGTTCTCTGGCCACCAGCTCATGTACCGCACACTTAACACCTCAACAAAGTAGGTCCTGCACAAACGCCGACCGCTTTAATTCCACTCATCTTACTCATTCTGCTCTTCGCTGTTGTCGTCATTGTCGTCTTCGCTGTCGTTGTGTTCGTCGTCTTCATCGTCGTCGTCTTCGTCTGCTTCAGGAAGTCCAATGAAGTGGCGGACAACCTGCTCCAGAGATTCGTGGTCGTCGTCGTCCAGGTCAAGATGCTCGAGGTCTTCCGCTTCGCACTGTGCGGCAACCTGCGCCCATTGAAGAAGCTCCGAGCAGCTGGCTTCGTTGAGCTCGTCTTCGTCCTCGAAATAAGTCAACTTGAGCTGTGCGTCAGTCCTGCAAGTGACGGTGTAGTCCACCTCATTGGTCTTGAAATTGTCCAAAAGTCTCTCCAGGCGCTGCAGTCCCAGAGGCACGCCGAGGATATCGCGACAGTGGATGCTGCGACTGTCGGGCGTTAACATGACCGTTCACAAGGGCCCCACGAAAGCGCCTACCGGACGTCCCCAATGTCGGCCGCGGTGGACAGCTTCTTAGCAATGCCCAAAGCCTCTGCGGTTTGTTGGGTGTTGGACTTGAGCGTGGCAGCGAGAGTTCTCATCTTGTCCTGCACACTCTGGATGCCAATGCTGATGTTGTTGAGGGAATCCGCGGTCGAGGGTTCGTTCGATTTAGTCTGAGCCTTGGGGTCGCCGCAGCCGATGCAGTTGATGTGAGCGTCGCCGATGTTGACGTGGAGACACTTGTTGCACTGCCACTTGTTGCCGACAAGGTAGGCCGCCTTCTCGTGAATTGGGCTAATCAAGTCCATCCTGCCCGCAAGGTCGGAAATCTTGACCAAGATGTCGTGCAGACGAGCCTTGGCCGCAGATTCATTGGCAGCGGTCTCCTTGTTGGACTGGTCCGCGGTGATAGCCATCTTGTCCATCTTGTACTGCATGACAGTGAGCTGGCTGTAGATATCATCGAGCTTGCGGGTGGGGGGGTTGGTCACGCTGGCGGTAGCAGAAAGCTCATCCACCTTGGAGATGATGTCCTTGTGTAAGGCGGGCATTGCGGTGGAGGCGGCCTTGATCTCCTTCAGAAGTTCCGCATATTCAAAGCTGGTGGCGGCCGACTTGAGTTCGTCCACGACGGTGGCTGCAGACGAGGCAACGCTGCCATCACCATCAAAAGAGGCTTGAGAGGAGACGGGGTTGCCAGCGACAGAGATACTGTGGGAAGCGAGGACAGCGTCGACACCTTCAATCTTGGAGAGAACCTCCTGGAACTGAATCTTGTTGGTCTCCTCCGACGCAGTGATGCGAGTGGTGAGCGCGTTGACCTGGGCCTTGATGTCTTCGATGTTGCGAGCATTCGACGTGACCGCGGTGGTAAGGACGGTGAGGGTGTTGTTCATGCTCGAGAGTGTCGCCTGGATGCTCGCGAGGGCGTTGGCGTGGTCCTTCGTCTCGGGAGCCATCTTGGTGGTGGGAGCGAGAGCGGGCGCTGGGGAAGGGGGATCAGAACGGTCCTGCGCAGCCGTCGCTGACGAGGTTAGCTCCAGTTTGTGTTCATGCAAACAACTTACCAGTATACATGTTGAGGGCCATGTGCTGAGCCACCGTCGCCGCAGCGTAATCAGCGGAGTCACTGGGAGTGTCCTCCTGGATAGCAGCAGTCATGGCAATCACGTCGTTGACGGTCTGCCTGTCGAGAGGGCCTTTCAGCATGTTGAACTCGTGCAGAGTAGCGAGTCTGCCATAGTCGGCAAAGACCGGGTGGTCCTCCAGTTCAGAGAGGTCCAGCATGGTAAAGGAAATTGGTAGGGGGGTTGATGGAAATGTGGGTATGATGGTGAGTGGGAGAAGGAAACAGCCAGAATGGGTGACGCGTGTTTGGGTGTGTTGGGTGTGGCGATCTTATGACGCCCGCCGGCAAGCGCTGAACGGAGCTCCGCGCCGGGCGTTGCAACTGGTACGCGTAGGGGGCAACAGACACACGGCTACGGGCTCTCATAGATGAGAGATACCATCACACTGGGATGCATGACAGGCCATGCATAATGCGTAATGCATATGTTGGCCATGTCAGCAACCAGTCGGGGCCAGGACAGTTTATCGGTTCAGCCGGGTGTGACTCGGTTTGCGTTTTGTGGATCCGGCCGCCATCCTCGTCTGGCCTGTTGGGTTGGGTCACAGGCCTCCAGAGCCTCATGGGCTGATGCCATAGAAACCACATCTACATCGCTGCATTCTTTACATGCGGCCGTGAAGGCCATTACATATACACACAGGAAGTGTCGATTCACTCCTTTTCTCATGAGTCGGCAGCCTCAGACGCCGGTCCAGCAGCTCGTGTGGTAGAGAGTTTGCCGTCCGCTGGCCTGGCGTGATTTGTGTCGATGTTATCATTATATTCTCGCTGGTCTGAGTACGCTTGGTTCTCGTTCCCCTTCTTGAGTCGTCTCGTACATCTCTCCAGAGACAGTGGTTTAAGCAGCCGGTGTCGGAGTCGACAGCCAGTACACCACGGATTGCTGGGTCCCACAGCGTGAGCACTTCTGGTGGTCACCATGGTTGAGGAGGCCACACCCTGGGCACCTCCATACCCAGCCCTCAAGCATCTTCTGCTCTCCCTGCGGGACGGCGTCTGGCTGCTTCGCTTCGACTTGGGGGTGTGTTGTAATTTCGCGCTCCCGCTTGGAGTAAGCTTGGGCGGGAGTGCGAGGACGCTCGTTCTGGAAACCACCAGGAGTGCGAGGACGCGAGTCATGAGTGCGAGGACGGTCGATGTGGAAGTTGCGAGGAGTCGCTGGACGAGAGGTGTCGGGAATCTTGGGTTTAATGTCCATTGTCGACGGATGGTGCTTGGAAACAGCCGGCTTGGTCTCCAGGTCAGGTTCGATCTTGGGCGTGATGCCAAGGACGGAAATGGGCTCGCTGTGGGTGGTGGTGCCATTGTCATCCTCGTCAGTGGCCGACTGCACTGTGGAGGTGGCATCGGTCTTGAGCGTGGGCTCCTCGCCGGGGGACGCAATGGCGGGGGAGATATCCGTCGTCTTGGCCACGTCAGGGCCGGAGGTCGTGTCGTCCGGTTCAACCTTGACTTGGACGCTACCGGTGCTGACCTCGCTAACAGGTGGAACACTACCCTCGGATCCACTGGCGACCTCCTCGATCGGTGTTAGGGGCACGGGAGCGCAGTCTTCGATCTCATCGTCGGACTTGGGGGGGCTAGACTCGATAGACTGAATGGAGGGGCTGGGGGAGTGGACGTTCTGTGCCGATACAGGAGAGGAAGACTCTTTGCGGTGATCCCGCTTCTCGAGACAGGACTCTATAGAGGTGACGGATGCTAACAAAGCGTCTCCCGTGACCCGCTCGGAGTCTTCGGTGCTGTCGGGCGTGTCTGAGCCACCGCTTTCGCTCTCTGCGGAGACGGACACAGAGTCCTCGTCATCACTGGCAGTGCCTTGCTCGGGACGGCTGAGGCGTGGACCGAGCGCGTCCTCGTCCTCGATGACCGCCTGGACGTCCTCGGCGTATTCACGGGCGAGACCGGCTGGCATGCCGCTAATGGCGCTCATGACTGCGTTCCACTGGTCAAACGAGTCGATGCGCTCATTGACCTCGTCGCCATAGGTCTTGAGGTTGGACTCGATGCGGGAAACGGCAGCCAGGGTCTCATGTTGAATGTCGGAGGTGGTAGGGTGGACGGACTTGAGCGTGTCGCGGTGGCGGCCAAACTCGGCGCGCAGGGCAGTGATGCTGAGCTGCGCACCCTGGGCCGCCTGAACGTCTCGAAGCAGCTGCGTGTTGTGTTCCAAGCTCGAGTCGAGCAGAGTCAGGTGCAAGGCCAAGTCCCGGATCTGCCTCTCCATCGTGAGGAGAAGGTGGGTATGATCGCTCGGCGGCGAGGCGGTGTCGATCTTGTGGGAGAGGGAGAAGACATCCTCCTTGACTCCTTCAATGTTGCTGGTGACGATGCCAAGCTCCTCCTTCACCGCCTGGATGTCGTCGACGGTGGTCTGGGTCTTGATCTCGAGGTTCTGGAAGTCTTCCCTGAAACTCGTCACCTCGCCAGCCGTAGCCGTGAGTACGGAGTGGACGCCAGTGATTGCGCTCTGGATGCTGGTCAGGCTTTCCTTGATGCCAGAGTCGTGGACGGCGTGATGGGTGGGCCCGTGAGAGACGGACTTGGGAGAGCCTGGAGGTACAGGAGGGACAGGAGCAGCGGGAGGTTGATGGATGGCGGCGGAAGGTGTCGATGGCGGTTGGGACTCGCCTGAGAACATCAGCTATACTGCTTTGAGACACAACTTGGGGACATGACTTACCGTACGTCATCTGGAGGGCCTTGAAGCGAATGATCTCGGCAGCAACATAGTACTGTGAGTCAATCGGAGAGTCGTGCTGAACGTGCGCCGTGAGAGTGATCACATCACCGAGCGTGCTCGCATCAAGGGGTGAGAGCTCGCCGGAGATGTGTTTCTCGCGCAGCTGGGGGTACTCTGCAAGGAGGGGGTGATGCTCCAGAGGAGTGAGGTCAAACATGGTTAGGGCCTGCGGGGTCAGTATGGAGGATATGGGTCAGCACGTACAGAAGTTTGAGATGTTGAGAGAGATGAAGTGGACGAGGGAAGGCAGAGAGGGAAGAAGTGGGGTTAGACTTGCCCAGTGGCCAGTGGCAAACGATCAGACCAAGGGCCATCAGTCCAACGCCACAGCGTCGTGACTGCTTCCATCCACCAAGGGCGGAACAGACGTCTGAGGAGTGCGTCACTGATGACTGCAATGCACATGCATCGTACACCCCTCAAGAGAGGCACTTATGAACATTGGTGGTTATGCGTTACTACGCCTGGTTCATACCGAGGTATTGGCGGACGACCCAACGGAGCCGAGCCAGCGTCTCGGCGTTTTCCTTCAAGTCAATATCCGACCTCTGGACGATGAGACGCGCCCAGACCATGAGCTGTGAGAACGTGAGGGCCATGAACTGGGACTCGTTGCTGAAACGGGGCAACTGGAGCTTTGAAAGTGTCAGTTGGACGTTGAAGGCGGGGGTCAACTCACTTGAAGGTTAGGGATAAAGTCCGAACCAGCGCCCACGGCGGCAGTGGCGAGAGGGATGTTGAGGAGGTGGCGGTAGCGAATGCGGCGGCTTTGGCGGTCAGTCTCCTGCACAGACAATGGTCCACTTACCACTCCTCGGTAACGCTTAGCAGCTGCCAGAGGTTATCGACGACCTCTTGAGTCTCCCTCGTGTGCGCCTCGATGAGCCCAACTTGGCGAATGGCATCTTGCGAGTTCTCCAAAACATCGATCCTCGACCTCATGGTACGCATCTCATCCGAAGTTTGCTTGAGCTGAACGAGGGCTTGGTTGGAACGTTCATAGTCACCGCCTCCGCCGTGCTTGAAGATCTTGCCTTGGGACCAAGTCTCCCTGGGGACGGCGGCCTCGGCGGCCTCAGCCTGGCGGGCAATGTCCTGCGCCTCCAGACGGTCGAGTTTCGCGTCCATGGCGAACAGCATCTTCTCCATGTTATCGACGTTGTCAGACAAGTTGGAGATGGTTTGGACGTGCTTGTCATGGAGCTGGACGGGCGACTTGCTGCGTGGAGTCGGGGCGATGCTCGGGACAGACGAAGAGATGGAGGTCTGACTGCCGAAGCCAGGCGGGGGAGCCACGCACAGCCTGGACTTGATGTCGTGGGCAAGGTTGACGACCTTTTTGAGCGAGTTCTCATGAGACGACGCTTGGAATCCCACGTTCTTGATCTCCTTGAGGGTATCCTTGTTGCCCGAGTTGACGGCGTCCTTGACTTCCTGATAGGAAGGAAGCTTGCCAATACTCGACTTCAAGTCACGCAGGCTCTTTTCGAGGTCACTTGGAATCGCACCGGCCTTGCTCTCGGTTCTGGCCAAGGCGGCATCGCGAATCTGAGCGCCATTGAGGGGAATAGGCGGGGGGAGGGCTTTGATGCTGGCCAGGAGCTCGTGGTGCGAATCGAGCGTAGCTTCGACAGCCTCGAATTTGGCGATGATCGACTTGAGGTGTTTCGCCGTGTCGTTGGTCGCTTCCACAACCGTGCTGGCCATGTCCCTGGAACGTTTCTGGCGCTCCGACGTCTTGGAGGATAGCGTCTTGACCTCGTCTTGAATCTCCCTCACTTCGTTGGTAGTGGCCAGGCCGTTGAGTAACGCCTTCACCTCGTCCTTGGTCGCCATTGACTTGGTGTGGGCCGCGAGCGTACTACCCATGGCGCGCACCTCGGCCTTGAGCTCCTGCATCTCGGTGGTCGTCGTGGTCGTGAGAGTCTGGACAACGGCGACGAGCGCGGCAAGCGTGTCTTGCGTAGCCCTCATGGAGCGCTGCATGGACGCGACTGCGGTCCTTCCTTCCTGTACCGCTTCGGCACTGGAATTGGTGCCGTTGCCTCCAGACGATGCGTGTGTGGTGGATGCCGTGGACGACATCGTCGGCGTGAGGAGAGGTGCTTGTAGGGTGAATGTGAGGTTACGGTGTTGGTGGATAAATGAATGGGATGAGGAGCGTTGGAAGATGTTTGAAAGGTTGAAGGATGTGGTAGACGGGGCACCAAGTGTCCACGCAAGCTGACGCGCCCCATCCCCACTGATCACTGATCTCACTGACACGAACCAAACACGCCTGATCGCACCCCTCCCTCCACACGTCACACGACTCGCACGAGCTCGCGACCTCCACCTGCGGTTCAACATGCACACAGTGCGCATCGCATCGTGCCCAGGGGCTGGAATCTGCTGCAGTAGCCACTCCAAAATACTGTTCGAACTGGGCGAGGAAGGCAGTGTGCCACCCTTGAGGGCGCCAGACGTTTAATCCCTGGTCCTCCCTCACTCATCACTCATCGCCGGTTCACCGCCGTTACCTAGCTCATAACGCTCCGCCAACCCATTCCGCTCGGTGCATAAAGACCTGATCAATCTTGCACTGATGCATTTGAAAGGGCGAGACAAGTCACTAGGCCAGGCAGGCGAGGCAGGCCACAAGCCACGGTAGCCAGAATGCGCCGCTGAAATAGCCCGGCTGAGTCAAACATTGTGGCACATTCTTCATCGCACTGTTTACAACGCCAGTACATAGCTAGCAGCCAGCTGCTTCGCTGAATGGGCCGTACTCCTGCACCCTATAAACTTATCGAACACTCCACCACACTCGATCCTTGGGGGCTGTCCTATTTATCGCCCGCCTGACGGCGAGACTCCATAGCATAGCTGTCACGGAGCTCTCTCAGTCTCTCAAGGTGATCCGCCTCCGCCTGCACAAGTCGCTCAATTGCTCGTGTCTCACGCTGGCCTTGGGATTGGCTGTTGAGGGTCCGCCTTCTGCGCGCGTCTCTGGCCTCGTCGTTCAACTTCAATACCTTTTGCTTCTGGTTCTCAATGTTGCTGAGCGTGTATTGCCAATGAAAGTCGTTGACATACACCGGCTCGTCACGGTGACGCAGAGGACCGGTGGCGACGGGCGCTGACGGACTCGTCACGGTGACACAGAGGACCGGTGGCGACGGGCGCTGACGGAGGACGGCTCAGGTGCAATGGGTGGTTGTTGGCAGCCGGAGAGCGTTGGACGCTAGCACTCATGTCGACTGCTTCCTTGAGCCCATCCGAGCCCACCTCTTCGTCCTCCGGTGGCTCGCCCGTCGTAATGGCCTGGACGTGGGTGTTGGCGATAGTATGAAGCTTGTCGGCCAGAACGCGAATCGGCTCATTCTGAGCTTGGCAGTCGTCTGTTAGATCTTGGACCGCGTTGTGGCTTCTCGCCTTGGCCTTGCGCAGGGATTTGATCTTGTCGTCGCGACTCGCTGCCTCGGCGGCCAACTGCAGTTTCGTGTCGGACAACTTGCGACCCTCCCGCTCGGCGCGGACGAGCCGAGTGCGGTAAGGCCCAGTCCTATCTGTGGCGTTGAGGAGCTGCTTTTCAAGCTCCCGATGGCGGCCACAGTTCTTCCACTTCAGGGCGGCTCGCTCCCCGTGTCGAACCCAGTGTCTGTGGAAGAGTCATTCATGAGGCTAAACGCTGTCAGTAACTCACTTACAAGGAGCGCCGTGCAACTCACCGCCTGTGTAACCTGCCGAAGGCTTGGTTGGAACAGTTGTCGGTACGCTGGCGTTTGACGGGCGTGGACGGGGGATCAGAGGCGCTTATTCCTTTGGGAGTGGGCCAGAGTGTGCCGAAGTTGGCGCCCGTGGAGCAAGCGGTGATAGACGGGGGACGTTCCAGGTTGCCGGCAGGAGAGGTATGCACGCCGTGTCTGGCGTCACGGTGGTCTCCCTTCTTGCGCTTCTGGCTCCCCTGAACAGGCTCTAGGGGAAGACGGTCCCAGCGAGATGGGAAGAATGAGAACAAGCTACCCAAGGTCTCCCCAAAAGGCGGTGGAAGAACTCGACGGGACGAGGTTGTCGATATGCTCTGCTTGGGCTCGGGTTGCACGCCGGTTGTTACAGCCTTGACGACTGGGCCTTTGAAGAGACCCGCAGAGTGTTCCGCGCGGTTATCTCTAACAGCTGGCACCATCTGTACTATCAGTCTTGTTCGTCACAGTTCATCACAGCCATATCCGCAATCTACTCACGTCTTGCCTAGGCCGACGCGTTTTATTAGTCCGGGCTTGTCCCTCAAGCCGCTCGTCATCCATGGCGGGTATTTGATTGGGAGTGATGAGGAAGAAGAACGATGCGGCAGAATAAGCCTGTGCGGACGGGGAATGTTTTGATCCTGCTTGTGCGAGGGCGCTGGCGCGCTGACCCGGTCACACCCCCTCCCACACCCGTCGTCGTGTGGAATGAGGGACGACATCTGTGACATGCACAAACCCTTCTAACTTCTGCATCGCCTCAGTAGCGTCCTAGTCTTCCTCTCCAGTCACTCCACCTCACTGGGCAAACACATGGGCCCACCAGCGGTTTCGGGAACGGATCGCCTTCTCGCCGAAGGGACCAGCATGGAGCCCCCAAACGTCAGTCGCATCTTGGTCCAACAGAAAGCAAGCTCAGACTATCGCAATTAGAATACATGGATCGAAATACAAAGGATCAGGCTGATGGCGGGGCAAGGAAGGTGCCATTATGCCGCTTCTTTTTACTTGGGGATTTAGCGGTGCACGGTGTGTGTGCAGCCGCAGACTTCTGAACTTGCACTTGGGCTTCTCTCACGGCAACTCTCCTGCCCGGTACGCCCGGTGTCATGGCTGGGTCGGGAGGAGACGCGGTGAGGGATGTGATTCAGTGGGTGGATACCGCCCCTTGTCGCTGCCTTGGCTTGTCTGCGGCACGGTTAGCGACAGTGGGAGACACTCCATAACCTTGGTGGTGATGACTCACAGAGGACAAACCATCAGCTTGCTGGCGCATGAGCCTCGCGAGGTGGAGACACGCGTGGTTGCGTCTGTCGTGTCAGCTGTGCCTCTCGAACGTACGTGACAGCTCACCTCAGCTGGGTCGGGCCGGTGCGTCCAACCTGCGTGCGCCAGGCATCGATCCTCGACACGAAGGCCTTGAGTTCCTCCTCGGTGGGCGGGACAAACACCTGTTCGACCTCTTCGTCGTCGCTGTCCGAGTCGTCCACTATGCCGCCACCCATGCCTCTCTGCTCGAACTCGATAGCTTGGCTGGGCAGGAGGGTGTTCAGAGAGAGGTCACCCTCGTCGGTGTCGGGGACGCCGGACGAAAGAGCCGTGACCCTGATACTGGTGACCGAGGGTTCAGTGGACGGGGGCTTGGGCATGACCAGGTCGACATGGGCCTTTTCCAAGTTGATGTGACCGAGCAGGTCGGAGAGCTGGACGAGGTCGACAGAGGTGGTGTCCATGTTGGGGGCTGGATGTCAGCTAGGACGCGAATCAAGTAGCTCACTAGAGTGGCCGCGGGGTGCTTGCCGCAGATCAGAGAGGCTCAATGATATGAGCGAGACGACGCGTGGTAAGAAAGGCTGGGAGAGCATGGCGACGGAGAGTGGGTCGAGTGGCGGTGGGAGGGGGTGTGGAAAGGTCGAGGATATGTATCCAGTCGATAGGTAGGGAGGTAAGAGATATGTTGAGAAACGGTGCAGACGCGTGGTGTGAATGAGAGAGAGAGTATAGATGGGAAATGTGTCTGAATGATGGCGACAATTAACGGACGTGTGGCGTGTTGGCCGTGTTGGGGCAAAGGAGGCCACCGGATGCCACCCGGCGGCGCCCGGTCTGTTGCTGATGACACCGCGGCCGAGCAGCATCAAAGCTAGCAAAGGCGCGAGCTGCACGCGTTCTATTCAAAGCCTGGCCATAGAGTGGACGACGTGCTTTGTTTATGGCGCTATGGCTGTGATCTGTGGGATTCATTGCCCGGCTGGTGCGCGCAGACAAAGGGTGTCAATACAAGGTGTGGCGCGACTGTGCTTCGGCGCCATCGTGCGCGCATGCGGCGGACCGCAGTGGGGAGACGTAGGGAGAAAGGGTCGCGGCGTCGAAGCAGAGAAGCGGGGCCGCAGCAAATGACGAGGTGGACTGCTCTGGCGCTCTGAGAAGCATTCGAAGCAGCTCGTCATTTACGTAGGTTGCATCTAACCATCGAACAATGCAGGTGACGACAAGACACGACTGGAAGAAGATGATGGCGGGCAAGATTGCTCGCCATTTTTGTTTTGCCGGCCCATTTTCGGATTCATTCGGCAAAGCGTACACACTCGAGTGCACGAGGCTCGTGGCCTTGCGCACTGCGCAAGAAAGACCTGCTGACACTCTGTCGGCGCCTGATCTACTGCATGCATTGCGTGAAACGTTTGCCAAGTGAAACCCCATTCCAGTTGCCCATTGCCGAGCCCCCCGCGTACGAGGTCTAGAACCCGTGCAAGCACAGGTCGCCAAGGCGTCACGGTTTTCGCCGCCAGCCGCGAGCCACGACGGCGGCCACAACACTGCGCTTCACTCTCGGAAAACTTAGGCCACGATTACGGATCAGTAGGACTGATGTATCCGGGCCTGTCAGACTGCAGACTGTGTGGGTTCTCTTCGCACACAATACGGAACCCACGGCACACATGCTAGCATGTGAGTATACGTGTGTCTACATGCGCGCGCATGCAGAGATCCAGAGACTTCGCACACAGTCTCCCCCTTGGACTCGCAGGCTGGAAGGGACAACGCAGCCCGGGCCGACAACGCGCCGGGCTCCCACCCTTCGCGCCACCCATTGCACCGAGACCCAGCGAGACGCCACCGACAATGACCCCTGCATGGCTCCGTGGGGTCCCGAAAGCTGAAAGCGGCCATGGACGCGTGTCATCGGTACAGTACCTAGTACGTGCTTTGCCCCACCGCAAAATACGCACTCTCGTACTGAAAGTGAAGGAAAGGAGCAGGCGCGCGGAGGTACGGACTTGTGTTGAGCGGTGTCAAGCGGGGACGGCTGTCAGTGACGACGGAGCGTCGGGTACGGGCCGGAAAGGTAGTCCCCAGAGTGTTCTCGCAACGACGTCTGCGTCCCCACCACCCGATGGTCAGTGGACGAAGGATACAGCAGTGGACAGGCTACATGACTTGCAGCGTCATGGCGTGGGAGGAACCGTTGGAGGGACGAGATGCGTGGCAGGAATCTCCGGGCCGCGCGGTGGCTTGTACCCCAGCCATTAGTGGGCACAGCCTCGCCGCGCGGCTGCGTCGTGACAATTACGTTTGTCTCTGATCGCATTTTACGCGTCTAAATTGATGTCCACGAGGGCTTTGGGCAGCTCACTAGCTCACGAACAAGGTCATAACCGTCTACTCCTTCTTCTTAAACTCGTCGCGCCCACGGGCGTCCGTCTTGGTCCAGATACTGATGCTCTGCGGGGGCGAGAAGAAGTCGGCCCAGCCGTCGTCGCCGATAGTGACTTCGCCTTGGTGCCAGCCGAGGACGTCGGTCCACTTCTCGCCGGCATGCTCCTTGCCCACGTCGACGCGCTTCTGGCCCTCACCAGTGCCGTTGCAGATGACAGTGACAGAGCCGTCGTGGTTCGCGTCACCCTTGCGGAGCCAGGCGACGCAGTTGGCTGGCAGTGTCAGTTGGGAGACAAAGCAACATTGACGAGAATGGATCTGGGGGGCTGAATAGAACACAAGAAAGCCAGCCCCCACGTTCACACTCACCGTGGTCCCAGTAGTCGACGTGCTCGCCGTACGCAAAGAGCTTGCGGGAACGGATAATGTCCTCGAGCTGGGCGACGCCTGGCTGGGGGTTCTCGCCGCCGCAGCCGTACAGGTCGCCGTAGAAGACACAAGGGTAGCCGTCGGGGCGCATGAGAATGAGCGCATAGGCGAGAGGCTTGAACCAGGCAGGGACCCAGTTTTGGAGTGCCTGGCCAACCTGGGTGTCGTGCTGAGAAGGTCAGTTATTTGGAGCTCCAGATACACCTTACGTTGTCGACAAGAGTGACCGCGTCAATGGGACGAGCCTGGACGAGGGTGTTGTCAAACACCTTGCGAAGGTCATACGCCTCCTTTCCGTCACCGGCCTCCTTGAAGTTGCCTTGGAGCGGGGTGTCAAAGACCGAGAACTGGGTGCCCAGGCCGTCGAGGTACTCGCAGAGAGCGGGGACCGAGTCTGCACCCGTTAGTCATAGCCACAACGCTAACCCGCTTCCAACTGACCCTTCCAGAACTCGCCCACGCAGAAGGCGGCGGGACGGCCCTTCTGCTCGGCGCGGACCTCCTTGACGAACTGGCTGATAAAGTCGCGCGAGATGTGCTTGACGGCGTCAAAGCGGAAGCCGTAGGCCCCCGTCTCGTTGAGGACCCACTCGCCCCAGTCACTGGGGAGTTAGCTTTCAGGGCGGTGCGCAAAGCTCACTTGAGGTCCTTGATCACGTCGGGGTGTTTGTGGTCAATGTCAGCAAACATGAGGTAGTCGTAGCTGGAGAACATGAGCTTTGGTCGTTTCGTGGACACTCACTTTCCGTTTTCCTTGTCAACATCCCGCGCCCAGGCCTTGCCGTCTCCCTGGATCTTGTAGATGGCATTCGTCTCCGTCGCAGCGTCGTAGTCAACACCGGTGAAGTGGTTGAAGTTCCACTTCATACCCGAGTACTTGTCACCACGGCCCGGGAAAGTGAACCTGAGACGTCAGCTCAGACCATCCCAAAGAGAATGAGCTCACTTGGTCCAGGCTTCAATGTCGTGTTGGTCGCCAACAAGCTGGTCGCGCTTGTTACGGTCCACCATGGTAGCAAGGAACTTCTCCTTTTCGTCCGCACCAGCCTTGTGGTTCAGGACCGCGTCAATGTACGTGATGATTCCCTTCTCCTTGGCCGCAGCGATAGCCGCAAGGAGCTGCTCCTTGTTGCCCCAGTGGGTGCCCTTGGCTCCCTTCTGGTCAAACTCGCCGAGATCCCAGAGGTCGTAGCTGTCGGGTGTAAGCAAAGTGCCTTGAGACGCGTTTGTGTGACCCAGAGGAAAAGCCTAGAGGGCGTCGATCAGCCGTCGAGAGTCAGACTTACACGTCGTAGCCAGTGCCGTTGGGGGAAGAGCCCTTGGTAGGAGCTGTCTGGTCAGATACGTGCGTCTGTCATCTCTCCAGCGGACACTTACGCGGAAGCCATGCAGCAGTAATGCCCATGCTGGCGAGGTTGTCCACCTCGCTCTTGTAGCGGTTCCAGTGTGTCCCTTCACCAGGAGCGTACCACCTGCTCTTGTCAGCACCTTTCAACGTCTCACGCGTCGAGGACGTACTCAAAGTACTGGATCATGCAGTAGTTGGCTGGCTGTGTCAGCGCACGTTCGTCTCAGGCCGTCTCTGCTGCTCGTCAACAAACTCACGGTGGTTGTCGTCGGCATGACGCGACCTGTCTGCGCCGGAAGCCATTTTCGCGGTGTTTGTTGCGGGAGGGGGTGAGTAGTGGGTGAAGCAAGGTCCTTGTTCGACCTTTAAGAGAGTGAGTGCGAGTGCGAGGGGAGATGCAAAGATTTGGTTGCTATCCACGTTTGCACGTCAGATTGCGGGAAGAGTTGGGGGGTGACAAAAACGTCACTGTTGGGATGAGGAACCCGCCGGACCCACGGCGCGCGCGCGCGCTCAGTGTCGATCGTGCGGGCGGCGTACGACTGTGACGTCACTGCTATCGTCGCGCGTCACCGCTCGAACCCCGTGTGGGTCCACATGCTACGCGGGCGACGACGAGATTAAGGAAACCCCGCAGAGAGTGCGGGATGGAGACGAACGAGAGGGCCTGGACAAAACTACGGCCAGAGGTCCCCCGATAAGACGGTGTGGAGAAGAACAGCCCCTGATCCCCTGAAACCTCCACGCGCGACCCACTCCGAGACAAGGCAAGGCGTGTTGACCACCATACCCACAGGACATATCCCACAATCGTCATCTTCTCGGACATGGATGCATGCACTATGGCGTGGCGTGAGCTGCGGTTTTCCTGTAGGTTGGAGGCGATGTTCTGTCTGCAGCCGCTTTAGAGTGCCGCCTGACCGCATGGGCCCGTTCTGAGGCCACTGCCGCGGCAGAGACAGTGAACTACTTCGTGTGGTTGGTCAGTGATCAGTGAGGCTCTTGGAGGACCATGAGTCGACGAGCACGTGTGAGGATCACCCCGGCATGCTGCCAAGGAACAAGTTCTTCAAGAGGGCTCTCTAGCCGTGCACGAATAGCCGGCCACCAAGTCATTTCCACTCAGGCTCTTTGTGGTTACCATTCGCCACTCCAGGTGCAAAGGTGGCGGAAACGGTTGGAGTTCCGCTTCTCTTGGCCCTACACAATTCTTGGCCCTACACAATTCTTGGCCCACGTGAGTCCGCATACAACAGGAGCTACATTGAAGGACGAGGGTGCGGTACTTACATAACTTCTAGGTGCCCAAGTGGCACAGGCGGTCTGCAGACCGCACATCTGATGCGAAGCGTACGTATTCTTGCCGACAGTCAGGGAAGGTATGTCGGGAGAGGCCATACAGGGAAGAAGACCAGGGGGGTATAGTAAGAGGGCCGTTCTACTGACCCCTTCCATGCCGGTAACAATGAGGGAGAGTGAGGAGGCACATTGGAATCGCGCTGCGGTCTGAACCTACCGCCTGATATAGGTCCTTCCAGGAGCCAGTGACATCCAGCAAAAGAGAACCTCGATCTGAGCAGCTCAGATAGAGACCAGTACACCGTAAGGGAGTCGAACCCCTGCCGCGTCGATGGCAACGACGCATGATACCGTTTCACCAACGGTGTTGAGATGTTCTTCAATTTTCAGTGGTGAAGATAAGGCTTCGGATGTTGTTTTGGGTGGAGAAGGTCGACAACATCGCCCAGCGGTCGCCAGATGGCCAGCATGCATTACTGTAGCCATGATGAGCGTCTCTGGTTTAGTTTGGAACAAGTTGTTACGGTCTCGGCCCGCATCCTCGGTGAAAACTTGAGTACGACATGATAAGGCAGGTGGTGCGGCAAAAAAAAATCCGGAAAATCGCCGAAAATGATTTCACCATCCCCTCTTCAACACAACACTCAGTATTTTCCCGTTTGGAGCTGTCAATCAGCCAGGCAGATTGCAGGCAACTCAGTTGATGTTTCAGTGCGTACCCCACCATGGTGTTCATGGGACAATAGCATAAAAGGCAGGACTGCTACACAGAATGGGCTCCAGGTTTGAAAATCGCCATCTTGCCAAGTCGGCATCAAGGTGGTATTGTTCCCAACTGACTTCCTGGTCTTCCAGAACTCCTCCTGGGCCAAAAATGAGACTCTCTGAGAGCCACAGAGCTACACACGAGGTCTGACTGGGAATCGAACCCAGATTACAAGAACGAAGAGGCTTCACAGAGCGGTGAGGCTGCTTCAGAATCTTATGTACTAACCTTTATACGATCAAACCTTCTTGTCGGGCCGTCTCCCCCTTCAAGGATGTCCGGATGTGTCGCAACTCTAGGCAATCCCTGGTCGCGTAGCACCAGGGCAGAACAAGCAGAGTTGATCAGCTGAAGACAAGCTGAAAATACGGGAATGTGGCACTTTCATGATTTTCGCCGACATCCACGTCCAAACGCCTTCCCAACTCAAAAAAACAGATCTTACGCTGCTGCGAGCCCTTCACAAGGTCGCAGAGGCGGAGCAGAGTAGGTCCGACTGGGAATCGAACCCAGATTACAAGAACGAGAGACAACCGCAGGGTTGAAGACTACGACGTACAGTCAATCAGAATCTTGTGTACTAACCTTTATACGATCAAACCGACATGCTCGGGCATTCTGCCAAGTCACCGTGAACCTTCTGGTATCGTGGCACGTCTCGCAAGCAGTTTACAGTCATTATCACGACATCTACATCGCCCACCCTCCATATCTCATGTCCTGATCACTCGTCCTCCTCACCAGACAGGGTGGGGCGGGTCGTCTCGCCGAGGCGCTGGATGCCGGCATAGTATTCCCCAGGGCGAGCGTGCTCCTCGTGCTCGGCCTTCTCTTCGTCCTTGTCCACCTCGGCGCGGCCGGTCCTCACCGCCTCGACGTCTGGACCGCTCGAGTGCTTCTCGCCTTCGAAGATACCGTCGATCTCTTCCAGCGTCATGCCCTTTGTTTCGACCCAGAAGACGGCCTGCTGTCAGGTGTGATACGGCTGCCGGAGCAGGTGCTCACGATGAAGATGAGGAACAGCCAGTCCCAAGACGCGTTAATCATGTACATCTTCCAGCCGATGTTGGCACTGGCGTCAGCTCGGCACCGCCGTCACAGCTGAGCTCACATTCCAATGGGCATGACGTAGACGAGGACAAGACTGCAGTTAGTGCATTCATCACGACGAGGTCCACTTACGCGCAGCAGTTGAGGAGAAGGTTCATGAACGCAAACCCGTTCGCGCGCATGGAATAGTTCATGATTTCGGGTGGGTACAAGTTGAGGATCGGGGTGTAGCACAGACTGGAGGAGGTCAACGAATGTACCCCACTGTGCTTGAGTTGCTCACGAGTAGAATCCCTGGAACAAGAACACACACGCAACGTTGCCGTACACCAGCGCGTTGGAGCTGGTGATGTTGGCAGCAGTGTTGTCGGCGTACATCTTGCTTAGTCCGCCTATGATGTAGAGCATGACGATGAGGCTGAATTGGCAGAGCATGGCGGACGGCTTGCGGCCCCAGCTAACCAGGGCTTGGGTGCCGGCTACGGCGCAGATGAGACACCAGACGTTCAAGACGACGTTCTGCGTTGGTCAGCTGTGACGGCACGTTCCGAAGCTCACGGCTTGAAGCTGCGCCGTCGAACTAGTCACTCCAGCAGTGGCCAACTCATCACCGAGGTAATACGACGCTGCTTGTCAGTCACCGTTTGGTTCCCAATGCGCACGACGCACCGATAATGTTCCCAGTCGAGCTTGTAATCACGCCAGGAGAGGCTCCAATCATGAGCCTCCGGCGGTTGGTCTTGCCCTTGAACAGGTCGAGTGGGGAGAGCTTCTTGCCCACGTCCTTCTCCCAGGCGATAGTCTCGACGATTTCATTGTACACCGCCACGGTCACCGGTGCGCGCTTGTCGCCGTTAGAGTTTGTGAGCGCCACCGTGTCTTGCGCTTCGTCCAGGAGACCGCGGTTGACGAGCCAACGAGGCGATTCGGGGCTGAGTGTTGTTTTGTCAGTGGGTGAAATGTGAGCGAGAAGAGTGCACCCACATGAAGGGGACGAGCATGATGCAGATAATGGAAAAGACACCTTGCAGTAGACTGGGGAGCCGCCACGCCCAGGTACTGTTGGGCCATGACGAGGTTCCCAAGGTGACGCCGGCAGCAATCAGTGCGCCAATGCTACAGAAATTAGTAAACAGCAATGGCCAACGAACCCACTAGTAGAAGTTGTTGAGCGTACCCACGCCCCACGTTCTCCAGCGCGAAGGGAAGGTTTCGTTGAGATACACGCCGGCGGCGATTCCCTCGACTCCCGTGCCAAAGCCCAGAACGATCCGGGCCACAGTGAACATCTGGTGGGGTTTGTCAGAGTTTGTCAGGTCAAGTAAGCGCCGTATACCACGTACTGCGACATCCTGTGCGGCCGTCTGCAGGAGAATGCCGATCAGGGCCACGAGAGAAAAGTAGAGCATGGTGAGACGGCGGCCAAGGCGGTCCGTTATCATGCCGCCCACTGGTCAATGTCAGAAGCCGCCAGCAAGTGGAATCCCTCACCCAGGTTCGAAATGATACCGCCGATGAAGATGCTGGCCGTGTTCTTATCGTGGCGTCAGCACCTTCCCAGAAAAGTGGACTGCACCAGACCTACCAGACCGGTAGTCGCTGCATTGAGGTTGAAGTAGTTGCTGTACGAGGGCAGGATGTTGAGGCCGTTGAGGCACGAGCCGTCGTATCCCACTGGGACGTCAGAAATCGCCTGTCATGTCATGCTGCCTGGTGGACGAACCGGTGGCGGACTGGGCCATTGAACACACGAGGAGAATGGAGGCGAGGAGTTTGGTGCTCTCGGGTACCCAGGCGGGACACCAAGTGCCAGTGGCGATACGCTTCATTGCAGGCTGAGTGTGCTGTGGAGTGCTGAGGAATTGGAATCGAGAAACCACATGCAGCCATTTTCCAAGAGCTTCCAGTGTTTATAAGTCTCGCGCGCCAGCTGTGTCGGTCTAATCCGTCAGCAAACCGTCAGCTGATGGATAAAGGCGTCTTAAAATAGCCTTTTCATGTTGCTGCTCTTATCCACCTACATGTCGTAGCTTGCTCAAGCGTCTTCCAGGCTCCACTGCGTTGAAGAATGTTGGCCGGCAGACGCACAGATTCCCCTAGCTCGGTATGTACCATGTCGCTATCCGGCGATTTCACCGACGCCATGTGTCGCTGACGGCGGTCATTTGCTTCAATCCGTTGGGAACATCTCGTTGAAGACCTGGGGTTCAACCCCTTGGACTGGCGCTTGGTGTGACCTTCACTCGTTCATCCATTCATTCATACATGGATCCATACCTCAAAGCCCTACAGCCGACGGGCCAGCCGCTCGGCTTCTTGTCTCTCTGCCCATGGTCTCATGGTCTCGTGTGGTAATCATTCTAAAGGTCTGCCTCGGATGGCAGCTTGGCAGCTTGGCAGAGTGATTGCGCTGGCAAAATGTCAACTTCAACGGCACTGTTTGCCAGATGAGAGCAGAACCAGCCACATGCCCAAACCCCAAGCGGTGATGTATGTGTGTTTGTGTATGTGGCACTACATAGTGAACACGGCGACAGACCAATGATGCGCACCGGCTGATGCGTACCAGCCTCGTACCCTCTCCCATGCGCCCATCACCTCTCAGGCCCCGTAACGCACCAGCCATGCCCACTCGTCACAAAGACGCCCGCCGCACGCACACGCACACACACACACGCACACACACTCGTTTGTGCGAATTGCAACCGCACCGCCGCTGCCGAAACCATCCTCGTCAAAACCCCGACAAACCATTTCGGCTCTCTCTTCCACTTCTTTGCACTGTTCCACTGTCCTGCACCATGTCCCTCGAGCCTCCCATCGGACTGTTCAATCCAGGTCGCGATCACCAAGTGGTATGTCTGCCCGTCTTGGCTATCACATGCGACAACATGCTAACCCATTGCAGGTCATGGGCCGCCCTGGCCCCGGGCAGTATGCGTACATTGCCTACCGCTGTAACCTCAAGGGTGCCTGGTTTGGCGGAGTCCTTATTGAAATCATCAATCCAGGCGGACCAGAAGCCCAGTACGAGTTCGCCACTCTGACCTGCGTTATTCTTACCAGGATGGACTCTGAAGTTGTCGCCATTGAGTTTGCAGAGTATCAACGTCTCGTTGATTGGGAACGGTTGATGGTGAGTTGAGTTTGGCCTACGGACGAGGTGCTGACCGCAGTTTGCGCCCGCGTACAAGTACAAGCTCACTATGCTTCGTCTCCGTCTTTATAACTGGTACATACACAACGGCTGGGAGTGGGACCGTCCTAGCGACATCAAGAAGATGAAGGAGGCAGCAAGCAACTTTGCGCACCGCCACCTTCAAATGGCCCAACGTGAGTCTTTCTGGGTCTGGGGGAGAGTGCGGTTTTGGTGTAACCGTCTTTGGACGCGGTGCTATGACAAGTCCCTCGACCCATTATCGTCTCTATCAATGAAGCTGATCAAAAGGCTTGTACGGCCACGACTATCTATGGGATCCCGCAACCAACTCTTACAAGGTCGTCAGGCCTGAGATCGAGATCAATGAACTCGAACACTTTGACTGTGACGAAGAATTCGAAATCGACCCAAAAGACCGGTACTTTGACGTCGGCAACGGATCTCAGAACAGCCGTACCAGCGACCCACAAGAAACGGAGCTTCAAGGATGACCAACTTGGTGATTGCGAAGTGTGCAGAAGGCGGTCTGGTGGGAATTAAGTGCAATGAGGTGATCCAAGTTTAGGTCGAAGAGCACAAGGAGGCACGTTTGTGATTTCATCTACCACCATGTTAAACGCATCCAGTTGAGCTCATTGGTACTGCGATACCTGCAAGACATTCATTATGACCAATTATATACAAAGCCTACTTCTAACCACTCACTCAACCCCGCCAGCCATCTACTTGCCCTTGCGCGAGATGTCGGCCCACATGCCCTTGCCCACCTCTGCCAAACCGTGGCGTGCCTCAAAGACGGGGTACACGCCGACCGCGAGGAGACCGCAGAAGAGCCACATGATGACGATGCACACCCAGGCGGTGAAGCCCTTCTCGGGATAGATGTAGTGCGAGAAGAACTGGGGCATGGGAACGGCGAAAATGAGGATGAAGGTGAGGATGAGGGCGGCGTACGAGGCGAGGCGGAACGCCTTCTTGAGGCTCACGTCCTCGTTCGAGGCCAGCGCCTCAATGTCCAGGGGGTTGCTGGCCGCGTGGCCACGGGCAGGCGTAGCGGTGCCGCTCTTGTCCTTCTCGGCCGAGCCAGAGGGAAGGCGGACCTCGGCCACACTGCTGTCCTCGCTTGGGATGTCGGCAGTCTCGACGTGGTGCTCGACGATGGCCTCGGTGGCCCTGCCGGCCTCGACGTTGATGGCGCGCGTAATGTCCCAGTCAAAGTCGGCCGGGCTGATGAGCGACCAGCCCACAGTGATGATGCCGCCGACACCGATCGAAAGGAGGTTGCCGGTAAGCATCTCGTAGTCACCAAACGTGGTGTCGACGGTGATGACGCCGTTGTTGAGGTGCGCGGTGATGCCGATCCAGCCGGCGACGCCGGCCACGAAACCCAGGATGGCACCGCAGATGGCACCGGTGCCGTTGGTCTTCTTCCAGGTAATGCAAAGGGCGATAGGGACGACGGCGCAGCCGATGATGGTGCCCATCAGCTCGTAGAGGTAACCCATCGACACGCCAATGTAGTTGAACGCAGTCGCGATGGCGCCCATGAACAACGCAAAGCCAATGATAGCGCAGTGCGAGACGTAGAGGATCTGCTTCTCGGTCGGCTTCTTGTTGATGTAGGTGCCGTAAACGTCGTAGGTGAAGAGCGAGGACACGGCAATCTGCTCCGCCGAGGCAGCGGAAGTGACAGCCAGGAAGAGAAGGATGAGCATGGCGGTAGCACCAGACTTTCCAGCGAGAGCAGCGATAGCCTTGACGGCGGGAAGACCCGCGCTGACCTCGTCGGCGGTGAGCTGGATAAGCGGGTTGTCGCTGTGGGCGAGGGCGACAGCCGAGAGACCCAGCGAGGTGGCAATAGCAAGAGGAATAGCGAACCAAGCCAGACCACCAGCGAGGAAGCCCTTGACGGCTGTGTGGGGACGAGACGCGATGGCACGCTGCCAGTAAGCCTGGTCGTTGAAGACGGTTCCAAAGTTGCCGACAATGTTGAGGACACCAAAGATGAGGCCGCTCTTGGAGCGCATGGTGAGGTACGAGCCGCCGGCGTTACCCGAAATGGGGTTGTTGGCACCGGCGGTCTGCAGCATAGCGTACATCTTGGAAGGCGAGCCGATAATGTCGCTGGTGCCGTAGACGATGAGGCAGAAGGAGATGAGGATGCAGTAGAGGACGAGGGTGTGCGAGTAGTCGGCAATAAGAGTGGCGCGCATGCCGCCGACAATGACGTAGATGGACACGGCGATAGGGATGAGGAAGCATGCGGCGATGGTGTGCATGCCCGTCAGGTCAGCCACAGTCGCGGAGCCTCCGAGAACGAGCATGAGCGAAACGATCACGTTGGTAGCGAGACCAAAGAACAGGAAGGTCAGGTGGCCAAAGGTACCCCAGCGGGCCTTGATGATCTCAAGGTAGGTGTGGCAGTAAGGTGCGTTGAGCTTGACCTTTGCGGCGAGCATGGCGAAGAGGAGGACCTGGATGGTGGCACCGGAAGCGTACCAGTAAGGACCAGAGATACCAAACTTGTAGGCCGTTGCCGACGATTCTGCTCTGATTAGCGAACACCCTTGTGACCCTGAGATCGTGTGACTTACGAAGAAGGGTCGCTGCCCATGTCCAAGCACTGACGATACCAGCGGCAATCAGGCCAGGGGGTACTGAACGCGAAGCACTGGTGAACTCCTCAGCCGAAGAAGGCTTGTATGAAGTGTAGCGGCCTTGGATTTTGGTGATGAGGATCATGAGCAGGGAAAAGAAGATGCCCATGCCGATCTGAGGAATGTTAGCTGGGTCCAAACATGGCCAGTTGGCTACTCACGACCACACCGTAACCCGCGCCTTGCGGGAGGATGGTGGACGCCATGCTTGAGGAAGTGTTGTAGGGGGAAGAAGCTGAAGCTAGCGCTCGAGGTGATGAGGGGTTATATGCCGATGTTGATCGAGACAGTGGACGGATTTGCTTGGCGGCGCCACAGAGGGGGAATGTGTGGGAGTGTGGGTGGTAACGACAAGACGAAGCACTGCTTAAGTACTGTATATCATGGTCTTGTGCACTGCTCGTCCATTGGGCAGAGATCTCAACGAGCTCACGCACTACGAGGGTTCGCTATCTCTATCTCGACCGCGAGAACGACGGCCCAGGTCCCGAGATGCTGTTGCTCGATTGAAGCCATTGCCTGTGGCTCGCACACGCACAATTCCCAAAACAAGGCGGCCTCGCCATAGCCGCACAGTTCAACCCCAGGGCCTTATCAAAAGCGCTCCCCGCGTCCACTGCCGAAGAGGCTGCGCGGGGGGGTTGGAGAGATCGCTCATTGCCCAACATTGAACTCGATTCGCTCGTGCGACTGGCCTAGCTGGTTCGGCGTACCTATTTTGACGCCTCCCAACTCCAATAATGTACACGGCTACCCGTGTACCCCACCCATGCCAAGGGTCCGCGGCGTATCGGTGGCCGCTGACTCGTCAATGCTGGCCGGCTCGCCAGGGAGGTGGACGCGCTTCTTTAGGAGCATGCTTGTTAGATCGGGCCCGAGAAGCGGCAATGAGCAAGGCAACTCCCTAGAAAGGGAGATTGTGGACCGTTCCCAACTGCACCGTATGACCCCGGCGCTCCGTGGGGTCGGAGATAGAAGGACAGAGCGATAGGCTGCCCCCGACGTGTTCCCCGTGCTCCCTCAGCCGTACAGTCCGCTTCGGCGGGGTCGGAGGAGAACGGGAAAACGAAGCAAGTGTGCACAGGTAAGGGCTAGCCAACTGAATCACGTCATCTCTACCACCTCTCACGGATCACGGGCTGCCAGCAGACCCACATGCAACATGGGTGCCAAGTTGATGGCAACCTGCCAGACCCGAGCGCTAGGCCAAGGCACTATCGTGGCCATGGCAAGTGGAGTGCGACTCATTTGTGAGCTGAAGCTCACTGGTCGGTTAGAGAGAGAGAGAGAGCCAGGCCGGACAGGGGATAGCGCGAAGCGGATCCGCTCCCTCACTCCATGTCTTCAGAATGACGATCTAGTTGACATCTGTCCATCCTCACCAACATCAGCCCCATTCCTGTGGGGTAACGCCGATGTTGTGACATCTCCGGTGACTCCTCCGAGGCGTCACTATTGGGCAGGAATGTGGACTGACATGGCGTCCACCATGCCGCCGGGACGCCGATAAATGCAGCAAGCAAAAAGAGTAAACGGTTGGACGACTGTTGGCCGCAACGTCCTTATCATAAAAGTGTTGAGCAGTCAGGGTCCACGGCAAAAGTGTAGTGGCTTTCTTATCGGAGGCGGCTATCTTTCGGCAGATTCAACGTCAGTCATTGGGCAAGAGACCGGGGAGCTCTAACTTTTGGCTTTTAGCCAGTTTGTGGAGCATTGTACTGGCCGTGAAGAAGTGTGGGCCTGGGACCAGTTTACACACTTCCCCATGTCTGACAGAGCCACAGGCCAGTGATCGATGGCCCTCGCCTCAACCGCAAAAACAGGGCATTGTGTTGTCGTGCGGCTGCTTGCAGCTTGCAGCTTGCCTGCGTGACGGTTGGTTTCCGGGCCTATCGGCAGGCGTCGCAAACGTCGCAAACTACAAAAGCCGCCGACGTGTTGTGAAACGGACGCAGACGAGACTCGCGGGCTGCAGACTTACACTGAGGACGCGTAGAGACGCTGGCATTGCGACTGAGACATGACACAGCGTGCACCGGGCCACAGTGAGACATTGTCCCAAGAGATCAATCTAAAGGAGACCGAAGGGCGACCGGTCGGTCAACAGGGTAGCATCGGGAGTTGGGCATACGTGGCTCGGCAGTGAGAATGAGAAGCAGGTGCGGCCTTTTGGGCGGAGCGTGGATGGCCTGTGCCGAGTATTCCCATTGCTGTTGATGGCTCTTTGGAACTCACAGGTTGACAGACCCCCACAGGCCAAAGGAGTCTCCCATCAATGGAGGCGCGACGTTCTCGGTGAAATAGACTGACCACATGCCCCCGGAAATGAGCCGCGTCGGACAGACATTGAAGTGTGGGATGCGGATGTTGCATTTGGGATCACGCACGGTCTCTGTTAAGCAACTCCACCGGGCGGGGCTGGGCCCAGAGTGGCTGGCTCTAGTACAACAGACAGGCAATGACAAGCACCTCCAGCCTTGTGTATTCCAAGGTGGCGAGTGAGACGCTTCCATTAGAATCTCCTTCAAATAGTCAAATTACTTTCAAGGCCACAGCTGCAAACAAAGGCACGACTTAATGTCCTCTTAATGTCCAAGGGAGAACCTAGGTACTTGCTTATTCGCAGCCTCCTTTGGGAACAGAGCATCGTGATATATGCCACCTGTAGGATTCGTAAGGGCCTATATAGCACTCTTGTGCTCTGGTGAGTGGATTACTGGAAATGCGCAATCGCGGTTTCATAGAATCAAGTCCCCTTGCCGCGGTTCATTTGGTGTGGAGAGGGCAACCTCCTTTTGGCCCCCCGTCCTCCTTTGCACGCGAGCCGTGAGCCCTTTTCGCAAACGCAAAGAGCGTGAACAGAGGGCCACATACGTGTTTGGCGTCTGCAAGTCCGCAAGTCGATAATCTCGCAAAGTGGACTCTCACGTAACGCGCAGTGAAAAACTCCACCTCCCAGGCCGAGTAAGGCCGCACATTGCCCTGTGGCGACTTCCGAGCAGACACTGTCCATCCCACTGTTGGGCGATCACGCCAGCTGACGCGAGGGCGAGGTCGCGACAGCGCTCCCCTCGCTGCTCCTGCGCCACCACTGACGCTCCAGACGTCTGCACTGTGTGGGTTGGTTATGAACCTGCTCCTGTGGTGCACCGAGCACACCGGAGCAGCGCCGACAAGTCCAGGCCGCTGGCCGCTGGCCGGAGGGGACGGGGGGCGTCCGCCACTTGGCCCGGCCCGTTTTCTGTTGCTGCAGAGCGTGCTTTTGTGGGTACGCCCGGCAAACCACGCTCGGTGGATCCGTGGAATGCTGGATCTGCGAGAGGCGGAATAGCCCCTAAGCCGCAGCTGATCCGTGATCCGTGATGCGTGGGTTGGGGCGTGGCGGTCGTGACAGCGATAAACGGGTCTGAAACACGGTCGCTTCTACCGAGCTATCGTTGAGCACGAAGGAGATTGTGAGAGACATGGAGACAGCAATGCTCAAGACGAAAGGCTGCGGCTGCTGCGTTCATGTGTATCTGGGTTGCGCCTCGGTACGCTCATAGCCCGTGGCGCATTCTTGTGGCCGACAAACGGCAGAACAGCTGCGTTGATGTATTCAGTGCCGTGGGCTTGCGCCGTCAGGAGCGCAAGAACGAAGTGGCAAAGAGTATTGAAGCTACGCCCAGCGTTGCAGTAAGCTGGGGTATACCTGGAACCCCTCGTTGTGGGAATGGTGGTGACTGTGCCTCTGCCCACAACCTGTCACCTGTTCTCTTATAGATCTCGAAGCTGCGGATCCACCTTCGTGTGTACGTAAATACCGTGAGGAGAGGCCGTCACCAATGGGCGCTACAGAACATTGTCCCAGTGTGTGCGAACCGCCTGGCAACAGGCACACAGTTGTGATTCTTGGGCTTTCGTAAATCGCAGACATTTTGGTTTGCTCCAGTGGCCAGTGGCCAGTGGGGGCCGTGGGGGCTGTAGGTGGAGCCACCAATGCTGCGCTTTCTCTTTGGGCGTGCTTCTTTTGTTATCCATGGTCTTCTTCTGTGGCCCTGTGGGTCAACCACACAGCTTCCACACAGCACCACCCTCGCACACCACACGTTACCAGTGCTTGTTCTTCGTGTGTGAACAAGCCTTGAATGCTCGCTTGCACCAAGCGACACACAATAAGTTTATCACCCCGTGGGGTGGGCAGGAAAACGGTGTGTGGGTGTATTTGGGGACAGAGTGCGGCGTCGCCCGTAGCCCCGTACGTGTCCGAAACAAGGCTCTGAAAAAAACGTTTGTCCACCTCTCTTCCTCGCTACCACGGCCTGAACCACAGAGAGTGGCCCAGGGTGGAGCAGACAGGGGCAGTTCAGTCAGTAGTGTGGGTCAAAAGGGTGTGCTGCTGGACCGCTCGGTGGTTACCATTTTAAACAGGTTTACAGGACCTGCTGCTCGGAGGCAAGTGGCAAGTGGGCGTTATTCTGGCTGGTGTCGGGGGTTTTTTTAGCAGAGGGACAACACGACCCGGCAAGGGGCATTCGTGTCTCCCTTTTCGATGGCCCAACGCTGGGAGAGAGGGGGTGGGTGGGTGCAGGGCGAGGCGTTGGAGGTGGCGCTTGACTGGCGCTCGCTGCACTGGCTGGCGTAACTTTGGGTCCTCTGTCCTCGGTTTGGTCGTCTTGGCATGAGGCAAGGGAGGGAAGGAGGAGGAGGGGGGGGAGGCTGGTCTTCCGCTTTCACGGACAAGACGGGAAGCAGTTTTCTGGCTCCACTCTATCCACACCGCGACACACAGGAGGTGCACATGCAATGCTCGGTGTGGCCGGGCGTTGAAGGTGTCTGTGTCTGTGTGCGCGCGCGTGCGACGACGAGGAGCTCCATCTGTGGACGGGGACGACCAAGATGCAGGATTGATTTGGGCCTGTCGGTGCATAGACCGCGCGCGCGTGCTGTCGTGCCGCGGCGCCAGACGGCCAAACGCCTCCAAATAATGGGCGTGGGTGCTGCTGCGTCCGCTCCGCTCGCTGGGTTTGTGTGGTCCATCTTCCGACATTCACTTTCGTCCTCGTTCATTTCTTGTCGCACATTTTCCCCCACCCCCGCTCGTCCTTCCCACCGTCCACCTCACTCTCCACCACACAAACAACTACTGTCGTTACTGCAACACCCCCGCCATCCAACGACGATACAGCCGCCACAGCGCGCCAACGCGCGCGGGCCATGTTCGTCTTAACCCAGGACAAGGTCACAGTGCGTAGTCCCCAGCGTGTACCGCGTCGTCGCCATTGTCCTCCTCTGCATTCCGACCACCCGTCCTCCGCCCTTCTGTCGCCCTCGCCGCCTGTCTCTTGTGCCCAAAGTTGTGCGCCTCACGACTCGCAACACTTGCCACCCTCCACAGTGCCAAGACGACGGCGACGACGACGTCGTTGCGATCCCAACTGCGGGCCGCCGACGTCGCGGTCGGGTCGGGGTGACCATCAGCCCCCACCCCCCGCCTCCCTTCCTCGCCCTCGCTCCCTTCTTCCCCCCTCGCGGTCCTCCCCTACCCTCCCCACATTCACCCCAGGCTGACGCACTTTACAGCTCAACGTCCACATCTCAGCCATATCCGCAGGCGTGTCAATAGGATGTTGTCTCCTCATCCTGCTCCTCTCGCTATGGGTGTACAGCGTCCGGAGCGCCAGACAGCATCTCGACCGCGTCAGTTTTCGCCTCCTCCTCTGGAGCATGGTCTTTGAGATCATCTACGACGTAAACTACATTGCGGTGTGTTTCTCTGCGAGTCCGGTGGGTAATGGGCTTCTGTGGTTGTTTTAGGCGAGGGACGATCTTTGCGAGGGACGAACTCGGATATTGCCAGCAGTCATGCTGCTGGCGGTAGCCATGCGAGCATTGAGCCCATTTCCCCGCCAAAGAACCAGGCAGAGCTGACAACGTCTTTTCCAGAGCGTCATTGTCTCAAGGACCGCGGACGTGGGGTGCAGCGTTGGCATCTACTTTATGATTGGCACACTTGGCGTGTGAGTACAGCTGCATGAGACTTGGACACGAGCTGACGATCACAAGGGTGAACTGTGAGTGATCCTCTGCAGCTGTCAAACGAGCGTATTCCTGACCCCCCTCTTCCAAGACCTTTGCACCGCCATAGCCGTCAACCTCATGCTTACCATTGTGGTAGGCCTGAACCCCGTGATGCTCAGTGAGTTGGGTCGATTGTCTCCTGAATGCCAGCTGACCGAACAGAACTGGAGCGCTGGGTGAGTGCCGAGAGAAGTGTGGAAGAGATCGGCGAGGTTGGGCGATGGGCTCCACTGCTGTGCCAGTGATCAGCGTTTTGTTCGACTTGTTCCTTCCGCCCCCTGTGCATATCTTGCTAACCACCACAGTATGTCGGCGTCAGCATCTTTGTGGGACTCTTCGTGCCCATTGTCCCGGCCGCGCTCGGCCACTTTGGATGGGACCCGCTGTTAAACGTCTGGTACGTCCAATCACGCAACCGCACGTCCTCCTTTGCTCACAATCCCACAGCTGGATCCGCGCCGACACTGACAAGGCAAGGATGAGGAACTTTATTCTCGACCTGTACCTGTGGCAAATCCTGTCCTGCATCATCGCCACCGTGTCGGTCGCCGCGACGTTGATAAAGCTGTTCCGGCAGGGCCGCGCCACCTCCCGGGCTCTGTTCGACGGCAACAGCATCAACCTCGAGATGAGCGCCGAGTCGCACGAGATCAACTTGAAACCCAAGCAACGGAGCTTCCTTGCACGCATCCTCCGCCGCCGACGTCAATCTCACGACCGCGAGAACATGTTCGGCCACCTCGAGGACAAGTTTGTCGGCATTGCTCTGCGTATTTCTCTCTACCCCATCACTCTCATCATTGTCAACGGGCTCATCACCATTGGCGACCTCTACTTCTCGGCCAGCGGTGGCGTCAAAAACCAGGCTACCTACGGCCTCTACTGCGTCTACTATTTCCTGTACGGCGGGCGTGGTATCTTCTTTGCGGCGCTCGGTCTGTTTGTTGACCCTTGCATTGGCCGCGGCCTCAAGGCGATCTGGAAGACCAAGTACAGTAAAGAGGCGCGGGAAGCGCACCGGGAGATGGAACCCAAAGTGGCCCTGGGATCGGACGAGCTGCCCGTCATCCACACACCACTGTCGTCTCGCGTCGACCCGCTCAACATTGCTCACGAGGCTGGGCCCAATGGCAGTCTCGTCGAGCGGGCCCAGCGGACCTTGAACGGCGGCGAGCTGGGCACCAACAACAGCATGGGTCTTACCCAGCTGGAGCGACAAAACTCGGCGGCGTCGCTGGACATGCTCACGGCCCTCTTCATGAGCGATCCTGACGACTACCATGACCACTGGACGCAAGAGTTCCATGCCGAGAGCGGCGATGCTGGCCTGCGCAAGAAGCGCGCCAGCCGAAGAGCGCATTCCCTCCCCACCCCCAGATTCCACATTCCTCGCCTGTTCGGACGCCGCAAGTCCGAGATGGTCACGGCCGGCAGCGGTGACTGTGACCCATCCCCCAAACCAACACCCGACGACAGCCAAGCCGCTGGCCCGACACCAGTGCCCAGCGACGGCCCGCCGACGCCCATCCACGAGATGCCCACGCCGCCCGGATTCTCCATGACGTTTGCGGGTGTGCCGACCGATGCGCTCCCAGATATCATGGACGACCACGCGCACGATGTCGTCCTTCCCGAGGCGCTCGAGGCAGCGCAGGCCGCCGCGGCCTCGCACTCGGCGACACCGACGCCGCGCTTGGGCTCGATCCGTTCCGGCCTGCAGTCGGGCCTCACGTCTGGCCAGCGTACACCCATGGGCGGCACGCCGCCCGTCCGCCGCGGCTCGCTCGCCGAGTCGTCGGGCGTCTTGGGCCGCCGCGGTTCCATGATCGAGGCATATTCGGCACGACGCGGAAGCGTCGCCGCGCCACCAGGCTCCCTCCGTTCGTCTATCAACAACGGCCGCCCAGGGCCCAGGCGCGGCGCGACGCTCCCGCCAGGTCTCCACCTGCGGGACAGCCTCGAATCGCCCCGCTCACCGCGCGACGACAGGCGAGTGCGACGCGAGCGCGCGTTGGAGATTGCCGAAAAGCTGTACGAGGAGATGGAGGCGCAGCTCTGAGAGAGCGGAGGGGGAGGAGGGGTGTGCGGGGTCGCGGCGCCGATCAGAGAACAATTTGTTGTAGAACTAGAGACCGAGGACGCGCGTGCGAGTGCAAGCACGCGGCGCCGGCGACAATCTTATTATCCTAGTAGGTGGGGGCGGGGCGGGCGGGTGTGTGGGTTCCTCTCTATTACTTGGGCATTTTATTTTTGGGTAGATGTCATGCGATGAAAATTCACGTTCATTCATAAGCTATGAGCGACCTTCTTGGGTGAGTGCTCGCTCTGTGTCATTGTGTGTTACCCACATGTCTGTCTCACGGACGACTACGCAGACAGACTGGTGAACAAATGGAGCAAGCGGACAGGAGACCCTGGTTATCTCTGGTGTCCGTGCCATTTTGACCTCGGTGGCAAAATTATCTCGTGAAACGGCAGACAGCTCGTCGCCCAGCCGACCGACATGGGACTGAGACGACTGGGACATTCACCCTCGTTGAATGTACAAGGAAATGTGAACGCCAATGCTGGTCTCGCTCGTCAGGGTGACCGCTTGCAGGAGGACGACTCTGGGGCCTCAATCCTAGTTATATAAAATTCTACCTCTGTACAACACCACCCCCACCCCCGACCCCGTTTTTACACTTTAGCTTTATCCTTCACCTTGGGCGCTTGCCTGTCCTTGTCCTTTCCCTGGTCCTTGATCTCGACGCGCGCCACAGATTCCGCCAGTGCGTCCACCTCCGTGTCCTCACCCTCGCCGGCCACGTGTGTACCCGCCGATGGCGAGCTAGGCGCAGGGCCAGACCCAGCCCCGGCTTCGAGCTCGGACCCGTCAGCAGCAGGCACGGCGGCGGCGGTGGGGGTGGTGGGCTTTGCCTCGGCGAGAGGAGGAGGGGGAGGAGTGGAGGCGGCGGCGCTCTGGTCTGCCACCTCGGGCTCGCTCTCGCTCTCGCTCTCGCCTGCCTCCTCCTCTTGCTCCTCCTCCTCCTCAGACTCGTCTGCACCAAGCCACTTCTTCTCCCGCTCGTTCCAGTGCTGTTTCAATGTTTTGTGTCCCGCGGCCATCTTGTCGTCTAGCTCCGTCTCCCACCCCAGCTCAGCAGCGAGGATGCGCACGGCCTCGTCTGCGTCGCCGAGGAACACGCTGTCCCGCGAGCTCTTGGGCGACGAACTCTTCTTGAATGGGTTGAAGCGGCGGGCGAAGGGGCCGACGGCCTCGCGGTTGATCAGGACGCGCGGGACGTCGCTGTCCACGACGTGCACTAGAGAGGCAAAGGGCTCCACTTGGAGGGACGTGCCGATGACCAGAAGGAGGTCGCAGTCGAACAGTTCCTATAACGTTAGCTACGGGTGTCTCGGTCAGACCTCATCGCAGCTCGCGCTTGACTAACCCTCTTCATCTGGAAGAACTCTGGTGGCAGTCCCTCGCCAAAGAACACAATGTCGGGCTTGACGAGGCCGTCGCACCCTGCGCGATCGCAGCGCACGACCTTGCCTTCCCTCACACCTGAACGAACGACATGTTCAGTGCTCGCGCTGCGGCTGCACGCCAAACAGTGGGCGGTTGCAAACGAGCCATGTGCCTCGAGCACCAGGTCGACTGGCACTCCGGCAGCCGTCTCAAGAGTGTCAATGTTCTGGGTCCAGACGCGCTGCAGCAGGCCCTTGTCGTGCAAAAGGGCCAAGAAGTAGTGTGTCGGTGTGGGCTATGGCATCAGGAGTGTCCAGGTCGTGCATGTGGTTATGCGTGTGGTGACTCACAAAGTACTTTCCCGGGTACAGATCCTTTGCCAGTGTCCAGAATGGCTGTGGTGTTGTCAGGCCAGGCACCCCCGTACGCCGCTGGTGTAGACTGTGTGATATCCGGAGCAATGACGCCGACTCCACGCCGACCAGTTTGCCACCCGCCAGTCTTTTGGCCTCGATACTCACCTCTGGGCGAACCTCAAAGTAGTCGAGCGTGAACACTGCCTCGGGGAAGGGCAGGTTCAGCGCAGCGAGGTTGTCGTACAGGCCTGTACCAGGTGATCGAAAGTCAGGGATACCAGCCGACGTTGAGATTCCCGCACCAGTCAAGACGGCAATGTTTCGTGCTGTAAAGAGAATGTCAGCTGTCTGTCAAAGGTAAGGGTGCAGCGGACATACCTTTTCCATCACGAATCAGCTTTGCAGCCTTCTTGAGGGCGTCGTCGTTACCCATGGTGGGATGGGAGATGGTTGGAATGAGCAAGTGGAGGTTGCGGAATGACAGAGGTAGAAGCTTAAGTGGGGGTGACATCTGGCTGCTGGCGCTCTGGTCGTGGGTGTGGCACCAGCTCCGATGGCTGTGATGGCTCACCACTCGCATCAGTAGGCAGGCGGAATACCGGTTGACGTGTGTTGGACGCGTCTTCCCTCCTTGCCCTATCCCTCCATATCATCGTTTCCGTCCTTGTCATGGTTTGCCCTTTTATGACTCTCAGTATACTCTGTACAAGCACCTCAGCATCACTCTGATCGCTGCTTTGCTTTACTCCCGTCACAGCGCACCGGCACATCCATCCTCGCCACCCGCGGGCACACCACACACCACATACCACACACACACACACACACACAACCGCCCCACCGTCACCCACATCCATCTCTTCTTCCCTCCTCCCCTCCCCCCTTCTCTCCCTTTTTCTCTCAAGCCCCCATCCGACTCCAGCGCCATGTCTTCACCTCCATCACATCAGCCAGCGACACCGAACCAAGACACCCAGCACTCAACGTCGCTGTTTGGCGGCTACTCGTCTTCCCAAGAAGGGCGAAACATGGAGAGCCCCGGAACGTGAGTGTCGCGTCGCTTGCACTTGTCCTCACCTTCTTGCATCATTCCATCCACCCATTTGCGTGTCCTGACATACATACAGCAACAGCATGGGTTCAGGTTCAGATTCAGGCTCTGACTCTGACTCGGACCTCGAGATACTCGGTGCATTGGATGACGGTGGCCTCGAGTTGTAAGCTGCGACCGAGACAGCGACGTTTGGCTGACCGCAGAATAAAAAGCAGACAGGAGGTCCCCAACAATCGCAACCTCTTCAGCGGCATCTCATTCCACTTCCTCAACGAGGACTCGCCGTGGCACCAGCAGTTCATCTGCGGCCTCATCGAGGTGGGTTAGGTTTGTATGTCCATAACTAACTATCCCACAGGGTGCTGGTGGTAAGGTGGTCTACGACTGGCCCAAGTCGAGCGTCGACATTGTCATCTTCCCTTGCTCAGCGAAAGGCAAGCTTGATGTCCGCTTCGCCGTCATTGCCCGCCTCGTGAGCAATGCCGCCGATGGCGTCTCGGAGGAGTGGATCACCGACTGCCTCTGTGAAGGCAGCCTCCTTCCTCTCAACTTGCACCTCATCCCGCCTAGTGACGGGAAACGCTACCACCGCATCCAAAGCGCACTTGCTGCTGGCCACCCCTCGAGGGGAAACGGCCCGTTGCCCACTCCCAGCGAGCCAGCGTCGGAGCTCGTCACCAACTGGCTCGCCAAAGTCGACGTCTCTCAACCTGACGAGGGTGGTGCGTCACAAACCGCCCGTGAACGGATTGTAGCTTCGAGATCGTCACTCCACTCAGCAACCAAACTGTCGCCTTGCCTTCCACCACTGTTGGAGGTGACGTCCGTGCACTCCTCACCGCGCAGCCTCTCCCTCCAACCCTACCTCCCCAGGCCGCCTCCCCTCAGGCTTGTTTCCCGGGACTCCTCACCTTCCCCCAAATCGACCGCAAAGGTCCGCAAACTTTCCTCAACAGCTCCCAAGATTGTGACCATGGACGTGGATGCAGTCAACACTTCCTCCGCCTCTGAACTGGGAAGCCACGACGATGGTCCTGCGCGTGACGAATTCGGCCGCTTTTTGCCAAAGGGTGCCACTGCCGCCAACCGAGCACGTTGGACCAAAATTCGCAGCGAGCGCGCCGACGCGTCTGCCAAGTCGAAGGCACCCAAGACCAAACCGTCCGCTTCTACCTCCAAGTCCAAAACTTCCAAGGGCAAGGCGAAAGCGAAAGCCGAAACTTCAAGCACCCCCAAGAGACGGTTAACGGCCATTGTGGCATCCGATGTCGAAGAAATGGACCTCGATAGTGATGATGGTTTCGACCCTATGGAGGACGACGTCATGGACGGGGAATTCGCAATGGACAACCCGGACAACTACGACTATCGTTATGGACCTCCTGCCAACGACGACGACTCAGAGTTTCAGCCCAACGACGCGTCGTCGGCGACTCCCACGCCTTCCCCGCCACCCGTGCCAGAGGTCGGCTCGGACAAACCCCTCTCGATCAAATCACACGAGACTAGCCGGTCAACATCCTCCAGCCTCAGCTCAGCTCCCGCTCCCGCGAAAGAGAAGGAGGAAGGCAAAGTTAACAAGGAGTCGGTCCAGGCCAAGCACAAGAATCTTCCCGCGCCAAGTCGTGGCGGTACCACGGCCAAGAGGCCTGTCTCGTTGACAGTCGTCACCACCCAGGTTCCATCCAGAGAACCCCCCAAGATGTTAGCTCCATCCGTTGTGACCACCAAGCCACCCAAGACGTCGCCAGTGGAGCTAGCAAGGGCCATGGTCGCCGCCAACTCCAAAAAGTTGACTCCTATCGCAACCAAGCGTACTGCAGCCCACCTTTCACCCAACCCAAGGGCTTCCGCCTCACAGTCACCTTTGCCCAGTCCAGCATCGCCTCCAGCTCGTCCGGCACCAGGCCTCCCGGAGCCATCCCCTCGTAAGATGGGTGTCGCTGAGACTCTGCTTTCACTGGCCAACCCAGCCCCTACTCCGCGGCTCAGTCCATCCTACCAGCCTCGTCCTGTCTCAACTTCTCCTCAAACTGCCACCAGTCTGACCGCACTTCCTTCCGATGCCGATTACTTCAACCACAAGCATTTCACTGGCCGTGCCCACCACGATGTCGACGACTCTGCGTTCGCTCACTTGATGGCCACCCGGGCGAGTGGTCAAAGTGACATCCGTTCCTCGCTCAACGCACCGGATTCAAGTCGTGGTCGTCCCCCTGTGTCCATTGCTCTGCCTTCCCGTCCCCCTGACCGTGTCGCCTACTCGCCCACTGTCAGAACTCCCCGCAAGTCAAACATAGAGCGGCGCAACCGAAGTGCCAGTGTGGAACCTCAAGAGCGGCAGACATATGGTGCGCGCAGAGACGACGGATGTCGCCGCGGCGATGAACCAAACCGCCGTCATTCTGAACAGTACTCGCGCGCTCGCAGTCCACCACCCCGTGCTAGCCAGACCTTTGGTGGAGACCGTCGCCCTTCCCAAGCAACCTACGATCTTCCGAACCATCAGCGACGAAGCAGTGACCCCCGCAGCAGCCCTAGCCGGCCGTCTTGGTCACCGAACAGCCGCGATAGAGGGTGGGGGCATTCAGGCCGTTCCTTGCCAGCCGTTGGCAGGGATCCTATGGATGCCGACTGTTACCGCCCTCCCCTCGACTGGGACGACGACAATCCGGATGCCGATCGCCAACGCCAACGGATACCCGTCAACCGCCCCGTCTCCCCTTCAGCCCCAAAGCGACTGCCTGATGGCCTTCCTGCCCGTCCTCAGAGTACGCCTCTTCGGCGTTCAGAGACTGCGATTCCAGTCCGCTCCGCAATGCGCCCAGCAGTTCGTCCAGAAATGCCCCGTGACCCGGGTTCCCCGGTGCAAAAGCAGATGCCAGCCGGCGAACGGATGGTTAGGAGTCACCTGAATGCGCTTCCCTCGACAAAGGTTCCGCAGCGAGCGTTTGCGCCCTCGGACAAAGGGAAGGAAAACGTCAAGGACAAGGACAAGGACGAGGACAAGGATAAGGACAAGCGGTCCCACGAACTCCCTCCTCGACCAAGCCAGAATCTGCCAGCTGCTCCCAGGCCCGTGCAGGCCCCAACCTCGTCAACAGGGTACCGCGTAAAGACTCTACGCAACTCGCTCCACGCCGCCAGCACATTTTCTTTCCCTCAAGAGCAGATGGGTGTCGAAAAGGCGCGCCCCCCTAGATGGCGCCCGATTGCGCCAAAGACGCCTGTCCCGGCCACCAGTTCCACCAGCCCCACGGGTGACCCAGCCCCGAGCTCGCAGGTAAACCGGGCTTTGAACAGCGGGGGCTCTGAGCCCAGTAGCGCCGCCAAGCGGCCTGCGTCTGCAGTGATCCCAGTGCCGTACGAGAGAGATCCGAGGAAAAAGTCCAGGCCCAGCGCTGAGTGAGCTGGCCAAAGTGAATACAGTAAGTGGTTTGTGGCGTGTCTGGCTGACCACTCAGAAAACCCCGCAAGTATGTTGCTTGTTGTGACCGAGTCCAAAACCTTCTTGGGTACTACTTCCAGTTGGGTCAATAATGAGGATAGTCGGGCTGTGAGAGAACACTTCAGATACAAGACAAGACAGTGAGACAGTGAGATGGGTGCATATGCAGTGAAGAATGTGTTTTGTCTGGCGGCCAGAGGGTATGCCAAAGATAAGTGCAGTTGAGGGGGGTTTGTGTTCTCTAAGCCTGGGCACGAGGCGCGACGTGACGCGGTTTGGCACCGAGCCGGATACGCAGCCACTCGAAGAACGGCCTTCCGTAGCCGTAATACAGGACACCAAAGGCCGCGCCGCCGAGGTGTGCAATGTGGTTGAACATTCTGGAACGAGTTGTCAGTCACAGCCGTGATCATAAACCTGTCCGTTGTACTCACTTCCATCCACGGAACACGCCGACAATGTCCACCAGGACCATGGCTCCCACACCCCACGTGATGGGGAAGGCGACAAAGGGCAGGAAGATGAGGCTGACGCTGACGTCGGGGAACGCCAGGGCCGACATGGTGACGCACGCGTAGATGGCGCCGGACGCGCCGAGGCTGGGCAGGATGGCTTGGTGCGCGGCCAGGGCCTGTGCCGAGCTCAGCCGCGCGGGCGACTGCAAGGTACGCAGCAGCCGGGGCAGGCGGACAATGTTGGTCCACAGGTGCGAGCCGAGCGACGACGCGAGGCCCGCAGCGACGAAGAAGGCGATAAAGTGCAGAGCCGGGTTGGCCGTGTTGAGCTGGTTGTACTCGCCATCCTTGCCCCTGACGAGGTACTGGTACGTCGTGGCGCCAAAGGAGTAGAGGGCGATCGAGTTGAATGCGAGGTGGGTGAATTCCTTGTGGGAAAACTGTAAAGAGTCAGCGGCCATACACCACGGCAGGTGGTAAGGCAAATGGGAGATGTGCAGCAAACGGCTTTGCTGCCGATCGATCAAGCCGTCAAGAGCACATCTCTCCCAGCGTCCCAATGAGAACACTCGTACTCACCACACTGGTCAACATGGTCACACAGTTGGCCCACTCGGCCCTAGCTCCGCCACCGAGAATGACAGGACGGTGAAGGAACCACTTTGTCATGAACGGCTGGAGACTCTTGGTCTTCCAAGCGGCGAACACGCCTCCAAAGACACCAATCAAAGTCACGGCGGGCACATAGGACATGGGGCGGTTGATGGACGATTCTTCCCACATGACGGAAAGGCGGAGAGCGGGCTGGAAGAGGAAGTCGGGGAGGAAGGAGAGGACCTGGGGCAAGCGGTTGACGCGCGCCTGGGCTTCGGCAGTAAGAGCGATTTTGCGCGCCTTCCACAGTTGCTCATCGGAAGGAGTGGTGGGGACGATCCAGCGTCCGGAGGCGACGCGCTGAACCCAGTAGTCCGTTTCCGAGTTGGTTTCGGCCGCGGCATAGCAGTAGACGAGGGCAGAGGTGGTGAGGCAGAACTGGGCTGGTCAGCGCTGTGACGCGAGGAGAGCGAGGTAGGCAGACAATTGGGAGCACTGAATGCCAGCTTTGGCCGCAGTGACCTCGAAAGCAGGCCGTACTCCCCGGCTGCACCCATGGGTCCCATCTCACGTCTTACTCACCACAATAGGCCGCCAGATGCTCGGCTTCGGCAAGCCGCCGCTACCGGTCATGCCCTCCGTGACGGGAATAGCGATGCGGCGAGGAATAATCCTTCCGAGAGCTTGCCTCTGCGCTCCCACCGCCGATCCATGAACACCCCTCCTGAGGAGAGCCGCACGCGCATTGGCGAAGAGCGAGCTGGTGAAAGGCGAGGAGGAGGAAGAAGAGAAGGATGAAGGGAGGGGGAAGGAGGACCGCGACGAGCTGCCAAACTGTCGGATCGAGCGGGCGAACAGTGGCGTGGTTCCAGGAGGCGCACATGCGCGTGCGGCGCGGAGGCCGACCGACATGGTTTGCTGTTGGATGTCGATGGAACGAGCGAAGGTGTGGTTGGTTTAAAAGGTAAAAACACGGAGGATATCAAAGTTGGGCGGCAAACGGCGAAATGATGAAAGTGGGGGCCGGGAGGAGCGGTGACGACAGCGCGTTTTCGCCCCGGCTCGGCGATCGGATGTGGAGGTTTGGAGGCAATGCGCAAGCTGCGTCCAGTGACGTTCAGCGCATCTGTCTACGAGCTGCCAACATGTTTGTCACGATACGTGTCCCGGTATTGCCCTGCATGCTCTGAAAACTCATGGTGTGTTACGTGCTGTCTAGTCTTTTGGTCGTCGACCTTTCCCCTTGGGCCGACAAACGTGCTTCGGGCCATAAACGTTTAGACGCCAGTCATCGCCCACTGGTCGCTGGCATCCCCGCAGCCGTCATGCACCACTCTTCTGCCCACGAAACACTCTCCTCAGTCTCACTCCGTACCCAATGTCCCTTAATGTCCAGCACCTGACGCTTATGAAGGGCTTCCGGTTCCGCTAGGCTTCTTCTGCGGGCTCGAGCGGGGGCTGCCGTTCTGGAGGGACGATGCTTGGAGACTCATTGGCCTCAGCCCGCTCTTCTTCTCTGGCGGAGGTGCCTGCTTCTGCAAGCTGGCAATACGAGACCCAAAGAACGAGCCCACGGACGAGCCAAAGTTGCCCAGGGCAGCGCGCATGTCCGTCGACGGCTGGGGTGCAGCGGGTGCAGGAGCAGCAGCAGGTGCCGGGGCCGGGACGGGCGCCTCGGCGGCCATTGTAGGAGTTGTAGGTGTCTCGGCGGTCGTGGGCAGGGGGTTGGCAGGGGGGTTGGCCGCTGCCGCTGCTGCTGCGGCAGCACGACGCTGGCGCTCGGCCTCGATACGGTTGTTCACCTCGGACCGCACGCCGTCAAAGGCCTTGAAGAAGGACGACGAGGTTGTGGCGAACGCCGTGGACAGAGCCTCGCGTGTGGGGGCCAGACTCTCGTCCAGACGCAGGTCGTGCAGGCCCTCGGCAATGCGGATGCCAATGTCGGACACGGCGTTGGACTGGCCGTCGCATGGGTGGCGCGGCTCGCTGAGGTCAAAGATGACGGGGTCGGTGGTCGAGTCCCACACCTCGAACGCGGTTGTCCGGCGGAACGCGGCCGCATATGGCTCGGAGAAGGCGACGAGAGGGTTCTGCTCAGCCGCACCCATTGCTGCGCCGTTGGTAGACAGGAAGTCAGAGTACTTGAGCGACGCGAGGAAGGCGCAAATGTACTCTTCGAATCGTGCACGGAGGTCGTCGTCGCTGCCCACAAAGCCAGGTCGTTCTCCCTCGGGCTGGTTGTTAGCTACAGTTGCAGTAACATATAACTGTTACTCACCATGTTCCAAGACTCCTCGACGACGCGCACAATGTCGTCCATCCACTTGCGGTCGGCAGTGGTGAGCTGGACCAACCTCTCGATCTTGGGATCCGAGAATGTGAAGCTCATCTGCTCGATCTGAATAGGTTAACAAAGGAAGCCGCGGCAACCTACGTTGACAAGGACGTCATACTTGCAGTCCCGCTGCTGAGTGACAATCTGGTTGGTGGTGCCCACAAGCCACGCGTGGGCCTGCAGCATGTCCATTTGCTGGAGAGGGAGATACGGCTGGAACATGGCGTCGGCACCGAAGAGGTGCAGGGCTGGAGGTCAGCTTTAGAAAGTCAGCTCGGAAGCTCACGAAGACCCATGTATCGCAAGAGACTGGCACGATCGCTCGTGCGCAATGAGGTAGGACGGAGACGGTTCTTGCGCCCGTCCAAATGGGGTGCACCGCAGTCCCGCAAAGACATAAGGAGACCTGGAGGTTAGCTGCGCTGCGTCATTCGTAGCTCACCTGGTACCAAGGACACGAGGCTGTACTGGTATGTACACAGCATCTCGACGGGGTAGCCAAACAGCATGATACGCTTCTGCAAAAGGAGCATCTTGAGGAGCACAAGGGTACGGTGCCGGAACTTGTGTACCAGCTCGCGAAGGGAGGTTCCTGGGCGACATTAGCACGAGTACGAGAGCACGAGCTCCAGCCAAGCGACCAGGCAAGCGAGAGTGGCAGACACGTATCGGATCGGCGGCGCACAGACCCCGACCTCCGACTCACCCATATAAATAGCATTCTCGCCCGCCTTGCCTTCCAAGCTTGCGTTGAGCGACTCGTAAAAGTCCTCGAGGATCTGAGTGTTGCCAAAGTCGCGCTGGGCAAAGAATGCACGCGTCACGACGCCGAGGCGGTCGCGCACGGGCCCAAAGACTGGCTGCGATGCCAGCACGATGACTGCCTTTTGGACCATGCTCCGTGTCACGTCCGAGCCCTTGCGCAGGAGGTCGGCGGCCGCGATCTGGCGGTTGCACCTGGGGTGGATGAGCTCTGTCCACTGGGATGTTCCAGCCACTCACGAGATGCCAAAGAGGGTGCGGTTGCCTGGGACATCGGTCTCGGGGGCGCCCTCGGCTGGCGGCTGATAGATACAGTGCTGCCTGTCAGTTGACGCTACGAGGTTGGGCAACTCACGAAGAATGAGTAATCCTCGTCGCTGAGGTGGGAGCCGTCCGGGAGCGCAAGGAAGGGGAGGAGGCGTGCGAGGTCGTCATCGGCCTGGACAGCCGCCGCGAGGGACTCGGGGTACGCAAACTCGACAGTGGGGCCGATCTGAAAGAGGACAGGGGGCGTCAGCGAAAAACCCAAACCCACACAATGTCACAGCGTGTCACGCCACCTAACACCCCGAGGAGACTCACGAGGTGGTTAAAGTCCACAACAGCGATACCGAGGACGAGCGGGATCTCGCCCTCGCGCCCGCCCATGACGCTCAGGCCTAGTCCGCCAAATTTGGCTGGCGAGGTGCCCGCCGAGTGGCCGCTGTACACACTGCCGATTGTCTTGACGCTCGCGCGTGCCGGCGACGAAGTACTGGTCGCCAACGAGCCCAGGACCGTCCTCTCGCTCCTTGCGGGCGAGCCAGAGTGCAAGCTCGAGAGGTTGGGCGCCTCGGTCCAGGGGGAGGTACCGTCGTCAAAGCCGACCTCTTCAAACGACACGTCCGAGGTCGTGTTGGTGCTGACCGCACTTTGGTTGCTCTCGGTGCGCGCGTGTTTCGAGGGCGAGCCATTGGAGCTCGCGCGCGCGCTCATGCTCGTCACGGTGGTCGCTGTGGGCGTCGAGGTCTTTGTCGGGGACGACGCCGAGGAGGAGGAAGGGGAGGTCGAGGACCTTGCGCTGGGCATGGTGAGAGACGCGGGAAGAGTGGAGGCGGCGGGGTTCTTGGCGCCTGGCCAGCCGGCCGATCCCGAGCCCGCGAGCATGCGCGACGATGCTGGCGGGGACGGCGATGGCGATGGGGGAGTGATTGCGCGCGCGGCCGGCGCGTCACGCTCGATTATATCGGACATGGTGGTTGGAGGTGGTTGAGAGACGATTGAAACACGACACGACGGCAAAGAAAGGGGGAGAGATATCGTGCGCAACTGGCAATGTCCGCCTCCGTCCCCGTGCCTAAACACGTCACTTGGCTCCGAGCGTCCGAGCGCCGAGCTCCGTCCTCATTGTGGTCGTCCGCCGTCCTCGTGTAACCAAAGGCGCGTATACATGTTCCAATTACACAATTACTGACACGGTGTCCCACTTGTCTCTCCCACCCCTCCTCTGTGCTCATCATACCCGGCGGCTCTCCATGGCGCGCAGCTCGATACGCTTGAGCAGCTGCTTGAGGCTCTTGCCACCCTTTTGGCAGTTGTCCTCAAGCCATCCCTCAATCTCGACGCGGAGCGCAGAAAGCTGAGAGGTGATGGGCAGCTCGCCGTGGGACGCGGGGTTGAGGAGAGTGTCGAACAGACGCGTCCACAGGTCGGTCTGCCAGTACTATGACCGTCAGTGTTCATTCCCAAGACGCCAAAAATGCCACACTTACACGCTTGAGAGGTTGGTCAATCTTACACCGCTTGCCGGCGGGCGTGTCGACCGTCTCGGTGGCAATGTACTTGCCAAACAGCATGCAGTAGCAGATACCCGCAAGGCCAAAGTAGTCTGTCTCGTACGACCACGGCCTGCCCTCGCGCATCTCGACGCAGTCGCGCTCGTCCGTCTTCCAGTCGGCCACAAACGTCTGCTTCCGACCAGCAGGGAAGAGGGTCAGGTCTGCGGCGCGCCCAAAGTCGATGAGGCGCACACCCTTGTGCGACCAGCCGTTCTTGCCTGACCGGGTGTACTGCGGTGTCCAGGACGTCGGGCCGCCTTCCGAGGCCGGGATGCTGTCGAGACGCACAAGGCAGTTGTCGATCTTGAGGTCGCCGTGGATAATGTCTGCGGCATGGAGCCCCTCCACGAGCTTGAGGAGCTCCGCGGTGAAGAAGAGGGCTGCGAGCTCGTCCAGTGTCGATGGGCCTGAGGGGATGGCGGCAATCCCCCACACAATGGCCTTGTTAACCACATCGAGAAGTGTGCCCTGCGACGAATAGTCCAGGAGAAGGAAGGACTCGTCAGAGTACGAGCAAAGTCCACGAGGCCGGATGATAGAGGGCAAGAGGGCGGCGTCGACACGACGGTGCACGCGGTCAAGGACCACAGCCTCCCAGAGCGACCCGGGGCTCTCGACCTTGACGGCGACAAAGACATTGGCCTCGTCATCCTCGTCGTCGCTCAGGTCCTCGGCCGCGGTGCGAGCAGCAACGTCAATGCCAAGGAAGACGGCGCCAAACCCGCCCTCGCCGAGTTTGCCTGCCACCTCGTACTGCTTTCCAGCGAGATCGAGGACATAGGCATCGTCAGACGGGGCCATGGACAGGCGGGAGGAAGCCGTGCTGGAGCGACGAGCACGCGCCTTGGCAGCCTTTTGTAAAGCTGCCAAACGGTTGGAGGTCTCGCTCCTGCGGTCGACGAACAGTGGGAGCTCGGACACGGGCGGGTCCACCAGACGAAGGAGGTTGCTGATCACCGCGTCGTCTGCAGGGTTGCACGGGTTTAGCAAGTCGGGAAGAGGAGCGTCGGTTTGCGTGTCGTTGTTGTGGTCGACCACAACAAGAGTGTTCATCATCCCCGTAGCAGAGTCCATGTCCTGGCCATCCAACTTGACCGCAATGGTGTAGCCCTCGGGTACGCCGAACGCGCCCGTGTCGACCGAGCCGGAACGGTCATAGTCAGACGCGTGTCCTGTAGATGTAGGCTCGAGAGACTCGCGAGGGGAGGCGCGGGCCGACCCTTCCTCCTCGGCAATACCAGCAAGAAGCGGGCCGCTTGACAGCGCCCCGCCGTCCGATGCGCCGTCGTCGATCTCCGAGAACGTGCTTGCGCGGCGGGATCGTCCAGTCGTGGCGGTGTACGTCGTGTACTCGCATGTACGCTCCGTGATAGGGGTCATGATGTTGAACTGGCCAAACCGGCCATAACGACGCATTTCGCGGTCGTCGTCCGAGTACTCGCCTTCTTCTTCATACGCCGCTTCGGCCGCGGCCTCGGCTTCAGCCTCAGCCTCCGCCTCCGCCTCGGATTCCTCGTCAATGACACCGCCCTGCTGGGCCTCGTGGTTGGCGAAGATGTTACCCCGTGCGGGCGCGGGTGTGGCGGCAGGCTGGTTCTCGGCGTCTGCGTCGTAGATGCCAAACGCACGAGGCTTGGACGACGAGGCCAGGGGCGTGCGGGCAGCCAGAGGTTGCTTGGCTGCGGGAGCGGGAGTCTCGGCAAACACAGCGAGCTTGCGCGTGCTGCTCGGTGGGACGGCGTTCTCGTCCTGCGCGCTGTTCTCGTCGGCGAAGATGTTGAGCTTGCGTGGTGCGCTGGCGTTTTCATCCGCAAAGACGTTGGGGGTTTGAGGGGGTACGGCCTGGCGAGCACCTGGGGCTGGGCAGGGAGTGGGAGGGACCATGCCGCCTGGGGTCATCATGGAGACGGCGTGGCGGGGAGGGAGAGGCGTGGGCAGACCGACGTCGTCGCCGTCGTCCTCGTCCTCATCCTCGTCGCCGCTCGAGTCGTCGTCGCTGTAGTCGCGCACCTTGCCGCCGTGAATCGTCTGGTTGAAGAGACCCATGACTTCTTCGTTGGCGAGCTTGGTGTTGAGGGTAGGCGATGGCGGGCGCACAATCTTGACGGGCTTGGGCGAGCTCGCGCCGGGCTTGTGCCACCCGCGCTCCCAGTCCTTGAGCTCCTTCCAGTCCTTGCCCAGGAGCCCGAGCTTGCGTGCGCGAATCTCCTCAAAGCTCCACTCCTCGCCGCCACGGAACGTCGCGTCCCAGTCGAACATGCGGCGCTCAATCTTTCCGCGCGAGTCGCGCACGTCGGCTCCGCCGGTGGGACACACCCACGGCGCGGCGTGGAAGTGTTCCTTCTTGCTCTTCTTTGCTGGCGGCGGCTTGCGAGCGCTGGGAGGTGCCGGAAGGGGATGGACGGCAGGGATGGTAGGGACGCCGGCGGACACGCCGACAGTGTCAAAGTTGCGCAGAGGGTCAGCGCGGAGCAGCTCTGCGTCGGATGCGGGCGCCTTGGGACGGAGCCCGCCTAGCACCTCGGACGCTCCGTGCACGACATTGCCCGCCTCGCCCGAGTCCTTGAACACCTCGAGCTTGGGCGTGCGCGGCGCGACTGCCCGGCCTTGTTTCAGCGTCTCGCCCTTCCACGGGGTGGCCTCGACGGTGTTCTCCTTCCGGCGACCGTCGCGGGTGCCAAAGTCGTCCCATGGGGTCGTCTCTGGCTGCTCGGCGGGAGCACCGGCGTCCTCGGTAAACACCATCATCTTGGCGCCGTTGCGTGCCGTGCTGGTAGACCTCGAGCCGGACGCCTGGGTGGTGGCACCAGCGAGCCCGCTGCTGCCGCTACGCTGGCCGAGGGCGTTGCGCTGGGACGTCGAGGGAGTGGGCGCCGGCGTGGGGTCGTCGTCGGGCACCTGGCCGCTGGGCGGGGCCATGATACGCGTGAGGAACGCGGTGTGTCGGTTCTTGAGACGCTCGATGGGCGCGGCCTTGCGCGCAATGCCCAGACGGTACACGTCGTCGGCCTTCTTCTTGCTGGACAACGAGTCAGCTGCGTGTCCACCGACAGCTCGTCAGCTACTCACCGGCCCATACCCTCGAGCGCCGCGGCCCACTCTTCGTAAAAGTTGGCGTGGCGGGTGCCGATATCGCGCGACTCGAGAAACGACCACACCTCCTCCCTGCGCTCCACCTGGCGCGCGTACATGACCCAGAGCTTGAGGTATCGCGCGTCCTGGGCGTACCGCGCATCGTCGACGAAGCGGCGCGTCGTGCTTTCAAGCAGGGGCAGGACCTGGGCCGGGGACGAGGGAAAGTGCTGAACCAAAAAGGCCACATAGCTGAGTGCAGGTGTCAGCATGCAACGTCGTCGCCACCGACGCAGACTCGGACCCGACCGCAACACTTACCGATTATACACGTCCAACACGTCCTGGACGCCGTCGACCATGTCTTCTCCTTCCCTGTCGCGCCGTTCGGCCTCTTCAATGTCCTTCTGGAACCGCTCGATGCCCTCCTGGACGACGCGGGACCCTTCGTCCGACCGCGCCTTGTCAAACAGCACGCCGAGGGTCGCTGCCGAGCGGCCAGATGCCAGCGGCCGAATGTTCTCCTTTTGCGACTCGATGAGCGCAAAGTCCGTCACGGGGGCCGCGACCTCGGGCGACCCGTGGCGGTGCGGCGTTGGTGGCGCCGCGCTCATGGCTGTGGGTTGTGGGTTGTTGGTTGTGTTGAGATGTAGTTGGATGGTGTTGGAGGGAATAGAGAAATCAGTCGCCCAGTTGTTTGGTCCACTTCCGCCTTCAGGGTCGAGAGCCCTTATCACATGTGCCACGTGTTCAATTTATGACGTGTAGATCAAAGTATAATGACCCCTTTCTAATTTCATTTGAAATCCCACGCCCCCATTTATAAACAGCTTAGTGCATACAAGCAGACAACAATACAATCCCCTCGTCCATCCCCTGCTTGCTCTATGCAAGATACTGCAGCTTGTTACGGTCATGCTCGTCGCGCTGGAGATACTGTACAGATGTCAGCCCACTTGTCATTTCACGCGTATACCCACCTCGCGCTCAATGAGGCTCTCGACACGCTTCTTAATCTCCTTGACGTCGGGCGGGAAGCGCTTCGACACGTCCGTGACGACGGCATCAATGAGGAGCTGAAGCGTCATCTTCTTGCGGCCCTTCATGATGCGGACAATGGTTGCCTCCATGACCGAGACGCGGTCGATGGCGACTTGCTCGTTGGTCTTGCGCGACTCGTCGGCCGAGAGGTCCTGCTGGATCTGGTTGATCTTGAACTTTATCCTGTCGCTCGTAAACCCCTTGTTGAAGGCAAACTTGTCTGTGGGCTCGACGGCCTTGCCTGCTGGACGCTTGATGAGGACGCGGGTGCCCTTGCGGCCCATGGAGAGGGACTGGAGGACGCGGATGAGCTCGGACGATTCTGCGCAGGTCAGCGTTGGCAAGCATGTACCACCTACCAATGCCCGTCCTGCTCTTGAGCTCCATAAAGTCCAGCACGTCCGCCTCGGTGAACTGCAGCAGCACGACGGCCTGGAACAAGCTGACGCCAATCTCGTATTGGCCGCTGTCGAAGCGGGCCGTGAGGGTGACCGTGGCGAGCTGGTGGCGCCACGACAGCTGGCGGTTCTGGTGCTGGGTCGAGTACCAGGTCGTGAACGTGTCAATGGAGCTCTGGAGCTGCGGGGTAAGCTTAAAGTCCCACCCATCCTTGAGCAAAGGGTACGGCGGCCACGCCGACTCGGTGAGGACGTTGGCGGTGAATTCGCCATACGACGAGTCCTTGAACTGGCCCGGGTTCTTGACGCGAGCAGACTGGTACGCCTTGACGAGGCTGGTGGGTCAGCAGAGGTACAGATACGTTTTACCCACGTTTCAGACACCTGGAGGTCCTTCATCATGACGTCGCCAGACGTAAACTCGTCGCCCATTTCTGCGCGGGTCAGCACCATCACATACGCGAACCCACCATTTTGAAGCTTGACAATCATGTTGCGCTCCATGTCATCACTGGCGCTTTTATTGAGCAGGAGACGCTTGGCGAGACCTGACGCGTAGAACGCGCGGAACACGTCCTTGTCCCTCGTAAAGCCCACGAGCGCGATAATCTCGTCGAGGAGGGCGTTGAACTCGCGTTCAGTCCCCGACCCTTGGCCCTTGCGCATCGCGGCGTCGAGGTGCTTGGCTGTGGGAAGGTCAGCCCCAAACTGAAATGGCACTAAACAGCATGGCCTCACCGATCCACTCTGCAGGCGCATTCTGCCTGCTGCCCAGGCCGGCCTTGAAGCCCGACCGCACGGCCTCCTCGAGCTCGAGCTGGCGGAGGCGCTCGTGCTGGGGGATCTTGCGGGGCTCGGCCATCGCGACGTCGTCTTGGCCATCTCCATCCTCCCCCCCTTGGTCATCTGCCTCTTTCTGCGCCGCAGTAATGTTCTTGGGCGGACGGGAGAACAGGACCGCCACGGCGCGGTCGGCAAACCGCTTCAGCTTGAGGGTACTCTCGATCATCTGGGCGTCGTTGGCCGGGTCCGAGATGACGGTGCGTATACGCGTCTCGATGTGGTCGTGGATGGCCTTGCAGAAGAGGTTGAAGGCGCGCGAATCCACACTGTACATGTACAGGTACACGATCGCGCCCATTTCCCCGGCGTACATTGCTTCGTCGAGCGCTGCGGGTCGGGTGGGTTAGCCCAAGTTCAACGTCGCGCGCCACCTGAACCGCCCACTCACCTTTCTGCACCACGCGCGCGGCGACCTTGGCGCCATTCTCCTCGCGGACAATCACGACCGCCTTGTCGGCCACCTGCGACGACACGACGGCGCGCGCGCGCTCGGCCTCCTCGGCCTCCTTGTCCAGCGCCCACTTGACATACTCCATGGCGCCCAGCGCCCCAGTCTCGACATTGGACACGTGCGTCGCCGCCATGGCCGCATAGTGTTCCTGCGTCTGGACGAGGTACGGCTTGACGAGGTCGTCGGGCGTCGCGAGTCTGTTGGCGAGGGCGACGACGGCCGTGGCAGCAGGACGCAGCGCGGCGTCGGGTCTGTTGTGGGTGTGAGCAACAGTGGCTTTCGCCGGTATATGGTCACCTACCCTGCGGCCTCGCGCTCGGCGGCGGCCCACGCGAGAAACTCGTTGCGCGTGTTCTCGAGCAGCAGGTCGTTGCTCCACACGAGCTTGCGGAACTGGGCCGTCGCGCGGTCCCTGCCACAAGTCAGCTAACCGGCAAGGAATCATGCTGCCCAGCTCACAGAATACTCATGTTGCCACTACCCTCGATGCAGTACACTCTGTCGAGGTACACACACAGCGCAGCCAGCAGCGTCTGTAAACGCAGGTCAGCAACACTTTCCGCAAGATTAGCAACCTACCACATTCGCCTCGAAGCGTTCCCACTGGCCGACCAACCTGCCCAACCATTTACCCCCGCCGCCATTTCCATTCCCATTCCCATTCCCATTCCTGTCGCCGAGGATACTCGCGCGGCACTCGCGCTGGATCCCGCGGCACGCGTTCACGAGGTTCTCCTCGATGTTGTCGTACACCTTGCGCAGGTCGACGCGCGGGTCCGCCACGAGGTGGCGGCAGCAGTTGGCGATGGCGTGGAAGCTCGTCGGCGTCGGCTGGCCGGCGAGCAGGCGCGGGATGGCGAGCTCGATGAGGTCGAGCTTGGTCGCCGAGTCGAGCGGGATCACGGGTTCTGGGACGTGTCAGTCAACTCAACGACGGCACATCGTGTAGCTTGCGGGAGGCTCAGAGCACAGGACAAAGCTACGGGTAGAGATAGGCGTGTACCCACGGTGGAGGTCCAGGCGGAGGACCTTGCCGCTCGCGCCCTTGTCCTTGGCCTGCGGGGCGAGGATGTCAATGTGCGCATTCTTCGAGGGCTTGTACGCGCTAAAGGCGTCCGAGGAGCGCGGTAGGATGACCAGGGAGGTCATTGTTGGGGGGCAAGTGAGATGTTGAGACACACTCGTGTGGAGGGACCCAAATGAGTCTGGGAGATAGATGGCGTCTCATGACTGACGTACGTCGTGATACCCCGGACCCGGCGCCGGTGGAGGCCGACGGGGGTATTTGACACGTCAAATGGATTTCCCCAGGTCGCTGGATTTCTAATGCGAGGTGTCGGGCAATGTTCAGTGCGTGGAGTTTCTAATACAGGACCTGCTGTAACGCTTCAACACAGGCATACACATCACATTCAACCATGCAGTCAGTGCACGCTACCACAGCCCACTCCCCTCCAACCGAGATCCAAAGGAATAACATAAAAAACAATGCCTAACGACACCCCTACCTAAAACCTTATACTGTAAAGCGCTCACATCCGCGAGATCCGCAAATATCAGGAAAACCAACCGCCGTTTAGAACAAGCTCGCCTGCCTCTGCTGCTGGAACTGCTGCTGCTGCTGCTGCTGCTGCTGGCCAAACGCGCCGCCGCCGCCGCCCATGTTCTGCCCTGCGAACGGCGAGTTGGCGCCAAACGCGCCGCCGCTCGCGGCGAAGGGCGTCGTGCCAAAGGGACTCGGGGCGCCAAACGCCCCACTGACGCTGCCGCCCGTGTGGCCCGGCATCAACGACTGGCGGAACGGGTTGCTCCCCGTTGTCTGCGGCTGGAGCGCCTGCGCCTGGGGCTGCTGCTGCTGCTGCTGCTGCGCGGGCTGCTGGGCGAGCGACTGGCCAAACGCCGACGTGGGCTGGAACCCCGTCGGCTGGGCCGTCATGCCGCCAAAGACGCCCGGCGAGGTGGGGCCCGAACCGGTCGGCGTCGCGCCCAGGCCGGACCCCATGCCGCCGCCAAACGCGTTGCCGAACGACTGCTGCTGCTGTTGTTGCTGCTGCTGTTGCGCGGGGACGGCGCTGCCGTTCCCGTTCGCGCCGCCGTTGCCGTTGGGTTCCGGGATCGGCGGGAGCGTCTCCATGAGCGTCGAGCCAAACGACGACGTGGGCTTGAAGGGCTTGATGGTGGACCCGCCGTAGCCTGTGCGCTGGGGCTGGAGGAAGCCCGTCGGCTGGGCCTGCAGCGCGGGCGGGGTGCCGACGGACAGGGCGCCAAACTGGGCCATAAAGTCGTTCTGGGCCGGCGCGGCAGACGCAGGCTTCGAATCGATGGCGAACGCGGACGCAATGTCCGACATGGCCGAGCCGTTGGCGCCGGGCGCGGCGGCGGTGGGCTGGGCGGCGGGCGCGGGCGCGAACGGGTCCCATGCCGAGGCGCTGGACGACGGCGCCTGCTGCGAGTGGAACTGGGGCTGCGTCTGGGTCTGCGCCTGCGCCTGCACCTGCTGGGGGTTGAGACCGCCTGCCATGGCGAACTGCTGCTGGAAGCGCGCGTTGGCCATGTCGTTCATCGACGGCTGCTTGGGCACGCTCTGCTGCGCCTGCTGCAAGGGCATGCCGCCCGGGGGCGCGAATGGGTTGTTGGAACCGGTCCGCTGCGCCGTGAGCGGCTTGGCGACGGGCGCCGCGGCCGGGGTGGAGCCCGGACGCATCATCTCCATGGGCTCGGGGCTGGACGACTGCGGGTACGGGGATACGGGGTTGGAGTGGAACATGCCGCCGCCGCCGCCGTTGGCCACCATCAAGCCCGGCGAACCGAATGTGCTCTGGCGGAACGGGTTGGACATTGTGTTGGAGCGCTGAAGGAGGGACGTGGGCTGCGGGGCCAACGTGTTGGAGCGCTGCAGCAGCGAGTTTTGCTGCTGCGGCTGAACCATGCCTTGGTTGGGCATCGGCTGGCTAAAGTCGGGCTGGCCCATCATGCCGCCTTGCTGGAACGCCATCTGGCCCGTCTGCTGGGGCTGGAGGAAACCGGTCGGCTGGGACTGGAGGAAGGGCGAGGGGCCGCCGGCGCCCATGAACCCAGTCTGCTGGGGGAACATCATCGACTGGCGGAACGGGTTGGCGCCGGTCATTTGCATCTGCATGGCCTGTTGCTGCTGCATGCCGGGATGCAGCTGCATGCTGTTCATGGTGCCCATCGAGCTGACGGACCCCATCGTGCCCATCGGCATGCCCGTGGCCATGGGCTGCATCTGGCCAAACTGGTTCATCTGCATGCCCATGCCGCCGCCCATGGACCCGGGCCCCATGGTGGCGACGCCCGACGCCGGTCCGCCAAAGATGGTCGGCTGCGCGTCGGTCTGGATCGAGTCGAGGAAGTCCTGGATCTTTTGCTGGGTGGGGTTGGCCGGGGCCGCAGACGACGACGACGCAGCCGCGGGAGCGGGCGACGAGCTGGACGCGGCCTTGTTCGTGTCTGCTGTCTTGGTCGCGTCCTTTGCAGCAGCGTCCTTACCACCGGCTGGCGACCGCCCGCGACCACCTTTACCCTCGACGACACGGAGCGAGGAGCGGTACTCGAGACGGTTGTTTTCAAAGTTGGGGTCGTTGAGGTACTCTTCCAGGGCCTTTACGAGGCTCGTGGGCGCGTGCTTGAGGTTGGGCACGGGGACGTTGACGACGTTGTTGAGCCGCCGCGCAATGGCGAGGTAGTCGACAATCTTGTCCGTCTGCTTGATAAAGCTCTTGTAGATCTCAAACGCGTCCGTCGCGTCCGTCTTGGACATTTCGAAATAATGCTCGAGAATGTTACACACGCCCTCGTTGCCGGCCTGGAACAGCACCAGCAGGTCCTTGATCAACAGCCGGAACGCCAGGACGGTGTTTTCGTCGTTTAGGTTGTCGTCGTAAAACGTGCACCGGACCAGCGCGTCCAGCATCCGCTGCACCTGCTTGACCTCGCGCAGCAGGCCCTTGTCCACGGCCAGGTGACGCAGGCGGCGCGCCTTGGAATTGGCGCCCAGCCCGTTGCTCCGCCTGTTACTCTCGTTTTGCGAGTAGACAATGTCGTGCTGCAGGTCGCGGAACCCGCGGATCCGCGCGTCGAGGTAGTATGCGTAGGTCGACAGGTTGGAAGGGGGCCGGTAGTTGCTGCCGTCCGAGTTGCCCTGCACGCTGCGAAGGCGGAGCACGTCGTTGCGCGCGAGGTGGCCAAGGAGCGTGTCCGTCGACCCGGCGCGCATCATCTGGTGCAGCGTGAGGAGCGCTTTGAAGACGACCTGGGGGTTAGCGCGAGCGAGGAGCAGTCACGAGCGAGCGCAGCGAGCCGTGGCTGTCTCGTAACCACAGCGAGGTACCAAGTCGTACCGGCCGTGGCCAAGCACTTGCCCCGTCCCGACCGTTTCTTGGGTATCTGACGCCATCTCAGAACCACGACCCGTCCAATGGACACGGGCCAGCAGCGTATTGACGCCGCCGATGCCACAAGGCGGGGACCTAGGCCGGGGGTGGGGCGACACCGGTGGGTCCAGTTATCCCTACCAGCCGTAACAACGGCATCGATGCTGTGCCCTGTCACCGGCGACCAGGCGGCGCCAGCTGCCCAGCTGCCAGTTGCCAGAACCACCAGAACCACCACCGCCGACGCCGACGCCGACACTCCAGCCCCTCCGGACCCTTAGCCCCTCCCCTCTCCGCGCCCTGCCTACACCACACCACCACACCACGGTCGGCTCGTCCACTCACCACGGGGTTGGGGTCACGCAGGCGCGTCCCCAGCGCGCGCGAAATGTCCACGAGGGCCTGTTCGTCAAACGTCGCTGCGATGAGGGCACTACGTGTGTCAGCGGGGCTGTGGCTCCGGGCGGGGGAGTGTGGGCGGTGGGCGGTGCGGGGCTGGGGCCCACGCGGGTCGGTGGTATGTTTTGACGGCTGGGCGCGGGGGGTGGGAGGTTGCGTGTTTCCAGCCGTCGCCGACGCCGACGCCGCAAGCACGCCGGAGGGGAGGGGAGGAGCGACTTACTCGAGATACTGTTCCGTCAGCACCGCACCGAGAGAGAGAGAGAGAGGGGGGGGGGGGAACACGGGAGTACTCACCTTGGACTTTGGCGGGGCGTTCTTCGGCTTGCACGCCAACTTGATGATCTTGTCATAGTCCTGGCGCGCCATCGTGCCGACGATTAGAGTCTAGCGAAGGGGAAGGAAAGGGGAGGGGGAACGGGGGACGTGTCTATTGCGGTTTTAATTTCTTGTTTCTGCGGTGTACGGTGTCTTGTTCCGGGTACGGCGTGCGCTCGTGTCGGGAGATTGCGACACTGGGCCACTGGCAAAGAGCGCCCAATCGCTCCACGTCGCCGAGCGACGGTGGCGGTGATGAGGACGGGGGCGGACGGGGGAGAGGGGGGGGGACCGGCGGGGATGGGCGAGCGGGGAGCGGGGCCGGTGCGTGGTGTGGGTGGGTGCTTTCGGCGTGGATGTGGAGGGGGATGTGAGGATGGGTAGGATGGAGGATGGAGGATGTGGATGCATGAAGGAAGCAAGTGAGCCAAACGAACGACGACGGCCCGGGCCGCCAGCCCAGAGCTCCAGCGACCGGCCATCCGGGACAACCCCACACCTGCGTCCACGTGCGCAGCCGAAATAGCACCACCCAGGACGTATCCATCGGCCAACCGCCCACTGCACCATCCCTCTGGGATTCTCATACCCATCACATAGTACTCTAAAGTGCATACTATTACAGTCTCGCTTCAAAACCTCTCGTCCGCATGCACGCGTCTCTATCGTTTGACCTCTGTGCGGTTGCGTCGTGAAAAAAACGTCGTCGCCGGTGAACCCCTGTACCTCTCTCTCCCTCTCTGCCTTCGTGCTACCGTTGTGTTGACCAAGATGAGCTGTTGCTGCTGCTCTACACGTCGTCGTCGTGTCCGTCGCCTACGCGTTCCATGGACGCTTGACGGACCCGGGGAGCGCGGGACATCGTTCGGGAGCGTGCGAACTCAGTGCCGCCCACGTACAATAGTCGCGCCTGCGCGCGACCCACTCCCAGAACCAGTCGATCATTTCCAGGGGCACGCCATGGCTCCAGTGGTCGACCCAGATCTTGATGCTGGGGATCCGCAGCACGACGTTTTGCCACACAAACCAGTTGTGCCGGTACGCCACTTCGACGGTGGGGTTCATGAGGATTCGGGGCGGGCGCTCGGGCGTGTTGTACAGCCGATGCAGGTCGTAGCCGAAGAGAAAGCACTCGGAGTGGTCGCACGCCTCGATGCCCGACGAGCGGAACTTGAGGGGTAAAGAGACGGCGGGGGACATGCGCGAGTTGGGGTAGGTTGCTGGGGGGGTGTTAGTGGGGGGACGGGGGAGGTGGGGCTTGGGTAGGGCATCGGGAAACTACTGAGTCCCGTGTCCTCGCCAGCGAGCACCATGCCGACGGCACCACGCCCGCTCTACTCTACTCACAGTTATCCACCATTTTCCACCCTCGCTTGGCCAGCCGGGTGCCCTCGTCCGGTGCGTCGGACACGTCCGACGTTTCTGGGCGGTAGAGGTACGGACCTGTGGGGAACGCGACAATGCCGTTCCAGCATGCAGACACCTCGAACGGCTGCTTGTTGCGAAGGCGCTCTTTGCTGACGGGGTCCTTGACAAACGGCCATGCAATGCGCATGGGCGTGCCACAGACGTCGCGGGCGACCCAGGTGTCGTAAAAGCCTAAATGGGGTGTCAGCAAAAAATACGAGATACAGTTTTCCCACGCCGGTCAAAGGTGTTCTTTCCCATATCGCCCCATGCCATCGGCGGCACCCTCGGCACCCTGTAGACGTGACGAGAAGCCATACACGCGCGGTGTGGAGTATAACCTCTCACGCGCCACTGGCGTGATCGAAGCGACGATCGTCCCGTTGCGAGGCCCCGCGCGAACCACGTCACCGGCCAACGTCGTCAGGTCCCTTCATGACCCAGTCGCGTGCCCAGATAACATATAAACGCAGCGCGGGACGCAGGGAGCCCCATGCCTCGTTGCGTTGCACCTCTGACCCATTCGCCACCAGGCGAATGGTTCAGTGTGTGCAGTGACCTCTCCCGCCACACGAAACAAAAACAAAACACAAAAAAAAAAAACGCCAGCCAGCCCGCCAGCCCAACCCGGCTGCGGCCACTTCCCCAATCGGGGCTCAAACTTTGACCCCGTGCGCGTAACCGCCCGCCCGGCTGGCCGCAACCTCCGACCCAACGGAAACCCACCCACACACACCACACAGCCACAACTCACCAGCCTGGTAATAGTCCATGGCGCATGCCAAGTCGTATCCGTCCTCGCCCTCGTCGCCGTCCCAGGACGTGGCGAGCAGGCGCACGACGCCTTGCCACGTGAACACGACGTCGTTGAGGAAGACGACTTTGGTGAACGTGTCATAGTCTGCGAGACGCACACTGTCGTCGGGCGACTGGAGGGGCTCCAGGGCCTTGTTGCGGGCCGCGGCCAAGAACTGGATGCGCTCGGGCGCGGTGCCGTATGGCCACCAGCGCTCCGACTCGTCCGAGAGGATACGGTGGGCGACGCCGAGGTGCGACAGGTCGTCGGCAAACTCGGCGAGCAGGTCGGGCGTCGAGTCGTCCGAGTTGGACTCGTAGATTGAAACGAACGTGTTCTCAGGACCAACTGAGGGGGGTAGGAAAGAGTGTAGTGTCAGTGGGGGCCCGTGACACCAACGGGAACGGGGTTTACTCACGGTGGTCGATGAGGAGGAGCAGTTCCCGAGACCAGCGAGGGAGAATGTCCTCGTTGTTGTACAGGTTTGCTGCGAAAAAGTATCGTGGGGTAGGGGAAGGTGTGTCTGCGCGCTCGACGGACGGCAGGAGCGAGGGCACGACCTCTGCTGGCGGTGTCAGGCCGATGGACAGCCAGAACAGCACGAGCACGGTGCAGGCAAACTGTGCTGCGCACTGTCCTGTCGACCACCGGGGCAGGGCGAGTGCGCGCGGGCTGCCGCGGAGGGTTGCGACGACGAGGTAGAAGATGATGCGGGCCCACGAGCAGACGGTCCACCATGTGATACCTGCTGCGAGTCCGACAAAGACGTGGATGGTGGTGGGGAAGGTGAAGGCGACGAGGAGGGCGGCTGACGTTGCCAGTGCGACGGCGATGCTTGTGAGTGCCAACGGGTCCCGGCGGGCAAACACACGTACGGCGCCGGGTCGGTGCGGTGCGTCCATCATTTCCATTTCGAGGCTGTCGCGCAGGCGGTCTCGCTCGCGGCTGCTGCGCTCGGGGCTGGACCCGCGGTCGCGGTCGCTGTTGCGGTCGTCCAGGGAGAATGTGTCTGATTCGTTGGACGGGGTGATGGACGCGTCTGACGAGGCATACTGGGACATGGGCGATGTGGGTACGGGCTGGTATGCGACTCCGGCGGCATGGGCTGCCTTGGACCACATGTCGGTCGGCAGGTCTAAGAGGCCCATGGTGAGAGGGGGTGAAGGATGGGGAAGGGGAGGAGAAGAGGGGGGGGGGAGCGCGCAGGTGCGCGCGTGCGCAAAAGAGGTCGCGCCGAGTACCGAGAGAAAGATGTGCTCCGAGCTGGTGCGAACGGAGGAGGGTGGGGAGGGGGGGGAGAAGAAGGCTGGTGCTGTGGGTGTGGGTGTGGGTGGTGGTGGGTGTTGGGTGCAAAGGGAGAGTGCTGTTGGAGTGCTGGTGGGGGGCTTGAAAAGGGAGCCGGGTGTGTGTATGTGTGTGTACTATTAGGAGGGTGGGGATATGAATGAACCGAGCAACAAGGACGAGAGAGCGAAGAGATATGTGTGGAAGCGAGTGTGTATGGATGTGTGTGATGGAGGTGAGAGACAGGAGAGGGCCATTGCACAGTACAGTGGCCGTGGGTGGACTGGCAGGTGTTGGCGGCGGCGGCGGCGCAGTGCTGTGCATGAGGGGGGAAAGGGAGGGAAGGAGGGAAGGAAGGAAGGAAGAGCCATGGCAGGGGGGATAGGCGGCGGAGGGAAGGCAGGGGGGAAAAACAGGGAAGGCACCGCAGGGCGGGCGGCCAGAGCTCACACACACACCTTCCTCCCCCCCACCCAAATCCACCCAACCCACCCACAACAGGCGGTGTATTTTATTTATGGACGCAGTCGGCCAGTTCGCAGCAACCATATGCCATGACGCTCGCTCCCTCCTCCCCGTTGCTCCACAGCGGCCACCACCCGTCGTTTATTGGGAATATGCTGCTGGCTGGCTGGGTGGGTGCGTCTTTTGGTGTCTCGCAGTTACCCCCCCTTATGTATCCATATTCTATGGCTCCAGGCTCCCCCCCACACCCCACCTAACAAGTATTAGTGTCGCGGGTCCCTGCGCGCGCACAGAACACACTCTCTGACCTCTTTCCAACACACAATGCCCAGCCCTTTTGCGGGTGCCAAGCAAACTCCCATGGACCTATATGCTGTAGTCACTCCAGTCAGTCAGTCCCCTCCCCCTCGGTAACCACCATGTGCAAAGCGTGTCGTCCGTGTCGTCCGTGTCTCCGTGCAACATGTTTCATGGCACAGACACGACAAGAGAGCCCCGTCGGAAAGTGCCCACCCCCCTCGTTTGCTCTGCGGGCTGCGGGCTGCGCGCGCGGCGAGGCGGCGGCGGCGGCGGCGGGAAAAGATCTCTCTCTTTCTCTCTCGCCTCTTTCGGCCAGGAACCAGTGATGCCCAGTGATGCCAGTGACGCGCACAACCTCCATTGCGCTGCACCCATTTGAATGACTGCTTCGTCCATGCCCACTCTGGTGCATCTGGTGACGTCCCGCGCACGCCGCACGCTCTCTCCGTTTTCGAAACAAACCGAATCCGAGAAACACCCCCTTTCACACTTTTTTGTCCGTCACAGCTACCAGGCCCAAAATCCCCCCCCCAGGGCCCCGCCCGACCACGGTGGGTGCGCGGGGTAACCGTGCAACAAGGGGGGCGGTCAGTCTTGGCTCCGCATCGCGTCGTACAACAACCATCGCATATGTACAGCGCGGAACAGCAACTTGGCCCGACGTACATACATACATACACCACCAGCACAGCGTCGGGGCGGCGCACTACTGGATTATATCATCTCCGCATATTCGGGCGTGCACAGCGGTACCTCCTGTGTCTGTCTACACACACATTTCGGGGCTGAGCCTGGCACAGCCCCGACGCGTGTAGCGCGCGGACACGCGAACGCGAGGTGTTTCATTCAAGCAAAACCCGGTCTCATGGGATCATGGGCCTGGCCGACGAGAACGCAAGTACCCGAAGGCTCTACTGTGCAAGTGCGCGATTAAAAAAAGGAGACCAATGGTCCAAAGGAGAAAGGCGGGTCGGTTATCGAGACAGGACAAGTCTATAGTTGTTTCTATATCTGGCGGCGGCATGTGGCTTCTGTCCCGGCTAGTGCTACCTACACACTCTGGCCGTCTGGTGCTGGCCAGAACGCGGCGAGCAGACAGCGTGCATGTCGCAATCTGTGCAGACGTGCACCAGCAGATACGTACAATACAATATATTAGGTTAAAACTTGACGAAATGACTTTGGCTCCCAGCACAGCCATCGGCAGTGGCCAGTGGCCACGCCCGCTCTGCCCCACGGACACTAAAATAACCTCGCTCCTTTTCCACAACCATGTTGTGTTTGCAGTGCCCGCCAGGCCCCGCTCTGCGCGTTCCACAAAGGGCTCTGACCTGGTTACTGTATGTATATCGAGAGGCGCGGTATAAGCATAGGTGTTGTCCTGGGGGACACTCCATGGCGTCCACTCCCTCTCCTCACTTGACGCGGGGACACACCGCCACCGCCACGCCGTGCTTACACTTTGTGTGTGTGCAGGTGCAGGTACACAGGTACAATACGTGCCCACAAGCATTTGTCCATCTCCAAGTACCCGCATACTGTTCATGGCGGTTGAGGCGGACCACCACACCGCCCCACCGGCCACAGGCTCACTTACCGTCCACTCCCGCACACAAAAGGCTCCAATGGCCAAATGGGCCATGTCCATGACCCATACCCCATACCCCAGACCTAGAACGCACTCACATGGTAGCTAGGCAGCCCCGACACCGCCCCGCTCCAGAAGCAGGACCCACATCGGTGTACATGCCTATAGCCGCCGCTTGCTCAAACAGAGATCAGAGATCAGATATCACACCAATGATGGCATTGTGGCATGAGACGCGCGGCCGAGGCGTGCCTCGCCTTTGTCCACCACCAACCGGCAACGGGCAGCGTGGCACTGAACCCAACCAGCAACCAGAACCCAGAAACCACAGTCCAGCTAGTCCAGACGGCCCAGACACAGCCACAACGACGCGTGTCGCCGGGACGAACCCGGTTATCCCATGCCCGTCCATCCATCCGTCCGCGTCCGTCCACAAGCCCATCCCAACACCAACAGGCCACAGCACCACAGGCTACAGGCCCCTCCACAGGCCACAGGGCGCTTTGGTTTGCGCCGAGCACGCCGAGACGGAGAGAGACCCGGGTACTGAAGAGACCAAGAGACCAAGCGCAACGACCGCCGCCACGACCGCAACGAGCGCGCGTCTTGGCGGTGGTCCTGTGGGTCCTGTGGGTCCTGTGGTCCTGTGGCTTTTTGACGGGTCCTCGTTAGCCGTGGCGCAGCAAGTAGCGAGCACGCGAGCGCGAGCGAGCGCGCGGGGGGCTCTTCAGGGCCACCACCAAACACGTCAGGCGCGACACGCTTGGGTTCGTATCCCCCGATCCCAGTTAATACAGCGTACAGCGTACGGCGTCACGGATACCGGAATCGGAGTCACGGAGCCACGCCCACCACGCCTAGCGCGCCACGCCACACGACACGGTACACGGTACGCGCGTGCGCGGCACACGCTACACGGTGAGCGCGCTGAGCGCGCTGAGCGCGCTGAGCGCGCTGAGCGCGCCGCTACACGTGTTTTGCTGGCTCGTCGTCGGTGCGCAAATGCGCAATGCGCAATGTGTATTCTATTCCTGACACGCGTGCGGGACAGTGACGCGCACAGCTTCCGCGAGGGGGGGGGGGTGTGGGTGGACGGGCATTCTCCCAGGATCACACAGGGGAGAGGGTTCCGGGGGGGGGGGGGTGGCCTTTGCAAAGGGCAGGGAATGCCGTTGGGCCGTTGTGGTGAGCGCTGCGTTTGAGTGACTGCACGTTCGAGTGACTGCATGACTATGACTGGCGTGTGGAAACCGGGTCTGTTTCCAGCAGCCAGCAGCCATGCGTGCATTTCAAAAAAAGGGGTCATTGGCCTCACTGGCGGCCTTTTTCAGGTGGATGGGACAACCACTAACCATGCCCTAGCGTCTCGCGTGAGTAGAACAGTGGCAGTGAGTAGAGTAGAGTACATATAGAGTAGAGCAAACCCACCAGCCTTTGTACCGCGTATAGCGAGATGCAGGGTGGCACTGGTGGGGTGGCCGGACCGCCTGCAGGGAAAGTTATCAACAGTGAGGGACTCGAGGGACTCTGGGGTATATGGGCGCGTCATTTGAGATCATTTTAACACGTTAGTGTCATGTATCACGTTGGCCGCGACAGGTCCGTCGGTGAGCCGACGGGAGAGACGACGCCGGTCGTTTAAACCTGCTGCTGCTGGCTGCTGGTTTGTCCCGGCGGACATCCCGGACAGGCTGCGGCACTCGGCCTCGATACGGACCCCGGGGGTGGGGCGAGCGGTATATGTGTTCATACGCGTTCGCATGCGTTCAGATGCAAACGGAGTGGCCGCGGTTGCGGTTGCGGTTGCGGACTCGGTTGCGGACTCGGGCTCGGGGCCTGGCCTCGTTTCGCTCCATGTGCACGACTGTAAGCTGCGACACCCCGGCGCAGCCCAGCAGTCCAGCAGTCTAGCAGTCTAGCTGTCCACGTCCGCAGCGCAGTGGCAGCGGCAGTGGACGTGCAGACGCAGCGCCAAGGTTGAGGAGCAGACGGACAAACCATGGCGCCGAGAGAGAACGACTGTGCAGGACCACACTGGGGCTGCCAAGATGTGCTAAGACGTGCCACACTCCGCAGCTGGCAATTTGCTGCGAGATCGCGGACGAGACGTGCACTGGGTCAATTGCTGAAAAGTGGACTGTGGCCCGTCGCAGCCCCGGCTGCCCCTTGCTTGCTATCTTGCTTTTTTTGCTCTCTTGCACGAAACGTCATGGAAGCCCCCTTTGCTTCGGTTTACTGCGCACCCCACCGGCGTGCTCGCAGTAAAGCTGCGCGGGTGGGCGCCTGGCGCACCTGCACTGCGCCGCCGCGGCCCTTATATTCCTCCCTCTGATCCCTTAGAAACCCAGCGAGCCGCTGCTGCCTGCTGCTGCTGCTGCTGCTGCTGCTGCTGCTGCTGCTGCTGCTGCTGCTGCTGCTGCGAAAACGCGAATTCTCCACGCTCTGTGCGTGTCATTGCTGGACGGAAAGTGGACTGCGCAGACCGTGGCCCCGCGCGCTAAGGCCAAGGCCCAGGCGGCGGGCAAGGCTGCCTTGCCTGGCTGCCTGGGCTTGGCTTGGCTTGGCTTCACTGCGGGCTCACAGAGCTCGAGCCCGGAGCGTGGCTGCGAACGTGAGCGCATGCGCGTGAGCGTGAGCGTGAGCATGAGCCATTGCCACGGCCCATAGCCACACGGCCCACCGGCCCTGCCGGCCATCGCCACCCCACAAAACACACACACAACAGTAACGTCCCAACTGTCCAAAACCGTCCAAAACGTCAACGACTCGACGGACATGCCCGCCGCGCGCCCCGCCACGCCGCCACCCCCTACATTCCCCCTCTTCCCTTCACTGCATAACGTGTTGGTGCCCATAGGCCATAGGCCACATCATACATGGGTAAAAGATCTGAAAGAGGGGGCGGGCATGCACTCTGGTACTCTGACGCACTGACGCACCGGCGGACGCCACAGCCCAATGAGCCCACATGAGCCCAAATGCTCGGCGCTCTGTGCGATCGTTGCGGCTCGAGTCCTCGTCGTGGCGCGCCGCGCGGCGCCACGCTCACGCGCTCGGGGCTCGGGACTGTGGTCGGGCACGTACCGGCACCCCCGCCGGCATCCGGCGGTACCCAGCTCGGTTTTGAAACAACTCTTTTTTTTTTTTTTTACTCGGCTTGGGAAACGGGCCATGCCAGTTGCAGTAGACTATAGGCTCGGAAAGGTTTTTGTAAATGGAAGGGAGGGCGCAGAGCGGACGCAGAGCGGACGCAGAGTTCAGTACATAGCACAGTGGGCGGGGTGTGCTGTGGAAAAAGGGTGGGAGCGGAAAGCCCGACGAGACCGGAGCGGTTGGACACTCGGACGCGGGGGACTCGGACAAGGACAAGGACACTCGGACAGTTGGACAGTTGGACACGGGGACACGGGGACACTCTGATATGCCTTCGTCCTTTGCATATGCTTGCGTCGAGTCCCCTTTCAGTCATGGAACACACACTGAAGACAGAAGACAGCCTTGTGGCCGGTTGACATAATGGCATCGTCGGCGGCGCACCGGCCGTGGTTGTGGCTGTGGCTCTGGTTGCGGACGGAGCTGCGAGCGAGGTGCTGTGCTATGCACTGCGGGGGAGACTCATGGCTGCATCCAGCGTCACTGTATATTGGGCACCTTGGAGGCAGCATTCGGGCGGCGGGAAGGGTATATACAATGGCGAGCTGTGTTGTTTGAGACATATGGAAAGGTTGTGGCTTTGGCTTTTGCTGCGAGACTGCAGTGGACTCGGGTTACCGTGCCAAAAAGAATTTGGCGTGCTCTGTGTGCTGCTCATGAGCAAAGAGGATCGGGAAGCCTCGAATTCTACACTCCCGATGGGAACTATGGTCATGTGTGCAAATGGGGTGCCAGATGTTGGTTACAACATCCTGGACGCAGTGCACGAATTATTTAAACGGTGCGTCACTGCCGAGCTTCCTCTGATATGTGCACGTTATTCCTTTACATGTACTCGAGTATATTAACAGACATCGTCTTGTGTGTTGTATTTTCTGGTACCTGCTTGACCGCACTGCGTTATTCTTGTCTGAATCAATCCAACAAGAATGTCTCGCTGATCTGCAAAGAAAGGAGCATAGAAAAATGTGATTTTTAGAACAATTGCCTTTATATTTTCGGTGTCGAATCAAGACGATGGCCACTGATCACCGAGCGACGCGGTCGGACTGACTCTGAAAGCACGTAGGTGACACCAAAGTGACGAACTTTGAAGCAACGCGCCTGCAATTGTCCAATGCTCACTAAATCCAGATGGTGGCCAAATACGTATTGCAGCGCTCCCGTTGAACAGTCCCCACCACGCCCCCTACGGACGGCAAAAGAAAGTTGATCCTTGCTTCAGACATCCAAGCATTCGAGGCGACGGCGTCCTCTACTTGATTTCTTCTTGTTTCTGGTGCCTTCAAGGGAAGACGGGTGGAGAGGCAGATGGAGTCCAGCTTCGGCTCCCAGCCGTAGCGCACCGCCTGTGCTCCATCGTACATGCCACGCTGTCAGTTTCCAATAAATAACTGTCACGGGCCACACGTCTGCAGCCAAGGGCAGCCAAAGCGGTGTGAGGTTGGAGGGTGGCAATACCAGAAAACCACAATCCCCAATACCATAAACCACAATCCCCAATCCCCAACTTGGAGTTTGAGAGCTGCACATGCCAATCTTAGCGGCTGGCAAGGGCTGGTGCCATGCTCCAAGACCACGGTCATTTGCAGTTGCAGGCACCCAGCCAGCCTGCATGCCGCTCGTATCTGATACGCATGTCCATCCGTCATGCATGGAACCCGCGCCAGGCCTCTCGCCCATCGCAACAACGCACACCGAGCTGGGGTGGGGTGTGGGGCCCGTTAACGTGCCACCGACGTCATCCCGCCCACGCCATCGCCACACTCCCACACTCTACCAAAAAGCCCAGATCCAGATGTTGTCCCGAGACTTCTAAACCATTTCAAGGCGTGGTGCGCTGTTTTGCGTCCTAGGAACTGACCCGTTGCCAGAGACATGTTGCCAAGAGAGTCAAGTCTGTCGCCCCCTTACTACTAACCCCAGGATGTACGCCCAATTGCCCACCCGCAAGCCCACTTTTTGGAGGCTACCCTCAACACCGTTGCAGCATTTGCATTCGGTGGGGACACCGTCGGCGCATCGGCGTTCATGTCGACTCGTGTCTTCGCCTCGGCTCGTCGGCACCACCCATGTCCCAGGCCCCACGGCCCACGGCATGACGTCGGCGTCGTCGTCCTCCGCCTCCCCACTCACTGTGTACTGTACCCCCCTCCTTTTTCAATGTCTGGTCCACGGCCCTAGTGACCGAGAGCGAGGTACAGTCCACAGCTCCAATCTTGTTCAACTTTATTTGAGGGTGGGGTGGGGGCGCGAGCATGGTGTGGCAAGTAAAACAAGTCATGTGACGCAGGTGCTCCATGGGGCAAGGCGATAACGACGTCTGTGATCTGTGATCTGAGGCGACGCCAGTTTCGCATATAATGCCCGTGGCGTCATTGACCATTGTACCATTTGACGAAGGGGGGGGGGGCTCGCTTGGCATTCATGTGGGCGGGCACCTGGCACCCCTGTCTCCCGCTGGCTTGGGGTTGGGGTCTTGGATATGGGGTCTGGAAGTGGTGGTGAGTGGTGAGTGTGTGGCTGCTGGGTTGAGTGGCTGCCGGGAGGGGTGGCTGCCGGGATGGCTGCAGAGACGATGGCTGCCGGGACGAGTGGCTGCTGGGCATGCTGTAGATCATGATGGACAGGATCCACATACACGTGCTCACCAGTCGACAGTTAAACAGTTGGCAGCAGCGCATGCCACAGTTCCCATCCCAGCCACAGTACCGGGAGACAGGCGCCCATAGCAATTCAGTTCGGTCAGTTCTGTCAGTTTGCGCGACAGATCAGATCCAGCAAATCTGTGCCATGCGGTGGACACATTGACGGGGCAGGACGACACACAATGCTTGCTTGCGTCTGCAGCCTATACCCTCCTCCCATCGCGGGTTGGTGGGATATGGCGCACACGCCATCGGATCAGCACACAGGCGGCCAACAGGTCCCCCAGGAGCATCCCAGCGTCAGTCCTGGCCCTCAGCTCATGCACACCTCGCGCCACACGCGCAGGCACCTTTCTGGGAATATTCAAAGAAGTAGCATTACACATTGCGCAGCATGTTCGCGCGATACAATAGGGGTTGTTGGTGAGGTGGTGGTTGGGGGGTGGTTGGGTGGTCATGTAGGTGATGTTTTTGGGTGGGGTGGGGGGAGTGGGGGGATGCGTCCCACAGTCTGGGGGGGATGCGCTATAGCGACAAAATAAAAACAAAGACAAGAGGGCGGGAGACTGGGTTCGTGTGTCTTGCAAAAAAAGGGGGGATGCCCACATTGGCGGCACTCGCTTCATGATGTAACGATAGACGAGCGCGGTTTTGTGGCGGTATGCGATACGTGTGTGTTCATGCGGGTAACGTGGGTGACGCTTTCGGGGTTCGGTTCAGACACTAGGTCCCGTCAAAGGTGACCTGCAAGTCGCCGAGGTTGGCGAGCGCGACGAGGCCGGATCCCTTGCCTTCGGCGCCGTTCTGGACCTGTAGCGGCGTGGGGATGTCTCCCCGCGGGTACGCCCAGAACGCAGCACCCGTGACGGACGTGGCGGCCGTCGACAGGTGTGAGAGTAGCGGTGCGCGGTCAAAGAATGTGCTGTTGGCCACGTCGATCGTGCCCTGGGCATACATGCGCGACCGGCCCATGTTCAGCGGGTCGACCAAGGTGGTGGATGCCAAGGGTGGCAGCCGGATGGCGCCCCAGAGATTTTCCAGTGCAAACGGCCCGACAAAGTTGGGGTGCATCGACACATCGACAATGCCCGACTGGGACATGACCGTGGTCTGGAGCGCGGTGGATGGCGGGTGGTGGAGGAAGTCGACAAAGATGAAGCCCTCGTTGGTGAGGAACGTGGTGTTGATCCAGTGCGTGGGCTCGTGGATCTGAGCCTGGTACTCGGCGTACTGCTGGTACTGCTGGGGGTTTCCGTGGTTGTTGCTGTCACCTTGGTTGTTGTAACGACGCCGCAAGCCGGGCATTGTCGACGTCAGCGTCGTCGAGTTGTCCGACGTGTCGCTGGGGTTGTGCAGGATGACGTTGGCGAGGATGGTGCCCGACGTCGAGTTGATGCTCAGAGCCTGGGACACGTTGAAGAGGCCCTGCACGGTTCCTTCAGAACCGGCAATGGAAATGGCCTGTGCTACCACAGAGCTGACGACGACACCGCCACCACGGCAGTCGGCCTGAATGTCAAGGTGGCCAAACTCGGCGACCGTCGCAAAGTTGCCGATGCGAACACCCATCTGCGCCAGGTCCAGGGAGACATTGGGGAGGAATGCGGATGGGGCCTTGGCGGCCAGCATCGACGGTGGCAGACGGATGACCGTGTGGAATCCCGGTGTCTCTAGCGGGTTTAGGAGGTATGGTGCTGCACCGCCACTGTCCGTCTGGAGGGGAGTGAAGATGCCCACGCCCTGGGAACCGTCCGCTCGTTCCAGTTGGCATACACGAGCGAGCGAGTCCATGGTGCGGTTCAGGGGAACGCGGACGAGAACATCCAGCTGGACGACACCCTCGGTGCCTCCAGCAATGACATCGGCAGGCGCGTTGGTGCCAATAAACTCGACGGTGCCCGAGGTGGCGAGACCGCTGGCGATAAAGTAGAGGGGGTCCGACAGGCTCGGCAGCCCATTCATTGTGGCGTTGAGTGGCCATGTGTAAGTGGTGATGTAGTGGTCAAAGTACTCGCTCGACACGGCCAGCTGGCTCAGCGAGCCCGACGTGTTGAGCGGTTGAAAGTTGTTGCAGTTGTACGGTGTGCCGTCTTCTGTTGTGGGCCCATCGCGTTTGGGCTCGTACGTGATGGTGAGGTTGCCCGTCTCAACTGTGTTTTGCGGTGGTGGCTTGCCGTGCCATGTCTTTTGCTTTGCATCGTTCTTTCGTGTCTTCATGGCCGACACAAACCCGGCAGCAAGACCTGCCCCGACAAGGATGGCGCCACCGACCAATATTGACAGCAAGATGATCCATCGTCGATGCTTGCGCCAAAAGTCGCGCATCTCGGGTGACACGGGTACCCGTGGTCGCCCTGGGATGGGGATGCCGCACCACTGCTTCTTGTCGCTCGGGTCGATGACAAGTCCCTCCCACAACTTGGACCGCTCGTTGTGGTCGTCGTCGCGGTGCACCGCAGTGCTGGTGGTGCTGGTGGGAGTAATTGCGTCAACGGCATCAGGTCGGGTAGACGACGCTCGACGTGTCGATAGCAGGCGGCCAAACGAAGAGTGCGCCGACGAACGGCTGGACGTCGACGAGCCGCTCACACTGGTCGTGCGTACCAGCAAGCCCGTTGGAGGGCCACTGTTCCGTGTCGACCGCCGTTGTCGTTGCTCCCCTGCTGCTGTTGCTGCTGCTGCCACCGTTGCTGCGCTTGTCCGTGCTCGTCGGCCCTCGTAGGGAGGCAGGTCTTCGGCGGGGTACACCGCAAAGTCGTCTGCAAACGGCGACGCATCGTACGGATACGTCCCTGGCGGGTGGTACGCGACGGCTGGCAGCTGGGGACCATCGAGGTCTGCCAGGTCGACCAAGTCAGCCTCGACAGTGACCAGCGAGGCCCGCGACTCGGCGAAGAGACGCGGGTCCTTTTCTGGGTCGGGCGGGATGATCATGGTTGGGGCCGGCGCAAAGGAACGCTAGTGGAACGAAGGAACGGGAGAGGAGAGGGGGAGGAAAGCGGGACGGGGGAATGCGCGGCGAGTCCGCAGTGCCCGACGAGGCGACGGCGGTGAACCAGTCGCAGTGGGGGTTGAAAGGGGGGTGGGAGGTGTGGGCGAAAGAAAGGAGTGGACGGTGAAGAGGTGGCGAAGAGGAAAGGCAAAGGCAACAAAAGGAGCCTACTGGGCGCCCATGTCGCGGCGGGTTTGTGTTGGAAGGGCGGATGCGAGATGCGAGATGCGATGGGATGAACAAGCACAGCCCCGGGGGGGGGGGGGGGGGGGGGGAGGCCGGGTACTGTGGTGTGTTGGAAAGAGCGGCGATGAACGGTTGTGGGTTGAACGGAGTAACGGGACGCAGTATGCAGAGAGAGAGAGTGAGAGACGTGGGATGTGAAAAGCGTGTTGCTCGACGCCTGCTGTGCAATCCACACACCACTTGGACGGCGGCGGGACGGGGGAGAAAGGGGGGAGCAACAGCAGCAGAAACCATTTGCGCACGCCTAACCGCACGCCTATTACAATTTAGCTTCCGTTTATTAATTGTGGTTTATACTCCCGGAACTCTTGGGTCAGAGTATTGTTTCTAATTGAACATTCCTGCATTCCTCTTTGATCTGCGATCTCCGACCCAGCCCGCATGCATGCCGCTCCCTCCCGGTACATGAATGCACGGCGGCATGCGAGTGGCATGAGTGGCACGCAGCCGTTAGATGTGTCGTGTGAGCAGTAGCATCAGAAGCGTGCAGAACAGGCGCCTGGTGCGTTTGGACTGCGCAGCATTCGCCACTCGAAAGATGAGCACATGGACTGCGGACTGTGGGTGGCTGAGGGCGGGTGCCCATGGGGGGCCAATATCGTCCTCGTACGCTGGCCAGGCATGGCGGTCCCTGCTCGCCAACGGACATGCAACCAACGGGGCGGGAAGGGGGGTTCATCGCCATGGCCATAATGGCCACTCGTCGACCGCGTCACACAAACTGCGCATGCTGCTTGGGCCGCCGTAACTCTTGCTCCTAAATGAATGATGGCAAAAGCGCAAAAGCTGGAAAACTGTCGAGGCAAATGTGGCACCCCCGGGCTTGGCTGGTTCGGCAGTCACCGCATATGTTAGACACCGATCAGTGGCAACTGCGTACGACAACTGCGCAGCCGGCACATGTGCCTCAAATAGACTTGGATGGGTGCTACGTTTCTGCATTGTACGGATCTGTTCGTGCTCGGCTGCACGTTGCCTCTGTAACAGCACAAAATACTTCGTGGTTAACCGAGGTCTGTCCTGGAGGCCAAAAACCTCATGTGTCAAACAGACGGAGACCGCCGTTGTCAAGTCTGCCACCAGGTGAGGCTGTTCAGTTCAAAGGGCGCCGTGGTTGCTCCCTACTTTCACGGTCCGGTGTCTGTACAGAAATGCCCTCTTGTAGTCAAAAGAGTGAGGTGAGGACGTGCTGAGGCACAGCCCGTAGAGACGGAAAGGTACAGAGGCTCGGAGGCAACCTTTCCTCGTCGGCAGCATCTGGCTTGACCTGGTCCCAGCCTCCCCGGTATCAAAGACGGACGCGTGCAGGACAACATTACTGACAATGTTAGCACGGCAGCGGAAACCGTTTCCGTTGGTCCGAGGCACAGCGTCTCTGGACCTGTTTGCCATAGTGCCAGGTGGCCAGGTTGTATCAGACCCACTGAACAAATGCAAGAAAACAAAACAAACAGAAACAGCTCTACGGTACCACCACCTATACCCACAACCTACCCAGCTCGCTCCCCTCCCCACCCGCCTCCACACGCTTCACCACGGCCTGGACCCGCGTCCAGACCTTTGCTTCCACCGCGTCCATCGTGCCCTCGGCAGACACCTCCTCCCAGCGTCCCGGATGCCTGGCCGCCATCTCCCGCCCGACAAGGGCAAACTGCTCGCGCACGCGCGTCTGCGTGTCAAGCGTCTCGTACCGCTCCTCGCCGTACGCGCCGCGCTTGGACGCGACCTCGGGCGAGAGGGTGAGGAAGAGCGTGGTGTCGGGCAGTGGAAGACCCGTGTCGGGCGTGAGGCAGTACGTAAAGTCGATACCCTGGGACGTGTCAGTGGTTGCGTGTGTCGAGAGGAGGGGCGGGAGAATGGGGGTCAAGCGAGCTAGGGAATACCACCAGTTCACCGCTAGCTCACTGCTAGCTCGGGAGACACGCAACCCAGCTGCACAATCATTCGCCTTGGACAGCTGGAGAGCAGCTAGACCCCAATTCCTCGTGTCCCGACGCACCTTGGCAGCAGTGAACGCAATGCCACTGAACGCATAGCGGTCACACACGACCGTCGTTCCGGCGGCCAAGTCCTTTTCAATCTGCGCACTGTGGTTCCGAGTCAGCTAACCGCCTCGTAAGCTGAAAGCTGAAACCCACGCGCATTCCCAGCGGTTGGCAGCGAAGAGGAGGTGGATGGCGTGGTCGTCCAGCTCGGACTTGGACTGGAGGTACGAGTTGATCATCTGGCCAATGGAGGTGGTGCGGTCTGGAGGCGCGGGCACGTATCAGTGACGCTTGAAAGAGGGAGTATGGTCGCATAGAAGGCCAAGAGACACAGCAGTCGGAGCATGGGGTAAGTTACTCACCAGGAAACTTGTGAACGCGCGCGTCGCGCCCGGAAGCCTGAAGATGGGCCACGAGGCGGTCGACCTGGGTCGATTTGCCTGACCTGTCGAGACCTTCGAGGACGATGAGAGCGCCGCGGGGCATGGTGGTTTATGTGTGTTGGATGGGAGAGGACGTATAAAGAGTGCAGTCGCGTCGAGAACGTCATGATGGACCGCGTCGGTGGAGGCGGGTTGATTTGAATGGCGAGGGCTAATAATTAGAGTAAACTCATTAATAACCGCATTACAATTCAGCAAGGAGCCTGACATTTCTCCCCCGCGCGGGCTGTGCCAGGCTGACATTGGGACCGCCGACCGACGACCTGTCATCGAGTGACGCACGGCGTTGGGTCCTCAATGCACCAGCGACCACGTCCTCATCCACCACCCACACCCACATCCACCATGTCCCGCCTCCCGCCCCTCGTCATCGACAATGGAACAGGCTACACAAAGATGGGGTGCGTCTGGCCTCTACGCTTCCAATAGACAGCGCAGGTGGTGGCGTGGGCAGAGTAGACTGCCCGGAACCTGGAGCTGGAGCGAGATCAACGATATGGCCCACCGCCATCTCGTTCCCCACTCCTCCCCTCCACCTTTCCCCCCCTGCACTGTGGAGCATGATCATTGTCCCCACTGGCCCCAGTTTGCTGACTCCCCGCGTAGCTTTGCTGGCAACAGCGAGCCGTCGTTTGTGTTCCCCACCGCGATCGCAACGCACCAGACGGCCAGCAGCTCGTCCAACACTGCTTCGGCGCAGACCCGCTCTGCCCCGGCCAGCGCATCGACCAACCTGGCCAGCAAGCGTGGTATCGAGGACCTCGACTTCTTCATTGGTGACGAGGCCATCGCCAACTCGAGGTACGTTGGTTGCTTTATGCGAGAGAGCCGCGCATGGGCGGGACGATGAGGTGGAAATTGGGCGCCCGTCTGTACTCTCTCGGGAGTGTCACTGAGCTTGCGTGTGTGCCCCCTCCCTCTCTGCGATCTGTCTGCTACCCCCATGCCCCCGTCACTGACCCGTCAGGACGTACCAGGTCCACTACCCCATCCGCCACGGCATGATCGAGAACTGGGACTACATGGAGCGCTTCTGGGAGCAGTGTATCTTCAAGTACCTCCGTGCCGAGCCCGAGGACCACTACGTGCTGCTTGTGGGTACCTAGCTGCTGGATCGAATGGCCTGAGCTGACCCCGGCCCACCAGACCGAGCCCCCCCTCAACCCTCCCGAGAACCGTGAGAACACTGCCGAGATCATGTTCGAGTCGTTCAACGTTGGCGGTCTGTACATTGCCGTCCAGGCCGTGCTGGCGCTCGCTGCGTCGTGGACGTCCAACAAGGTCGCCGAGCGCACCCTGACCGGTGTGGTCATTGACTCTGGTGATGGTGTCACCCACACGATCCCCGTCGCCGAGGGCTACGTGATTGGTTCGTCGATCAAGCACATTCCCATCGCCGGTCGCGACATTACGTCGTTTGTCCAGCGCCTGCTCCGTGAGCGCGGCGAGTCTGCTGCCATCCCGCCCGAGGACCAGCTCCGTGTCGCCGAGAAGATCAAGGAGGACTACACCTATGTCTGCCAGGATATTGTCAAGGAGTTTAAAAAGTACGATGCCGACCCGTACCGCTACTTTGCGCGCTTCAGCGGCGAGCACAGCGTCACGCAGAGGAAATACGACATTGATGTCGGGTACGAGCGTTTCCTCGCGCCGGAAATCTTCTTCAACCCGGAAATCTACTCGTCCGACTTCCTCACCCCGCTCCCCGAGGTCGTCGACACGGTCATCCAGACATCGCCCATCGACGTCCGTCGCGGCCTGTACAAGAACATTGTCCTGTCGGGCGGTTCCACCATGTTCAAGGACTTTGGCAAGCGCCTCCAGCGCGACGTCAAGGCCCTCGTCGACGGCCGTATCGCCGGTAGCGAGGAGCGCTCGGGCAGCCACATGCGCTCGTCGGGCGTCGAGGTCAACGTCATCTCGCACAAGCGCCAGCGCTACGCCGTGTGGTACGGCGGCTCGCTCATGGCGTCCACGCCCGAGTTTTACAACGTCTCCCACTCGCGCGCCGACTATGAAGAGTACGGCCCGTCCCTGGTCCGCCGGTTCTCGGTCTTTGGCAGCGCCTCGTAGGCCTCGTAGGCGCCAAACGCAGGTGCACGTGGGTGCACTGGTAGATCAGATCAAGTGACGACAATACCCCGACCCCCAAACAGACGGTGTGGGCCGCGAGCGTGGTAGCCCCGCTGCAGACAAGTAGACACAGAGGCGGCGTTGTACGCAAAAGAGAGGTGATGGATTTGTGCCGCGTCGTGTGTGTGCAGCAGGGATGGGACAATGGGATAAGGGCGCCCACGTCAGCGTTTGCGGGGGGGGGGGGGGGGGGGGGGGGGATAGATACTGCTCTGCACTGGTAACTGTGGTAACTGATATGGGCCAACTGACGCTGGAGTGGGGTCTCTGGTTCGCCCCGGTGGACGTGGACGCGTGTGCGCAGGCTCCGCGCTGTCCAAAGTGTCCACTGATTCAACACCCGTTAGCGCCGTCGCCTCGGCCAGTGGCAAGTCCCAGGCTCATATCTTCGCGACCACCTAGAGTCGCCTGGAGCGGAACGAGTTGCGGATAGCACGTATCCTATGGGCTGCGTGTTCTTGACGTGTGATGTGTGCGTCTGATGGAAGGTTGTGACGGTAAACGGCAAGTGGTGCGCGGCCAGTGGCATTTGAGGGCATCGCAACGGAGCGTCGGGGTCCAGCATAAGATATAAAATCAGAGAATCGGCATGGACTCTTCAGTCCTCACTGTGTGCCACTGCTCTAGGGTGCGGCACGGTCGATGGTGAAACTGCAGCCTTTTCGTGACACCTGGGGGCGCCGATCTGGCACACCACCCGTTTATCAACCTCCACTCCCAAACGTCCACTTTCGTCAACAACCTTCCCTGCTCCCTGCTCCTTTCCACTCACCTACTAATGTCCTCGTTCGCCTCCCTGCGAGCGTCGAGGGATGCGCGGCTCGCGCCCACCCGCCACGGCGTTGGAAGTGCTTCTGATCCTGCCTCTAGTGCTTCCGGTTCTGCCACCGCGCAGGCTGCTGGCACGCCCAGCGACCAGGCTGTGGTGACTGCTTGCACTTCCACTTCCTCGGCCGCGATTGCGGGCACCACCACCACCCCGTCGCCAGCGACGATGGCGCTGTTCCCAGACCTCGCGCCGTCGCCGCTCGAGGTGCGGACATCCCCCACGTCCGGGCGTGGACTGTACGCAACCCGCTCCATCACAGCAGGTCAGTTTCTATGTACCCCGTGCCCTGCTGCTCAACTGACACCCACCCCAGGCTCCACCATACTCGTCACCCAACCGCTAGTGGGCGCCGTCTCCACTGCCAACCTCCAGCAGACGTGCTCGGGCTGCTTCTCGGCGTCCAAAAAGGTATCGCGGTGCGCGGCGTGCAAGGCGCTGCACTACTGCTCGGCGCAGTGCCAGCGGCAAGACTGGGCCCAGCACAAGACCGAGTGTGCGGCGCTCACGCGGCTGCGGGGCATGTGGGCGCGCGCGTACCCCGACCGCGCGCGGGCGGGTGGCGACGTGAGCTGGGTGATGAACGAGGGGGTGCGCGCGCTCGGGAGGATGTGCTGGCGGCGAAGGGCGGAGAGAGCAGGAGGAGGCAAGGATGCCGACTGGGTGAGCTGGGCCATGACGGCCGCCAAAGCTGACGGGCAGTGGACACAGGTGGCCAACATGGAATCTCGTGAGCTTCTAGGACCGGGGTGCTGTAGCTGACTGTACAGACGCCAAGAGCCTGCCTGAGGCAGACAAGATGAAGCTGGCGTCGCAGGTCCAGCACCTCCGCCACTACCTCTCGGCGGCGACGCCCGACCCCGAGGACCCCGACACGCTGCACCCGGCCGACATGGCCGAGTACGGGTTCACGTCGGCGCTGGAGCTGCTGGACATGTGTTCTGCGGTGGGTTTGCTCATTTTTTTTGCCTCTTCTAACCCACGCCACAGTTCTCCGTCAACTCGTTCACGCTGTCCACGGGCGACCTGACGCCCGTGGGCGTCGCCACGTCCCCGCTGTGCGCGCTGTTCAATCACTCGTGTGAGCCCAACGCCGTCGTCGTCTTTCCGCGCGCCGGAAGGGGGATGCACGTCGTGGCCATCAGTGATATTTCCCAGGGCCAGGAGGTGGGTATAAAACGTCCTTGCGACTGTTGGCTGACCCATGACCAGGTCCTGACATCGTACATTGACGTCTCGCTGCCGTATGCCGAACGCCAAGACGACCTGCTGGAGCGCTACGGCTTCACCTGCGCGTGCCCCCTGTGCACGCGTAACGCCGATTTGGGATGGGCCGACCCGCGGTGGTGCTTGTTGCACCGTGGGTGCAAGAGCGGTGGCCGTGGCCGTGTTCCCAGTGGGTTGAGGCTCGTACGCCGCCGCTAACCACGCAGACCTTCGGCACGACGGACAAGCGACGGTCAGGTGCTCGTGTACCAAGACGTTCACCGTCGACGTCCCGCAGCTCAAGAACCTGGTGGAGAGCGGCAAGAGCGTGCTGGCGCAAGACGAGCGCGGGACACTGGGTACGTCGTGCATCACCAGCTTCAGCGTTCCCCCAGTATCAAGCTGCAGGAAGACTGACATTGACGACAGACCCCTCGACGGCGCTCTCGACTCTCACCTCCCTCGTCCCGCGCCTCGCGGGCCTCATGCCGCCCAGCGCACACCCGCTCCTCCAGCTGCTCAGGCTGCACGCCCTCCTGCTCACGCCGCCGGCGACGGCGGTCCAGCAGGCCGAGGTGGCCACGCTGCTCACGGCCGCCGCGCAGGGCGCGCGCGAGTCACACCCAGAGAACCACCCGACCGTGGGCGTCATCCTCGCCACGCGGGCCAAGGTCATGGCCATGGATGTGGATGGCGCCGTTGGCGCCGCTGGTGCCGCCGCCGTCGGTCGCCCTGTTGTCGCCCCCCAGGGCGACGATTCCCTCGGCCGCGTGATGCTCTCTCCCGAGGGCAGGCGGGCCAAGCTCGACCAGCTGGCCGCGTGCGTCGGTGCGCTGCGGGACGCGAGTGCGGCGTGTGACCTCGGCTTTGGGCATGGCGGCGAGGTGAGCGAGGACCTGCAGAGCGTGCTGGTGGGCTGTGAGCGGGAGCTGGATATGTTGCGGAGATGAGTACGAGTTGCGACGATGGAGCGTGGGCGTGGGTGTGAGTGGGGCAGCGCACAAGAGGAGAAGGAAACGGAGCAGGATAAGGAGTAGGAGAGGCCATCAGCTGGTTTCAAGGGCATTTATCTGTTCATCTCTGTCTTCGTCATGACAACATTTCTTTCTGGGGACAATAAAAACGTGATTGGGCTCGGGCTCTCTAAAAGCATCGCACTCGTGGCACTCTACTTCTGGATGGTGACGACCTGGTCCTTCTCTGCGGGGATGTGTGAGCACGGGTTCCGGGGAGACAGTCAAGGTAACGGGGAGGGGAAGGCAAGGCAAGGCGGGTAATCGGTCCCAAAGAGCTTACCCGCCACCTACATCCCAACCTCCCGCTTCCGCTGCATGCTCGTTCGTGTCTTGTACCCACCGACATTCTCAATCACGTCGTGCTTGTCGTCGAGCGACGCGGCCTGGAGCGACGTGAACTGCTCGTCGTCGATGGTGACGACGGCGAAGGGGAAGATGGACGACTCGAGGTTGTCGGTCGACTTGACTGCGCCGCCTGGATGGGGTGTCAGCAGCTGTCATAAGGGTTGGTCGCAGTTGGCTTTGGTCTTATCCCCCATGTGTGTCCGTCCCGTGTCCGTGTTGCCGTGCCGTCGCCGTATGGACAGCTTTGGCTCTGATGGCGCAGCTGGGGGTCGGAGACGACGGCACAGCGACAGACATGGACACAGACACGGACACAGGTACAGAGGGAAGGAAGCACACCAATCACCAGTCCCCACCCCCCATCGCTTCGCTTCGCAACCGCTCTTGCCACTCACCCTGCGCCTTGATAGCGTCGAGCGCGGCAGTACGCTCCGCGACCGGCGAGCCGGTCTTGAACTTGAGGATAACTGCCGGGGGGTGTCAGCACGGCACACAAACCCATCCACGAGGCAACACACCGTCGCTCTTGGTCATTGCGGATCCGATGAGGGAGGAGATGAACGGTAGAGTGAGCTTCATGGCCGTGTGTGATGGGCGAGTGGGAGACGACGAGTGTGCGTGCGGTACCACCCCCGGCCAGCGCCGCGTCGGAGGGGAAGCACTTGTAGGGGTGTGCTCGCGTGGGATGACGTCAGAAGGGACGTCGGTGGCGAAGAGTGTGGTGTGGATTTTGATCCCGCTGGAGGACGGTGGGCGATTTGCTTCCGGGGGAAGGGAAGCCAGGACCAGGACGTGACTGGTTTTTACGTTTTTGCGAGTGAGGCATGTCTCTCATCTTAAGCATGTCTCCCCGCCGTCCGTGTCGCGCCGCAGTCTCAAGGATCAAAGGAGCATTGTACAGAGGACAGCGCACATGGTCGTCATGTTGATGCCATGTTCTTGGGACGCCTGTCGACCACAGCATCACCTGGTTGGCATCATACTTTGCTGGTGTCCACCCATGCCATGCTCCAGCGCCACCTGCCTCGCCGCAGTCTGGCAGCCTGTCACCCCGAGCTCCTCCTACCCGACCTCTCGCACGATGGCCCAGGGTGGCTGCCAGGTGATGTCGCTCGCGCTCGGTGTCTGGACGCCGTGGCGATCGTGTCGTCCCTCACTGTGCAACCTGCTCGGTGTGCTTGACGCAGGGTTCTTATGCCTGTATGTACACACTGTGTTCACACTGGGACACAACCTCCTTCTTCCGCTGCAGCAGTGTATGAGACTCTCCGCGTTGTCGCCTCCGCGCCAGGTGAGTGTGAGAGCGCGCTCAGGCTTGAGCCCCGGCTTGAGCGATGACTGCATGGTCATGTCATTGCCTATGGGGAGGGACCACAAACTCTGACAAGTGCCACCATTCGCCCTCTCCCCTCTCCTTCCCCCTCCCCTTAACCGCCCTTCACCTCCCTGTCCTCTGTTCTCCCCTGGGTTACTGCATAGGGCAGTGAGATGGCGTTTTAGCCTACGTTCCCTGCCACTTTGCCACTTTGCCACCTTTTTTGGTGGACATAAATGGCCGACAAAGGGCCACCGGGGAGACTAGCAGCAGCCAGCAGCTAAGCAGACGTTCATACGGGAAGAGCCAGTGTCGCCTCAAAAGGTCGACATCATGGCGCTCGACCGAGCCCCTGGCCCCTGGACTCCGAGGTGACCCTCTCACACCCCCCCTCGACCTCCCTCCTCCATACACCGTGCGACACACTTGGCAGAGTCCAGGCCCCCCTCTCTCAGCGGGCACGCTCCCAGCGTCCAGCAGGGCGGTGTGATGTGATTGAACTGGATCCAGGTGGTGTGTGCGAATGAACAGGTCAGTGGCGGTGAACTGGCGTGTGTGCGGGAGGGATGGCAACGGGCGTGCTGCCGTGCTAGTGTGTGCAAGGGGGGTGATGATGCATGACACTACCTGCTGCAATTTGATGGGGCCTGGCTCCGACGCACCACTGATCCACTGAGGCCAGCGCGTCCATGAGCGCCAGAGCGCGCTCCATGTGTGATGTGCGCCGGCACGGCGCTATCAGCTGCGCACTGACGGTGAGGGATATGGGCACATGTGCGCGTGCCGACGCTAGCAGCTAGCCGTGATCGATGCCCGCTATCCTGGCTATATTGCAGTGTGCATGTGGTGTATGACCTGGCATTAAGTCTTAAAAGCGCTCTCCTAGAGGTGGACCCAGTTGTTCAAGGCTTGGCCATTAGCTATTAGATATTCGCAAAGCCACGCCTTTATGCGCAGCACACTCCAAAGTCCTGCCCCCAGCTCCTGCCATTCCTGCCGGCGCCCGCCCGCCTGTCTGGACATGCGGAATGGTTCTGGTTCGCGTTTTGCGCAGCACTACAGAAAAAGCCAGACTGCAACGTCTGAATTGCCATTTGCTCTCGCTTGCGTTCCGGTGTCTTGGCCAGCTGCGCTCATGCGGATGGTTCAGAACGCACACAAATGCGCAGAAACAGAAGGCCGGGAAGCGAACAAGGTTGCCCATTATCGTAGCTGCGCGATGCGACACTGCGGCGAGACGACGAGCGAGCGTACATACGCGCCGCTGGAACGTGTCACCTTTGCCCCGCTTTATGCTTTCCGTAACCCAGATCTCGGCAGGTGGGACCTGGAGCATACTGGTGATGTGGTCCCGGCTCCCGCGCTGACGCGACGACGCGACATGACTGCGGGGGGAGGTGCCGGCCTGTGCGCGTGGCGCGCTGCATCGCTGTACCGCTGTACCCAACCCCCCAGACTGGGTGCACGCAATGGGCGCTCTCGCCGCCGGCATGGCGCAGACAGAGCACGGCAGGACCCTCGCCGCCGGCCAACGAGGAAAAAAAAAAGCACAGAAAGAAAAAAAAAGTCCATCCGCCAAGAGAGTGTAGGCGACACGACACGGGCGTGCATAGGAAATGGCGCGGAATGAGGTGGCAGGGAGAGAGGGGACGAAACTGCCATCTGAGGCTCCTGAGGGCCCGCCAAAGACGCACGGCTGACAGGACGACGCCGGGGACGACGCCGGCGTGTAACATTCCCTTGTGGTGGTTGGGAGCGGTCCGAGCGCGCCGCCGTGGCCAGTAGTATGCGGACACATATGCATGGGTGCAGAGGCCGGCAAGGTGTGCTGCTGGCCGCAGGACATGGTGTGCTCGACCCAAAGGCACAGGACGCGACGTACCCGCCGTGTACCGTGTCCGTCATTCGCATGCCGCAAATTCCGCGAGACGGGATATGGACAGTATAAACACGGGCAAATGTGTTTGTGTGGGTGTTTGTCTGTTTGTTTGTTTGTTGTTAATTGTGTCATTGTGAGTCATGAGTAATCACCCAAATGTTTGGGTCGTCCTTGGCGAGCAAAAGCAAAGCAGTGTGCTTGGCCAATTCACGGGTGGCTAATTCTGGATCGCAACGGTAAAATGGTGTTGGGCCTCTGGGAGCTGGGAGATCTCGCGAGACGCACCGATGCAGCGGTGACACCACGTTTGTACGTTTGCAGCGCCACGGCGCCGGGTGTGTTGAATGAACCCAGGCGTCGTGTACATGGCATGGGCGTGGGGTGTTGTCGTCTTGGTTTTGCTGTGTTGTTGTTGTTGTGGTAGCCACACAGAGTGCCTAGATGTTCCGGGCCAGGGCCAGTGTTTGGGATGTGGCCCGGCACCAAGGTTCCGAAGCCCGCGTGCGTGGACAGCACATGTTCCTGTGAGCATGTCGCTGGATCTCTGGATCTCTGGATCTCTGGATCTCTCTTTGTCTGAAAAACACACACCAGACGCGTTGTGCAGGAGAGATCCAGTCGCGAGTGGCAAGCAGCGTGTATAGGGCTTTTGTGTGCCATGCCTGGTGCGCGCGATGTCGATGCGGTGTGTGTGTGTGAGAGATGTGCCGAGTGAGAGGAGGCGGAAGAGAGCAGGGAAGGCAGGGAAGGCGACGAGGGAAGGCAGAGAAGGCAGACGAGGGAAGACACACACACACACACACTCACACCCGCGGGTCCAGATGGGCGCCTCCTTTCCCTGGCGGCGCCACTGGCGGGGGAGGGAAAGCAGCCCCGACCCGTTGATCGGCATCCTGCGCCCTGGCGCGCGCGCGCGCGGGGGGGGGGGGGCGCGTGTGTGTGTGGTGGGAGTGGGCGTGTCAGGCTCTTTTATTGTTTCTGCCTGGCGCCCCGCCCCGGCGCGCCGGATGGTGTGAGGATGAGCCTGACATTGTCTCCCTTACACCCACTGCAGGAGAGCGAGAGAGCAATCTGCCCGTCGAGCGTACTGGTGAGAGCACCGTCGTCGTCGTCGTCGTCGCCGTCCAGTGTGTCTGTCCTTGTCATTCCTCTTTCAACCCCCTCCTCCCTCCTCCTCTCCACCCCCACCCCCCCACGCTCACACCCACACCTCTACACATCTTACACCTCTCCTTCCCCTCCTCCAAACCCACCCCACCCCTCCCACTCTACCTCACCTGTGTTCGACGTCTCCCCCCCCCGGCCCACATACCACCCCCCCACCGGCTACCCATATACTTTCTCTACCCATAGCGCACCTCGCCCACACACACACTGTCATTCATTACACGGCCAACTACCCCGCTACACTTCTAGAAGCACACCCACACACACAGCTTGTGCACACGGCCCCCAACCTCCCCCCTTGGCCCATCGCACCACGCCTGTGCTAATTTCAGCCCGTTCCCCTACATCTTACACGTCTGCCCGCCCTTTTGCGTGTACGCTCGCCGACGTTCTCTCTCTCTCTCTGTCTTGTGCAACCTCCCCCCCGACCTGCTGCTCATGACCAACCTGCTAGCAATCTAAGCTCGCCCTTTCGAAAACCCACCCCAATTGCCTACGCCCTTCACCCCCCCCCCTCCCCTCCCCACACCACGCACCACCTAGGGCACGGCCCCCGTTGTCCCCCCCGCCATGACCCGCTTCGACGACGTGCCATTGCCGTACACGTCGAGCGCGCCGCTCCCCAACCGCCAGCCTACACTGCGGACAGGAGGTACCGTCAAACGCAGCAAGACGCTCACAAGACCCGAACGACATGTCGCCCCCGCACCACTCATCAACCCGGCCGGCGGCGCCACGGACGAAAAGACTCAAGGAAGCGGTGTCGACTGGTGGACCATTACCTCGTGGATCCTCACGTTTTACTGCCCCAATGCCTTCCTAAAGGCCGCAGGCATCAAGGAGGCCGGGTCGCGCCAGGCATGGCGTGAAAAGATGGCACTGGTGACCATTGCCTGCCTCATGGGCGCGTTTGTCGGCTTCTTCACCATGGGCCTCCAGAGCGCTCTGTGTCCCGGAGGATCTACCAACGCTAATGTCCAGATCCTTGGTGCCCATGACGGTGAGTTTTGGGCACTGTGCTGTTGGAGGAGCAAGTGCTGACGAAAACGCCAGCGACACTGTCAATCGGCGGCTACGCATTCAACATTACCGAGGCTGCGACCACAGACCTCGTCGACTTCTTCACCCTCGCCAAGGACATGCCTGGCCAGGACATTACGACCTTGTTCACTCGCTCCAAGAGCGAGTACCCTTCGTGCACGTCGACCAAGACGTACGCGTCCATGTCGTACTGCAGCAACAATGCCACGACGACGGCGACCAACACGTCCACTTGCGCTCTGGGCACGCTCTCCAACACGACACTGACCACCCTCAAGCTCACCAACACTAGCATGTGGGAGGCCTATACCTGGCAGCAGGTCGCGGCCATGAAAAACTACATTGTCATTGACGGCTTGGTTCTCAACATGAACCCGTACATTTCTGCCAACCCCAATGCCCTGTCCAACGACACGGTCGACTCGGCCATTCGCAACGCCATTAGCAACCAGAGCTCGTCGGGCAAGGACGTCACCCGCCAGTTTTACAACACTGTCGAGCTGAAAGAGGCGATAGGCTGCCTCACGTCGCGCTACCTTGCTGGCCGCATTGACAAGCAGACCCCGGGCTGTTTCATTGCGTCCATCTTGCTGTACGCCTCGCTCATTGTCATTCTCGCCGTCGTCCTGATCCGCTTCTTCATGGCCCTCCTCTTCAACTGGTTCATCGCGAGGACCCTCGTGAGCAAGCCCAACACTGCTGGTAAATCCGGCGTGTCGCCGTCAGTCATGCCAGAGGGAGCCAACGTCTCTGTCAACAACCAAACGGGAACCGCGCCATGGGCCCAGCCCAGCAAGATCCGCAAGCCCAACCCCAACGCGCCAAACGGTAGCGTCATGGGTGATGTGGACGCGTCGTCCCCGATCATGTCCCTGTCGCGTATCGGATCAGAGCTGTTCACCGTCTGCCTGATCACCTGTTATTCAGAGGGCGAGGAAGGTATCCGCGGCACGCTCGACTCCATTGCCGGCACGACGTACCCGGACAAGCGCAAGCTTATTTTCATTGTCTGCGACGGCATGATCACTGGTGCTGGTGAAAAGGCGTCCACTCCCGACATTTGCGTGGGCATGCTCGAGGCCGACCCCCGGTTCGGCAACCCGCAGCCCATGGGCTACCTGGCCGTTGGGTCTGGCGCCAAGAAGGAGAACCGTGCCATGGTCTACGCCGGCCACTACCTGACCAAGAACGGCCACCGCACGCCCACCGTCATTATCGTCAAGTGCGGCATGCCCGCCGAGGCCAACGAGGCCAAGCCCGGAAACCGTGGCAAGCGCGACTCGCAGCTGATCCTCATGAACTTTTTCTCGCGCGTCACCTACAACGACCGCATGGCACCCCTCGACTATGACCTGTTCCGCAAGCTCCACACCCTCATGGGCGTGACGCCCGACTTTTTCGAAGTCTGCCTCATGGTCGACGCCGACACGGTCGTGTACCCAGACTCTCTGACGTACCTCGTCCACGCCATGGCCCGGGACAACATGCTGATGGGCGCGTGTGGCGAGACACGAATCGCAAACAAGCGCCAGTCGTGGGTGACCGCCATCCAAGTGTACGAGTATTATATTTCGCATCACCTCACCAAGGCATTCGAGTCGGTGTTTGGAGGTGTCACCTGTCTTCCAGGCTGTTTCTCAATGTACCGCATCAAGGCCCGCAAGGATACCGAGAATGACTGGGTGCCGGTCTTGGTCAAGCCCGAGATTGTGCGCGAATACAGCCAGTCGGACGTGACGACCTTGCACCAAAAGAACCTGCTCCTCCTCGGCGAGGACCGTTTCCTGTCCACCATCCTGCTCCGCACCTTCCCCAACCGCCGCAACATTTTCCTCCCCCAGGCAAGGTGTCGCACCATTGCGCCCGATACCTTTTCGGTCCTGCTCTCGCAGCGCCGTCGCTGGATCAACTCGACCGTCCACAACCTCATGGAACTGGTGCTTGTCCGCGACCTGTGCGGCACGTTCTGCTTCTCCATGCAGTTTGTCGTCTTTATGGATCTCGTCGGCACCGTCGTCCTCCCCATCGCCATTTGTCTTACGTTGGCGCTCATTGTCAACTCGATCTTGACCCCGCCCAACTCGTTCGAAGAGGCCATCCCGCTCATGCTGCTCGGCTGCGTCCTCGGTCTTCCTGCGTTCTTGATCATGATCACCACCCGCAAGATGATCTACATTGCGTGGATGGGCGTCTACCTCCTCGCACTGCCCATCTGGAACTTTGTCCTGCCCGTCTACTCGTTCTGGCACTTTGACGATTTCTCCTGGGGTGAGACCCGTAAGGTCGAGGGTGAAGTGGTCGACAAGTCGGGCCACGGTCCCGACAAGGAGGCCGTCGCGTTCGAGGGCACGACCATCCCCCTGCGCCGCTGGGACGACTGGGAGCGCTCGCGCCTGCGCAAGCTGCGTCGAGAGGAGAAACGCCGTCGCCAGATGGAGCGCATGCACGGCCGCGGGTTCTACGGCGAAGGCGACGAGCTCGGCGTGCCCGACCGCGGCTTTGCGCGCAGCGAGTATGACAGCGACTCTGGCTCGATCATGTCGTCGGAAGAGGACGTGTGGGGCGCCGACGTGGGTGGATACGACGAAAACAACCCGGCATACCCGCCACCACCTACCGCGCTCGCGCCCGAGATGGCCCATGGCCACGGCCACGGACACGGCGGCAAGACCCTCGGCATGGACCAGATGGCCGCCATCCTCGACCAAGGGTTCGAGCAGCCCGCTGCGCCGGGAACCGTCGCGTGGCGTCCCGACCGCAACGCCCCGTCCCCGCTGCACCGCAACCAGCAGTCGTACGTGCCCTCCAACGGCACCGCGTCCCCCGTCACCCCCGTCGGCGACTATACGCCCCGTTCAGACCAGTACGCGCGCTCGTCCCGCTCAGACACGTACTCGCCCCGCTCGGAGCAGTACGCCGCGCTCAGCCCCCCGAGCGCGCGCAACTCCAACGCAGGCACGCTCCCGGGAGGTCAGGCGACGACGACCGCTGTCGAGTCGCACCCCCTCACGGCCGGCCATGCGCGCCAGCGCTCCGGCGGCGGCGCCGTCATGGGTAACGGGAACGGGAACGGGTATGGCCCGCTCGGCCCGCTCGCCGAGGACGGCGCGGACGGGTACAAGCGTGTGTGAGAGACACGGCGGTAGGACGGAGGCACGACACTGGACGACACCGACGCGTGCGACGACGGCGACGACGACGACGAGAGACAGAGAGAGAGGAGAGCGTAGCGAGCGAGCGCTGAGATCAAGCTCTAGAGAGAAGAGGTAGATGATACCACATCAAGGGCCCCAAGGGGCCAGCGCGACCTTCGCCACACACACCACAGACGCGACCGGCCGCGTTGAAGAGAGAGAGGGAGACAAGGAGAGAGACAAAACGGCTTTCGGCGCCCACACACACGCGCGCGGCATACCCCCCCGCCGGAACCCGGACCCCGACACCCCCGCGCTCAACCACTTTTTTTTTACGACACGCACATACATTCACTCTGCATTGTAATAGACACGAGACGCGCGGAGGGGCTGACTTGTGGACTGACGCTGGGGGGACTGACAAGGCTGATAATATACGTGACGACCTGGTGAAGCTGGAGGCATATGGGAATGGGTGATGTCTGATGGGTCGGCGCGAGGTCGTGTACCCATCACTTGACGTACCCCGAAAAAGAGGCAGTGATCAAGTAGTATATTCACATGGTCGGCAGAGGTGTGTTCCCACTTCCCACCTGGTCTCTACCCAGCTGCCGAGCCACACCGTCCCAGGCGTACAGCAGACAGCACACGAGACACAACGATGGTCCTGGGCCTGTCCCCGCTCGGCGCGTTCGTCACTTGGCGCGAGCGTAAGCGCGCTCGACCGGGGCTGGAAGCTATTGCAGGAGGGGTTGGAGAGGCTGTGAACAGCGTCAAGACCAGCAACACCACCACGAACTCGGGCCAGCCTCTGCCCGCGCTTGCGTGTGTCGAAGCACCGTCGCTCGGTATCCCCAGCATCATGGTCACTCCGTCTCCGTCCCCGACTCCTCCGCCATCGCACCCACACACGCCGGTGATGGCGGCCTGCGTGCCCGCAAACGACGACGACGACGTGTCGCCGGTATCGCTGGCATGTTCCCAGCCGCCTTCCACTCCATGCCGGCCATGGAATGCCGACTCTGACAATTGCCATGACCCCAACGAACCCCCCTCCCCAACGTCCACCGCGTCAAGCGACACGTTCGAGTCCGCCGTGGACGCCGACACTGTAGGCGGATTTCGCGGGTCGGTGTGCGACTCGCCGCCGACGCCGCGCCTGCTCTGGCCCGAGTCACCTTTGTCGTCGCCGTCGCCATCCCCGTCGCCGGCGCGCTCCGTGGTCCGCGGCAAGATCATCATCCCAGCGCGCAAGGCGTCCCTCTCACAGCTGAGCATGACGCCCATCAGCCCCGCGAGCCCCCTGTCCACGCCAGGCGGCACCCCGGGCTCGGTGAGCTACAGGTCTGGGTGGAACGCAAGCTCCCTCGGCCATGCCTCTGGGTCGTATTTCTCGCCCTCGCCTGGATCACAGTCGCCTCGCACCCCACATTGTCCAGAAGACTCCCCCACCGCCACACCCCCGTCTAGAGTGAGCACACTCGGCCCGCGCTCGCGCTCGCGCACGCGGCCGTCATCGCCCTCACCCTCGCCCTCGCCCTCGCTCTCGCTCTCGCTCTCGCCCTCGCTGCTCCGCCCCCGGCCCGGGATCCGGCGCACCCCGTCCTCGCCGACCATCTCCTTCAGCTCCCTGTCGCCCGGGTCGCGGCCGCCGCTGCGGCGCGCGCCGTCGTCGCCGACACTCTCTTTCTCGCCCAGCGTCTCCGGGATGTCGGTGCTCGCACCCAGCCTCGGTCCCAGCCTCAGCCCCAGCGTCGCGCTCCGACGTTCCCCGTCGACCCTCCGGCGCGTCGCGTCCGCGGCGTCGCTGGCGTCCCTGCGTCTCCCGCGCGCCGCGTCCCCGGCGCCGGCCCCCGCGCCCGAGGTCAGCTTTGGGCGCGTGGTGGTGGTGTGTACGGGCGCGGAGGGCGGCGGTAGAGGGTTGTGTGTGGGCTACTTGCCCATCCTCCGCGCGAGCAGGTACGTTTGAGTGGGTTCTGCGTGTGGCGAGTTTGCTGACTTTTTGCTTGTAGCGTCGCGTGGGAGTCGTTGCTGGCCAACTGGACTGAGTCCGCCAACGAGATGGTGCTCGACGAGGACGTCGGCGCAGTGCAGCTGTGCATCACCTTTCTCTCCACCTCGTCCCCGCCCCTCCTGGCACCCGGCACCACGTCGCCGTCCCCGTCGGACACGGCCGGCGCGTGGGCGCGACGGCTCCGCAGGCCCGGCACGAGCGACGACGCAAGCGGGACTCTGACGCGCCCCGCCGCGCCGGCGCGATACACCGCCGCGGACCTGCTGGCCATCGCCGGTATGTTTGAGCGGCACGGGATGCGTGCGCACGTCTGCACCATGCTCACGGCGCACGTCGACGCACACGCTGGCGGGCTGTACGCGCGCGCCGCGCTCGGCGGGTGGGAGGCGGGCGAGGACGTGCTGCGGCTGGCCGTGGCGAGCCGCAGCGTAAAGCTCATGCGGCGCGTGCTGGACCTCGACAGCGGGCTGGGCGGGGCCATGACCACGATGGCGGCGGCGGACAACACACCCCTGCGGCGGCCCTCGCTTGCCGGCGCGTTCGCGCTCGCGACGCCGACGCAGACCCTCCGCCGTGCGTCGTCGGCGGGGCTACTCACCAAAGTAGACTCGCCCGCGTCCTCGCTGCGCGCGCCCGCGCTCCTGCGTCCCCGCCGGTCGATCCCGTTTCTCGGCAGGTTCTACGACAAGTCGTTTGGCCAGCGGATTTCCGACTTGATTTATTTCGTCGAGCGCGCCCGCGCCCAGTGTGCTGCGGCCAGTAGCCCCGATGGGGAGGGGATTGCGCACCTGCAAGTGGCGTTTCCGGACGGTAAGTCGCAGGAATAGACTGTGCGGTTGGGTTGGGCCAAAGCTGATGGGCGTGTGCGCAGAGCCCAACGTGGTGTGGTTTTACTGGCGGGGCGACGAGGACAACGTGGTCCCGATCCACGTCGAGCTGTAGCTAGAACCGGCTCCCCTCGTCCACAACGCAGTACAATATGCAAATGCAATAGCATCCCATCTTATACACCTATGCAATCTACAAATTCCATCTAATGGCATGTACATATCTCACACCATCGACTGTATGCGGCGCCCGCCAAAGCTGGATCCTCGGCGGGACTCTTGCGGCGAGGCCTCGTTGGATCCGTCCCATGAGCGGCTGAGCGCGCGCTCCATGGCTGCAAAGCCCGCATTGCGGCCCTCCACAGCGGCCATCTGTACGTCGTCCTCGGTCTCCTCGCGGTCCTTGGGCTTGGCGTGCACGAAAACGTGGGTGCCGTGGAACCAGTAGGCCGGGTATCGTCTGCGTCCGACGTTCTGGAAAGAGGGGGTCAGCGGGTGCCACAAATGGGGTCTGTTGTACTCACGTTAATGACCATGGCCCAACCCAACATGAGCAGCGCTGAAATGAGCACAATGTAGATGTAGCGCCAGGACATGGCGATGACGGCGGGCTGGACGCTGGCAATGAGCGCCGTCGCGCCGCCGGGCGGGTGGACGGTCCCCGTGGCCTGCATGGCGACGACGGCGAGGGCCATGCTGAGCGCGCCGTTGATCCACACCAGCTGGTGCAGGTCGCCCACATGCGTCGTCTCGGACGGCACAGTGTACCCTGGAGCCAGGTGGAACAGGCGCGTGACACACACTCCGACCACGGCACACACGACCTGCCCGCCGACGAGGTGGAGCGGCTGCGCGAGCGGCGAGTCAATCGTCGCAAACGTCAGCACGGCCGACGCGCCAAACGACGCGGTAATGAGCACCGTGTCCGTGTCTGCGAACCCGCCGGCGGACGCCATCACGGCCTCGATGAGCGCAATGGACACAAACGCGCCGATGCAGCTCAGCAGCCACACCTCGTACTTGAGCGGCATGTGGCGCAGCCAGCTGAACGGCGGGAACGGCAGTGGCTTGAACGGCGGTTTCGCGCCGTGTGGCCGGTGGCCCAGGAAGCGCGCGATGGGGGACGGCATGCGCGAGCGAATGTCGCGCCGCACCGCGAGCGCGGGGACGAGGATGGGTGGTGGCGCTGTTGTTGGTGGGGTGGTGGATCGCGGAGTGCCGGGAAGTGTTGGTGCGGTGGACGAGCAGGGTGGAGAAGGGATCTGGGCATCACGGTGCAGCATGTGGGCCTTTGGCGGCGGCGACAGGTTTGGCAATGGCGGTGGGTTTGGTTGGGACATGGTGGTGGTGGTGGTGGGGGAGATGGGGATGAAAGGATTCAAACAGTGAAACGTTTTGTCGTTGTCGTCGTCGTCGTAAAGGTGGGCACCGCTGTTGGGCATCGGCAAACCAGGTGGTGAGTCATGGGCAAAACAACTCTTCTTGTTGCCCGGCTCGGCATTTCCATTTTCGTGTTGCTCTTTTCCGACGTCGGATAGTCTGCCCGCACTGTTGCCGAGCAGCGTTGATGCGCTCAAAGACGTGACAGCTGTGGAAAAGTACGACGCGTGTCACAGAGTTTGAGCCATATGCATATGCGGTGGCATCTCGCTGACCCATGGTCGTTACATGACGACAGACATGTCGAGGACACCGACCATTCCAAGTAAATACTGCGCTGCGACATCTGGACCGTGGCGGAATGTGGGCCCCATGGGGGGGCTGACACGGTGGTACAGGTGGGCCTCCCTGCCAAGCGATGCAGCGAGCAAGCAGTGGTAGGCGACGAGCAGCCGTGTAGAATGTTGACGCACATCAACGCACTTGCAAATGGTCGCACCGGACGACGTGTACAGCCCTCTCGATCTCTTGCCCTCTGAGCCTTTCTGTAGGGTTGCCAGATCTCTGATCTCTGAGATCTCCCCCAGCTTCTCCGACTCGGGTGGCGGTCAAACCACCGCGGTGGCGTGTGTAGTCAGCATATGATCGGCATCTGCCCAAACGACAAACCAGCAACACGATGGGGCCTGTTGCATGTACACATAGACTGTCACGAAAAACCACCATGCACCACCTATATCTACTACCCACAAAAGGAAGGCACCCCCAGGCGGCGTCATCTTGATCGTCTTGAGCCTTGGTGCCGCTGGCCCTACCTATCGGTTTCAGCGGCGGTCTCCTCTCCACCTTCCGTACAGTACTAGGAAAGGACGGTAGTGTCAAGATTCGAACCACGGACCGGGTCACTAATGGGGGGCCCCTCTCTTGCAGCTGTACGCTGAGTGCCGGTGACCCCTCGGCAAACAGCCCCAGATACTTAGTAGAATCGTTGATACCTCTTGAGAGAGAGGCGGTTGCTGGACGTTGGCGGGGGTTTTGCCACTCGTGGTGTTGCGCCGATCGCGCCCCCATTTGCCCCGAATCCGCGGATACATGACGTAGCCGACACACTCAACGGATCAACGGCTCTCTCGTTGCTCACCATCCACCATCGTCGTCTTCACCATCACCCTGTCCCCTTCTATCGCGCGCTTGACATACCCCCATCTGCACAAACGAGTCTCCCCCCCACCCTCCCCATACATACACACACAATTGCACCGCTAGTCGGCGTCACCGTCCACGTCGACACCCCTCGTGCGCCGCGCTACCAACCTTCTTCCCCAACGGATCCATCCACGTCAACCTCGACATCACCAACCAACCCACAACCCCCTTCTCCCTCCCGTCCCCGATACCCTTGATACATCCTCAACATGGCGCCGAACCGCCACCCCACGTTCGCTTCGTCGCCCACGGACACCCACCGCCGACGCCGGAGCAGCAGCACGGCCGACACGGTTGCCGCCGAAAGCGCGGCCATGCGCGCGCGTCGTCTCAACACTGTCGTGTCGTCCACGGCTAACGGGACGCGCGTTGTCGGCGTCACCTGGGTGGATTCCCTACTGGAGCGCCCGCAGCTGGTCATGGCCGTGGTGATTACGGCCGTGTTTGTGTGAGTGTGATGCGAGTCGGCCTTGCTCCACCTTGGCGTTTGTTGGAGCCAATAACCACCCTCCAACCATCCGCGCTGACCACTCCAGGACCACAACAGCAGCCGCATGCTTCATGGACTCGGCTCTGCTGACTTCTCAACTCGCCCATGTTCACAACCACGCCCGCGAACGCGGCCCATACTTTGCACGCAAGTCGAACATCTTCAACCAAGTGTTCGTCAAGCAGGCATGGGGCTGGACGGCTGGCATCTTCCTCCTCCACCTGTGCACGTCGCCTCCTGCTCAAGCTCAAACTCGTGTCAACCCGGCCCTCCACCCCAACACCCCCACCGCTCCCGGCAGGCGGACATGGGCCCAGCGTCTCGCGCACCTGGTCCTTGCCAGCCTGGCCTGGATCGCCTTTACGGCGTGGTTCTTTGGTCCTGGTTTCGGCGACCGCATCATCGCCGCGACGGGCGGCGCGTGTGCCGTCCCCCTGCCGAGTAGTATCGACCCGGGGATCCTCGACGACATCCTCCCGCCTGGCGCCGCTCCCATTGTCACCACCACTCCGGGACAGCCACACGTCCCCGGCCAGACGGGCCCAGGCATCGCCCGCGTGTACCTGCCACTCCCGGACGAGTTCTGCCTGCGCCGCCCGCTCACACCCAAGACGTTCCCGGCCCTCTTTGAGCTCCTCAACGCCGCTGCCGCGTCGTCCGCTGCGGGTCTCGCAGCAGACGTCCAAGCCGGCGCGGCCGACCTCCACGCCAAGACACACGAGTACCTCCGCCTCCCGCCTCCTCGCTGGTCGGGCGGCTTTGACATTAGCGGCCACGCATTCTTGCTCACGCTGGGCGCGTGTGTCCTCGCCTCCGAAGTGGCCATTACATGGCGCGCATGGCGCCAGGCCGCCGCTGCCGCTGGACCAGTCCCGACCCCCTCGCGCACGACGGCCAGCGGACGCCTGCACGTCCTCGCCACCTACGCCGGCACAGGCCTCATCGGTCTCTGGGTGTGGATGCTGGTCACGACGGCGTACTACTTCCACGACGTGCACGAGAAACTCGCCGGCCTGGCTCTGGGCCTCTTTGCGTCGCTGGCGGTCCACATGCTCGTCCCCGGCGCCGACCGTCCCGTCATCGAGTTCAAGGTCCGCGGACCCACGCGCCGCCCCCAGCCGCGCACCGTCGGCAGTAGCAGCGGTAGTGAGCATGGGTTTGGGTTCATTGAGGACCACGGAGTGGCCAAGACGGTCGCGCCGGTGCACTTTGAGGGCGTACTTCTGGAGGCGCCGGTCGAGTCGCCCATGCACCTCCACGAAGAGTAGGAAGGAAGTCAGAAGCACGAAAGGTAGCAAGCGAGCGAGTCGGGGCGGAAACGTTGGGCTCAGCTCGGCGTCTTATGAGAAGAACGACCAGATGTCACACCACAAATTACATGTCTCCCCGCGGGGCCGCTTGTCCAAACTGTTCCACTAAACTTAACTGGCTACATCGTACTGATTTTCTTCCCCTCACTGGGTCTTCTGCGCGAGCTCCATGCGCGCACGGGTATACCACCCGGGCGTGTCCTTGTCGCGCCGCTGCAGCTCGCCGAGCCAGACCTTGTAGTTTGAGTTTGTGCCGAGCCACTCGTCAATGACGCCCGTGGGCCCAAAGTTCTCTGTAAACGAGTCTGCGTCGCGTCGCGTCAGCCCCGCGATTCATTCCGGCGCCGCATCTCGCCCTCGTCCGCAACTCACAGTGGTGCCAGTCATGCTGCAGCGCGTCGCTGAGACCCGGAATGTTATAGTCGGAACTGTGTCTGTCAGCTCCCCGTTCTCTTCGTCTAGCTGGTGACACCCACTGCGTGGCCAAGGTGCCCAGCTCGAGGCTGCAGAAGAACATGATGGTGAGGCTCCAGTGCGCGTTGATGAGGCCCACGCCGAGCACGATCGGCAGCAAGTTGCTGCTGAGGTGTTCCGCCACGGTACAGTACGTGCTTGCGAACGCGACCGGCGCCGAGAAGCGGTGGTGCATCTTGTGGACTTTGGCGTAGAGGCGCTTCGAGTGGACGGCGCGGTGGACGAGGTAGAACCCGGCCTCTTCAAACCCCAGGCAGACCACGTACACGACCGCCGTCCAGCCCAGCCCCGGGAGCGGGAGGTCGGTCGGGCGCGGCATAAAGTACGCCGACGCGGCCGTGAGCGGCAAGTTGACGCACAGCTGGTTACGCGCCACGATGCCGCATACCTGCGCATACTCGCTCCAGGTGATCTTGCGCGGCTGGAGCTTGTATTGCGCCACGCGCGCGTGCAGGAACGGCACCATGTCCAGCGCCATGAACACGAGCCCGACGGCCCAGTAAAAGCCCGACGTGAGCGCCAGCGTCCACCAGCAGTTGATCTCGAACGGGGTGTAGTGTGCGTTGAGCCACGGGTAGAAGGTGGGGCCGTAGACGGTGTTGAACAGCCACGTCAGGCCAATCGCGCCGGCAATGGGCAAAGTCTGGTACAGGTGTTCATGGTTCCACCGGCTGGATGGCGGGCGCGCCCACTTGTGTTCCTCTGGAGTGGTGTGTGGTCAGCAAAACGGAATCGTCGATGGCAACAACGTCCATGCGATAGACTGCGGATGGCAGGTCCAAGGTCCACGCTTCGGCAATCACCCCCACACCAACCAGCCAATGACGCAACGGGCATGTGTCTACTCACTGCCCACATACTTGCCCGCGACGGTCGTCGCGCCGTTCGCACCAGCGCTGTGGGCGAGGTCCTGCTGGTCGACGACCGGGTCGGAATCGTTGGTGAGCTCTACCTGTGCGCCGGTAGCCATTGTGGATTGGGGGGGGGGGGGGGGGGGATGGGTCGAGAGAGGAAAGCGTCGGAGATCTATAGAGCCAGTCTTAAACCGCAACATGGGAGGTGGGCCAAGTGGCGGCGTTCGGGCAAGCAGTTAGCCGGTGGCGACTAGTGCACCACAGGTTGACGTCGTGGCCCGCGTTGGTCGCGGCGGACAATGCTGGGTTTACGCGGCGCCGCTCCCGATCGTAATGGGGCTAATGCACTAATGTTGCCGTGCTTGCGCGCAGCGTGCTGTGATGGTGTCTACATGCAAAATTACTATGTACAACCTGCCGCGCACCGTGTGCGTTTCGGTGCTGCGTCTCTCTTGTGCGTCTCGTCATGCGACAGACGCAATCTCTTCTCTATCTAGCCCCGGTCGTCAGTCTTCAGACAGACACGAGGCCACGCTGCTGCAAAATCTCGGCCAGGCTCTCGACCTTGAGGCTCGTGGCGCGGATGCGGTCGTCCCAACGCTCTGTCCACGTGACGGGCTCGATGGGGTTGTCGACGCGCTCGATGCCGAGACCGCCAGCGACAGCCTCGCCGTCCTCGTTGTGCTCGCGCGACTCAAAGTACAGCAGGCTAGACGGCTGGTCGATCCATGCGCGGAGGCTGGTGGAGTTAGTATGGGGAAATGTGGAGCTGAACTCGGTGGCCACCAGCTCCAACCATGACTCACCGGCCTTGCTCAATCATCTTACGCGCCATGGCCTCGGCGACGGCGGCGTCGAGACCGAGCAGCTCGCCGAGGGCGTCAAAGCCCACATTGTCGTAAATGTTGGCACACGCGCCGACGTTGTGTTCACGGACAGCACGCTCAAGGACGGTACCACCGCCCTCGACGGTCGCGCGCTGGTGGGGCTCGAGGCTGCGCTCAAACTCGTGGACCTCGTCGGGGCGCACGATACGCTCGAGGAGCATCTTGCGGAGCATGCTCGAGAGGTAAGGGGGCAGGTTAGCCTGGACGCGCTCGTCGCGGTTGAGCGAGCCGAGGATACGGCTGCGCTGCGGACCCGAGGGCGCGAGAATGGACGTCTTGACGGCCGCGGAGAGCATCTGGAGGCGGTCGTCTTCGTCGATAGAGTTGTTGAACGACACCTCGTGGTACTTTTGGGCAGCCTCGGCGAAGCGGGCGCCAAAGTCGAACAGACGCGCCTGGGACAGGCGGTACGACAGGTTCATCTCCTTGTCCTTGGAGGTGTGGATGAGAAGCGACGCGCGGGAGAAGTACGTCTGAGCACGGCCCGACTCGCCACACTGGGGAGTGTTAGCAAGGAGGACATGGAGCAGGAAGGGAATTGACCGGGTGACCGCCAGTGTAGGACACCCGTACTAGCGGTGAAGGAGTTCCTATCGCCAGCGCTGCGACACTCACCTCGAGCAGAAGGCGAACAATTTTCATGTAAACGGCCAGCTTTTCATCGTCGGGGACCAGCCTGCCTCGTCAGCTCCTCGCCCTTTCAAGATCGACGTAGCTGCGACATACCTCGATCCGCCATCCAGAGGAATGTTCATCAACGCACGCGCAGCGCCGAGCCAGTCCTCGTCGCGGGTAAGAATGCAAGCATACGCATGGCGGAGGGCAGTAGTCTGCTCCTCGCACCATCCCGAGGGGTCCGAGTCGAGGACGCCCTCGATCGCCGCGCGGCGCACGTCCTCGCCGGCCTCGGACGTGAACGCCGTCTTGCCGAGCTCGCTCCACTTGGCGTTATCTCCCGCCTCGTCGGGGAGCGTGGGGACGTCAAGACCCGAGGACAGGGCAGAGACGTACGCGCCCAGCACGCGGCGGCCGACGACCATGGCCATGCTTGTCGAGGTGGTGAAGTGGCGACCAAAGGCGGCGAGGTCAGAGGCATTGGCGGTGGTGAGGAGGGAGGAAAGGAGGGAGAGGTAGGCGTCGATCCTGTCGCGCTGGTTGCTGGTAGGTTAGCCATACACGAGGATAGTCATGACCTACGCAATGGCTGAAGCGGCCTGGAGACGACCTCCGAGGTCTGTGTCGACGTCCATGGTGAGCAAGGATGATGCAGTGATGACGAGGAGGATGACGGTGTTGAGTGAGGATCAAGAGTGGAGGGAAGGCGTGGATTTTGGTTCCGCCAGCGGTTGGGGTTTGAAGCCCCCGAGTGGTTGCGACAGCTACGATAGCCTGGAACAGCGGACCGACTTGTGTCCTGATACTTCATGACACTTTGCAGCTCACCCAGCTTGTACCATTTACCTGATACAGGGACATTGAAGGCAGGTTGGAGAGCAGAGTGATTGCTCTGGGTTGAACGGTTTGGTGTGCATCCACCGCAACCCATCCTACAGTCCTCATTGTGCGCTCTCCCCAAAACATAGATACGGTCCGCCGGGCCGCGCTCGCGCTGCGCCACGACGAGCACGTTGTTCACGTTGTTCTCGATTAACAATGAGCAGCCCGGTTGCAGAGTAGGACCCTGGCACCCTGGACCGCTTCCATGGCAGCGTCCACGCAACGGTCTTGTTCGCGTCCGAGGACACCGACGAGGCCGAGATACGACACTCACCGACACCTTGGCCGTCCACGATCACCCCGAAGGCCCCCAACAGCTGTCCGTGACTTCCTCTGTGCTCACCATGCCTTCCCACACGGTTTACCTTTTTCACCCAAAGCACAGGGTGACACAAGCCCACCGCCGCCCCATTGCGGCGCCATGGTTCGGCGGTTAGTCACCGAGGACAAAGGAGCATTTTGTTGGGCGGCCATCTGCCGCCTTTGTCTTTGCTCGGCCCCAATCTTGGCCCATTACGCCGCGCCCAGCTGGCCCCAACTGACACCACAGCTCGACTCACACGGTCTGACCCGGTGACGTAGAGCACAGATTGCGATGGGGGAGCACGTTCGCACTGAGCCCGCATGTTCTTAAAGAGCGACGGCGGTGCGCGTCATTGCATTCCCCACACTGACACCGATAAACGACTCATCCCACCATGACCCAATCCGACTCCCAGCAGACCACCTCCAGGCTGCCCGTCCAGCTCGAGAACGCTTACAACCACGAGTACAAGGGCGACGCCTCCATCACCATCGTGTGCGATTATGACGCCGCAGAGGACATTGGCTTAAAAGCCAACGAAGATGTACTGCGCGCCGCCAGGTGGGTTCTCACGGCGCGTGTATTGTAGCTGACTCCTCCAGCCCTATTCTCAAAGCTCTCGTGAACAAAGTCAACTCACCAGGCAGCGGCGCTAGCTCGCCCAGGAGGAACGTGTCCAGCTCGGCGCTGCCGCAGCGGTTCCTCTCCGTGGACGACGACTGCGGCGACATGGAGCTCTTTCTGCGCTTCGTGGACGCCGGCGCCTTTCGTCGCGCAACATACTCTGCCCGTGACCTTCTCCGCATCTCAGACCTGTACAACAAGTACCAGGTCCGCCCCCTCTTCCGCTCCAGCTTGAAACGCTACGTCGACGCACATGCCGAGCGCCTCGTCGCTTCCCAGAGCGACACCGACGAGTTCCTTGTGCACGGCTTTGTCGTGCTCACCACCTTGGCCGACCACGTCCGCTCGGGCGCGCTTTGGCGCCAGCTCCTCGTTCTCCAGGGTACCAAGCCCACTGAGAACCCTCCCATCTCGGGATACTTCAACCCTTCCAAGCTCTCGCACGAGGAGGTGCGCGAGCTGGGCCCCGTCTTCCCCGTGCTGGTGTTTGTGGAGAACGAGCGCGCCAACGCTCACAACCACGATATTTCAAGCTTGTTTATCAGCTTTACAAAGGGTGAGCTAGGCTTGCATTCGCATCGTGGGCAAAGCTGACGGGTGTGTAGAGGGAGAAATGTGTTTTTACTGGAGCGACGAGCCGAACAACATCATCCACATCTAATCTGTAGTATACCATATCTTTGTCAACAATGCATCGGACTGCCCTCATCGCAAGACCATCTCTCTCCGGTGATGCCACGCCGGTCTCCGGTGTCGCAGGGCAGCTCGTCCCCAACAGCATCGGTGAGATGATGCCGCACGGACACGGCGCGAGCAGCGCAATTCCCAGTGTTCGCACCAACCACCAGCAACACGACCCACCATTGCACCGACCCTTTGATGGTCATAAGGCGCCGATCGCGCCGCCACCCAGCAATCACCTGCCGCTCATCATCCATCTTTGGCTCGCCATCACCCATCCTCTCATATACCATGGGTTTGTTCCAGACCCAGAGCCCCAGCACCACCTACAACCCGAACGACAGAACCAAGCCCCAGCTCCAGCTGCACAAGACGGCCAACCCGCGCGGACTCGTCCTCGTCGTCTCGCTCTTGGACGTGGACGAGGGTGCGCCCCAGGTCCTGACCACCCATGGAACCGCTCTTCGCGCCGTCAGGTGAGCTTCACGTCTTTTTGGATGCAAAGCTGACATCAAGTGGCGTGTTTGAGCGAGTCCTCAAAGATGTCGACCTCTTGAGCTACCAGCCGACTGTCAAGGTACCCTCCAAGCTCGCCGACATGGCCCCGTTCCTCCGTTTCCTCGAGGCCGGCGGTCCAAAGGGATACCCACTCACGGAAACCGCAAACACACTGCACGCTCGCCCCCTCCTCTCCATTGTCGCCATGTGTGAAGCCTACGCCGTTCGGCCCTTTGTGCGCGACATGCTCACGCACCATGTCGACACACACGCGGCGTTGCTCGTCAACAGTCCGAGAGCGCGCGCAGACCGCGTTCTCCTCGCCCGTCTGGCTCACGCTGCTCGCTCCCCACAGCTCTGGCGCGCCCTCCTTGATCTCAACCAGAACGCGCACCACGCCCACCCGTCTGCGAGTTCAGATACCCTCGTCACTGATGTCGAGAAGGAGGGCGAAGAAAAGGATGGCGGCGACACCCACAGCCACCAAACGCGCCGCCACAAGAAACCGTGGTGGCCGTCGACGCAGGAAGCGCAGGCCCTCGGGACTGTGCCGTATTGCGCTATATTGTTTGTGGCCAACGAAAGCGCCCTCGGGCACGACGTGCGTGACCTTGGCATCAAGTACATTGGCGGTAGGTGCAGTTGTCTATTGGTACGTGACCAGCTAACTGTCCTGCAGACCAACTGTTCTTCTTCCGTTCCCAGCAAGAAGACAGTCTCCTTCACATTGGTTAACGCAACGGTTGCAACACGTGTAGACTGCATGTACATAGATATCACTGTCTGTGTGGATGTGATGGGCTGATTGAGGGACTTTCAAGTCAATGTCAACACCGGGGTGCGCCGTGTCCACGTTAGCGGCCAGTTCTCCCCTGCCTCGATACGCTAGTCTGTCCTGTGTCCCCTTCAACCTTGACCTCCGTTAGGCCCCGGTGGTAGGTTGTACTGGCGGGCCAACGGCGGACGGCGACCTGACGTTGGCCGCGTCCGTCAGCGATGCGAAACCCACTTGGGCCGTCGGCTTGGCACGGAATGCCGTGTAGACATTCTTCAAAAACGTCGCGCCGACGATCCAGTTGAAGTTGTTACTGGAGAAGCCAGACCCTATCATAGCTGAGCACAAGCTGTCGTTGCCTACCGACTGTCGAAGCAAGTCACCAGCAAAGATCGGGTATACCACCCCACCGAAAGTGAGTGACACTTCGGGTATCGCGGACACGCACGGCATCATCCACCCATTGTCTGGGTCGTTGTACGCTCCCGAGACGTTTTGGAAGATGGTGTCGACGACAGAGGCAGGACCAAAGATCATGGTGGTGCCCGAGTCGATCGCTGCTTGCCCCTCACTGCCGTCGACAGCGACGCCGTCCATGCTGAGGCTGTCCAATGTGACCGCCCAAAACTCGCTGTCCTGAATCGGCAAGTCGACGTAGTTGAGTTGGCCGTTGATGACGCTCGTGTCGACACCGCCAAGTGTGAGAGTCCCGCCTGCACCATGCACGACGCCACCAGACGTGGTCTGTTCCGTGCTCGAGACTGGATCCCGCTTCAGGTACAGACCGAACTGGTCGTCGGTCAGGACACCTGCGTTGACGAGGCCCTCCCAGACCCCCACGTAGTCGGTACCAGTGTTGTTGTTACCCGCACCCCCACTCGTGGCGTGGGTTAGGCCCAGGATGCCCACTTCCTCGTACTGAGATATGAGAGGCATGTCCTTGACGTCGCTGACGACGCCTTCCAAGTAGTCAGAATCGTACATATTCCAAAGTTCTGGTGCGACTGCCACTCACCAAACTGTTGGGACGGAAGGGCTGAGCCGGCAAGACTAACACGGTCCTCTCCCATCGCACCAGATACCGACCCACGTCCGTAACTCTGGGTCATGTCGATGCCCGTGTACTGGAACGTGTCCGATGCAGCTGGGTCGAACGGGGTACCGGTGCCCTGGCAGTCGGAGGAGGTACAGTTCGGGCCGAGGACCCATAGTCGTGCCGAGCCAGTGCCGACAATCATGTTGACACTTTGTGGAGGCGGTCAGTAGGGGGGCCACGGTGGTTCTGGGACTTGCCCAATGTCCACAACGGTGTTGTAGGATGTGTCCCGGTTCCAGTTCTCTAGCCTGAGTGTGTCAGCTCTAGAAGTTTGTTTGAAGTCGAGGACGTACTCTGCGGCTCGGCCGGTGAGGTGCCAGCAACTAACGGGCGGCGATCCCCACGCAACAGAGCGCTGGGTCAGCGGGAGGGTGATAGGCCCCGACTTGCGGATGTGGGTCGGAGCAGGTGTTGGCGCGACCATACCGAGGGCCGCAAGGACTAGGACAGCCGTCTTGCAGTACATCGTCAGTTGTTGAGGACCCTTCGTCCAACCGTGCTTTGTTGTTGAAGATTGGGGAGGATTTCTCGCCCGAAACCAGGCTTCTTATTATGTCCACTCTTCTCTCCTCTGGTTATTGTCCTGTGGGCTGTGCGCCGCAACTCACAGGTCACTATTAGTGATACCCTGGGAAGCAAGACAGAGGGACACAGCCACCTCGGTGCCATGGTATAGTGGAAATGCAGGGTTCAGAGAGGCGATATTTGCATGGTGCCTTCTTCCGGCTGCTACGACCACTGGAAATTACTGCAACTGACGTGTCGAGCTATCCTTACGACATATGCAATGGTGGGAAGAATAGCGTCGAGGAGGTCCATATATAGGTCAAGCATTCAGGACATGTGAGCGGGTGCCCGGCCCGACGGGAGCGTTATCAAGGCGACGCTCGACGGCTACATAGCAACGGACACAATCACCTAGTACATAATGTCCAACATCACCTGTTGGACATGTGCTCAATGATGAGGGAGGGGTGGCAGATTGCTGTACACTGTATTGCTTGTGGGTAGATGATACCACAGTCACCGACGCGGCGCAGAAACCACAGCCTCCATACCTTCTACCATCCCGCCTGGTCGTCAAGGGTCAATAGCGGGTTGAACCAGTCGCAAGTGAGGTGTCGCAGCGGCCGTCTTGTCGCAAGGCACACCGGCTGCCTGAGCTGCCCCGTGAGGCGAGCGATGACAGAGCCCCTACACCGCAGTCCGGCGTAGAGTCCATTGGCGTCCACCTAGCTAGGTCTTAGCACTAATACTTTGAACTTGTCAGTCACCGACTTGAGTGCCCCCACACTGCAGAGACTAGAGGAGACCTTACAAATACACCTGCGAGATCCCGAAAGGGAGAGCTTGTCGGACATCGGACACTTCTGGTCTGTCTGCCCCCATGTCAGTACAGGTTAACGTCGAGCAACGACCTGCTAAGGAGCGATTTCACGTCTCGCCACGATGACTGTCTCCCTGATTGATCCACTCGACCCGGCCCTTCCTACCGGCCCTCAAAACGAAAGCATGCTGGTCAGGCTGTTTAATTTCTGGCTGGGATCCATCAGGCCCGCAATAACTTCTGTGATGAAAGAAAAGCCAGGCCGATACTGACGTGTGGCCGCCTGTTAATTATTCATTGATTTTCGTCTTCCCAACAATCCCTGAACTGAATACCCAAATCGTCCTGTGGAGCGAGCTCCTTTCTTTGGAGCGAGCACGCAGTTTAAGGTTCGATGAAAACATAGAAATCTTGCGTACATGAGTTTGCCTCGCCCACGAGATGCTGTTGGCGAGCCTCACTCGAAGTCTTGGCTGTACGCAGCGCAGTGCTCTTTACGCTTGCCACGAGAGTAACACTCCATTCTGTTTGTTTCAACAAGACATTGCCACAGCCGGACAAGCGACTGAGAGCTGGGTGGAGCTACGTTGTGAAGTTGGATAGATGCTGCATGTCCCGGGCTATGGCATTGTCAACCTGTTGATACACCCTTTACTGCGTGGGTCACTATCGTTGGACATTAGGGGGGGTTTCAGACTTGCTTTTGTGAGACTATGCTGGGTCGTCTCTCTGGCGGCGCCGGCAAGGAGCTCCTCCCAACAAGCAGCAGCTCAAAGGCTGCTGGCAAGATGTACTCGGACACAGCTGCGAGCAGCAACGCCAACGCCGGCCGCCAGCTATTGCCCAGCAAGGCAGCGCGCCCCACGCGTTCCAGCCAGCAGCGCGGCCCCGGTCCAGTCAACCCGTCCGCACACTCTCTGCTGATGCAGAGCCTCGATGCGCTGTCCGGCGAGCATCGGAACAGTGGCCAGGGTCGGTCATCTGCCAGCGGTTCACCGGCAGTTGGTGGGGGTGGGGGCCGGGGCAGCGGCGGTGGTGTCAACATCATGGGTGCGGCGGGGTTGATTGTTGTTCGCTCTAAACCGTCGGTCAACTGAAGGTGCAACAATTGTTGTTGTTGCCGGTACAGCGTGCAGTGGGAGTCTGGCCACATGATATGGTGACATGAAGGTAACAACAAGGGGGTCAAAACACAAAAATAAAGAGGCAAGGGACTTTAAAACACAAGAATAACGAGCAAGGGACGTTTTAAACAGAGGCGATAACGCTGGTCATGACAGCGGGGGAGACGAGGACGATAGGAACGTGGGGTAGACTGCGGACAAACCCTTCTAGCTCGGTGTTGCTAAGGCGGTCCAAGAACTTGTCGGTTTCACGTCGACTCCAAGGCTTCATGTTGGGCGAGTCGGCGCTGGCCGAGTGCGCATGCGTGTGCGAACGAGTGAATGAACGCGTGCGTGGTCGTGGCTGCGGCGGCGATAGTGGGGGCAGTGTGCGGGGAGGGTTGGCAAGCAAGGACGGACGAGCGACGCGCGCAAGCGCGTGCTGCTCGGTGGGGTTGCTCATAAAGGGGGTCACGACTGAGCGGTCGGCATGGAGGGCAGCGGGGATGGGGGCACTGCGGTCGAGTGGGACACGCTCCAGCGGCGCGGTGAAGGAGATGGGGCTAATGAAGCGGTATGCAGCATACGCCAGCTCGCGCCAGGCGTGGAGAGCTTCGGGGTTGGGCTTGTAGTTGTTGTCGTCGTCGCAAAAGCACCATGGCATGTCCGCCTTGCGGGGTGCCGTCGCAAATAGGTCGACAATGTGGAGCAGGTCTGGATGGGCAGCTGCCATCTGTTCCGTGACCTCGATGGCAACTGCAAACTGGTCGTCGCCAAAGGGCACAATGGCGAGTCGTTGCATGTACTCGCCGATAGCCAAGGCACCTAGGCGAGTACCGCAGATCTCGTGGGCAATGACAATGTAGATCATGCTCTTGCTCAGTCCACGCTTCCAGACGTCCGAAAAGGCAAAGCCGAGGTCTTGGGCGGGGGCTGCGCGGTTCTCGTCGTCGTCGGCGGGCGGCATCGGGTTTCCGGGGTGTGGCATTGGGTGCTTGTCAAGATGGGCAAACACTTTGAACTCGAGTTCGAGGGCCGACAGCTCGTATGGACGATCATCGACCCGTGTTTGGCAGCGGATGGACGTGTCTGGGCGACGGATGCCAGAGCGTTCGTTGGCAGAGGCAGTGGTCGAGGCGGCGGTAGACGAAGAAGAAGGGGTGCGTGTGTGTGCAGAGGTTTGGGAAAGGGAGCGGGACATGGCGGCTGGTCCAGGGGAGGAGGCTACAGGATGAGGAGCAGACTGGCGTTTGTGGTCTGCGATGGCTGCCTGGATGGCGACATGGTACGACGACACGGGGCTGTCCTTGACGGAGAGGGTCCTGATGAGGTCGCGCTCATTGGTGACCAGGACGTCGACGTGGGCGGGAGCTGCCCCGGGTCGGTGATCGAACGTGGGGAGCTCTGCGCGGAGCTGGGTTTCCCAAGTGGCCTCTCCGAGGTTGTCGTGGAGGAGGGCGTGGAGCGACAGTTGGCGCATGGGGCCGCTGGGGCAGGAGCGGGGACGCTTCGCATGGCCAAAGGTGCCGGGTTGCTGGTGGTCGATGCCCGGGATGGGGATGGCGTGCGCGAGGTCGGAGAGCCACCCCCAGAAGGCGGACATTGTGGTCTTGGTGCGTGTGGTGGCGAACGATGTAGACGATAGACCGCAGCTGAAGCACGGTGGCAGCGACAGGGCGAATGAGTCTTGTTGGCTGGCCAAGTGCTAAGTCTGTAAAAACAATAATCCCAGCCTAAACGTACTACGGTCCAGACATAGAGCAGGACATGCAACATTCATGGTGACCGTGTCAAAAACCCCGGCCTAAATGTACTACAGTTGACACAGAGTGGGACATGTGCCATCAATGATGTATGAAAACCCCAGCCTAAACGTACCACGGTTGACATAGAGCAGGACATGCATCATAGTGATACAAGTTGGACACTGAAACTGTCACGAGCCATTCCATGATTGGCACTAGACCATGAAGCAAGTCCGTCCTTCTGGGATATCGTGGACTGCGAACTCGAGCTGAAAGCCTTGTGGGAGCTTACTAGAAGATCGCTGTGAAGCTGGTGTTGTGGGAGTGGGTCTACATGACCACAATGCAACTGCAAGCGAAGGACTTGATGTACAGTTACATGGCTTAAAGAACAAACTATGGAGGTACTGCTAGGCTAAGTAGGTCCACGAGCTGGTCGATGCTAGAGGGACGATCACGTGCTAGTCACGTGATTGTTATATTACATAATCTCTAGCAAAAGACCGTGGATCGATTCCTGGCCGTGATATGGTATCCCTGTGGTTTTAAAAATCGCCGAAAATGCGCGAAATTCAGCTCCAGTCCGCATCCGGCATTTGGGTCTGGTGGCTCCGCATGCATTCATGTTCCGTATGCAGTCAGCACAGTCGAGTATAATAACCATCCATGCATTACGAGCTTATCGTCTGTCCCCCTGCTCACCTCCTATTCGCCACTCATCCGTTCCGAAAGCCCTGTGACGACCCACTTTCACCGCCCAACAGCGAGACATGCCACTCAAACGCCTGCCAGAGTCATCCCCGCCTCGTTTCAAGCGCTCCTTTTCAGAATATTCCACCTCCACCATTCCCAACTGCATCGCTACCCCACCACGTCGGTCGTCCCCCTCCACGTCCTCTGAGGCCGCTGGATCTCGGCGTTCGAGCACCCTGTCATCAGAGAACGACAGATGGGAGCTTGTTCCGCACAGCGACGAGGAGTCAACCATTAACGACGAAGCTCCCGGTGGCGAGGGTGATCTTAATGACACCCATCCTCACACTGTGACGGGTGAGATGAACGGAACCGCGCCGGCCAAGACGGAGGCTCAGCCGCAAACTCCGCCACCTGGACCTGCAACCGAGGCCGTCAACTACCACCCTCGGTTCTCTGGGGAGGGCGACGTGGTTATCAAGGCTGGCATCGACAGCCCCATCCATTTCAAGGCCAACTACAATGTCCTGGTGGCCTCCAGCTCGTGGCTGAAGACCAGGCTTCCTAAACCCCAAGCCAACACCGCTCCACCCGTCTTCCATATTGGCACCACCCCCGAGGACCTGGTGTTGCTTCTCCACTTCCTGCACGAGGTGGACGGGCAGTGTCAGCTTCCACCGCTTCAAGCGTCCCTTGAGGACTGGGTTTCCCTCTATTGGCTTCTCAGTATCTTTGGCAGCCCGGCATACCTCATCCCAATCCTCACCAAACGCGCCAGCGAAGCAGCATTGAAGCGGATCTCCGATCTGGGCGACTGTCCTCACCAAGACGACGTCCTGGACGTCCTTGCGGCCGCGATCGTGTTCAAACTCGGTTTGGTGTTTGCTACCGTTTTCTCCCGCAAGTTCCGCCGCGAGGGGTGGAGCATTGTTGACAATATCACCCACGTCAACGGCCATGCCCTGGCAGCGCGCCACAAGACAGTGTACGAGGTCCTGCTGGCTCTTGAGCGAGCGTCGCTTCACTTTCAGATGGCGAAGAGCCAGATTAAAGTGAAGCTGGACTTTGAGACCTCAGTGTTCTTGATGTACGACGGACAGCAGATCCAGGTGGCTACCACGGGAAGAATGCTCAGCTCAAGCTCTGGAACGATGACAGGAGGAAGGGTCTTGTTGGGAGGAAGAACTGAGGAAGGTTGCTGTGGCGGGTAAACTAGGAGCTGCGAGTGCACCGCGCATGCATGCGATATCGCAGGTGGGCCTTTGGGGACTCGCGTCTGTTGATCCTCCCATACATGTGGATCTCTCACACGAAGTATGAAAAGAGCCCGCGCTGGTCCAGTCAACCGTCCTGCCGCGCCCCGCGGCCTTCCTTCCCCTCACATACAAACATCAAACATCGTCGTTCCAGCTTCCTTCATTCTTCTTCATCCCTCTCATCCACAAACTCTTTCATCCATTCACTCCCCCACCACTGCAATACACCTAATCAACTTCCCGGGTTCCCACCGGCCTCAAGACAACCAACATGCCGGCTGATCGCGTCACCCGTAGCGCAGCCACGCGTGTTGGCAAGCAGCCCCTCCAGCGTCCTGTGGCATCCACCACTATCAAAACCGAGCCCAAGGCCGATCCTGGAGCCAAGACTGAGCTTGCATCCAACACCGACCCTGGAGCCAAGACTGATTCTGGGTCCAAGACCGAGCCTGGAGCCAACACCGGGCCTGGAGCAAACACTGTCCAGTACCACTCCTTGTTTGGAGGCGGCGGCGACATCATCATCAGGTGCACCAAGGGGGACCCCGTCAACTTCCGTGCCAACTACAATGTCCTCGTAATCTCGTGCCCCAAGTTCAAGAAGGTTCTCCAGAGCCCTGAGAGTAACAAACGTCCTGCTACCTTCGCCCTCCCTATTGAACCTGAAGACATGGCCTTGCTCCTCCACTTCCTTCACGAGGTCGACGACCGCTTCAGCCTCCCCCCTGTTAAGACGTCTCTCGAGGGATTCGTCAACCTCCAGTACCTGGTCAACATTTACGGTGGCGACGACTACCTCTCGTCCATTGTCCAGGACCGCGCCAAACTGGCTGCCTGGGAGCGTCTTATCAACCTCGGAGACAGCCCGACCCAGAACCAGGTTCTCGACCTCCTAGCCGCCGTCCTCATGTTCGAGATGTCGTCTGTCTTTCATCACATCCTTGCACTCAAGACACTCAGGACTCGTCACGCTGGTTGGAGCGTCATCGACGATGTGACTCGCATCAACGCCAAAAGTCTTGCCGCTCGGCACAAGCCAGTCTACACACTTCTTCTTGCCATCGAGCGTGCCCATCGCCACTGGAGCATCGACAAGTCTGAACTTAAAGTTGACATGAGCTTCTGCGACAATGTCTACCTCAGTTGCAAGTCCAAGAAACCCGTCTCTGTGACCCTGGATGACACCGAAAAACGCTTCAAGCTTTGGAAGCAGGACAGGGACAACGGTCTGGTCGACTGAAGTCGCAGGGAGAAGTAACAAGCAGCGTACTGTGTAGCCGACGAGTCATGGTGAAAGGATTGTAAATAGGTACCCAATGATGCATGAAGTGTGATGTGTACATATGTATATAGCCAATACCCGGGGGATCTATCACAGTGAAAGACAAGAACCGAGGTCACTGTGCAGGAGGTGAAAGGTAGGAAGGTGCAGAAGACTGGGAAGGCTGTGAGGGTATTAGTGCGCGCTGCACCATGAGCGTGAAGAAAAGCCTCCTCCTTCCACTGTACGACCGAGGACGAACGACAAGTGGGACAGAGGTCTCACTTGAGAACTGAGTCTGCAGATACGGCTCTGCTTGACGCGGGGACACTGTTCCACTGACCGCCATGGCGATCTTTCATCTCCATTCCCTACATGATGCAGCACCCAGAGCGTGCACCACCCTGCTTACTGACTCCCAACACCTGACCCTCAATGACCACCACTCCCTTGCCGTGTTCAGCCTCAAACTCTTTCTGGGCTGTTTGCGCACGAGCAAGGCGTTCGGCGGTAACCTTGTAGCTGGAGGGCAGGAGGGAAGTATCCCATGCTCCTGTGCGCAGGGTGTGGGCGTAGGCGCGGGCCGAGACGAAGATACGCGACATGCCGTGGCCCGAGAACTGAAAGTTAGCTGCTGCAGAGGAACGGTATAACCCAGTAACTTACCCCTGCAACCACAGACAGGCCCTCTTTGCCCGGCAGTTCGCCGACGAGTGGGAGCGAGTCGCGCGAGTCGCCCATGATACCCGTCCAAGTGCGCGTCAGGCCCTCGCCGTACGCCTCGGGTCCCCAGTCAATGAAGTGTGCGGGCATAAACTTGGAGAGGTCTGCAGCACAATGTCAGTTCACAAATCTACTCGCGGAAACTGACCATCGGTGAGCACTGGGTTGATCCCCTTTTCGCTGTCATCCACTTGTCCCACGCTGTCGTCAATGGGGATCTTGCCGTCCCGCACCAGTGGTGCGAGCCCTCCTCCGAGGATGAGCTGCCCCGAAGCCGCTGTGACGAGGTATCGCCCGTCGAGCGTGTTGTACGTGTTCTTGAGGATCCGCGAGCCAGAGTACGTTGGCGGAGGGGTGATGGTGCAGCATTGGCCGCGGAACGGTGTGATACTGGATGTCAGTTGTAGCAAGGCACACAGCATGTATGGCACAACTTACTGCGAGTGCACGGGGTCGGCTTCCGCAAAGAAGTTTCCGGTATGCGCGTTCGTGCACAGGATGACCTGGCGCGCGAGAATGTCGCCCTTGCTCGTGGTCACCTTCCACCGCCCGTCTTCGGTGCGGATGGGAACGCCAGACACGGGCGTCCAGGAGTAAAACTGGAACTGGCTCGCAGGCGATTCGATAGCCTTGCGCATGAGGGCTGTGCAGAGCTTGTGGCTGGAACGTCAGCTCACTGGCTGGGGAGAAGGTAGCTGACGGCGCGTACGCACGAGTGAACACTGCCACCTGGGCGCACGTGGACCGAGGTGCATCCCTTGAGACGTGAGACCTGGATGGGTCAGATCTGGAGCGAGATACACACCCACCTTCTCGGCCTCTGCAGGGTCATCGACAAACCGGGTGTCGTCGTGTGCCATGCCCAGGCGCTTGCGCACAGCCAGCCATGCCGCGTACTTCTCCTTGCTCCAGGCAGACCGCTCGGTCGAGTGGTGTGCTGTCTGTCAGCTCAAGGAATACTTTTAGGATAAACATACTCTCGAGAAGGTCTCCTCGCCAAAAATCGACATCGAGCCGCTCCTTCTCCACCACCTCTGCGACAAGGTCTAGGTTGTCCCGCTCACTCTGGGTGATACGGCATGCCTCCTCCTCATCACACCCCAGGCCGAGGGGGTACGGCTGCATTAGCTCGTCCCACATGACGTACGTCTTGGGCCCGACACTGATGTCAGCTGCACCGTTGGCCACACGGAGCTCACTGTCCGCCGTTCCTCCCCGCTGCAGCCAGTCAGCTCATGCTATCTCGCGGACGATATCGAGCTGAGACTCACTGGCACCACTCGCCACGTCCTTGGCCTCGACGCATACCACCTTCTTCCCAGCGCCATGCGCTCCTGGTCGCGTGAGGAAGTAACTCATCGCCGCACCAGTCATGCCTCCGCCGACGATAAGAATGTCCACTTCGGCCGGGACCGTGTCCTTGTCGGCATTGTGGAGCCAGAGCGACGTCGGGCCGCGGTGCGTCGCTTGCCAGTGCGAGACGGTCGAGCGCCACGGTTGCGGGAACGTGGACATTGGTTTTGGGGGGTGGTGGTATGGGAAGGTGTCCAAATCAGAGTTTCGAGTCGGAAAGATGCTGGATGCTTCGCGTCAGGTGACATGCTGGTGTCGTATCTCCCCGCAGCCCACCTTGGGTGGCGAAAGTGGAGGCTTCTTGGAAGAATACCCGGAGATCAGCCTGGTAGAAGAGTTCTTTCTCAATGGCCCATGAGTGTCCAATTCAGCGCGCTTGTCTAGCTATGTCAACGGGGGAAGAGTCTGTGAAGTGCATGTGGACACGAAGGACGCGCGCGTACGCGCGCAAGAAGCAATTTGGGCCGTAGTCGGCGACTATCGAAATCACGTTGGTTGCCGAATTTTGCCGAAAATTCAACCGAGATTCAACACACGGCGCTATCATCATCAACATCTCCCTCCGAACAACCTCCAACATCTTCTTCATGCAACATCCAAAAGATGATGCTTGCAACGCAAGCGTCAAGGCCCTCGCCGGGATTTGAACCCAGGACCACTTCCATAGCTAGAGAAGGATTAGAGACCGACTGGACCCTAAGAAAGTATGATAGCCACTACACCACGAGAGCCAGGCTGAAAGTGTTCTTCTTGCCACGAAGAAAAGTTCTGGAGATTGTCCACTACAGAGTACAGAACCGGGGCGTGGCTCTGTCCATTTCTAGAGGAGGCTAGCATCGCAGTGCCTCTGGACATCTGGTATCGCAATCCTGTGGCCCTGGATGCCTTGCCCTGTTGGGTCCTCGAACCCCAAACGACACCGCATGTTGCAAAGCAGTGGAAGACGCCTGAGCCTTTGTGCATCTATATTGTACTTTACTGTATCACTTTGTCGACATCCCGCTTTCCTGCCAAGCTAGGAGATGGTTGGAAGAGTGAGTTGATTGTACATTCGGCGTACCTCTGCCCTTTCCGCCTCTCTGCCCCCCTCCTCCCGCCACCCCAGGACGAGGCCGTCGTGATTTTTCAAATGTTGAGTGTGCATTCTGAAGACTCTCGGAGATACGTACATGTTACTTAGCAATGGGTACACATCGCTATGAGACACGGGGTGGACGTACAACTTAGCTGCAGGCTGCAGCTCCACTGCCAGTGTGAGGGCCATTAGCTAAGCATTCAGTTTCTATTTGGTTCCAAAATACCAATACACTTTTGAACTCAAACACACGGGGAATACGCCCCCCAAGAAACACACTACAACCTGCCAGCCGGGTTCGAACCCCATTAATCGGTCCACGATGCGTTCTCGGCGCCACTGAGGGTTCAGCCCATACCCGCACCCACCACGACACCTGGTCTCGATCTCCTCGATCACCTCCTCCCGTTGCTCATGCTCGCCTGCACCGACTGCTTGTGCCTCCATGCATGCCCACCGCCCTCTTGAGTACCCCATTTCACCAGTAAGCCCCGGGCGGCCCCCTCGGCGGCCAGTGCACAGACCGCCACCACCCACCACACGTACCTCCATCCTGACACAATCCTTGTTTCCCCCGATGTCCTGAATGCCAGTCACTGCCCACGTCCTTGGCGAGTGGACGTATGCCCACCCTCTGTGGCTACGGAGGTGGGGGAGGCACTCGATGGCGTGAGGTCCAGCTTGCACTGTGCGTGGGAGATTAGACTTGCTCCGTCCACTCCGGAGGACAAGAGAGGCGGAAATGGCACACCATGCCGTCCGTGTGTCTTGTGGTTTCCTCCGAACCCATTCCAGGATCCGGGGACTCGCGTCCCAGCGTACCCGCGTGCGTCCCAACGCCCAGCTCTCCGGGTATTAGGAGCCAAACTTCTGGGCTGGTTGTTCCTGGCAAATGGCAACATGGCGACATAGGATGCAGGATGCCTGCCCCATGGGCCACGGAACACGGGATATATAGAGAGCAGAAACGGGGTTGACGATGATCCGGGGTGCAACATTTCGGTAACGTGCACCAAAAGGCTGGTGTTCGTCGTAACGTCCTGATCGTCCTGACATGCCTGACACCGTCTGCTAGTAAATTCCACAAACAGCGCGCTGCCAGCACTCATAAACCCGTATGTACCAGAGATGCAGAGATCTCATTCAGTTCCAGGGAAGGCGACGTCTCAGCATGTGGCTCCTTCGTAGTCCTCAACTTCAGCTCTTCACCAGAACACCGCCATAGCATCGTTGCGGCATGCACACACAAACGGCTGCGAACGACGCCATGCGGGGTATGTTGTACATACATAGATACCCTCCCTTCACGCGCAAGAACCCGAACACGCTGTGGCATGCAGACTACCGGTTGCACTGACCTCTTTGCGGACGCGTCCCGATCGAAGCAACGCCATGAATAGGGGATTCGTGGGCACTGGCGCCAAACGCGCCACCGCCACTGCGCGGTATATGTAGACAACAACCGCGGTCCTACATAAGCTGGCTGCCATTGTGACTCGCATGGTCTTGCGTTGCTCCTTCTCCATCAGCCAAACTACAAAAAGCCCCATCACCCAAAAGCTCGCGCACCAGCAATCGACACACGATGGGTATCACCGATTTTCGCAGCACCAGAACTGTCAAGTACAGGGAGTCCGTCTATGTCCCTCCTCTTCCTGTCCCCGTAACCAGAAAGTCTGTCGACTACACGAGGTCTCCAAAAGCCTACCAGCAAGCCCGACCAAGGGCGTCCACCACGCAGGCAGACTACCCACGAAACGAGCAGGAGCCAATCGGCGAGGAGAAGGAGGACGACACAGCGGCGTCCGCCTCGTCGTCCCAGATTGTGGCTCGTGAAGAGATGGTCACAGAAGAGTCCTTCACATCAGCACTCCGTCGCGGGTCGTCTGCCTCAGCAGCCAGCTCGGCCCTCGCCACCCCCAAGTCTGATCACGGGCACTGGCCCGGGTCGTCGGCGTCTGTGCGTATCTGTATATCTGTCTTGCGTCCCCACACCCCGATGCTGACGGCCAGACTCGTTCAAACGTGTCCTTGCACTCTGACACCGCTGCGGCTGCCGACTACTTCTCCTTTGTGCCCACGTTCTCCTCCAAATATGAGGACGAAGAGCCCGACATCCACGCCCTCACGGCCATGCTCGGTGGGGCGGGCAAAGTGGCAGGTGGGACCAACGCCAGCCCGTTCGGCTTTGAGACGCTCCCAGTGGGGAGGCATAGGACAGCGAGGGTTTTGCCGTCGGACATGCTGGGCGACGAAGACGACTTTTACGTGCCGGCGTTCAAAACGAGTAACGCGAATTACTTCGGGAGTAACTATGGTGGTAGGAGGTAGGGAAGGTGTATAGACTTTGGGGTCTGGGTTGGGTGTATAGTTGTTTGGGCACCGGCACCGTCGTTGTATGTCGTGGTTGTATGGTATGCCATCTGTCAAGCAGTGGCAACTGTTGTGATCGTTGTGACGTTGTGGAGAGATAACCCACGTGTCAAGACCCACCAGACGCGCCAGACGTACCAGACACGGCAGGGCCCAACAGCCAGGATATGGCACTGGGAGTAGGGTCAAGCGAGCGAAGAGGTGGACGCAGGTCATGAGCTGGCCGCCTGAAAGCGCGAGGGTGCAGCTGACGGCCACCCTCTCTCGGGCCGTAGAGATGACCCTTTCTGCGGGCCGAAGACCACCCTTCAAGCATTCCCGTGCTGATCAACAGGGCCCGGCTTGATAGACTGATCTAGATGAACCTGTTTTCAACACATGATGATTATCCAGCGGTGTCAGGCCACTCGCTACTTCAGAAGCCGACGGCGCATGCACAGGCTGCCATCCCAGTTGCCGTGTGCCCAGCGAAACCTGGGAACCTGCCAAGCTTGCCTAACGACGAGACAGAGTCTGCAAGTACTCTTACGTTCCACTTAGAGCTGGTCTGTCCCTCTTCACATCTTAGATATCCATATAACGCTCCAGTCGTGTTTCACGCTGTAGTCTATCACACAGTCTCTAAACCTGAGGAGCGATGGTGCAGGTGTTGTTTGCAGGTGGCCAGGTGGAAACCTCGACTTTACCCGTCCCACGTCCTGGCCGCCTGGAACCGACTGCGGGGAGTGGTGCCTGTACCTCGCTCTTCTTCCTGAGGCCGCACAGTCGTCAACAAGCTGTTGTGGGGGGAGATGAAGATGGCGTTGTGGAGAGCGTCGAAAAGGAGCGCGTTCAGTGCGCTGGGCATTGAAATGTTGGAGCAGTGGCGAGCTGTGATCCCATATTTGACTGTCGGGACAATCGAATGGACCATGTCGTACCACCGCCCCGCTCTGAGCGGGTAGTGCCCCGATTGAGCCACCACAGGTCCCGTTGGAGCGCCGAGCCGCCGAGTCTGCGTCTGTCCCGGGGCGCGGGTGGTCGGTCACGTTTACGCATTTTCACAACTCCAGTTCCCTCTCTCCCTCCCATCCAGCGATACCATCTTGTAGGCACATCACAAACACATACCCCAACAGACAACACGCACACATCACTGTCCTGGGCCGCCGTCCGGCATTTCGCGCGAAAAAAGGGTAGCCAGACGACTGGTGCCGACCATTTCAGCGCTCCCTCTCGTATCTCCTTCATCTCACATCCAACATCGTCTTCATCTCTCGGCACTCTCTCCACACACCCGGGACCCCTCCCCATCTCCCCTCGCGGCCACCATGTCGCGCACATCCCCTCATCTCCATCTACCCCCCGCCGCGGGCCTGCGACGGCTATTGGCCCACCGCTTCGCGCCCGTCTATCTCGCGATCGTGATCCTTGTCACCGTGCTGCTCGTGTTAGGACACCAGACCGAGGCGGGATCCACGGCTCTCGCGTCGCTTCATGCCGCAATCTCCAAGACAGCATCGTCGTACTCGGGCAGCAGCTACGCCGGGTCGCCAGAGTACGCCGCTGCGGCTGCCAAGATTGCCGCGATCCCAGACCCGTTGGCCATCCACCAGAACTTCAAGTGGTACACCGACGCCAAGCTCCGAAACCTCGCAGCGTGCATGGCAAAGGGAGACTGTCCTGCCAACGCAGCCAAGGTGTGTCCTGTTCCCCACCGTCGTGTTCGCGTCCTCGTTTGGGTGACCTGCGTACACGTCCACATCCCTGCCTTCCCACGACACACGCTGACCCAGCCAGGTCGTCATCTTCAACTGCTGGTACTGCTACCGTGCCATCTTTGAGAACTACTGGGGCGGAGAAGGTGTCTGGTGAGTGTGTCGCCTGCTCAGACAGGCGACATTGCCGTTAAGCAGTCTGAACAGCACTGACGGTCCAGGTGCCGCGGTATGGTGCGTATTCTTCTCTGGAAACACTGGCCCTGAGATGGAGATCATAACATGAAACGATCTCGGAGGGACCTGCAGCTAACACTTTCTTCAGAAGGCCAGCATGGAACGACAAGGGTACACCGTGCTGTACACCAACTATGACTGGGGTGAGTACGCACTCTGGCTGTTACGCTCTCAGGCATGGTTGCATCCTCGCCAAGGGAGGGGTGCAGGAGAACGTTATCCGTACCCGGAATCCGCGTCCTGGACGGGCTGAACCCGTCAGGCGCGTCGCGCAGGGAACAGTCTGCCTCGATTCCTTCACAGAACCAAACATGTTCTCCAGAACCATCCCCTGCGAGGGACCAGGATCCGCAGTATCAGCAACTGACACTGGGCCCCCAGAGTACGCGATGCACATCTACCGCCAGATCCCCGACCTCGTCGTCGCGCTCGTCTCCGATGACGACAAGTACAACTCGCCCGCCAAGCCGTATCTCCGTTCTGAAAAGAACCCCGATGGCCTGCCAGCATGGAAGGTGAGTAAGGAGGGTTGGCTGAAGTGGGTTAGGGGGTGGAGGGTGCCCAGTGCTTGGAAGTCCCTTACCACCTTGGCCTTGTCTCGGGATACTTTGGAGCTGACGTTTTCCAGCACTTCCGCTTCAACTACTACGCCGAGGGAGGCGGCACTCGTATTGGCGACCATTGGGTCATTACCTGCGAACCCGAGTGGATCGAGCCGGAGCACGAGGGATGGCCCAGCTTCCGAAGTGAGCACCCTATGGACACGGCCTTTGCGCCTGTTGGGCAGTGTTCAGATCGCTGGGTATGGACCAGCTGTGCATATGTTACTGTACAGCTGATGTCCACCGGCCACTGTGCTTTGATTGGGAACGGCTCTGTTGGGATGACGCGCTCTATAGCCTCTACCCATCGTCCGAACCCCCTTCCCCGCCTTTCCTCGACATGCACTGACCCCCCAGACTTCTCTTACATCGGCTACTCCCTGGAGCCCCAGCTCCAAGACACCCGTTTCATTCCCTTTGAGGAGCGTCCGATGCGCGCGTATGTCCTGGGCAAGCACCAGACCTTCTTCTACGAAGACCACGCACACGTTGCGTGGAAGCGTGACACGTATAAGCGGGCGCTAGACGAGATCCGCAAAGACATTCCCGACTTTGAGTTTGTCGGCGCCTTCTTTGACGAGCGAGGAGACGACGAGAAGAAGAAGGAAGGACCTTTGCCTCTTCCCGAGGGAATCCGGAACATCTATCCGCTCAACGCAACTGCGTTTGACGACGCATTGTCCAGTGCGAGGATGCTGGTCGGTATCGGATGGCCCACAGCCAGTCCTAGCCCTTACCGCGCCCTTGCGCGTGGTGTTCCCTTCCTCAGCCCGGTGAGTTGAGAACTCGCCTCAGGTATCAGGCCACAACTGACACAGTTCAGTTCAAGGTGCGCGACGACGGGATTGCCGAGGACCCGTACAGGTGGTCCGACTCGCAACACGACAGCCTGAGGCTCGTCGAGCCACCGTGAGTAGCTTAAATGTCGCGCACCAGTAAGCTAACACCGCTCAGACTCGTGTACAATGTCGAAGAGTTTGACTATAACGGGTTCGTATCGGCCATCAAGACGGCGATGGTCACTCCCATCGAGCCCTACGTCTTCCCACGCATGACCCGCGCGGCGATGGATGAGCGCATCCGCGCGTGGCTTGAGGCCGACTGGGAGTCCGAGGCCAAATACATCCTCGCGCAGAGGAAGGCGGGCCACGAGACACAGAAGGGCGACTGGGTCGAGATGTTTGACCTGTAGTGTTGGGCGCCCTGGGCCACTGCCTGAGTTTGTAAAGGCGGTAGAGTAGGGAGGAGGAAGTGTGTGGAAGGGGACGGGGAGGGGGAGTCATTTGGACAATTGGGATCTGGTTCTGTATACATGTGACAATTAGCTTGTCCCGACCGATAGTCCCAGTGCTCGAGGCGAGCATGGGGTATCGTCAGACAACCCAACTGACAGGGCGGGCAGGAAGACTCACATGGCTACTCAGACCCGTCGCGGCAATGCTGGATTACATTGTAGCCCTGCGTGGTGGAGAACAGCCGAATCTGCAGCCGACATGTCGCTGACGTTCGAACGGCGCTCGAGACTGGTTTTCCAAGTTTCATCAGGATTGACCCCATGCCAGTCAATGTCTGAGAGCAGTAACACTGTACTGCACCAACACAACGTGAGTCCTTCCTCTGAGAGGATGGGAAAAAGGAAACATCCCAAGGGATGATCTTGCCTTCTACCCGAATTGAACGGGTGACCCTTTCATCTTAGCCAGGCTGCTTCAAGAGACAGACACTACTAGTGAAAAATTCTAACCACTGAACTAAGAAGGCGAAGATGTTGGTCTTGCGCGTTGGCGATGTTGAGGACAGACGGAGAACAGCGCTTGTCGTGGTGGACAGAAAGAAGGAAGAAGGACATCGATGATGCGGATCAGACACGGGGAAGACGTCCGGATTTGCACCTCCACGCCGTACTCAATTCTCCGCCAGTCACATGAAAATGAAATGCCAAGTCGCACTAGCACGTCCAACTGTCCGTGCGGCATAACAGTCGGCCATGATGCCGGCGTATCCTGCTGCCATGCCATCTATTTGCCGGTCGCCGTTAACCGCGGTTGGGCCTCAGCCACAGTTACGAACGGCCACCAGTGGACATGGCCTGGTAGCGCGCCACACTTCTCGGCGACTCACACCGCCTGAAGCTCGCGATCCCCCGCACTACCGTGCTGCGATCTCGGGGACACCCCGGTCTGCTGACCTCCTTGAAGAACCCCAGAACGAAGACATTGTGCAATAACCTGGGAAAAAGGTTGGGGACGATGGAAGTTGGGAACGGCTGAAAGTTGGGAACGACTGAAAGTTGGGAATTTTGGCGCTTGTGGCGCACGAGTGCCAACATTGCTGCGATGCCAATAGTCAATGTCGCGTCGCCAATACTCATGCTCCCGACACTTGCGGCCCCCACCCTCGAGACCCCGGACCCAGTGCCTGGCTTTACGGGCTGGCAATCATGCAATCATGACAGTAGTGTAACAAGCCACAGAACCACAGTGCCGTTTTTGACGGCGTTCAACGACATTGTGACAATGACGGGACAAACCGACCGGGTATTGACATGCGGGACACCACAACCTCCACGGCCCGCATCTCTACGTGGCGGAAGGGCGGAGGGGGGAGGCACCACAGCCACGTGTGATGAGAGAGGTACACCGGTACACGACCGCACCCAACTTGGCTGCTTGCCTATGCACCGTGAACAGAACGGCGATGTCCGCGTTCTCACTACGTTACTGTACATGCAGGTGCCATTTGCTCGAATTCGAGCCGCAATATGCGGAGTGAGTGACTATATGTAGCGTGGTACCAGTTCCATGTCACGCAAGGATCGCCAGCTCGCTTACGCGCTGGTGTCCCACCAGGCAGCCATGCATATGCATGCATCCTGCGCGCCGTGTCCCGTTGCATGTCAAGCCCGATTAGTGGGTACACACCGGTCGCCAAGCTTCTCACGGCCTGTTGTCGGGAGGTGCCACTCCCATTGCTTCCACCAGTGCAACGGCCCCGGTTTGTGACTAGGGCCCCGGTTGGGATCCCCACATGTCCTGTACTCCAATGACGATCACCTGGATAGGTGCGGAGCCGAAGGACAGGAATAAACGCTGCGACGACCAGGTCCAGTGCCAAAAGTCAGAACCTGTCCCTTTCATTTGATCCTGTAAACCCCACCAACTGGCGTGCACACACGGCACCCGTGCCCCTCAGACTCTCTGACATTGACGGCCCGTCGTCCTGATCCACCTTCGCACAACAATGGCACCACATTGTTTATTGCGGCGCAGTAGATCTTGCTTCGTGGCTGGAACAGTGACGCCGACGCGGCAACGACGACGCAGTTCGCATGGGTAACTCCTGGGCAGCCGCGTCCCCCCACCTCGCGGAGCCCACTAAACTTGTGAATGTGCAAATGCGTTGGCCTTCTGCCGCGTTGTGACACCTGCGTGGACATGCGGTTCTGGGTCAGCTGATTCTACCTCGTTACTTCCTGCAAGCATACGGGTTTCACCCCTACGATGCCGTGGTTGTTCAGGCTGATTGAGGTGGACACCACTTGGCAACGAAGGATTTATGTTTTTTTTGCAAACATGTGAATAATCGCTGAGGTCCCGCAATTACGTGCCATGAAGCCGTGCCCGTGCTCCTATGAACGTACGCGGGCGGGAGGAGCACTGGAGCGCAGTACCGGTCAACTAACTACTTATACGCCTGGGGCTTTACTTATCCTTCACTGGTAGAGTGCTGCAAGGTTATCGGGCCAGAAGAAACAGCTATTCCGTGCTCCTCTCGTTAACTTCGGATCCCCGTGCTATGAGTTGGGGCCTGTCCTGAGTGTGGAGCAACCCTTTTCCTTGTAGTTGTTGTTCTAATCGAGTGCAAGCGAAGGGGAACGGGTGGTGCATGCCGGCCACCTGTCGAAACTGGGTGCCTCATAGCCGCGCATTTTTCTTGCAAGATCGGATGACTCCACAATCAGCGACACTATTACGCGGTGGGCCAGTTTCATGGACGTCACATTCGCTTGTGGGAATGGTTAGCCGTATCTCATACCAGTCCAACCCCCAGTGGCCTGTGTATCGTCATCGGAAGATCGACATTGGCCGTGCCGGCCACTGGCCACTGGCCAGGCCTTGTCGAATCATGATGCCCAATGTGTTCGCGTGCACCACATGCTACCCAGCAGCCACCGGCACATCCAAGCCGATAGAGTTCGGCGCGGCGCCGATGTCATGAGAACCAGGTGGCCAGGTGAGGAAGGCACAAACCGAAATCTGTGAGCAACGTTTGAAATATGCACAACAACCCCATTCTGTGGGTCAGCTCCGTCAACGGAGTGGAGTCGGACGGCGGGAGAGGTCTTAAGCGAAGCACATGTCCGTAGCTCTGTAGCTTCCTGTGGAGAGAGCGCGGCATGTGAAAGCATATTCCGTTCGGCAGCTAACCGCGCAGGCTTAGGACAAGCCGCGGACACCTGTGGCTGATCGACGGTTTAGCTTGTTCGGAGACGAACGTCGACACGACGTGGACAATTGCATCTTCCCCAAGAGCCTGTCTGGTCTCTGGTGCTGCGACCCATAGATGCTCACGAGTTATGCCGTCTAAGGGGAAGAGACTCAAAGGCACACGCTAGCCTGCTAGCCTGCTACGATGCCGTTGTGTGCGCATCCCGTAAGAGGTGGGGCGACAGGCCGCCGGCACAACATGGCCCCTTGCATGGAATACATGCATGCAAGGTGCCAAGTTTCTTGGAATTGATTTAGCAAGCACTGGGACGTCCCGCCATCCTGCGGGTGCGCTTGCTGCAGCTCACCGTCTTCAAAGCTTCAAAGTTGATGATGCCGGCACCGGCGATCAGTAGCCGGTCTATCGTTACGAACGTGTTGCTGCGTTAGTACCGTATAGTAGCGCGCCCAAGCTCGACACGTAACCGAGGGGTCGTGCAGTCTACGAGATTTACATTCTGAAGCATCAGAAAAACGATGGACGATTCTGCAGCTGGCCATTGTGGACGTTTGTGCGCATTTCAAGTCTGGTGCAAGGAAGCTGAGAACAGCGACGAAAGCGCAAAGGCTGGCTGAGATAACGGATGATCGGATATACAAGACGGAATACCATTTGGCATGTCGCGGACTTGCGAACGGGAAGATTCCGTTGGAGGCTCGTCAAGCGCAAGCTACTGTCGAGATTCATATTCAAGGTGCTGTCAGAGCGTCGCATAGACTTCTTTCTGTGTACTTGGGGCACCACAATCACAAAGTAAAGGACTCTAGGCGTTGTGCGCAGCATCTATGTTGCCTCCCCCTTCAATCTGCTTCTTCGACCTACCCCACGGTTTGTTGAGGGGGCTTTCCTTGCCCTGGAAGATGAACGCGTCGTAGACGAATCCGCCCAAGATACCACCGCAGATGGTGGCAATGATGGGCACGTAGATCCAGTAGCAGTGGCGGGTCGTCCAGATCTCTTTGGGGTACCCGAACATGGCACAGGCAATACGAGGTCCCAGGTCACGGGCGGGGTTGAGGCAGTAGGCCGTCTGTTCAGGAGTCAGCTTTACCACAACTGCAAAATAATTGTAGAAAACTCGCCTCAGTACCCAGGGCGGCACCAATGCCGATGATCATGAAGAGAAGTGCGAACCCGTTCATACCTGATGGCACGGGGTTGTTGTTCTGGTCGCCGATGGCGAAAATGAGTGCGAGGAGAACAGCCGTGGCAAAAAGCTCGGAACAGAAAGCGCCAATGTTCGACATGTAGGGCTTGGCGGCAGTGAAGAAGAGGGCACCAGTGGAGGTGTCGAGGCCATAAGTGCGCAAGTTGTACCCACCCTCGAACTGGTTGAGGAGGGCGTGGTAGTTGCCTTGGATGAGCGCGCTGCCGACACAGGCGCCGAGGATTTGAGCGAGAGCGTAGCCTGTGAGGGGATCAGCGAGTGTCCAAATGTACTGTGGCATACCTGGAACCTTGCGCCACGGGAAACCTCTAAACAGGGCCAGAGTGATGGTGACGGCAGGGTTGATGTGTGCACCAGAGACACCACCGCAGGCGTAAACGCCAAACCTGCGTCGTCAGTGTCAAGCATGACCAAAGCAGTGAAGAGGCTACCCACATGACACCAATACCCCAGCCAAACGAGATGGAGAGGTAGGATCCCTGGGTGAGGTTGCTGAGTACGACCTGGCAGTTTACACCATTGCCAAAGATGATAAGGACCATGGTGCCAATAAACTCGCCCAAGTATTCCTTGTATTGGTGACGGAAGCGCGAAAGAGGGTTGACCAGGTATGGCACGGGTGAAGGGGGATCAACGGACGCAGTGTCAATGTCACTGTCGTGGGTCCCGTGGTGCTCAACATGTTGGATGGCAAACTTGTCGTGCATGGCGTCGGGCGAAGGTAGGTCCCCGTTGAATAGCTCCACCTTGCCCACAGAGGGGGACAGAAGGTGGGTGTTGGGGGCACGCCCTGATGAATCAGCACAAGTTTAATGACCAGTGCGCACCTTGCCTCATGGCGTCTACCATCTCGGGGGTAACGAGCAAGTAGCGTATGTTGGATTCGTGAGCCGAGTAGCCAGGCCCAAAGAGCTTTGGGTCCTGCTCCATGTGTTCGAGGTGTTCTTTCTCATGGTCGACGGTTATACCGTTGCCTACGTTGCCAAAGTGGTTCTCGTCGTGGAACGACATGGCGAATTGTGTGTGTGGATTCGGTGTGTGGCGGTCGATGTCCTTGTGACGAGGATGTGTTCAAGGTGTTTCTGCTGCCTTGTCTTTATAACGGGCTTGTCATTTGGCCATTCCAGTGCCACTCTCACTACCAAAGGTACATGTTCGCGTCCGGGCATGTTTTACCGGCATGCTCCGTTCTTCTCATCTCTCGAGGAACGGGCATCTTGCCTGAATGACTTGCAGTTCCTTGAGCCGTGTCAACCACGACAACATTCGAAATAGCGTCACAGCGTCACATTCATTCCTGTATCGCAAACGAACTGAAGGCTATCCCCAATCCTCCCCAGTTCATGGCGGCCGCTATCCCCAATCGTGGTTCATGACATGCGCCAAAAGAACCCTCGGAGGTTTCCCCACACTGCCGCGCACGCCAACGCCAGGCCCTCTATCCCCAATATCACGCAACTCAGTCCTTCCCAACGTGCTCTGGGACCCGCGAGGGGAGTAGTAGGCGCTTGCAAACCGAGTGGTGTTGCCCTCGTGGTTCCCTTTTGCAAACTGCGGCGGCAGCCGAGTTGCGAACCAAGTGGGCCAAGGACCGCCACAACGTCAAATGCAGTGCCTCACTCGCCGCGCGAAGTGGGAGGGACGTCGCCCGTTGTCGTCGCCGTTTTTTTGAGCAGCAGGTTGATGCCCCAAGCGGCGGCACCCGGTGGGGGCCCAAGAGGGTATGGGTCATTCCGTGCTAGTGCCCCAAGTTGTTCAGCAACACGGCAGAACAACAGAGTGGACTTGTCGTTGAGAGTGCCGTTAGCGGCCGCGAACGGTCTTGGCCGCCTCTCTCGGGTTGTTGTGCCGAAGCCCGCGGTCCCCCGCAGTTGCCCCCTGTTCAAACCCCAATGGTGCCCCGGTGGGTGTCACCACTCTTCTCATGATTTCATCCAAGCGCTTCTCCCAGCAAACCGCCATGTGATTGTAAGGCCTTGTGGCATTGCCAAAAGATGTAGTTTCACCTGGAGGCGGCAGGAACCAAGTGGGCTCCCCCAAGCCATGTGACCAATACGCCAGCGCGCCAGCGTGTCGGCTAACCGGGTGTGAACGGGAACTTGGTGGTGACCGATTCCGTGTGTGATATCGAGGTCTCTGGCTCATCGTCGTAGCCGGCAACGAGCCCGGGCCGACCTCGATGGTGCCGTAGTCGTCGTTCACTCATAACCGTCGCCCCCGCCTTCTTGGAAGAACAACATTCACCTCTTCCCCATTCCCCACCACCACATAGCAACAATGACCGTCACCAAGAAGGAGTACATCCTCGCCGTCGACGTGGGAACGACCTCGACGCGCGCCATTCTCTTCGACGAGACGGCTGAGGCCATCACCACCTCGCAGACTGAGTACGACCAGATCTACCCCCACCCAGGCTGGCACGAACAGCGCCTCGACGACCTAATCGGCACAGTCAACGCTTGCCTCGAAGGCGTCGCTGAGAAGCTTCCGGGCCTCGGCATTAGCAAGAGCGACATCCCGGTGATCAGTATCACCAACCAGCGTGAAACCGCATGTGTTTGGTCCAGGAGCACTGGCAAGCAGCTCTTCAACGGTGAGTCTGGCTGTACTTCCAGAGCGATGCTGACTCACTAGCGATCGCTTGGCCCGACACTCGCAACACTGTGACTGTCAGGCAGCTCTCGTACAAGTCGCCCAAGGGCCTTGACGCGCTCAAGGAGAAGACAGGGTGAGACACCTGTGGGAAGGAATGGCGCACCAGCTAACAGGCCAGTCTCCCGCTTTCAACCTACTTCTCCGGCACCAAGCTCCGCTGGATGCTCGACCACATTGCCGAGGTCCAGGAGGCTCACGAGAAGGACGACCTCATGTTTGGCACGGTGGAATCATGGGTGCTGTGGAACCTCACGGGAGGCCTCGACGGCGGTCTCCACTATACCGACATTACGAACGCTTCGCGCACAATGTTCATGTCGCTCAAGGAGTTGGCCTGGGACAAGGACTGCCTCGAGTTCTTTGGCGTCAAGGAGTCGTGTCTTCCTAAGATTGTCTCGAACGCCGAGGTGTACGGCAAGATCAAGTCTGGCCCATTCGCCGGCACCCCCATCGCAGGCATGATTGGTGACCAGCAAGCTGCCCTCGTCGGTAACAAGTGCATTGAGCTTGGCTCTGCAAAGAACACGTATGGTACTGGTGAGTATTGAGAACGCCTCGGCAGCAGCAGACAAGCTAACACCACTTCACAGGTGCCTTCATGCTCTTCAACACCGGCGAGGAGATTGTCCCCTCCAACTACGGTCTTCTTACGACTACTGGCTACCGTGCTGGTCCCAAGGCCACCCCTGTCTACGCTCTCGAAGGATCGATCGCTGTTGCCGGTTCGTCTGTCAAGTGGCTGCGTGACCAGATGGGCCTCATCCAGGAGACGACCGAGATCAATGGGCTGGCCGAAAAGGTCAAGGACACTGGTGGCATGTACTTTGTCCCCGCGTTCTCTGGCCTCTTTGCTCCCTACTGGGATGACACTGCGGCCGGCACCGTCGTCGGCATGACTGCCTACACCAACAAGAGCCATATGGCACGTGCTACTCTCGAGGCTACTTGCTTCCAGACCCGTGCCATTCTGGAGGCCATGGCCAAGGACTCCAAGAAGCGTCTTCAGGTCCTTCGCGTCGATGGTGGAATGACCAACAGCGGTGAGTGGCTCCCAGATGGAGAATCGAACCATGAATCTGACCACTGCAGACATCTGCATGCAGCTTCAGGCGGACATTCTGGGCATCGAGGTTGAGCGCCCCGTCATGCGCGAGTCGACTGCCCTCGGCTCGGCCATTTGCGCCGGTGTCGCCATGGGCCTGTTCGGCTGGGACCTCTCAAAGCCCGAGACACTCGCCAAGGTCAACGTCACCGGCAAGACCACGTTCAAGCCCGAGAACGACGAGGCCGACCGCGCCAAGCGTTGGAAGGGATGGGAGAAGGCTGTCTCGCGTGCCCGTCACTGGAACGACGAAACTGGCCTGGTTTCCCGTACACCGGGTGCGTTTGAGTCCGACGAGCTTCAGGTCCCGCCCAACAAGTACTGAGCGCTGTCAGCCGAGAGCGATCGAGCTTCAGAAGATAGTTGCCAGGTTGTAAACGGTCGGTTGCAGAGCCGGTTGTAGACACTGTAGGATCCGGTGCTTGATATGAAAGTGGTTTGAGAGGAAGGAAAAAGGCAGCCGATTTCGGCCGATTATTCTAGATTTTTGGGTGATTTGATCCACAAATTGCGATAAGCTAACAGTTTGAATTGCTGATTACCGAACTCTTTCCGTTGGTCGACTATGCTCGCCGCGGTGGTGAGCTTTCATAGACCAAAGACCGTTTGAAAGCTGGCCATCTCTGGCAGGCCAAGTGGCTCCGCTAGAGACGGCTTTTGACTGTCCTTCTAATAAGCGGATAATAAACAGACTTCCGCCACAAATAGTAAATCCTAATTAACGTCAGATGAGCCAGAACAGGGCAAACATCAGGCACATTATGGCGTCGGCGCTGACCGAGATTGCGACAACCTGTTGCCGGTTTATAACAGTCGGTCTCTTCTGCCCACCTACCTCTTACGCACCTGGTTCCTCATTCCACAACTCGTCAACTGTCAGCATGATCGAGGTCAACTGCTCTGGAACGCCGTACGAGGCAAGTTATTCTGTTGTGGAGAGGGACTGCTAGCTGACAACACCAGATCGGGCACCAGCACGGTACCGCGGCGCGCGAGCAGGTGCACGGCTCCAAGGCGTTCTACACCGACTTCTTCAAGACCACAGCCAAGCTCGAGTGGGACGCGGTGTGCGACGTTGCATCCAGGTGGATGCCCCTTCTCGAAAAGTCATACCCGCAATACGTCGACGAGATGAGGGGTGAGCTGACACGCCGTCTGATAACCCACTGACGTCACAGGCATCGCCGACGCGACCGAGCTCCCACTCTCGTCCATCATCGCCCTCAATGTCCGCACAGAGGTCGCGTTTGGCATGTACTCTGACGGGTGCACTTCCCTGGCGTTCCACTCGGCAGACGTCGGCATCCTTGCGCAGAACTGGGACTGGAAGGGCGGACAGGGTCCCAACCTCATCCGGCTGAACGTCAAGGCCAACGACGGCCGTCCGGCCATCTCCATCATCACGGAGGCGGGCATCATCGGCAAGATTGGTCTCAGTTCTGCCGGGCTTGGAGTGTGCCTCAACGCCATCACTGCCCTCGGTGTGTCTCCCGAGCGCCTCCCTGTCCACATTGCTTTACGTGCAGCGCTCGACTGGTCGGGCGAGGAGAAGGGCAAAGGAGCCGGCATGGCTCGCCGTATTGCGGACCGTCTCGAGAAGGCCGGCGTTGCAAGCGCGGGCCACATCCTCCTCGCCGACGCCGACGAGGCGTTTGGACTGGAGACCTCGTACATTGACATTGTCGAGGTACGCAAACACGACGTCCGCGGCGGCAAGGCAGTGCTCCACTCGAACCACTACGTCGAGGCGCACCCTGGCGTCAAGCTCGCTTCCAACGCCATGCTCGACTCTCCCGCGCGTCTGGACCGTATCGAGACTCTGATCAAGAGCGACGAGGGCCCCGTCACCGAGGCCCACGTTGCTGGCTGGCTGTGTGACGAGTGCGACTTCCCAGCGAGCATCTGCCGCGACAACAAGAGCTTGGGTGGATCGGAGACTCTTTTCCGCATCATCATGGACCTCAGGACGGCCACTGCAAAGGTCAAGCCTGGCAAGCCGACTGGTGACGGTGAAACGTTTGTTCTTGCGCCCAAGTAAAGCAGTTATGTGCTGTAAACAAGTACAGAGGGAGTATGGATGTGTTGTACGGCAAGTATCTCGATTCAAAGTCCTTACAGCTAGCACCCGAACCGAGGTGACTCGGTGCTCGTAGATGGGAAACTGGATAACTGCGCCTCCAGCGTACCAGCTGACGACTCTGTGCTGGACGCAATCAAGCTGGGGAACATGCCAGCTGCGACGCGAGAATGGCTGAAGGCGGTCGTACCGTCGTCAAAGACATGGAGACTCGGGTGTAAGGCGCCATCACTCTCCGCAGGCGGTACATTCTGCTGGGTCTCCTCAAGGGATGGTGGCAGATGTGCGGGGCTTGGTGCAGTGTTGGAGCCATCACTAGACTCGCCGGACATGTTTGGCGCTGCGGTGCTCCCAGAGGGTGGGGACTTGGAGCTCCATTGCATGCGAGCGCGTAAACGCTCACTGAACCTGCGGGGAGTGCCGGGTGTGCTGGCCGACACCGCTGGGGGAGGGCTCGGGCTGGCGCCACGCCCAAGTCCATTCATCAGGCTCTTGGTGCTGCTAGCGCTTGGACTTTTGGTCATGCCGAAGGCCGTCAGCCGTTTGCCACTGCTACCGCTGCCACCGCTGTAGGTCCGTGGCTTCCTCCACACGGGCGGGCTTTTGCTGTAGCTGCGGTCGTATCCCCCCCTTGTGTTTGCGAGTTCAAGGTCAGACACGGCGGTCATGACGTCTGGGCTCTCGACCGGTAACGAGGCGAGTTGCGCATGTATCGATTGAGGGGACGAATCGACTGACATTGGCTCATCGGGCGTGAACGTTCCAGGTAGCCTGTCTATCGTGTCCGTTCTAACACGCGGTGGCGTCCTGTCCGAGTCGCTTCCCGTGGTGGAACGTTGCCCGGGATCGCTGTGCGAGGTGATTTGTCGTGGCAGTGGTGCAAAAGGAGGTGACTGGGACCACACTCTTGTCCATAAACTCTCCTTGGGGGGTTCCGGGATATCGTCTATTTCAAGGGTGACAGAAGGGGGAATGACACGTTTGAGAACCGACGCTGCAGTCTTTCGGAACTGATACACCTCCTGTGGAGAAAGTGGTGGTATCCCGGCTTCCAGAACGTGCTGGGGCTGCCCGCTGTTGACTACGTCGCCGAGGACCTTGGCGTTGAATAACTGGCTCACGGCTTTGACGGCCTCCGAGTGAGTCTCCTGTCGCTTCTCCAGGCCGCGCAACCACGGACTGGCGAGTCGATTGGTCGTCGCTTCAGCCGCTCGGCTGACCGCCAGGGGTCCTACAGGCGCGGCCAGCGCAGCTGCACCGGCCATAGCAGCGGTAGCACCGGAGTTGGCTTGGGCATCGCGGTGCTTGGATGTGGTGTCGACTTGCTTTTGGTGATTCAGAGCCACGACAGCAGCATATGCCAGCCCACAGCGCACCCCATGTAGATTGACGTCCTCGGTATAGCCCTGGGGCATAAACTTGACAGTCCGCGAGAGGTGCATGCTCAGCCGTGAACTGTGGTCGCTTAGTCGTCGGGTTGAGGACGACGGCCCCTCTCTACTCCGTGCAACGGCCACAAGGAGGAAACATGCCGCACGTAGGGATTCGAGTTCGCACCGCTGGAGGCCGTGGAATTGGTCAAAGAGAGCCTGCAGTAGCTGTTGGGCCCTGTCCTCGCCGATAAAGAGGGCCAGGTCCAGCGAGTGACAAATGTCCCATGCGATAATCTCGGGCCGGAAGTTGAAGACGCGCAACATGGCATCGCGGTTATCGTGCAGGTGCAGGACCAGAAACGTCGCGGTGAGTGCCGATATCTTGTCAATCTGGAAGGCGCTGCGCCGTAACCCTCTCATGAGGCGTCCACTGGCAGTCGTAGGGCTGCCTGGCTGGCGTGGTCAGCTTGGTCTACCATTGTTCGCATACTCACGAGCGCCAGCGATCGCGAACCTGACGGGTGTTCCGGCACCCAGACCTCGACAGACACGGCCTCTACTTGGAGGTAGTGCTCCATCACGTTCTCAAACCATGGTTGATGTACCATTGTGGGCGTAACACTGCGTATCGACGGGGCCACTGTTGTTTTGCGCCAGTCGTTCGGTGCCACCGCCAGATGGCCCTTCAACGCCTCAACCTCGTCGGGCGAAAGCCCCAGCCTGCTGAATCGGAGGTCCGGTGTCTTCTCGATGGCGATAGCGCAGCCCACGCTGTCCTCGAGGCCCGTCTGTCGAAAGGGCTTGCACGGTGGGGTCATGGTGGTGCGCCCCATCCACTCGAGCTGGAGGACTGGATAGAAGGAAACTCGCGAAACATGGCTCGCAGGTGATGGCATGTACTGGACGCGATCGCGTCACCCATTCACTTTGCGTCGCGTACGTCAACCGCGAACACCTCCTCGGGTGCCATGCTATACCTGCGTCATCCCGCGCAGGGGAAGCGTTCAGTACGGTGGACACCCCTGCTGAGGCGGCAAGGTCGACCGCAAGGTTAACGTCACCCGCCGGACCTAGTTTGGTGAGCATAGAGCTTAAACCTGTTGGGTTACACTGGTTGATGATTCCTGTCTCTGTCAAGCCTCCCAAGAGTGCGATGCATCTGCAATAACTTCCTTGCCATGTAAGCATCCCCGCACAGAACTCGTGCTTTTACTTCTAAGACTAGGACAAACGGAGAACCCATGTATCGCTCAAGCGCGCGTTGCTGGCGTCCAATCCTCCCTGGAGCACCACGCCGCCTTGACACACATCGCTCGCGAACCATCCCCGCGCGGCCGGGCCCTGCCCAGCCTCGACCTCGCTCCAGGTGTCAGTGGCCGGGCTGTAGGCCCACACGTCGTCCCAGAAGTTGCCGGCGGCATCGTGTCCTCCAGTAATGCTGGGCTTGCCCTCGCCGAAGAGGAGGACAAGCTTGTCGTCGCCGACAGAGTGCAGGCCACTCACGGAGCGGTGGCCAGGGCCAGCGGCCGCCCCCTTGGTGAGATCACCGACGGCCTCGCGGCTCAGGCCCTCCTGCTCGCCAAACACTAGCGACGACCACTCGCCCGCGTCCAACGCAAGCACGTCAATGGCTCCGCCGACCTCGGTCGTGCCGTTGAAGCCTCCAAAGCGGTACAGCTTGCCGGCGGCGTGGGCGATGGTGGCTCCGCCGCGCGGTGCGCCGGGCGCGTCGGGAAGCTTGGTCCATGCCCGCGTCGCGGGCGAGAACGACCAGACGTCGTTGAGACGACCGGTCGCGGCGTCGCCGCATCCAGCGTGTACGATGACGGCGGTGGGCGTCGCAGTCGAGCAGTGGTACGAGCGGGCGGCGGGGTACGGCGCCGATGGGTCGGCGGGTGTGAGGGTCTGCCAGGTCTTTGTCGACGTGTCAAAGGCGTGCACAGCACCACCCTCGTCGATGGGAGTCATCTCTGGGCCACCGCGCTGTGATTATCAGCTTCAGTACTGCCGGTTGAAAAAGCTGGGTCTGCCGGGCGACGACCGACTCACTCCGCTGAAGACGTAGATCGTGTTGCCGATGACAGCAGCGGTGTGGCCGACACGCGGGGTAGGAGCGCTGTCGGCATCGATCTTGTTGTATGCACCAGTCGCAATGTCCACCACATGAACAGCATTGTCCACCGGCTCGCGGGGCTGAATCTCACTGTGCGTGGTAGTGTCAGTGATCAGAGACGCAGCGGGGTCCCAGACACCCACCCGCCAAAGATGTAAACGTGAGGGCCGACTACGGACACGCTCTGCGACGAGCGCGTGAGGTCAGGAGCAGCAATGCGTGTCCAGGTTGCCTTGGTCATGGTGGTGGACGTGGAATGTGTGGATGGTTCGTCACGGATCACGGATGAGAGGCTAAAAGGGCTCCAAAGTCTTGTCGTCGTCGTCGGTGCCGTCGTGGGGGACTAGACAGCCGTATGGTACAGTCAGGATAAACATCGGAGAGATAAGGGTGAGTGGCACGTTTCTTGGCTCTTGCATTCTTGGCATTTCGTTGTCACTCTTGCTCAATGCATCCTGTACCCTTCTACTAATAATGTGTCATGCGTACAACGCCCTCCCGTGGCAACGTCCACTACCCTGCTTCAGAACTATCCTAACAAGCTCACTCGTTGAGCATCTGGCCGACGGAGGCAACGAGGCGGCCGTCGCGGATCGCCTGGACGATCTGGGAGACCGAGCCGCCGATGCTGCGGCCCGACTTGCCGAGCTGGACATCGCCGCGGCGAACAGGGACACCGACGTCGCCACGCACAGCGGCGTACATGGTGTACGTCTTGCCAAGGTACTCCTTGGCGTCGTCGAGCTTGACGGCGCCGGTCATCTGGCTGGTGAGGATGGTGCGGTAAATGTCCGCGGCCTTGGTGGCAAAGTCGACGCGCCAGTCGGCGAGCTGGGCGATGGCCGACTGGTCACCGTGCTTGACGAGGAAGTCGAAGATGAGGCCGATGAGGTGCTGCGCGGCGTCGTCGAAGCGGGCGGTGCAGTCGGCGTAGGTGGTCTGCTCGAGGCGCTTGACGAGGGCGATCGACGCCTTCTGCTTGAGCTCGGCGAGGTGCGTCTTGGGGAGCGCACCAAAGTACTTGGTCAGGTCCTTGTCAAGGAGGTCGCCGACGGCCACCTGGAACTTGGTGACGGCAATGCGGAGGTCGAGGGCCTGCATGGCGCAGTACATCTGGGTCGAGAGGAGGAGACCAAGGACATCGTTGGCCTCCATGGTCTTGCGGGCCGAGACAAAGGCCATCGAGTTGACACTCTGGTTGTGCATCTCGGTCGACTGGACGTGCGACGACACGGGGTTGGCGAGGAAACCAAGCTCGGCAGTGTAGGCGGCCGAGTGGATGTCGAGGCCCTTGCAGTGGTAGTTGGTCGAAGGGTCCGAGCCGGCGAGGTTGGCGGGAAGGCCACGGTTCATCTGGCCGTTGATGAGCTCGGTGACCTGGGCAAAGGCGAGCTTGCCAATGTTCTGGAGGCAGATACGGGTCGAGTCCATGGCGCTGGTGCACGACATGGCCTGGAAGTTGCCGCCGTGGTGGAACTTGCCCTCCTTGAGGTCAATGAGCGGGTTGTCGGTGGTCGAGTTGAGCTCAACCTCGACCTGCTTGCGAGCGAGAGCGAGGCACTCGAGCTGGGGGCCAATCCACTGAGCCGAGGTGCGCAGGGCGTAGCGGTCCTGGCGAAGAATACCCACATCCTCGGTGAGGGGAACCTCCTCCTCGTCGTGGACAGCGAGCTTGGAGCCAGCAAGCATGGTGCGGATGTTGCGAGCAGCCTCGATCTGGCCAGGGTGGGGGCGGATGGTGTCGTGGATGAAGGGGTCAAACGAACCGACCTGGCCGATAAGGGCCTCGACGGTGAGAGCGGTGTTGGTCTGAGCGACCATGGCAAGGCACTCGGCATCGTAAAGAGCCAAGGCGCTGGCGGAAGCCGAGACGGCAGTGCCGTTCACGAGGCCGAGACCCTCCTTGGAGGCAAGGGTGACAGTGGGGAGCTTGTACTTGGCAATCGCCTCGGGGGCAGAGAGGACGTTGGGGGGGTTGGCACGGGTGTCAAAGACCTTGATGTCCGGGTGGCCACAGATGGAGGCGGCAATGTACGAAAGTGGCGAGAGGTCACCGGAAGCCGAGATGGTGCCACGGAGAGGGATGCAGGGGACAATACCGAGGTTGAGGAAGTCGCTCATGGCCTGGAGGACCGAGAGACGAACGCCAGAGTGGCCACGCACGCACGAGTTGATGCGGATAGCCATGGCACCGCGAACAATGGGGATGGGCATGGCGTGAACAAGCATCGTCTCGTAGGTGGGGTCGACGGGGAGGAAACCGCAAAGCTGGTGCTCCAGGAGCGAGATCTGGAGAGCCTCAGTGTCGGCGGTGCGCGTGTCGGCACTGCCACCAAAGCCGGTGGTGACACCGTAGATGGACATGTCCTTCTTCGAGTCCTTGAAGGCGACCGAGGCCTCGACGAGGGCGTGAACGCTGGGCGAGATAGTGGCCTTGGCCTCGTCGCGGGCGACCGCCACAACGTCACCAAGAGTGAGGGTGTAGCCATCGATAGAGACCTGCGAGGGGGTAACCTCGTCCTTGTCCAGCTTCATCTTGGTGATGTAAGCCTGGGTGGCGAACGGGTCGCTGCGAAATGTCAGCAAGGTGGCGCGCGCGGGAGTGGTGTTGGGTGGCGTTCCAAGACGCGCGTCAACTTACGTCACAACACCATTCTTCTTGATGGAGCCATTCTTGCTAATGGCGGCGTAGGCAGCGGCAGAGGTGGGGATCTCGGTGTCGACGAACATGGACACGTGAAGGGCTTGTGTTGTGGTAGTTGGGTTGGTGAAAGTAAAGAGCTGAAAGAGCTGAAAGTGTTGAGAGATGTGTGTGGCTGTTGGGGTGGGGAGATAGCAACCACGTCGACGGCTGTGTTATATGTAGCCAAACGGTTGCATGTGGGCTGTGGGTGGTGGGTGGCGATCGACGGGGGCGAGCCGATCCTTGCCGCCCCCTCCAGCTGTTTACTGTAGCAGTGGGATCCCATTCTGTATCTTGGTGGCCGGTCGGACCATGGGTGAGGCTACTGTGGTTTAGTCGCTATCGGCGCGCGCCCGAAAGAGGTCATTGCAATTCAGCACACACGGGTACATGGCATTGCCTGTGGTGACCCACTGCCCACAGCGTTTGCCCCGCCTTCGGACCCTGCCCCCCGGTCTCGGGACGATAGTTGTGGGCATGTGGGGACATGCACTGTATCTACATACGTATCTATCGCTCTCGGCACGCGGTGACGCATGAAAGAGGTGGTGTGGGTGCGGCAGCGGACCGATTGATCAGGCAACACAAGCTCCGGCCGTCCAACTTTGTGTTGTGTGTGTCCCTCCAGCGGTGGCCGCTGGCGCTGCTCGGGTCTCAACACGTGCCAATTTGATACCAGCCTCGTTGCGCAGACACGCGTGCTTGCGTAGACTACATGACTGCATACATACGTACATATGGTCCTTGTCGCCCATGCACGGCTAAACCGCCGCCCACCCAGCTTCAAGTGCTGCGATCGTATAGACGGCACATACACTCGGAAAAGGCCGGGTTGGTGCCGTCGATCGCGGGAACACGCGTTCAACACGAGCACAGCTACGCGCCGCGCTGTTGAAAACGAGCTTTTGGGGGGTTTGCGTGTACTCGCTTGTGCCGAGGACTGTGGGAGCGATGGGAGCGAAGGGGAAGTGGGCGTCGAGCCCCCAAGTCAAATCAGAACCTCACAAGGCCCCCGCGGAAACATGGATGCGCTGTAATATTTCTGCAGGCAGTCGTGATCGGCATGGTGTTTGGAGACAGCCGATCAGCCGATCATTACAACCTGTTGATTAGAAAATAATATATTGATTTCAGGCAACCAACATCTCTATTGTGATTCTGCAACGATTCTGATAGTCACCCTCTGCCATTTCCTAATGTATTGAACTATGTTTAACCACACACCATGTGCACAGAATTGACCGCGTCACTCGGCCGTGGCCGAACGACACAAGCCGCGGCCGGACGCTTGGAATGTCACCGCGGGCGGCAGTTGCCTCGGCGAGCCGGCCCCGGACGTGACCCCACCCTCCACACACGCCTCCAATCTGGAGCACCACGCCATCCTGGGCGAGAGAGTGCTGCGGGTACGCAAACGCAGAGATCTGGCTGGCCCAGCATCAGTCACTTTGCCCCCCCTCGATACCCCGCCCACCCGCGCACCACACATCTCCACGCTCCGCGACCGCACCAGCGGCCGTTACGCGGGGCCGTCGTTCGCCGGAGGCGACTCCGTTGCTGTCGTCCTTAAGCAGCAGGCTTGCGCAAGCTGTCACCTCTCTTTTCTCATCAAACTAGTCACCTCGTCACCATGGCCCCCACTTACTACGAGTCTGACCACGTCGCCCCCTTCCTGCCCCAGCAGTCGATCTTCGACTACCTGCTACCCTCGCATCCCGGCGTCTCCCCCCTGCCCGACTGGGACCCTTCGCTGCCTGCGTTCATCGACGCCAGCGATGGCCGTACGCTCTCGCGTGCCGACCTTCGTGAGAACGCCCTTCGTCTCAAGACGGGACTGAACGCGCTCGGCGTGAAGCGCGGCAATGTCGCTTGTCTCTGGGGCATGAACTCGTTGGAATACGTCCAGGCTGTGTACGGTTGTCTTGCTGCGGGCGTTGTTGTGAGCCCTGCCAACGTTGCCTAGTGAGTTCAGCTGTGGCGATCGGGGCCGCCAAAAGCTGACGTCGTAGCTCGCCCGAGGAGCTTGCCCATCAGATCAACAACTCTGGAGCCTCGGTCGTCTTCATTCAGCCCGCCCTCCTTCCTCTCCTCGACAAGGCTCGCGCGCACATCAAGCACAAGATCGACCCTGCCCATGTCATCCTCCTTCGTGCCACCCAGGACAAGGAGCTGGCCGCGGCAGGCATCAAGACAATCTACGAGGTGTACGGCACCCCCGCCGCCGAGGCCGAGCACTTTGACGGCTCGGATTCGCTCGAGACCGCATGGCTCTGCTACTCGTCCGGCACGACGGGTTTGCCAAAGGGTGTCATGACCACCCACTGGAACCTCACGTCGCAGTTGCAAGTGTCCAACGTGGCCTACGAGACTCTCCAGTCTGGACCTGGCGGCGACGTCGTGATGGGTTCGGTCCCCATGAGCCACATCTACGGTGTGACCCTCTCGCTTCTGCAGCCCTTCAGCATGGGTGTCCCCGTCGTTATCCTGCCCAAGTTTGAGGAGATTGCCGCTCTCGAGGCCATCCAAAAGTACAAGATTACCCACCTGCTTCTTGTCCCTCCCCTCTTCCTCCTCTTTGTGCACTCCAAGAACCTGGACAAGTACGACTTGTCGTCAGTTCGCACCGCCATGTCGGGCGCGGCTCCCCTCTCGCGCGAGCTGTCCGAGGCCTTCCTCGCTCGCATCCCCACCGCGGTCGCGCTCCAGGGTTATGGCATGACCGAGACCACGCCCAACATCTGCACAATGAACCGCTCCGAGGCTGCCGGTCGCGACGGTTGGGTGGGCCGCCTCGTGCCGTCGTACCAGGCTCGTCTTGTTTCGCCCGACACCGGTCTCGACGTCGCTCCTGGAGAGCCCGGAGAGCTCTGGGTCCGTGGCCCCAGTGTCATGAAGGGTTACCACAACAACCCCGAGGCGACCGCCGCCACCATGGCCCCCGGCGGCTGGCTCAAGACTGGTGACGTTCTCGTCCGCGACGAGCATGGCTGGTACAAGGTCGTCGACCGCCTCAAGGAGCTCATCAAGTACAAGGGCTTCCAGGTGCCCCCCGCCGAGCTCGAGGCGCTGCTCATCCAGCACCCGCACGTCGCCGACGCGGGTGTAGTGGGTGTCTGGAACGACGCGCAGGTCACCGAGATGCCGCGTGCGTACATTGTCCCACATGAGAGCCTCAAGATCGCCACTGAGGGCGAGGCGGCCTCGTTTGCTGCCCATGTCCAGCGCTTTGTCCACGACAAGGTCGCGCAGCACAAAAAGCTCCGTGGCGGTCTCGTCATCCTCGATGCCATCCCCAAGTCGCCCTCGGGCAAGATTCTTCGCAAGGACCTGCGCACGCGTGCTGGCAAGGAGACGGAGCCCGTCTGGGGCGCCACTCGCGACCGCGAGTCAAAGCTGTAAAATAAGCCCATTTCTAAGAGGCATAACGGGGAACGGACACGTAGAGACGAGAAGGGTGGATTGTACGGCATGGGATGTGTATGGTAGGAGAGCCAATGCATGAAGAAGTAATCTATCGTTCATAATGGGCCGCAGCTGTGCCCCTCAGCAAACATGTCCAGCAAACGTGTCCTCCAGTCTCAGAATGGACGTACTTGCACCAGGCGCTTATGACTTACGAGGCCTATGGTACGAGGCCTACGATTCTACAAACGGCAACCATCTGCTAGAAGCGTCACTTAATTGTGTGCTCCCACAATTGGGACAACGCATTCCCCAGCGGAAGCGACGGTGACCCTCTCACTTCTCGACGACAGACCCGCGGAATGCAGTCGGCAGTGAGGGTCGCTCGCTTGAGATGACCGGGCCCAGAGCCAGTCGGGCATTGTATCTGCGGTGGGGTGTCGACACTGATTCACTGACACAGCCACCTGATCACGGATCACAGTAGCCTTGCGGTTCCAAAAAAGCCGTGTAAACAGCGACAGGGACACAGATCGCAGGTGGTGCGCTGGTGCACCTACATATGCAACCCCGTAGGCGACATGCCATCACAGCACATGATCGGTCGATCGGTCAGGTGTGGCGACGATGAATGGCCTAGATTCAGCTCTTACTATCGGGGGCACCTGACCTTGAGCCGTCGAGCTACGTTGAGGCATGTCTTGGCAAACCTGGCCAGTGGCCAGTGGCCGTTGAACTGCCCGTCCACTGCTGTCTCCGTCCATCTGCAGAAGAGGCTTCGACCTCCGGTTTTTCTGGAACGGGGGGACTTGTATGCTTGATACCCCGATGCATTTGCCGGGCCGGGACCGACCGTCAATGTTCTCCTTCCCGCCTTGGGAGCCATGGACCAAGATCTACAGATCCAAAAAGCGCGGAAGTGGCGCTCTCATTGAACCATGGGCGAATTGAGACTGGCGCTTCAGCGGCACTGGAGGCCAGGCGGTTACAACCTTCCACAGGCCACAGGTCTTGGATCTTGAGACTTTGGAGCTGCTGTGTAAGCTGACGTCGGCGGGACGGCCATCCGAATACGAGAAAGTCGGGGTTCCAATTCAGACGGTCAGTGCCGCCAAGCATGGCGGGCAACAACACCAAGCTGCCAGCTCCCGCATTTCGTCCAATCCAACGTACGCACCGTCGGCATGCGCTCGTAATCTTGCACAGCACAGTATCGGCTGCTGAGCTGCTTTTGGCGTGATCGCTTCGGTTCCTCTGAGACACAACAATCCAGCCAGAACTGGGTCCAGAGCCCAGCAATCCGAGACAATGCGGTGGCCGACAAGAGGATGGGAACCAACATTACATGGCGGTGCCTGAAAATGCCGATCCAAAGCGTCTGGCCGTGGCACCCTAACATCACCATGTCACACCTCTTGGCCTTTTGGAACCATCCCGTCAAAGGTGATGGGGAGAGAGCCGCAAGGAAGTATACAAACGTCGCTGACGCTCGATGCTGAATCAATCTCTTCCCTTTTTCCCCCACTTCCTTGTACCATTTGTACGAGCTCTGTAGCTCTACCATCGCTGTCCATCGCCATCTACCTCAAGTGGTCCCTTTTGGCCTATCCAACACAGCGACATGTCTGGGAACGATACCACACCCTCCGTGGGTGGCGAGACTGGACCCGTATCTTCTCCACTGCCCCCCTCACCGTCACCAGATCCACCCTCACCAAATCCACCCTCACCAAATCCACCACAAGAACTTACAACCACTTCGCCTTTACCTGATCCATCCACATCACCCTCGACGTTACCACCGTCATCCGTCTCCTCCTCAAGCCCAGACGGCGGAGGCCCAACCGACCCACCCCCAGCAGTTATAGTAACAGACACGAGTACACAGTCAGAGACAACAACAACTACTACTGTCGTTTCAGACACTGCTACCTCTTCGCCTCCACCCGATGTCATTGCCACGAGCACAACAACTGATAGCTCGTCACCCACTCCCGGGTCTCAGTCCCCACAGAGCGTGACTTCTACACCCGTAAGCGGTGGGTCCACTACTACTGTTCGTGAGTATTCAACGTTTGCTGTGCCTCCGTTTCTCGTGCGATGAGAGCCTCACTGTCGGCGTGGCTTCCACTGCCTCCTCTGAGAGCACTGCGGAAGCGAGCGGATCCACATTGGCGTCGTCATGCAAACTGACTCTCCTCAAGGAAGCACCATGTCACAGACACCACTGCCGACCGTCTCGAAACCCGGTGCCACACCGTATACCACCACCGTGACCATCACTCGCACCAATTCCGCTGGCCAGCTCTACACCACCACAACGTCTATTGTCGTATTCCTCAGTCCCACCAGCAAGGACAACACAGCCGTCATTGCAGGTGCCGTAGTCGGTGGCGTCGGTGGCGCTCTCGTCATCGCCGTACTCGTGTGGCTCTGCTGGCGGCGCAGGAAGCGCAGCGTCGTGTTCCCCGACGACATCTTCCAGCCTGGTGAGAGCCGATTCTCAAACTCTGCAGGCGGCGGCATTCTCGACGAAGAACCCGAGCCCGTCACCATGATGGGCGAGCCCAGCATGATCAGCCCGTTCCCGAACAACGCAGCCACGTATTCGACGTCGTACGATGCCTCGGCGGCATCGGCAAGTCACGCGCGGTCGTATTCGCAGACCAGCTCGTCGCGACTCAGCGGGCAGTACCAGGACTCGCAGGACCACCTTAACCCTATGGACAACAGGGCCCTCTCACCCACCAGGGCTCTCTCACCCGCCGAAGCCAAGCGGCGCGAGGCGTACGGGCCATACGAGCGAGCAGCTGCTGGCATTACGGGCACCACCCCGCTCATGGACAACTACTACCAGTCGCCACCGGCCAGTGTGGCGGGTACCTCCACCTCGGAACCGTCCACCTTCTCAGGAGCGTCCGAATACAGCGATGGGTCACGCACCGGTCTGCGCGCAGCCGCGAACCCGTTCGGCACGCCCGGGCGTTCATCTGAAAAGGACAGGGACTACTTCTCGACCTCGAACAGCCGTACGCGACCACAGTCGGACCCGTTCCTCTCTCCCGACCAGTCATCGCAGCACCTTCCGTCGGGATCTGGATCCGCCCCCGACGATGCGTCCTTTGCCGACTCGCGGCTTTCAGATGTCAGCGAGGAAACCGCGGGAGGTAGCAGGGGTGCAGGGCGACTCGGCCCCGCGTTTGCCGGCGCGACCAGTCCACGCAGTTTTGGGGCCACGATGGAGACTGAGGAAGGCGACGATGAGGGACAGCCAGACTCTGGACACGCGCAGGACATCATGGTACACCGAGACATGGGGGCTCTGGAGCTCCCACCGACGTGAGTCGTTCAATCGAATACAAGTCGTTCACAGTCTAACGCTCAGCTACGACTCTATTCCCGGCAGCGGCAGGTAGGAGGAGAGAATGTGTGAACACAGAGACGTACATGTACATGCCAAAAAACACGATGCACTCTTCAGGTTATTGTACTTTGTTGCATTTAGTTACTCTTATCTGAGACTACATGCAACACAGAGTCACTTTGTTAGTGTAGAGAACACCGCCTCGTTAGGTCCACCAGCACGCGGGTGGCATGTGTGGTGTGGTCCGCTTTTGAGCTCCGCGGAAAACACACAGGTACGCAGAGTTACTTTCGGGAGGTGCGCTTACTGTAATACCGCGGTCCGCCAAGCATCACTCAAACTTTGTAATCGACGTCCACGGACGTCCATGGCAGCTGCCCCGGTGTCCCACTCTTTGGAACTGTGTTTCTCATGACTGGAACTGGGTAATGCAAGTTGGAACCCTGCTGTCTGACACTCCAACCAGCCTGACATTCGTGGAATCTGTTCCTCATCGGATGTGACCCGCACACACCAGAGGCGAATGCTATCTAGAGCAGCTACCCACAATGTGGTCGAACAAACGGAAGTACAGTGACCGCATGTGTCTAATCCTCTCACCAGAGGTCTGTCAGAGGCCCAAAGGCCAGAGGCCTTTCCAGTGGCGTCCGATTTCATTGCTGCATGGTGCCTCGTGAAGACTGGAGTGCAATGTACATTGGTGCCATCAGGGCTCCCGCTGGTTGGGTCACACGTACTCCCTTCCCATGAAGCACTGGGGAACCACTCGTTTGTTGGGACAAAGCAGCGACCCACGGTGGCGGGTAACTGTGCGGCGGTACCTCGTCGTCAGACTGCACTGCAGCCAACCTTGAGACAGCAACCATCGCTGCTAGCACCGGTGCTACATCCGCAGTCACACATCATCTGCTGCCTATGTATAGACGTTAAGAGTGGGATGCAGGGGGAGACAGGTGACTCATGACTCGCGGATGGCTGATGATATGCCCCGCCGCAGAACTGGATAACCTCCGGCACTCCGAGACCAATCCGACACGCACATGGTTTCATTTTGTTGACATCGGCGTGCTCCCGCCATCAGGCCCGCAGGTCCGCACGCACCAGTGGAAAGCAACCGACTCGACGTGCCGTAAAGCCTGAGGGATGGAGGGATCGAGAGTGAAGACTCCACCTGAGACGAGCCCAGGAAGCCAGAGAGAGTCACCAGAAAAGTCCAACATGAGTTGTCTCCCGTCCCGTACACCAGGGGGAACATTCCGGTGTGCCTCGCCCTGGTCAAGAATACAGTGCTACCAGGCCGCGAGGACACAATGCGCAGCACACGTACATACTTTATGTACTCAGCCTCCCAGAACCTTGGCAGTCGCCGGGGTGTGTGCCCTCCCCAGTGCCCCCCTGGTTTGTGTGGTGGAAACACAGTCCGTACGTCTCGGCGGTGCCATGCAGCCCACCTGTGCTGAGGCCTTCACCACCAACCATCTCATCTTCGCTTTGATCTCGTCACTTACTTCTACATCACTCTTAGTCACCACGTTGGACAGCGCTCAAGAATGGGAGAATGAGTGGTGAGTCCGCCTGATCGGCGGTGATGTGGCGGAGGCCGCAACTCCCAGCTTCGCGAATCTTGAAACCAACCTACCCCAACGAATAGATACAATTGCTGAACATCGCAGCGATACCAGCGCCAACACCATCGCCAGCCGTGGACACCAGCTTCCCTGACGCTCCTGCGGTCACTTCGGCCGTCCAGAACCTGCCCAGCAACGACCCCGTCGCTGCCGGAGCGTCACCTGAACCGCCCACTGCAAGCGACCCCCAAGTCATCTCGATCCCAAATGGCGCAGCAGCATCGCCATCTAGTTCTGGGGCTGCTCGAGTTACACCCACAGACATACCCCTCCCCACCGCCACACTGGCGGACGACACTGCTCTGGTCATGGCTGATGAATCGACAACATCCTCCGGGCGCAAAAAGTCCACATCCACTGTGTATGTGCTGGCGTCGGCCACGTCCCCAACCCATACCAGCACCACACAGATCAAGTACACCAGCATCGAGTACGTGACCGTCACGAGCGATAACGTCGTCCACACCACCCAGAGCGCCGTGGTCGTTTATGGAAACAACAAGTCCAATGCGGCCGTGATTGCCGGCGGCGCTGCCGGCGGAGCCGTAGGTCTGGGACTGCTCGTGGCCTTGATGTGGTTTCTCTGGCGTCGCCACCACCGAGGCGTCGCGTATGACAGGGACATTTTCGATCCCAACATGACACACTCGCACTACTCGACGGAGAACGGCAGTGAAGACGAAAAGGTTGAAGCACCGATGTCCCCGATGAGCACGACCACAGCGGCAAACGGCTTTTATCCTCCTGACAAAAAGGAAGCCACCAGCCCCACCCCGTCTGACGGTTTCGACTGGCAGTCTCCGTTCAGCCCAACGAGTCCCGTGAGCCCAGGTGGACCCAGGAGTCCACAGATGGGCTCCAGAAGTCCACCCATGAGTCCGCCGACGAGCTCGGAGGGCGGCACCAGCCCTTGGGGTCCTGCCGTGGTATTGCCCGCGACGTATGGTCGTCGCCCGTCGGTCCGTCGTGGCTCGACAGACCGGACTAGCTCGTCCTTCTTGGTACCACCGCCACCCACCCGTCCTCCTCGTCGTGTAGCACAGCCAACGTCTCCCTGCTCGACTGCACGCCCGATCAGCGAATTGTCACACTACAGCGAACCATCAGTGTACAGCCACAGTGTCCACTCGGGATACAGTCATCCGGAGGAGGCCCACTACTACACCGAAGAGCGCGAGGGCGAGGTTCAGCGACAGAGCTGGATGTCTCTACACCCACCACCTCATACACCACCTCCCCCGACTCCGGCCACCTCCCCGCCACCTACTTCCATGTCTGCAGTCGAAGCCAGGCGGCGCCAGGCCGCAGCTGTGCGTGACCAGCGCCTCTCGGACATGGGCGTCATCCCACCCGTGTCGCCATCGGCTACGCCCGTCGCCGCACAGCCACCTGCACCGTCCGTATCCCCGCCTCTCCCTGTGGGGTCGCCGACGTCCAACCGCGGACCTGTCATCGTCAGTCCCATCGGATCCAGCACCTCCCTGTCTTCGTACGGTATGCACGAGCTCAGTTCGCCCATCACCGCTCTACCCTCAGGGCACAGCGCCGCCGCTCGGTCCAACATCCCACTCGGCATGCGCTCCGACCCAGCGATCGCGTGCATTGCCCCCTACGTCCCAGGCGTCACCGCCAGAGGACCACCAGCCCGGGTCGCCGCGGACAACGAGAGCCTCCTGTCCGGATACTCCGAGGACCAGCTGGCTGGGTCCACAGACGCGGGACACTGGGACCCCTCTCCGCCCCAGCCACTGTTTGCCGAATTCCCCACGCCGAACCACCGGCGCAACAGTCCCGTCGGCAGCGCGGACGTCCCCAGCGACGTCAGTATTGGCAGCGCCGCCGTCGGTCCGCCCGGTCCCCCGTCCCCGCATATCTTCCAGCACACAGACATGGCAGTCGCCCAGCAGAACGCCATCGCCGCTACTGCGGCTGCGACACCTGCTCCCCCGGAACGTCCCCCGCGCCCCGAACGCCTTCCACCCAAGTACAACTCTGCCCGCAGCCGTGGTGACGTGATTTGAAAACACGAACCGTTGGTGGTCGAGTCTTACGTTTATATTGCCAGTTGTAAGGTTTCCATAATGCACGCACACACGAGCTTCCAGTCCTGAAGTTGCTGGTGGGTCGCCAGTGTGGCAGGATCGGCGTGTACATATTGTGGCAGAATCGCCACTGAGGAATGATCTCCAAAGGAGGTTACGTGCTCAACGTCCGCATTTATGCATCCCACAACACTACTACAACGCGAGTGTTTTTTTTGACTTATACTCTCCAAACACCTTTGATCACGACCTCTTGGCCCCCAGCCAGGTTACAAACATCGACCCCCCTACTCCTTGTGCTCGACTTCTAGCTTCTCCACCGACCGAGCGGCGTTCTGAGCGTAACCCCCCTCTTTGTCCGCCACAGAACGGTGTACGGTGGGACCGTCAAACACCTGGGCCATCTCCTCGAGAGTGCGACCCTTGGTCTCCTTGACATAGAGGAAGAAGATGACGAGGCTGACAATGTTGACTGCCAACGGTACGTAGTAGTACTTGTATCCAATGTGCGCAAACGCAATGGGAACAACTGTTTGACGGGTCAGTGAGGGGCCGCTGGGGAGTATGTAGGTGGATGCGATCACACGCACTGTAGTTGCCAAAGATGGTCCAAATAGCAAAGGTGAAAGTCGCAACGGCGATTCCGGCAGTACGCAGCTCGAATGGCAGCATCTCCGTGAGGTCTGCAGGTCAGACATCGGATGCGGTAACCTATGCGTTACTCACAAAGAAGCCAGATGGGGTTCGGACCAACACTGTACGCGGTCATGAATATGAATATGGTGGCGATGGCACCCTTGCCGACGTTGGGGTGTTCAGCTGTGACCGCCTGTGTGTAGGTTAGTGACAGGTGATGAGCAGACAAGACTTACCATGAAAGCAATCTGCACGCCCATTGAAACCGTCATGATTGTGATCGTTACCATGTAGAGTCGACGACGTCCAAATCTCTCGATGTACAGGCAAGTAACCATGGAAACGAGGAGCAACCACATGGTAAGGCCGCAAACGATGCCTTGGAGCGTGAGTGCCCCAGTGACGCCACACATTACGAGCACCTGGCCCAGGTAGCTTCCCAGAATGTTGTTCTGTGTGGCGATCAGTTTGAATCGTGACATTTAAACGGTCACTTACGCCCGCCATGGCCATGCTGAAGCTGAGGAACACGCAAAGGAAAATACGAAGCCTGTTTCCTTTGGTCTGGAAGAAGGCAAGGTACGGTTCCACGCCAGTTGGAAGCCCGTTCTCAAAGGTCACCATTTCCTTAATCTCGCAGAGCTCCATGACGACGAGCTCGTCGTCCATGTCTCCGTTGGCGTGAAGCTTGGCAAGAAGTCGGTGTGCATCTTCCTCTCTTCCCCTACTGACGAGCCAGCGGGGAGACTCGACCATCCAGGGTGTGCATGCCCAAATGACAATGGGCACGCAGCCGAGGCACTGCAGGATAAAAGGAATACGCCATGCCCAGTCAGAATCGAAGTAGGTGACGCCAAAGTTGACCCAACCAGCGACGGCCGTTCCCAAAAAGTAAACGTTGGAGAATGACGCTGTAGCTGTGGCGCGGAAGCGTGGGTGGGCAGTCTCGGCAACCAGCGAGGGGATGGCCACAAGGTTGCAAAAGAATGCCGTTCTGTCCTGTCAACAAAAAACGAGACTGTATATTTTTGCTGTTTCAACATACCCCACGAGGACACGGGCTGCGATAAATGTGCCAAGGGAGTTTCCCAGTCCTCCAAGTAATGACCCAAAAATCTGAATGGTCAGTCCGCGACATCACTATTTCAGCTTACGCCGATCAACGATCCTAAGGCCACGACTGGACGACGGCCAAACCTGTCGCAGAGCGACTGGAAGACGTAAGGCATGCTGCGATCACAGTCAGACCCGGAACACCGATATGGTCAGTGACATACATGACGCCGGCTTTTCCTGTCAGTTTCCAATAATGACCCTTTGTTGTACTCACGGAAATAGTACGAGGTCACAATGAGGCCCAGCGTGGCTGACGACGGGGCAAACCGCCTGTCGGGATCAGCTTTGACGAAGGACACAAAGGACACATCGGTGGTCCTCACGTTTGCCAGGAGGGAAGAACTTGAAGGCCATTGATAAGAACACCATCGTAGCCGTTCGAAAAACACCCAAGGAAAAGGATGGCAACGTTGGCAACGCACAGACGGAGCCCCTTGTCTTTCCACCAGTACTTGTTTGTGTTATCTATGGGGTTGTCAGGGGTTTCGGCCTCTCTCTCAGGTAAACTCACTCTCCCATTCCGTCCAGGGTTTGGGCGACATGTTGTGAGCAGGCGACATGTTTGTGAATGTGAGGAACCCCATGGAGTCCCACGGAGAGAGGCCTTTTTGTACTGTGCTGCACTCGACATACTCCGTGTCACCTCCAAACTTGGTCCGCCACGGATTCGGTCGTTGCCGGCTGGCGGATTAAAACACCACACTGCCGGCTCTCTCGATGGTGGTGCGGAATCAGATTGTTCCGAGTCTGCAGTGGCGTCTGTGGATCTGTGGCCGGCAACTGGCTACTTGACATGTCATGTGGTGGCCTCCTCGAATCACACTCATCACACGTCGACGGCCCCGGCACCTCCGAGATCTAGCTGTGGCAGCTGAATTGGATGGGTCTCCCGTGTGGGTGTGGTTGTGCTCTGGGTAGATGGGGCCGGTGTGATACCCCCGGCTGCGGTGGCGCGGGGTGGCCAGTCTCGTCTCCATGACACTGCAGTTGGTTGTCTAAGGCCGTCACGAACGTTATGTGCCACGCTCTCACCCATTTTAGAGAGAGGAGACCCATGTGGGCTCCGTCTGGGCTGTTGTGGTCTGTGGATATCGTTCATATCCGCAGTGACAAGAGACCGTGGCTATATCAATGTCGAGGGGTTGGTTTGTCCCTGAGGCTCCAAAGCGCCTGACTGCTGCGACCTGCAACCTGCAAGCTGACAAAGCTGACCACGCTCTGGCCCTGTTCATGTATCCATGTCCTGCGAGCGAGACGTCTCCAGCACCACGGTACAGTTGCAGTGACCAACTCTCGGCCTGTCCCTCGCATTTACCGCGGCCCAGAGCAGGCCAGTGTTCCAAACGGGGGCCAGACCTTTCCACGCCATATCCCCACTTTTCCGCGCCGCCCACACTGATCCAGCGACGGAGGCAGTTATTCCTTGCCGCTTTTGGATTAATCCCGCGCCACCCACCCACAATACGCTCCACCTCCCATTCTGCGCACCCATCCACCACCACAATATCTCGTCGCACAAAAAAAAAGTCAACAATGAAGAGGGTGCACGCCACAAGAGCATGCGATCCAGTGAGCACACTCCATCTGATGGCTTGCTGACCGCCAGTGCATTCGGCGCAAGATTCGCGTGAGTAGGAGAGCGCGGACATGCTCTGCTACCCTGTTCCGCGCCCACCTTTCCGTGTGAACCCGCTTCATTGACTGACCGTGCTCCATTCAGTGCATCTCGGAAAACGCAGGCGAGATCTGCAAGAACTGCGAGCGGCTAAAGAAGACGTGTACTTGGACGAAAGAGCGACGACCTCGAGGACCCAGTCGTCGCTCGGACGTCAACCACGATGGATCCCAGTCCAACAGCAGCCCCGAGGCCGCGCGTCATGAACTCGAGCGGGCCAACGGTCACCATGTGCCCGCTGGTGCACCCATGCCGGGCGATGTGACGCGCGAGCCACTTGGGGCCGCAGCTGGCATTGGACTGCAGCCCCAGCCGTCCTTGTCGTCCACGACCACCACGCCGTTTGACCGTATCAGTGCCAGCGCAATGAGTCTCCCGCCGCCCGCGGTAGAGCCGCTCCAGCCAGGGCTTGGCGACCCCCCGATCGACTTGCTCAATGTGGACAGTATGTGGCCGGAACTTGCTTCCGGCCAAGCTGTCACTTCCTACATGGAAGCCTCGGTGAGTTCCATCGACCCATGTATGGGTGCATGCTGACGCACCCTACCAGGACTGGATGTTTGTGCAAGCGCTTGGGCCCAACTTTCGCTATTCAAACGGCTTTGGCCTCAGCGATGACGCTATGCTTGCGGGCCAAGCTCCCCAAACCGTCTCATCGGTGGATTCGACCGCCTTTCCCGTCGATGACGTTGCACTCCTCGGTTACATTGAATCCTACTTTGGTGCAAACCATTGCATCCTCCCTATCGTCGAGCGGCACGATGTGCTCTCACGCCTGGCCAAGAATGAGCACTACACGGACCAGCGCTTCATGGCCCTTGTATACTCGATGGTGGTCGTTAGCGAGATGATCGAGGACGTTGCGTGGCCCCCCAACCGACGGGTGCGGGCAAACGTCGTGCGCGACTACATCGCCATTGCTCAGCAGAACTTTATCCATCCAGCTGCTAGTGGCGACTTTAGGATCGAGGACATTGCCACCTGTCTCAACCTGAATTTTGTTTGGGTCGGCATGGCTGACAAGCCCTCGGCTTGGTTCTGGCTCCAGCAAGCCCTATCGATTGCCCAGGCGCTCATGATCGATGACTGGGACCCGGACCTTACCCATCCCGAGTCGCTACAACGCCTCAAATCTTACTATGTTCTGTAAGTCTCGCCTCCACTGTGCCTTGCTGACGCCAGTGTCATTATTGAACGCGCCACGGCACTGTTCCAGTCCACCCTTGTCCTTGGCTCTCAGCAAGGCTTGCGACTCACCGGCGACGTCTGGGACATGACAGCTGAATGGCGTGCAGCCCTCCCGCCAGACGCGCTCGACGACTTTCCTCTCCTCCACATGAAGCTGTTCAGCATCATCACCCCGGAGATTGTTGCCTGTTGGCGTGGTCGCTGCGCAAACAAGAGGAGACTGTGTACGCGCTGGTCGGCAGAGTCGGCCGTGCGTGTCCAGCAGACGTTTGGCCGTGAGGTCGCGTCAGCCATGGCACTCCCCAAGACGGCCGAGTATGTCAAGCTCACCATTACCGCGGTGTGGATTCAGGAGTGAGTACGCTGGGCCAACGCAGTGGGAAACAAGCAAACATTGCTAACCGCCAGCCGCCTTTGGAACCTTCACCGCACCCACGGTCTCGTCAAGCACGACCACCACTACCCGGAACTCTCGCTCGACCTCGTGATCGTCAACCTTATCCGCTGCAGCGACTACTGCGCCACCGTCGCCAACAAGGAAAACTTTACGGCGTTTGACCTTTGCATCAAGATTGCCGACCTCGTCATGACGGCCATTACGATCATGGGCAGCAAAGAGCCGTGGATCCAAGGCAGCGACCGCGAGATGCTCAGCATTACGTTCCGGCCTCTTATCGATCGGTTCATTGGCCTGTTGATGTCGATCAAGCACGAGGACCTCGCCATGGAGCTGGTGCGCTCTCTGCAGGCCGTGCAGGCGGAGATGTGAGCAAGAAGGACAGTCAGGGTGTTGAAATTTGAAAACCCCAGTAAAATGAACGCAGAGGGCTCGTTAGGAGGTGTTGTATACCGGATGTGAAGGTGTGTAGTGATAGTCGATATATAGCCGTTTTAAGGTAGATGTGATGATATGAAATGTTTCTTTAGGCTACCACGCGTGCGACAGTGTGTTATTCCTCATGAGATACCATGCGACAACTCTACATTTCTACGTCTACAACTTTGCCTTGTCGTCCACGATACGGTCATAGCTGGCCCTGATCTCCTCTTTCGAGCCCCATCCAACCGCGATGGTCTGAAGGAAGCGCCAAGCCGCGTCGGCAATCGCTGCCGGGTCGGCCTGGAGACACAGGTGGTCGGTGTCGGGCAGGTGCTCATTACGGGCCAGTGGGGGGCGCCACACCATCTCCTGGTTGAGACGCAGCGGGAACAGGCTTTTGGCAACCACAAACCCGACAGGGACATGCAATGTCGGGAGCTTGTCCCACGACCGCGCACCCGACACGGGCTCCATAAAGACGGCAGCCTCGGCCCATGTCGGCGTCGCGAGCACGACTGGCGCGTCGTCAATGTCCGGGTCCCCCACTGAATCCGTCTTGCCCTCGGCGTCGACGCGCACGAGGCCATGGCTGAGCGTGAGCGCAAACACCTCGGGGTGCCACGCGCGGTAAAAGTCGAGCTGCTGCCATGTCCTCCCGGCCTCGGCGCGGCTGGGCCACCCATCGCGCCGTTTGAGCGCGGCACGTACGTGCCCTGCAGTATCGGGCTCTTGGAAATCTTCCGCCGACTGCAGTTTTGGGGCGATAAGCGAGTCGGCGAGGAAGAGGCCGGCGTACAGGTCCGGACGGGAATGGGCAGCCATTGTGTGGCCAACTCCACCGTAGGACCCGCCAAAGCCCAGGATGCGCACGGGTGGGGCAGCGCCGTCAGCCAGCCAGGACAACTGCCATGGCGGTGCGTCCTGCGCTTTGGCGCCGGGCAGGACGTGTACAACAAAGTTGAGGATATCCCGTCCGACGTCGTCCCAGATCTCCACGGGGCCATAGGCGCCGGCATTCAGGTCGACCGACGCGCCGTGGTTGTGGTGGTCCATAAGCCAGATATCGTCTATCAGCACGTCTGGGGTGTAGTCGAGCGGGGCACCGGTACCGAACGCGATGGCGGGGCTCGAGTCCCGAGTCCGCGCCAGCAGTCGGCGCAGTGTCGGGTGCCAGTGTTCCTTTTGCGTCCCGTTGGGGTGCGTGCACACGATCGTGTGGCCACCAAGTGGCACGTCGCGCTTCCACCGCTCGAGAGCGACAAACATGCCCTTTGGTTGGGCCGCTAGACCTTCTTCAAGGGTCCACTCGTGCGATTCAAGACGAGCCTGGACGGCCGCCCGTGTCAAGTGGTCCAGACGCGCATGGCGCTCGGCTTTGCTTTCCCCCTCGCGCGGGGCAGGATCGCCAAATGGGTGCGAGTCACGGCTCAGCGTCCCGTGGCACTCTCGAAGGTCGTGCGGGTACGCCGCCGGCGCGGCGTGGAACGATCGCGTCCACCCCGCAGGCAGGGGAGCGAGTGTCGGACGTCGTGGAGGAGGCGGGGCCGTGTTGCCCGGGTGCGGGGCCAGTGGGAGAAAGTGTGGGGTGGTCACCGGCTCCGGGGGGAACAATGGCGGGCCCCGCTGCACGGGAATACTGTTTGGTCGGGTGGACGAGACGGACAGCGACATGGATGGTGAGCGATGGGGAAGATACTCGCCGAGCAGGTCGACTGCGGTTAATATAGAGAACATGGTTACCGGCTCGGACGAAGCCGATCGGCGCCCGCGCCGCCGGGTTTCGGGATCACATCAGCGCAAGACTCACACCATCTGGGGAACTCGTCGCGGTCCTGCCAACCTTGAAGCGCAAAGGCGTATGTGTGGCCGACATGCCCTAATGCGCTGTATGTCATCGCGGGCCGACCCAGTTCATGGTCATGCACAACGGCAGCACCATCACTATACCCACGGAACCAAAATGAAAGTGGCACTAACACACACCTCCCTCACCATCTCTTCCAACACCTTCTGCACTCTTCCAACACCTTCTGCACCTCCAGACATCTAAAAAGTTGGACTAGGGAGGCAATGAAGCCCCTGCTGACGAGAGTGGGATTCGAACCCACGTCCGAAGACTGCGGATGATCTTCTGCCAGAGACAGAAGAAAACCTTAACACAGCGCCTTAGACCGCTCGGCCATCTCGCCGAGTACATTTCAAAGTTGCAAAAAGAGGCGCTTTCAGATCTCTTTCATATTCGCAGATAACATGGCACATAAGCCCAGAAGGCCACATTCTGAAAGCGAACACAAGAGGACTCACTTTCTCAATGTCGGATCGTATTGTGGTTAGTAGGATACAGGCTGGTATGGCAAGATAAAGGAGGGAGGGAGGAGGAGATGTCTCCCCCAAGGGTCTCGGTTTTTGGACAACGTCTGGGGCACTCTAGGTGCGTCCTTGACGTCTGCATTTTGGTGGCCATTGGAGGCCGTTTTATTAACTTGGATACGTTTCGATTTTAACTTTTGAGGCTTTCCTATCGCTTTTGTTTTTAAGGCGTTTGTTATTTGACTGTTTGGCTGGCTCCCGCTTGGAGAGGCGCTTTCGATGACAGACGTGAGCGCTATCGTAGTCTGTCCGTTGGTGGATTCTTTAGGACGGTCGTCGGATTCTTAGGACCGTGGTCCAATCTTAGGACGGTCGTCGGATTCTTAGGCCGGTGGTCCGATTCTTAGGACGGTTGTCGACTTCTTAGGGTGGTTGCCCGTTATTTGATGGCTAGGAGGGGCATGGGGGTTACCCTTCCCCTAAAATGCCAGCATCAGCCTGCTGGTTGTCATAGTGGGGAACATGTCCTGGACAGCCTTAAACGACATGAAGCCGCACGACTCGCTTTCAAGGTGGTTGGCAGTCGAGGCGAGGCTCTTGAAGTCGTGGGCGCACTGGCGGTTGGGGCAATGGTAGACTTCCGGCCGATGGACTGGCGAGTTGAGGTGTTGCTCTAGACCACGGCGAGAGCTGAGCATCTTGCTGCAAAGCACGCACTCCCACCCACTTCCGTTGTAGGACTCGTCAGAAGCTGTCCACGTTTCGTGGCCGTGGTATTCGATGAGGTTCTTGGACAGGAACCCGTGGGGGTCCTTGGCGCGGACAAAGTCGTAGATCTGTTGCCGGTTGAGTTTGATATTGGGGCAACCCCCATTCTCGAGATGCGCGGTCACTCCTGCAGCAGTGGCGAATCCACCTTTGCACCAAGGGCAAGTAATGTTAGATCCAACATGAACGCCAGAACGAAGGTGCTGCTGGATGTTGTTGGAGCTACGGAACTCCCTCGTACATGGGCCGCACCAGAGGTGGTCGTCAATTTCGTGCTTTCGCTGGTCCTCTTCATTATGGAACAAGTAGTGACACTTGTCACACTCGAAGTTTGGGCGACCGTGGCCTGTTGCTTTGCAGTGCTGGTTGCGGGCAAGCCAGCCCGCCGGGAATGCGCGGTGGCAATCACCACATTCGAAGTGATCGTTCCAAGGGGGCATTGAGGGGGGAAGTCGTAAAAGAGCCAGAGGATGGGAGTGATGGGTGATTAAGAGGATTGAAGAGGGAGGATTGAATAGGAGGATTGAAGAGGAGGGTTGAAGAAAGGGCGAGTGACTGAATGGCCAAAAGCAAGAGAGGAGGGGGGAGTGATGAGTCATGAGCCGCGACTGTTGGTCTTAAATACATAGACCTCAAGCCCAAGAACGTCCCCATCCCCATACGCATTGACCGTCGGCCTCCAAAACACAAAGCCACTGCACAGACAATCTACCCCAGATAAACTGGCTTGGCGAGGCACCACATGCGGAACGCGGGGTGGCTACGTGGCTGATAACACGATCTTGGCTTGTTCCTGCCACGCCGTCGTCCCTTGTTCCCTGCGGGCCGATGTTAGGCGTCAGAATGTTCGTTCGCAGACTGAGGGAGAGGGTATTGAAAGGCAGTAACATCACAGTGTGTCTGAGGTTTCAAGGCGGTGGGGTATACTCAGCGGAAGGGAAGGGGAACACCCCTTTCGGGGGAGCTGGCACCTTTTCGCCGGGGACATGATCAGAGCGAGGAGAAACAGGCGGTAAAAGAAAGTTAAATTGGGAGTTGGTAGGGGAGAACGAAGGTGGGAGGTTGGAGGATCATCCGGGTTGCACAGTACGTGGGGACGGAGACATGAAGGGTATAGGTGTATACCTTAGGAGAGAGCCAGGGGTCGGTTTATTGGTATCGCGTGGAAAAGGCCGAGCGGTGGAGGAGTCCCGGACATGTGGAAAACGTGTGGTTGAATTGCAGTTCTTGCAGGTCTACCGCTTCATTAGCCCGAGGCCCTAGAACGTAAGACGGCGAGTGCTGCTGATGAGGTCGGCCATCGAATCCTGAACCCTCTGGAAGCGGGTGAAGCCGCACGACTCGCTCTCAAAGTGGTTGATAACAGCAGCGAGGGTAGTGAAGTCTTGGTGACACTTGGGGCAGTGGTACAAAGCGTGCTGGTCTGGATGTCAGCGATGGGGAAAGATCCTGCACACACGGATAGGAGAGTTGAGATGCTGGTTCAGGCTCCTGGAAGTGCGGAAGGTGCGGTTGCAGAGGTAGCACTCCCACGCACTTCCGTTCCAGGCCTTGTCGGTGGCGGTCCACTGCTCGGTGCCTCCGTAACCGATGAGCTTCTTGGAGAAGACACCTTCGGGGTCCTTGTTGCGGATAAAGTTGTAAAGCTTGTCGCGGCCAATGTCAGCCTTTGGGCAGCTGTTCCGTTCCAGGTGGTGGGTGAGTCCCGTCGCAGTGGTGAAGCCACGCTTGCAGAATGGGCACAAAACGTTTTGGCCGCGGTGAAGACGGGAGTTGAGGTGCTGCGATGCTCAGTACAGGGGAGTGACGACACGGAGGGTGGGAAGGGATGGAAGGCAAGAGGGAAGGCAAGGTGGGAAGATGAGCAATGTCGCAAATCCAGGCCGCCGCTCGAAGATGCCCTCTATGTACAGTACCACGTCATGTTGGCGTGCAAGTTCGAAGCAGTAAGAGTGGGCCGATAAACAGGCAATGCCCATAACTATATGGATGGAGGCAACTTACCTGCTGGATGTTGTTGTAGTTCATGAACTTCCTGCAGCAAGGGGCGCAGTAGTATTCGTTGTCGATTTCATGCTGGTTGCGGGCAGACTCGTAAAGGTACCAGTTGCCACACCCACAACGACACGGGTAGTCGTAGCCCATGTCGGCGTGCGGCCCACAGGAGTGACAAGGGGAGATAGAGAGAGAGAGAGAGAGAGAGAGGGAGAAAGAGGATCGAGAGGAAGAGAGAAAGAACGAAACAAAGATGGACAGTTGTGTGAAGGGTGAGTCAACCTGGCAATACACACACCCATCACCGCAATGCGGGTGCGTGCGCTGGTACAGAACATAGCATGCTGGCGCGCCGCAGTCTGTACAAACCCGCCCACTCGAGAGCTACGCTCAGCACAAGGCTGCAACGACGTGAAGAGGTGAACCCATCACGGCCTTCTCTGTTTCTTCTGTTGCTGCTGGGCCGCGGTCGACTCGTTGAGGCCCCTCTGCGACTGTCTCCCACAACAACAAACTGGATCACCTCCACCTTTCATCACGTGACTTCGCTGACCTGAACCACAACGGCGTGGATGCCGGTTCCGCCTTCCATTCGAGTTCTACACCATTGCCCACCTACCGCGGGTGACCAACAAGTGCACAGTTTCACGCTAGAGATCCCTGCCTCGACGCTATCTTCAAGATTCCCGTTCGAACGCGTGGTGCATTCCCGTTCGCAGGCACGAACGTGGAGCACCATCTCACATCTCGTCTCACATCTCATCATCGACCTCATGTCACTGACGTTCTTGCCCTTCTCGCCGTCTCGCCGTTCGACCCGACACGGCGGCGGCACCTGCCGATGATGCCAAACAAGCGCAACTGACAGCTCATGCTTGTATGGTCCGTCCTTCCATCGCTTCTAGCGCCATACACGGCCGCTCGTCGCGCCTGAGCTGATATAAAGCATGACATGTTTTTCCCCTCGTTTCTGTCCCACAACAGGTCAAGATATGCTCACCGCCACTATCATTTCAGCCTTCCTGGCCACGGCTCAGGCCGCAGTCCTGCCTCGAGCGACGACCTACACCGTCACTGTTGGCGCTCTTGGCTCATGGGGAAACCCTGACGACACCCCGGCCGCGTCGTACATTGACAAGGACGGCAAGTACTACTATCAGTCCGCGCACGCGCTGTACGGCGCCAACGATGGCCGTTCGTGGTCGTTCTTCTCTGGGTCGACCATGGACGACGCTACCAAGATTGCAATCAGCACCGCTGCCAACCCTGCCAACCCGCTGGACTCCAACGGAGACACCACCTGGCGGTGCAACAACAGTCCTACTGGCAAAAAGGCCACAAAGGCCGCCGGGAGCACCAGCTACGCGCAGGCCAACTACTGCGACTTGGCTGGAGTCTGGGTTGACCCCGACACTGGCGACTGGTACGGTCTTGTCCACAACGAGTTTACTCCCCAGCCCTTTGGCGACGGGCTGCACTACGACTCTATCGACGTGACCGTGTCCCGCGACCAAGGCAAGACCTGGACCATCACCGACCAAGCGATCACAAGCCCCTACAGCACTGTCCGTGCCGACACCACCAGCTTCCCCGGGCAGACCTATTACTACGGCGACGGCGACCCGCGTATCCACGTCGACATTAGCTCGGGCTATTTCTACGTGTGGTATGGATCCCGCGTGGTCAACAAGGGAGGCTACGGTGGTAGTTGGGTTGCTTTCCACGAGCACGTTGCTCGTGCTCCCATCAGCGGCAAGATGGCAGCTGGCACTTGGCAAAAGTTCTACAACGGCGGCTGGACCGAGGCAGGCCTTGGAGGCAAGGAGTCCAACCTCGTCCCCACGAGCCAGAGTGCCGTGGGATACACCCCTCCCGCCAAAGAGTACAACCCGTTGACCCAAGGTACTGCTCAGCAGCAGATCGCCAACGGCCAGGCCCCTGCCACCTCGCCTCTCTTCGTCATGGACGTCAGCTACAATGCCTACCTCGGTATCTGGATCGCCGAGCCACAGGCCGTGGACCAGAGCGGCAACGCTCCTCAGGAGATCTACTACACGACCAACCTCGAGACCCAGCAGTGGACACTCCTGGGCAACACGGGAAGCTACCACACGGCATCGTGGTACCGCTGGTTCCTGGACTCTACCAGCAAGACCAGTTCTGCCATCGTGGGCAAGTCGTTCAGGGCGTACTGCTCGTTCGGATGCTCGGGTGGCAAGAGCTCCGAGTACGTCAACATTGCCATCGAGTCGAGCAACCCGTTCCAGGCCATCGACACCACCAAGTCGTACACCATCGGTGCGGCCGGTGCCTTCCTTACCGACAGCGCTTCCAAGGCCACGTCGGCTGCCGCTGGCGCCAAGTACACCTTCAAGGCCACGGGCGACGGCGCATACACCATCCAGAACGCCTCGGGAGGCTTCCTTGGCGTCGCGTCAACCACCACCGCCACTCGCGCGTGGGGTACCGTCCCGGCCATCTCGACCGGCTCTGCAGGCGTTGGCCAGCAGTGGTGGGTCATCCAGTCCAAGGGCGGCGCCACGTTCCGTCTCGTCAACCGCTACTCTGGTCTTGTCCTCGCTCTTTCTGGCACCCAAGGACGGCTCGCCGAGACCACACCCGCTCGCAGCTGGGACAGCAACGGGTCCGGTGTCGGCGGTGGTCGCAAGGCCGCGGAGCAGGAGCTGGTGTTGACTGCCGCATAAAGTTGTGGACATTTGAGACGACAAAGTCTAGACGGAATAAAGAACAGCACAAGAGATGCAACATTGAAGCCTCCTGGAGTAGCATTACGTTACGCCTGATATCTCGAAACGCTTGAGCGGATTTCACAACTGTGTAGGCAGCCTCACCGATGATACATATTTACACCAAAACATAGATTCAACGTTCAGTCAAACGCCTCGAGCGTTCCGTAGCCATAACGGAATCCACTGCCGACGAGCTGTGCCTTGTCTTGCTGGAGATCGATCGTCATGGCGCCGCCTCGGGCACTGAGCTGGCGGGCGTCGATGGTGACCTTGGTGGAATCGGCGGCGGGGCCAATGACCTTGCGCGTCGTCTCCACCCCCGCGCCGTTCAGATAGTAGCCCGTGAGTACGGCCCAAGCCGAGCCAGTCTGCATGTTAGCCGCATGTCACACTTGTACACCTCATCAGGCCAGACGTACCACCGGGTCTTCGTCGATGCCCACGCCCGGGCCGAACACGCGGGCCGTGATGGCCAGCGTCTCGGGTGTCGACTTGCTCTCAATAAGCTGCGTGACGGCCGCAACGGACACGTCGGGCATGAGCTTGGCAATCTCCGCGGGCTTGAGGGCGGCGAGGTCCACGTCGTCCTTGATCTGCACGACAGCCGAGGGTCCGCCGAACGCAAACGACGCAATCTTGACAATGCTCGATTCCGCCAGACTCAGCGCACCTGCGATGCGGGCGGCCAGCGCCGTCGACTCGGGGGTGACCTCGGCGTCGGAGATGGGGAGCGTCAGGCCCACGCGGGCACCCTGTCCGCGCTCGCTCTCCAGCGTCGCGCCGAGGGCACCGCGCCAGCGCGTCTCAAAGTGGAGAGCCTTGGCCTTGGGGTGGACGTAGTTGAACAGCGTGAACGCCGACGCAAAGGTCGCGTGTCCGCACAGAGGCACTTCCTGGTTTCTGGTGAGACGCGGTTCCTCCTCTCCCTCAATCGTAAATGACGTACCACGGCGGGCGTAAACCACCTCAGACCATACTTGGGGATCTCGGCCTCGGCATCGATAGGGACCAGGAAGGCGGTCTCGGAGAGGTTAAAGTCGGCCGCAACCTCGAGCATCCACTTCTCGTCAGTTGCGCGCGGGTCGTCGGCGGGGATAATGACCACGGCGGCCTGGTTGCCGGCGTGGGGAGTGGCCGCGAACGCGTTCACGAGATGGAAAGGAAGGGGCTGGCGAGGCATAGCGGTAGAGTTTGAGGTACTGATGGGTGTGTGTATGCGGGCCTTTTGTACAGTTAAAAGACGATGGGTGCTTCGTAAGCTTAGATCTCGCTTGGACTGAGATTGGGGATTCGATGTCGACATGTCGAGTCGTTCTCGGATCTTGGATATGTTGCCGACTCAGACACTTACCCCGTGGGGGTCGCGGGCTCCATATGCAGCCGCGCGGAATATCCTATGCCCTATAGCCCTATTCGTACAGTCTGCCTGCCAACGAAACATGGCAGGTGGCTTAGCAGATCAGTAGGATCAGTCGCTGTCTGTCTGGGTACCGGTACCGTGGTCAGCAGGAATCAGCGCTTGCACTGCATGCGCTGATTATCCGCACGTTGAGATCCGATCGTTGTCGGCGGCAGTTGGCTGACACCATATGCATGTGTTGACATGACGTCATAGATGGCGACCGACAATTATCGACTACCCAAGTGCCACTCAGAATTACTGAGCGATTCACAGTAGCACATGTTGCATCCCAGGTGAACCTCCCCGCTACCCCCTCCCCTCCGGCGCATATACAATAAATACGTCCTTGTTTTCTTCTTCCTGGTCTCGAGATCGCCTCAAGACAATCCGGGGGACAAGATTCTCACTCTCTACAACTATAAGGTGGGCATGTTTGCTGTTTGGTGATGGAGATGGCTGGCAGAACGGGGAACAGTCCATATTGGTTTAGGTGTGGTGCACAGGCGCCTGCTCGTTGCGGTGCTGCGAGACCATGGGGCCCTTGTAATGCTTGCGCGCGTTGACGAGGTACCAGATACCGGCAATGAGCGAGAAGCCTGCGAACACGACCGAGGCATAGTTCATCGACGTCGGGGTGACGGGGATGGCAGTGGCTGAGAATGTCAGCACGGTCTTCTAATAGGGCATCGAACTGTAATGACTCACGGAAACAGAAGAGGAGGATCGAGAACGTGATCCAGATAACAGTGGTGATGTTGATGACGTAACCAAACTTGCCGAGAGAGAAGGGGGCGTCCTTGACCTGCTCGCGACGACGGAGGAGAGAGCAGAGCACGGGGAACGCGTACGAGCAGCCAAGGCAGATGGTGGCGACACCAGTGAAGGCGTTGAAGGCGGCCGACGAACCGAGGTAGATGAGACCGAGAAGCGCGCAGACAATGGTCGAAAGGCCAAGCGCGGGGATAGGGACATCGTACTTGGGGTTGACAGTCTTCCACCAGTGCGAGAAGGGAATGCCACCGTCACGCGAGAACGCCCACGTGCAGCGGGAAGCAGCGGTGAGGGAACCGACAGCGGCGAAGAACCAGATACCGAGGATGAGCGTGAGGAGACCCATGGCACCGGCAGCGGAACCGGTGACAGTCTTGTACAGCAAGGGCATGGGCTGGAGCGACGCGACGTTGAGCAGGGGCTCAATGTCGGGCAGCACGAAGATGATGGGAAGGAGGTAGACAAGGCCAGTGATGCCAGCGGCAATGACCGAAAAGACCATGGCCCTGGGCACCTCGATCTGGGGCTCCTTGACCTCCTCGCACAGTGCGGCGACCATTCCGTAACCGGTGAGAGTGTATGCGGCCTGCAGGAGACCGACGAAGAAGGCCCATCCGTTCGGCCAGCCAGAGAACGAGGCGTCAAACTGACAGTCAGTACACATGAGAGCGTGGGGGAGTCGTGGCCAGAGCTGCACTCACGTGAGAGAAGGCATATGCACCAGAGTGGCGGCCGGTCTTGGCAGTTGCGAGCAGGGTAACGATGATCCTGGCGGGTTAGATGATGCCTCAAACCTGGCATAGCGTTGAAACACTCACATGATGACCGCAGCAGCAGTCCAGTAGAGGCAAACAGTGTTGAGCATCTCAAGGTGCCTGTTTCCGTACAGGTTGATGAGGAAGGCGCCGATGAGTGCGGCCCAGTAGACGAGGACAGTCTGCCATGCTGTGGGCACGTAGTCCTCGTGGAACAAGGTAACCGCAGCGAGGATGAGCTGTGCGCCGCCAAAGTTGATGGAAGCAGTGACACTGGGTTACATGGTCAGCTGTTTGGTTCACCGCAACGCGATCGATCCCAGCTGACACCCACGTCCAGTTGCCCACGGTGCCGAGCCAACCGGTGAGGTATGACGAGAATGCCGAGTACTTTGGTGTGGAAAGCATGGCCGCCCAGTCTGTAGTGTGGGTTAGTCCGTGATCCGTGTACAAGCGACAAGCGGGAACGCACAGTAGACGCCACCGGAAGTTGGGTAAACAGAGCAACTGTAATTCGTAAGCCACAATGTTCCCCGTGTGGTGCGTGTGCTTACATTTCAGCAAGCGATGCCGCCATGGCCAACGAAACGAGCGATACAAAGGTCCACTGTGCAGTAGTTAGCATGGGTGTGTCCTCAACGTCCGTGGCACACGACATACGCCGTAGAGAATCGTCACGGGTCCACCGTCGGTGAGGGCAATGTTGAGTGTTGTGGAAGTTCCTTGGCGGGTCAGTTATCTAGCTCCGGTATCGCACTGCGTACCAAATGGGACAGCCATGATGGCGAATGACAGACCGAGAACGGCGACCATGCCAAGCGAACGCTTCATCTCCTGCTTGTAGCCCATCTCCTCGAGCTGGTGCTCGACTTCGACGTCGGAGAGGATGTGGTGCGCATGGCCCTTTTCGGCATGGTGGCCATCGCCCGACCGTGCTGATCGTGTCGTCTCGAGGACGTGGTGGGTCTTCTCCGCAAGGTGTGTATCGGACATGGCAGGTGGAATAAAGTTGAGGAAAGAAACACCAGTGGTGGACTGGGAGGATGAGAAGTTAAGTGTGGGGCTGAAACGGGCCGTCTGTACCACGGCACGAGCGCGTTGTTCTGTATCGCTTTCGGGCAACGCCAAGGGACAATCAACGCAGCTGCAGCTGGCATGCCGGCGCCGGGGACGACGACGTAGCACGCGCCATAAGCTATAAGCGAGGCGGAGCTGGGCACCGACACAACACCCTGAATGTCTTTAGAGGTGGTCTCGATAACGGCACAAGCGTCTGGGCGACGACTCTGGTACTCTGGCCCAGTCCCGGGTTTGCAAACCACAGATCCCAATGACAATCCAGGCGCTCCAGGCCGCGGCAGCTGCCCAATCGCCCACGACGCTCGGTCACTCAATGGCTGAGTGATTACCCATATTCCCGGGGCAAAATGCCGTCTCTCCACGGAGCCCCCGCCGGAAACAGGAGCACCTGTGACGCAACGGTCGTCGAGTAGCCACTGAGAATGCGCGCACGAGACTGGCGTAAAGGGTTGTGTACAGGGCATGGTGGAAACACGAGCCCACGTCGCAGTCGATTATTTACTGTGCGTATCAGCTGCAGAACCGGAAAGGAACAGACCCGCACCCTCAGCGCCAAGACCGGGCCACATGGGGAGGCCGTCATTGCTGCCGTACAGCTCCATGTCAGCACAATCTCAGCCCTTCGCGTTTCCAGAACACTTGTGGCTCACGAAACCACCCATGGCCCATGGTCGTCCGAACAAACAATGCCAGAGGCCACAAAAGATGGGCAGTCCAGGGGAAGAGACAAATGGGTGGCTGATCCTCGGCCGTTCCGACTGCCCCCGGTTCTCGGTTGTGAGCGGCCAGTCAAACGCTGGCGCTGTGGCCGCCATAATCTCCCCTGATACCAGTCGTGCATTGAGCCCCGCACAGTCAGCTGACAGTGACCTATCGTATTTGTGCGCGCGGTGCCGTGTGCTTAATGGTTAGGCATCGCTTGGGTGCCCACCGCGTTTAGTGGCCTACGTGGTGGGCTCAGCGATTTCTTGGAAATTCAAGACCTAAATCCGGCCCAGCGTAATTCCGTCCACAGTTCCCGACTCCCACAAGCTGTGGGAGACACCGCGAGAGCATTCCCAAAGTGTATCTCTCGTCGTCACGAGCGTGGGGCAATGGCTCGTGCATCCTCGGTACTGTACCCGGCCTGGAACAGCCTTAAACGAGACATGATGAGGTGGCGGCTCGCCCCCAGACGCCTCCACGCCACCACCGGCGGCCTGCTGGGTCCTCTGCCCGCAGCTCGCGGGTGGACATGCTTGTTGTTGTTGGAAATACAAGCTCTGAAACCGCTGTCAATGGGTATTATCTAAGCGAGTTATCAAGTGATACTGCACGCGATACGCGGGTCGCCATGTGGTGTGCGTGTGGATATGGCCTGCTAAAATCGCTGGCCCGCAAGGGCAGCCAGACAAAGGGCAGCGCGATTGAGACGATTGCTATTTTCCAACAACTTGTCAGAGTTTCCAACAAATGTTGAAAGCGTTTCCAACAGCGTCGGTGTCTCAGACAGGCCCACGTCTGCGCGTGCCATTCATGCGTCATGTACGGTCGGTGGTGGGCTTCGGCGGGCACAGTGTCAGATATGCATGGATGGCAGCGGGTTCCCGGGTTCCATAAGGTCAACAACAGGCAGCGGCACAGACGGTAGGTAGAGGTGTGGTGCATGTTGGTGAATCGGTTGGGCACCCCGTCGCAGATCGTAAAGTAGAGGTTGCATGGTGACACTTCTACGGCGCCCTGGTTTCACTTGAACAGATCCAACGCCCCAACCTGCATGACCTGCATACTCTATCTACACGTGCGCGTCGGGCAACCGCCCGGGCAAGACACTGACGCCTATCAGTCAGATCTGCCATTGCCGCCAGCTGCCAAGCAATCGCGTTATCCTGACCATGGTGTCGCGCGACTTGACCGTATCTCCCCTGTCTTATCCGACTGTGCTGCGCACGGTTGTAGCATATGATACATGACAACACGAATTATGGATTCCCGTCAGTCATGTCACGTCAACGCGAGCAGTACATGCCAGCCACGATACACATTCTGGTTATCACGGCCACGGCGACTTGGGAACTAGGCTAGGTCACCGCCCCAGCGTTGTTTGTTCTTGATAGACAAACGGAGTGGCGTATGACCAAGCTTATGGGTGCCATACACGGTGTCCCCCACGGCACACTTGAAAGAGACTTAGACAATGGAGGTTCTCCTTGGTAGCTCTCAGCCGATCCATTGGTGGCAGACACCACACCAGGCCCTTTCCCCCTCGCGACTGGGGTCTCCGTGCAAACTCCAGATTGACTGCTGATAAAGGAGACCACTAGCATGTAGCCCACCGTTGGCATTGTGCATCTCGCTCAGCTGCCGACCACATTGAACAACTGACGGCATTCCTCGATGGGGTCCATGTGAGGGAGACACGGCCCGAGGATCGGTCGGTCTGTAAACTGTGATCTCGGTGTCGCGGATATAAAGCAATTCACTCACATTCCTCAACTGGCAGTGCACCGCGTCATTGTGTTGATGCGTTGGTTCTTGAATCCCAGCTTCCATTGAATGCCATCCTGTCGCATAAAGTAAACAAGACGTATGGAAGTGGACGTGCGACTCAGATCAGCTTTCGCCGAAGAACCCCCTTGACCAGACAGGATATCAAGCGTTGACTTTGGGCAGCACTTTGGTTGCTCCTAACATGAGCAACTCTGCCTTGTGGTTGTCATTTGGTCTCAACCCGGGCGATGGTTGGAGTCTGCTTGGCAAGAGCCGCGATGGCGTTGTCCCAGGACGCGTCACCCTTGTACAGCTGGCTGCGGAGGTATGCCCAGATGGACGCGCGGAGGACAGCGACGCGCTCCGGGTTCTCGTCCGTAGTCTCCTTGGCGTCGAAGCCAGCGATGCCGCCAAACGAGTGCCCTGCGTCGACCATGTAGAAGAGCGTCTTGGGCCCCGGGGCGTGGTCGAACGCCTCGCGGCGCCACGTCTTGCAGTCTGAGAAGAAGGCGTGGTGGTCGTTGTCGCCAGTGACAACGAGGGTCTCGGGGGCCATGGACTCAAAGTTTGTTCCTGCGATGCTTGGGTAGAGCTTGGCGGCTGGACCGTTCATGCCCGGCCCACTCCCTGGTGCACCGATCATGACACGGGCCCCGATGCGTTTCTCAATGGTAGCGCTGGGCTGGACGTTTCCCGTCATTCCTGACAGGAGGCCGATGGTGTGGCCGCCTGCTGAGTGGCCGACGGCGGCGATACGGCTGTGGTCGAGCCTTCCGGCCAGGTTGGCAGTGGACTCGATGAGTGAGAGGTTGTCGATGACAGTGCGCACATCGTCAGCGCGTCCGGCAAGGAACAGCGGCGCATCCGCGTCTCCACTGTCCCGGAGGCCGAGATACGTCGCGTCATTGTGGACCGGCTGGAGGACGGCGAATCCGTGCGCGGCCCAGAAATCCACGAGCGGCGCGTACCCGTACGACGAGCAGACGAAGGTCGACGGTCCGTGACCGTGCGACAGGATGAGGATGGGCAGGCCGTCCCCGTGAACAGGCGCCGTGACGCGCACGTTGAGGGCCACGAGCCGGCCGTCAACGGGGACGGTCACGGCATTGTACGCGACGGTGGGGACGGCATCCGGTACGGGGATGCCGCCTGATGTCTGCGCTGGGTCTCCAATGGGTGCCATTCTGTAAGTTATGTCTGTAAGTTATGGCAAGAAGACGAAAGTCAACGGGTGAGATGCTGATGTCGTAGGGGAGTGGGTATACCGTCGACAGTCCATCGCAGACATGACGTTGCCCCGTTTGTCATCACCACAGTCGGCGTCGGCCACATGGTGCCTGGCGACGAACACGGGAAGACTGCACTCTCGCCAACTCCTCCACCTCGGCCACCTCTCCACACCCCGTTAATGTCGGTGGTTCGGCCCGCTGTCGCATGGCGGTCAGGCTTGTACGGATGTAGGTACGCCATTGTCAGTGATGAGTGATCAGTGAGTGAGGGAAGCGTTTTGGGAACCGCAAATCCGGTGAGAAGAGCCCAGTGAATGCAGCACACTCACTACCAGCCAGCAACCCTTCATTCGCCAACTGCCATTGTAAGTAGCCCGTGACTCTGGCTATATCGTGGCCATCGTGGCCTGTCTCGAGCATGTTCCTGTCGATCCTGTCGTTCTTAGCATTGGACTCAAAACTCGAGAACGACTGACGGCGACGTGCGACTCGAACGGAACCGATGTTCGGTTCGGCTCCCCATCGCGTCTCTCCCGTCCAGCGCGGATGCCGACAGGTCAAAGGAAAAGGAGAGCACGCAGGCAACTTGGTCGCGACTCTGCGTCGTCACCACTGTCTGCTGGGTCAAGCATTGAGTTTGTGCCCATGGCATTCTTGCCGACGCTTGACTCTTCAGTCCAGTCAACTGCCCCGCTGCTGGACTGGCCCTTTGATCCATTGAACGGTCTTTGGACGTTTCAAGGCCTGCCACGGGGTTTCACGCTGCGTACGCTGGTACGCTGCACGACCTCATGGCTGTGCGCAGCGTTATGGTGAGGAGAGTGTTTCCTGTGTCGGAGTTGTCTTTTGTGTGTCCCTTCCTGTGGCCTGTCGGCTCGTCCGACTCCTTTATGCCCAGGCTGCAGGCTGCCGAGCTGCAGGAGGGCACCTTGCTACATGCTAGGGAAACAAAGGGACCGGTTGGTTGAAACCTTGCTGCCTAAACGCGTTGTCCAAAACGCCGTGACGCGTCCTGGCGCAGATGCAGAGCGCAGAGACACAGCGTGCACAGGCCACCGGCGGCCGAGACTGTACAAGCTGAGGCTGTGAAGGGCTCGTTGAAGGGCATCGTTGTCATTCATCGCATACAGGGAGCACATACGGCATGTCCTGGGGTGCTAAGCTTGTTTACAAAAGAGCTTGTAAGCTTGTAACTGGATGATTCCAACAGTCGAAAAGGCGCGGTATTCAAAAGGTTCCCGGACGAGACAGCCCTGGTGCCGGGGGGTTGTCCGGGTGCGACGCGTCGTACCAGGCGGGCCTGCGCGCGGATACGGCGAGAAGAACATGAGTGGACTCGCGTCAACCCCCCCGTTTGCTTGGCGGACCCCACTAACGCGTTTTTCCAGGAGATCCCACACAGCAAGCAGCAAGAGAGAGAGAGCAAAAGACCGGCCCATGGACGCAACAAGCAAGACCGGTCCTGGGCGGCGGGACGCGGGTGGGCGATCTCTAGCGCTCTCTTAACAAGGCCACGTCCCGTCACGCTACTTGTTCTTCACCGGTCACCATCACCTCTCCAACACTCTCCACCACACCATGACCACCGCACCCCGTGTCGGCCTCCCAGGCCTCGACGCACCCCTCACAAAGTATGTCGGCAAGTACCTCGGCAAGTACGGGGGCGCCTTCCCGTCTGCTGTCCAGGAGGGTCAATGGCAGTCCAACACCATCACCACGCGCGAGCGTGCCATGCTGTGGTTCATCAACACCATCACCGACAAGCCCGAGTGGGACCGCAAGGTGTTCGACGACACCATTGTGGCCAAGTGGAGGGCCGAGCTGGACACGTTCGTTGCCACCGGCCTGGAGCCGCTCGACCGCGGCTTCACCAACGAGATGTACGACTACTGCATCAAGGAGCTCCGTGACAAGGCCAAGGTTCACCAGGAGACTGGCCTTGTCGCCGTGTTCGACGCTGCCGGTGCCGTGTTCAAGTCGGACACCGCCGTGTCCCAGACCCTTCGGGACGCGCTCCGCAAGGCCGCTGCGCCCCTCGAGGAAGGAGACAAGGACTGGCACCCGGGAAGCGACGACAAGGTGCTCGACCTCGTGCACCCCTCGCTCTGGCCTCTGGTGTACGGCCGCACCCACGTGCTCAAGGACAAGGAGATCAACCTCGACAACTGCCTCGACGCGTACGGCAGCGGTGACGCCCTTCCCTTGCCCACCAACGAGCCCGAGCAGGAGAACAAGTGGGGCCCGCCCGCTGTCGAGCGCCTGCTTTCGACCAAGTTCCAGTGGCTTCCCGCCGAGGTCGAGTTTGTCGACAACAAGGCCAAGTTTACGAGCTACATCAACAACCTCCACCCCAAGCACCAGGCCGAGGTCTACCCCGTCGTCGAGGACCTCCTCACCGCCGCCATGCCGCTCTTCCAGGCGACCTACGACCGTGTCATGTCGTGGACCGCCGTGGAGGACGAGATGGTCCGCACTCGCGTCCCCTGCATGACAAGCAACCGCCAGTGCACTACGCCGATGATTTGCAACCCCAAGAACAAGGAGGGCAACTACTGGTGCAGCTCGTACAACCACACGTACATCGCCCACCCCGAGAGGAGGCGCGACGACTCACCGAACCCCGAGAACGACGGCGAGGAGGATGAGGACGACGACGACGACGACAACGACAACGACGACGACGATGAGGACAATGACAATGACAATGACGACGGAGAAGATTACCTGGACGCGCTGATGGAGGAGATCGAGCAGGACCGGATTGCCAACCCAACGGAGGCCGCCAACACGGAGGCCACCACCACCGAGGGTGCCGCGGGTGGTGCAACCGAGAATGGCGTGGCCGTGGCGAACGATAACGACGACGACGACGAAGACGACGAAAGTGACGACGACGACAACTGGGAAGCTCAGGAAGCCTGGTTCAACGAGACACACCCCATCAAGCAGCCTGAGCCCAAGGAGTACGAGTACCTCGGCGTCAAGGAGTTCAACACCGCCGGCCCATGGTTCCCAGAGCACAAGCGGCTCCAGGTCATTGTCAAGCTCGCCAACATCCACCTCACGCCCGAGAAGCCCACGTACGACGGCGGCAGCTGGCACATTGAGGGCCAGCTGAACGAGCGTATCTGCGCCACGGCCCTGTACTACTATGACAACGACAACATTACCGAGTCCAAGCTCGGTTTCCGCACCGTGGCAGACAGGGAGGAGATGACGTGCAACTTTGAGTACGACCAGGGCGACCACGAGCCGTTCAAGCAGATCTACGGCGCCAACGTCGAGATGGGCGACGAGGACTCTGCCGCGCAGCAGCACCACGGCGACGTGGTCACGAGCGAGGGTCGTCTCCTCGTCTTCCCCAACGTGTACCAGCACCGCGTGTCTGGCTTTGAGCTCGCCGACAAGACCAAGCCGGGCCACCGCAAGATTGTGGCCATCTTCCTCGTCGACCCCAACACGCCCGTCATCTCCACCGCCAACGTGCCCCCGCAGCAGATCCACTGGTGCGGCATTGCGCCCGTCGACAACAAGCTCCCGCCCGAGATTGCCGAGATGGTCTACAGCGAGCTGCCGTGCCCTTACAACCTCGACACGGCCAAGAAGATTCGCGAAGAGCTCATCGAGGAGCGCAAGACCCTCGACGTCAAGACGGACGAGCTTGTGCGCTACGCCGAGTGGAGTTTCTGCGAGCACTAGTTTGCTCTCTTTTGTGTGTCATGCTGTGTGTCTGCCTGTGCTTGTTAATACGTGTTATGTTCGTTATGAATGGTCTATTCGTCTCTGCGAAGAGCGACTTTGCATGGCTGTCGGTGTCACACTCTCTTGTTGACCCTCCTCCCACATCGCTGCGTGCCAATGCACTGGGCTAAACGAGCTTGGTGACTGCTGGGAGGGCATGGTGGGACACTGCAGCCTAAAACACAGTCAGGCCACCATTGCGTACTCTCCTGTTCCAAGAGCCCATAGTGTGGAAACAGAGTATACGCTACCATAGCGTATTCATTGGCCCGCAGTGTGTTTTCCGAGGGCGTTGGAAACGCAGTATACTCCGCAATCAACGAAATAGTAGGCGAGGTGACCACCACAGTGCGTTTTCAGGTGCGCCACTGTATATTGACCTCTGCTGAATCTGCTGTTGTGTGCCTTTTGCACTTTTGTTTCAGTTTCAGTGCTCCTGTGTATTCAATTCGCGTGTACCATTTGGCAGCATGAGCAGCACTGCATGCGAGCAGACGACGAGATCACGCACCAGCGTACCAGCGTCGTCCTTCATGACGTCGGGTTGCTGGTGATGTCATGTCCACCACTGTTGCCAGGCACAACAATGTCGCTCTACATAAATAAAGGCCAATCCCCCTCTCCATGTCAGTCTGGCAATGCTCCATGATAAGTTGACAAACACCCGCACAACTCCCACCGACACCACCAACAGGACGCCATGACCAGACACGGACACGGCCTTCACCACAAGCCTCCTCGGCGCGGGTTTGTCCCCACACTCCCAGACGACCCGAGCACTCTGCCTCGCCTGCCCCGCGATGTGTGGGTCGTAGTGTGCCGATATCTCGGCGACGACGTGCGCCCACGACTCGCGGACCATGAAGAGCATGGACATGGGCGTGGGCACAAGGTTTTGGAAAAGGAGTCCAGGACAGCTCTCGCGCGCCTCATGCGCACCAGCAGCGAGGTGTACCATGTGGCAGGACCAGAACTGTACCGCCGCCTCGACCTGTGTTCGGCGTCGTTCCATAAGGTGATACGGGGATATGACGACCCTCCCGCCTTTGACGCTGCAGACCAGTGGGCACTGGGGAGCCAGACCCAAACATACACCATGTCGTCTTCGAACAGTAAACTCGAGCTGCTAAAGTACGTGCGCCACCTGAACATTGTCGACTTGCCGCCTGCCACGGCCGTCCAGCACCTGCTCAACCTCGGTGACGAGGGCCGCCTCTTCCCCAACCTGGACGTCATCACGTTCCGGCCACAGATGTACATCGACTATGCAGACCTACACGCCAACGTCCCGGACCCCGTGGACGAGCACCCGCTGCTCACCCTCCTAGGGCGCGAGACACCGCGACACGCGTGTATGGCCTTCCCCACCGAGGCCGGGGTGGACCGGTACGTCGGCCCCAAGCACATTGCGGGGTGTACACACGACCACAAGCGGTGTAACCTCGACTGCCACCGTAAGCGGTACCAGCGCTACCTCGTACTGGGCCTCGCGTCCGCGTGGCTGGCGCGGCTGTGCCACAGCTGGCGCCCGTCGCTGGCCAGCCTGACACTGCATGACTGGCACATGTCGGCGGCGCCCACGTTCCCCGCTGCACAGCTGCGCATCTTCATGCCCGAGGTGGAGACCATGCGGATCACATGGATCCTGAGCCTCGCCTCGCTCCTCCTCCTGGACGCGTACCCGGCCACCGAGCTGCCGCAGCGCCTGGAACTGGCCAACCTCGGCGTCAACCTCGAAGACTGCGGGTGCACGCACACGCTCCTGCAGACGATGGACAACAGCCGCACGGCGCTGCAGACGTATTTCGCCACACGCACGGCGATAGCCCTCACCACGCCGTCGGCGTGGGACGTGACGGTCTGTGTGTGCTGTGGCGGCGTTCCTGCTCTCACCGAGGAACCGCGCGACAGAGACTCGAGGGTGTATGTAGACGACCATCACCCGGCATGGCGGTCGGCGTGTCTCGCCACGCAGTCGCTCGACCTCGTGCCCTTTGACTTGCTCAAGTTGGCCGAGGACCCGCAGTGGAGGATGAAGTGTAGCAAGGTGGAGCTGAGCGATGGGTATGACCGTCCTCCGTCGAGCAGCTAGTGGTTACGAGTCTGCACACCACGCTCGTTCGGACGCCACAGATAATAACATAGGATCGAACGGCTCTATGGTAATTGTCTATGAATTACGTCTCTGATTTGAACACCCACACCCGCTGTCTGGTCCATCCTCCACACCCTCCACCACCGTTACCCCCTACCGCTGAAGAATTGACACAGTGCAGTCTGGCAGAACACCAAGTGACCCACGGTAAGGGGTTCCTCGTCGTTCCAACTGACACTGCTAGGCCGCGTCTATTGGCCGCAGCCCAAGGAGAGAAAAGTCATCGCGAGCCGCTTCACGACCCTTCGACATACGAGCTCAGCCCGTGGACCAAGTTGTGTGCTCCCAGTACTCGCTTCGCGAGCGCCGTCACGTTCGCGTCGGCGACCACAACGTCGGACGACAGGTCCACCTTGAACGCCCAGTCGACCATTTGCGAAATATGCTTGGCCTGCTCTTCGTCCATGATCACAAAGTCGTCCGAGTCTTGTAGACCCGTGTCGCTGTCGTCTGTACCGTGCAGGCCCGGGTGTTCCGACTGCGGTGGCGACGATGCGCTATCGCTGTCGGTGGTGCCGGCGAGCTCGGCCGCCAGCTCGGCGATGGTTGGCGCGAGCGAGGGCGGCGAGGTGGGCACAGCACCAGAGCGCGAGGGGGTGTTGGCGCCACTGGCTCCAAGTGCCTGGGCAGAGGTGCGCGAGGCCAGGGGGTTGCTGCTCGAGTTGAACACGCCAGCGGCGCTCGCAGAGGAGCCTGCCCTGGTGTGCCCGAGCTTGGCCTGGTTACGGGCCATCTGGCGAGCAGAGCGGGGCACGAGGGACACGTTCGAGTCGAGCGCAAGGCAGACAATGTTGAGGAGCGTGTCGTGGACGGCACGGAACGAGTGAATGTCCGGCTGTGAGACGTAGATCTCAATAGGCGAGATAATGGACATGACGTTGTGCTTGCCGTCGTGGTGGTAGCGGAGCTCATACTGGCCGGGGGCCCAGGGGAGACGCTTACCGCGGAAGGTGCAAATGCCAGCGTCGCCGTACGAGACTTGCTCCTCGGGGTCGATACCGACCTGGTCCTCGCCGTTGTACTCCTCCTCGAAGATCGGGACCCACTTGCCCACCGACGAAACCTTGGTGATGAGCTTGGACTTGCACGAGCCGACACGGTAGATGCCGATCCAGTCCTTGCGCGAATGGTTCGAAGGCGCGGTCCAGTTGACGCGGATGGGCTGGCCAACGTGGAAGCGAGGGACGGGGGCCGACGACGAGGACGACGCCACAGTGATCGAGTAACGAGAAGTGTCATAGTTGGAAATGTCCTTGGCGACACGAGTGACGGTCATGCGCTCGCGCGACTGCTGGAATATCTTCTTGGTGTCGTTGGCGAGAATGTTGAGACGGGGCCCGGCCTGCTGGATGAGGTCCTCCACAACCTGGCCAACCTTGACCTCGACCTTGTCGAGGGTGTCACGGACCTCGTCAACGTAGCGGCGGAGCTCGGGAATGCTCTTCTTGTTGGCGAGGGTCTTGCCAGCAATGTTCTTGACAGTCTTGGTGAGACCACCATCCTTGCGAAGACGGTCACCATAGAGACGCTTCATGTGGGGGGCCTCGACGAACGAGAGGAACCACCAGTGCGAGAGGTGCGAGAACAGGGCGAGGAAGAAGACGAGAGAGCTGTTGGAGATGAGAGCAAGGCCAAGGAAGGCGGCGCCGCCAAGGGTACGCTCCGGGTTGTTGAGGAAGCGGTAGATGCCAGTGTACGCAAGACGCGCGGGCACCTGCTCGATGAGGAAAAAGTCCGAGTAGAACCAGCCAAAGTCGCCAAGGACCTCCTGGATCGAGGTCGACGACCAGACCTGGAGGGCAATGAGGAGAGCACCGAGGACGTGGCGGAGGATGGTACCGGACACCGTCCAGTCCGCGGGCAGGTGGTAAGTCTTCCAGGCCAGGCCGGCAAACGAGACGTAGGTCATGACAAGCGAGGTGTTGTAAAGAACCTGCCAGTTGCTGAAGGCCTCCTCAGTGGCGCGCTTGACGACGCTCTTGTCGGCAACAATCTCCTCGTCCTCGTCAATGACCTCCTCACCGGGGTAGGGGTAGTTGTGGAGGTAGTGGCGGACCATCCACTTGGTCTTGGACTGGGCGCGGAGCAGCAGACCAAGGCCGTACGAGTGGAAGAGACGCCAAGACAGGGCGTGACAAAAGTGCGCAAAGAGGCCAATGCTGTGAGGAAGGGCTGGGACGAGCGAGACGATGGCGTAAGACACCAGAACGGCAAGAGCAAAGTCGGACGCGCGGAACGGGTCAAAGCGCTTGAAGATGACAGTGGGCTTGCGGAAGAAACGGTGGGTGATGTCGTGCATGGTCGTGCTCATGGCGCGGCGACGGCGGACATTGTTGTCCATGGACGCACTGACAGAGCTGTTGTAGCTGCCACCGATCTGGATACCAGTAGGCTCGGCCTGCTCCGGGAGCTCGGGGACCTCGGGCTCACTGGCAGTCTCTCCCTCCGTGGCCGCTGGGGTGGCGGCATCGGCGGCAAGCGACAGGTTGGACTCGGTAGCGGGCTCCTCGAATGCGGAGGCAGCGGACGAAGGGACGCCAAGGTCCAGGGGGATACGGGCAGCGAGGGGCTTCTTCTCACCGCCGTAGGTGCGGTCAATGTGAGGGTTCTCAAACCAGAGGAGGAACGCAAACTGGGCGGCGTGGGCGGCGAGCGAGACGAAGAGGACAGAGTACGAGCCGACAACGATCGACAGACCGTAGTAGCCGGCATAGCCGACCGAGTACATGGGGTGCGGGGCGATCTCGTAAACGCCGTCGAAGACGAGGTCGTGCTGCATGACCATGAGCCAGAACGCATCTCCCCAGTACCAAGCATAGTCCTTGACGACACGGTGAGCGTCGATCTTGACCCAGAGGTTGAAGACGATGAGCGACCAGCCAAAGACCCAGCGGAAGATGTGGGTGAGAATGCCTTGGTTGGAAGGGAAGTTGAGGTTGGCCCACGCGAACAACGAGTATGAGACAAAGTCGCTGGAATGTTGTTAGTCACCAGCGCCGACAATTGTCACAGGGACACGCCCATGCTTTTGGTTGGACTCACTTGAGAAGGACAATGTCAACGAGCTGACGGAAGATGAGCCACGAGTTGTACTCGGCGGGCACCGAGTCCCAGGTGTAGCCTTCGCCCATCTTCATCTCGAGCTCGACCTTCCACCACTTGGCCCACTCGCGACCCTCCTCGCCGCCAGATTCCGAGTTGACGTCGAGCCAGCCCCACTCGCGGAGAGTGCGGACAACATACTTGCGCTCCGACTGCTGGCGGAGGAGCCAAGCAAAGCCAAAGTCGTAGCAGCCGCGCCAGAAGGCAAAGTAGACGAGGAAGAGGAATGAGCGGAGAGTAGGCCAGTTGGAGAGCATGAAGAAGAGGGCAGGCTGAGCAGCGAGTGAGATGGTGGTCCAGCGAGTAAAGCTCGAGCGGAAGAACGTGTTCATGAGCGTGTGGACAAACGAGTGGGTCTCTGGGACGCGGAAGACTGTAGTCACACGATCAGCACACCATTACGAGCAAGTCACACGATGGAAAAGACGACGTACCGACACCGCTGGGGGTTTTGCCCCAGGTCACCTCCTCTGCGGACTGGTTCTTCTTGTCGTCGGCGTCGCCACCCTCATCGTCAGCTCGGTAAGCGTCTGAATCGGCCTTGTTGGTGGCCTTGCGTTGGCGAAGAACCGAAGCGGCAGCGGCGGCGGCAGGTGTCTGCGTGGCGTCGTTGGCCGACGTGGTCGGGTCGATGGGTTTGTCGTTTGACATGGTATGGTCTGACAGCGGGGAAGCTGTCGTTGCCATGGCTGGTATATGCTCCCGAGTTGAGTCTGGGAGGGATACCTAGAAAGGGGTCGACAGATGGACAAGAGTGTGTTGTGAACAATCGATGCAGATGGAAATGTCTGAAACGTGCAACCCGGCCGGGTGGTACGGGTGGTGTGACGGCGGCCTACGTGCGCGCGCGCGCGCCAGACCACCCAGGCGGAATGAGCTAGATCTCGCGCACCCACCCAACCAGGCCGACCATGCACCCAGCACCCCATCTCACCCACCCACCCAGGCGGCCCAACCCGCCCCGCTCCGCGGCCAACGCGGCGGCCGCGTCCACTCGGGCCACCCACGCGCACCCACGGCGCCACGTCGCTGCGCTGTGGGGGGCAACAGGTGGGCCCCATTAGCCATTAGGGCCGGTGGTTATCGGGGAGATAAGGAACCCTAATAGGTCCATTACAACTTCCAATCAAAATCCCAAATAACATCCGCCCTGATCACGCCAAGGCCAACAACAAAAACAGTTTACGTAAACTTGCAAGTTACGTAATATTTTCCACGTGCCCCAGTCCCCACGTGACCTTGGCCACCTTCCCTGCTATTTTGATTTCTCCACGAATGTTATCCCTGTCCCCTCATCCACAACAACATTCTTCGAAACGCTCTCACGAGCCCAAAAGGCCGCACCATGGCCACCACAAAAGTAGCGACACCGAGAGACGTAAGGCAGCCGCGTGCCGCTGCTCTCAAGGCCATGACATCCATCCTCAGTCCGCCAATGTCGCGCGACGCCTCGCCAGCCAACTCGTCCACATCCAACAGTTCACGCGACCCGCCTGCTCATGTCACAACATCGACCCCATTAATCCATCCCATCCCCATCCGCGCTACCTCAAAGACCTTGACCACCCCTAAACCGGGAACGCCAAAGTCTAAGCCGTCTACGCCCGGTCCCTCGGGATCACGTACCCCGTCTCGCCCACCATCCCGCACCGAACGCCGCTTCGCATGCATCTTCCCCGGCTGCACCAAGGCGTACTTTAAGCCCTCCCGCCTGGCTGAGCATGCACGCACGCACACTGGTGAACGCCCGCACACCTGTACCGAGTGCGACCAGACATACCTGCGCGCATCCCACCTGGCGGCTCACATGCGCACACACAAGAACCCGGATGACAAAGAGTTCGCATGCCCGCGCCCCGGTTGCGACAAGAAGTTTTGGACCGCGCCACACCTTCGTCGTCACGAGGAGATGCACGACTCGGCTGAAGTACACCCGTGCGACAAGTGTGACGAGACGTTCCCCAAGACTCACCTTCTCCGCGAACACTATGCGGCTGCGCATTTGCCTGCAGGATCCAAGCCGTTCATCTGTGCTCACGAAGGGTGTGACATGACGTTTGCGTTGAAGCATCAGCTGAAAACGCACGAAAAGACGCATGATGGTGAGTTAGACAACCCCCATTTGCAAGCTAACTCTCAGCTACTCGGTACACATGCTCTCACCCCGATCACGGCGTGGATATGCCCACGTTTCCCGTCTGGTCCGCCCTCCAAGCCCACATCAAGGACACACACCCTCCGACGTGCCCATACCCCGAGTGCACCGGACGCACATTCAAGTCTGGCCAACGCCTTCGCGACCACCTCAAAGTGCATGAACAGCAGGATGCCGACCTGGTGCAGGTGGACGCAAGCGAGGACATGATCGTCCCTCCGGTCCTCGCTGAGGGTTTGGGCACGTCGCGCCGTGCGAGGCGCAAACGTCGGTACTCGGACGTTGTGGCCGATGACAACGAGCCCATACCCGAGTCTCCGCGTAAGCTGCCCCGCATCGTCGACGGCGAGGCAGGCAAGGACTGGACGTGTGGTCACCCCGGCTGCGGCAAGGCCTACAAGACCCGTTTCGCGCGTGACGAGCACGCCCAAGCCGCCCACTCGCGTGCCCGTCACAAGTGCGAGACATGCGGCCGCGTGTATCGCCGTCTCGTGTCTCTCCGCCGTCATCTCAAGGAAGGATGGTGTGCGCATGGTGGCCAGCCGGATGCCATTCCGGAGGAAAACGAGGGCTCCGCCGACGAGCACGTTGGCAAGGAGGGCGCGGGAGGCGAAAAGAAGAAAGAGAAGGAGGACCAGGACGTCGGCGGTCTCTTCACTGGATCCATCGCCCTTCCCGGCGGCGCTCTTCATCGCCGCTGGGGCTGCCCCTTCCACCCGGAGGATTACAACGACGAGGAGGACGACGACGACGACGAGGAACAGGAGGAAGCATGTGGTGAGCGCTTTCACCGCGTGTACGATGTCCGCCGCCACCTTTCTGCGGCCCATGGAATCGACGTCGACGACATGGGCACGAGGGAGATGCTGCTCGCGGATGGCCAGACGGGCGAGGAGGAGTGAGCATGGTTGTCATTGTGAGAGCGAGATTTTGTATACCCATTCAATCGTTTGGTTGTTTTTATTGTAGATTCGGATGTTGTCCCATAATGTGAACTATGTCATGCATGCCCAGTATCAAAAGGTGCGTAGTAGAAAGAGAAGATACTCACAATTGGTCAACACGGCCAGCTGAACACTGTGATCTAATTGCGCATTTTAAACAAATTCGGCCGACAGGCGCGACAGGCAGATACAATAAAAAGATGCATGCAGCCTAGGCCAGTCCCCCGTAAAGTATGGGTACACCGCTGCAGTGTCAGATCCAATAAGGCAGCCAAGCCATCCACTTACCGAGGGCCGTCTACAACATCCAACATTCAAAACCCCGGGGAGCAACCTGGGACAAAAATAAATAGGTCTTCGCTGTGCGATCTGGGCCGTGGGTAGACGGTCAAGGAGATGGGGCTGGCCGGTGGGAGTGGAATAGAGTCCGACTATGGACTCGGGGACTGCCTGATACTTAAAGAAGATCTCCTAGGAGAATGGAAGGGGTACAAGGAAATGTTGGAAGGTCGTGTGTGAGTAAAATGTTAGATATTGAAAAATCGGCGCAACATAATTGTCGGACACATTTCCTATCTTTGTGGCTATGTGAGGACTCCTATAACCGCTGGACCCCATGGCAGTGGTATCAGTCGCATTTTATAAACCTTCCACTGCCACATATGTACATCGCTAACAACAATCGAACAGATACACTGTACTCTATCACCAGAAGCTTAGCTCTTCTCTGTCATTCAACTGACACAGCTCCCATATATTGGGGCCATCACCGATACCCACGGGCAAGGGCGCCAGCAGCAAGTCGGTATCCAGCGACTCCATGCACCGCGGTCCCAATGGACACGTTTCCTGTGCGTTTTTCACAGCCAGCCGATCCACGGGCTCGTCGGTGGGGCTCGGCCCATTACCACAGCACTCGCACGGCGGCGCGTCCCACCAATGCGGCATGCTCAGCGAGAACGGCTCGTTTGCGAAATGCCGGCTCATGGCGTCCTTGTACGCGTCCAGCGCTTGGACATAGGTGAGTAGACAGCCGCAGAGGAGGACGTTGAGGCCGACATTGGCAATCTCGACGTGTTCCGGCTGCTGTTCCGCTGTCCGCCCGGTCGTGGGCGCACCGCCGCACTCGGCTTCGTGCTCGCCCGCGAGGAACCGCAGGGAGTACGGTGTGGCCCAGCACCACATGTCGCTGATGCCGTCGAGGGCGGCGAACAGGCGCAGGTTCTTGACGCGGAAGCATGGGCCGGCAACCATCCACCAGTGATGTAACGTGAGGCTGTCGAGCTGCCAGTGCTCGCACAGCCACTGTAGCCAGCACGAACCGATCCCCGACTGGAGCGAGTCGTATCGTTTCCGGTTCCGGTCGTCGACGCTCTCGCCGGCGAACAGCGTCCATGGCGAGTCGTTCGGGTGTCGCCGCTCGTTGACGCACTTGCCACCAACGCAGGTCGGCAGGTTGCATTCTCGTATGGGTCCCGGATACGATGCACGTCCCCAGACAGTTGGGTAGGCGACACAAGCGCGGCGTGGCCGTTCGCGAGCGAGGAAATGTAGAAAAGGTGGGCGGAAATGGCCCCGCCAGTACAGGTCCGCGAGCTCGATGTGGACGCTTGGTCGAATGGTGACAACTTCGAGGTTGGGGAAGATGCGTACTTTGGTGCCATTCCCGAGCAGGGGATAGCCGAGGAAACACTGTCCGAGGTCCAAGAGGTCTTGTTGCTCCTTTGACCACGCTACAAGGTCGACAATGTTGAGGTGTTTGACATACTTGAACAGCTGGCATTTGCGGTTCGCAGGCGAGAGAATGTGCTGTCTCGTTTCTCTGCTGCCCATCGCCAAGGAGGATAATACGTTTTGGGGGGGAGGGAGGTCGAAGAAACCTGCCACGACTTTGGTAAACGACGACGACTTGAGATCCAGACGGCGGTACAGCTCCCTGCCTGCGATATGGTACAGGCCCTGTGCTGTGCGCATAACGCAGGCCAGTGCCGCCCGCGCTTCGCAGGAGACCGTTTGGGCGTCTGTGTGGATATTTTCAGGTATCTCAACGTTGTCGAGGTGCGGCCTGCTCTCTTGACCGAGGAAGCCGCAGATCATCATCCACACCTCGGGTGGCAGGTGAGGGAGGAGTGTCGGAGGGTCATCAGTGGCAGTGGCGGGACGCGCTCGCTGGAGGCGCTTGCTTCGTCTGAGCATGGTGAAGGGAGGAGGAAGGGTGGCGAAAAGTGAGGCATCTTGAGGAACCGGCGATCCTTATGGCGATCGCGTCGGAAGTGGACCGGTGGCAGTTACGTTGCTGATGAAGCAGGATACGGTGTGCCTCGAGATGGTAATCACGGCAAGTTGAGACTCCTGGCGAGACTTGGTTGGGCACGTTCGCCTCCAACAGCCAATGCAATGCAACTGCAATCCCTGACAGAAACACAAACTGTCAGCGACCATTGACATGAGCCAATGAGGCGGAGCACAGGACGGAGACGCCGCGGAACTCGGCGGTACCTTCGCAGATCACAAGACGCAACATACGAGGTGTTTAAAGTAAGTGACCGATGGTGTCGGCACCCTTCGGCACGTCTGGCGCGACGCTATCCCGAGAGCACAGGCCAGAACGTACACGGCATGACGGCAGACCTTGGACTGTGACAGTCTTGGGAGGTGTTCTCCTAGATCTCCTACCCTGGCAGCGCTCCACTGCTCCACCACACTCCACAGTTCTCGGAGTCGCATTGAGGGTACAGTGCTGCTATGTACCGTTACAGGATCCGCAGGAGATGGACCGGTCTGAATGTTCTTCACGTACTCGTATAACTGATCAACTACACTCCCGGTGGGCGCTGATATCTACATGCCGCCGCCGTTTACGTGCATATGTCGGCTCCAACCACGCCGCACACGTAAACCCAGGCGTAGACTGAATCTAATTATACTGCGCAATCACATACGTGCACCTCCTCCGCCAATATCACCCGTAGATACGACTGTCGTCACTCGGTCCATGGCTCGGTCGGCGGGTCTTATTCTGCCTCCGGTCGGGAGACGTGATCATGTACAGTACATATTTGAGGGTGTGGCAGCAGCTCAGTTGAGGCAGGCGACTGAGAGCAGCGGACTGGAGCGTGGTGGCGATGCTGACAATTCTCTGATTTTTTAGGAATATCCTGTGACCGTTACCAACATGACCGACTGCTGGAATGTGAGACGGACACAGCTCGCTCGCAGCTGTGCTGCCCCGAGGAACGACGCCCCGGCACCGGGTTCACACGCTCTTCTCGCTGGATCGCTCGCCGTCGGATGTCCGAAAGAGTTCATGGCACAAAGGCCACCGCTGCTAGTTGGTTGCCGTCACCGCCACCGGCCGCCTCGTTGACGACTTGCTTCTCCACAAAGGTCACATGGCCGTCGCCACCCACCCACATGCCCCCATGATCAAAAGTTTGCGAACGCCGTCGCACTCTCGCTAAGACCTTCATTTTTTTTTTTGCATGTCGCCTGTCCTCTGCTGTTGGCTGTCGTCTCGGATCGACATTGATCTCGGACAAAACCAAATGGCGCCGCCACCACCCGCCACCGCCACAGCGGGGTCTGGCGGCCGCTCGCTGTCGTTGGTCCCACGCACGTACCCATTTAGACATCCTCCGAACGCCGCAGCGGCGGAGGGGCGCGTTTGGCGTCGTGGCACGAGCCGAAGAAAGGCCGTGAACGGCCGCCTTAATGGCTGACCGAGAGGGTGTGACAGTCACCAAGAGGTCGTACGCACCAGTGGTGGTTGTACCACTCTTTGCGGGCGGGTTGTAATCAAACTCTAATGGTGCTGGCATCGATACCGGCGCCCGATGTGCCTTTTGTGTACTGTATGTGGGGTCCGATACGGTTTGTACTAATAACGTACTAACCTGTGCTTGGCACGTCCCAACGGAGAGCCCCGGGTGGCAAACATCGGCTTCTGTCTCGTTAGAGTAGTGTGTAACAGGTCTGGTCAGTCCTTCATACAAGCTGTGCTGGTGATCTCCGTCGGCGGTCCGTCAACCCTCTTCCATGTACTTTACTCCCCACAGCTCTACCCACTGTGCAATTCCGCCCACAGCCCACCGCGCTGCACTTGCCCACTGTACTGACCCGCGCACCCCATTTCCCACTGCATGAAAGAGAGAAAAAACGTAAGCTCCGTCGTCGTGGGTGACGAGAGACAGAGACTGGCCAAGGACCGTCCCGGACTCGGGACCATGCCGTGCGCCGTGCTATGTCGCCCTCGCCGGCCCCTCGGCATCCCATCGTACCACTTATCAAGCATCCCCACGCCTGTGGTGGTCACGGCAGAGCGCAGCAGCCGCCGGTGTACGTGGGCATGTGGGGCTGCAGTGGGAGAGGAACGAGGAACACCAAGAGGAACGGGACCACTTGGTGGGGATTTGAGGGGGTGTACGTACACCAGGTTTTGGTGGGACAATGGTGATTGGGTCTTGGGGGAACGAGCTTGCGATGCGGGAGCATCGACCCTTCGTCCAGAACACTGCTGCCGCTGCTGCTGCTGCTGCTGCTGCCGCTGCCCATCGGGACGCGACCGTGTGTCTCGCAACCGCCTGTTCGCGACCATGGCCTGGACACTGCGGGGGAGGCGTCTGTGCGAGGTATGGCCGTTAAGTCCATTTGGGAATGCTCGTGTGAGCAGAAAGGCTCCGTCCAGCGCGCCAGCCAAACGGTGCTCTCAAACTCGTCGCCCAGCCCGCAGACCGCCGGATCAAGCACCCGCGAGGCGCCGGGTGCGAGCGGCGCGCTCATATGTGTCCTGGCCACTCACAGCTGAACGCGCGTCACGGTGACGGTGACGTCGCTGGCGTTCTTTGCAACCTGGACGCCGCCGGCATCTGTCGGCCAAGGCATTGCGGTTCAAACGAATTCGTTCGCATTGCCCTGTGTCTGATTTGACGACAAAGGTGGCGGCCAAGGCGCAGCGGCGAGCGCCGGCGGTTCGGACAGTACAGAAAAAATCCAAATATTGGACGCAACGTCCATCGGCCTCGTTGGCCCTCTCTCCATGCATGTGTCCTTGCGCTGTGCAATGGGCCACAAGCTTGGCGCTCATTGGCAGCTCTAGGGAAGGAACAGAATTATGTCTTTACCCTCCTCCAGTCCATTGCTCGCGCTCGTCAACGGGGTGTCGTGTGCGTAAATGTCCAATATTTTTCTTCCCTTTTCCCTAATAACACTTCCCTGATGTCCCCAGCCGTCTAATTTCGGACAGACAGAGCACTCAGCGCAGTGCATGGCAGCCAACGAACAGACGCGTACGGGCACCCTTATATTCCTGGCCACCACCCCCTACCCATGCACCGCGGTGGAGCGAGGTAAAGGCCCTTTGGACCATTCATGTTGTCATCAGGAGGGCATTTGGGTCTGCCATGAATGACATCAATGTCCAACAATGGGCCACCCGCGGACCCAACTGACGTTTGCACCTCGGTTTGTTCCTCACCCCCAAACAAGTCATAATGTGAGATGAGCCACACAATCAGAGTTTGGCCCGTCGGTACGTTTGTGTTTGAATGTTTGTTAACCTGAGAAGAGACAATGTATAGCTGCTCAAACCCAAGGTTTGGGGCCAATGGTGGTTTCTACTGGACCGGGTAACGCGTCCCATGAGGCAAGATTAGGAGGCGTGTACCATTCTCCTGCGTGTCATCGCCTCTGCCTCCTGATACATGTGGCAGTCGGCCAAGTTCCTGTCCTGTTTCGTCCTCCATCGGACACCTGAAGGAAGGTACTGCTGGCTGTGCAGAATGCCCGTCTGCCACCCACCCGGCGTGCGCGCGACATTGTCGTCGTCAGTGTCCATGTGTGTTATTCCTTTACCCGAGTTCGCAGGACCAACGACAAGGACAGTGCCACACCATGCCCATATGATGTCGGAATGACCCCGCATGACCCCATTCTTGTGCATTCGGGAGGTTTCCGTGCTGCGAGATGTGCGAGAACGCGACCCGCGCGAAACACCCTTTTGCGTAACCCCCGTAATCCTACCCCCTGCACTCGAAATTAGCTGGTGCGGGCCGCGTCGAGCACCTCCACCCGAGAGCCAGCGGGGTGAGCGGGTGCATTCAAATACAATGTCAGCTGCGGCAAGGGCAGACGCAGCTAGCTGGAGGTATGTCGAGCTATTCGCGGTTCGTCTTCCCGAACACCCGGCATGGAAGAACATGCCCCCTGTTGTGCGAGGCCTGGGAGCTTTGTTTTAATGCGAGACGAGCGGAGAGAAATCACAACAACAATTGCAGCATGCATGTGACTACGACACCGAGATACGGGGTGCTCACCTCTGGGTGTGGTGTGCCACCGGACGGCACCGTAGCATGCCCCATGGCTGTAGTTCCCCGGCCGTCACAGAATGCACACGGTGCTTCCAGGCCGCAATTGTGACGTCTGTGACGTCTGTGACGTGTTGTCGGAGCCTTTTGGCGCACTGTCAAACGCACCCAGCAGTTTGGGAGCGGAGCGTGAGCGTGCGCACCGGCAGAGCCAGGGGATCACCATGCAGGAGCCCACAGGACAGGAGAAAGAGGCAGTGAGCTCAGCGTGTTTGAGGGTGGTGGGTTACCCAAACCTGTCCGCAAGACCATGTGATGGAACTTGGGCCGTGCCACACTTTGCGCGCTTGCGCACATGGCTCCAACTGACACTCTCCGGGTGCGCACATACGACGTACGGCGCGTACAGGTTGTACGGGTGCAAAACATGCAGAGAGACCCGAACGCCTAATCCGACGACCCGACGGTCGTGCCGAGGTGCACGGCTGGGGCTGTGGCGCTGGATGGCGCTTGAGAGTGCTCGGCACGCTGGGCGGCTTGGCCCCCACTTGGTTACTGGCTACTGGGTCACTGGTTCGCACTCGGCGGCTCTGATGGCCTCCGCCATCAGCCACTCAGATGTGAAGACGCAAGGACGGCACTGTGGTTGGCCCATTGCGGACTGGGGGTTGTCTCCCATGTGCAACAGCGAGCGGTGTTGTTTGGTCCGCCCCCGGCGATTCCAAGGCCACCAGAGGGGGCATGGAAGCGCGACGGAAGACGCATTCGTTCAGTAGGTTTTTTCGCGCAGAGCCAGAACGGCAAAACTAAGGCTATTGTTTTGGAGCCTCTCTTTTTGGGTGTGGGCCTGTTTTTGCGAGATTATGTTGGATCCGCGTTTTTCTCTCGCGCTCTGGGGGCCGTGTGGGGGGGGGGGGGGGGGGCTTGTGGCCTGCGGCGCGGACCATGTCTCCGGCCAGGAGATAGGGAACCCACAGTCCTGGAAAGCGAGCTTCGCAGGACATGCGTCGCCCTGTTGCCCACCAGTCGTGTTTGACAGCATCCCCCCCCACGGACCACGGACGGCAATGAGCCACCAGGACCCGCCCGTACAACCCTATCGGTGGGCCGGCCCCTGGTACACTGCGGTGCAAATCGTCCATTTCCCTGTGACTGTGACGAGGAACCGGGGGCAGGCAGCGAGAAGGAGGAGCGCAAATGGGCAAAAATGGGCAAAATGCGGGGTGGGGGTGCCCGCCTGAACGCGCCTACTGCGATGCGCAAAATGGCGCTCACGCTTGCCTGTGCACTGGCAGAGAGGGTTGAAGGAATTCCTGCGGCCCACTAGCCTTTGGAAGAGAGCGACGCCAGAGGGCAGAGGATCAAGACACAGGCACGACGCAGTGGCAGCATGGCAGCAGCTCTGCACTTGCCAGCCAAGGAGAGAGCCAAGAGGGAGCGAGGAACGACAAACCCCCAACTGCACAAGGTGTGGGAGCCAGCCAGCCATACGCACGACGCTCGAAGAAGGACACACGAGCAGCAAATATAGACACATTGCACCCCCAGACCACTCCCACCTCACCCACCCACCCACTCACCACTCTCATATCATATCACGCACCACCATCGCCCACCCACCCCCACTGCACTCTCTACCCGACCCGTACTCCCTCTACCCCACTCGCCACCAGACACGATGAGGAGGTCCTAAATCGACAAAAGCAGCCACCCCAGCAGCTCACCCAATCGGTCACCCTCCCTTACCAACAAATAACAACCCCCCCCTCCCCCCTACCCACCCACCAACCCGTCTGTCACCATGGCGCTGTCTCCTCTTACCTTTGGTGCAGAGGCCGTCTCGGTCTCGCCCATCTCGACATACATGTCGCACGACTCGCCGCGCTCGCCTTACTCTCCACCAGTGGCCGTCGCAGCCCGTCAACCCAGGCGTGCGCAGACACTCCCCCTGGAACCTCTCACGTTCACCAAAGTGGCTGTTTCGCCTGCTCCTTCGGTCGGCATTCCCAGTCGGTCAGGCAGCACGTCGGGCGTCACGGACAGCGAAGGCGGTCTGCTGAGCGACGAGCGCGACGTCTACTCGCCCGTCTCGCCACTGTCGCGTTCGCCGTCGCTGCTCACGAGCTTGATCCAGGCCCAGGGCAGGCTGACCAAGAGCAAAACACACTCGCCGTGCACCACCACTCCGCCGGCCAGGCCCATGCCTTGCAGCAGCCAGTTTGCGTCGCTGCCCCGTCCCCCGCGTGCACAGCCCATCTTGCGGCGGTGCAGCACGTCTGGTGCCGAGCGTCTCTCGGGCCTGTCGGGAGCGTCAGGTCCCAGTGGCGACGAGGGAGTCAAGCACACTGAGACGGTGACGAGCCTGGCTTCGGTGTCTATCCGTCACCGTCGCTCGTGTCTCAAGTTTGCGGTTACTCCCAGGCCCCTCCAGCTCGCGGCTGGCTCATCCCAGCAGCAGCAGCAGCAGCAGCTCTCTACAGCGACTGCGTGCCGCCCCCACCTGTCCGTCGCCACGCCCCAGACCCCTGGTGCTGGTCCGTCGACCAGGCCGCGCATCAACCGCGTGCCAAGCTATCGCCGCTCGCCGCCCCCGGCTCAGAGCACTGGCACGAGCTACGACGAGGAGACGTACGCCGTCGCCGAGGAGGAAGAGGGTGACGAGGAGGTCGACGAGGAGGTGACTACCCCCGGTTTCGGCAGCGACGCCGACTCGGCGGGCTACGAAGAGGACAGCGAGGACGGCTTCACGTCCGACGACGAAGACACTGTGCTCTCGCTCGCTGGACGGTGGCACCACCGCCCGGCGTTCGCGCCCTCGTTTGCTACCCCGACACCCATCCTCGCGCCCGCCGCGCGCCGCGCCGCCCTCCCCGACTGCCCAGCGACCACGACCGACGACGGTGCCGCCATCGAGATCCGCCGTCCGCCGCGCATCCGCATCGCCGCGGCCGGACAGGAAAAGTACGCGTGCCCGCGCCACCGCTCGCCGCCGCCCACCTCGGTGCTGGAGGCCCACGGCCCGCGCCCCGCGCCGCCCGCCGCGCGCTCGCCGTCCGCCGCCGAGCTCTGTCGCCGCCGCACAGGCATCGCCCGCCCGCCCCCTCCCCCTTCCTTCCGCCCCGGCACCGTGTGCCGCGGCTGGAAGTCGGACGACGGGCGCGGACACCACCGCAACGCCGCGCCAGTCGCAAAGCCCCCACCGCGCGGCCTGCGGTTCCAGCACCGCAGGGACTCGGCGCCGGCCGCGCCCGCCGTCGACGAGGTCCATGTCCTCGCGGCCGCTGTGCGCGCGGCATGCCACCGCGACCCGCGCGGCGGCCTGAAGCGCGTGCTCCGCGCGTGCGATGCCACTGCTACCGCCACTGCCACGGCCACGGTCACGGGCGCTCGGGAGCGCCTGTAAGTGCCTGTCTGGCCCCCATATTATTCTCATTTATAGACCACCTGTATCGTGGGTTTTCGTGGCCTCGCCGGGGTGTGTATCCCGGGGAGGCGGCCCATTGACGAGTTTACGAACGTGTTGTTCATTATAATGCAATGCCAGACTGTAAATGTCCACATCCTTGTTGCAGTGCCGCCGAGGTTCAGCGAGCGAGAGGAGGATGGGTCGCTGATCGGTGAGGGACGGCGCGCGCGTCAGTTGCAGCTGGAGCGTGCGTTCTTTGTCTGCTGGTTACACAGCCTGCCCGTTCCCTTTGTGCACACTGGCCAAGCTGTGCTGCGGCAGAGTGTGGTCTACCACCGACAAGCTTAACAAGCGCAGCTCGCTTTCTGCTGTCAGTCCATGGGACATCTGCCTCTCTGACAGTCGTGGTAGCCTGTTGCAAAAGCTGCCACATGCTGTGTGTCTCTTTCGTTGTGAACTTTTGGTGAGCTGGTGCCTGGACCCCTGCAGCATGGCACCCGTTAGGGGGGATACAAATGGTCGTCAGCAAAGGCATGCAGTGAGTGGGTGCTGAGGGACAGCAGTGATGGTAATGAAAGAGTGTGTGAGAGAGAGGATGTGACAACGACAACAGTATTTCACGGCAAAGCTTCTCTGCTTTTAAACGTTGTCGCGTTGTCTCGGGGCGGACGCGCGTGGCTGGACGAGAGCGCTCGAACAGTGTTTCACACCAAAAGGCAACACACGAGGTCAAAACACGCGTGGTCGGCGCCGCTTTTCATCCAGCATTCTCACAGCACTGAACGCAGCATGGCCCATGCATGTGTGTCGTTGCAGTAGACATGCACATTCCCTTCGGAGGCAGCGTCGTCTAATGACTTGCATGCATGTAGCATGGGCACCTGCGTTTGGCGTGAGCCTCCCTTGGCTGTCGCTTTGACGACGCGCACATTGAGAGCCGTGTGCCAGGAGTCCCACCCAAGTGCCCCCGTTGGCGTCGTGCCAGCACAGCCACCCGTTGTGCTCGCCGCTTTTCCTTTCTCACTCGCCGTCCTCATCTCTATCTCACAACCAAACTCTCTAGATCTCTCGCAGCTCTTAGAACGGTCCCCAATCCTCGACTCGGGTACATAGCGCATCCCATCCATTGCGCACCCCCCTCCTGGCAGCATTCATTCTTGCTCCCCTCCTGGCGCAAACACATCCACCCGTTTCTCGCCCCGTCTCCCTCCCCCCCCCCCCCCCCCCCCCTTCCCAACACATACCCTCTAGACTACCATGTCCTCTGTCGTCAACACTGCGTCGGCGTCGGCGTCGGCGTCTGCCTCTGCCGCTGCGTCAGGTAACTCTACCATCTCTGCCTCGGCGTCCGGCAACAGCACCGCGAGCGCGAGCGCGACCAACTCGACCACCTCGTCCATTCCGGCGACGGCTGCCCCCGGCTATCTTGAGATGGTGGTGCCCCCGCAGGACGGCTCGACGAGTTACTACAAGATTGCCAGCGCCGACTATATCACGTTCAAGTGGAACATGACCAGTGTTCTGTGAGTGTCCGTCCTGGGTGTGTCGGATGTGTCGGGTGTATTGGTTGTGTTTGTTGGGACCAGCGACGGTTGTTTGTCGTCGTCGTTGCAGACACACAACTGCCTGGACTGTGACCAAACCCTCCCCCCAAACCCTCCCCCACGACCATGGCCACCAGCTGACCTCTCCCTCTCCCTCTCTCCCAGCTCCATGCCCCAATCCCTCACTCTCGTCGCCACATGCACCGACAACGGCAACACGTACCCCGTCGGCCCGACCAACGGCACATACAACACCATCGCCGGCAACGCGACCCAGATCGTCTGGAACCCCTGGGAGTGGGCCCAGATGCCCAACCAGCCTGCGTTCGCGCAGGGTTCGTACACGCTGTCGATCTGGGACCAGCGCGGTTCCACCGCCGGTGCCTCCGCTGGCTTGATGTCGCCATACTCTGGCCTCAAGTTTGGCATGTACAACCCCCAGTCGTACACCCCGTTGGCAAGTGAGTGTGGTGTGCGGGCTGAGAAGGGATAGTGGACGAGGTGCGAATGGGCAAGGTGTCTTGAGGTATGAGGACCGCGGGTCGATACCTCGCTGGACTACCGCGATCCTCCACACTCCGTTCCCTTTGAGCTCGACGGTCATTGTCCATTGTCCTCGGAGCTCTCGCTGACCCGGCAGACTGGACCTGCGCTACCTGCTCTGGCGCAATGGAGATGGTCCGCCAGCCCGCTAGCCTGAGTATCCTCATGAGCCTGCTCATCATGATCATCTCGGCCTTTGGCCTGCTCCGTCGCCTGTAAGCGCGCTCTGCAACGTGCGCTCTGCTCGTCCGACCTCGCTCTTCGCGGCTCCTGAGTCTCGCCGAGCCACTCTCTGCCCATCGCGTCGACGGGCACACGAGCGAACAGCTCCGCCCCCGCTCAGGACAGAGACACTCTTACTCCCAACCTATCCGCACGCCGACCCCAACGCCCCATCAACGCCGCCCAGCGCGGCGCAGGACACTGCATTATACGCTCCCTCACTAGCTACGAAGAAAAACGACCCCCCCCCCCCCCCCCTCCCTCTCCCCCTCCCCCAACCACATCCCGCATGCGCCCTGTATATGTACAGTACCTACAATACAGTAATGACTAGACCTTTTCCTCGGCCTCGTTTTCTCCTTCTCTAGATATACACTCTACGCGGACACTTTGAGACCCTCCCTCCGTTCCCTCCCTTGCAAACTGCCCGGGCGCAGCTACGGCCCCAGCTGCGGTGCGTTGCTCCTGTTCACACGCCTCCCGGCTTCGTTGGATGTGAATGTGCAGAGCAAATCGAGAGCATGCGTCGCCTGCCGGCCGGGTTCCAGCGATCCGTATATTTGGCCCAGGCACATACGTAGTGCACTGTGTGGCACCTCTTTGCGTTCTGTGGCGATTGGTGGCAGGTGCGGTTCTGCACGCCAACACAGAACAGAACACACATACTGTACACTCCTGTCCCCCACCCATCTCGCAGCACTACGTTCCGACCACAAACATACCATAAACCTGCTGACTATCAAAACACTAGCGGCCGGTTTACACCTGAGCAAAACGGGCCTACTACAGCTTGGCCTTGAGGGTGCTGTCCGCGGCGGGCTTGCCGCCCTGCGCCGCCCACGCCTTGCCCACCACGTCCTTGACGTCGTTCTTGAGCGTCTTGCCGTTGGCGTTGCGTGCTGTTTACGTGTCAGCACCGCCCAATCACATGTCCCCCACGGTCCGTTCCCCCCTCTTGTGGCACTCACGCAGCTCGTCAAAGATGACCACGATCACCGGCCGCGCGGGCTTTCGCAGGCGCTTCTCCGCCTCGGCAATGATACTCTCTGGCGTGGCGGTCACACCGGGCGCGAGGGACACGCCGAGGCCCACGCGCTCGCCCAGCACGGGGTCGGGGACGGGCACGGCGGCACACTCTGCAATCCGGCTGTCGAGCGTGACGGCATTCTCCACTTCGGCAGAGGCAATGTTCTCGCCGCCGCGGATGATCATGTCCTTTGCACGGTCGCGCAGGTACAGGATGCCGTCGGCGTCCATGATGCCCACGTCGCCCGTGTCAAACCATCCGTCGGGGGTGAATGCCTCGGCGTTGGCCTCTGCGGGGGGGAATCGTCAGTGGTTGTTTGTGTGGTTGTTATGGGGGCACAGCTGAAGACGCCGGACGTACTCGGGTTGTTGATGTAGCCCTTCATCACGTTGCCGCCCTTGATGTGCAGCACGCCGAGGGTGTTGGGCGGCACGGGCTCGCGCGTCTCCAGGTGCACGATGCGCATCTCGCCAATGGGGATGGCGATGCCGACGGCCTCGGGCTGGGCGTGTAAGCTGACTGAAGACGGAACCGTTCAGCAACACTCACGCGGTCAATATAGTCCTGCCCGCTGATGGCAATGTGCAGGCCCGAAGCCTCCGTCATGCCCCAGCCGTGGTTACTGCTTGTCAGCTTGATATCGGGCAGGTTTCGCCAGCTCACATGAACGCATTTGGGAAGCGCTTCTTGACGTCGGCGACGAGGCGCTTGGGCGGCGCGGCACCGCCATACGACACGCCGTCGAACTGGTGGTCTTCGGGGAGTTTACCAGACTGGAGGATAGCCGTGGCGATGGAGGGCACGCTGGGGAAGGTCAGCTCGGCCGCAGTGCTTCTATCGCGGATCAGCTAGCTGGTACCCACCCGCCGAGGTTCTTGATGTTGTACCGCACAATCAGCTTGATCGCGTCCGGCACGCTCCAGCGGCGCATCATGACCATGCGCGCGCCCTGGCGGACCATGGCGTTCCAGCTGATGTTGCCGGTCACATGGAAGAAGGGGACGGACATGAGGCCGCTCACTTGGTCCTCGGGAGGGGTGGTGGCGGCCGCAACAGCCATGGCGACGGGGGCACCCATTCGGAGGGCAACACGCGCAATGGCTGTCGGGTTAGTTGACGTAGAGACAAGGTGCAGGCGATTTGGCAACTTACGGGCAGAGCCGGTGATAATGTTCTGGCAGTTCTGGCGTTGAGTGATCATGACACCCTTGGGCAGCGACGTGGTGCTAACCGTCAGCAACAGATGCGTGGAACAGTGCCACCCCATTCATCTGTACTCACCCCGAAGTGAAGAGAATCAGCCCATCGCTCTCGGGCTCGACGACGCCATTGAAGCCATCGCCGCGCCTCACAGCCTCCACAGACTGGGGCGAAACGGGCAGGTTGGCAAAGTCGAGGTACTGTGGTGCTGTCAGCAAACAACATCACCTTTGCTCTGCTGCCCACCTTGACAGCCTTCTGGGCCCCGGCGTTCAGGTGAGACACCGGGTTCCAAGAGTAAACCTTGCCGACACCGGCCTGGGCGAGCTTGTCCGCCACGGGACCGAGGACCTCGGCGTCGGCCGAGTCGACGAGGACGATGTGGGGCTTGGTGAGCGTCAGGCAGTGGATCTGGACGTCCTGGACACTGGGAGCAGTTAGCCGGTGGACTTGTGGGTGGGCGGGGATGGCGGATCGGCGACAGCCGAAGGCAGTGGCTTGTGATCTTGTGATCTTGTGATCCTTGGGCCAGTGGCCAGCGGCCAGCGCGGCCAGCAGCGTCCGATGCAAACTCCTTCCAGCGGGGGGAACCCATGTGAGATCCTCCTCCCCCCGCAGACACCACTCACAGAGTCGAGTTGAGGCACACGGGCACCGCGCCGAGCAAGTTGACCGCCGTAAAGCTCGTCAACCATCCGATCGAGTTTGTGCCGCCAATCGCGACGCGCGTGGCCGGCCCGACACCTTGCTCGCGCATCCACCCGGCCAGGCGGTATCCATCTGCGAGCATCTGGCCGTAGGTGATGTCGCGGCGGTCGTCGTAGTGTGCGCCCGGGAGCGGGTTGGGCTCGTTGACCATGACGCGGTCGGACCAGTGGGTCATGCGGTCGACGAGAAAGTCGCGGAACGTGCGCGGCGCCTGGAGGGTGGTCAGTAGAAGTAGATGATGATGAGGGGCAATGGGGTGCGCACATTCTTCCACACGCGCTGGGGACGGCCGTCAATTGTGACCTCCTCGATCTCAAAGTACGACCCGGGGGTGCAGAACGCGGCGTCGACCTCCTTAAAGGTGAGTTGCTTTGGAGGGGCGGCCATGCTGGAGAGTTGTGGCAAGGGAGGGAGGTTGTGAGAGAGGGGGAGGAGCTGGTATGTATGTCGATGCCCACACGGTCTGTCTGTGCCAGCTAAAGGTGTCGATGGGCAAGACAGCGGGACAGTAGCTTTAAACGACGCTCGCAAGAGCAACATGTCGTCTTGGCCGTCCTGAGCCGGTCATCTGGTGACCGACACCGCGTCGGAGTCGGCCGATGGACGCTGCGGACTTCGGCTTTTCACCCACACAGGCGGGACCGGCCGCCGGCAAGCTGGCAATGGCCCCACGCTGGTCCACCTGGTGCCCCACCCTTGTACTTGGCGGTCTTGCATGGCCTCGTTCAGCAAGGATCACGTCGTCGCTGTCAGTCCGGGCGCCGGGGTCATCATAAAAGGATAATGCTGACGAGAGTGGTACAGAAGGGATGTGGGGTGGCCGGGACATGGCCAAGGAGGACGTGGGCCCTCTTGGGGGCTTCTTGTCATAGGAGCGGATCCAGCACATGGATTGTTGTTCCATGCAGCATGCAATCACACTACGGTGCCTACTGGGACCGGTGGGTGGGGAACCAAGATATCTGACGCTATGGTTGCAGTGCGCACACGCCGTCCATTCGAGATCGCCGTGTCAAACAACGCTGCTCGGCGCGGTGTTGTGCCACCCTTTGTACCGATCCCTTACACCTTTGCTTTCGCCGTCCGAAGTGCAGTTGGCGGACCCCAACCTCACCGGCTCACGCAACGCACAGGCATGGTCAGCGATAGCAGCCACAGTTGCAGTCAAGAGCACGCTGTCAACTCGCGGCGCTGTCATTGGCAGAGGGGACCTTCCGAGGTGGAAAACACAGCACAACGACAATGACGTCAGACACTCCGTCCACTCGGAGAGTGCTTGTTGGTAGGCGATATGGGGACATGACCTTGACAACATTTCCCAGACTACCCGTCTCTTCCTCTCCCTCCTCCTCCATCTCATTCCAGCTCTCTCCACTGACCCACCCACACCACCCATACCACCCACCAACACCCGCAAAAACCATGCCCACACCGCAAGCCGTCGCCGCGCCACTCACGGCGTGCGCGACCTTTCTCACCCTCACGCTCGCGCACCCGCCCACGCCCACCCTCTTATCGACGGTCCGTAACACGCTCTCGTCCCTGCCCGACATTGTCAAGAACGTCGCCATCCGCGACGCCACCTCGAGCGTGTACTGCACCGTCGGGATCGGCGCGCAGGCGTGGTCGAGCCTGACGCGCGCGCCGCAGCCTGCCGAGCTCGCGCGCGGGTTCCAGCCCATCAAGGGCGCCAAGCACTCTGCCCCGTCCACGCCCGGGGACCTGTTCCTGCACCTCCGCGGACCGCGGCGCGACCTCACGTTTGAGCTCGAGCGCCTCATCCTCGCGGCGTTTGGCGAGAGCGTGCGCGTCGCGGACGCGACGGCCGGGTTCCGGTACTTTGACGCGCGCGACCTCCTGGGCTTTGTGGACGGCACGGCCAACCCCGTCGGCAGTGCGGTGGGGCCGTGCGTCACTGTCAACGGAGACGAGGACGGCGCGGGCGCGGGCGGAAGTTACCTCGTGGTCCAGAAATACCTGCACGACCTGAGCGGGTGGAACCGCCTCAAGGCCGAGGACCAGGAGAGTATTGTCGGCCGGACCAAGTGGGATAACGTCGAGCTGGACGATGCCGCTCCCTCGGCGCAGAAATCGCACAAGACGCTGGCGACTATTGATAAAGACGGGAAAGAGTACGATATCCTCCGCGATAACATGCCGTTCGGGTCGCCGGGCGAGGACCAGTACGGGACGTATTTCATCAGCTATACCGCCCGCCTGTGGGTCGTGGAGAAGATGCTCCAGCGCATGTTTATCGGCGTGCCAGAGGGCAAGCACGACCGGATCTTGGATTTCTCCACACCCGTCACCGGCGGCGTCTATTTTGTGCCCCCTGTCGAGACGCTCGTCGCCATGGGAGACGATGACTAGCGGCCGGCAGGGTAACGAGAGATTAGAAAGGACGGTGCATTGTACACTCCTCCCGTAGTCTAGTAGGTCTATGGTGGTACAGCGGGGTTTACACCGTTCGTTCGCTTCACTCAGTCGTCGTGTCGTCATCACGTTTGGTGTTTTTGGCCACCACCTTGGTCGGCGTGTCGGCCTCGCGGCCGCCCCTGCGCTGCGCCTGGAGACGCACCACCTTGTCGGCGTACGTGCTCATGAGCTTGTCCATCCAGCCGCCAATGGGAAACTTCTTGTTCCACTGGTTATGCAGGTGGACGGTCCAGACGTGGCCCATTTTCTCCTCTAGTACCTCACGTCCCGAGCGCGCTGCCCCGCGTCCGTCCCAGCGACGGCCGCCCCAGAGCGACGGGTCAGGCGCAAACGGGTCCGGGAAACGAATGTCCGAGCGACAGTTGCGCGGGTCCGAGAAACACCACGGCAGCACGGCAAAGGGGACAATGTGGTTGGCGATCAGGCGGCGGTGGAGCTTGGAATACAGGTGCGAGCCCCAGGTGAACGAGTTGGGCTTGGGTAAAGGCGACGACGCCATGATGTGGAATGCCTCGCACAGGTACGGCGAGTGCTTTTGAAAGTGCATGAGCGCGCCGTTCATCTGAAAGTAGGGTTTGTCTGACGAGAGGGAGTCAGTATCGTTTATGTACAGCAAAGATCTCACCATAACAGTCCCACTGGGTCACAAACTCGCTCTCGGTCAACGGGTGCAGGTCGCGCGTGAGCACCTGGTCCATGTCCATCCAGACACCGCCGTGGTGGTAGAGGACAAGGAGGCGGATGGCGTCGCCGTCGACCCAGCCGCGCTCGTCATTGAGAGCAGACAGGGCGCCCAGCTTGCCCTCGAGCTCGGTACCGCGCGTAAGGCCGGTCATGTCGACCTGGCGGATTTCGATGTGGTCAGGCCACTCTGCAATGATGCTCGCGAGGTGTTTGTTGGCTGCCAAAATGTCTGCACCGTTCGACCACAGGATCATCTTGGAATGGTCCAGCGGCTGGGTGGCAAGAAACGCCTTGAGCGTCGCAGCTTGGCGGTCGCCAAAGGGCATCAGGTCGCTGCGCCAGTAGCTGTGGTACAAGAGGTGGTTGAGGGGCACGTCTGGCGGTTGCTGGATCGTCGAGGCATAGTCGTAGCATGTCATGCCGCGCCGAAGGCTCAGCCCAGGCGAGAGCATGTGGTGGCGTCCGGCCTTGTGAGCCGTCATGTTGTACTCTGGGCTAATGTGCCTGGAATTAAAGCAGCCCTTGAGGGGCTCGATGTGGTCAAACTCGGACGCGACCCAAGAGTGGGAGAAGACGGAAAACTCGAGCTGGATCTCGTAGGATCGGACAAGGTGCCAGACGATGAAGACGACGACCGCGAGGACCAGCCCAGCGGGGACGAGGACACGGCGGCGCAAGCTTCTCGTGCCGGCGAGGCTCCACCCGCTCCAGAATGGTTCACCACCAGCGTTCGACAGGCGTCTCCGCCCGTGGAAGGGCAGGTACGTAAACGAGCCTGCCCGACTGCGACGTTTCCGGAAGCCATAGCCCGTGTCGTCGTCGTCCTCCTCCTCGCGAGGCAAGGGAGCGGTCCCCATTGACAACGACTTTCGTCGTGCACGCGCATGTGCGGATGTAGGAGAGGCGGCCTTGTCCATTGACACGGCAGTGTAGGATGGCGCCTGGCCGAAGGCCTGTGGTTCGCGTGTATATGCGTTCCGGCTAGCCGAGTGTTCGCCACGGCTGTTGTCGTCCGTGTTCCTGTACAGTGTTAGTGAACAGAAGGGTATAGAAGCAACGCGGTGTGTGTGTTGGGGGAGGCAGCTGGGATTTTGTGTTTTGGGACGTCGGCAAACGTGTTGCGATGGACGAGGGTTGGACGCCACTTGGGCGCTCCAAAAGCAGGGGGGGGGGGGCACCAGGAGATGCACACTTACCATCCTGCGTCTGACCATTCTTTGTTATCCGAAGACCCGCCTGGCCGCGAGGTGTCCATGGTGGCAGCCGTCGTTACTGGAGGAGTGAAGGGTGGAGAGTGCGGGCAACGCGGGGATGATGCGGTGGACACGGGACGCATACAGCAACACATATGCGCATACATGCAGCATACACAAGTGACACGTGACGCCATGTCGGTTAAACGGAGATGTGTGTCCATGTCCGGTAAATACCAATTACGTAACGAGTGGCAACCCTTCTCCCCCCCGTGCCAGTGCCACAGACGGCTGGTGTACGGGATGATGTTGTTTCCCCGGCTGGAGCGGCTGACCTATGGTGGCCCGGCACGAGTGATGACGCACAGCGACTGGCAGAGACGCGAGCAAAGGTGGTGGGTGTTGTGGTCGGGGGGGTCGCGGATGTGCCGGCCGGGGCGTGTGCGGTGCGTGCTGGGCAGTGGTGGGCGCGCGCGCCTGGCTGCCCCCCCCCCGCTGGCTGGCTGGCCGGCTGGCTGGCCCCAACAAAGATGGTAAAGCCCCGTCGCTCCCCCGTCGCTCGTTCTCCTTTAGAATCCCATCTGTTTGCCACTTCAGCTTTCATTCTTGCTCTCTTTACCTTTACCTCCCTACCACCCCCCCCTGCACATATCGTACGCATCTGCCACTCCCCATCCCCTACCCCTCCTTCACTCGTGCTCCCTTGCTCACACTCCTCCAGCAACATGCCCCAGCCCGTTCCCCCCTCCTGGAAGGTACGTGTTGTTCGACCACCTTCCTTTGCCTGGCCCCCCTGGGCGCGCGCCCATTAAACACCACTGTCATACTCACTCATGCTTTCTAGGACCTCGGCAAGTCGTCGTCGGACCTCCTCCTCAAGGACTACCCCATCCACGGCACTTCTCTCGAGGTCAAGACCCTCACCCCTTCCAACGTCACCTTCAAGGTCGCCGGCAACCGCGACTCGAAGACCAACGTCATCAACGGTGACATTGAGGGCAAGTACGTCGACTTCAAGAACGGCCTCACCGTCACCCAGGTTAGTACCTTGTCTGTGCCGTAGTTGTCCTTGTCGTTTCTCTCTGTGCCCTGCCATACCCATGAGCTATGGCTGTCGCCGTGGAGGTCGTCCCGCCGAGTCTGGCTCGCCCCTACCACGTTCATTCTTTGCTCGGCTCGCTCCTTCTTTCGAGCTCAGGGCCGGTCCGAACCTTGCCGCCCGTCCCGTAAAAAGTCGGGCCACCTATACATCCATGGGGCATATGAGCGAGCCCCGTGCGCAGAACCGACAAGGACAAACATGGATTGTGCCCCAGCGATGCAGCAGCTGCTAACCACCCCGCTTTAGGCCTGGACCACCGCCAACGTCCTCCGCACCCAGGTCGAGCTCGAGAACCAGATCGCCAAGGGCCTGAAGCTTGACCTCGCTACCACCCTCAACCCCGCCAAGGCCCAGAAGGCCGCCATCCTCACTGCCATCTACAAGCAGCCTTCGGTCCACACCCGTGCCACCGCCGACCTCTTCAAGGTGAGTTGTTGTTGATAATGTAGAGCTGCGTGTCCCGCCCGGTCATTACCGCCAAGAACACTGTTTCCTGCGCTGTTGTCACTGTGTCGCCGTGACGTTGCCAGGCACGTGCATCTTGCTTGACGCGGACCTGTGGCACGCAGCTTAAAAAGCACGATAGTAACACGCGCTGACGTGAATCCTTAGGGCCCCACCTTCACCGCCGACGCCGTTGTCGGCCACGACGGTTTCCTTGTTGGTGCCGAGGCCTCGTACGACGTCGCTTCGGGTGCCATCACCCGCTACGCTGGTGCCGTCGGCTTCTCGGCCCCCGAGTACGCCGTCACCCTCCACGGTCTCGGCAACCTCTCGACCTTCTCGGCCTCGTACTACCACAAGGTCTCGAAGGACGTCGAGGCCGGCGCCAAGGCCGTCTACGACACCAAGTCGACCACCGGCGGTGTCTCGCTCGAGGTCGGCGCCAAGGCTTACCTTGACAACGCCGCCTTTGTCAAGGCCAAGATCAACAACGCCGGTGTCCTCGTCCTCGGCTACACCCAGGCCCTCCGCCCCGGCGTCAAGGCCGCCTTTGGCCTTGCCCTCGACACCACCAAGCTCAACGACTCGACCGCCGGCACCGCCGCCCACAAGGTCGGTGCTTCGTTCAACTTCCAGTCGTAAACCTCGCCGGCGCGCCTACATCATTAGTCTTGTCGTCGTCAAGGGGGAAGAGAATGTGTGCAGTCAGGCAGGATCACAGATCACATGGAATGCAGTGGTTGCAAACGAAGCAGAATACAGAATACATGAGGGAGGGGAGGGGAACGAGGGAACGGCGCACAGTAAACTGTGGCGTGGCGTTGGCCTTAGGAATGCAAAGTGACTGACCAGAAATGTGGTGCGGAAGCGGTTCATGTCGTGCACAGACGGCGGATGGTGGTGCATGCCCCCCACAGTGTTCGAGGTGGACTGTGGTCCACCGGTCCATGGATCCATGGCGTGACGGCGCGTGATTCGTGAACGACACTGAATACACTGCGTGGTCGCGTTTGGTTGGTCAAACAGTCCGTCCGTCTGCCATCTCCGATGGTCGGCACCTCCCTCCACACGTGCTCTCTCCCCAGCCGACGTGCCGACGCGTCACAGTGGCACGATGTGGCAAATGGTGGGCACGCCGTTACCGACAGTTTTAGGCTGTTTACGCGAATACTTACTGGCGAACTGTCAAGGGGGGCACGATGCTATTTGGTGTTGTCGATGCCTTGGCCTCGGTGTTTCCTGCATAGTGGTCGGTAAACCCGTGAATCGGGGTTGGAAGGAGGACAATACGTCCACGACAATCCACCACCACCGTCCGCTGTCGTCTTCATCTCGTCCTGAGCAGTGGACGGGACGCCGCAGACCAGGTAGGAATGTACGCCCATAGATGGAGGCAGCTGCCGGAGTTGCATGGCTTGTCCTGCTGCCCGCAGCCATACCATGTAGCCACGACGAACATGGCCCTCACAGCCGCGCACACTCCGCTGTCTCTGTACTCTGTACGCTCAATCCCAAGGGAATGCGACATGACCGCATGGCAACACACGACAGCTGTCAGAGCTATCCTCGTCCTTGCTGTACCTCTGTTCGGCACCGTCGGCCCGATTCGACCACCAACCATGGAGCTGCATATAGCTGTGGCGTCCAGCCGCGCACCTCACGGCTCACGGCTCACGGGCCACGCAGCGACGCCATACGCAGCAGCCATACGGCTGCCTGCACGCCTCAATGTAACACGCGTGGGTTCAGTGTGCTGGGTGGCATGTACGATACATGTCGAGCTCGACCTGGGTGTGGACGCGGCGTGTGCTGGCCAGGTTTTCCTGGGGCTGTTGTCGTCGCTGACTTTTGATCGTGTCCATCTCAACACCGGCCACAGGTCAACAGTACAAGTGTGTTCGTCCAGGATAATCCTCGCATAAACCTCATTGTTATCCACCATAATAACCCCCCCCCCGGCACTCACTGCCGGTCTTCAACCGTTCCATTTCCTTGTTGTTCCCTCTCTCTCTCTTCACACCATCTCGCGCGATGGCCTTCAACACATACAATGAAGGCCTCAAGAGCGCATCAGTGAGCACCAACCCACCACACCCCTGTCCGTTCAGCGGCCTGGAGAGCTGACACCCTCCGTTCAGAGCATAGCCAACCGCGCCATCGCCGCCGAAGCCTCGCTCTCCACCCTCGCCCTCCATACCGCCCCGCTCCCAACCCTCCTCCGTGCGTTCTCGCTGTACGTCTCTGCCGCCGAGGCCTACTCGCACCTCCTGGCCAGCAACCTCGTCCCCAAACCGGAGCGGCTGGCAGTACAGAAGAAATGGCGGCTGGTACTGGAACGCGCCGAAAAGGTCAAGCGGCGGGTGGAGGAACTGGGCGGTAAAGTCGGCATGGCGGGTATCGACGAGAGCGCAGAGGAAGGCGCGGTCGTGCGCCGTGGGGGCAGGGTGAACGGCGTGGTGGCCGGTGAATGGCGGCAACCGCCCGGCGACCACGAGTTCGCCGTCGGCTCGACACTGGCGCCGTCGGCTCCTCTTCCCACCACTTCCACTTCCTCCTCGACTCCCCCTTCAGGCTCAAGGTCACCGGCGTCGCGCTCGCTCTCGCTCTGGCGTGACGCGCAGCAGCCCGAGCTCGCGCCCGAACAGCTCGCGCTCGATCCCGAATGGGCCGAGCTGCCCGCCGAGTCGTGGGCGTGGACTCTGCCCGAGGGCGGGTGGAGAGTACGCCAAGGTCCCGGCGCAGACTGCAGCGTCACTGCCGGCCTCGGCGCATGTCTCGCGCATAATGCAAAGTGGGGTACAAGCGTGAGTGGAGTGGGATGGTCGAGGGTGTCTGGTCTGGTATGCGCGTGCAGGAAACGGTTGTGAGCGCCGGAGTGAGATAGATGCGCTGCTCATCGTGGTTGCATAGCGCGAGCGAGATCCGCTCCGTTCTCCGCAACTGGTCACCCCTTCACCTCACCTTTTCAGAACCTCACCCAGTGGCCAGGACACTGACAACCATTTACCCAGCTGGCACAGGACTCGCTGTATCCCCAAGCCGTCTCTGGCCGACCCCGACGGAGCGAGAATGCCAAGCATGTCGTCAAGCTGCTCCTCAACGGCGCGTGGCGCGGCGTGAGTTGGTCCGCGTTGTATGTAGCTAACTCTTCCCAGGTGGTAGTCGACTCGCTCTTGCCTCGAGGCAAAGACGGCCGTCCCCTGCACATCACGGCCCGCCCGGCGCAACCTCACGTCACCGACAGCACCGAAACCCAGACCACGAACGGTACCGACGCACTCAACCACCACGCCACAGGTCCCGCCTGGCTGCCCATATCAGTCAAAGCATACTTCAAGGCGTTGGGCGGATACAGTATCCCCGGGTCCAACCCGGCTCCGGACGTGTACGCGTTCACGGGCTGGATTCCCGAACGGCTCGAGCTGCATTCTGGGTTCAGGCGAGAGAAGGAGTGGTCGAGGGTGTTTGGAGCGTGGCAGCGGGGCCAGGTGATCGTCACGCTGGGCAGTGGCCGGGACGCGCCTGGGCTCGTGCCCTTGCACGCGTATGGCGTTCTCGGTGAGTTACAGTGCTGCCGCTTGTCTCTACTTTCTGTATACCAAGTGCAATGAGCCAGAGGAGGACGCCGTCGCTGACAAGGGCACGCAGATATCCGCGACCAAGACGGCGAGCGACTGCTGGAAGTCTTCGACCCGGGATCGGCAAAGGCCAAGCGCGCCGACGCCGACGCCGACGTCGCAGAGCTCTCGGACGCCATGGCGGCAGTGCACTTGGACAATGGTGGGTTGGTTCTTTTTGGGTGGACGACTAACCCGTCAGACACAATGACCATGTCCTGGGACGAAGTGTGTTCGCGTTTCGAGACGCTCAACCTCAACTGGGACCCGGCCATGTTGCCTGTCACCGCTGTGCGGCACTGGTGCGTCGTGCAGCTAACATCGAAGTGCTGGATCGAGCTGATGGCCGACGCACAGGTCATGGCCCAAACCGGATCAAGCCGACAACGACATGGACGAGTCACTCTCTCTCCGTAAGTACCGCACGACCGCAACTGGCCACGCCGGGAGCGGGAGGTTGGCCACTGTATCTGCAGCTGCTCGTCGCATGTGACATTTCCTCAGCTGACCGACGTCCCAGGCTCATCTCCGCGCTATCGCGTCACAGCGACAGCCACGCGTCCCGACGCCCACGTCTGGCTCCTCCTCAGCCAGCACCAGAGTGCAAAGGACGTCCCGCTCGACGACGTCGCCCTGCACGTCTTTAGAGATTTCCGCGGGGCCAAGGGCACGCGCCTCGCGCAGCCTGCACACCAAGAGACGGTGAGTACCGGCAGCTGGCTGAGCACTTCCAGCTGCCAACAGCGGTTCTCACCTAGCACTTTCGGCCTCGGCCTCGTAGTCGACGATAACTGACACCCACACCCAGAACCCTTACGCCAACGCACTGCACACGCTCGTCCGCTTCCCACTGCGTCAAGGCGAGAATGTGCTCAACGCCGTCGCGTCCCGCGACAGGGGTATATTCCAGACGGGGTTCACTCTGCGCGCGTTTGCGAGCGAGGGGACGCGCCTGGAGATGACGCGCGTCAGCCTGAATCTGCCGTTTAGCGAGACCGTGAGTGGCGAGTCGGGAGGAGGATCAGAGGCAGTAGAGGTGGCGGATGGTGCTGTTGTCGCATTGGTATTGCGGCTAGCACGGATGCGATCGTGCTTAGCCGGTCATACATGCCCCGTGCAACAACCCAGCTGCGATAGGCGATTGCATACGGACAGCTGGTATCCGTGCCATCACTCCACCTCAGCTGCTACGAACTCACATCAGCTGGTCCTGAACGGCGACCACCAAGCTGTTCGTTGACTGACCGCACCCCAGATCTCGTCTGCCCTCACAAAACGCTCCGCAGGTGGCCACCCGGGCCAGGCAACACACCATATGAACCCGCAGTACAAGCTCGTCCTGGGCGGCGCTGGGAGCTCCAAGGCCTCAACCCTGCGGTTCGGGTTACATGGCGCGTGTGACTTGGCGTGGAACGTAAAACTGCTGTGGGGTAACGGGGAGAGGGTGTTTGAGTGAGTCAAGTCCAGGTGGTCAAGAAAACGACGCATGGGCTGACGCCTGTGACCAGGTTGAGCTCGGAGAGCATCATTGCGTCCTCGGGCCCATTCAGCTACGGCATGGCGTACTGTGAGATTGACGATGTCGAGGGTGAGTGAGCCACGGCGGACATGTATGCTGCGTGTAAGCAAGACACCTGTCCAGTTGTTCACCCGGAAGACTGCAACTGACACCCCCCGCAGCCGGCGCATATACCGTCCTCGTGTCATCGTACGAACGCGACGTGCCGGGCAACTACACCCTCTCCGTCGAAGCCAGCTCCCCCCTCACCGTCACCCAGATCCCACAAGAAGGAGCAGGGATGTACGCCCGCAGCGTCTCGGGCCAGTGGACCACCGCCACAGCCGGCGGCCGCCCCTCGGGCGGCAACTACGCGGCCAACCCGCGCGTCGAGCTCGTCCTCTCGCAACCGGCAACGCTGCAGGCCCGGCTGGCGCTCACTGTGCCCGGCCCCGTTCCCGTCAACCTCACAATCTTCAAACGCGTCGCGAGCGTCGCCGGCGTCGCCGAAGGCGGCACAGGCAGTGGTGCCGGGGACGCGCCTGGGCTCGGGGAACAGGTGGCCACGAGCGGGCCGTACGTCGAGCGCGTCAGCGGCGTGGGCCTGCCCCGTACGAAGGTCCCCGCGGGCGTGTACCTCGCCGTCCCGAGCACGTACCAGGGCGGCGTGGTGGGTGGGTGGACGATGGATGTGTGGGCCAACGTGGCGTTTAGCGCCGAGCTGGCGTAGGTAGAGGGTTGTAGCAGTGAGTGAGGAGTGAGGAGGAGGGCAGGAGTGCATGTAAGCATTTGACTTGAGCTTGAGTATGGCTGGGCATCCGCTAGGCTTCCGCTTCCTTCCTGGTCGCGTGCACCCGTCCTCTTGCTGTGCAGATTGCAGCATATGTCAGAATGTCTCCACGCCTGGCCGGTGCTTCTCGGCATCCAACTCTCGCGCCACACGCCACCGCGGGGGGGAGTAGGCCGCGCGTTGCTCCCGCACGCCAAGCTAAATTGACAACGGATCCATCTCATACAACGGGTCTAGGGGTGTATGGCTTGATGCGAGGGGTGAGGCGCTTGCGGGGCAGAGGGGTAGACGAACGATGCTTGGTGGCCTGTTCGAGATGGTTTGGAGATGGGTGAGAGCCGGGTATTCGTGGTGTGTGTGTGTCGCAGTAACAATCGTATCGAGGACGCCGTATCGCCACCCACCCCACTAGACACTCGCGCACACCCTGGTCCAAACGACGCGACAGCGGTCGCCTGCGGCCTCTCGCCACCGGCCGGCGCGCCGCTCACTTGTTCTCAGCGGCAGCGGCCTCGGCCTCGCGCTTGGCCTGGAGCTCGGCGCGCGTGAGGCCCGCCTTGTGGGGCTCGCCGGTCTTGGGGTCGATGGAGCCCGTCTTGGGGACGAGCGGGGACGAGCCGAGGCCGCCGCCCGTAAGGCCGCCTGGGAAGCCGGTGGCGAGGCCGCCGCCCGACGAGAGGCCCTGTGCCTCGGCGGCGGCGTACTTGTTGTCAGCGTTGTCGGCCATAGTGGGGATGTTGGGTGAGAGGGGGGACTGGAGGGAGGCGGTGGTGAAGGGTGAGGCGGCGAGGATGGAGACGAAGACGACGAAGAAGAGACGTGCGATCATATGGGCGATAGGGGAGAACCAATGTGTGCCAACGTGGGGACGTCGGGATGAGGGTCAGGCGAGCGATGACGCACCCGAGGCGTGATTAGGGAATGGTTAGGTAATGCTCATTAGGACAAACCATTTCCATATTCTAATGCAGTTTCCTAATACATCTCCCCGGTGGCAACATCTCATCACGTGACCTCGCTCGCGTCTCCCAGCAACCACTTTCTCTCTTCCCTCTTATTTCTCTGGGCGCGTTTACACGTCTCCTTCCCTCACCATCCAACACACACCCCAGCCATGTCATCAAGAGGCCGCTCAACATCCCCCAAACCCCTCACCCCGTCCCCGCGCCGCGCCGCCGCCGCCGACGTCTCCATGTCGCCTGCCCGCAACGGCAGCCGCGAGCCTGGCGGCAGCAGCAGTGGAGGTCCTCCCAAAGTCGTCGTTGTCCAGGGCCTCAGCAAGAATGTCTACCCGGCGCACTTGCGCGAAATCTTTGGCGTGTACGGCCGCGTCACGGGTCTGGATCTGCCAGTGTTCAAGTTTTGTAAGTGGTCCTTGAGAGTGATGGTGAAGAGAGTGGGGTCGTGCAGCCAGCTCTTGTACATACTCTTCATCGTACCTGAGCTGGCAAGACGCGACCGCACGCGTCGATCACCATCCATCCACATCCTACACAGCTGCAATATTTGTTCCAGGATGTAGCTGACACTTGCAGCCGGATTGAATCGCGGCAAGGCTGCTATCGAGTTTGACGCTGCCGCCGCTGCCGACGACGCCGTCCGGTGCATGGATGGCGGCGTGCTCGACGGCTCCGTTCTTCGCGTACAGGTGAGTGCCCATGTAGACCCCCGCCTGCTCGAGCACAAACTAACCTTGCAGATCTCAGAACACCCCTTGCCTCCGCCGCGCCCAGCCACGCCCCCTGCGCGCAGCCATTCTCCCTCGCGCCGCCGCCGCTCGCCGAGCCGCAGCAGGTCGCCCCCACCGCGTGGCGGAGCGGGAGGCTACTCGTCGTACCGTCCCCGCTCGCGCTCGCCCCCACCGCGTCGTCGCTCTCCTCTGCCTCCTCGCCGCCGCTCCCCCAGTCCTCGCGGAGGCGGCGGATGGGGCCGTCCCGCACCAGCATACGGACCCGGTGCGCGTGGCGGGTTCCAGGGCGGTCGCGGTCGTGGAGGCTATGCCGCTGGCCCCGGAGGCCGTTTCCGTTCGCGCAGCCCACCGCCCTTCCGCGGTGGTAACCGTCGCCGTTCGCCCGACTATGGCGCCCGTCGCAGCCCCGACTATGGCGCTCGCCGCTCGCCGCGTTCCAGGTCGCGCTCGTTCTCGCGCTCCCCGCCGCCCCGCCGTGGTCGCTCGCCCAGCAGGTCCAGGAGCCGCAGCCGCTCGCCTGTGCGCCGCCGTCGTTCGCCCAGCTACTCGCGTTCCAGGAGCATGTCGCGCGGCAGGAGCAGGAGCTACTCGCCCCGCCGTACGAGGTCGCCCAGCCCGCCCAAGGCTGTCCCCGCGGCTGCGGGTGCGGACGCGTCGTCGCCGCCGCCTCGTGCCAGGAGCCCAAGCATGCGCAGTGCGAGCAGGAGCAGGACGAGGAGCGCCAGCCCGCGTCCCTAGGTCTGAAGAGAGAGGTTGTCAAGAGGGGAGCGGAGAAGAAGGAGGAGCAAGAGGAGGAGCCAGGCCGTGGCCATGTCGATGCCCGCGCCATGACGCGTGAAAGAGCAGAGAGGGAGAAGTGATTACCAAAAGCGACACATGCGCGTATACCGATAGCAATGTCCATGCCAATAGACGCTCAGCGTCGACTGTGAGAAGATCTAGATCGGAGCAGCGACGAGTATCAAGTCCATTGAGCTGCGGTGAGCATGTGCCATTCCAAACGGCATGGCCTGATGCCCCAGCTACTGGTCACTGTGTCGGGGGAGAACTCCTCCCCAAGCCTGACCAGTTTAATGACTGGATAAGGAAGAACACCCAGGCCACTATTTGAAGCATCCGACAACGGAGCAATCATCGAAAGCGTGCAGACCTGCCTGGCTGCTATAGCACTGCAACGGCCGACCCCGCGAGCAAGGCAACGACAGCATTATCGACCCCCCCAGGCCATATCGATGACGTGCCAAATTGAGTGACGTCATGTCGTGCGCGTGTTCATGTCACTTTCGGTTCCACCCACCCACTGTCTTAACCGGCGCCTGTTTCTCTCGTTTCTCTCTTTTCTCTCTCACATATTACACCTCCGTCATGCCCATCCTCTCGGCCCTCTGGCCCATCTTGTCGTCCTACCGCCCCTCGGCAGCCTCGGACCGCCAGCGCGCACGCCGCTTTGGCGCGTTCGTGCCCACGTACTATCCGCCAGCCGTCTGGCGGGGTCCAAAGGACGACCGCGAGGCGCAGAAGTGAGTCTCGTGGTCGTGTGAGGGTTGCTGTGGTTGGGGGGATGGGCGGCGCTGTGGACGAGACGCGCAAGCTGTGAGCTTTGCCGGTCATGTAGCCAGCTGGTGCCGTCCGGCCGCGCCTCGCGCGGCCTCAGGTTACGGCTGTGACGCCTGCCTGGTATTTGCCCCTTCCCCTCGCCTCCTCCCGTCCCAACGAGCTGACCCATCGTTAGGCTGTACAACCACGTCCGCACTGTCGCCTTTTACATGGACGCGGCGCCCGTCCTCGCTGACGCTGGACTGCCGTTCCGGGCCGGTCTGGACGACATCATCTCCCTCGTCCCGCTGTACGGCGATATCGTGTCTGGTGTGTTGCAGCTGTACCAGGTCTGGCTGTGCTGGTTGTTTGGGGTGCCGCTTAACGTTTGCATTCAGATGGTGAGTAAGCGTGCGCCGGGGTTGTGGAGAGAGACGACAGCGAGGTGTGAGGACGGGGCGCGCGGCATCGGCTTGTGACGTTGCCGGCTGCTGTGTGGCACTGGTGCAAGCTGATGCGTACGAGTGGTGGAGCGTGTGGAGGGGCACCTCGTACCATCGCACTTGGTCCTTGGCAATGTCTTGGAGATACAGCTTCCCGTCTGAGCGCCATGCTCGTTCCCGGGGCGTTGCTGTGTGTCCCAGTCCCACCACGTCCAGCGTGTTGAACATGACCTTTCTGCCTCTCAGACTCGTTTCCCTCGGCGGCAGGTGTCCTTCACAAGCTAACCCCCCCCCGCAGTTCTTCAACGTCCTCCTCGACACCCTCGTCGGCATCGTCCCCATCATCGGCGACATTCTCGACAACCTCTTCAAGGCAAACCTGCGCAACCTCGCCCTGCTCGAGACGTACCTCCTGTCCAACGCGCACGCGACGGCCACGTTCCACATCCTCCTCATGCCGGACAGCGACACGTTCCTCCCCGAGCCCCGCACGCCCAAGCCCACCGCCACGTCGGGCCACGCGCCCCGCTGGAGCGCGTGGTTTGGCTTTGGGGCCGGCACCGAGACGGCGCGCGAGGAGGCGCGCAGCGAGCTCGAGCGCGAGCGCATGTATGGCCAGGTCCGCAAGACGCGCCGCATGGACCGCGACGAGGCCGGGTTTGCGTTTGGCCGTGGTCACCACAGCGGGCCCGTCCCTCCCTCCCCCGGTGCGTCGCCGTCCGGCGGTGCCGGCGGGTACGCTGCGCAGATGCAGGGCGAAGCAGAGGCCGAGGCCGAGGCGAGGCGCAGGGCGGCGCGGCCGAATGGGAGTGGCGGGTACGCGACGGCCACGCCTGTGAATACCGCTGCTGGTGCTGGTGCTGGTGCTGGTGCGGGGGCCGGTGCTGGTGGTCCGCCGCCGGCGTACACCCCCAACTAGACTGCATGTACATTCTGTAGCAGCAAAGTCGGTATGTCGGCATTGTAGCGTGAGGAGACGGAACGGTGGAACGAGGCAGTTTTGATACAGTATGAAGACACACGCATTGCATCTGTCCAGTACAAGCACAGTGCTCACGACCGCCACCCATGCATGGCTCCGCATATCTGCATCTACAAGACTCTTCTCTCTCTCTCTCTCTCCCTCTCTCACTATCACACACACTCACACCCTCACTCGTCTCTACCTGCGGCGCTTGGATGTGGCAAGGGTACGCATCATGCGTCGTGCCTCACGACTACGCTCGACCTCGCGGCGCTCCATTTCCTCGGTACTCAGCTCGACGAGCTGGGGCTGGAAATCGTCGCGCTCCCACCAATCGCGCCAGACGCCCACGAGCGCGCGCGCGCCCTGCCGGCTCGTGGCGCGGCCCTGTGCTCCGGCACCGCCCTTTTCCCACTTGGCCTGCTCCGAGGGGTGGGTGTACGCAAAGAGGTCAAGCTCGAGCGCGTCGCGCTTGTGCTTGATGAGCTCCTCGTGGATGGCGTGCGCGATGAGCGGGATGGCCTCGCCCGACAGGCCGAGCTCGGCGCAGTAGTGGCGGGCAAACTCGGATGGGGGCAGCGGCGACGACAGGTCCCACTCGATGCGGTCACGCAGGACGTGGGTGAAGATCTGGACGTCGAGGTTGATGATGATGCGGCAGTCGGGTTCCGGGTAGCTCTCCTCGTCGACGTGCATGTCCTCTTCGTCGGACCAGAGCACGTCGTCTGGCGTGGCGTCGTCCGTCTGGAGGTCGATCACGACCGTTCCCTGTGCCTCTTCAATCTGGGTGAGGATGAGGTCGGCGATGGTGTTGGCGTGCGGCTGCACGGCGAGGCCGATGTCCTCGCACAGAATGGTCGCAAACTCGATCGGCTTGAGGTACGCATCGGCGGCGTTCCACAGGAACCGGTCCTTGATCTTGATACCGTTTCCATCGCCTGTTGGGGAGGGGACGTCATAGTCGATCGTGATGGGGACAAGCATCTCTGGCTGGTCCGCCTGTCGTTCCAGTGCGTGCTCGGGGCTACAGTGTCAGCGCTGGGCGAAGAAAAGTATACTTACTAGTACTTGTGCTTGGTAACCCTCGCAACCTCGCTCCGGACGCGCTCGGCAGGGACGCGGTCACCGAGCCAAGTCCACCCACGCTCCATCTCCGAGTGCTTCTTCTTGATCCGGCCAATTCTCTCCTGGACATGGCGGTCCTGGCGTTCACGGTCGAGTGCGTCCCTTCTCCTCCTGCGCTCGCCAAAAGTATCGTCATCAGGGTCAGACGGCGCCTCGTCAATGTCCTCTTCGCTGCTCTCCTCCTCGCTCTCCTCCTTTTCGGCATAGTTGACGCGGCCGGCACGACGACCAGACAGCGTGACTGTGGTCGTGTTCCGGCGAGACGACGTCGGAGCCGGAGACTCGATGCGCGGAGTGTTGGTTCCACTGCTCCGTGCGCCTGCGAGCTCGCGGTCCAGCTCGGCGAGCATGTGTTCCCTCTCCCTAGGACCGCCGGTGACGTTCTCGGGCTGGAGCAGCTGTGTGACACCCGTCCGCAGACGCGCCGGGTACGTCGTGTACAGCGCCTGGCTGGTCGGTGGGGTCTGGTAGGTAGGGTCGCGGGTGATCTGGCCTGGTGGAGGAAGGAAGAAGCCCATCGGTCCGGCAGGGTACGACGCCGGGAAGTGGTACATGGGCACCTGGGCGTGCTGGCGCGGGGCAGCTGCGGCGCCGGCGTGCGGGGCAGCTTGTTGACGGCTGTAGCCTGGTGGCAGCTGCTGCTGGTGCTGCTGAGCGGCTTGGGCCTGGCGAGCAGCCTGGAGTTGCGCGAGCTGGGCCTGCTGCATCGCCGCGGCTTGAGCCTGGGCATGCGCGTGTTGCTGCTGGTGGTGGTGCTGCTGCTGCTGCATCTGGGCCTGCTGCATCATAGCCATTTGCTGCTGCTGCTGGGGGACGCGCGTGGGCGTACCGTACGCGTATCCCTGTGGAGAGGCTGCGCGGTGTTAGATCAAGCTCAAGCAATGGGTAGGAGTGGACGCACGCTTGTAGCCTGGGGGAGGCAGCATCTGGGTCTGGCCAACGGGTGTGCCGCTCGCGCTGCTACGCGTGCGGGTGGGGTAGGACATGGTGGCGCGCGAGTTGGATGCAAGGAGAGGATGCGCGCCGAGCTCGAAGGAGGAAGGAAAGGACGCGTTCGAGCTGCCGGGGCTCAAACGAGTCTCAAGCTCGAGGTGTCGACGCGGGTTACAGGCGCAAGAGAAGCTGCTGTTGCTCGCTGTCGCAGGGGGTGACGGGTGTGTCTGCGAGTGCCCCTTTTGTGCACTGGATGGGTGATGGATGGGAGGACCTGATGGAGGATGGATGTTGTAGACTGATGCGTCTTGCTTCGTTGCGCGCGCGTTTGTTGGTCGTTTACACCCACAGCCGCGAGCTCACAGGAGGCCAAAATGGCCTTACGTAAAGGCAGATGATGTGAACATGGTGGGAGAAATGCTTCCGTTGCCTCCACCCCAGGACACAGCCGGCGACGCCGAGATCCGGCGGAGGAGGACGAACGACGGACGGACGACGACGCGAGTGTGATGACAAACGACACTGAGTGTTCTTCTCCACCACATCTCTCTCCATCGCCCACCATGTTCACAGGTCTCGTACGTAGCTGTACATAGGCCTGATAAACATCCTCGCAGCTAACCCCCCGCCTCCAGGTCGAGCACGTCGCTACCATCACCCACATCGAGCCCGCCTCGTCCACCACCGAGCACATTATCACGCTCGGCAACGCGGCCTCTATCCTGGGCGACTGCAACATTGGCGACTCGATCGCGTGCAACGGCGCATGCCTCACGGTCCTCTCGTTTGATGCCGACTCGTTCAAGGTCGGCCTCGCGCCCGAGACGCTCACCAGGACATACCTCGGCAACTTGCCCGTCGGCGCCGGCGTCAACTGCGAGCGCGCCATGGCCGCACACACCCGGTTCGGCGGACACGTCGTGCAGGGCCACGTCGACGCCGTCGCCACCATCAAGGAGGTCAAGCCCGACGGCGCCAGCCTGCGGTATACCTTCCAGTTCCCCGAGTCGGCCGCCCACCAGATGCCGTACATCGTGGAAAAGGGCTTTGTGACCGTCGACGGCGCGAGCCTGACCATCACCCAGGTCGACGACAGCGACCTGTCCTTTGGCATCATGCTCATCGCCCACTCCCAGAGCAAGCTGACCTTGACCAACAAGAAGGTCGGCGACCCCGTCAACATCGAGGTCGACTGCGTGGGCAAGTACATTCTCGGCAGTGAGAGCCGCATCGCCGGTCTCGTGGAGCGTGTCGTCGACCGCCGTCTTGCCGAGCTTGGCCTCCTCAAGAAGTAATCGCGTGGTCGTCGGCAGTCTGGGGTCTAATTTAGCATGGTTTCGGGGTGTATGTTGCATGCAGCAGAGTTGGTAGCAGTACGCTGGCGTTTAGGACATGGGGCATAAGGCGGGGTTGCATGACATCGGTCCCCTACTACATACGACTCTCTTTCAGAAACTCTTGTTGTCTTCTGTCTACTTGGGGAGGAAAGGGGCCAGCGCCTTCTTGAACTTTTGCGCGTCCTCCTTGTCCTCGGCGTCAGACTGGACGCAGTCCTTCCAGTTGACACGGTGGTGCAGGCCCAACACGCCAGACAGGACCATTCTGTAAGCAGTTGTCAGCCTTCATGGACCAACTTCATCAGTGAAACACTCACCGGCCAAACTGCAGGTCAAAGTTGCCCTTGAGCAAGTGAACGAGCTTGGTGCCATCGGGGCACTCGACCTTGAAGTAGTTGCCAGTGGGACCAACGCGGGCCAGAGCGCGCTCAGCCTCGGGCTCCCAGTCGAGACCGCTGGCCTCGCCGGCCTTGATGAAAGCGTCGGCGACCTTGTCGGCAGACTCCTTGGGCACGGGAACAATCTGGACATGGGCGTGGCCACCGCGACCGGCCAGACGGCCGACCTCGAACGCGACGGGAACAGCACCGTACTGGGCGTAGCAGGAGCGAAGAGCGGACTTGTACGCCTCGATTTCAGAGATAATGTCCATAGCGTCGGTAGCAGGGATCGAGAGGAGGGTGGGGTGGTGGGCAATGGGGATGATCTAGTACGTTAGCAAACAGTCTGACTGTCAGACATACGAGAACGTGGCCGCCTCCTGGCACCAAGGGGGTTTCGCCGCGAGTGGGCATCAGCTGGCCCTTTGGCAAAGTGACATAGGACTCAGACCCGATCCCAACAATGAGGTGCTTGGTGACCTTGGGGTTACTCAGGCAGAACCAGCCTGGAGCGTTAGCGAGTCATAATTTCATTCAACTTACATTCACCCGCACCCAGCTGCTTGCGCTTGGTCTTCTCTTCCTCGCGTTCCTTGACAAGGGGGCATTCACGGATATAGTGAAGGTCGGCCTTGCCACAGGCCTTGCAGACATAGCCTGCGGGAGGCGCACGCGGCTCACGAGCCTCACGGGGTGGACGGGGCTCGGGGCAGTCGGTGATGAAGTGGTCGGGCTGGGAGTTAGCGCTACGCGGGATGGGTAACTCACGGATTGACAGATCTTGCACTGGTAGCCAGCAGGCGGCTTGGAGGGACCTTGCGCCCTCTGAGGGCAGTCCTGGATCCAGTGCTGCGGCGTTAGATGCGGAAGACAGATGAGCATCTCCAACTCACTCCTGCGACATTGCAAACCTTGCACACGTAGTGCGAAGGAGGAGGGGCATGCTCCTTCTTGTCCTTCTTGGCAACATGGTCGGGAACCTCCTCGGATGCACGTTTGGCTGACGACGAAGTGGACGCCATGGTGAGAGGATTGGGAGTCGCGTTCGCCGGGCGACTAGGCAGCGGCGTGGTGGCAGTCTGTGCAGGAAGACTGGTTGCGTAGAACCACTGAGGGGTCAGCTATGTTCAAGTTACATTACACCCACCCTTGCTGGCTTGCCGTTGGCCGGGGAAACAGCACCGAGCGCACCGAGCTTGACCGCACGCGTCCAGCGCTCCTCCTTGCCGCTAGGCGACGCCCATCCAAACGGCTCACGCTCCCAGAATCCCTCGCCGCCCGCCCAGAAGAGATAACGAGGACGAGCATGCTTGACCACTTCAGCGAGAGGTGGGGCTGGGGTGGCCAGCGCAACGCCGAGGGTGGGGAAGGAAGGCGACAGGAGGGAGAGGGAAGGCGGGGGCGAGGTAGTGATCATAACGTCCACACCGTGGAACGCTGGTGGGAGACGGTCCTTGGCGGCTGACAGGCTGTCGGCCTCGGGACCGGCGAGGACTGGGTGCGAGAGGATGGAGGCGATAGAGCTCTTGGTGATCACGGGCGAGTAGGGCTGGCTGTCAGCTACAGCGCCAGGCTTTGCGAAGCTCACCTTGCTCTCGTCGGCTTCGTAGGCTGCAGCATCGTAGACGCCACCGACGACGGCGATCTTCAAGCCCTGCGCGGTGGTGAAGACGCTCGACTTGCCTGTAAAATGTCAGCTGCAGAGTCTTAGCTAAGGGGAGATTCTCACCGAGGAAGACGAGGTTGGGAGCAACCTCCGGGTTGCCGCCGGCAATGCGCTCCTCCACAACCGTAGGGAGAGCATTGCGGCCGAGAGTAAAGTAGGTCGGGACGGGCACTGGGGTCAGTAACGCGACAGAAAAAGGGATGGAACCCCCAAGTAGGACAAGGAAGAAGACAGCTTCCCATCAAGGAAGCGTAGTAGCAACGAGAAGACGAAGGGGACTACATGATCTCCCTCCACTAGGCCCCCACAGGAGGTCACGCTGTGCAACCAGCAGACCAGCGTACTCACAGCTAACGCCATCGAGCTCAGTGCCGTCGCTGCCCTCTTTGAACAGATCGCCGGTAACGACACAGGCATCGAACGGGCCGTGCTTGCCGTTGATGGCGGCGACCTTGGAGGCCAAGGTGGAGAGGGCCGAGAGCGGCGAGCCGACCGCGAGACTGCGAGTGCGTTAGAAAAGCTAGGAAGGCCAAACACTGCAGCTTGTTCAGTGTAGGGGCACGCACATTTTCAGCGCTGCGGGTTGCGCCATGGTGGTGTCTCTTGATGGGGGCGATGGGTTGTGTGACGATGGGAGGGAGGAAGGTGGATGAACAAGAGATCCGAAATGCGACGGTCCGCCAAGATGACTCTGAAATTGACGTCAACAATTTCCTTCCGCTCCGTCAACACGGTGAGAGGGTGGAGGCATTACGCTGTATCTCTAGATGTCGTCCATTCACCCATCCGCCCATCCACAACATGCACTCCTGCTCATTGCTACAGCACACACACATACATTCGCTCACGTATACAGCGACAAAATGCGAAGCGCAGGAACCCCATGCAAGGGGAGCGTCGCCAGTCAACTCAGGCGGCAGCAGCGAGAGACATGCTGTGATGCTCACCGCCCCTGCACTTCAACCTCACCCATCAATGGGACCTTCCTCGGATCTGTCATCAACGACGGCGAAGAGGTTCCAGCAAGCGGTTTGACACTGGCCACACCGCTGGCCGCTGGAGTGAGCAAAGTGCCTGCGCATCTGGGGGCGACAATGTGCCGTTGGGCGAGGACGAAGGCAAAGTGGGTATCTGAGAACGAAACTGAGCAACTGCTGTCGTCCCCAGCCATCCATTGCAACCCACCCCCAAGCCTTATTCACTTCTGCAACCGGGTGGGTCTGTAGACCATGTGGTGAACATCGGCAAGCCATAAGTGTTCCGTTGAACAAAGCAGAAGCTAAAATGTGCGCGTCACAAGGGCATTGCGGTCTCATGAGGCCCGAGAGTACCGCTGCCGTTGGCGTCTCGACGTCTTCACCAGCCGCCAACGTCCCCCAGCTCTGTGCGAGCCACTTCATGTTCTTCATATGCACCAGCATAGCACTGCAATCTATATACCTCTTGTGAGCGACACCCATGAAGCCGTCCCAGATATCTGGGGAGCAGTGTGTCTGGGACGACGGATCATTGGGACTGACAAGTCTCGGTCTTTGTCGGATCCACGGCGGCCAGACATCAAGAAGGGGACAGCACACCTCATGGCCTCATGCAAGAGCTTCTGAAGCCATCTTGGACATTCGGACATGCACCTGCCAAGCAGATGTGATCAGCGATCATCAATGACCCACCCTGGTGGCGCCGACAAGGGCTGTGAAGGGTCAATGCGAGCTAGATTCTTCACCATCGTGTTCACTTCCACACCATGGCCACCCTTGCGCAGTGTAGTTTTGTATGTGTCCCCGAGTAGCACCGCTATACACCTGCTCTACTCCGCTCCCGTTGGCCCCGAATTGAAGCTTGGAGCGCCCATGGTGGCGGGGGGAATGAGATCAAGACTGGGCAGCCCTTGGCGGTCTCATGGTCCCATGACTGTCGTGGCATGCGGAGCGGAGCCCTTCAGGAGACAACAGTACATGAGAGCTTGGCAGTCTTGTGCTCCTGCATCCCAATCCCCCATGTCGTTCAGTACCATGCAACCATGTTGGGTGTACCATGATACGGTGTCCAAGTGTCCAGCCGAATGACGGTTACGTACTGATGGCTGGAACCATAACTGTGTTACAGACACGCGAGTAATTGCTACAACGTGGATGGTCCGCTACCTCAATCTGGAACAGTGAGTCACTGACAACAGCCGTAGCCGCACCAACGGGGGCGGTGGCAACTGAGCAGCTTCCATTCCACAAACTGGTTCGCACTGACACCACGAGGTACACGCTGGATCACAGAGGCACAGAGGCTGCCGTGTCTCAAAGCGCAACGCACATTGCCTTGCCCGCGTTACCATGGCTGCCACAATCTCCCAAATGGAAGGTCTCGCTTTTCGCGATCGTTCTATGCCCTTGCTTGCAGCCTGGCCAAAATGTGACAAGCACTCGGCTCTGTACGCAGATGTGGGTGTGGGAATCGGTCTGTTAATGGGGAAAGCTGAGCAGTGGCGCAGTGGTGGAGCCGGCAAAGCAGCGGAGCGTCGTGAGAGGGCTCTGGTTTGGTTGAGCGTCGACTCTGAATCGCACAATATGTTGCGCCTCCGTGTCCAGAAATATCATATTGAATAACATGCAGGCAAACCACGATGGCCGTCTCGTCGTATGCCGTCTCGTCCCGCCGGTTCTTGCCCAGCAACAGACATTGACAATCGCCATCGGGCCAGGCGACCAAAGGCTGGGCTTCGCCATCCGCCCCGCGCACCGTTCGCCATCCGTTCCGCTTGTCTTCTACTCCGTTACAGCACACCACAGGCTGGGATTCTGACAGCACAGTTTACTTCCATAGGACGGTATGACTCTTGTTGCTGCAGCGAGTCGAGGCCGCTTTACGGCATTAGGAGTCGTATGGCACAGCTTGGGCCGGTGGTGGACACGTCTTGGAAGTGAGGCGGAGAGCGCCGGAGCTAGGTTTTCCGATGTTTTTTTCTTGGGTCTCGATGGGACAATGCGACTCCGTTGCAGGTAGGGAGGTATTCCGGCTATACGAAGTCATCTTCACGCTCGGTATTGTCCAGACGCCAGAATGCACAATGCACGTCTCGACTCGACGGGACGAGGCAGGTGTACAGGTGTGATGTGATCTGAGCCGGGTCGAGCCGGGTCCTTAAGGAGGCTTTCAAGAGATTGAAAAAGGGACCTGGCCACAAGCTATGTAACAGGGTACCTCGACTAGCGACCCGACAATCTGCATGCCCGGCACAACTGCATGGCTGCACCGGTCTCTCCTAGTTGATGACTTTTACGAGCACAACCCTATGTGCAGATGTCCCAACAGAACGACGATGCTGACATGGTCAGACGGACAGTGTGACTGCTGCATGCTCTGGCCAGCTCAATAGCCCAACGCTGCCCTGTAGCCTGTGCTGTGGCCTGTATCCCCTGCTTGTTAAGCGTAACCGCCGTATCCAAAAGATCAAAAGGACGGCCCTTTTGGGCGAGAATGGGGCCAGGGGCCCTGCAGGCGGCCGTGCCGGGTTTCCTAGTGAGACATGTGCCGGCACGAGAGACAAGAGCGAGAGACGGCCCGTCAGCTGGCCACACCACCTGGCCAGCTGGCCGCGGCTGGGCTGCGCGTGGCGTCACCCATGGCGTATGGCGTACTCTTCCCCTCGCCGAATGGTTCTATTACAAGAGACGCTCTATTGGTGTCGATCTCGACGCGCGTCATTGTCGCAGAGCTTTAATCTAGCGAGAGTTCGCTTGATCGCTTGCCGGTGGCCGGTGGAAAAGAACAGAAAAGCGAGACGAGAAAAAAGTTTTTTGGAACGCAGATGCATACGGCAATGGGGGAGATGCAACGACGTGGGAGCACAGGAGTACGTTGCAGGACCCGACCTGTCATATGTCATACCACCCAACGTAAGTACCATGCTCCCCGTATAGGCCGCGGCCTGTACGGCGTGTTCTCTTCTGGTCGTGTGCCCGCCCGTTCGCGGCCCTGTTTGTCTTCCGGGTGATTGAGATCGACTGATTAGAGGTAGGGTCTCTCGAGACACCCGTGTCAAGGCCTCAAGGAGCGCAGGGACGCTCCAGCAGAGGGTTTTTTTGTGATTTTCTGCATTGCAGCAGCAGCGACAGAGACCGTACATACCATTGCTCTCGACGGGCCGTCAACCCGCGCATCCCCTTTGACGGTCAGGGATATGGGTACCTATGGAAACTTGTGCAGACTGGCGCCTGGCGGCGTCCCAACAACCTCCCCACCCCCCCTGTGGCTGCTCGTCTTGGCGGGGGCATGGGGCATGGCCGGCGTGTGGCCGGGTTGGGTCTGGGCCAGCATCTCGAGATCGCGGCGCGCGCGGGTGCCAGCAAGCTGCACGCCAGACACCGACTAAACAGCACCAAAAGGAAACGTTTGGAGCTGGCCGGCTGGCTCGGCAGGCTGAGGCATGCAAAGGCAGGTCCTGCGTGCTCTCCTGGTGGTCGACTGCTGCGTTGTGCCATTCCATTCTCGTTCTCATTCTCATTCTCATTCTCATTCTCATTCTCGTTCTCGTTCTCGTTCTCGACTCTCCTCAGCTTTTTACTGCCCCCTCTCTCCCGCTTTCTTGCGCTTGCCCGACGGCCCCGCGCAGCACCATTCTTCTGTAATTCAAACCACCGGGTACTGGCACTTGCACCCCGGCACTTGCTCTCCCCCCCCCGCTTCACCCCTCCCCTCCCCCTCCCCACGCACACATGGCCAACATGAAGGACAAGGCCGCCGACTGGCTCGGTGACCACCCGGCCGCGCACCATGTAAGTGGAAGTGATGGTTGCCATGGTGGTCGGCGGAGGCACGCGACACCGTTGCCAACGCTAAATGTTTGGGTGGTGTAGAAGGTTTACTGACGCGGAACGCACAGCTCCGCGGCAAGCGGTGGTTGGAAATCTTGGGCTCTGTTCTTCTTTCTCTTGGTGTGCTTGGTCTGATCGGTGTATGGGCTGGTAAGTACTCGACATCAGAAACGGCACCACCGTAGCAGCAGTGCTGACAATGCAGCGGCCACGGAGGGTTATGAGAGCACATCAGAGTTCTCACCAAACTTCAACCTCACCGATAACGACCACTGGTACTCCGACTTCATTCCGGGCCGCACTGGCCAGTTGTGTCAGCCTGCCTTGTGAGTGACACGGCGAGATAGACGATCAGTCATGGCTGCGAGGGTTCCTCACGGGGCCTGCTCGCCCTGTCGCTCAACTGCGGATGAGGTGTCGTGGGCCCGGGGGCTCCAACGTACCCACGTATACCGATTTAGAAAGCATGACAGGTTGCTAACGTTGCCGCAGCATCAACACTGGTAGCCAGTTTTACACCACCAATGGCATCTTCCTGTGGGAGATGGGCAAGGCGTTCAACGTGTCGGGTGTTGCTGCGAACGGCAACAATGACACCATGGTCAACTTCAACGGCACCCTCAAGCAGTACGCCGACAACAAACTCGACCACTGTGACGTTTCTGGCAGTGAGTAGTAGTAGTAGCGCGTTTTCTGTTGGCACACTACCCGGCACTAACTGTATCGTAGTGGCCATTGACATGGACCTCATGCAGGCCAGCATCAGGGTGCAAGTGAGTCCAGCCCGCAGACCGTGGCACACATGTTGGCTGACCTGGGTAGCTGTATGCCACCTGCATCGACCCCAAGTGGCCTGCTCTTCTCCACTCCCAGACCACCTTCTCGGTTGACCAGAGCCGTCTGCTCGACCCTTCATTGTGGTTCAACGAGTACCTGGTCGCGAACAACTCCAACGGCAGCAGCATCAGCAGCTCGCTGAACGACCTTGCCGAGGACCTTTGGAACCGCCAAAGGGCCGTCTACCTTCGTGGCTCCGAAGTGCTCCCTACCATTCGCGGTCTCCGTCTTCTCAGTGACCGCAACTGTGCCATGGAGACCGAGAACAAGACGACCTGTTACGAATCTGCCGTGACCTACAACAACGAAAGTGTGGGTTTCTTCATGACCCCCAACCTCACCATCACCACGGTCACCAACGACACGGTCGACTGGAACATTACCACCAACAACTTTATTCAGGCCCTCTTTGCCGCCGCCCGCTACGACTTTGGTATCAACATGACCAACAACCTCTTCTCCAACGGCCAAGCCCGCTCGAGCGTCATTCAGACTGTGGACAACGTTGACAACTCGACCACACTCATGAACTCTCTCACTGGCGCCATGGCCTTCCTCGACGCCCCCGTCTACCCCCAGTCCACGGTTAGCCGCATTCAGACGAGCTACCTGTGCGTCGTCATGAAGATGAAGCCACCTGCGACGTTTGTCATGTCGGTCCTCGGTTTCACGCTCGCCATCTTTGGCGCCGCGTTTGCCGTGGCGGTCGCGGCGGTCAAGTTCCTCACGGGCAAGCACTTTGGCGTCCCGGTGGTCGACAGGACCATTCACGCCGTCACCAGCCGCCTCAGCAGCTCGACCCATCGCCGTGGTGCCAGCGGTGGCAGTGCCGTCGGCAACAAGGGCGCAAGCAGCGACGAGTATTCACGCTCGGCCGCTGACAGCACGCCGGCGCCGTCGACGTACATCGGCGGACACGCAAAGGAAGGTTCGGGCTCCGAGATGCTGTACAGCACTCCTCTGAACGACAAGTCGCGTGCCCTCGGTGGATCGGACACGGCATCGAGCATGACCCTCAAGGACCGTTTCTCGTCGTTTGGCTCGCTGTCCAAGTTTACCGACCGCGGCGCAAGCTCGGCCGCCAACTCGCCAGCTACGGGTCTCGCGAGCCTCCCCTTCGCCGACAAGTTTTCTGGCTTCATTCCTTCTGACGCTGCCGCGGGTCTGGTAGCTGGTGGAGCAGCAGGCGGTCTTACTGCCGCTGCAGCTGGCCATTTCGCCGGTGGTTCCGGTGATGAGGAGAAGGCTCTTGCAGCTGGCGCTGGCGCTGGAGGCCTTACGGCCAACATGACCTCTGAGCCCTGGGGCTTTGCCAAGGGCATGATGCCGGCCAGCATGCAGAACATGGTCCCGGCCAACATTCAAGGCATGGTCCCCGCAAACCTCCAAGGCATGGTTCCCGCAAACCTTCAAGGCATGGTCCCGGCCAACATGCAGAACATGGCCGCCAACGTCCAAGGCATGGTTCCCGCCAACATGCAGAACATGGCCGCCAACGTTCAAGGCATGGTTCCCGCCAATGTCCAAGGCATGGTCCCTGCTGGTGTCGCGGGTGGTCTCGCAGGTGCTGCCCCTGCCAACGTCCGCAACATGGTCCCCACTCAGGCTTCCGATGTGTTCGCCTCTGCTCAAAGTGCCACTGCCGCCGGCGGTGTTGCTGACCTCAGCGACCGCGCAGCAGCTATCAGCGGTCTCCCGGCCCAGGCTCAGAACATGGCGTCGAACGGTTGGGGCTCTGTTGGCACGACTGCTGCCGGTGTCGCTGCCGCAGGTGCTGCCGGCGTCGCTGGTTTCGCTGCTGCTTCGCATTTCGGCAAGGACCAGCCTCAGACCACGCCTGCACCCGTCGCTTCGCCCGTCGCCAATGCCATGACCCAGCTGCCCGTCGATCCCGCCACTGCTCAGACTGCTGCTGTCGAGACTGCTCCGTCTAACCAGCTCGGCGCTGCGCAGAACCTGGACCCCATGCTAAACCGCAAGGCTTCCACCGGCTCGGGTCTGTCCCGCCGTGTATCGCCTCCCCCTCCCATCTCCATTCCTGCCGCCCAGACCGCCGCCACCACCGAGGTCGCGGCCAACGGTACCACTTTTGCCACACCCGCTAGCCCCACTGCCTCTGGCCCGCCCGTTTTCTCTCCCAAGCAGCCCACTCGTGCCGCTGCAACTTCTGCCGGCCCGCCCCTGCTCTCTCCCAAGACCCCCACTGTGGCGAGCCCGACCGCGCCTGGTGCGCCGGTTTCCGCTCGCTCAGTTCCGGCCGTCGCGCAGAATGAGGTTGCTGCTCAAGCCCCCGTTCAGGCTGTTCCGGCCCCCGTATCGCAGGTTCCTGCGCAGGCCCCGGCGTTCGGCACCGCTGCTCTCGGTGCGGGTGTGGCTGGTGTTGCCGGTGTCGGAGCTGCCACTCTCGCTGCCAACTCGGACAACTCCTCCGTCCAGCCCAACGCTTCAAAGGCAGTCGCCGAGCCGGCTCACGCTGCCATCGCTGAGCCCGCGGCCGCGAACGTTGCCTCTGGCCCGTTCAACGTCGCTGGCATTGTCGACCCCGCAACCCAGGCTGTCTCCAACGCTACCACGAGCGCCAACACCTTCGTCGCCGGTATCCCTCAGCAGGTTTCCGCTGCTGTCCCAGCCCAATTCTCTTCCAACATGCCCTCCATGCCCACTTCCGTCTCCAGCATCCCCACGCAGGCCAACACTCAGGTTTCCAGCATCACTGGCCTCGTGAACGACAAGGTTGCCGCGGCACCCACGTTCATCTCCAACCAGACCTCCAACATCCCCACCCTCCCATCTGCCTCTTCATACACGGACACTCTCACTTCCACTTTCAACGACGCTTCCACCACCGCCTCCACCCAGCTCCAGGGCCACGCCTCCAACCTCACCGGCATGCTCAATGGCGCCACGGCGACAGCCCAGACCGCTGTCCAGACCGCAGAGGACAAGGTCAAGGCCTCGGCCTCTGGCTTCCTCGGCAACCTTTGAGACTGCCACGTGAACATTTCCATTCCCCATCCCCATTCCCCATCCAAGAATCGTCTCCTGCTTAGAAATTGGATTTTGTTTATACTACCTATCACCGCTATCACTATGGCATACTGTGTTGTTTCGCAAGGTGTGGGAGGGCAAATCGAAAGACTCGGAACAGAGCAAATAGTTGATGCGCAATGACCGCTGCTTTTCAGCCATCACATGTCCGTTTGACCCGCCTGGTCCAAACAGCACGTAGGTGTTGGGCTGTTCCGTCCTTCCTGGCCACATGCCCGTTCTGGTCACACTCAACGCCGAAGGAAGGAATAAACAGGTTATATACATGTCATATAAGGTGTTTGCAGTACAGCACATACTCACAGTGCTCACTGTACTGATTGGGGAAACTCTAAAAACAACGCTACGATGTATGGCCATTGTTGGCTCTCGCTGGTGCAGTTCAAGCTTGAACGACGGTCGGAGGCTTGATTGATCTACTACACAAATCCAGGCATGACTTCCACAGTCTCGTCCTCCCATTCTCCGGGCTTGAGTGTGGCGCGGTATTCGGTTTCGGTTGAGAATTTGACCTTGATGTCGACGAGGCCTGGTTCGGGGACCCCGTGTGGCCAACGCTTGTGTGGTGGGAGGGCCATCTCGTTGACCGCCGCCTCTTCAAGTACACCCTTCACCTTTGTCTTGAGCCGGTTCTGGGCCTTGCTATCGGTCGTGTAGTTGACAATCTTGATGAGTGTGGGCATCCATACAGGTAAGAATGAGAAGGCGGAGGTGGTCTTCTTGATTGAACAAAGCATTCATGGGAGTCGCAGGGAGTTTGCCCCTTGGGCAGAGGATGACCACCTCTTGCTGGACACTTTGGAGCGAGTCGATGGGTCTGGAACTCGCAGATGGGAACTTGGGTACGAAAGGCATGAACCACTGGCCAAACCCGCCGAATTCGTCTTCGCGGACGAGGAGAGGGTACACGAAGCGCTTCACAGTCCGGGGAAGTACGAGGCAGGATGGATTGGCATCCCTCTCCGTCTTTGCGAGTTGGCACATTGCCTGCGCCCCAGTGAGGGGAAACACGACCACCTTGTTGATTCCAAAGCGGGAGAGGTTTAAATACTGATCAGGGTAGTTACCGTCCTTGTCCCCGCGGTGCGCAGGACATCGGTGTCAATGTCGATGCTGGAGAGGACCTTGTTGGGGATAGTTCCACGAATGTCGATGAGTCAATGGCGCCTTTTGGTCGTAAGGGCCAGCATGGCTTTGTGTGCTTGAGGCGTGAGCGGTAGTATGTCACGCTTCGCGAAACGGAACACCCGTCCATGGGGAGCTGGCTGACGCCATTCAATGAAGTCGTCTTGTTGCGGTTGCGACTCGCGGTCGGCGCTGTCGAAACAAGAGATTTCGTTGTGGTCGGTCAACTTGGAGACATGGTTGCGGAAATGACGGTTCGTGTTGCGAAAGGCGACCAGGAGCTCAGGACTGGCATTGACAAGAATGGTTTCAATAATGTGTGGAAATCCTACATGGTCGATGCGGACGCGACGCATGGTGATGGGAGGATCGGGTCTCCCACTCAAATTGTCGAGCTGAGCTTGCCGGACTTGTGCCAACCTGCCAACGACAAGCTCTTTGCTGGGCTGGAGTTGGGGGGACAATAACAGATCCCGCGACCGTAACAGATCCATCTCTGCCTTGTCCAACTTGCCCATGTAAAAACGAGCTGTACCACGGCGATAGTAATAGCATGCCTTGTTGGTCTCGGTCTGCTTGAGGATTCGGACGCTTAAGGCCATTGTTGCGTCCAGTTCCGTCTCCCCCCACCTGCTCTGTTATTTACTATCCGCAGCGGCGTTTCTCATACCCACCTCTCAAGCCTCAGGTACGTCAGTGAGCGGTTGCCCCAGGCCTTGGGGTCCCAAATGTTGGCTTCAATGGCCTCCGTATAGGCTGCAAGAGCATTGCCATAGTCTCCTTTGGCAAAGGCGACGTTACCCTGGCCTGTCAGTGAAGGATGTCACAAACACGGTCTCTGAAGACTGGGTACTGCGAAACAATTGAGAGCTGTGCTCACCCACTCTCTAGCCTTGTCGGAAGCGTTGCTTTCCACAGTGGCAAAGTCTTGTTCTACTTTGTCCATGTTTGAAAGTGGAGTGGAGAGAGGAGAAATAGAGATAGGTGAGAACGTGACTGAAGAAGCTGTGGGAGACGTGGATGGGGGCGTGAGAAGACCTGTAGCACTCCGCAAACGAGGGCGTAGGTGGTGGCCAGTGCGCCTACGCGCCTACCATAGATGACAAGGCGTACTGAATCAACATCCGCCTTGCTGTTGATGAGAACTTGACGAGACTCGGAAGGCTGAATGAACAGTGCGTCGTGGTATTTTCCGGCCATTTTACATCATTTTCATCACATTACCGGACAAGCCTCGCTCACCCACAGCGAAGTCATACACAGAATATCTACACTTCACTCCACTCCACTACTCAAATCCAGGCATGACCTCGACAGTCTCCTCTTCCCACTCTCCAGGCTTGAGTGTGGCACGATACTCGTCTTCGGTGACGAATTTGAGTTTGGTCTCCACGACGCTTGGTTTGGGTGGAATGTTGCCACGCTGGCTCGAAGGCGTGTCATTGTACATTGCCCATGAGTCTTCCAAGTCACCAATTACGTGGTTTCGGAGTCGAGTTTCGGCCATGGTTTCCATAAACTTGATGACGGCGGGTTTGCCAAACAATTCATGCTGTTCCACTTCATCATCTTCCGCGTGCGTTCCCGTGCTCTCTTCCAGTAATCCAACACGCCACAGTGGAGCTGTACTTTTGTAGTTGACAACCGTGACGCAGCGAGCCTCCCACCACAGTGCACCAACAATGAGCAAACGGAGTTGGTCTTCCATCTTCTGAACGATGGGTCCCACGAAGGGCGTGATTTTGGCCATCTGGGCGGTGGCGCATATTATGACCACCTCCGGTTCGACCACCGTGACCTTGTCGAGGGGGAGGCGGAGGACATCGGCAGCACTCGAACGAGAAATCAATTTTGGCATAAAGCGAGTGAAGAATTGAAACTGGTTTCCCTCGGCGTCTTCACGGATGAGTAGAGGGTACACCAGACGTTGGATATGCTTTGGCAGGGCGAGACTCAGAGGAGGCAGGGGAATGTCGGCGTGGGATGGTTCGACTGTGGGCGGAAAAACGACCACCTTGTGGCCAATTTTAAAGAAAAACAAGTTGAGATCATCGGGTTCGTACTGGTCGTCCTTGTCCGACCGGATACGCAGCACATTGGTATTGAGCTCGATGACGGATCCACGGAGGAACAGCCTTGGAATAACGCCGCAAATGTCAATCATGTGATGGTCAACGGCGATGGTGTTGGAAATGAGGGCGTTCCGTTCACGGTCTTCTTGTACGGTGAGCTTGGGCAGCATGTCGCTCTTGTGAATCCGAAAGGCCTTGCCAAGAGGTGCTGGCTGTAACCATTGGACGTAAAGTCCCTCTTCGTCCGTGCCACTGGTGAGTTCGTTGTGGGTGGCCAAGCTGTAGACAAAGTGGCGGAAACCGCGGCATGTGTTGCGAAGCGTGACACGCAGCTCCGGTCCGGCATTGGCGACGATGGATTCGATGATGTGTGGGAAAGCCGAGTGATCAATGAGGACAGGTGGTGGAGGGAGGTTCACAACTGGTTGACGCTCTTTGGCGGCAATGGCCTGCTTTACTTGCAGTAGCCTGGCAATGACGTCCTTGTGAGTACGTTGCAATGACCACGCAAAAAGAAGGTCATTCTTAGCCGCTTCCAAATTGCCCATGTGGTAACGGGCTGTGCCACGGCGGTAGGTATAGGTGACCATGTTGGCCTCCGTCTTGTCGGGAGAGTCGATTCTGATCGCCATCCGTGCGTCGAGCTCGGCCTCTTCCCATCTGGCCTGTCAGAAAGGGGTCGTCGAGAACGGGGTGATACTGCCGGTCGACAATGCCATACTCACTTTTCCAGCTTCAAGTGAGCCATCGAACGGTTTCCCCAGGCGCGAGGGTCGTATATGTTGGCACGGATTGCGTCCGTATAGGCCTCGGCAGCCTTGGTGAATTGACCCTTGGCAAAGGCCGTGTTGCCCTTTGGCTATCAGAAAAACGTCCATCCCGGTCCCGTACAAGGAACTCACACGCTCTCTGGCCTTATCTGAAACTTTCCTGTCGATGCTGGCAAACTCGTTGCCATCGAAATTCATGATGGACAAAGCGATGACGACAATGGGATGACGGCGAGATTTGACGGCGAGTGGGTGATTGGGACCCAAAGATGAGGACGCATGTGAACTGGAAGGGAGTGTTGGGAGCAATAGGGCGTAGGTGTGTGAACGGACGAACAGTGCAACAACGACACGGCAGTTGGTGATCTGTGCGCACACTCCATCATGAGACAGCTGCTGCATCCATAACACCTTCACACTCTACATACTGCAACCAGGCATGACTTCCATCGTCTCCTCTTCCCACTCTCCAGGCTGGAGTCCTGCACGGTATTCGTCTTCGGTGAGAAACGTGAACCCGAGGCCCTCCTCTAAGTGAACGTTGGCACAATATTCCTCAAGATAGGGGACTAGAGGGTCGTCCGCGGTCTCAAAGGCCCCTGCCAGTCTGGGGACACGCTGAAATCTCTGCATCAATTCTTGGCGTAGATGAACTGGACGAATTGGTGCAAGGCCGTCCAGATTGATAATCTTGACAGCGATGGGGCCGCCAAGATGCAAAAGAAGCGTATCGACTGTGTCGAGGATTTTCCAAAAGTCGATGACTGGCGCCTGCGGAAGGAGGGTGACAGTTGGGAGAATTACGATCACTTCCAGCTTGAGATTCCTTGTGACATCTGAACTCGGGAACCTGAAGGGCGCCCGAAAGAATGGATGGGTGAAATACTGTAAAGAAGGATTGCAGTTGGCACAAAATACCCATACGAGGCGCTTGACGGAGTGGGACAGTGATATGGTGCGCAGAGTTTTGGAGTGGTACTTGACGTCGACAGAAAACATGACAATCTTGGACGCCTCAAGGTTGTCCAACGACAAGTCTTCGACAATGCGTCCTTTCTCGTCGGCTCGAATGCGCAACACCTCTGGGCGAGGAGGGAGGCTGTGAACAAACGAGGCCGGCATTGGTCCGGAAAGAGTGACAACTTTGGCAAGGCCGATGCCCCAAACATCTGCCCACCTCTCGCGGTGGTCATCGGGTACCAGGCAAAGGTGAATCTTGGGGCCTTGGACCTGGGTGGGATCTCGAAACGTAAGCCCCATTGGTGACTGTTGCGCGAATGTGGCGAGGAGCCAACAACCGTCCTCAGTGGTGGTAATGTGGACGTGTTCGCCAATCTTGATGATTTTCTCCCTCAAAGCTCGACAAGTTGAACCCAGGGAGACACGAGTGGCAGCATTCGCAAAGCTGATCACCATGTCGATAAGGTGTGGGAAGGCGGAATAGTCGATAGTGACGACCGGGGGTGGGGGGCAGGGAGGGCGGGCTGCTTCTACAGCCGACACTGTGGTTTGGATTCGAGTATCGTTGGGTGAAAGGGATGCAGCGTGCTTCAAGTCCCGAATAGCTGCGTCAACCTTTCCCGCTCCTTGACGGGCAAGACTACGAATGCAATAACCATATGGATTGGGGACTTTGGAATCGCGATCGATAAGGATGGCTGACTTGGCGTCGTACTCGGCTTGCTGCCAGCTGGCACGCATGTCAGTGGCATACCGAGATGGGTTCACTTACTTTTGAAGCCTCAGATAGACAAGCCCGCGGTTGTTCCAGGCCTTCGAGTCCAATTCATTTGCGTTCACAGCCTGAGTGTACGCAGTAATCGCGCCGTCGTAGTCGCCTTTGGCAAACGCTGCGTCGCCCTGTGTTGCGACATGTTCAGCTGATATCCATTTGGTAGTGGGATGACCCGCACGTACACGTCCACGAGCCTCTTGAGAGTGCGTGGGATCAGAATGACCGTCCTCGAATGTTTCCATGGTGTACTGCGATGGGGGATGGGTAATCATAACAGTCGTCCAAGACGCCAAGCGTGTTTGTTGTTCGGTGACGCGTGGGGGATGCTGATCGTGAAAAATGATCCCGCTGGCCATCAACGCCCCCAGGCGTCACAGAAACTTAAGCTTCTCAACACTCTCCCTCGTAGTGACACACACGGTCATTCTCTGCACGCAGGGATATCACTGATGGATGAAAGGGGCGGGAGAGATATACTAACTGTCTATATCCTCAGACGACGTTCCCAACGACAAATCGTGGACTGCCGCAGCGCTTTCTCTGCCGAGGCCGTCCCACAGAGCGGCTGGCCGTGAGCTTCAGCGAGCTGCGCCAACTTGTCGCCCAACTGGAGCGTGTCGCTGTTCAAAGGCGACATTGTCACGATGCGTGGCGCACACCTACACATGTGCACGTAGCCGTGCACATGTTTCCTTGTGCCGCTTGGCACAATGTCTCAGTGATGGGTAGACTCGGGGAGGCTTCTCGACCATCACACAAGTTTGCCACCCATGTTGTTTGATGTGCCTGCATTTCCTGTTGAATGCCTGGGCGAGAGAAACAGAAAGAAGCGATCAATGCAGCCGTCTGTGTGAATCGGACAGTGAATGACACATCAGGCGCGAACTTCAACAGTCATGGAGAGTGAGGTGCACACGTGAGAATGAGGGCGAAGACAAGAGAGTTCGGCGTGATGACAGAATCAGGCTGTCCGAGCGCAGTTTGCGTCTCTTTTTCAGTGTCCTGACGTCGTTGGTTTCTGCTAACCTAGTGACTACAGCCTGTACACATCCAGAGACTTTTCTGGATGGATTGTCTTTGTCTGACAACAAGCACTGCACTACAATGGAGACTGCACGGCAAAACGACTGTCAAGCCCAGCTTGAGCAACGGGTCGCGGCCACAAGTGTGAATGTGGCGTTTCATCGGTGTGACCATCACCCAGTGATCATCATTCATCAGAGACCGACCAACAGTCGTAGTCCAAGGTCAAACGACTGGGTTACGGTCACATGTTGTCAGGATCCCCCAAAAGAATACGGTGGGGTGCACGAACGTGCGGCAACGCTCAAGACGTGGGAAAGTGCGTCTGTGTGTGTGTCCGAAGCACTACCGAAGACACCCGAACTCCACTGCCAGGTTCCAAAAGTTCAACTGGTGATGCCGAAGGGATGCCGAGCAGGAAAATGGCAGAACACGATACGGGTGCGAGAGGAAAGTGAGAAGCAAGAACAACGGCCAGTTGACCAACCCTTGCACACCCAAGACACTCGCCCTCCTCGGCACACGGGCGCGAAGCGCGCATGCGTGACCTCTTGTGCGCGCCACAAGGAGACATCTGGTGCGAGACTGAAGGAGCAAGACGTTCAAAGTTGAGTCGAGCTGGCCCCATCCGGTGGCTAGGCTGGGACCGCCAACAGGCATATAAACCCCCACCCAGGCCGACATTCTTGGCCTCTTCATCCCACCACCTCTTCTTTCCATCTCCTCACTTGTAGACTTCCTCGTCTACCCTCCCTCCCCTGCCATAGCCTCCCTTCCATTTACCCTTATGGCCGAGACTTCCCCCCAACCCAGCCCCGTAAGCCCAAGCCCGTTCTCCCTCCCATCCAGACCCCCATCATGGCTCCGCCACGACCGGGCTCTCCCCTGCCCCCCAACAAGCCTCCATACCCCATCCCCCCGGCACCTCCTACAGTGGCCTCGTACCCTCCTCCCCGTCCCGTTCCCAACTACCCCCCTCCTCCTCCACCAGGGCCACCTACCAGGCCTCGGCGGTTCTGAGGGCGGGTTTGAGTCCAAGACCTGACGCACATCCGCTGCGGCGGACAGTCTGAGACACGAGCTTCAGTACAACGGCCCCCTTTCCCATCAGTATCGGCTGGCAAGAGACAGCCTGACCCATGGGAGAGGGACGAGGCCCGAAAGTACGGCCCATGTCTCGGCGGTGAGTCTTGTCTGGTTCGCTGGTGGGTTCTGTTCGACCATTCGTTTGGGTTCACTCGCCGCTTCTCGTGTGTACACTTGTTTCGCCTGCATGTTTGATGAGTGATTGCAGCTGCGTTTCCACTGCGGTGGCAAACCAGCTGCGAGATGACCTCGCGCCTCCTTTCCCCTCTGATGGCCGTGTCTGATGAGTGATGGGAGCTTCATGGGCTTGGGTCTTCTCGGTTTCTGGGGTTGGGCTCCTCATCCTCTCTCCTCCATCTCTTTCCTCCACCCGCGTCGGGTATCCACCCGGCACACCACCACCCACACACGGCGAACCGGCGCCGCTTCATCTCCTGGCCCAGTCAGTTTGAGGGCCATCCACGGCGACGTAGCCTTGCAAGGTGAGTTGTCTTTCCGTTTGGAGGTCCTGCTAACTCTCCAGCTTGTCGCTCATTCCAGAATCTCCCCCTGCGCGTGCGTCACCCAGCCACACAGCACACGTGCATTGCCCCCTCGCCATCTCGTTGTCGGTCAAGTGAGTGTTCCATTAGCGTCTGTCTGGTCTTTTCGTGAGTCGCTGAGAATGGAAGCCAACACCCATTTCCCCCCGCGCTTGGCTCGAACGGCACTGCCATTTTTGCGTGCGCGTGTGCCCAACGGCAGCGACCGACACCGATCAAGACCACCCCCAATCTCCTCATCATCAGTCAACTCGTGTGTGATTCGATTTAATCCCCGCCCGCAATACACGAAAGCAGGGCGGGCAGGGACATTTGTTGTGGCCGTTTCTCAGTAGCTTTGTTCAGTACAGTTTGCAAGCATGTTCAATGAATGTTGTAAGAACGACGCATTTGACCAGTTCAGTTCAGTCGAGTCACGAGGCAGATAGTACTTCTTTCATTTTGCTCGTCCGGTTACAAGGGTCCTGAGTTGGGTCAGCAGCGTCCCCGTGTCAAGCACACCCAAGCAAACACTAACTTACACACAACACCTCGCAGCCAAGCCCTAGGCCCTAGGCTTGCGTCCCCACACCACCTGGGTAGGACACGAGTTCTTCGTAAACGCCGGGATCGTGCTGCCCTCCATCCCGCCCGTCTCCACAAACCCATAGCGCTGCAACAGCTGTTCCAGCTGGTCCCGGCTCCACGTGGCGCGGAACTCCTTTCCAGAGATGACCTTGTCGTCGCCGTTGTAGACCGGGACGTTGTCCTTGTCCTCGATGACATGGTGCTTGGCACTCAAGTCCTCGCCGTCTGGACCGGGCGCGAACTCGAGCACGACAAACAGGCCGCCGGGCTGGAGGACGTCCAGGACGCCCGGGAAGAACGTGCGGAAGTCGTATACGTGGTGCACGACGAGGGTGGAGATGGCGACGTCCCAGTGCGTGCGCGGCGCAGGCTGTGCGCGCTCGGGCTCGGCGGCGGTGGGTGACGGGAGCGGTTGGCCGCTCTGGAACTGCGCCGCCGAGTCGGGCGTCAGCTCGTGGATCGCCCATTTGACGTTTGGCAGCTGGTCGACCTGGGTGGAAAGCACAGACGCCATGGACGGGCTGGGCTCGATAGCGTACACGCTCTTAAAGTCTTTAAAGTACGGTGTGACGACACCGACACCGGCGCCCACTTCCAGCAGGTCGATTTCCGTGGGAGGCGTGTTGTCGCCTGCGGCAGCGATGGCGCGGATGATGGTGGCTGCGTTGATGCCCGCCGCTTGGCGGACATTGGGGCGGGAGATGTATTCCTCGCCGTTCCAGGCGTCGTCGGACATTGTTGGGTGTGGTGATAGAGGGAGGGAGAGAGAGAGTGCGATGAAAGAAACGAAAGTGGGCTTTGGTTGACCATGCGCGTTGCTGTTGGAGACCCCGCGCGGCGGAGCGGGACATAGCCGAGACGCCGAGATCTTGTTGCCGAATACCGCAATCGACGTCGTTCACGCCTCTGCCTGTCAGGTTCTGTTATAGATTGCATGAAATGTATGGCACAGGCTCTAATCACTGTCGCTGTCCAGCACGTCCACCTCCTCAATCTTGAACGTGTCGGCCGCGCCAACCCCGCGCTCGGGGTCTTCATCACCTTCACCCATGTCCGCATCCCCATCCTCAGCGACACCGCTGTCGTCCAGGGCACCGTTGTTCAGTCGCGCCTCTTCCACGGCCTTGCGCTCGCGCTCGCGCTCCTCGGCCTTTTCCTTCTCGCGCCTCGCCTTGGCCTCAAGCCTGCGCTCTTCAGCAAGCTGGGCATCCTTCCTGGAGTAAAACTCGTCGGCAAGGCGACTGACACCCTCGGCCTGGAGCGTGTCGATCAGGCCGTAGTATGTCGGGTTGGTGCGCACGCGACGGCCGAGCAGTGTCCAGCCCATGAGGTCGACCAGATCGCGTTTACGCAGGTCGGGTACGCGCGGGCGGTGCGGCGCCGGTGGTGGCGGCGGGTCGCGGGGCTTGAGCATGCCCTCGAGCGCGGCAGCAGTCGACTCTGTGCCGAGCTCACGGTGGCAGACAGCGGGGAGTTTACTTTCCAGAGGCAGGCCGTCGGACAGCACGCGCGCGATACCAACGCTCTGCTCGCCTTGGCACATGACAAACATGCGCCCGGCCTGTGCAGCAGGGTGTGCCGACTGGACGGCGAACCCTTGCATGCGGATGAGCTCGTGACGCGCATAGTTGGCAATGACGCGGTCGCCCGACGCGCGATCGTACTTGGCATACTGGGCACCCATGAGAACGACGGTGGAGGCGCGGACGGGGAGCGTCCAGCAGGCGTCACGCGGGGCGATGAGGGCCTTGATAATGCCCGAAGCGAAAAGCTCGAGGACGAGCGCGAGGTCGGTAGGTGCCATGGTCGGCAGGATGTAGCCGATACCGTGGAGAAGGGGCTCGACGAGGTTGCTGTCCCTCAGCCTGGCGACGAGGGGTTCGACGTCGGCGCGCGGCGCTTGCAGGAACCCAGAGAGGTCCATTTCGGTACCCGACTGGGTGACGAGGTCGGCTGCGGCCGAGCGCGCCGCAACGCGACTCGGCGTGAACACCACGACGGGGCCGGGGGCCTGCTTGATAATGTCATATGTAGGCTTGACCATGGTCTTGAGCAAAGTCGCCGAGTGGGCCGTGCTGAAAGTCTTGAGCTGGACAACAACAGGTGCCCCACGGTCGCGCGGGGCGAATGCAAACTGGAAATCGGGGCTGACACCGAGCCAGTTGCCGAGATCTGTAGGGTTGATGAGAGTGGACGAGAGACCGACAATACGCGTCCTGGCCGCGCGAGAGATGGAAAGGAGCTTGGCGATGACAAGCTCGTAGTGCGCGTCCATGAGGTGCAGGTCCTCGAGGACGATGAGGGACAACTTATGCCCGAGGTCGTACAGCCTTGGGCCCACGATACCGTCCAGAGCCTGAGGGGTAGCGACAATGATACGCTGACCCTCGGCCTCTGCAGCCTTTTCCAGAGCATCGGCGTTGCGCACATGCGTGACGCTCACTTTACGGCCCTTGGGCACAATGCCGCGGATACGCGCTGCGGCCTCTCCGGCAGAGCGCACGTCGGGCATGATCACCAGCGCGAGGCCATTGGCCTCGTGGCGGAACGCATGCCAAATGGCCATTTCACCCAGCAAGCTCTTTCCACACGCAACGGGAGCCGACAGCAGAACGTTGTTGTTGGTGTGGTACATGCTCCAGAATGCTTGGGACTGGATGCTGTTGAGCATCGGGACGTGCGGGCGGTAGGCCGACACGAGGGCTGGGTCGTCCAGCGCCGTGATGGGGAGGAAGGGCAGGTCGAGCAGAGGTGTGGCCTCGGTAAACTGCTTGGGCATGATGAGGTTGGCGAGGGAGATGACAGTCTGGCTGTCCGAGCCAAGCCAGCGGTCCGAGGCGGTGACGATGGAGATGGTCGAGTGCTGTCCGTCCCAGGGAATGACAAAGTCAATGTCCATAGTGGTGGACGTCTGGCGGAGAAGGATGCTGCGCCACTGCAGAATGTGGACTCCCTCCTCGTCCTGCACCCAGACATAGAAGGGCTCTGCGGAACCAGACAGCTTGGTGTTCCACTGGAACTGCGCCTCGACCGTGACCGTGATCTGGAGCAAATCGTGTGCCAAAGGGCGGAGAGCATAGTTGACACCGATGGTGGGGAACATGAGCGCGGCGTTGCGGAGTGCAGCGCCATGCGTCTCGTTCATGTGGACCATGTCGCCCACGTCCTTGGGGTCCATCTCGCGGAGGTCCGCGATTTCAGCATCGTCCGCCCAGCGGCGGAGGTTGTAGATTGTGTCACGCTGGAGCGTTGTAATCTGCTCAAGCGGGTGGTCGTACGGCCACATGCGCTTCTCAATGGCCTTGGACAGGTCGATAAGAAGGAGAGCACAGTTGGACCAGTTGCGCGAGAGGGCAATCTCGAGCAAGGCGCGGATGATACGACCGGCATTCTGGGCGACGTACGCCGCGTCCGAGACGAGAGCAAAGTCCTCAATGAAGACCTTTGAAATGTGGGCTTGAAGCCTGGTTGGTTAGCTTATGACACAGATGTCTCAGCTACGCTTACAGAATGTTGACCTTGCCCTGCGCACTGGTAGCACCGCCCTTGACCTCCATGGGGCAGTTGTCGCTGCTCATAATGTTGGTGAGCTCGTCAATCTCAGTGTCGCGGATCTGGATCTGGGCAAACTGCTGGGTCAGTAAAGCTCGGGTTCCTCAAACCCACCTCAGTAGCCTGCGCCAGCATGGCGAAGATGTCGGCATTTTTCATACGGGGGTTGAACTGCTCGTCTGTTTGATTAGCTTGAATGCAGATGCTAGAGCCCACAAAGCTACTCACTGAACACCTCGACGGTCTGGTGCCGCAGGTAGTACCTCGCGGCAATACGGCCCAAGTCGCTGATCACAAACGAGTTTGTAAACTCATCAAAGCGGATCATCTTGGCCGTTGCGAGGGTGCGCGCAGCGGAAATGACCAGCTCGCTGCGCTTGTTGCCCAGCTGCGGGTCGTCCTTGGGCTCGTCATGCGACATGCCGTAGATGAACGGCTCGCGGCGCATGCGCACTGCAAATGTTAGCTGTCGCGTCGGCAAGGAACTAGCTAACCGAAAAGGTACGTGTAACCGATCCACGAGATGGCCTCGCGGACATTGGCAATGGTGCCAAGGGATACTTCGGCGTTGAGAGCGTCGACCATGCCGGGGATAAACTTGGACTCGATGGGTTGCTTCTTGTCAGCTTGCATTTGTGGTGGAGGTAGCTCACCTGGCTCATAATGCTGTATAGGTAATGGTCAAGCTTGTCTTGCGCGGTACAGATGTATCCGACACCCTCAGTCTCGTAGCCTGGACGACCGGCACGACCAAAGATCTGGAGAACATCGAGGACCGACAGGTCGACAAAGGCACCCTTGCCCGAATCGTACACGTTGGTGCCCTTGATAATGACGGCGTGCGCTGGCAAATTGACACCCCACGCCAAAGTGGACGTACAGCAGAGGACCTTGATGGCGTTGTCCTCAAACATGCGCTCCATCATGGTACGGTCCGACCTCAACATGCCTGCGTGGTGGATACCGAAACCGTAATCGAACAGCTCCTTCATCTCGCGGTTGCGAGAGGTGCCAATGTCGCGGCGGTACAGTTGGAACTTGGGGTGGTCGTGGTTGTCGAACAGGTCAATAGAGCTCTCCTCCATGGCCATTTCTTTCAGACGCTGCGCCGTTTTGACTGTCTCCTTGCGCGCGTGGACAAAGACCATGACCTGGTGGCCCTCGCGCACAAGCTCGAGAGCCTTGTCGAACACGACTTGTTCCATGTTACGCGTCTGGGTAGCGCTGCGTGGCTTGCCCTTGACACCGATAAAGTGTTGCTCGAGGGGGACGGGACGGAAGGCGGCATCGAAGAAGAACAGGCCCTGGTAACGGTTGACGCTGGTGGGTTAGCAGACATCAGGCGTACGACAACCCACCGCAAGAAGTCGCTGACGTCGATGTAGTTTGGCAGCGTGGCACTGAGACCAACAATGCGGATGAGGGACTGGGACGACTCGACCTGGTGGGTTAGCCTTGGCCTGGTACACGTTCACCCACCTGTCGCAGCGTCCTCGCCACAATGGTCTCAATGACCGCACCACGCTCTTCGTTGAGGAGGTGCACCTCGTCGATAATCAGGAGGCGGACCTTGGCTGCGAGTTCACCTTCACCCGTAGGTTTGCGGGTAACCACATCCCACTTCTCAGGCGTGGTCACGATAATCTGCGTCTCGTTGATCTCCTGACGGGTCATCTGCATGTCTCCCGTCAACTCGCGGACCTGCACACCGAGCCACGCGAGGCGTTTGCCAAACTTGCGCGTGATCTCGGCAGCCAGGGCCTTCATGGGCGCGACGTAGATGATCTTAAACTTGTCCTTGTCGACCGTGAAGCCCGACGCGTGGGTGGAGGGGCCGGGCTTGATGTGGGACTGGAGGACACGCAGAATGGTCATGATGGCCACGTCCGTCTTACCCGCACCGGTGGGCGCGCAGACGAGCATGTTTTCGTTCGTGTTCATCGCAATGGGCTGGACGATGGACTGCATCCTGTTCAGGGAAGTGTAGCCTGGGAAACAGCCGCGCGCGAGGGGAGGCAGGTTGCGGATGAGGACGGGCTTCTCGGTGGCCTTGGGCGGGGGCAGGTTGGGTGGAGGGACAGTGACCTCCTCGCAGATGTCAGTCTGCTCCCTCACGGTGCCGACGGGGAGAGCCAGCTTGCCGCCGTAGGACATGGCAGCGTTGACGCTCTTGCCAGAGGTGTAGACGTGAGGAAGGTTCTCGGTCTCTTTCGGGACACGTTGCTGCAAAGGTCAGCTACAGCTTATTACGATGGTCGCCAGCTCACCTGGCTCTCTTCCACGAACATGGCCTTGGGCCTGTTCAGCTGCTCCTGGATACGCTGCTCGATGTCCTCAGCTGTACCAATAACGTCTGTGATGTCGATCATGCCCTTGCGGCCCTTCTGGTTCTTCGGCGGCTTCCGCTGCTGCAGACAGTCAGCTGACAGCTCACATTGAGTGAAAGAAGAAGCTCACTTTGGCACCACCGCCGCGCTCAGCAAGGACTACCGACTCGCGCACACCGGGCTTGAGCACATCTTCAACGAGCATGAGTCCATCACCCTCAAAGCCGAGGATCTCGACCAGCTCGCTCTGGATGTCCATCTCGTCGCGGCCCGAGGCGAGGAGCTCAAGGAGGGACGCGTACGCCGTGGGCTGCAGGTGGCTAATTTCTGTCAGATACATTGATTATGATGGCCCATGGTCCCACGATACACACCGGTGAAGCCGGGCCAAGAGGTCGCTGACGTCCTTGCCCGCACGACCGGAGCCGGAGGCGGACGCAGCCGGCTCGGGCGGTGTGGGGGGCAAGTACACGTCGTCATCGAGGTGCATGGCGGACACATGGCCGGCGACTTGCTCCACGGCATCGACGCCGAGGAGGGAGTGGAGCGTCGGCCAGAGGGTACGTTCTGCAGCGAGGAGGTTGTCCTCGTTGGCCGCGGTGACGTTGCTGGAGATTGTTAGCTTCAAGAGACCACGTTCAGCTCACTCAATGCTGGCGAGGAGTGCCTCCCATTCTCTATGGGCGGTAGTTGACGGGCCTGGCTCGCCACATATGCCGTCAAGATAGGCCGTGAGCGACATGGCTGGGTATATGCTGTTGTATGAAGACGAGATGAGTTGAATGGAGAGAGATCGAATGGATTGCAGCGAATGACTTTTGGGCGTCACTGCTGTCTGGCTCGGATCCGACAAACGTGGGGACCCCGCATGGCCACGAGTAGGCGCCGAGTCGTGCGTTTGCACAGAGCCACGTCCTGCATGCAGATACGCATGCATGTGACGGTCCTGGGAGACGAATTAGATACGAATACATCAGTGTAAGAGGTATGGACGGAGAGAGCGTCTGCGGAAAGGTACCAACGAACGGCTGGCACGAAGTCTCTAGCGCGGGCCACCATGGGCCAACTCGCCCCTCTGCAGCTTGTCCTTCGCATTTGCCCCGCTGTGAGAGAGCCGTTTGAACTGAACCAGCGCAACCGAGTAACCATGCCAAGGTCAAGTACCAAGTTACAGGAATACATCCATAAAACTCCCATCTACGATGGAAAACACCTGCCTTTCCATCTCGCAACGGTGCGCGTTTAGAACACCTTGAGACCTCCGAGCTCGATCAGGCCCGCACCGACGGCAGCGGCACCAGCCTCGGGGGCGACGGCGGACAGGGCGCCGGCAAGACCGACACCGCCAAAGAGGGACGAGAAGAGCTCGTCGACCTGCTCCTCGTGCCAGCCGTTCTCGAGGGGCACGGGGACGAGGAAGTTGGCGGCCTTTTCGTGGACAGTGTACCTGGAGGCGAGATGTCAATATTGAACATTTTTTATGCAGCAGTGTTGAAGCCCAACGAGAGATCCACCACCTCAACACTCACCTCAGTTTCCTTCCCTTGCTTCCGCCACGCTCGGCCTCGCGCTTCTTCTTCTTTTCCCTCCTGAGGTGGGACAGGTCCACGCCGGCGCCCTGGCGGCTCTCAATGACCTCACGGAGGAGGGCGCGGTAGCCTGCCTCCTCGCTCTCGAGGAGGGGCTTGGGCGCGTCGCGCCTCTGCGCGAGGCTCGCGTCAATGGCCTCGACGACGCCGACGGCACCCTTCGTGGCCTGGGCAAACTTGGATCCGCCAGCCTTGCCGAGCTGCAAGGAGGCGGCGTGGATCTTGGTCGACCACTTGTTGAGCACGGGGACGAGCTGCGTGTGGGCGGCGTCGACAAGCGCGAACGAGTCGGCGGCAGACTCGGCCCAGTAACCCTCCTCGTCGGCCTCGTCGGATGTGCGTCGGCGCTTGGTTGCGGGCGCCTCGGTGCCGGGGAGAGTGATGGCTTCGCGCAGCGCAAAGAGCTTTTCGTTGAGGGACGCGAGCGAGGCAAGAGTCTCGGCGCGCTTGGTGGCCACCTCGCCCTCGGGGTCGGCAATGTCGGCAGCGTCACCGGGGACCTTGAACGAGGCCGGGAGGGCCTTTTGGAAGGTGATGCGGAGAGTAAGGAGAGTGTCAAACAGGTCCTGCGTTGGGTTAGCGCGAGCATTTCGTTGTGGAACCCACCCTCTGGCGCTTGATGCCACGGCCCTTCTCAATGTCCTTTAGCCTGGACTCGCGGAGCGCGCCCATGGGGTCGAGTGCGCGGCCAGATGGAGCAGGTCGGGTGTCCTCCTCCTCTTCGTCTTCCTCATCATCATCCTCGTCATCCTCGTCCTCCTCCTCGTCATCTTCCTCCTCATCGTCCTCGTCAAAGTCCTCCTCGTCCTCATCCTCGTCGTCGTCGTCCTCATCGTCGTCACCGCCAAACGCGCCCTGCTCCTCCTCATCGTCCTCCTCATCGTCGTCGTCAAAGATCTTCATGCGCGAGCTGGCCTGACCGCCGTACTTCTCCGTCAAGAGAGTCTGGGCAGTCTCGTCGCCACCAGCAGCCGCGCGGAGGCGCGAGGGGCTAAGGAAGCGACGTCAGTACCAGAACAACAGCCAAAGCCAGTCCTCAGCACATTAACTCACCCGACATCGACATAGTGCTCGCGGCCCTCACCGGCCTCGCGCTGGGGGCGCTCGTTGCTGTCGAGGGAGGAGTAGGCGGCCTCGGGGTCGAGGGCTGGAGGGGTCAGTACGAGCACGCAACAACTGGAATACCCCCGGCTCTTGTGATGACGGACAGTCGAATGAGCCGGGACGATGTACACGCACACTTGGGGGCGTCCTCCTCGAGCCTGCGGAGTTGGTCCTTGAGCGAGATGCCCATGGTGTTTTGGTTGAACTGTTGTTGTTGTAGTGGGTGTTGTTGAAAGATGTCGTCTCGTCGTCGTGAGCGAGGGTGTTGGCCACCAACCGACAACTTTTGGAGGTTCAGGCACGATGAATTAACGGGAGGACCGTTTAAATTACTCCCGCTGGCCTAAACGGTGCCGATCCAAGTGTCTCTTCAAAGGGGGGGGGGGGGATTTGTTAAGGAAAACTGTGCCTTAGAGAAACACACTACGCATTTGCTCAAACCGTGCCCCGCTTGTGAGCAAATGCGTCGTGTGTTTCTCGAAATGGTGTGTTTGCGGAGAAACACACTACGCATTTGATCAAATGCGTAGTGTGTTTGATCAAATGCGTAGTGTGTTTCTAAACGGGGCTGGCCGTTGGTGGCGATATGACGTCCGGGCTCACTGGTGCTGTCATCGTCGTCTTGTCTCGTGGCCGACTTTTCTCACAACAAATGGGCAAAACCGATTCACGAAGAGTGTGCATCACAGTGGTCACAGTGGTCGCAGTGTCCAAGGCCAATATCCATGGTCTGGTGCGCTCACGGTTGTCCCATCGCCATTTCGTTGCCTGCGGCGCGCGCTATCGACTCACGACTCGTCGGCACCGAAGCCACAAGTGGCTCCACGCGGGTCCACAGTGACGACGCGACGACGGCCATGGCCTCAGCGATAACCACAACCTTGTCCATTCTCGCTGTGCATCTTCATCTCAACTCTTCCACATAGCTCTCATACCCTCACCCCACTGCACACATGGCCGCTTCACCTTCCAACCACCTTGCACCACCACCCACACCCTTCACCATCACGCCTGCCACGGCCGAAGACATCGACACCATCGCCCAGATTTCCGGCGACTCGTTCGACCATGACACACATACGCTGCTCAAGGCCCACTGGCGCGGTGCCAACCACCACCGGGACGGCAGCAAGGCGGACCTGGCAACGCTGGTCGACAACCCGAAATGCGATTTCCTCGTCTCCCGCACCGGAAACACCACCGCAGGACCGGGCAAGGTCATCGGCTTTGTGGTATGGCACAAGCGGGGATACACCGAGGACGAGGACGGGGACGAGGACGGGAGCGCGGTCCCGCTCTTTGCCCGTGGCGATGGGGATGTAGCGAGCACCCTGCCGGAGTGTCCGCCACCCGTCCCGGCCCAGCCTGAGCGGGGGACGCAGCTGGGTCTGACCGAGCTCGAGGCGACGACCAACGCGGCGATGACCCACTACATTGCGCACCTCATGCCGGCTGGCACGTCGTGCCGGTTCATATCGCGCATGTCCGTCGACCCGGGATACCAGGGCCAAGGGGTCGGGTCGGCGCTGGTCAGGTGGGGTACCGACCGGGCGGACACGGACGGCGTGTATTGCTGGGTGAGCAGCAGTATGGACGGATACCATGTCTATGAAAAGGCCGGGTTTGTGGAGGTTGGGAGGCAGGAGCTGGTGTTGGACGACTATGCGCAAGGGGTGAAGAGGGAGATGGGGGAGGACTGGGGGTTGTATGTGTGGAAATGGATGCGGCGGGATCCAGCAGCTCGTTGATATGATCAGATGTCACTACACTGCCTACAACACGTGCATGCGCATTTGGTTACTTCTGCTGTTTTAAAAATACTACTCTCACCACGTCCTAGAGCTTGCTCTTGACAGGGCCGACGACCTTGAGGAGCGCGCGGCCGTTCGAGAGACAAACCTTGCCGCCGGCAACCTCGGTGGTGAAACGGACCTCCTCAAAGCCGTCCTTGTCGACGGTGCCGGTGCGCCAGATCTTGGTCACGAGCTTGTCTCCGGGCTTGACGGGCGACGCGAAACGCGCCTGGTACTCCTTGATGTTGGCCGGGTCCGAGCCGCCCACAGCCTTGAGGATACCGTGAGCGGTCGAGTTCCACGAGTACAGGCCGTGGATGATCTCGCCGCCGAAACCCATCTGCTTTCCGGGCTCGGGGGTCGCGTGGAGCGGGTTGTAGTCGCCGTTCAGGCGGTAGAGGAGCGCCGTCTCCTTGGTGGTCTGGACCTCGAACGTCGCGTCGGGCGTCTTGCCCGCTGGCGGGGGGTAGTTGGGGGTCGCGGGACCCTTGGGACCGCCCCAGCCGCCCTGGCCGACGAAGAAGGCCGAGCCAGTGATGGACGCGTACACGTCGCCGTTGGTCTTGTCGACAAGGTCCATCTGCGTGTCCAGCACAGTGCCGGCCTTGCCCTTGTCCCAGACGCCCGTCACCTTTTGACGGATCTCAAACTGGCGGCCCTCAGACGAGGTGGGCAGCTCCTTGAGGAACTTGATGGAACGCTGGCCGTCGACGACGCGCTTCGAGTCAAACTGGGGCACACCGGGGATGGGGACTGCGCGCTGCGAGGCGTAAAAGTCAATCACATCCGAGGAAGTCTTCTTGAAGGCTGGCGGGGGAATGTCAGCTTGTGGTCAATAGAAGGAACCCCCCAGCTGAGGGCGTGAGAGCTGCCGGTATCTCTCGCGTCCGGCAACCTGGATGCAACCGACGCCCTCCGTCCAGCACCACTCACGCAGGATGATGGAGTAGGTGGGGAACACCTTGAAGTCGGGGTGCAGCTCCTGCATGGGTCAGCAGCCGTTCCGTAAAAAACACCCACGTAGAGAAAGTGCAGCTCGTCCTGGGCGGTTGCGCCGATCGAGTTGGCGAACAGGAGGGCATCACGCTTGAGCCATGTGACGGCACTGGGGGGGTACTCGAAGCCTTGGCCGGGGTTGCTCATGGTTGTGACTGTGTGAGGGTGTGATGGAGAGGGAGATGGGGAGAGAGATGGAGTGGGAACGAGACAAGAGGTATTAAAGAGATGGTGACATATGGTGTGTGTGGGGGCAGATGCGGTCTCTCTCCGCCGGTTACGGCTACGCTCGGCAACCGGACATCGAATCTGCGAGGGGTGGGGCATCGGATGAGGCCGAATACCGGACAGTGGCCAGGAAGAGTCCGACCATGGTGCATGCGTGCGTGTTCGTGTCCACTTTTGTTCATGCACACACGCATGCATTGTACTGGGATGTTGCACCGTTGTACACTGTGCATGTCCCTCATATCTGACAGCTACAAGTTGTCGTATCATTCGGACACCTACCCACAGCCCTTACTCCCCGGTGCCCCGGGGCCCATCTCGGCATCTACCCATCTGCATCTACACGTCGTGCTTCCACCCCAGCATCCTCTCAGCCTTGGTCGACACCCAAATCGTACCCCTGGGGTTCTTGGCAAAGTACTCCTCGTCAACCTCGTAAGGGTGCGGCCAGTGGCGCTTGAGCAGCTCGAGCGTCGTGGGCAGCTTGAGGCCCTCGCCCGACTGGCCCACTTTACGCCTGTCTGCCTCTTCCACCCCGTTGCCTTCCCAGCAAACCGTCGGAGCGGCAATGTTGAAGATTTCGTGGCTGGACCAACCTTCAGACGTGAGACCGAGGAGACACGCGCGCGCACAGGCGTCATACGAGGTCCATGCGAACAGGTCCAGCGCCCGTGTGTCGGGCCACGACGTCTCGTAGTCGGGCCGACACATGTGGAAGCGCAGCGACGCGATGCGCGTCTCGGGAGCCCAGCGGACGAGCGAGTCGGCCTGGATCTCACACTCGTGCTTGGACAGGGCGTACGCGTCTTCCTGGAACCGCGAGTCAGATGCTGGCAACCACTAACACCACCACATCCATCTGTCGTCTCCTTCGACTCACCGGACGACGCTCGACCTCCTCGGTGATGGGGAACTTGTCAAACTTGGTGTGGCCAGGAGGCGCATACGACAGGCCGTGGGCGTTGACGCTGCTCGCCTGCACGATGCGCGTGACACCCCTGTCCACGGCCGTGCGGAGCACGTTGTAGCTGCTGGTAGCGTTGTTGTTGTGCAGCTCGCGGTCGTCGAGGCCCGGAAGGGGCATGGGGTACGCGCCGAGGTGGATGACGCCGTCGGCCTTGGCCGCGTCAAACAGGCTGTCCACGGCCGGGATGCTTGTCAAGTCGGCGGTCACAAAGGTGACGTTGGCAGGGAACGCCGGCGCCGTGGCGGGCGGTGGGCGGACGTCGGTGGCCAGCACGGTGTGGCCCTCGGCTGCGAGGTGGGCGAGGGTGTATTGGCCGACACGGCCGGTGGCGCCGGTGAGGAGGATGCGCATGGCCAAGGGTGTGGAGGATGAGTAGGCAGTGAGTGATGAGAAGGGAGAGAGAGAGAGAGAGAGATGGAGACAGAGATATGGAGATGCGCTTCAACGTCCACCTTGACCTGCGGTGTAGGTTTGGACCGACATTGCCGCTTGTTGCCTTGTTGCTCCGCGCGCGGACCATTGCCGGGCCATTTCCCGGAACGGCGCCGGTGGCATGTCCTGCGGGATGCTGGTACCGGCGTGCGCTGCAAACGAGAGTACTTTAATCAAGTAAACCCAACATCGGTATCTAAAAGTTGGTGCTGGAATGGACGCGAACACACTGTGGCAGCAACGGTGTGAGTCACAGGTCGAGTCAGTGATCAGTGGATCAGTGGGATGGCACCTGCTGGGACCGCATGGGATCCGACCCGCGGCCAACCACCCGCCGGCTAGCACGCCGACATTTCCCTAACAGCAAACATCGCAAGCAATGTCTGGATCGTGTGGATCTGGGCCAGGCCGCAACTGGCCGCGGGGCAACACACTTTGACGACTCGTTGTCCATCGCAACCGCACACCACATCAACATCTCACATCAGCATCTCACATCATCTCACCTCATCTCACAACCGCACGGCGCATCCATTAACCACCTCCTTGGCTACAGACAATACCACCGTTACCATGCCGCCCAAGCGCAAGACGCCGCCAGCTCCCATGTCGCCACCAGCGGCACGTTCTGCACCAGCCGAGCGGGATCGGAGCGAGCAAACACGCGCGCCCCACCAGCTACGCGATACAGACCACTCACGTCGCCCGTCCTATTCCCATGTACGTTGCTGTTGGTCGTGGCCGCCAGGCTCAAGCCCAAGCTCACGTCACAGGACGCGACTCCCGGTCCATCCACCGTCCCCTTTCGCAGCTTCCCCGAGGTCCGCGACGAGCGCGAGTACTGGGTCGACGGGCCCTGGGGATGGGACACGCCAGCCGCGGGCCCCAGCAGCAACAGCAACGACCGGGGCGACCGCAGCAGTCCGGGCCCGTCGGCGCTGGAACTGCTCTATCGCTGGCTGGAGATTCCCGGCAACTGGCGCCGGTTCCACGAAGCGGCTAATGGCGACGAGCGGAAGGAGGCGACACACGCGTGTAGCGACTGGCTGCGAGAGAACGGGAGTCCCGTGCAGAAGAGCTGGATCGATTGCGAGGTCAAGGTGAGGCATGCGGCAGTCGAGCTGGGAAGGACCGTGCCTATGCAGCTGACACTGACACCCCAGCTTATTGACGTCTACCGCCTCTACAACGTGGCACGAGAGGAAGAGCTGGCGACGGGGTTTGCGGATGACGGGCGTCCACGCCTCGGATCGCTCATCCTCAGCGCAGAGGTGTCGGCAAAGGACAAGGATGACAAGGCCAAGCACTACTCGTCGGGCCTGCTGTCCCATGTGGGAGGTGAGTTGTGGCAGCTACGGCGAAGTAACTGACAATGTGCAGCCCAGCTGAACAAGATATGCGGGGGACTCGACTACCAGCGCCTCAAGGCCGTCTTTGAGGAGGGAACGGCCAATGGCAACCCCCACATCCAAGCCCATCCATCACATGCAGGCCACCGCGGCGCAAGCATCGACAGCAGCCGCGAACGCATGCTGGGCGTGTTCGCCGATGCCGACCGGCTGCCAGAACGAAACGGCAGCAGGGGCGGCACCCCCGTCCCGGGCCCCGGCGACCGCTTCGACGACGTGGACATGCACATGTGTACGTCGGTGGTTCTTGGTTTCGCTGCCATTCCTGTCAAACCATTCGCTGACCTGCCTCCAGTACACGCCCCGCGGAACGGCTACGACCCGATCGAGGACGAGGCGCGCGACGCCGCGCTGGCCGCGTACCGCAGTACAAAGGCGCGGTTGGTACGTGAGCAAGAAATGGTGCGCGAGCGACAGCTCTCGGCCGACGAGCTGCGGCACCGGGCCATCATGGACCTGGCCAAACTGGCGCACGAGATGGATCCGACTCTGCGGCCGATCGTGGCGTATCGCACGGCGTTGACCATGTACATGGCGCACAGGCAGACGCTGGGGGAGTGAGCTAGGTGGCAGAGGATGAGGATACGGAGGTGTAGGGCTGTATCATTTGAGTCCTGTCCGCTGTCGTGGTAACACGGGCGACGGCTAATCAGCAACAAACATGCCATGACAATAATCAACCCTTGTACTTTCCGCTACACGCTGATGCGTGGTCTGTGCACACTGACTCTTGGGACGCTCTTGTCGGCGCCATGTCGTAGAATGCCGCCCCCGCCGGGCGCTGGCTGGCTGACAACACCGCACCCCCCCAGAACCGCAAGGTGCAGGCGGAGAGTGGCCCACCCACTGCCCCAGTGCTCACTGACCGTAACAGTTGTTCATTCACCCATGCCACCTCGGTGTCAAGGGGATAACTGCGAGCACACCCGCCCGTCAGCCACGTTTGTGTCACACAACGCGACACATGTAGAGACACCCTTCCTCTGATCTCCTGTTAAGCGCCACAAACACTGACCTCTCCGTATGGCATGTACTGTGGATCGGCGAGCGCCAAACAACCACAATGCGCACGAGAGACAGACTCTCAGTATCTTTTAAGTATCGCTCGAGGCGCCGAACAACAATGCCCATTTAAAGGTATGGCCCAGAGAACCGTTACCCACGGCCCACGGCCTACCGGTATCTCTAGCATATCACGCCATGTACATTGACGTGTCTCTACGACGTCTCTGCGGGCTTGGTCTCCTCGACTGCCGGGCTGTTTACGTCAGGACAGGACACACACACACACACACCCTCTTGTTGTACCAGTATCAGTAGGGTACGAACCTGGACACTGGCACCGTTGCAATTGGCGGCGGCAGGGGCAGATCCTCTACCTCTGTGGGGATTCCATCATGCCCGTGGATGCCATGATCTGGACGACCACGATCACCGCAAGCGGCATGGACATGAACACTAGGCCGTCGCTGGCACTATTGGTGTAGGTGGGCCGGGAAACGTGCGCATACACCGGGAGCGCGGAGCACACGATTGCGGCGACGAGAACGACGCGCGGGGACACGTCGAGCATGGTGATGAGGGAGGGTGATGGGAAAGAGTGTGGATGCAAAGTGGAGGCCGTGGGTTGTTGTCGATAGATGTGATTTACAGTAGGCCCCCCTCATCAGGGCCCGGCGGGCGCTGGATTCCTTATTGGGTGGTTTGCATGAGCCTACAGCGTCACGCCGAGGCGGAAAACAACATGGCGAGTGGCGTTAGCATGCATGTCGTGGAATGTATATGGGCCAGAGGTTATGCTGAGCGCTTGTCGCTTTGTGTTGTTGTCAGGTTTGCCACTTGGCGACCTATAACCGCATCCTGCATGCCGCAGTACCGCAGTTTGTGTGTGGGTTCCTGGGGAGCCACACCTGGACGTCTCCGTTTTGGCATGGCACTATCAAGGGCGGCTAGGGTGCTCTGTGAACTGTGAGCGTTTGGTTTCTCTGCCAGATGGATCGGACCCTCCCATGCGCGTAGACGTAGAGACAGACGCAATGGACCCGCGAGGTGTACGAGGTGTACGGAATCCGGACGGCATGGCAAAATGATTTTGTTAATCAGATTAGGCCGAGACATCAACAACAAACGGCCGCCGGGGCCCGGTTGTGACTGGCGATCACGTGACTTTGCAGCTGTGTGTACGGGCGGGCGGGACAGCCACAGAGCCTGCGCAAGCCTCCCGTTGCTGCTGATTACTGTGCAACCCATTTACAACCACGGCGCGTTCCGAGCTGTGTATCCTTTGCTTCTTCTTTGCTTCTCTCTCATCTCTCTCATCGCCCACCCGCGTCACTCCCTTTGCCCGCCATGCTCTTCCATCTCTCCGCCATCTCCATCGTGGCGGTCATCGCCTTCCGTGAGTGCCCTGCCGTTGACCCCCGGTGGGTGGCCAAAAGAGCAGCACATTAGCTGCTCCCCCGGGCCACCGCCGACATGCTCATCCTCCTCCTCCTCCAACTCTCGTCCCCTCCCCCCTCAACCACATCCACTGACACACCCCTCCAGTCATCTTCTACTTCCGCCAGCGCATCTTCGCCACCCTCGAGCCGTACCTGCCCACCTCCATCGTGGCCCGCTTGTCAAACTACACCCCGCTCACGACATACACGTTCGCCGACCAGGCCGCGGCCGGTATGAGCAGCTCCAACTTTGACCTCGAGGCCAACCTGGGAGAAGGGTCCAGCGAGAACAGGATGGGCCTCGACGACGCCGGCGTCGAGGAGGTCCGCCGTATCATGTAAGTTGGGATTTTTTGGGTGTTGCTCGTGCGTGTGGCGGGCTTGCGGGCGGGCTGCGGGGCTGCGTAGCCGGCGGGAAGCTGTTGGGATCATTGGCGGCCAGCCGCGCAGCTGCACTGCAAGCAGACGTGCAGCGCCAAAACCAGTGCACACTCGCCATCACACATGGCCCAGCCCGTGGCCCACCCCACGCAGCCGCGTCTCGCGTCGCGATTCACAACCACAACCGTCCGTACATGGCACTGACAAAGCGCAGGGCCGTCGAGCGGTGTACCTTTGACCAGGCGCGTCTCATCCGCCATAACCGTATCCTCGCCAAGAATGGTATCGCCCCAGACGGTGAGTCGGACATCACAGTCTCTGGTGTGCAGAACATATTGCTGACATGGAGCAGGCACCCCTCTGGACCGCAAGGCCATTACGCGTCTGTAAAGCGAGCGCGCGACCGCACGTTTCATTTTGGCGGCGTACAGACGGCCAAGGCCACCAGCGGGGTCGCTGGCCCGCTGGGTGTTGGGTTAGGGCTACATTGCGCTAGCCGCTGGCCGCTGGCTCTCAGCCCCAGCCCCATCACTCTCGACTACACACACCTCACCCTCACACACCCGACGGCAGCGCCGTTTCTGGATTCCTCGGCCACACCACCCGCACGCCGACACCATTCCCCATCCCCCGCCGCAGCGCGGCAACCCCCTTCCTCCTCCTCCTTTACAAAAGCGGCTCTCCTTGTCCTTTGACGGCTCATACCCCCACCACCCCCAACCCGCCTCGTCTCCATTGACCGTTCCAACGGTCCGCTCTGCTCTCACATACCCGCTTCGGTTTTTTCCTGCTCTCCTTTCTCCTTTCTGTGTTGTTGGTATGCATTCTCCTGGGAACCAAACAAACCCAACAAAAATGAACAAATGAACAACGCCTTTCTCTACTCGCCATAGACAAACTCGAAGAACGTGGGCTTGTCAGACCAGTCGGCGCCGGCGCCATCGCCCAGGCGCCGCGGAGCATAGTGTGCCCCCTCGCCAAGACTTGGCAGGGCAGCGTATGTCGCCACGGGCGAATTTGGGTCTGCGGCAGAGGCCGACGCCAGCGTAAACACGCTCGTCTCCAGGCCGGCCTCGGACCCGCCCTCGTCGGACGCGTACGCCGACGAGCCGTGCGAGTGCGTGCGGTGGAGGCCGGGGCCGAGGCGGTAGTCTGTGTCCGTGTTCGAGTCCAGGTCGAGGGTGCCGAACCGCGACGACAGGGACGTGTTGGCGCCTTCCTCCTCGTCGTCATCGTCGTCGTCATGGCCAACGCCGAAGCGTTCAGTGAGGGACCGGAACGTCCTGTCCCCGTCCCCTTCCCCGTCCGTGTCCGAGCTGTCACCATTGGCCCCGGCACCAGACACATGGACGTATCCCTCGGTATCTGTGTGATCGCCCATTTCGGTGGCCGTGTCGTCGCCCGTGTCTGTGGAGCTGTGCTCGGTGCCCGACTCAGACGCCGAGTGGCCCGACACGTCTGACGTCTCGGGCGTGAGCAGGGCATGCGACGCGGGTGGAGGTTTGGCCTTGACCAACGCCGGGCGGACGAGGTGCGTCAGCCGGACCGTCTCGCCTGTGAGGGTCGTCTGGTCCTCGCCTGGGATGTGGGTTAGCACACCAGATCGGTAAAGTTTCACCCACTCCATGACACGAGCTCATAGTACCGCGCGACCATGTGCACGACCAGCCGGTCAAACGAGTCGGGGACGGCCCAGGTGATGTGGCCTGCGGACCGGGACAGCTCCAGGACCGCGGGGACGGTGCCGTTCGTGACTGGGAGGCCGGGCAGCGCGGCGCGCACTTGGTGCTGGGCGGGCATACGCCTGCTCGGTCCAGCCGCACTGCCACTGCCACTGCTGCTGCTGCCGCCGGCACTGGCGCCCGCGCCCGTCTCGACCGGCGTAGCGTCCACGACGTGCCACGCCACATCGTCTTCCCCCGCGAGCGCATACTCCCCACCGAGCCAGGCGCGCACCGCGTCCTCGACAATGGGGACCAGGACCTCGGCGCGGCGGCCACGGCGACGGAGCAGCTGGCGCGTGCCCCGGAGCGAAGTGGAGAATGCGCCTGCCTGCGACGAGGGAGCGAATGGGTCGGCGCGCTGCGCGGTGATGGCTGGGATGGCCTCGCTGCGCGCAATGGCGTCCGAGGGAAAGGACGGGCGGAGCGGGTGGTGGTGGAGCGGGACAGAGGGGACGAGGTCGCCGCGCTTGGGGGCCACGGCGTGCGGGTTGTCGAGAAAGGTCGCTGCGAGAATGTGTGAGTTGGGGGAAGAGGTGAGGAGGAACTGGGGGGGACTCACCATTGTTCATGCGCCTGACGACACGCTTTCCGCGCTTGCTGCCGACAATGTCTTCTTCCTTGTTACGTGCGGCATCGCGTCTGGCGGCGACTTTTTCGCGCTGTTGCAAGTTGAATGCCTCTACTTGGCGCTGGGTCTTTGACTGGGGGTTCTGGAGGATGGCCGGGAGACGCAGGCTGGTGGGTGGTGTGAGCGGGAGAAGTGGGGAAGGTGGGGAAGGGAGGAAGGGAGGGAAGGGAGGGAAGACGGCGAGGGAAGGCAAGGAAGGCAAGAGACGAGATGGACAGCCAGATAACCACTTCTAAATGGTGTGATGTGATGAATCGATGACACTCACGGTGCGGGTCCTGGGTCCTGTGTCGTCATGCTGAAGGGGGGCCTTGTGGAGGAGAAGAGGGAAGGAGAGAGATGAGACAAAGTTTGGAGGTTGTGGAAGAGGTAGAGGTACTGTAAGAAGTGTGTCGACTCCCCCCTCCCGGATCCGATATCGGGCCACGGGCCACGGGGTGGGCCATGTCGTCTGGTCGTCCTCCACACGAGACTGGGTGACTGGACTGATATTGCCATATTGCGCTAATTGCCACCCGGCCACAAATAGGTGGCATTTAATTCCAGCGCGCCTACAAAAATAACAGGCACGCTTGAATGTGGTTTACGTAATATTGCTTTTATATGGGCCATGACCCAATCCCTGGATATGGTGCGTGCGGTGGAGGACCGAGCGAGAGCGCGCGCCAGACGACGAGAGACGCCTTGCGTCCCGCGCCGCGCGTTTGTGTGGGCTGTTGGGTGGGTCCCTTGATTCCATCGTAGGTCCGCCTTGCTCTCCATCCCATATCCCATCCCATCTCAACAACCACCTCCTCTTCTCAACGCACGCTCATTATCCACATTCCCCAACACACAGCACACACACCTCCCTCCCCCCCGCCTCCATCCCCACACCCCCACTTCCACCGTCCTCAACACTCCCACCAGCGCGTCCACACGCAAACGGGACCGCTGCCTAACCCTTCCCCCACACGCTCCGGCCCCGCACAAGACAAGAGCACAACCCGCGCGTGGCCTACGACGTCTAGCCGATAGAAACGAACGCACGACTACCAACCACACTCCTCGTCCTCACCGCGAGCATCCCCCCCCAACCACACCTCCTCTTTCCATCCCCCAAACCTCACGGCCCACCGTTTTTTCGGCTCGACACACAAACCCATCCAACTTGGACGCGTCCCAGTCTTTAATCACACCCCGTCCCGTCCCGTCACGACCCTCTTAATCCTTCCCCCGTTCCACACCACCCACCCCACATTCAGCCATCATGGGTGGATCATTGAGCAAGGCCCTCGGTGAGTGCTGCAGCAGGCGGGGAGCTCGTAGAGCACGTCGCGATGGCATAGGAGAAATGCGCCCACTGACGCCCGTCCTTTGCTACTCTCGCGCGCGCGCAAACACAATCCTGCAACCGCATTCGATCACATGCACGACCCTCCTCTTTTCTTCGCCGCCATGCACGAACCGCTTGTTGTGACCGCCTTCTCCCGGCTTTTTTTTTCTTTCTTTCCTTCCACCGCGCGCACATGGTTCCTCTTCCGTCCCCACAGGCAAGCTGTTCGGAAACAAGGAGATGCGCATCTTGATGCTCGGTCTGGATGCTGCCGGCAAGACCAGTGCGTTTCCAGAGTCCCTCCCATGAGCCGCGATAAAGCCTCGACTCGAGGAAGGATGATCCATTGCTGACCCGCGCGCGTAGCCATCCTGTACAAGCTCAAGCTGAACCAGTCGGTCACCACCATCCCCACCGTCGGCTTCAACGTCGAGACGGTCACGTACAAGAACGTAAAGTTCAACGTGTGGGACGTCGGAGGCCAGGACAAGATTCGTCCGCTCTGGAGGCATTACTACACTGGTACTCAGGTGGGTTTGGCCTGGCATCTGGCTTATGGCTAACCCAACCAGGGCCTGATCTTTGTGATTGACTCGGCCGACCGCGACCGCATTGACGAGGCGCGTCTCGAGCTCGAGCGCATCCTCGCAGACAGGGAGATGAAGGACTGCCTGTTGATGGTGTTTGCCAACAAGCAGGACATCCAGGGCGGTGAGGTCAAAGGCTCGGGACCGAACACGAGAGCCGCACAACTGACGCTTACCAGCCATGTCGCCCGCCGAGGTGACGGAGAAGCTTGGCCTGCACAAGATGAGGGATAGGTCGTGGTATGTCCACCCCAGGTGAGTACAGATGAGCAGATAGGTCCAGCGTGAAGGAGCCCCGCTGACGACCTTTCTCCAGCTGCGCGACAACGGGTGAGGGTCTGTTCGAGGGCCTGCAGTGGCTGTCCCAAAACGTAAAGGGCACCAAAGCGTAAACAGGACCACACCCATCTACGAGCTTGTGCCCGCGTCATCCGTTGTCTCGTTTGTTCAACAACCAAGATCTTGTCCGCCTCGTCGCTTTACGTTCTTCTGGTCCCCAGTCCTCTCTCTGCGCTCCCATCTCGTGCATCGCTGCATTTGGCCTCTCGCTCTCTCTCTCTCTCTCTCTATCCTCTATCGCTCTGTCTCGCTCGCCCGCTTTTCGCCCCGTTCTTAATCCCCTCGCCAACCACACCACCTCGTCGGCGCTCGCCTGGTCGCTCGCCGTCGATTTACCAGCGGTTCGTATACATGTCGGTTTACAAAGACTACTACAGTTACCCCCCCCAACCTCACGCTCTCAACGTAAATGGGTCAACCCGTCCCATCCCCTCCACATCCTCTCGACCCTGCGAGCCCCACACACTGTCCACTGTCCGCAACACGCGCCAACCCGTCGGTCGTGCGTGTCCCGTGCCGTGCCGTGCGTGGTCGACTCGTCTCACGGGCGGACTGTGCTCGCCCACCCCGTCGTCGTCTCTTGTATACCCCCCCGTCTTTGAAATGCAAACCTTATGAACAGAAGAGAAGCACATGGATGGCTGTGGTGTTGCCGAGGCTGGCGAAAGGGCCACCAGCCCATTGGCCAATTGGCCATTGGAAACGAAGAGAAAACGGTCCGTGTTGGATGGTTTGAGGAACCGGCACAGCGGTATGCTCCCCACCCCCCACCCCCCACCCCCCACCCCTCACCCCACTCCCCATGCCGCTCGCGGCCGGCACATTGTGGCCATGTGCCAGCGTTTTGCGCCATATGCCATGAGGGTGACAAACCCATTCCCCGGCGTACCGGCGTACTTCGCTACTTCGCCTCCTCCCGCGCGTGGCTCAGAGGCTCAACAGATCAACAGGCCTGGACCTTTTCGTTTTCTCCAGGCCCACGTATTTGTGTGTACATGTTAACACCGTCCATGAGTCGGCGGAAGAGACCGGACGAGAGCATGGGGGAACGAGCGAGCGAGGTACATTGCGGAATCCGCTGGCGCACTGGGCACTGGCGCACTGGCAGAGCACGTTCTGCAACTCTGTCATTTGAGCGGTGGTTGGCGGTTGGCGTTCTCGGACTTCTGCCTCGTCGACGCCATCGTTGCGCCCGGCCAAGCTTGCAAGCTTGACTAGTGTCGTCCCCGTCGCTGATCGGTGGCCAGAGGCTGCGAGTTTCCAAGGTATGGACGGGTATCGGTCTCCATCGCGCACGAGCTGCGTTGATGCTCGACCTGGGAGGCGGCGTCAGAGCGCGCCGCGTCTCGTAGCTCGTCGCTCCCAACGCGATATCGTGTGCCACTCACTCGCGATCACTCGCGTCACTCGACAGCCCATCCCGTCCGCGATGCTTCTCTCATGTACACCCATATACCCGGGGAACCCTTGCTGCCGTGCGTGCCGTGCGTGCCATTTGTGCCGTGCGTGCGCAGTGTGTGCGCTCCTGAGCAGCAATGACAGCCTGACTGACCGCCGCGGTGTCCTGACGAGGGACGCAAATCACACCCAGAGCGGGAAATCTGGCGTCGTGCCCGCCCACTCAACCCGCCCCGCGGTAAAAAGTCCATCTCCTGAGAGGCTTGAGAGGGTACAGACGTACAGACCTCTACTGCCATGCTGCCAGCTGGCCAGCTGCCTTTCTGAGCTGCGAACGAACAGGGAAAACCCACATCCACCACAGGCTGGGCACAGGGAATGACCTCATTCAGCTAGTCACTTTGCGGAAACACGACAACGACCAAAAAAAGGGCAACGAGGGAAAAATGCCGACAGGGCCATTGCCGAGTTTGGTACGTCTTTGGTGCATGTGCGCATTGCTCGCATTGCTAGGACCTCTGGAGGCTGCAGGCCCAGGCGCGCAGGTGCGCAGGTGACGGCCGCAGCACGTGACTTGGATCTTGCAGCTGCTGGCCTCGCTGGACGATAATATACTGGGGGGCAAGCGAATATGACGGACAACATGACGCACAGGTGGCGGCGGTGAGACAATTGCTTAAAGAGTGGTCGAGGGCTCTTGGCGTGCCGCCCCTTCCCCGCCGCCGCCGTCGTCGCACCTCCGAAGCAGATGACGGAGAGGGGGACTCTGGTGTACCGGTGACGACAGGGGCCAAAGGTTCGGGCCGCTTGCTGGCCGCTGCCTGCTTTTCGGCAAGAACACAGACACGGTCGTCTCCCTCGCAGGCATATGCTTAATGGACGAGTGATGTGTACGAGAAACGGCCTTGATCGCTTGATCGACGCATCGCTAGCGCACTGTCGACGCCTCACGCGCGCCGAGCCATAAAAGCCGCGCCGAGCGCACAAAGTCCAGAGCCGCCGTGCCAAGAGACGCCGCACATTTCAGTGCAAAGTGGGTTTTATGCTGTGCCTCCCACGGGCCGGGCCGACAACAGAAAGAAACGGCTCTGGACTTTTGTTTCCTCCTCCTTGCCCCCCCCCCCCCTAGTTGTTACCTGTCACATGGGCAAGCACTGCCAGTGTCACACATCCTGTCTAGGATCTTGGGCTGCTCCTGTCGTCGTCTTCGTCTTGGGCAGTCGGTCGCACAGTAGGAGTGCAGGGGGGGAGGGGTTGGAATGAGAGTGAGAGACAAAGTGACGTACCGAGATGACGTCGTGCCTGGGTGGGGTTGGGTGGTTGGAGAGGGAGAGGAGGGGGTTCCGTTTTTTGTAATATACCTCCAGTCGCAGCAATTCCTCGGCTCCCTCTCTCTCTCTCTTCTCATTCCCCTTGCACCCACACTCTCCTCCTCCTTGTCGAAAACAGTACACCCACATCTGTCTCCTCCAGCGACACACAATCCAACAACACTCGCCTCGTCCACTCGACAGACAGCACACATCACACTCTTCCCCCTATCGCCACGGCCGGGCCTCTGCCAAAGCCAGCCTTTCTACCCGTCGCTTGCCGCCTGCCCTCTCCCCGTCCCCCCCAACAGCGCATTCACCGGACTGCTGCTCTTGCACATCCACACATCAAAGGAAGATCTTCTATCTCTCTCACTATCGGACATCCACAGCCCCCCAGCTGCAACGCCAGTCGGTCAATTCGGTCAAAACGATCGGATACACAGCCGTGCCCCACCTCCCCCACTGCCAACATTGGCCGTAGCCCGAACGGGACACCTTGTTGCCACCTGGCATATCCCCACGTCTCTGCTCTTTCTTTAACCCACCTACAACGTCACTCTAGGCCACCATGCCATCTCCAGCGCTCCCGGGTCTGTTCTTCGCGTTCGCCGCCGCCGTCCTCCTCCTCTTTGTGAGTAAACCAGGGCCACCCAAGCTCCGCCGCAGGCCAGGCCACAGGGACATGACACCGCCTATACCTGGCACCTTACAGTCATGTCCCTGTGCGCGTGCACGCAACCACACACAGCATGGCAACGCGTTTGTGCTGACTGTGTTCCCCCCACCCACAGGCATCCGTGACCCCGCCAGCGTGGGACAAGTATGGCTTCCTCGAGGTCACCAGCGGCGCGGCCACGACCGTCTTTGGCGTGTTTGGCACATGTATCCGCGGAGGAGCGTGTACCAAGCACCATGTTGGGTACCCGCTCGAGGCGCAGGGCGTTAGGTGAGTTGTGCGAGCAGAGCAGGTGTGCTTTCAGCCAGTGCCGACAACTAACCACACCCGCCCGCCTGCAGCGTCGACATGAACACGTCCATCCTCCACAACCTGACATACACGTTCATCCTGCACCCCATCGCGGGCGGCTTGGCGTTTTTGGCCTTTCTCTTCGGCATCCTCGGCGTCGGCGCGGCCTCGCGCGTGGGCACGATCCTCATGTCCGTGTGTGCCTTTTTCGGCACGCTCGCCGCCGTGGTCGTGTTCGTCATTGACATGGTCGTGTGGAACGTCCTGCACAACCGTCTGACGTCGAGCAACGTCCCGTCGAGTCTGGTGAGTGGCGGAGCCATGGGAGAGCCATGCTTGCCATCCGTTGTAACTCCCAGCTGACATTAACTTTCCCCCAGGGCATTGCAAACTGGCTCACTGCCGGCGCCGTCGCCGCCCTCCTCCTCTCGACGTGTACGGGCATGTGTGGCTCGTGTGGCCGGTTCGCCACGGGACGTATGGCGGGAGAGAAGGTGAGGAGGGTTGCACTGCAGCAAGCACAACGCTGACTCTCGATTACAGTACTAATATATAATATGGGCGCATTTTCGGCAGAGAACAACGTTTGAAGAGAACGACCAACACACGCACACACACAGACACACATACACCGACATCGACGCCGCGACGTCACTGGCGGCGCTGACAGGATTCCCCTTCGCCCCCGCTTCCCGTTCCCCCAGCCCAGACACAGTAGGTATTAAGCGGGATAATACCCCCCCCTCCCCCCCCCCCCCCCCCCACCCCACCCATAGACTAGGACTGCAGCGAGGTAGTATTCGAGGCAAGCGCATGAGCGACCTGATGGCATATATGGAATCATCCTTGTGTACGGGCAATGATGCAGTGGTGGTATATGAGATCTGTAGAACTGGAGCCACACGGAGCCACAAAGGCCACTGCCATTTTGGCGCCGCCAGTACATGGGGGCACGGGCGTCCTGGGTGGGAGGTGGATGTGGTGGCCGCAGCCGGCGGTTTCCTTTGTTGCAATACGTCCCCTCCATCTGTCATCTCCCACCTCTGTACCACTCTGTTCGTATTCGACCTCCCTGCCTTCCATATACCCCCCTTCCTCTCCCCATCGACTACCCGCTTGCCCGCTTGCTCGCTCTCTCGCTGTCTCGCTCGCTGCATTTCCGCGGGCCCAGCAGCCTCTTGCCCCCCCCCCCCTGAAGACCGCGGTGTGACCACTTCCCTGTGCCCTCCACTTTCTCTCGGTGCTTTCCTTCTCTCTCACCCAATCCGCCCCCTTTGCACACCTCGCACCCATATTCCTTTCATCCTCCGTCCATCCCTTTCTCTCATCCTCATCCTCCACCACCCCTCTCTCGGCCTCCGTCGCCACCCCTCCTCCCCCCTCCCTCCCTCCCCCTCCCCCTCCCCGAGCACAGCAGGCAGCATGGACAACCCCCTGCTCGCTATGCTCAAGCAGGCAGCGACAGGCCCCCCACCGGCCGTCGTCTCGCCCCCGGCGCAAGGCATTGCGCCCACTTCATCAACGTCGCCGGGCCCATCCAACCTCCAGCCCGTCAGCCTCGATGACTTGTTCAAGAGCATCTCGCAGCCTGCAAGCCGCTCCATGCCTGGGCCCAGTGGCCTCCCCGCTCCCCAGCAGCAGCAGGTCGTCACGCCCCCAACCGCCGCCCCCGTGCCCGTTGCCGTCGCTTCGTCGTCGTCGCCGGGTGTCGCCGCCGGCACTGGCCCACAGCACCAGGCCAAGCTCCTCGGCATGCTCTCGCTCGGCAAGGCGTCACCGGCGTCGTCGACCGACAGCCGCCCGCCCTCGGGTGTGCCGTCGAATGGGTCGCGTGAGATGGACCGCAAAAGCTCGCTTTTAAACGTCCTCAAGTCGTGAGTAGTGTCTGTCGTGTGATCACTAAAAAGGTTCGTCTTCGGTGACGCTGACGCTCGTTTCAGGCCCCTCGCTGCTCCTCCCCCAGCCCTCGCAGAGCCCGTGATCACGCACCCGGTCGAGCTGCCTGCCAGCATCGTCTCCCCGCCGCCCCTGCTCTCGCCTGCCAACTCGCACTTTACCCCAGTGCCCATCCCACCGTCGGCGGCAGCGCCCATCCCCCTCGTCCCCGCTGCGGCCTCGTCACCGGCGCCTCCCAAGTCGATGTTTGACTTTGTCTCGCCGTTTGACGCCTTTGCGCCTCCCAAGACTCGTTCCAACGCTGGATCGGTGTCGGCGGTCAACTCGTCCGTGGGCCACACGGCCCCGACGTCCCCCGTCAAGGCGCCCAGCACCATCTCGCCCGCCCCGGTCTCTGCAGTCTACTCGCCTCCTCCTGCGCTGTCGCCTGCGCTCGTGAGCCCGCCCGTCGTGACTCCCCCGGCCGTCGCCCAGCTCGACCAGGTGCGGTCGCGCTCCCCGGCGAACAAGCAGGTCCAGGCTGTGCGTACGCACTCGCGCAAGGCGTCTGCGTCGTCGCCACCCAGTCTGTGGCCTCGCCCGCTGCCACGCCCACTGCCGCCACGCCCAACACAAAGGGCAAGAACGACCTCGGCCTGCCTTGGCTCGTGGGCAAGGTTGCCAAGAATGCCGTCGGCAGTGGCCCCAAGTCTCTCGCTCCGGGTTCCATCACCATCGACCTGTCCAAGCCCAACGTGGACGCGCTCATTAACGCACCTGGCACCGTCCAGGTGACCCCCATGACCATCATGAAGGCCGAGAACATTGGTTTCCACCGCGGCCGTACCGTCGCCTCCACCAAGGGCTGGGTCGCATACACGCTTTCTCGCGGCCGCGTGCGCCTCATTGAGCGCAACTCTGGTGCCCGCACCGTCCTCCAGCTCGAGGCCACGGGCCCCATCCTTGACATTGCCGCCACGGCTGGGGGTCTGGCTGTTGTCGCCTCGGACGGCTCGGTGGCCGTCTTCACTGTCCCGACATCTTGGGAACGCGACGACCCCACCTGCCCGCTCATCTTCTACCTCGGCCCCATCGACGATGACAGTGTCCCCGAGACCCTCGGCGACGTAAACCACGTCGAGTGGGTGCGCAGGCCCGGTACCAATGGCGACTCGCTCGCCATTGGCGGTACTGAAGGTGTGATCATTGTGCGCCCCGCCGACTATGCCGAGCAGCCCAGCGTCGACGCTCGCGAGATCATGACGGCCAACAAGGTCCTCAAGACCAACGGCCCCCTGGTATCGTTCTGCCTCAACAGCACTCACCAGGCCATTGGTCTGCTGTCCACCTCGAGCCACTTCTGCCTCTACTCGGTGCTCAACCTCAACCGCGTGTGGAACCGCCAGTTGCCCTCAAACGCGCACAGCCTCCCTCCCTCGAGCGTGCATTTCTGCGAGGCCAACATCCTCGTCGGCCGCGCCAACGACACGCACTTTGACTTGGTCCAGATCACGATCGAGCTGGCCATCCTGTCGTCCATCCAGTTTGTCGCTCCCAAGCCGTCGCCTGCCGCCCTCGACTTTGCGCACGCCGAATACGACACGGAGCGCAGCACACTCATCGTCGTCCCCTTTGCGCGAGGCTCGGCGTTTACCTTCCGGTACGCGCTCAAGGGCCAGGCGCCGCTCCGCTACCTGCACGCCGACACGTCGGGTGTCACGGCGTTTGACAGCATGGCCGAGCTTCCCCTCGACAGCGTGCTCTCGTTTGTCGCCGGCGCCAACACCGACGGCGACGTCGAGCTGTTCTACTCGACGCCCACGGGTATCAGCCAGGCAAGCATTGACAAGGACGTGTTTGGCGGCGCCGTGACTCCCGTCAAGCCCGCTCCCGCTGTGCCCGAGCCAAAGGTCAAGAACGAGAAGAAGAAGGACAAGAAGGACAGGGCTGCTCCTGCTCCTGTTGCAGCTCCTGTGGCCGCTCCTGTGACCGCGCCCGTGGCCGCTCCAGTCCCCGCTCCTGCCCCTGCGTCTCCTGTTACTCCTGTGGTGGCCACGGTTGCTGCTGTGTCTGTTGTGGAAGTGGACGAGGGCACCGCGACCCCTCCACCAGTCGTTGCTGCTGCTGCTGCTCCCGCTGCCGCCGGCATCTCGTCTGACGAGTTCACCAAGGCGCTCAAGAAGACCGAGGACAAGCTGTCCAACCTCATCAAGCAGACTGTCTCAAACGAGCTCAAGACCCTCGCGTCCCGCCTGGACGCCGACAAGAACCTGGTCGCGAGCGTCAACTCGTCCATTGGCGAACACCTCAAGCAGCACTTGCCCGCCATTGTGTCGGACGAGTTCAAGCGCGTCCCCATCCAGGCCGAGGTGCGCTCGGCCGTCTCGGCCCATGCGCCTGCGGCGATCGAGCAGTCGCTCCAGGGTGTGAGCCGCGACATTGAGCGTGCCATCGCCCCTGTTGTGCCGCGCACGATCGCGACCGTTGTCCAGCCCGCAGTGGAGCATGCCGTCCATGACGCCGTGCAGACCATCCTCGTCCCGGCCCTGTCGCAGGCGACTACCCGCGTCTACGACCAGCTCGTCTCGGACCTCAAGTCTGAGATGCTCCATATCCGCAAGGACGTCAACGCCGACCAAGGCGACGCGCTCAAGGCCACCAACGCCATGATCCACTCGATGGCCAACAGCGTCAGCGAGCTCCAGCAGCAGGTGTCCGCGTTGTCGAAGCAGCTGGCCAAGTTCCAGGCTGCCGCCCCAGCTCCTACGTCGTCGCGTGACACTTCAGCAGCACCACCTGCATCCTTCGTGTCCGCACCTGCACCGCCCGCCCCCATCGCCCCCATCGGCACCCATCCTGCGCTGTCGCTGTTGTCGCCCCCGGTCCAGGCTGCTCCCGCACCCGCCCTCGTGGCCCCGGCCCTCCCGCCCAACCTCGAGGACACGTTCCTCACCGCCCTCCAGCGCCAGACAACGGGCGCGACCCTCCAGCTCGTCCACGACAATGCCCCGCGTACGGACCAGATCCTGCCCCTGCCCCCCATCCAAGAGCCCGCTCTCGCAGGCCGTGCTCATTGCGCTCGTGCACCGCGTGGCCCTCGCGCTCGCCGAGGTCCCGCCGCACGAGCCCATCTTCCAGACGGCGGCCATGTGGGAGCGCCGCGCCGTGGTGCTCATCGACGCGCGCGACCCGAGCATTGCCGGATACCTCCCGCGCGTGGTGCCCGTCGTCACGGGCGCGCTGCAGCAGGTGGTGAACAGCCTGTCCCGCATGCCCGACCCCATGAGCCAGGCGCACGTCGGCGTGCTCCGCGGCACGCTCGAGGTCATCAACTCGAAGCTGTGAGAGGGCGAGCGAGCGCAGCGAGCGAGCGAGGCTGCGACGTTGGCGGTGGCGATGGCGTTGGCGATGGCGATGGCGAGCCGGGTCAGCGAGCCAGGACGACGACGCAAGAGCAGTAGCGAGCGCCAGTGCGAATGGGCGACAAACGGATATCGGCGTCCGGCACTGCTCAGCCCGGGCGACTCCCAGCGACTCCGGCACCAACCCTCGCGCAAGTCTGTTGTCCAGTACGCCCCCTCCCACCATGGCCGACCACTGTATAGCGGTCGACACGCGCAGTCGGGCAAAAGCAAAGAAGGCGCAAGAGGTTGAGGTCGTTTGCATCAAGAGAAAGAGAGAGAGAGAGAGAGAGAGAGAGAGAGAAGAGGATGGTGGCCGCGCGCAGAGACGTACAGTACCGTATCCAGGTGTGATCCCCACGCGACGAAGAAGACTCGGAGCCACAGAGCTCGAGTTTTGTCTTTCCCATATCCCCCCCCCCCCACCGTCCCCCACGACCCGTTTTTTTTTTAGCATGTGCGCCGTGTGTTTCATAGCATGTCCGTCGAGTGTTTAATGCAGAGCGGCCCACGGGCCCGTGTCGAGAGAGAAAGAGAAAGTAGCAAAAACTGGACACATGGGAGTGAACGTGAGTGTGTGTGGCATGTTCGACCATGTATCTATCTGCAGCACTTGTTTGAGGGTCGATACCCCTCCCGCTCGCCTGGGGCCGCAACGCAACCCACGGCGCACGTTTGTTTCCAGCGCTCACTGCCCGCGACCCACAGCCCCCTGGTCGTTTGTGCTTATCATGCATCACGCCAAGACCACCACCACCACCACCCACCACCACCATGACTTGATCCCTGCTCGTGACGCCCCCATGTACCCTCAACACTCCAAGACTCCAACGCTCCCAACGCTCCCAACACTCCCAACACTCCCAACACTCCACGGCCCGATGTCAGCCAGTGGCAGCGCACGATGCCCGCACGCCCGTACGCCCGTACGCCGGTGCGCCGGTGCGCCATGCCCAGCGCCGAGACGCCCAGCGCGCCGAGGAACGCCATCGGCGCGTCAACGCGTCGCGTCGGGTGGGGTCCGGCGTACATACCGTACCGTACTGTACCGTACCGTGCCAACCGTCTCCGACCGCCATTCTGCCTTCTCGCGCGCCGCACGCCTCCAATGGCCGTATTGCCTGAAGGCGCCAAGGGGATCATCGTCGGCCCTGGTGGGTGTGCTTGGACGCAAGACGCAAGACGCAAGACGCAGAACGCAGAACGTACGGCGAACGCTCTTCGTGCCGTGTGGGTGGGGGTGAGGCCAGGCCAGGCCAGGCGGTCCACGAGTGAGACGCGGGCTGCTGACAGTGAGCGCGTGAGCGAGCGATCAACGAGGTAAGGGAGGTGGTGCGATCAGTGCGAGGTCCCACACGGCACACGGTATTGTTATTGTGCCCGATACATACACACTGGGATGCACGCACGGGGGCCGCAACAACAACCACAAGAAGAACACGGAGAGTAAGAGCAAAGAGCAAAGAAGAAGAAAAAAAACTATAGGCAGAGTATCGGCTACCCCAGCACGCCGGCGGGGCAGAACACGCCCGCCGCGTCCGTTTGCGCTGGGGGAGCTTGAGGGGGGTGATGGAGTCCAGCATAAGGATGAATAAAGGAAAATAAACAAGACAGGAAAGTGTCCTTGTTCCGCCTGAACAGTCCTGCGAGCTGCGATGCGAGGCTAGCGCAGGCGGGGTATCCCGGGTGAAAAGGAGAGGAGGGGGTGCAGAGCGCTCCGTTTAGAGGACGAGGGCCATGGCGGCGGCAGCGACGACGGCACCGGCGCCAACAACGGTGGTGCGGCCGGCCGACGACGACGAAGAAGACGACGACGACGACGACGAGCCGGTGGTAGCGGCGGCGGTGGCGGCGGCACCCGAGGCGAGCGAGGTGGTGGACGACTGGGCGGCCGAGGCGTCCGACACCGAGGCCGAGGTGGTCGAGTTGGACTCGACGTCGGCGGTGGTCGAGGTGTTGGCGGCGCAGTTGGACACGGCGGGCGGGGTCTCGTAGACGGTGGTGTTCCAGGGGTAGAGGGTGAACTGGTCCGAGGTCGAGTAGACGGTGTTGGGGTCGTTGTAGGCGTAGAGCTTGATCATGTAGCCCTCGCCGGCGGGGTTGCCAGTGGTGCCAAAGATGGGGAACGCAGTGCAGTTGGGACGGATAAAGGTCTTGAGCTTGATGTCGTTGGCGAGCAGGCCGTTCGAGTTGGAGAGCCAGACCGAGAAGGCGACGGGGGCGTCGGCGTCGGCGGTCCACGAGAGAGTGTTGTTCTTCGAGGCGACCCCTGGGCAAATGTCAGTGGAGGTCCAAGGAGGGAGCGGGGTTGGGGGGTTGGATGCAGCGTTGGTTATCGAGCGTCGCAGGTGGGCCATCTGCTGCGCAATGTTTGAAGACAACAACAAAAGGAATGTGGGCAAGTGTCTGTGGGTGTTTGTGTGTGTGGTGCTGTTTGCCACCAGCACACTGGCACACTTCTCAACGTGCACATGTCCAAGTCCCTCCCCATGCACGGCTTGATGGATGCACTTGTTGACAACCGTCGAGCCCGCAACACCCCGCCATAGGCATTACTCACAGTAGACGTCGGCGTTGGGCTTGTCGATGGTGATGGCGGCCATGGCCATCATGGGGGCGGCAATGAGCGAGAGGAATGCGAGCATTGTGGGCGAGTGCAGCGCGGTAGCGAGTGTGTGTGTGTGGTTGGTGATCGACAAACGAGGTGGCTAAAGAGAAATAGAGAAAGACCAAAAGTGTTGATGAGAATGAGAACGAGAGAGAGCGAGAAAGCGATCCATGCCCGCCCCCAAGCTTTCCTTCCTTCCCTCCTTCTCTCTCTCCCTCTCTCCACCCGTCTCTCTCGCTGCTACGCACATCCATTGTCCTGCCAAGGCTCTCGCCCACACCCTGTGAATTCCTCAAACGGGACATGGGTGCATGTCGGACGCGTCGACGCCACGGGACCCCCAAGCCCCGCGCGCGCGCGCGCAGGGCGGGCAGGGCTGGGAGAAACGGTCATTCTCGCTCTCGCTCGGTCAGGTTAACCAGGTTGCTCCGGCCCAAAAACGCAATTCAATGGCTGCCTGCTGCGTACGATGGCTTGCTCTCTTGGACCTCTTGGATCTCTGGGCCGTCGTACAGCCGTACAGCCGTGCCCATCCCGCATGCTCGACGCTGCTGCAACTGTACTGGACTATAGTTTGGGACCCTTGCACTCTAATAAAGTAGCAATTCCGGAGGGACATGACAGCAGGACGTGCAGACGAGCAGGAGTGCAGGTTGCCGTCACCAGCTCACATCCTACTCATATCCTACACCCACTCACTCACACTCCCCGTGTGATGCCAAGAAGAGCATGGTTGACCGCAGCCGCCAAGTCTGGGCAAACACTGCGCACACCTCCCCGCGGCGCAGCCAAAAGCGAGCAACTACACCTGGGCTAACCACCTATGTTCCTTTAATACGCTCGCAGGGATGGCGGTCGAGTGCGCAGCGGGGCAAAGTGACAAGTGTGTCCATGTTGAACATGAGTACAGTCGTGTGCAACCGCAACGACACCCCAATGGCACGGCCGAGACATGTGCTCCATCTGTCAACAAACCCAGAGCCTGGGCATGAGCAAGGTTGCACTGATTGAACGCGGGTCCTTGTGCCTCGCGCCCCTGCCAAGTAAATGAAGGCTAATGCAAGGGGGTCTGATTAACTGGTAACTGATTTCAAAATGACACGTGTAATTACGTGTTTCCTGCTGGGTTCGAATCCAAGCAGCGGATCCGTCACTGTACATGACTCTTTTTGCGCCGTGCACAACGACCCCCCCCCCCCCCCCCCCCATTCTATTCACATGGACCGCACCACCTTCCAAGCACCTTACCCCCTTGCTGCATGCACCACGTTCTAAAGTATCCTACTGTCAGTCGACCACACAGTAACATGAGTTCCACACAACTGCACAGTGTTGAAGCCACGTTGCGGGTGCTGCGTTGCCATCAAACGAACGGCCATGGCCACTCCCAGCGGCCCGCCTCACTCGAGTCCTCCTGCAGCACCTACTAGCGGCACATGCATATACAACTTGAGTTCAAGCACGCCGCTCCAGTCGTAAAGGTGTGATCTTCGGGTACCAACCGGTTATGGCTGCTGCCTGGCGCGTCTCCTCTCCGGCCTGTACGGGCCGCCCCCTTGGCTGCCGCCACCGGCCACCAGTAGGTGACGCCGCAATACTGCATTTAGACCACTGGCCACCAGAGCAACCTCAGCACGGATGTCGCTCTGACACGCCAGCAGCACAGTCGGCATGCCACCGAGATGGACGCTTGCGCACTCTGCATGCTTCACCCACTACTCTGTACACATCCACATTACAGTGGCCCAACGCCGATCACACAACACCACTCCACCCCAACTTTGCGTCCACCTCCCGTGGTGATGGTCCTCTTGTCGATCCTCAAATCCGACGGCCATCAGTGTGGTGTGGCCGGTGATGGCCGCGCATTCCGGTCGTGACGTCTTCTTCGCTCGGCAGGGCCAGCGCACGAGCACGAACCCCAACACCAACACGAGCAACAGAGCCATCATTCCCAACTTGACATTCTCTCCACACCACTCTCTCAGCTCACCACCTCCCCCACTCCCTGCTCCCCCACTCCCTGCTCTGGGCCCCGCACCAGATTGCACGATGGGCACAGAGGTCACCGGTGCTGCTGTCTCCGCTGCCACCCAGCTCCAGGACGTCAAGCACCGGCGCGTGCTCGAATGGCTCGACGCCCAGTGGACCGAGGGCGACCGCCTGAAGCTCTTCGAGCATGTCCTCAAGGTCGTGCGATACGCCTCGCCATACATGATCTCCGGGCGGAGTGAGCTGGCCTGCAAGGCCGCGTTCAGGTATGTCTCCCCCTTGTGATGATCAGTTTTGGCTTGCGTTGTAGAAACTGACATTTCCAGGTCTGTATACCAGCAGCACTTCGCCCAGGTGGTTAACAACGAGGCTATGATCGACCGATACATCTGTCCGCCGGACGACTACCTCGCCGTAACCAGTCCAGACTACTTTACATGGCGCGAGATTCGGACCATCCTCGCAGTCACAAACCAGATTGCGCGTCGGGTCGATTTCACCGGCGTCATCCCCGGCCGCGGCCACAAGGGGTGCGCCATTGGGTGGCGGTGGGTTTCTTCTCTGGCTTCGTTGGGGTTGGATACAGCCGAAATCAATGCTAATGTGTGGCAGGGATCTGTACGACGACATCAAGCCGAGAGAACCGAGTAGGTATGCAATCACAGGCAGTGGATATTTGCAAGACTGGCGAGTGGCAAAGCAAAGCACAGAGAAGAGGATATGAGAATGCACGAATATGGAAGTCCACCTCTGCTGGTGTCTGACAATGAAGTGATGGGACATGGAATGGAAGCACGGAAGTCTGCCTAGCAGTGACACTGACTGTGTCAGTACCTCGCGAACCATCACGTCTTCCTTCATCAGTCGACCAGGTGCGTACATAGTCCACAGGACATTGTCGTCCACCAATCCTCCACCTTTTCCCCAACATCGACCCATGCCTGACGCTTCTGACGACCGCTGGACAACCCAGTGCTTGGCTCACCTCACCGACAAGCAGCGGCTCAACATGGAACAGTGGGCAGCGGACAAGCTTATCCCGCGTGAACACGCCATGGTCGTGTACCATGTCATCCGCATGGCCGTGCGGGAGCTGTCTTTTACAGGTCTGCTGCCAGGGCGGTCCAATGAAGCATGCAAGAATGCATTCCGGTGAGTCCCTCCTCTGATCTCTCCTCCGCCGCTGACACATGTCCCCTCAGCACCGTGGCTGGACTGTGTGCCAACTCTCTAGGCCCGTGTCCCGAGTATGAACTCATCTGTCCCGTGACCCCCACACGCCAGAGCCTGCGCGCGCCTCCCCGGTCCCAGCCGGCCCGCCGTATCGACAACTTTACGCCAGACGAGCTCGAGACCATCGTCCGCCATGCAAGCAAGTACGCGGGCCAGCTGACCATGTCCGGTGTGGTCCCCGGACGCGAGGGATCAGAATGCAAGCGCGCCTGGACGTGAGTGGCACCCCCGCTGTCCCAATTGGGGGTTCTTGAGCTAACGACCCAAAAGTGGCTTTTTGGTCGACATGGTGCTGGAGCACGCGCTGCACCCACTGTACGCCGTCAACTGGAATGGCGAGGCGGTCATGCCGGAACAAGTGACGCCGGGGGTTAGTAGCCCCGGTAGGTCGGTCTGGTGACCTTGCAGAAAGCGTGCATGCGAGAAGGGAGACTTGGAGTCGTATCGGAAGGGCGCGTGGGTGTTCCTAAAAGTCTGAGAAAATGATGAAAATTGTTCAGCAGACGGCTGGAAAGCGATGCATGTGCGCTTGGCTTCCAGGAGAATACTATCCCATCCAGAGAAGACAGAAACGCAAGAAGCATCCATGTAGCCCCTGTGGAGCGCCGTCAAACGCGTCGAGGAAGACGACGTCCGCGCGCGCCGATTATGGGCTCGTCTTCACCATCACAACACCGTTGGTGAAACGGTATCATGCGTCGTTGCCATGTGCAAGCTCGACGCGGCAGGGGTTCGACTCCCTTACGGTGTACGCGCAGGTGTTCTAGAGCATCTGGAAGTTGTTCCTTTTGGTCCGCAAGGTGTCCAAGAGGTCTGGCGAGTTGGCGGAGATTTGGCGACGCCGGAGGAGGTGTCGGGCGGTTTTTTCCGTTAGTGGCACCTGGCTTTTTTTTTTGTGCAAATGTAGGATTTCGACTTGGGCACCTGTCGGGCACCAGCTGCAGGCATGGAACGGTATACATCAGGCTTTCTAGGTAGATACCACTTTCTTTCCTCTACTTGTGAACTCATCCTACACGACGCCCTCTGCCCACGACGACATCGACCGGCTACCTCCAATACTCCTTGATCAAGATTTCTGAGAGGCGGACAATGGAAGAAACAAGGGAGCGGACACTCCGCATGCTGGGAAGGGGGCCGGCCGTACCAATGGCGTCTGGGACTTGTGAGCGGCCTGAGATTGGCAAGGGGTAAACACTCACTGGCGAGTTGCGTGAGGGCAGCCCCACTTGCCCACTGTTGGTGGGCCGCTGAGAGAACTTCGGTAGCCACCTCGATGGGGACATTGCCGCGTCCGATTTCGTCGTCAAACACTTGTTCCAAGTGTTGACGGTGGCTCACGTACCAAACGCGCTGGCGTCGGTCCAAGGGAGTACGGGCAGACAAGGCGGTGGGGACTTCATAACCACGGAGACTACCGAAGTAGGTGGCTCGCACCATGGATAGGAGGACGTTCATCACCTGCTCAACCAAGGCCCGCGTAGGGGGACAGAGTTGGACTCCATCTGCCTCCAACATTGATGTTGCTTGGTCGGCTTCAGTTAGCTTCTGATACCAAAGACTGAGCTCACCGAGAATCTTGGTGACAGCGCCGGCTTGGGCACGGAAGAGGTCATTCATCGAGAGCCTCATGATGGCGACACCCTTATCGGGTGTGTCATCGGTAGCGACGTGCTTCAAGGCCTCTGTTCCTTCCAAAAGAGCGGTCTCCAGGCCGTCTGGGAGGGGTGGGGCAAGCGGGGTAGGTGGGGAAAGGGGGGCGGTAGGCTTGTCGGCCGTAGCTTGGCGAGCCCTGTTGACCCGGGGGACGCGACGAGGTTGAGGTGTGGCCCGGATGCCTGGGCCGGGGGTGTCACTCGATCCCACGGACGACTGCGCGGTGGAGCTCCTTGAGCGCCTGGTGAAGGCGGCGGATGGGGCCTCTGAGGGCGAGCGGAGGGGGGTGGGCTCATGTGCGCCGCGGCGAGAAGAGTTGGTGGCGGGCTGCCAGGTCAACTGAAAACGTGCCTTCCTACTCACACGACGGGAGTTTGGAGCGCACGAAGGTGGGCGGTGGAATGGGACGAGGGAAGTGGATGATCTGGAGGCAGAGGGGATTGAAGGCGAGGGCGCTTTGTTGCCCGCACCGGACTGCGGCGTCGCGGACGAACGCCGGCGTCGATTCTGGGAGTCAGAGTCCAACGTCCAACGCAGACCTACAGGTGTAGAGGCAGGCGTTGACTCCCTCTCTGTTTTGATGCGCACGGGTGGCGGCGCTGGCGCCGGTGCCGGTGTCTCCCTCTCTGTTTTGATGCGCACGACGGGCTGGCCGTATTCCTTGAAGTCAGGTCTCATCTACTCCATAATACGCACAATCATGAGTGGGGCCATCGCGGAAGACAAAAGGGAAGCACAAGAGAATGGGTGAATGGAACAGTGGAAGACAGAGGAAGGGAGAATGGTGAAGAAATGCGAGGACCGTCTCCATTTTTTAATACATGTGGTCAGCCTCGCTCCCCAACAGTTCCCAGTTCCCACTCCACACGCACCTTATACACACACGCCAGGGGTTCTTGGCCATTTCTCACGCCCGGGGCGGCCTGTGCTCCCGTGGTGCTTTGCAAGAAGTTCGACGGGGCGCGTCAAAGTAAGCCCCAACATGTGACGTGAGAGGGCACCACGGATGAAACACAACTGCCACTCTCGGCCACGACCACCTACGTCTATGCCCGTTAGTGTGGCTAGACAGGTTGTGCCATTCAGATTATCGCGCATGCATAGCCAAGGCGTCCCCACCTACACTCTTCAGCCCTCCACTCCACTTCATTGACCGTAAATCGAGGAACGTGAGTGATGGTCGCGGGGGGATTGTGGAATGTAAGTGTGCCACAGAAGCTCCATTCCACAATCAGACAATCAAGCGGCGTGCTTTCACACAATCAGCGCACCACAAAACCTGCAGTGTCATCAGCCAAGACTGCCGTGCATGTGTCCCCCGCTTTCGGCCACACTCCACAAGCACATCGTCTGACACTCACACGCCGCCTCAAGCCGCCCCTGTAGGACGTACATCAGCTTCCTCACTCTAACCTTGCTCTTCGTCTACGCTTCCATACCCACCTTCTTAGCTTCTCACACGCTACGCCACACGAGAAACTCCCCAACCCACACGCCCCACTGCCATGCCACAGACCTTCGGCTCCACACTCCGCCACCGAAATTGACGACGTCCATCAAGTTTCCGCTCTTCCCTCCACCACTCCAATCAGCCGTCCAACCTCCCCACACAAATGCATACGAAGGGAGATGAGGCTCATCTTGTGGCTCCGCCTGTAGAAAAATGACGTCATAGCAACTATACCCAAGTGGTTACGGGGTGCCACTCAAGAAACTGATCTTCTGAGCTTCTTCCAGCGACAGCTGGAGTATTGGCATGGCTATGCCATCCTGGGTTCGAACCCCAGTGGTTGCATTTTTAGAGCTTCTACGCATCCTGGAGTACCCCCACGGCCTGCAGGTTGCCCTGGATTGGGTGCTTGAGCTGTAGAGAGGGACGGGGAGGTGAGTGGGCAAGATTTGGAGACATGGAGCTGAGGTGGTGGCACTTTGTGTTTGCTCCGCTGTCGAATGCCACTTTCGTTTGGTATGCGACGAGACTTCGGTCCGATGCAGTGGTCTGGGCCGACCTCAGCCCCATTCTGCGGCAGAGGGGTGTACAGGGTGCTAATACGGAAGGCTCTAGTGATCAGTTGGGTGAGTAGGAGGTTCATGTGGCGACGAACGCAGCCACCCTCATCAATCGCGAACATTCCTTTCACCCTTCTTGCCCTTCCGCCTCCTGTCAAGTCCGAGAGACGACTGTAAACCGCAGATTCTGAACTCCCTGACACATTCGTGCATCTCCCTGACCTCCTCCCCTTCCAGGAGCATGCATACGTTGCCAAAAGAAAGGCCACGGAAACCGCCACCATGGCCAGAAGACAGACATGAGCCGGCGAGATGGCCGAGCGGTCTAAGGCGCTGTGTTAAGGTTTTCCTCTGCTTCTTGCAGAGGTTCATCCGCAGTCTTCGGACGTGGGTTCGAATCCCACTCTCGTCAAAAGGGGCTTCATTGCCTCCCAAGCCATATCTTTTGCGTTTGTGGTGAGCTCTGGGATGTGGGGAAGGCGAGTCAGAAGCCATCGGGTGTCACATTCACTTTCCCCGCTGTGGGGGATTTAGGCCGCGCGACCTACGTCCCCGTACGCGTCTGTTATCAGTGACGTATCCCAAGACCTCGGTGATCTGAAAGTAGTTGGGAGGACAAGGTAACTGAAGGTTGGAACAAGAGGTGGAAGACATTGGTGGCAGGAGAAAAAATTGAGACCAAAAACGAAGTGGCTGATGCGACAGCAGCAAAAGCGTGTGCGTATACTCACTCGCAAGTCCTCTCAACCTCTTGACCATCACCATGTGTCTGTCCTCTACTCTGTGCCCTATTTCAGCGTGAGATGTGCTTCCATAGCCTTCTGGTAACCTGTGCCACCGTCCTGACGAAACACAGGACTCCTGGGGGGTCCAATTCCGCTGTCTCACCGCAGAGACCCTAATCGCCGTGCGCCCTCCACTGCGCGGTGTTTTACGCCGAGCCGGCAATCTCAAGATTTTGATGTCGCTCTCATCTTCCGTCAGTTGACAACAACCACCTACAATGGCCGCTACCGACTTCAAGACCCACTTCATCGAGGCTGCCATCGCCTCGGGTGTCCTCCTCTTTGGCGAGTTCACCCTCAAGTCGGGCCGGTAAGTCACGCATCTCCTCGTCCTCGTCCTGCATCTCCCCCGGTCGTCTCTGGTCCTCTCTTGAGGGTCTTTTTATCCCCCAGATAGCTGACTCGTCATCACAGCAAGTCGCCCTACTTCTTCAACGCCGGTCTCCTGTACGACGGCAAGCTCCTCTCGGCCACTGCCGACGCCTTTGCCGGCACCCTCCAGTCGTCCATCCCTGCCTTTGACGTCCTCTTCGGCCCCGCGTACAAGGGTATCCCCCTCGCTGCCGTCACCGCCGTCGCGCTCGCCAACAAGGGCACCGATGTCGTGTACACTTACAACCGCAAGGAGAAGAAGGACGTGAGTTCTTGTGGTCGCGGAACGGAGGGGTGATGGTGCCGGGCTGTGGTGATAGTCCCCCCACGAACACCACGAACGCCGTTGTCCTTATCGCCCCCACGCACCCAGCTCGTTCCTTGCTTCAGAACTGACCATTCTCCAGCACGGTGAGGGCGGCACCCTCGTCGGCGCCCCCATGGCCAACAAGCGCGTCGTCATCATCGACGACGTCATGACCGCCGGCACCGCCATCCGCGAGTCCATCGCCATCCTGCGCGAGCAGCCCGGCGCCCAGCTCGTGGGTATCGTGCAGCTCCTCGACCGCCAGGAGCGCGGCAAGGGCGCCACCTCTACCATCCAGGAGGTCGAGGCCGAGTTCAAGGTGCCCGTCGTTCCCATTGTCTCGCTCGCCGACATTATCGACTACCTCCGGGTCAAGGGCGGTTACGAGACCGAGCTCAAGAAGATTGAGGAGTACCGCGCCGAGTACGGTATCACCGTCTAAACACAGAAGAGCCCTGGTCTAAATACAAAAGCCTGCAAAGGCAGTTAGAAATGAGAATGGACGGTTGTCAACAAAGTGGAGGGGCCGGGGACTGCAGACGGTACTCGTGCGCTCGTTACAGGGAGTTATCGATAACATGTCACTTGAAACACATGGGAACACTAGTCTACCTCTTTACGTTGTCTGTTTTTGTCTTTACGGGGGGATCGCCAGAGAAGAGAGTCGAATGTTGGGAAAAGGATCACTGGAGAGAACGAACGGAAGGGCTTGTTTACGCCATGGCGACGTCGCCGGCCGCGTCGGGCTTCATGAAGCCATCGAGCTCCTTGTCGAGGTCGTCGGCGTTCGCAGGGCCACGCTTGCCACCACGGGGTGCGCCAGTGTTGCCGCCGCGGCCACCACGCGAGGCACTGAGACTGTCAGTGGTGCACTTTGCAAGCCCCGATTGCCACAACTTACCCTCCCCTGCCACCACGGCGCTCTCCGCGCTCGCCGTGCTCCCTGTCTCCCCGCTCGCGGGCACCATCACGGTCTCCGCGGTCACGGTCTCCGCGGTCACGGTCTCCGCGGCCTCCACGAGGTGCGCGCTCACGGTCACCCCGGCCGATACGGCCTGCGAGGTCGGAGCCGCCGCCAAGACGGTTAAGGAGCGAGCCGGAACCCGAAGCGGCCTTGTCCTCCTTTGCGCGCGCCGGAGCAATGAGCTTGATGGCGATCGTCTGGCCTGAGGAAGTTGTCAGCAGGTACTTTCACAACTTTGCGTACCCTTGGTCATGGCACCGTCGAACTTGTTGATCGCAACCTTGGCTTGCTGGGCAGACGCGTACTCGACCACTGCGATACCAGTGGAACGGCCCGAACGGTCATACTAGCTGCACTGTTAGCTGAGATGGAATTGGCGATAGCTTACAGTTTGGCAAGGAGAAGAAGAAGACACATGAGCTCAGTCCCCATGTGCGATAATGTCTGCCAGCCGCCGCCACCTTTTCCAGTCGTCTCGAGGAGGAGAGTTCTCATTCATTGCCACCGCTTGCCTCTTGCAGACTAGCCATGGACACAACGCCGAGTAGGTGGGGTTCACACATGCGCGTCCCCGGTCGGCGCCGGTGCCATACACGCGAAAGCTGTGGCGTAAACACGCGCGCACGCGCGCGCATTGAGAACTTGGACTCTGGGGATTCTGCCCTTCTCGATGGATGCAGACGGCGGGTTGTTAGACTTCTAGACGCTTACACGGATGGTTGGGCCCTGCACAATTGTGCCCGCCTGGGAAAAGATGTCCTGTAGAGAGTTGGCTCGCGTTCGGTCTCTAGAACGTACCTTGAGCTCGTCGGTGGTGACCTCGTAGTGGACACCCGAGACCTCGATACGCGGCGAAGCCGAGACATATACCGGCGCGGCATCGCGCTCACGGCGCCCACCCCGGCGTTCACCCCGCTCACCGCGCGCGGGACCCTCGTACGCGTCGTGAACCCACTTGTCCTCAGTGGAACGTGCGGGTGGACGCTGTAGGGGATGTTAGCTGCGGCCACACAAGGACATGTCGTCCAGCTCACCGCGTAAGGAGCCGAGTCGCGCTCGCGCCTCTCGCGGTTTGGACGAGGCTTGCGGTCGGCACCGCCACCACCGCTGCCGCGGGGCTTGCGGGTCGCTTGGATCATGTCGTCGAGGGGCTTGTCGATGTCCATGGTGGATGAATAGAATGGGATGCAACGTCAAGAGCGGCTCGAGATGGCATCAGGAGATGACTGCCAGGCCGAACGGAATCAAATTGGTCGGTGTTGGGCCGTCGATTGTTGGAATTGTTGACGTCCATCATGTCCATCATCCATCATCGTTCACAACATCTCTCTGTCCCTCACAATGCCGCGCAAGGCAGAGTCCCCGCTCGAAGGGGGAACGCCGACAAAGCGCAGGCGACTTGCAGACGATGACGATGACATTGTCTCGCCTTTACGCTCAAAGACGCCAGCAGCCAAAGTCATCAAGCACACACCAACAGTCGCGACGCCGACGGTGACCGGTACACCTGCCTCACGCAAGTCTTCGGCCAAACGCGTCGCCGACAGCCTCGTCGCGGCGCAGGGTCAAGCAGAGACACCGACCATCGCTCCCAAGCGTCGTGGTCGCCCGCCCAAGAACCCGCCTACTGCTACAGCTACACCAGCAGCTCCCTTGCCCTCGTTTGACGACGACGTGTTTGGTACGCCTGAGCCGATCCCTGTCAAGCGTCCCAGAGGACGACCTCCCAAGAACCCCCAGGCCGCTGCTGTCGCAGCAGCAGGGCCATCCACCAATGGCGACGCGGTTGTCGTCACTCCCAAGAAGAGGGGACGGCCACCAAAGAACCCACAACCTGCCGCACCGGCCGCCGACGGCATCGCTGAAGTCGTCGTGACACCAAAGAAGCGGGGTCGCCCACCCAAGAAGCCCCAGGTTGCTGTCTCTGAACCCAAGTTTGAACTTGGCACTGCATCACCAGTGGTGACTCCCAAGAAGAGAGGTCGCCCACCCAAGAACCCTCTGGCCGTTGTCTCTGAACCCAAGTTTGAGCTTGGTACGGCATCGCCAGTCGTGACTCCGAAGAAGCGAGGCCGTCCACCCAAAAACCCGCAAGCGGTCGCTTCGCCAGCTCCAATTCCTACAGCTGACAACCTGGAAGTGGTCATCACCCCCAAGAGGCGAGGACGTCCGCCCAAGTCTGCCCAGCTCAACAAACCCGCCCCCTTGCCCTCATTCGATGACGAAGCCCTCAATGCTGCAGACGACGCAATCTCGCAAGAAGCCTTCCTCGCCAACGAAGCCCGCAGGCGTGCACGCGAAGCGAGGAACTTTACCTTCGAGGGTGACGCGAGTGCGCCGAGGCAGACGCGTAGTGGACGCGTGGTGGACAAGAAGATTGTTGACGAGTATGGCGCGGACGAGGTGGAGGTCGACGAGGGTAGGGACGAGGACCAGGCGGCCGAAGAGGACAACCGTGGAGAGGACATGGACGTCGACGATGACATCCCCCGACCCGAGGACGACGACCTGGTGATCACCGATGCGCCAGCGCAGCTTGAACGTGAGGCAACAGTAGACACTGCTGCGTCCGTGGCTCCCCTCCCGTCTCACGCACGTCCACACGTCCTGCGTATCCTTTCGACTTTGACTGGCAGCGAAAAGGAGCCAGCACCGTTTGTGGACGAAGAAGGAAACGAGGCGCTGCAGGGGCTCGTCTCGCTGTTGCGCGGTACCGTCGAACGCGGAGAGGGCAACAGCGCGCTCGTTACTGGTCCTCGTGGCGTTGGAAAGTCAAAGGTGAGCTCATCGAGTTGCTTCGGAGCTAACATTCCAGACTGTTGCCCGCGCGCTGCGGCTCCTTCCTTCGTCTTCGGGATCAGCACCCATCATTGTTCGCCTATCAGGCCACGCGCAGACCGACGACCGCCGTGCGATTCGTGAAATGGGCCGCCAGATCGCCGTAGCGGAGGGCAAGAATGTTGACGATGACGAGGACGAAGACGAGTTGGCCGGCGATTTCGCCCCTACCACCTTGCCAAGCCACCTCCTCGCTCTCCTCACCAGCCCCTCACCACGCGCTATCATTGTCATTATCGACGAATTCGACCTGTTTACGGAACACGCGCGCCAAGCACTGCTCTACTGCCTCCTCGATGTCGTACAGAGCGTCCAGACTGGCCCTGTGGAGACGACGCCGCGTGGACTCGCGGTTGTTGGCATTACGTCCAGAGTCGTGAGCAGCTAACTCTAATTCGTGCACGTTTAGCTGACCACAAACACAGGATACCCTTCTGCTGCTTGAGAAACGCGTGAAGTCGCGCTTTTCTCACCGCGTGTGGCGCGTCAACTCGCCGCTGGCACCGAACGGTCCTGGGTGGAAACCCACCATGCGCCGGGCCCTTGTACCATGGGAGAGCGACAATGCCGATACTGTAGCCTTTGACAATGATACACGCAATTGGATGGGCGACTGGGAGTATGCTGTTGACGTGAGCTTCTTCGGTTTTGAGCCACGAGCTGACATTTTCGCAGACCCTACTTGGCAGTCCCAAGATCACTGCCTCCCTCGACCGCCTCGCGGGACTGACCACCGACGTGCGCCAACTCTACCGCCCTTTCATCCAGCCCATCACGTCCGTGCTCGGCAACAAGACCGACTACCTCTTTGTCCCCGTCCTCGTTTCCTCTGTCCAGTCCCAGATCGAGCTGGCAGGGTGGGGCACTGGCACCGCGGGCGCGTCCAAACTCAAGGGCCTCAGCCATCCGGCATTGGGCGTGCTCATCGTGGCCAAGCACCTGGCATATGCCGGACGCACAGACTTCTCCCTCGCCCAGATCGAGGACGAGTACCTCCGTTTCGGGCGTACCCGCCTCGTCGGCAGTGGACGCGCCCGGTGGCCGATTGATGTCCTCCGTCGCGGCTTCGATACGTGTCTCTCTTTGGGACTGCTGGCTCCTGCTGGACCGGCGAACGCCGTGCCGAGGTTCGCCAAAGTGCGTTCGTCACTCAGTCCGCATGAGGTCGTGGCATTCTTCCGTGGTGAGGGTGGCAACACCCTGGGCCCAGAGCTGGTTGGGTGGGGTAAGATGTCTGGCGGACATGTGTAGATAAACCATATAGTCCACTGCAGTTACATGGATGCTATGCTATACTATGCGGCCCATCCATCCTAGTCTGCTCAAATGTCTCTCTCCCTCCTGCTGGCTCCGCAATAACGCTGCTGCCCTCGTTCGCCATAAATGTACATTCCTATTCTCACTCCTTACGCTGGTCGACGCGGAGGTTCTGCACACGGTCAACAAGGATGGGTCCCGATTTGGACGAGATGAATGGGCCACTGGCGTGGTCGAGGACAATGGCCTTGGGCGCATTTGCAGGGCTGGCAGGGAGAGGGGGCGTGGTGGGGGCCGGGGTGTGGTCTGCGCCGGACGCCGAGGCCGACGGCGTGGCAGCATTGGGGGTGCCCACATCGTCGATGTCAATGTCGACGTCCATGTCTCCGTCATCGTCGTCGTCCGGGTCGTCTGCGCCAAAGATGTCGTCCAAGAGGGCCGCGCCACCGTTGGGGGTTCCGTGCGAAGCCGTGGGGGTGGTGTTCATCGTGCCGCCTGGCGTGGTGCCGGGGGTGAGGGACGATGCCCCGGGTGTCACGGCAGGCGTGGCCAGCGGTGACGACACCTGCAGGTGCGAGCCGTTGACATCGCTCGACCCGGGCACGACCTTCTTGAGCTTGCCCTTGGCCTTGAGGTTGCGGAGGAGCTTGTGCGCATAGTCCTTCGTGAAAGCCTTGATCTTGGCCTTTTTCTCGTCGGACAGCGAGGGGTGGCGGTGGGCGGCGTAAGTGTGCCCGCGTTTCTCCTTGTCAACAAGCAGAGCAGTACACTGGCGGGTCAGCTTCCTACAAACGGATTGATTACCCACCTCCTTGGCGTAACGCTTGAACGTCTCGTGCTCCATCTGGTCCTTGTACTTGGACATGGACCTGACGACGACCTCTCCGACGAGCTTGGTGAGGCGCTTCTCCTTCTTGGCCTCATCCTCGGCCGTCGTGGAGCGGTGCGACGTCTTTTGGCGTTTGCGCGGCTCACTTGCCTCTGGACGTGACGAGCTCGCCGCGACTACTGGCGGAGTGACGGGAGCAGCGACCTGGGCCTGTTGAGCCATGGCAATGATGGCGTTGAGCTTGACGCGGTCGCTCGAGGGGGTCTGCTGCACGGGTCGTGGCATGGGAGGAGGGGGTGGGCGGTGTCGCACTGGAGGAGGCGGTGGGCCACGACGGATGGGAGCGAGATCGATCTGGATCATGTCCGTGTTGGCCAACTCGTCCATACGCACGTGTCGTCGTGGGATGGCATCCTGCTCGGCAATAGTGGTGGTGTCCCTCGCGTCATCGTCGTCGAGCTGGATATTAGCGGCTGACTTCAAGCGTCGCAAATCAACACCCACCGATGCAATCTTGTTGACACGCGGGATCTTGTACGACATTTCCAAGGTGCTCCAGTACTGGAGGAGCTGCTTGGCAAGCGCCGAGAGCTCCTCGTCAGGACCGTCACGCAGCGTCTTGATTGTGTCCTCAATGTTGGAGTCCTCAATCTTGTTGCGGATAGTGAGCTTCCAGTTGATGAGACCCTCAAGTGCCTGATGTCAGCTGAGGATTCGTTGACGACAGCTTACAAGAAGGACAATGTTGCGGTCCTGGGACAGGTCGGTAAGGATCATGGTCATCAGGCTGAAGCCGTGCATGCGCATAAGCTGGCGCTGGACAACGGGGTCCTCGGACATCTGAGGGTTAGCAGCGACATGAAAATGATAACCCACCTTGACACGCTTGAGGAGCAGACCCATCATTCTGGGATTCTCCATCGATTGGCGTATGGCTGCGGCGACCTTGGTGGCCTGGTGCTCCTGGATGGGGTGAAGAACCGGCTGGCGTGAGCTCAAGGTGTACACGGGATAACTCACGTCATAGTCATTCTCGGCCAGTTGACGGGCCGCCTTCTTCCTTGTACCCTTCATGCCGCCCTGCTTGACCTCGTCCATGATACCCAGGGCGTCGAGGAAGAGGTCGTCGATGCCACCGATATCCGTCTGGGTCTTGCCACCAATCGTGCCCACGCAGTTTGGCTCGCCGCAGTAACATGTCTGAGCCTCGTGTCTGCCAAATGTCAGCTTCCTGTACACTGTGCTCCAGCTCACCCGTAGCGGTCCACATTGTAGTTGAAGGTAATCTCCTCGTCCTTGAGGACGTCGCGTTTGGTGAAGATGCCCATACGCAGGCGGCGTCCCACAACCCATTTTTGCACCTCGCAGTTAGGGTTGCACGAGTGGTTTGCAAAACGTCCGATTCCGCCCTTCTTGGTCGCGTCCAAGTACTCTTCCTTTTGGAGCATCATGAAATAAAAGTGTTTGATGCCCTCGTCGGCATACTGCGCCATGCGCTTGCGGAACGTCTTCTCCACCACCACCTCGCCGATGTACTCGTAGATGAGTGCGCCGCTGAGAGAGAGAGAGCAGCATGTCAGCGGTTGTGGTGCACATTCAGTCCAACCGGATGACTCACGCAGGTATGTCCTCGCGCGCACGCAGGCCGAATCCCTTCATCTCCGTCTGGACCACATCGACAGCCGCATACTGCTTCTTGGCCAATCTACGTGTCGCGTCAGCTTCAATCCGTCCATGACCATGCTGTCTATGCACGCCCCCCCCCCCCCCCCCCCGTCCTTTTCTGGACGTCACGACGGCCGGGCAGCCAGCCACCCCACAGCACACACGACTCACCGCTGGTTACGGCAGTGTTTGCCCGCGCGGCACTCGTTGGCCAAGCACTCGATGAAGATGGCGCGGTTGATGCAGTCCGACTCGGCGCCGCACGCAGAGCCTATGGGGTCGTCTGTGGGTTGTCAGCACAGTGTCCTGCAGGCCCCGTTTCCCGGTGGCAACAAGCTGAAATCGGCAGCGAAGAAAGGTGACGTGACTTTTCCCGTCCCGTCGTCTCTAAGGCTCCTCCGTCCATCACCAGCGACAGCGACCCAACTCACCTGCATCGTAGACACAGTCGCAGACCATCATCTCGTCCTGCTCGCGACTCAGACCGAGGTCCTTGCGCTCATACACACAGCGCTCGAGGCTCTCAAACGTCGCCCCGGCCTCGTCCCACGCCAGCGGCAGGTCGGGGATGAGTGTCGGTCCGGCAGGTATGGGCGGCGAGGTGCTCTTCTTGGCGTAGCCGTCGTAGCCGTAGCGCGACGACTCGCCGGGTTTGGTGTCCGAGCCGTAGCCGTCGCTGCCAGAGCGCGAGCGCGCACGGTGTTGGTGGTGGAAATCTCCCTCGGGGCCCTCGCCGCCGTGCTCGCGCTTGAGGTATGCATCCCCATCCTCGCGCTTGACACCGGCGCTGCCGCTGCGGCTCCGGCCAGGCAGAGGAGGTGTGCGTGGGCGTGAGCTGGGGGGCGAGTTGGGCGAGAAGAGGTCTGCGAGCGGGACGTTGGGGAGCGGCGGGGTGGCCGGGCGCGTCGACGTCGACGGGGGCGACGGCAAGCGCGTCTCTGTATCGTCCATGTTTTGAGGTTGCTGCCCAGTGTACAGGAGCTGTTGCGAGGGTTGACGTAGCCGCCTGGTGGCCGGGGGGAGAGGGGGGAGGGTCTGCGTAGCGCGCGCAAGAAGGACGATGCTCTGCGGTTGAGCTGTGTTGCTTTGCCGCTGGTTGTTGTGAGATGGATGGATGATGGAATGGCCGGAAAGAACAAACTGCGGTTCAACCCAAAAGGGTCACTTTACTCTCCTTCCCCGCGTGCTCGTCCTCTGCCCGATCACGCGTCTTTTTAGCATCCCCCAAAAACAAATCGCCTGTTGTTGCCAACGTTGGTCTAATGGCATCCGTGAATGCATGCACTCCCTCCCTCCCTCCCTCTCTCTCTATGTCCACACCCCAGATGGCTTGGATCGCAGCACGCGCTCTTGTGGGGTAGCGAGCAGTTGAGTCGGCGTGCTCTCCCGCTCCCCGCGCACAGGCGAGCTCGACGTGTTTGAGAACGCCGAGACGTCATCCTGCATCGGCGTCTTCTCCCTCTCTCCCCTGCTCACTCCTGCGTCCTTGGGCGGTGACACCGCAATCACCGTGTCCGCCGTGTCAGAGCGGAGAGGCACAATCGTCTCGGATGTGCCCTCGCGCCTGCGTTCACGGCGGAGAACGGCGTCGGCAGCCTCGTCGGGGGTCATCGAGCCCTTGCGCCCGATCGACTTCCACCACTTCTTCTTCTCGGGCGATGAGGAAACGTTGCCGCCAGTTCCGGCCGAGCTGTTGATACTGTTGATGGACGAGATACTCTCCTTGCGCTCGCGCCGTAACCGGGCGAGCTCGTAGTGCGGCGACGGCGAAGGGGAGCTGGGCGCGCCATCAAACGACTGGCGAGCAACAATGCTGCCAGTGTCCGAGAATGCGCCGCTACGTGGATACAACTCGATAGCCTCATATCCAGGTGGGGTGACTGTCTCGCCAGAGGGCCGGGTGAACGCAAGGTCGGTGGACATTTTACGAGCATGTGCTGCCTGAAACGCGGGACTTTGGACAGTGGGGCTGGCAAAGCGGGACAGAGGCGCATAGTCTTCTGCCAACGGCGACAATGGCGGGGGGACCGAGGCCTTTACAGGTGTGCCAACAACAGCAGTGTCCAACAGTGGAGGGAGCGGCTTGCCAGCACCGGCAGCAGCAGCAGCGGCCTCCTTCTCTGCGGCAGCCTTGGTCCTCGCTCCGTCCCATGCGCGATAAATCTCCATCTGCTTTTGGCGGAGCCAGACGAAGAAGTCGTCGGGGAGGATACGCAGCTTGTGCTCATTGGGCATGACCCAGCCCATGGGCTTGGACGACGAGTAGCTCGCGCGCGAAAGGGGTCGGCTGGGGATGGATCCGTCTGGGAGGCGAGGCTGGTCCGTCAAGAGGTTGTGGAACGCGGCGTTGCGCGGTGGGGTGGCGAGAAGAAACTCGGTGCCCTGCGGGACGAGGAAGGGCAGCATGAAGCGCGAGTCGAGGAGCTCGCCAAGGCATTCCGGTGCGGTCTGAGGCATCCACTCGCCAACAGAGACCGAGCCATCAAACAACGCTTCAATGGGCATGCCCTCATCCACATGACCCTCCGAGTCGGGCACGGCCACGCCGTTCTTGGACTGCCCAGCCTTGACTCCAATATGAACACGACGCCGTTCCCAGTCGCGCTGAAGCTGCGCGAGGTACTGGATACAGTCGTCGGCCATCCGCGACTCGCTAACCTCGAAACGATAGTCGCGGACTGCGCGACGCATCTGGAGCGGGTTGAGCGAGCGGAAGCTCTGGACGGTGCCGATGAGCATGTCAAACTGGTTGATCTGCGACGAGCACTGCAGCCACTGGAGGAGCTGCATGATCGGCTCGAGGTGCTTGGTGGCAATGTTGGGCGGAAGACCGTTCTGGCGCGTCCAGTCCTCGAGGGCCGTAATGTTCATGCGAATCTGGACAGCCTTTGTACGGCACAGATACTTTTTGCGTGTAATGACGCGGTTGAACAGCTCGCTTGAGATCCAGAAAAAGGTCTGCGAAAAGACCTGCACAATGAACGCAGGGTTGACCTCGTACAGCTGGAGGATGAGATGCACGCTCGTGAGGATATCGGCCACTCGACGTGGACTAGGCTTGTCTCCCAGGACGGCCTGCGCCTTTCCGATACCGCTGGCAATCATGTCTTTGGCGTCGGCCTTTGCCGCTGCAGCCGTGTTGCGGAGGTCCTGGATGGACTGCGGGCGGCCCATGGAGCGCGTACGCGAGTGACGGGTGGGCGAGTCGAGGGCGGCATTGAGGACGCGTCCGTCGGGGCTGTTGGGCACGCTGAACAGTGCGTTTGCAAGTGGCGTCTCGCGTTTCTTCTTGGTGCCCCCCAGGGAGCGGAACAGGTTCCACTGGTCCTGGAAACGCACGTCCTCAAAGTCCTCGAGAGACTCAAAGTCGAGCATGGCAGCGTCGAGGATGTCGTCGATTTTGCGCTCGGCAATGCGAATGATGAACACTGCGAGGGTTAGAAGAGGATGACAACTGCGACCCACCGTGGATGGCATTGATGAGCTCCTCCATCATGGTGAGCAGGTTGAGCGCCGTGCACGCCGCCTCGAGCTCCTCGTCTGTGCGGATAAGGTACAGAAGGAGCGTCAAGTTGTACTCCCAAAACGCGAGTGATGCAAGGTCGTCGCCGTTAGACTGGAATGTCAGTTGCAAAAACAGGGTAGCTCTAACTCACATAGACCCCTCGCTCGATCCGCTCAATGGCACCTTCAAGCAGCTCCTCGAGCCACACCTCGTTACACTGGTAGTGTGCGAACCGTGCGTACCGGTACAGGGCGTTGGCGGGGAGTGCACGGCGGTCGCGGGGCTGGCACACGGGCGTGTATTTGGTGATGAGAATGTCGAACAGACCTGGAAGCTGGTGCAGCGAGAAGACGAGCATGGTCCTGTCGACGTTCTGAACGATGTCAGCTGCATTGCGAGGAGAAAGCTCACCGCCATGTCCACATCCTCGTCATGTGGCCCGTCGCCGTCGCCGTCCTCATCCTCGTCTTCGTCGGCGTCCTTGTCCTCATCCCCTGCATCGAGCTTGCCATTCGACTTGGCTGCAACCTGGTGGCGGCGGAAGAGGACCGAGGGGTTGACGCCAATATGCCTTGCGCGGTCGCGGACCCACCGCTCGCGCTCGGCCGCCACGCGTGCGCGCGCCGCGCGCTCCGCCTCACGGACGGTGCGTGTCGCAATCCTAATTCTGCGACGTTGGAGCAGCTGCCGCCGTTCTTGGCTGACAATGTGCGCGCCTTGCGGCGTCTTGGGCACGTCGTCTGCCGCCGGGATGGGCGCGTGCAAGGGGTCGAGGAGGAGCGCCAGGCTCTCGCGGCCCTCCATGCCCGTGATGAGGTCGTAGGCGCTCAGCCCAGTATGGGTGATGGCGCTGGGCGACGCGCCGCGGTTGAGCAGCACCGAGACGATCTGCGGCGTGCTGACCAGAGCAGCGAGGTGGAGCGGGGACCAGCCGGCGCGGTCCCGGCCCTTTCTCGGTCCGGCGGCGACACCCCACCGTCCAACGAGCAGGCGGACGGCTTCTTCCTTGTCGCTGAGCCCGCAGCTCGACTGGATACTCATGCCAACCACGCCCCAGCCCTCGTCGTCCTCCATCACGTTGACCTCGGCATCGAGAAGCTCGCCCTGGGGGAGTCAGTCAGCTGTTGTGATCCTCGCGATGGTAATCGCTCCTGGGGCGTCGCGCGTGCAGCCTGGCTTCTGCACAGAACAGCGTGCTGGTCACGCGCTCGCGCGCGTGCTCTCACCACACGCCACTCACCCATCGACCATGCAACCCGGCCAACCAGCCCACGAGCTCGACATCAGCGTGCGTCACCGCCCAGCGGAGCGCATGACGCAGCACAAACGCCTGTCGGTCGTCGGGACTCTTGTCCGCGGCGCTCTCCGCCTCGAGGGCGGCGAGGACGCTGGCCGGAGTGGGCGATTGGAGGAAGCCAGCGGTATACGTCGCGGCCGTCGGCGAGGTCGGCGAGGTGGGGGCGGGCGGGCTGTGGGTGTTGGCCGCGATGGGTTGGGGAGACAATGCGAGGTCGAGGTGTCGTCGAGCAGACATAGAGGAGAGGAGAGGAAGAGAGCAGAGGAGAGCGCGTCAGTTTATCGCCCCAAGATCCAAGACCCGGGAAGGGAAGCCTCTCGCCGCCGCCAGTCGCGTGCTGCCCGTGACAACAACGGGGGCCAGCACAACAACACCAGCGGCGGCGCGAGAATCACGCCGAACTTACAGTCGCGAGCTGGACGCTTCAGGCGTCTGGTCGCCGCTGTCGCCGGCCGCAGGGGCAGTGGGTGCCGTCGTGGTGGTCATTGTCTTCCCAGGCTGGCGGCAACAACAATTCGCCCGGGACGGGACCGACGGGGGATGTGGTGAGGACGGGAGCGGTGGGGAGTGGTGGGAGTCGGGTGGGTGTGGTGGTTTGGTGGGGTGTGGGAGATGGTATACCTGAATGAGCGTGGAGGGTGGGGGAAGAGTGTAGGAGAGCGAGACGGGTGAGAGAAGTGTAAACGTTAATGACAGAGACGGCGAGACAGCGATGCGAGTGACAGAATGGGCCCAAACCAGTGTCCGTCACGGTGTGTGCTCGAGGCGCGCGTCAGCACACGGGCTCGGCGGGCAGGGGCGACCAGGCGACGATTCGAATCCACGCGACAGACGCAGGTTGGGTGTTCCTGAATACTAACCCCCCATCTGAAACACAAACATGGAACACTCGCGGCCAGCCAACACTGCAACTGGCCAACTGGTCGTCGTCGTCGTCATGCAGTAGCATTTCCCTCGTATAGGCCTAGTAGTGCAACATATGGAGTCGGTGGTGGTGGTGGGGATGGCGGGGCAGGATAAAACGGTCAAACACCGAAAAAAAATATGAGAGCGAGAGAGAGAGAGGGAAACACGGGCCAAAAGCTAAAAAATAAGAGGAGAGAGAGAGAGAGCCAACTGAGAAAATGATGAAGATTGAACAAGACGAAAACGCGCTTTCCTTTGTCGTTAAAATCAGATCTTAAGAACGAGGCGAAGGGAATTCCGGGGCCCAGGTCGTTATTTGTTTTGTTTTGTTTATTACAGCTGCGCCGTCATGGCGCCGTCCATGAGCGAGAGCGCATGCAAGATGAGCTGCGGGTCGATCCTCGTCGCGTGTTCCAGCGCGGCCAGGGCGGTGGTAAACCCGCCCAAGTGCTTGAAATACAGCGTCGACAGGCTGTTTTCGATACGCGTCGTCAGTGACGCGAGGACCTCGATGAGCTCGTCCTCGGTCATGTTTTCGCGGATGGACGGGCCCAGGTGCGCGTTGGGCGCCGGCAGGCGGAACGTCATGGGCGTGAGCGGGCCCGAGAGCGAGATGCTCTTGCGCGACGCGACGGACGCGTGGTCGGACGGCGGCGGGGCGTGGGCCGGCGACGAAAAGCCCGTGCGGTCGCCGCCGGTGCTCATGGCGCCGTGGCCATGGTGCATGGCGCACAGCGACTCGAGACGCAAGGTGATGAGTGCCAGCTGGCGCGCTTCCTCGATGTGTCGCTCGGTCGCGTACGTGCGCGCCTCGTTGACCTCGACGTTGGCGCGCAGACCGGTGAACAGCTCGAGGCGGCCAGACAGCGTCTTGGGGTACATCAGAGTGAGCTTTTCGGGAACTGTACGTGGTTGTCAGCTGCTGTCCTCTGGAATTTATGTTAGCTTACCTTCAAGTCCCTTGAGCTTGCGTTCGCCCATGTCCTTGAACTCGATACCACCAATACGGCGGAGCTCAATGACCTCGCGCTTGACCTCTGGCGGGAGCTCGTCGAGCGAGTGCTCGTCCGAACTCTCAATGTACTCGCGCAACTCGCGAATCTCATTGATGACATCCTGCGACGCCATGAGTTGTCCGCCGTCGGCCGACGACTGGATACGCGCCGATCGGTTGACCATGGGGCCATAGTAGTCCATGCGGCGGGTGATGGGGTCGCGCTCGCACTCGGGGGCACCCCAGTGGACACCCATGCGCACACGCAGACCGCGCTGGATAATGTTGCCCTTGGAGTCGTACACGACTTTACCGTCTTCCGACTCGAGGAGCTCGCGCGGCCATTCGGCTTGCAACAGGCCGATCTGGCAGTTGAACGCCCACAGGAGCGCGGCGGGGACGGACGAGAACGCGACCATGAACGCGTCGCCTTCAGTCTTGACCTCGTAGCCGCCGTCGAGACGCAGTTGGCGACGGAACAGGTTGTGGTGCATCTTGATAGCCGTGGGCATACTGGGGTTGGTCTCCCAGAGGACGGTCGAGTTGACGATATCGGTAAAGACCAGCGCGACGAGACCCGTAGGCGGCTCAATCTCCTGCTGGAGACGGTTGAGGGTACGGTCGCCGACTTCCTCGACACGGCGACGCTGTGCGCGCTTGAGATAGTCGCCCTCCACACCCATGTCGGGCGCGAGGCCACCGCCAATACCGCCAAACCGGCCCATGCCGCGGCCAGAGAACAGGTCGGAAATGTTGACCACCATGACCATGATGCTGCCCTCTGCGCCGTACGAAATGGCAAAGTCGCGCAGCTTTTGGGCAGCGAGCATCGGGTCGGCACGCTCGGTACGCGCAATGTCGACGGCGGTCTGGATGGAGCAGCACTTCCACAGCGCAGAGTTGCCAATGACCACAAACTCGTCCGACTCGGTGAGGGTGCGTGTGCGCACCTCGGGACTGGCATTGACGGCCGGAAGCGCCTGGTAGAAACCAAACGCGCGCGAAATGTCAATCTCCTTGTCGTCGTTGACGTAGCCCTTGGGCGAGACCCATGCCTCGGCACGGCGGATACGCGCCGTCTCCTCGCGGTCCGTGGGGTCGTGTGTCTTGGAAAGCAGCTCGGCCTCGCCCTTGCGCGAGACAACCACAAGCGTGTCTCCCGCGTTGGCAACGTGCAGCGTCTTGTCCTTTAGATACACGACGGCGCCCGAGGCACCGGTACGGAGCTGCGAGTGGAGCCCCTGGCCGGTCTTGGAGTGGCGCCCGCTGCTGACAGACATGTAGCTCGAGTCCGAGTCGTGGCGGCGTTTCTCGAGGCCCGACAGCGCATCGTAGGTGAGCTTGTTGACAATCAGGAACGTGCGGCGGAGTGCCTCGGTCGTCTCCTCCTCGGGCTGCAACGCCTTGATCTGGTCCGAGAGGACGTGGGCAAACTTTTCCTGGATAAACTTGGGAATCTTGCCAGAGGGGACCGACGGCGTAGCGCGACCAAACATGCCAAACACGCACTCGTCCGACGCGCCGCGGAAGTTGGGGACCGCAAGGTCAAACATGGCCAAGTGCGGGATGGCGCCGAGCATGTCCGAGATACCGTACGCCATGTTGTTGAGGTTGGAGAATGACGTACGCACACGCTTCTCGTCCGACTCGTCTGGCAGTGACGGGATGCGCAGAGTGACGTCCATGAGACCGAGGACACGCAGGTGGGTGAGCGCAGTAAAGTCGGACAGCTCGCGGCGGTACGCGCCAGCAGCGTTGGCTCCAGGGTGAGCGAGTTCCTGGCCGCTAGTAGGCTTAATCTCAAGACGCTTGTTGCCCGACAAGTTGAGGTACCGCAAGGCCGTGTTCCAGTTCCAGTTCCAGTCGTACGGCCAGTTGGCAATGTTGTACTTGAGCACATTGGAGCCGACGTCGAGGTGCTCGAGGTTTTTGAGTGCGCCCAGTTCCGAGGGAAGGGTCTGCAGGCGGTTGCCGTTCAGGTGCAGCACGCGCAGGTGCTGGAGCTGCTCGAGGTCCTCGGCAGGCAAGCTCGTGAGCTTGTTGCCTGACAGGTAGAGCTGCTCGAGCTTGTCGCAGCGGCTGAGCGTGAACGGTGGAACCTCGACAATGTCGTTGAAGCTGACATTGAGGATGCGGAGGTTGGGGCACAGCGCAATCTGGTGGAACAAGTCCTCTGTGAGGCGGTTGTCACCGAGGTACAACCGTTGCAGCGCAATACCGGCAGGTGGCATGCGGCGCGACTTGTCCGACGAAGTGGTAATGGCCGAGACCCCCGACACGGTGGAAAACTTGCGTGCTGGCTCGCTCGAGGCCTGCGAAGCCTGTGCCTGCGAGGCCTGCTCAATCCACGACGTGGGTGGCGAGGGAAGAAGCTCGAGAAGGTTGGAAGAGAGGTTGATGACCTCGATGGAGCTACACAGCCACACGTCTGCGGGGATATCCTTGAGGTTGTTGTTGTGGATGTTGCAGATGCGCAACTTGGGCATGTTGCCGAGACACCCCAGGGGAAAGGCTGCGAGCATGTTGTCCGTGCACGCAAAGCTCTCGAGGCTGACCAGGCGGTCGAGGGTCTGGGGCAAGCGCGTAAACTGGTTGAAGCTGAGGTTGAGGTCGACCAGGTTGACCAGCTCGCTCAGTGCCGACTCTTCAAGACCAGACAGCTTGGCGTGTGACAGGTTGAGGTGCGTGAGCGAATAGGTCGCCGGCATGCCCGGCATGGGCGCGAGGGTGAAGCGCGTGATGGAGTTTTCCTCCACACTGAAATCGCGCACTTTGGCACCGAGCTGCGTGTCGAGGGTGATGAGGTCGTTGCTGTCGGCCTTGAGGGTCTCGAGGCTGGGCAGGGCGTACACGGGAGTGAGGTCCACGAGCTTGTTACGACGCACGTCGAGAACACGGAGGTTGGCGAGGGTACTGAACGACTTGGGAAACTCTTTGAGCTCGTTACCAATGCAAATGAGACGCTCGAGCGACTTGAGGTCGGACATTTCCGAGGGGAGCTTGGCAATCTGGTTGAACGACACGTCGAGGTCGACAAGGTTGCTCATCTCACACACCACCGACGGGAACTTTTCAAAGGTATTGTTTGAAATGTTCAGGTACTTGAGCGCGCGCATCTGGAGGAAATACGACGGGATCGAGCTGAGACGGTTGTTTTGCACCTTGAGCGACGTGAGGGTCTGGATGTCGTGCAGGTGGGCCGATTCGAGGTCCGAAATACGGTTACACGACAGGTCAAGACGCGACAGTGTCGTGCTCGCGCGGATACTGCCTGGGACGCGCTTGAGGGCCATGTTGGACATTTGCAGCTCCTTGAGCGACGTGCACGCCTGGATGAAATCGAGCGGAATCTCCGTCATGGGGTTGCGCGACACGTTGAGAATGATAATGTTGTCGGCGTGGAGATGCAGGAAAATAGGGATCGTCTGGAGGTCGCGGCCGGAAAGGTCGATAAACTCGAATGACTCGTACGAGCTCTCCTCCTCGGGGTTGATGACGGGCAGCACGGGAGTCTGGTAGATGAACCGACACAGCATGCTGAGGTCTTCCTTGCCAATCTCCTCAATGTGCTCGGCCTCGGTGTATCCGGCCTGCTGCAGCCGGCGAGCTTGGAGCGTCAAGGGCCGTTCGTTGGGCAGCATCAGGCGGTCCTGGCCTCGCTCTCGGACGTAGAGCTTCATGTTGGTAGCCACCTTTTTGCCCTCGCTACCACCGGCAAATGCCGCGATGATCTCGGCGGCGGTGGTGTTGAACGGGAAGGGCATGATCTCATACGACCCGTCGGCACGATAAATACGCGTGTAGTGCTGCAGAGTTAGCTCTAACCCTTGGTGATGGTAAACTCACCAAAGCCTTCTCGGCAAGGTCGGCAGCACCCGCCCGGCCACCATGGCCGGATGCAGAATGCGGCGCCTTTGCGTACCGGTGGTGGTGATGGTGGTGGTGGTGGTGTTTGTGGTGGTGGTGGACATGCTTGGAGTGGGCCGACTCGGTAGTGGCGTCGTCGGCATTGTCGGTGGCACCAGGCGTCTCTTCGTCTTCGTCGGTGCAGTACGACTCGCTCGAGACAGACGACTCGCTCGTGTCCTCCCCCTCCTCAACCTCGTCAGCTTCAACGCCCCAAGACTCTGGTGCAGCCCACGCCGCCGACGCAGAAGGGTTGAACGGCGCGATGGAAGGCGCCACACTGCTGTGCGACACGTGCGAGAAGCCGCTGGTGCCGCCCTCGACACTGCCGCTGCCGGCCCCAGCGCGTGAGGGGGAGACAGGTGCACCCTCGGTACTGGCCGTGCCGCGGCTGAACGGATCGTTGAACATCATGGACCCTGCGCCTGTCATGTGCTGAGCCCACGACGGCGCAATGGGCCCACTCAAGCCCGACGAGTTCTCGCTCGACTGCGAGTCGATCGAGCTCATCTTGACGTTGCGCAGCTGCGATGGTCGGCGCGGCGCGTTGATAAAGTTGCTCGGAATCGACTGCTTGGGGGACACGTTGAACGGCGACGAAGGGACAGTGTCCGAGCCAGCTGACGAGCGGGCCGGAGGCGTGTAGGCGCGCGGCTGTGAAAAGTCTGGGCCACGCTGTGCGAGCTCGACAATCTGCCTTCCTCCCACAGGTGTGGCCGTGCCCTCTGCAAAGCTGCTTGTGTGGTGCAGCGCGTCTGCGAGGCCCATGGGCCCAGCACCGTCCTCTGTGGGAGGGGTCTGGGACGGTCGTGGCGCGTTGGCGATTTCCGGGTCGATAATGCCGCTCATGTCGCTGAGATCCAGGTTGAACTCTGGTTCGGCTGGCTCGCCGGGGGACTCGTTCTCGGGGCTCTCCTGTAATGGCGAGATTGTGCCGTCATTCGACTTTGCAAAGCTAAACTGGCGGCTACTGGTGAGGGGTGAAAGTGGTGATGAGAAGGGGCTGTAGCCGCTGCCCTGAGACGAGACGCTCTGGTTGCGCATAAACGAGCCCGTGGTCGAGACTGATACGCGACTGTTGGGCATGTTGCCCGTCGTCGTGCTGCGGTGAGGGGGTAGAGGGTTAAAGTCGGGGTGTTGACCGGGGAATCCAGTATGAGAGACACTCGACTGGCGCGTCCCTCGTCTCAAGAGGTTGCCAAAGATGCTCTTCTTCTTCTCTGGCGGGCCGCCGTAACCCGACGTTGAACTGGTGGTGGAGCTCATACTCATGCCCGACGCCGTGCTGCCAAAGCGTTGGCGCTGTTGATAGTCTGAGCTGGAACTGGAGACGGCAAGACTGGCATGGCGCTCAGGCATCGGCGGAGTTGGGAACGCGTCTGACAGCTCGCCCTTGATTGAACGCGCACGACTCGACGTGGGTGTCACGTTGCCATCTGGGATCAAGCTAGACGTCGACGATGACCGCAACGACGCTGCTGCCGATCCCCGACCGGTGTGGAAGCTGGCTGCATCGTCGTCCTGGTTGGTCTGGTGGCTCGAGTGGTGTCGGTTCCGTAACCGCGGCAATGACGGGACCGAGGGAAAGTGGTGCTTCTTCTTGTCGTGCTTGTCCTTTTTGTTCGACCCAGAGCCCGATGCCTCGTGCATGACCAACGACGGCGCTCCCGTGCTGGGCGGCGTGGGTGTCTCGCAACTGGACGATGTCATGGTGTCCTCGCGCGCCGCTGCTGGTGGTGGTACGTCCTCTTGGAGCCAGGGGGCAATGTTGGCACCGGCAGGGTTGGCATGGCCTTGGTGAGAGCTCGAGGCGGCAACGGGGTCCATGATGTCTGCCATGGTCTCGTCGTCAAACTTGACGTCGTCAAACCCCAGCCCAGCGGAGCCCATGACGACTCCCGGGTAGTAGGCGTCGGACGAGGACGAGTGGGTGAGCGAGGGCGGTAGCCCCGGGTCGTCGGCGCCGGGCCCAGAGGCAAAGGGGCTAATCGCATCCGTGTCGGCGAGGCCGAGTCCGTTGGTGGGCAGTGCTGGAGGTGAGTGGCCGGGACTGACGAGCAAGTGAGAGCCCATCGAGGAAGTGTCGTCCTCGCGACCGGACATGAACCCCTTGAGCGCCGCCATTGCGTTCATATCGGGGTCGTCGAGCGGGGACATCATCATGTGCTCTTGAAGCACTGGACCGAGTGATGTTCCTCCTGGGCTGCTCCCTCCGTGTCCTGTGGGTGGGTGGAGGTCGCTGGGGTCGAAACGCGTTGTGAGCGGGGACGGCCCAGCAGACGCCGAGCCGGCGGAAGTGTCCTCGTGGTGCGGGTACAGCTGCGTCATGGACAGTGCTGGTGGGGACACGCCGTTCCGACCTTTTGGCCGGGAGGACGGCATGGTTGGGGGAGGGAGTGACAAGGAGGGAACGAGGACGAGTGTTTATGTGTCGTTTTGGTTGGAAGAGGTGAGACGGTGGGTGCGGACCACAGGGAAGGTGGAGGTGGGGGGAAGACGAGGAGGAGGAGGGAGAGGATAGGAGGCTGTTTAGTTTTGAATGCGCGCGGCTGTACTTGGTTGATACAACTAGAGGGGGGGTTGCTGGTGGGCGATGTGCTGCCAGGCCGCTCACGGTAGTGGTGGTGGTGGAGTGGACTGGATGAGGGGAAGCATCTAGTGACTGGTTGAGAGTATGTTGTGGAGAGACGGGGGCGACGGTGACGGCGGATGGGGGAGGGGCCGAGGCTTCAACGTTTGCCGAGAGAGGTGGGCGGGGCGGGGAGGTATGAAGGGCGGGCAGGGATTAGGGTCCTCCACTGCTGGCAACGGGTCACTGGCCACTGGCCACGGGGGGGGGCCGGCTAGGTTGGTGCTGTGGGTGGTTGGGTGGTGGGGTGGTTGTTGCAAGTGTGTAACAGCGGGGTGTGGATGAGAACGAATGGAACGAGGGGGATGGATGGCAACACGCGGAGGCGGTGGAGTGTGACGAGGGGAGAGAACCAGTTGCACGACGAGCGAGGGAGGGAGAGAGATGTGCTGTTTTTTCGCGGCAACTGTGTGCTGTCCCGAAACGCTACAGGTGGCGGGTTGGGGGAGCGATGTGGGGTGGGTCGAGTTGAGTTGCCCGTCTCGCTGTGGGATCTGTGGTGCATATTGCAATCTGCAGTGTCGGCTGGCGGAGAGCATCACCACCACCACCACCACCACCACCCACCCACCACCTGCCGCGGTGCTCGCTTCCGTCGCTCAACGAAGCAACGAACAAAGGGGGCCAGGTCCAGCACTCTGGCCTCTCTGTCTTTCTGTCTGTCTCTGTCTGTCACTGCTCTCCTCACCCTCACCCCCCCTCTCCTCCCTTTCCCTCCTCGTTACCTCACCTTACTCTCGATCGCATATCGTCCTGCCTTGCCGCAAGCCGGTATGAACGTTTATTTGATCCCGTTGACCCACCCACCTGTACGGCATCCACCACACACCGACCACACTCCAAAAAAAAAGGAGACGCACGTCCCCTGTATATCCTTTTGCCTTCCTCCCCCCCCCGTCTCCCCCACCCCACCCACGTCATGCACGTCATCCGACCCATAAAGTGCTCTCCGTATCTCGTTGTTGTCTGTGTTTAATAACAGACGCGCATCTCACCAGTTACCATCGGACATCTTACGGCACGCAAACACCTCCGCACACGCGCGCGTGCGCACCAATCGATACGCATTGCTGTGATGCTGTGACCCCGTGCGCGCCCCGGCCCCACACTCACTTCTCTAACACGGTTGACCCCCATCCACCTCAGCGGACAACGTCTTCCCTCGTCATGGCGTCATGGAACATTCGAGCGTGCTTCGTCGTCGGTGCTATGCATATGGCATCAGTCACGGCATGCTGTGTATACTACCATCCATCAAGACGACAATCCAACAAGCAACATGACTGCGGCCTCTCCGCGTTCTCTGCGTCAGGATGCCGAAAGCGAGCAACATGCCCGTGCAATTGTCGTCGGTCGATCACCAGTCCAGGCCACGCAGCAGGGCCGTCTCGGCCCGTTGGACCTTTTGGCCCGTGTCACCCATCGCCACTGGCCACTGACCACTCTGGTACTCTGGCCGTCGTGTGCTCTCGTGTTGGCCGCGAACATGCGGTGCATATCGACGGGTGGGGGGTACTGGTTTTAAGCTCCTAATGAACCACAATCAAACGTCGGCACGAATGCACCTCTGATCCTCTAGCCTCTGGCCTCCGGTCTCTGACCCCACGTATGCACGTACCCCCCGGTACCCAAATGTCCCCCGTGTCAGCCAGGCCCGACATGCCCGTGGCCCGTCATCTCCGCATCCACGGCCATTTCTGCGCGCACCACCGAGACGCACCCGACCTAATCTGGCGCGTGGCGACTACATTCCCCTCGACGCTCCGCGGCACACCCAGGCGCCCAGGCTCCTCTCGCCACCGTCGCCTGCCCTCACAGCTCATACATCCGTAGTTATAGCGCGCGCTTCGCGTACCTTTTATGCGGAGGTTCACTGTCCCGCCCAAAGCTGCACGGTAACTGTACCTGCAAAGCCCCTCTCTGCGCGTGAGTGTGTGTGTCGTCGTCTCTCGTTTCTCTCATGCTTCTCCCGGCAAGAAAACGCACATCCCATGCCCCCACCCCCCACCCGGTCCAGGCTCTCCCCATCTATGGGCTTCACGTCCCGACATGGTGCCGAGGCTGGCAACGTCTCCGGGGGATGCACGTTGCGTGTGTTGCATAGCATGCCTATGCGTGCCCGCCCCGACACGCCGGTTCTGCCGTTGGATACGATACACGGTGCGCGGTGCGGTGCGATGGGAATGCCATGTGTCACATCTCTCACGCAAACATCAACAGAAGAGAGGCGGGGGGGGGGCATTATAGAAAAACAAAAATATATGCGCAATACCATGCAGGGTGTGGTGGTGGTGGTTGGTGGTGGTTGGTTGGTGGTGGTGGTGGTGGTGGAAATAACACACTATCTACAGTACTCTACAGCAGAGGTTCCCTTGTACAAGCCCCGCGCTCCTCTTTCAGCTTTCGTCATTAAATCACAACCCCCCAGTCACAGGTCCTGGTCCTCCTGGGCCAGCGTCTACCGCAACTTGCGGAAGGGACTGAGTCCCGTTGGCGCCGCGCCCGTGATGGACAGTTGACCTGTGGCCTGCGCCTGCCCGTCCTTGCGCTGGAACGCGTTCCAGAACCGCAGCGTCTCGTCGCCCGCACCAGTGACGATCGTCTGGCCGTCGGGGCTCATGGCGAGGTATAGCACGCGGTACGTGTGCCCCGTGAGGGTCGCGACTTGGGACATGGACGGGTATCGCCAGATGTGGATCTGGTTCTGCACCGGGCCGCCAGAGTATCCGTGCGTGGACACGAGCTCGTTCGAGTTCTTGGACCACATGAGGTTACACACCTGCAAAAACGAGCGTTAGAAATTGAAGAGATGCAGACGCAGGGGTGCCTCATGACTCACTTGTGACCCAGTGTCCCACTCGCTAATGAGACCGCCAGTGAGGCTGTTCCAGAACCGGATCGTCTTGTCGGCCGTGCCTCCGCCACTGGCGAGGACCCCACGCTGGTGCGGGCTCCATGCCATCGCCTTGACTGCAGCGCGGTGCTCGCCAAACCGCCACGTCGGACGCGCCTCGGTGCCGCCCCAGACGTAGAGCTTGTTGTCGTTGCCACCAGACGCGAGCTGGTCGGTATCCTGGTTCCACTTTAGCCCGCACACCTCTTGCTTGTGGTGGCCGGCCAGACGGCGGATCAAGGGGTCTTGCATGCGCGTGTCGCGGTGCATGATGGTGCGGTCGCGCGAACCAGACGAAAGAATGTGGTTGTTCCACGCCAGGCAGCCGACGCGGGCATTGTGGCCGTCCATGGTACGGATGCGCTTGCAGTACTCGGCGTCCCAGATCTCGACCATGCCGCGGTTCGTGCCGATGGCAAGCACGCTGCCCTTGTTGGTCCATTCCAGGCCAGTGATGGTGTCTGGGCACTCTTCGCCCTCGGACAGGTTGGCCGACAGGTCACACAGCTTGGTAACCCTGCTGGTTTGCGCACTCCACAGGTACACGCAACTGTTGAGGCCGACACCGAGAATGTTGGAATTGGACCAGGACACGAGGTTGAGGTAAAAGTCGTCTGCAAGCTCTGGCGCGTCGAGCACCTTGAACGGCGTTCGCGAGATTTGCCGCACCGTCTTGCGAGGGCTCATCAGCACGCGCTGGGAATCGCGGCCGACGGGACTGAGGCTGTACTTGTCGTGGTTCATGTCGTCGAGGGCACTGTTCGTGAGCTCAGCCATGCGCCTCGATGCGGGCGACGAAAAGTTGAGGATCCGCTTCTTGGAGGGCGTAGCAGGCGAGCCAGACAGTGCCGGTGATGCTGCGCGGTTGCGGCTGGGCGGTGTACGCACGCCACCAGACGCGGATGCCAATGCGACCTGCGACTGGTGGGCACGATGCTGTGCCGAGCTGGGTCCCGCACCTGGAGCCCGTGTACGTCCCGAGGTGGGCGTCGAGGGTGCATGCAGCGGCAGTGGAGGCAGGTGTGACGCTGGCGAGAGCTCGCGGTCGGTTCGGTCTCCAGTTCCTGACACACCGGGAGGTGGGTGATGGTGCAGAGGAGTCGTGCCTGCGCTGGACATGGGAGCGTTGGTCGGGAGGTTGGGAAGCGTCGACGAGTTGAACGTGATGGGACGACGGATCTGGCCGTGGCGTGATGGCGAAGCATGCGGCCGTGTCGATGGGGATGCAGAGCGTGATGGCGAGTTGGGAGCAGGGAACAGCTCATTCTTGAGAAGCGTTGAAAACGTAGAATTGACTTCGTCTGATGGATCCGGGGTGTGTCAGCCAGCAAACACCATCACGCACAGGCGCTCGCTCCGCTTCTCCACAGTCAACCCACCTCGACGAGCTTCGGCATCCGTGCCCTGGCCATGGCTTCTCCGTCGTGAGCGCGACGACTTTGATGATGAGCCTTCATGCGAGTTGGTATCTGGAAGCAGCTGGAACGCGGCGTGCATGTCAGACCCGTCGCGGGTAGGGATAAACCTGGAATGGGAACGTCAACATCCGGCCGCTGTCGCTCGAGATAGGAAAGCAAACGCACCGGTCGCCATAGTCTCGTGACACGGCCTTTCCATGGAGTGCAGGACTCATACTGCTGCGACCGTTAATGTCGTAGTCGCTGCCAAGGACGATTCGTTCCTTTGTTGAGATGGTTGTGGTGGCGGTGGTGAAAGGTGACCGGTCCTTGGAGGGGGACCGAGGAGAGATTGATACCGTGGCCGAGGAGCGGAGACGGCGAGAGAACTCGGTTTCGAACAAGGACATGAGATGCTTTTACACAGACATGGGACGACTCGGCTGGAGGCGAGTGATGGGATTGGGGTGGCAAAGGAAGGCCAGTGTGGGATGGGGGGTGTTGAATGAGACGTGGGTGATTCGGGGAGAGGGTGTGTGTCTGTGTTGGTGTGTTGTTTTGACCGGATGCAATGTGTGGGGAGCGAAACGAGGAGAGCGGTGGTCGGGGCGACAAAGACTAGAGGGGTGACAGGTTCGAAGATGGTTGTGGGACAGAGGATGATGATGACGGGGAGGGGACAAAGGATGGGTGACAAGGGGGGGATGTGGGATGGATGGAGAGAGAGGATTGCCAGGAAGGAAGACGCCGGAAGAGGTGGCAACGGCGCACACACACACACACAACAGCATGTTGGATTCATTACGTAAACACCAAAACTCTAAATATGCTTCTGGGCACAAACAACAGATAGGTTTGATTTCAAGTGTCCGTCCCACTTTTTTTTCTAATGACAAAAGTCTAATCCCCGCATGTAGTGTCGATCAGGATCGTCCACACCGGCCACACCGGCCACACCCCATCCGCACTTGGTCCGTCGAGGGTCATCCCCCGTCTCCCCCTTCTTCCCGCCCGCCCGGGAGGCGTCGACAAGCCTCGCGCAACACTGAACATCAGAGGACAGCTGTCGGGGGCATGGGGGAGGTAGAGCAGGGAGGAATGGCCGCGTTGTTGGCAAACATGCCCCCCCGCCCCCCACTCCCCTCCACGCCATGGACTCCAGCTGTTTCGACTGCGATCTCGGGTCAGTGCTTTGCTGTTTCTGACAAGCTTAATACGCCAGGACACAGTGACCGACGGGACGCCATAACGCACTAGCTTGCAGGTTTTCAGGCGTACAGCCAAAGTGTAGTGTTTTGAGCCCAAAGTCGCACTACACCGTTCCCCCCTGTCTGGCTTCTGCGCTCTGGCCCTGGAAAGCTGACGTGTTTGTGAGCTTCTGGGACGCTGTTTAAAGGGTCAATCAAGGTGAGGCGAACAGTCACGCCGCCACGCAGCCACGCAGTGCCGCGTTCATTATCAACCCAAGAGCTTAACGGAGGGTATCGGTGGGAGATGCATGCAAGAAAGAAAAGATAATTGTGGTGATCTAGTAAAGGACCTCGTCGTTTGCCTGGCTGTTGAGGACCTCCTCTGCGCGGCGGTTCTGGGAGATGACGTACGCGAGTGAGAACGCATTGTCGTCGCAGAGCTTTGCGATGCTGCTCTCAAAGCCCATGACGCTCTTGTGCAGCGCACGGAGGACGGGGGCCATCTCGCCCTTGCGCTCGCGCATCAGGCGGCCGTGGCTCGTGAGCATGGCGGCAGTCCACACGAGGTCAAACTCGACGTGCGGGGTCGACTCGGCGTGCTCGGCGATAAACCTCAGCAGGCGCGGGGCGTACACTGGTGGCAGCTGGCGGGCGATGAGGCGCACGTCTCCGGGAGGGATAGCCTCGTAGACGCGCTGGAGGAGAGCGGCCTCGTTGAGGCGGAGGGCCATGACAAGAGCGACGAGGTGGTCGCCCTGCGAGAGGGTCGCAAGGACGGCCTCGGGAGTGAGGTCGAGTGACAGGTCAAAGGGGTCAAACGAGGTACCTTCATCCAGAGTGTAGATCAAGAGACCCTCGGTCGATGCGGCAGCCCACGAGCGACCAGTGGCCGAGAAGCGCACACAGCTGGTCCGTGCTTCACGGCGGTACTTGCGCTTGCTGAGGTCACCCTTCTGGGCACCGGGAAGCGACTTGTCGAGACGGTCCTCGAGGTCCGACTCGTCGGCGGCAGCGTCGTCCAGGGCATCCAGGTTACCGGCCTCGGTCATCTTACGCGAGTCGAGCATCTCCTGGGTACCGTCGAGCGAGAGGTTTTCGGAAATCTGGAACTTCTTGACCATGACACCCTCGACACGGTCATAGATGACCACATACTTGCTCTGGCCACCAGCCAGCACGCAGCTGCCGTCCGCAGTCCACGCAACCGAGTTGAAGTACTTGGACGCCTGGTTGTTGGCAGCGCTCATCATGTCCTCGTTCTTGCGACCGCCGGAAATGTCACGCCTTCCCTCAATAACACTCTTGATCTCGCCCTCGGCCACGTCCACAAACGACAACTGGCCGTCGAGGGTAGCGACCACCAACTCCTTGCCGTCCGGGTGGAACGCCAGGGCGGTCGCCTCGCTGGAAACGGTGATGGGCTCGCTCTCGCGTGCGCGGCCAAAGACACCCCACAGGCGGACCGAGCGGTCCCACGACGACGAGGCGAGCTGGTTGCCCGTAGGCGAAAAGGAGAGGCCAGACACGGGGGCGGTGTGGCCGGAGAGAATGTCGAGGAGCTTGCCGGTCTGGACCGACCACATGTAAATCTCAAACGAGTCGAGCGAACCAGCGCACACGACGTCTCCCGAGGGGTCGACGGCGAGCGAGCAGAACTGGACTGGGGTTGGGGTGGTGAATGTGCGGAAGTTGCGGTATCGCACAAGGTCAAAGGCGCGAACAGTGCCGTCCAGCGAGGCAGAGAACAGGACCTGGCCCTGCTTGGCAAATTCGACGGCCGAGATGGACGCAGAGTGTTCCGGGAATGTGACAAAACAGAAGCCACTGGACGCGTTCCACAGCTTGACCTTGCCGTCCTCTCCACCGGTGGCCACGTTCTGTCCGTCGGGCGAGAACGCGAGCGTGTTCATGTCAAAGTAGTGGCCCTGCTGCTTGAGGACGTAGCTCTCCGACTGCCACTCCCAGACAAGGAGCTGACCGAGCTTGCTGGCACCGAACGCCAGCCACTCGCCAGAAGCCGAGACGGCAACACTGGAAATCTTCTCGTTCGAGATCGACAGGGTGTGCACGGGGGTAAAGTCGGGCATCTCCCACAGACCAAAGACACCAGTCGAGAAACCGACAATGAGGAGCGAGGTCTGGGGGTGGAAGGTGGCACAAGCGACCTTGGTGTTGGCCTGGTTGAAGAAGTGGCGGGTAGTAATACCCCAGCGGGTGTACGCGACAGTGTGGTCGGCGACAGTAGCCGCCGAGGCAGAGGTGGATGGCAAGTCGAGAATGTCCATCTCGACGTCCGAGTCATCCTCAGCGGCCGTCTTCTTGGCGTTCCAAGTAAAGACGGCACCGTCACGAGAGACAGTGTAAATGGTCTTCTCGTCTTCGGAAAACCACGCGCCGACAACCATGTCGCGGTGACCACCAAACGACTTGGGCTTGAAGCCCTCGAGGGGGTCCAGAGTGTACAGACGGGCAGTCATGTCGCGCGAAGTGGTGAGGAAGTACCTGGTGGGTGGTGGTCAGAACGACGTCCATTGCTGTTAAAATACCCACCTCGAAGTCTTGCTCCAGTGGATGCTGACAACCTCATCCTGGTGGCCAGTGTACTCGCGGTGAAGGACAAAGGGGGCAAACTCGCGCGCGAGGTGGCTGGGGGTGTTCCACACCTGGACGTGGTTGCCGTGGCCAATGGCAAAGTACTTGCCGTTGGGGGTAAACGCGACTGCAGACACGGGCTTCTGGAAGTTCATGTGGTGGAGCACAGTTCCCTTGCGGAAGTGGACGAGAAGGGCGCGGCCATCTGGGGACCGTTAGCGCACGCAAACGCCAGTAGGACAACTCACCTTGGTCAATCGAGATGAGCACCTGCCCATCGGGCGAAAGCGCGATGCACGCAATGTTCTTGCGGTTCTCAAATGGCAGGGTACGCGACTTGTTGCTGCAACCGGTCAGCTCAAGCACAACCGGGCCGAGGTGGGGGTACTCACTTGACGAGGTCAAACACGCTCACGCGGTTGCCCACAGGCGACAGGACGCTGTTTCCGTCCGGCGTAAAGACCACGTTGCCCTGGCGGTACACGGTACCGCACAGGTTCGAGAACTGAAAGTTCGACTTCATGGTCGATGGGTCCCCGTTATGTGGTGATGCGGCGAGGGGTGTGGTCGGCAGCCGTAATGTGGTGAAGGACGAGGGTTGTTGGTGGTGACATCGGGCACTTGACTTTTTGCAGGACAGTGGCAAAGTTTCCCACGGGTGTATCCAATTCGTCCGCGTGACCTCCACATCTCATGTCCACCATCCGTCGTCTACACCACAACCATGCGTGGCATACATGCACGAGGAGCTTCATGCACAGGAGGAAGCGAAGTGCAGGAACCGTTCTACCACAGACCGTGATACCTTTGATGTGCTTACCCGCCCCATACTAGGCGACACTGAAGCAGCCAGACATGACCGCGCCATGGGAGGGAGTTCTTCTCGTTCTCCATCGACATCGAAATGTAAGTAGGCTTCTCCCGAGGACAGGTGAAGCGAGGACCCTGTCCAGCTTACAGGTAAGGAAATGAAAAATCACCACGACGCAGTAAGGCTGCCGCAGAACCCAATGTCAAGTCAACAGACCTCCTATAGCCAACTGTACCCTCCTCAACGTCCCCAGGGGCTCTGCCGCAATGCCCCTACCCTCCCAGGCCAAAAGAGACGCTCCTCTACGTCGAGGAGGGCCCAAAAATGACCACTGACAGGATCGAACTGCCGACCTCCGCATGGACTAGTAACCAAGGCTGGGTATTAGTACGATGCTCTAACCAGCTGAGCTAAGCGGCCGATGGGAGTTGGTCCTCCAGCTGCGATGTGGTCTGGCTCGCGCTAGAGGCATGGGAATGCACATACAGTCATCTTGTCAGGTCTGCAAGCACTGTAGATACCTGGGGCAGTTGTGGGGGCGACCCATGGTGTTGGGAAGGAGGACATCTTGCAAACTGAAGCGAATTCGACCGGAAGAGGCATGAGATGATGAGATTGAAACACGGACGATCCCAAAGTGGCGCGTCACACAAATTGCCGATCGCGCCGATCCCACCACCACCTCCGGACCAACACCACTACCATCATCATCGACATCTTTCCAATCGTCCAACCCTCCTAGACGTCCAAAAAGGTTGGCTTGGGAGGAACTGAATCCTCTGCTGACGAGAGTGGGATTCGAACCCACGTCCGAAGACTGCGGATGATCTTCTGCAAAGAAGCAGAAGAAAACCTTAACACAGCGCCTTAGACCGCTCGGCCATCTCGCCGATTATGTTTTCTTCCTCGGCCCCACGGCCGCGGCTGCTGGTCCCAAAACGCTAGAAGCGCGTATGCATGCTGCAGGAGATGTAGAACATCCCTGTCTAGAGTGCGTCAGGTTGTAGAGCAAGGTTAGAGGTTCAGGAAGTCGTTTGAGAGCGGGTTACGCCCTTTACCCCACTTTGGTGCCACTTTCAGGTCAGGCGTGATTGGGATTGCATTAGGCATTGTACGGCTACAAATACTTCATGGTGTGCCTGTCTTCTCCTATGTGTGCGAGACGGTCCTGCTAAATCCATAGCAGGGGTCTCGTGTGATGGGCGTAAGTGTCGGGGCAGCTTGTCGTGGCTCAGAGCGGAAGTGGTGCCCGAAAGGGGCGGCGTGTGAGTGCTGTCATGGGATGTTGTGCGAGTCACCTCATCCTGACCCACCCGCACCAGTCTCACCATGATGATGAGCACTGGTGTGGTGGACGTGATGCTCGTGGGCTTTGTGAGTCCCGTGGCTATGGTTGTTCTTGTGGTGCTTGGTTTTCCTCGGGCTCTTCTTTGGCTGCTTGAGGTGAGACTGATCACCGGTGTCTTCGTCATCGGAGGGTAGCTCGTGGCCCTCGTATCCCGGCGGGGAATCCATGTAGTGTGGGGGCGGAACTCCCATGAAGCTCTGCGACAGCGGCACGGCAGGCCTCGAACGGTGGAGAGCCGAGATACATGCCGCACGGTACTGAAGGGACAAAGTCAGCGTCATTTGCGGAATAATCGAACAAACTAAAGCTGCCACGCGGAATAGACACGTACTGCTTGGATGATCACGGTGAGGAAGATTGAGATGGCGACGACGATGAGAAGCACCTTCATCTCATCGGGCATCTCGGGTGGGCCGGGAGAAGGACTCCCCGGCTTGACCGCCTTGTGGAGAATGGATGTGTGGGTTGGCAGGTGCACGGCTAGAGGTGTGACCGGCCACGCTGCCGCGGGTGCGAGAGAGAAGCCTAGCCAGAATGCAACTTGAACGAGTTGTATCATCGCCAGCTGATATGGGTTGGAGGATCGAGGATCAAGGTGCCACTCGGGCCTAGCTCAGAGTTGTGGTTGGTTATACACGCCAGAACAGTAAAGGACAAGACAGAAGTGGCAAGATGTGTGAAGGAGAAGGTCAATATATGTGTGCGAACGAGCCTTGGCATCTTATTGTGCGTGTCAGACAACCAGCATGCGTCATCTGACCCAACTGTGGGTGCAAGGGTGCCTCCCAGATCCAAAACAATACAAAGAATATTGATTACGTAATGTTGTTTGTTAGCGTGACTGCGGAATCAAAACATGCCAGATGCGTCGTACTTTTGAGTGGCAAGGTGGCGTCCTCGCGACCATTGTCCCTTTGCTCGCGATCAGATCTACCAGATGCGGCCAACTGACGGTCACCCAGTGGCCATCGGGTGGGGAAGATGTTACAAGAACCCCATGCCCCCATGGTTTCTCTCCTTCTCTCTCATCCATCGATATTCGATAGCATTTCTTACTCCAACTCTACCTGCTACATACAATCTCCAACTCCGTCTACCATGGCTCCCTTCATCCCCATTCCATCATCTCCCCGCCCCCTCCCCACTATCCCCACCTCAAACTTCGGGGCGGGTCCCCTCCCCTCCCTCCCGTCCTGGGTCGTTGGCGCTGACCGCCCGCTTCCTCCTCCTCCTCTTCCTCCTCGCCGCACTCGCCAGAGCCGTCCCATTCAACCTCCTCCTGTCCCGGCTCCCAGCCCCCGAGCATCGACCATTACCAGCACCCAGGTCTCTGAGGTCACCCCCTCTCCATCCAATAGGCGTGTCCCTCCTCCTCCTACTATCCCTACTTTGCCCGGAGGCTGGCCTGCCCAGCCCAAGTCGCAGTCACCACCCAAGGTCGAACCCCAGCCCCAACCCACGATCACGCCCCAGGCCGACCCCAAGCGCAAGTGGTTTGCCACCCAGAGTGACCGCCCGATGCCTGGCTCCTACGACTTTATTCGCAACGAGTGCCTCAAGGACATGTTGGAGCACGCTCCCCTTCCCACCATGAAGGCCGTTCTTGCCGATATCAACAGCAGGCCTGCTCCTAGCCGCCGCTAGAGGTTAGGCCACACACCACCGCAACACGACAACAGCAAGCACCACACCAGACACGAGCGAAAGAGTCACATCACAGACACCATACCACACTGTATCGAGGACCCATTTCATGGAACACACACACACACACACAAACACACACTGCATTGAGCACCCACTGCTGTCATATCACCCACCACGCATGTACAGGCCGCTCAACTGGACACCAAAGTAGCACCAAACCACACGAAGCCACATTAGACCGACGGTACACCACATACACTACATCACATCACACGAAGCCATACACCAAACAAAGCGAGCTACACCGCCATGTCGGGGCAACGAGGATTATATTCTTGGCATTGAGCTTTCTATACATACATGCAGCCGATCGTTCACACACCACCGCCACCCTCCGCACCCGCGAGTGGCATTTGCTGTGGCACCGTCCACCATCCACCCCTACCTTCCCACATATGCCAGCCAGGACGAGGCCATGTTACGGCCCAAAAGGTCTCAGAAGCAAAAGGGAACACCTAGAGGGTGCTCTTCTTCTCCGCCAGGGAGTTGAACCCTGCTCTACCGCGATGTGTCGTCGTCCAGAGGACCTTGACTCTCTCCATATGAGAGGCGGTTATACTAACCGATATACTAGCGAAGAGGCGATGAGGACTGCCTGAGAGGTGGCGAGCAGAGCTATCGGGACATCTGAATGCAAACAAGCACTTTGAGCATTGAAACGTCTGTACGTTCGGATACCTGAGGGGTGGCAGTCCCTTTCGGGAAGGAAAACAGCCGCGTTGAACCACTAGTCCGACAGCTGATCGCGAGCAGGCCTGGCCTGGCTTCTCCCCTTCGTTTGGCGCTTCTCTGAATAACAGTCGACACACCCTACATGGCATCAGAGCAGCAGATGATAGCCGTTGTACGCATTAGCATCGATGAGAGGTGATCGGAATATGTCCCCCCCCCCCCCCCCCTGCCTTGCCCCCTGTTTCTGTCCGCCACTAATGTTCACCCCGCCATTGTGCATCTATGTGACGATGCATCCTATATCGGTTGTACATACAACAATGTGGCTGTCGCCATGTCGCCTGCTCGCAGGATCGCAGGCTCTCTGCTGCTCCTGTCACTGTAATGTTCAGGCCCGGACAAGCCCATGTCCGGGCTCGCCCTTCTGGTTCCTTGCGCCTGTGCTTTCTTCTCCCCCCGCGTAATCCAGTCTCGCACCCCGTTTGGCGTGCGTGGTCCCTGCTATCTTTCCTCCTTCGTTCACTCGTCATCACGCTTTCCAGCCGCGCGACGCATGACAGCGCGTCCCTTTTTGCGGTCCGCCTCGCTCTCGTTGTGCACTTTTTTAGGGACGTGGGCGCTGAAACCGGGCACCACAATGTCGTGATAGTGCTCGAGGACGAACGCCATGTCCTTGAGCTCGACGCGGGGCGAGCTGCGGTGAGCAGCAAGTCGCACACTGTCCCTTGCGACCGTGTCTACCAGCTTGTCGAGGACTTCGGAGAAGAGCTGCGTAGGGTCAGTGCTCTGTACGATGTCACCATCACCTACATCATCGATGCCAAGCTCGAGGTCCAGACCCGGTGCCTGCTCGCGGGCGTACTCGCGCAACTTGCGCTTCCTGCGGACCGGTTCAGGCTCGGGTGGAGGAGGAGGTGGGGGTGGGGGAGACACGGGTCGTGGAGGGATCACAACAGCGGGAGTGGTTGGTGTCTGAACCTGCTGGGGCTGGGGAGGTTGCTGCTGCTGTGGCTGCTGAGGCTGTTGTGGGCCCGGTGGGGGCTGTTGAGGAGCTCCGGCGGGCTGTGGGGCTGGAGTTTGAGTCGCCGGGGACGCCGTGCCAGTGGGAGGAGTCGGGGTCGAGACGGGCTGTGCGGGTGGGGGTGGCTGCGGCTTGGGAGCGTTGACGTTGGCGGCTGCTGGGGGCGGCTGTTGCTGGGTACGCACTTGCTGAGTGCGGCGCTGGTAGAACTGGCATGACGCGACGAAGCGTTGCCTCAACGCAGCATCCTGTGGGTTAGCCTTTCCCATTTAAATTAACCCACCGCCTCGAGCTTGGCGTTGCGCTGTTCGGTCGGCAAAGCCATGAGCTCCTTGACTTGCGCGATGCTCATGGGCGGTTGTTGCGGCGGGGGCTGCTGAGGAGCCGCTGCACGCGCCGCCGCCGCCGCCTGCGCCGCTGCAGCAGCCTGCTGTGGAGTCTGCGCCTGACCTGGCTGGCCAACAGGGGCGGGGCTCGGAGTACCAGGAGCCGATCCGGGTGTGGATGCCGTTCCTGCAGCTGCCTGGTTGGCCTTTGCCGCGTTGGCCGCTGCCTGCGCCGCAGGAGAAGCACGAGCCGCGGCCGTCTTGGCTTGCATGTTGGCAATGAGGACTGGATCTGGCTTTGTATTACGCGCCGCGGCAATACCAGCCTGAACACTGGCAAGGAAGGCTTGCTCGGTCGTGATGGCTTCCGAGTTGCCGACCTTCTTTGTCGGGTTGAGGACATCGGGGAGGTTGATGATTGGGTTACCACGACCGAGACGCGCGTGGAAGATGATAATCTCCTTTGCATGGTTGGCAATGAGGTTGCGCAACTGTGGACAAGTCAGTTGCGTGACTTATGACGAAGGAGGACGGTAGGGACATGGCAACACGTACTGGAGGGATCTGGTTTGCGACGAGGAGGTTGTTGCGGACGCGCGCGATCAGGACCGGTATGTTCATGTAGATGCCCTCGAGGTTGATTGGTGGGCGCGGGGCCGGGGATCCCGCCGGTGACGGCCTGGCTGTTGGTGTTTGTGACATCTTTGACGATGCTGTGTCCCGAGGCCGTCAATGATGGCGCCGAGCGAGTGAGTGTTGGAAGACGGAAGGCGACGAACGAAGGCGACCGTGTTGTCAACGAGAGGGAAGACAACGGAATCAAATTTAGCCTTCCGTCATGTCTAGTCCTCCACAACTGTCCACAATAATGGAGACTCTGTCCACTTCTTCATTCCACTCACATGGCCTCTGTCACTGCAGAGAGCGTTGTGGAAGCGACCCTCAAGTCATACGCTGCTCTGCCGAAGCATGGAAAACCCAGCGTCCGCGACAACGGCGTCCCGGAATGGACAATCCTCGCCTCCATCTCGCTCACATTGCCAGATGCGTGCTCCTCCACGGCCACCAACGGTACCCAGGTCGTACCCATATCCATAGGAACAGGTGTCAAGGTCCTTCCTGCTGCACGCCTCCCTCCACTGGGCGACACGGTCCACGACTGTCATGCCGAGGTCCTTGCACGACGAGGATTCGTGCGGTGGCTCCTGGATCAAGCGACGCGAGTGGCACGAGGGGAGGAACATGCCGGTCTCGTGCTTTGGGATGCGGAGACGAAGCGGTTCTCGCTAGCTCCCGGCGTGCAAGCCTGGCTCTACGTGTCGGCTTTACCAGTGGGTGTTGCACAACATGTTCTCTCGTGCTAACCCAGCAGTGTGGCGACGCCTCCACCCTACACACCTCGGTACACCAACCCGCCGACATGGCGGAGGCCTTCCGGTCCGCACCCGAGATCGGGCTTGCGCGTGGCGACGACACCGGGGCTGTACGTGGACGGAATGGCTACGAGAACTATGGGGCTATCCGCACCAAGCCCGGAAGAACCGACAGCCCACCATCCATCTCGTTCTCGTGCTCGGACAAGATTGCATCATGGAGCGTGCTGGGTCTCCAGGGAGCCCTCCTTTCGCAGCTGTTCGAACCGGTGTACCTGGATCATATTCTGGTTGGAGGAGTTGAAGAGCCCCCAGCGGGTGTGATACCAGCGGGCAGTACTTGGGAGAACATGGTCACAGCTGAGGCTGAGCGTGCGCTGTGGGGTCGCCTGGACGGCGTCAAAGGTGAGCTTTCTGTCGCCGGTTTGAGCTGACATCAAGACTCCATTCCTTCCCCTTTCAAGCTTGCACGCCCAGGCGTAAAACTCACTACTACGGCATTCCCCTTCTCCAAGACCACTGTCCTAGCGTCCCACCATGAATCTGGCGCGCCGAGCACAAGCACAGTCAGTCTGTCTTTCGTCCCTGGCCTTGGCAAGGCAGAGGTCATAATCAACGGGTGCGCTCAAGGCTCTGGGTGGAAGGCGCCTGGCCACACGCTTCTCAAGGACAAGATGCGCTCGAGGTTGAGCAAGATTGAGATGATGAGGGCCTTCCTCGGTCTCAAGCAAGTTATAGCACAGTGAGTTGGGATGTCCGCGGCCACAACAACTGACGGTCCTCAGGCAAGTAGACGATAGCGCCACGTACTTTGAGCTCAAGCACCAGGCCGAGGCATACCAACTCGCCAAGGAGGCTATTCGTGGTATCCCAAGCGAACCGGTGTCTTTGGCGTGGGCCGCGATGTTGCCACACAAGGAGTTCAATACCACGACTGGCCGTGGAGAGTCTGAGCCACCCTTCGCTGGGTGGATCGTTGGTGGTCAGCGGTACGAGTCGTTCACGTGCGCTGGTTTCCTGAAGGATGAAGGGAGGTGAGATAGACAGGTAGATAGTAGCATAGCATAGCATTACGCATTACGCATTTACACTTCATTCGTGCAATCTGACCCCTCTACGGCTTTGTTCTCGTTGAATGGTTCCTCACAATGTGCGGCTGCACCAAGAGGGAGCAACAACAATGGCCACTGCCCGATTTGGTTCCGCGACGCGCCTACAATGACACCGTCCACACACGCGCTGCCTCCATTCCATCTTCTTCATTCTCTTTCTCCATCCCTCTCTCCATCCATCTCTCACCATGACCGATTACGACGACTCGAATGCCCACGCTGAGGCGTCGTTCATGTCGCACGGCGGCGGCGGCGTGACGGACCACGATGACGAGCATGACGACCACGACGACCACGAGGATGGCCAGGATGGGGACCGTGAGTACCGTTTCTGTCCTGGGGGCTGAGGAGTGTGAGAACCTGTGTAGCCAGCGGTGGGTGGCTTCAGTGCTGCTGGGAAGATGAGTGTCTTCCATGTAACCGTTCATCTGCAATTGCAAGCTCTATTCGACAGCCACTCGATACGGGGCAATGCCCTCCGTCACCCAGCTTCTATCCCCAGCACGGATGTTCCCTCTCTGACACGCTCAGGCCCTCAGAAGAAAAAGCGCATCATCAAGTCGCGCCAGTCGCTGGCTGAAAAGGCGCAGGGAACAACCCTCTTCCCGCTCTCGCGCGTCAAGCGTATCATCAAGGCGGACAAGGAGCTGGATGTGATGAGCAGCGAGGCAACCTTCCTCGTCGCCGTCGCTACCGAGTACTTCATCAAGCACTTTATGGAGGAGGGATACACCAAGGCGCGTATGGAACGTCGTCGTATTGTCAACTACAAGGACATGGCCTCGGTGGTGTCGCGTAACGACGAGTTTGACTTTCTCCGCGGTGAGTTGTCATGCCCCCTTGCTCCCTTGTCCACTTCCACTGTTTCTCTCCACCCGGGTCAAGGATGTAAATATGTATCAGAATCGCTCAGAAGGCTCTCCAGCCCAAGACGCCAAATATTCTTACTGAGCCCCATCTCCCTCGCTCCCGTTCCTCCACGCTTCAGGCGGTCCACTCCTGGTATTCAGCGCTGACAGCAGACGTCGTTCCTCTCCCGATCACCATCTCCGAGGCGCTCGAGAAGCGCAAGGCGCGCCTTGCAGCTGCCGACGATGGTTTGCATGGCGACGACGAGGAGCCCGCTCCAAAGGAGAAGGAGCGCGAGAGTACTCCTGCTGCTCCCGTCGAGCCCTCACGGTCGCGCTCGGCCTCACCCGAGTCTGAGCCCGCCGAGGAGCTTCCCCCCGTCGTGCCCAGCACCAACCCCCTCTTTCCCAATGCTGTGGTCAGGCGCCCACCTGTGAGCCACCCGCGTACGGCCATGCCCCCTCGGTCCAAGCCTTCGCCCGCGTCCCGCGAACCCCGTCCACTGGCAGGCAAGAATGCGCCCGTGAGTTGATGCTGTTGAGTTGGATTTCAGCTCACACTCTAGTCAACGCCCCACTCGCTCACGACGCGTTCCGGACGCCGTAGCATGAACACCGAGGAGGCCGCCGAGGCGGCGGACGCGATGCAGGTCGACTAGACTAGGCGAACCCGGCGCAGATGATAGGGATGGCGTGGCCTGTACTGTATGCATACACATGTAGAGATACGCTACTGAATGGCAGTTCTGACTTGCAGCAAACGACACTGTCCCTTCACTGGTATCACTGACCTCCTGACCCACAGCGGCGGCAGTACATACGACTTATTGTGGCATTCTTTCTCTACAAACCTTTTTCTTATTCACAACACTGTCCGCTTACAAAACGCAATCTACTCTACGCTACCCCGACCCCCTCCTCACGAAATCCCGCACTACCTGCGCCTCGCGCTCCTCGTCGCCGGTCCGACGAGGCGCCGAGTCCTTCGCCTTGTCCTTCAAGTTGTTACGCGAGCGTGACTGCCGTCAGTATTGAGTTTCAGAACCTGAGCCAAAGGACCAACGCAACGTCTGCGCGTTGTCCTTGCGGCCCGCCCACTCACCAGCAGTGGCGTGATGCCCAACAAGCCCGAGTACCTGTTCCTCAATGGCGGGTGCGGGGCTGGGCTCGGTGTCGGCGGCTGTGCGTGGAGGATGGACGTGGAGAGTGAGTGGGAATGCGCATGCGTGTGGGTGTGGGACCGCACCGCGCGCCCCGAGACATCGGGCTCGTTGACTTCTTCAAGCACCGTTTCGCGCGACGCCGACGCCGACGCCGATAACGACATCATGCCGCGAGCCGAACCGGGGCGTGAGGGGATCGAGGGCGGCGCAGACATTCCCGCCGCGCCCGAGACACCGAGGTTGGGGGAGCCATTGAGACTGCCATAGCCAGCGGCATAGGCTGCAAACGCCCTCTCGCGGCGGTCCACGGCCTCCTCGCGCCTCCTCACTGCCGACTCGCGCTGGAAGAGGGCGCGCTCGCGCTCCAGGGCGGTGAGCTGCGGCTCGACGTTTGTCGTTGCGCCTGGGTATGGAGAGTGGGAGCCAAAGCCGATACTGATACTGTTGGAACTTGACCTGCGGCCATGGTATGCTGCTGGCGCCGGTGCGTGGTTGTAGCCCGTGGAACTCTGGCTGTGAGACAGGCCGGGGGACGGCGAGCGGCCGACCGGATGTCCGAGAGGGATGCTGTACAAGTGAGGGAGGGCGAGGCCGTTGGGATCCGTGCTGGGGTAGGGGGGGTAGGGGTATGGGCTCGCGTACGAGCCGGTGGTCTGGTGTGGGAGACCCAGGCGCGGCATTGTCCAGCCCGGTGGATCGGTCGCGGGGGGTGCCAAGGTGGCAGTCTGGGCTGCAGAAGCGGCCGTGGACACCAGTTTGTCGATTTGCTCCTCGATGCCGCTCAATCTAGTGAGGGGGGATAGGGCAGCTTGCAGCCCCGCAAGGCTTGCCTCGATTGCACGGAGACGTGCTTCCAACCTATCCTGGAGGTCGCTTGCCCTGCTACTCTCCGGTACAGCCGTCAAGGCGGGCAGTGTCGATGCGACACTGTCGCGACCGGAGTCACTGCCACGTTCGTTCTCTGGGATCTCGACTGGGGATACGCTGCGCCTGGGGCTGGAAAGCGGAATGGGACTCGGGCTACGCACACTGCGCAGTCTCCGCAAGCTGGGCACGCTCTTTGCACCCCGCAGGCTGAGTGTGCGTGTGGCCCCCGCCAACCCGTCATCCCCGCCACTGGGGCGGCGGTTGGTTCTCGGCTTGACCGCGCCCCACGCCTGTTGGAACGACGGGGTTTGCCGTCCGACGTCGACCTGCGTTGCGTATCCAATCTCCACAGAGGAGAGGTCGATGTCAAAGTCGATCTCGTGCGACTCGATGCTCAAGAACGACTGTCCGGAAAGGCGCGAAGGCGTCTGGAAGAAGTCGGAATTGGAGGTACTGCTCGAGTTGGGCGAGAGGGCGGTAACAGAAGTGGACGAGGACGTGTTGGGCGACAGTGTGGACATGGACGCCTCGGGGTCGGAGAGGACCTCCTGGTCTTGATCTTGGTCGTGGTCTGACAAGCACGAGCGAAAGGACTGAGGGGTGCATGTCAGGACATGCTCGCAGGCGCCCAAGAGGAGGATCGATGGACTGGGAGTGGCGGGGAGATATTCAGAGACCATCTTGCCATCGTCGAGGGCCTTGGCTTGTCCTTCTGGGGCATCTGAATCTGGGACAAACACACAGTCAGTTGCCACTCTGTGAGTTGCGAATGTCGTGTGTACTTACAGGTGGTATGTGTGATCGACATGCTCGTTGTCCTCGCCGCGATCCTTATCCGGAAGAGGCCTCAGCGTACGCTTCGAAAGCGGTATAGGAAAGTGTATGAGTTTGAGGTTTGGGAACAGAACAGAACAGAACAGAACGCAACCACATGTCATCGTCTATATGCTCTGGTGACTTGTCAACGTGCTGGGCATGCCCATACACACGCCACCGCATTGAGAGAGCGGCGACGCTAGACGCGTCAAACACGTCCCACGTCCGAGACAACTCGACAAACAAACACCCAAACAGGTTCCTCGAGCCAGCCTATGGCGCATGCCTCTAGGGACGGACGTCATTTTACGCGCACCCAACTGGTGTCCACTGCAGGGTCGTTTTTACCAGGCCACCACACCATTCAGCCAGCAAAAGCACCCAGTCTGCGTCGTCTCTATCGACTTGGCAACCTAATCAACCCTAATCGAAGCCCTGCTGGCGCTGCGGTCCCTGGTAGGCTAAATGGTTATTCAAGCCAAGCGAACTGCTGCATGCCCTCCTCGGCCCCTGTTCGGCCTGCTCAAGTGCGCAAGTGTTGAAGTGCACGGCCATCACACCGTGGCAGAGTGTGCACGGCCGAACTGGCCAGGGATTCTCAACACCGAGAGGTGAAGCATGAAGGACAGGCTCTGCCGCTGGTACACACCCCTAGCTGGCAAAAGGTTCGACAGACGCATGCCGCAGATCGTTGGCTGTCACCGACGACCGCCGCATGGCAACGGGTTAACGGGTTCCAGCATTCCACGTGTGTTGTCTTCATCTGTGCTTCCAGTTGCTCTCTGCGATAGCTAGGTTTCGGACGGCTTGTTTGCTTCCCGAGCTTCTCTGGCAGGTATGCAGTCGTGTGCTCTATTGTAACGTGTTCTCTGATGCCTGCATGCCTGTTGGACCATTCAATACGACGTCAAACACGCCATGATATTTGGAACGAGATCGAACGACGCAGCCATCGCTACACATCCTTTCAAAGGATCGAGGGTTGTTTGCACCGTTTGGGCCTTTGGGCTTTGGGATCTCACCGAAGCCTCCTTTCACAACAAAGCACGCGCTAGTGCGTGCGTGGTGCGTATTGAATGACGTCCAACTCGGTCACGCTGCGTACAGTTTTTTGGTGGCGGCGGCCATGAACGCCAACAGTCAGCCCGACAGTCAGCGCAGCGGCCAGCCGGCCGGCAGTCAGCTTATAGCTTAGTGCGTGTTTGAACGCAACGGCATAAACGCACTGACATCGCCGACAGCCGATAACGATCAACGGATCGACGAGGAGAGAGGCTCGATCGATTAACCGTGTGCACGGCAGTATGCAATGAAACGACGCACACACGCATCACACAAGCCATGGGTCAGTAGTTATAGATCACAGTTTGGTTGTCTTGTGCACCCAAGCAAAAAGGCCGTGTCAGCCGCGCACGTACGCACACCTCGAAACCGAGGCTGTCCGTGCTGGTTTATGATGTTTAGGATACGTCTGACATGTGGTCTGCCAGATGCATCGTGGAGGGGGATGGTGAGGGTGGTGGGATTGTGGGTATCTAAAGTACAACTCAAAACTCTTCGCCGATGAAGGGGTTGAAGGTTGAGGGGCGCGCGGTGTACATGCGCGTAGTACAGGCGGAGAGAACAGCGTACAGCGCTGACGTACAGCATGCTAAGCGTGCGTCGTACAGCGGTCGGAACGTGGGGGCGAGATGACAACTGCAAAGTATGAGGGCGGGGATGTCTTGGGCTAGGCGGTGACGCCCGTCGCGGGGACAGGGACATGCGACTTTGTGTGCAAGCCAGCCGGGATGGTGAGGCGGCCCGCACCGGCGGCAGGCATCTGGGGCGTGGGGAGGGGACGCGTTGCGAGGGCCTTGGTAAGGAGGTCGCCCATGTTGAGCTGCTCATACGTAGTCGTGCGCCAGACAGAGGGGAACGGCGCGCCGGGGACAGGCGGTGGGGCACCCACGCGCGCCGGAAGAGGGCGGGGCACGGCCTTTGGCGTCGATCCCGATGGAGCACCGAGCTGCCAGCTGGCCGAGCGCACGCGTTCTCCCGCCAGACGGGTGGCGCGGATCAGCTCCTCCATCTCGCGGTGACCATCCTCGTCGAAACGAAGTCCATCCTCGTCGCCGAGACCGAGGGCTGCGCGACGCTTCTTGGCAGCGGCGGCCTTTCGGTCCGCCGCAGACACAGTGTTCATGCCCGAAGCAGCGGTGGTGGCAACCTTGGCCTCCTTTTCGCGCTTGGGCTGGGGTTCCTTGAAGTTGGGGTTGTGCGCACGCTGCCACTCGATAAAGAGCTCGTCGTATGGGCGGGTACGGCCTTGAACGGCACGCTTGGCTCCGACCGTGTGGGTCTTGCAGGTGAGCGAGCGCGAGCAAGGGAGATTCTTGTCGTTGATGACACCACACTGGCGGTCGTAGTCGAGCGGGTTGGTCGCTGGGGAGTTTGGCATCAGTGACTGTGGTGTTTTTAACGGCGATAGGCGCCACTCACCTCTCTGACGCTTGCGCTCGGCAATCGCAGCCTTCTCGCGCTCCTTTGCGGCGCGCTTCTTGAGACGCTCGCGTTCCTTGAGGAGCTTTTTGATCTCGCTCTTCTTGAGGCCCTTGTACGCATTGGGGTCAATCTCGTCGTCTGAGCCCAAGTCCTCGGGAAGGACCACACGAGCACGCTTCTTGTTGGGGCTGGCATCAGGCGAGTCGGGCGACACTGATGGGATCAGTCAAACTGCACACACACACACACATATGGGACGCAAGGGACAAAATGGGTGGCCACTCACCTTCGCTCGCCCTGCGCTTCTTGGTGCCCTCCTCAGTACCAGCACGCACGCGCTTGTCGCTCTTGAGGGTCTTTTTCACCGTAAGAGGTGCACCATCAAGGATATGCGAACAGATGCCTGTGAATGGGTTAGAAAATGGGAGTGTGTTCTCAGGTGTTGCCACCGCTCGCCACACAGGTGTGGTTGGCTGGGTGGTGGCAAGAAAAGGCCGGTATGCAGCAGCTGCAAAGACCCCGATTGCCGCCACTCACGACGGTGCTCTCCAGCAGCCCATTCGAGGACAGTACGGTCACAGCGGGGGCAGCGAACGATGCCACGACCCGGTTCGGAGCCGACACCCTCGAGCGGCTGAGCGCCGTACATGTGCATGTCGCGCTCGGGGAGAAAGTCGCCTGGCGGGCGGGGGTGATGGGCAGCGGGTCCATCGTCGTCTGTCGGCGGCGGCGAGGTGCTGAACGAGAACGCGGGCCGCGGGGGCGACGCGCGCGCACGGAGCGTGAGCGGCATGGCTGCTGGTGCAAGATGAGCCTTGGATGGGTGGTTGGAGAGGCAACTCCCAAGAGGATGGGTGATGGTAACAAGGAAGACCGCGGGGTGGCTATAGAGTGGAGCACAAAGTCAATACCGTCACTGTTGTGGGTTCGCTCGGCGAAATACGAATCGGTCTCTTTGATGGCGACGATCGGCAGTCACGAGTTGCGCTGGAGAGTGGTGAGGGCGGGGCCGTGGGCGCTGGCGGAGCCGGGGTTGTCGACTGGTGTTTGGTCCTCGGCGTCGGAGAGATGCCACTGCTCAACACTCGGCAATGACGGCGTGGACCAGGGCGACTGGCGGACTGGCGGCGAACGGGGTTGAAAGTGATAAGGCCGAGATTGAAAGTGGCTGATGTGTGAACCTAATGGCACGTCATTTTTAAACGAGATATGAAACATGGGACACCCGTGGGAAACCGGCGTGTACCAGCCGTACCAGCCCACACCCAGGGGCACGCGGCAGCCACCAGCCCCGGTACGCCGGGTGGGTGCATGGGCGCGCATGGGGGCAGCACACGCACGCAGGTGCGCACAGTCGTGTCCACGGTGTGTATGCATATATGCATATCTTGTCGTCGACGGTCCAGAGAGACCAGCGTTTTGCAATAGTACATGCACATGTCGATGCCTGCGGATAAAAACGTGGATGCTGCGGGATGTGCCCGCGGATCCCAGAGACGATAAATGCATGAAAGCGAGAGACGTTTGTTTGTGGCGGGGAGACGGACAGCTGACAGATTGGGTGTGCGCGCGCCGGCGTGACCCGCCTTCCCCTTGTTCCTTCACACCAACCCACCCATCCCTTCATTGCTCGCGCTTTCTTCATTCCTCTCTTCCTCCCTCATCCCACACAGTCTTTACCACATCGCAATGAAGCTCTCCATCGTCGCCGTCGCCTCTGGCCTTGCCCTCATCAACGGCGCCAACGGTAAGTAGACTCGGCTTGACAAGCACCCACGCACGCACACCTCGCCAGAGATCTGAGCCCACGTCGTCGGGTCTTTCGTCCACCGTCCCCTCTCCCCACTCGTCTTCACCATCGAGCACCTTCTGACACCTCAGCTGCCATCTCTATCCTCTTCCCTTACTCGGGAAGTGTGTGGTACTCGAACGACACCGTTGCGCTCAACTGGACCGCCGCCGCGACCGACGCCACCGAGTTTTCCGTTCAGCTCTCGAACAAGGACACCGCCCTTCTCGCCAGCGCCCAGCAGCTCGCTGACCAGGGTGAGTCCATATGGCAGAGGGGCGTCTGAGGGGGGCACGCATGGCCTCCCTGGTCGTGATGAGGGGTGTTCTGCAGAGCCAGAAGAATCCCCGTTGCGCATGATCGACACGAGGAAGCTGTAAAATGAGATCTCACGGTGCCCACTTCTTGGCAACCGTCTTGCTGACAACCAACCAGTCTACACCGCCAACGAGTTTGTCCACCTCCTCCTCCCCCAGATCCAGTACGGCGACGGCTACATCGTTTCCATCACCAACCGTACCAACACCTCGGACGTCTTCGCCGTCTCGCAGTCGTTCAAGATTGAGGCCGGCACCCGTGAGTAGTTTCTTGGCGGCCGCTGTTGGCTGCTGCTGTCCCCCATGGTGCCCACCGAGCACGCAAACTGTGCGTTAGGGCCCGCATGTCGACGAGACGCGCGCAAAACGCGTTTTTCGTGTACGCTCGGCGCTCGGACACCCCAGTGGCGCAAGGGAGACGGCGGCGTTGCGCCGACACCCAGGGGTGAAGCCTCCCTCCGTCCCGCATGGCACCTTGGCGTGCGACATGCGCGCCAGCTCTGCGGGTGCTGCACAGATCGGTGTCCTTTCGGTGCTCTGTCGGTCCGACAGTCTCAGCTAACCCCTCCCTCTTAGCCTCTACCACCACCAACACTGCCAGCGTCGCCAGCGCTTCCGCCACCACCGGCTCGGCCTACATCCCCAACGCGGTCACCACCACCACTTCGTCGAACCCCTTCTCCTCGACCACTGCCGCTGCCAAGAGCTCCGCTGGCCGCACCACCCCTGCCGCTGCCGCCCTCGCTGTCCTCGGCGTTGTCGGTGCCGCTCTTGCCCTCTAAGCACAGCCACTAGTTGAAAGCTAGCCAGCCGGAGAGGCGGCGGTCGGGCGATCCCGATGCCATCACCCTCTGATAGCTCGCTACCCTCCACTCCCACTCCCCCAAACCGGACAATTGTGCCTGTCGTATCCTACTTCACCTCGTTAATCGTTGCTGTGCTGTGTGTCTGTCTGTCTGTCCATCTCGTGTCGGTAGACTTGTCCGTAGAGGATATACACATACCTTGGCCGCTTTTGCTGGAACGCAAGCGTCCTGTGCCAAGACCCGACTGAACGTTGGACTGAGCACGCCTTGGGCCTGGGAGCTATACTAGCACTGTGGCATGAAAGAACCACGCAACAATCGCGACATTTAGCACACCACGGACACATGATGGCGCGGTGGCCCATCAACGATCAACGAGCTCTCATGCCAGTCCGTGGCTGTGGCGATGTGGCAGAAATACATGGCTCTCAACTTTTTTGCGAGAACCGTGGCCCCACAGGTGCCTTGTTGCCCCATGTCACGTCGCGCACGCAGGTGCCTCTGTACAGCAGCATTGCACATTGCAGCAGTGGCGGTCGTGAAGGGTATGTTTCTGCTGGAACGGCAGTCGTGAGGGAGGGAGAGAGAGCAAGCAGGGCAGCGAGGGAGCGAAGCTGGGCCGTCCCGTACACGGCTGTCGTGTGTGCACCTCGTCTTGCTTGCGTGGCCGTTGTTGGACGTGACACCGGCAGCCTTCTGCCTCATCACACCGTGCTCTGAGATTGACTACTTGTGTTTCAAGGCCGTCATCTCGGTGTGGCACAGCGGCCGGCTCGCCCACATCATCGTCTAGACCGTTGCTGCAGCGACAAGCGCAGAGTATGTGCTGGTGCTCCTGGCGGCCGCTACATTGCCGTCCTGGCTTGTATGCATCCCGGGGGAGTGGAACAGTCCGCACGGCGCACGGCGTCATGGCTGGGTTAGTATCTGTCGGTGGAACTTGGATTGCCACAAACCCCCTCCGCAGTCACTTCTGCACAACGGCCCGCTCCGCTTTGCGGTCAGTAAACCCAACCAACAGCCACAGCCTGCAGCGCAACGAGTGTGTGAATGTATCTGTATGAAGCATGAATCCATCCATCTCGTACAAGCGTCCCCAAGCAACCCGCTTAGGCGGCGTGCTTCTGCTTGCGGGTCTGGAGCTTCTTCAGGTAGAAGTCGAGCTCCTTGCCCTCGAGGATGTAGCCGTCAGCGCGGCCGGACTGGCCGGGGCGCGAGGTGATGATGGCGAGGAGACGACCGGCCTTGAACTGCTGGGCGAGGTGGGCGTCGATCTTGGCGTCCTTCTTGCGCTCGGCAAGGACACGCTGGACGTGGTTCGACTTCTTGACCTCCTCGGTGGCGGCCTCGGTGGCGGCGACCTTGGTGCCGACAACAGCCTGGGCGTAGTGGGCCTCGTACCACTGACGGAAGGGGGTGGCGTCAACCTCAACGACGGCCGACTTGACGAGGGTCTGGGTACGGAGAAGCTCGTTGTTGGTGGCGTTGTAGCGCTGGAGAAAAGTGTGAGCAAATGCGGTTCCGGGGTAAAATTCGATGACTTTTGGGTGGACCCTTGAAGCAACGAAAAGTGAGATGGGGTCCGCGACCAGGAAGGAAACCCATCAAGCGCACGACGAACGCAATCGTTCTGGTCGTCTGCTAGACGTGCGGGTCCCTTCCCAACTTTTCACGCCCCCCATCCTTCATTCCAATGTTGCTTGGGTCCACCATTGTCTCGTGCGTGTGACACTCACGACCTGGAGGAGACGGGTCTTGCGGGTAACGTGCTCCGAGCCCCAGGCGAAGTTGCCGGTGTCGAGACGGAGGGCACGGTACTTGACGTTGCCACCGCGAGTGCGGACGGAGTGGACACGCTTCGACGAGTCGAGCTTGGTCATGGCGGGCTGGCGACCGAGCTCGAACTTGCGAGCCTTGCGGCTGGAATTCTGTCAGCACCACAGTTCTCTCGCTGGATACAGCCGACAATGGGGACAGGAGACCACAGCAGAGACGCAGGATTTCGGCATGGACCAGTGGGGGTACAGCGCGCGCGCTGTAGAGGTGTGTCCGCACACCACCACCACCGCCTGGCCCTCCTGCGCGAATCTTCAAATCCTCCCGTCTGTCCGACTCCTTGCTCTCTCTGCCGCTCTCCATCCTCCAGTCTTCGACGAGCGCAACGCACTAGTGAGCCCTGCGGGCACCCGAAGCGGAACGCTTGTGGCGAGAGTCACGCTTGATGGACATTCTGCAAGGTCAGCCCTCTGTCTCTGTTGGGAGGAATTTCGACACATCGCAGGACCAGCGGAAACTTCAGCGCGCAACAACGCAGACGACTGGGCGCTGTGGGGTGCATGTCGGGCACCTGTCGATAGCGCCGGTGTCGATGGTCGTGTGCGTGCTGTCGCTGTCGTTGTCGCTGTCCAGGAGGTCTAGGGGGGGCACACATACTTTGTTGCTGGTTAGTCGAAGGAGGAAGACGAGCCGGTCGATCAAGCAGGCAGGCAGCACCAGGCCTGGCGTCGCTGGGGCTCGTCGATTTGGCACGCAGGCTGCCATTTCGTTTCGCCGAAACCGAATCGCCGAACTTGTGGCGCGGGGTGGTGAAAAATGTCACGGGAGTAAATTTGCACGTGACCAGAGCATTTCTCTTACGTAACATTTTATTTTTCCCCCGGCTTTTTGCCTGTCGGCGGCGTCAGGCCGTCGTGCTCGACGCTGTTGGCGGCGAGCAGAACGAGAGGGACAGGGCTACAGGTCGCTACAGCTGCAGTACAGACTCTGTTGGCACGCATCATGCATGGCCGTCGTTCCTTCAAGACTGCTTACATCCGGCGGGTCATTCTCACTGCCTGCACAGCCAGGATTGGGAGCTGGGGCGGGCGGTAACGGACGGGTCGACGCCTTGACACTGGTACACTGGCCACACAGAAGGACAGATATACCTCGATCTACATCCTTCTATGCGCATGGGACAGAGTGATAATGCTTTCATGAGTAGTGGAGTGTTGCAAGTGGGAACAGCGAGCATCTTCTTCCCTTTCCAGCTTTCTGTTCCGGTAAGGAGGAAGCAGCGCCATCCTCAGCAACCAGACAGTCCTGTGCACATGGAAATGGGTGTGTTAATGGGCCGCTATACGTTCTCGTTCGGATCCTTACATAGACGCATCGCCCCGTCGCCGGGTTTCAACCCACATTTACTTCACACACCACTCCCGAAGCCCATCCTGGTCACCAGCTCTCCTTCTCTCCCTTCCCTTCCAACCCATCTCGTGACATCCCCATCTTCCTTGCTTCTGCGCAGTCTCACCTTTCGGCTACCTCTGACAAAATGTTGCCGGGTGTGGGCGTTGACCGGCACGGGAGCGTGACAAGAAACCCCAACAGCTCACCATTTGCCTGCGCGTGAGGCGTCGCTGCCGCTCAGGCCGACAATCAGTTTGCCACCGCCACCTCGCCTTGTACATTGCTGCATCCTCCCGTCGCTTAGGCTGGTTGGTGTCCCCTGATGGAGAGTTACCAAATGTTGGTGGTTAATGGTCTTGTAAGGGTGGTTGTAAGTGTGGGTGCGTCCGCTGGGGACGGTTTGAAGACTGGAAGCAGCGCGGCGGGTGAGTGATGTGGTCTTCCTTTTCTCTACTGCTGTTTTTTGGAGTTAATAGAGATGTGTTGTATGCATTCCTCTGGGCCGATTTGGACCCGCGTGCAACCCTGTATGGTCGTACTCGTATGCATCTGTTTTTTTTATGGACGTTTGGAGGTACCGATCGAGAACGACGGATCAGTGAGCGGTGGATATCGTGCAACTGGTAAATATTAGTGGACAAAATGCAACTGCAATTAATCGCTTTTTTCTTGGCGACCAGCGTTGCATTGAAGCCTAGAAACCCAATATCCCAAAGACCAGAAAATAGCAAAATCCAAAAGGGTCTGTTGGTGCGTTTAGAAGCGAGAAAGGCGCTCGTTGGAGTAGCGGCGGGGGAGGCGGCCTTCACGGACGCCAAACTGCGTGACAGTCTCCCTGGTGGCCACAGGAGTCGACGCGCGGGAGTCTGGGTTGGTGATGAAGAGGGCGCGGGGCCTGGACTCGGTGAGGGTGCCGGTAGGCGAGTTGTAGATGTATGGGGTTGCTGACCGGGTGGGGAGTGGGGGCAGGGGCCAGTGCGCGCGGGTGGCCTTGACAGGAGGAATGCTGGAATCGGTTGGGGTAGCGGTGGTGGTGGGTGGCGAACTGGGAAGGGTGCAGTAGGCTGAAGCTGAGGACGTGCGGGCAGTGTAGAAGGACCTGAAGGACGAGCCAATGTTTAAGATGCGCGAGGAGCGAGAGGCATACACAGCTTGCATCTCCATGACCTCGACCGGCGAGACCGTGGAGGCGAGGCGCTGGGGGGCGGGAGCAATGAGAGCCATTGTGGGTGGTTGTTTCGAGGCGATGTGTATGTGTGAAGAAGAAGGAAGACGGGGGGAATGGACGAGGCAGTCTTATGGGGTTGCAGCATTGTGGTCTACCTGCATTGCTGGCCGTTGATGGACGCATGGAGTAGCTACTCGTCATGGCAACTCGACTGACGGTAAGACATTCAGTAGGCGGCGCTTTCTACAAGTGGTGAGAGAACCAAACAGCCGCGGCTAACAAAAACAATTACTTTTTTGGGTGTCCCACATTAGCACGCGTTTATATTTCATCCTTTTAGCCGTGGGTTGTGGGTGGCGTTGTGGCCTTTTGGTGTGACCGTCCCATCACCGACGGCCCGTCCTGCGTCGGTGCAGGAAGGCACTCCTGTCACTCGATAGAGAAGTTGACACTGACGATCTGTTGTCTACAAAGTTACATCAGTGTTGGATACTATTGGTAGAGCGACTCAAACAATGGCGACTGGGAGCGATGTTGGTCACCCACACACCCACTGTCCATTAGCCGCGGCTAATGGGGACTGTATTATCAACGCTAACCCGGACGGACAGCTTTCCGTAGCTTTCCTATTAAGTCCATGTGGCGTTTGTTATGTGAGACACAATTGATGAATACAGTCGGTCCGCTGCAGTCCTAATCAAGGAATATCCTTTTGCGTCCACTGTTCGTTGTGATCTTGCACCATTTCGGGTATCGCGGCCACGTCAACCACGTCGACCGCACCGCTATACCCACCACACTCGGCAACTTGCACACACACTAGTGCAAGACATGGATGCACATCCCATATCTGGCAGCTACCTCTTTCGAGATGAGCAGCTGGACGTTGGGGCAAAGGATCCCACCTCGACAAGGCATATAAGCAAGCCGTCCCCCCTCGAGTTCGTTCTTTCTCATTCCCCCCATCATCTCCCAACTTCACCTCTTCCTCTCACAACTTTCACACGCACACACACACACACACACACACACACACACACACACACACAACCTCCAACCATGTCGACCACCTTCGACCTTGGCTTCGCCACTCTCAACCTCGACCTTGCGTCTACTCTTGCCATCCCCTCAACCCTTCCCTCCTCTGTTATTCTTCCTCCCTTCGACTTTGGTCCCATCGTCGCTCCCAACATGCCCGCCACCCCAGCTCCTGTCGAGACGGCCATCAAGGCCCCTATCGTTGACACCACCCTTATGGACTTCCTTCCTGCCATGACTGGCCCTGTTGACGTCAAGGTCATCAAGGTCCAGCGCCGCCTCCAGACTTCCGCCACCGAGGTCAAGTCGGCCCCCTCCCAGTCCATCCTCCTCAAGGACAACGGCCGCCGCATTGCCCCCAAGATCCGTCGCGTGCCTCCCCCTTCTTTCCCCGTCACATTTGACATCAACACCGTCCCCCGCCGCAAGGACTCTCCCATTCCCTTCAGCCGCCCCCTCACTCCCTTTGTCGCCACCAGCACGGCCCCCCGCTTCACCAACGATGACAAGCTCGAGAACATTGAGGAGGTGATGTGCCAATTGGACCTCTCCGAGGGCCCCGCCCTCACCTCGGACTCGGACTCGGCCACGGACGATGAGCCCGCCCCCGCCACGCCTCGCCACTCCTACATTCTGCCTGCGTCGCTCACCTTCCCGGTCGCCCACATCCGCCGCGCGCCGTCTGTCAACGTCAAGGCCATCCACCTCCCCGAGTACCTCCCTGCCTCGTTTGTCGTCAACAAGTACACCGCTGCCAGCGGACGCACTCCCAACCCCACAACCAACTCCAAGGAGCACAAGACCGCCGAGGGTGTGCCCGCTCGCCCCAACCTTGTCCGCCGCCCTGCTTGCCGCGACCTCCGCCGTGCCCGCCGCAACGCCATCCTCGCTCAGTAGTAGCGTCGTTGGTCGCCCACAAGAAAACGTGCAACGGGTGGGGTGTAGAAGGATAGAAACCAAGTATAATAAGTGCAGGGGTACATTACAACACGGTTAATGATAGAGGTGTGCATGTAAAAAGACATTGGTTGCGGCCCTCGAGCGAAAGTGAGCATAGGAGCACGTGACTGTGGCAAAGGGAGCATGTAGGAAGGACCTTGATCACCACACGCACGAGGTGCCAGGTGATCAGGTGAATGACTGATTGAGAAAGCACACTGACGCCCATTCGCCATCTCGATTCTGGGAAGGTATGGCGGGGGTAGTGTGAATGGAGAGGCTGTGAAACGCGCAACACAGGTCAAGGTGTACGACTTTTGTTTCGGTCACTTAGGGCGGTCACAATCGCGTACGACCGGTTCGCTCTGATTCCCCGAGCATACCGCGTCTGTGCACCATGCACACACACACAGTACCGTGGTGCCCCGACCACTGGCCACTGGCGAGGCCGACTTCATGGGGACAAACGGGCCGAGGCGGCGGTTTGAGCTTGGCTTGTGGGCGCCATTGCGAGGGACGGTTGGCGGTGGACGAGGACTGGCTAGACGTCAGTGTGTGGGATTCGTTCAAAGGAAGGCAATACCGGCGAGGCCTGGCCTGGCCCCCTTCCATCTGGCCATCTGGCCTCTGGCCTTGGCAATGTTTATTGGGTTGCTGGATATTCGATCTTTGCTGTGCTCTGGAGCTCGCACAACTCTCATGTCAGTTCCCGGCTTCCCCGCGGCGGCGGCCCCCGCCTGGACGCCACCACCGCCAACATTGCCGCAAGCCAAGGCAATGGCAATGGGCTAGAACAATGCCCATGACATGCCCGTAGATTCAGTTTCTCACACACCTGGCGCCCTTGACACACAGTGTTCGGCCTTTTCTGACGCTCAGAGCTGGCTGCGGGTGTACACGGACAAGCTGTTTCGTCACTGTTGTACTGCTGTGTACGCTGTGATCCCGAAAAAAGGAGCCACTTTTTTTTCAGTCGGATGCAGCGTTTTGCTTTTCGTTTCTGTTTTTAATGTCGATTGTCGGAACGTTAGAACACGTTGCAAAATGGTCCAAGGGCCAAACTGTCGAGAAGACTACAACTTGATGCTATCACTGAACACGCTACATTCCTCTGCTGCATGCATTGCTACTTGGTCGAGGATAAACGGCGGACAGAAAAGGGAGCGGCCTACCTCGCACACACATGCTGCCTGAACCCGTCGTCATGGCTGCAGGCACGCTTGCACGCGCGGAGGGGGGCAAACGTGGGGCCCACGGATGGGAATATCGCGTTCGGGCCATGAGCCCTGTCCTTCCGCGCGTCACTTTGCATGTCCCCCATATCACACCTCTCCTCTCCCGTCGTCGTCCCCCCCGACCGTCCAGCTTATTATCCCACACTTCGTGTCCTCTTCCCGCGGGTCTCTCTCTCCCAACAGCACAATCTCTTATATCTTTCTCTCTCTCCAGCGACGCTCTGCCAACGCTCCCAGCCCGACACCTCTAGCAACCGCCAGCAATGTCCCGCCCCAGCATCCTCGTGTACGGCGCGACGTCGTACACGGCAGTCAACCACCTCCTCCCCTACCTCGTCAACCATCCAGAGGCCAACAAGTTTGACCTCGTCCTCGCCGGCCGAAGTGCCGAGCGTCTCCAAGCTGCCAACACGTTGATCGGCGGCGGCAAGCGCGAGCTTATCGTCTGCGACCTTGCCGACTTTGACGCGGTCGGCCACATGGTGCAGCGCGCCGACCTCTTCATCAACCTTGCGGGCGAGTACAGCACTGCGGGATGGCAGCTGGGTAAAGTTCTCTTTCGTGTGCTGGCATGGCCAATGACCATTGGAAACGCCAGGCGGCCATCCCCCGCGAGCTTAGTGTGCTGAACGTCTCTCCCACAGGCCCCTATGCAGTCAAGAATGCCGTCCACCTCGTTGCGTGAGTTCGGTGTGGGTGTGTGGTGTGCCCCGATCCCTCCGCGGAGGGGGGCCGGCTTGAATCTCGATCCGAACTCGAGCTGTTCTTATGACGTCGTGGTAGAGGACGCCCGCTGACGCCTGCTCCCCCTCCCACAGTCAAGTCGCCCGAGCCGGCAAGAAGTACCTCGACCTCACCGGTGAGGTGTTCTGGGTCGAGAAGCAGGTCATGAACTGGGACTTCCTCGCCGCCAAGACCGGTGCCGTCATTGTCCCCATGTGTGGCTTTGAGGCTGCTCCCGGGTAAGTGCAGGTTGTCAAGTGGAGCGAGCTGCTGTGCGCTGACATGCTCTCTCCAGCGACATGTGCATCTACCAGTCGCTGCGCACGCTCCAGGACCGCGCCGGCCGCAACGTCGGTATCAAGGACACGACCAACTACTACGCCATCCGTGGCGGCATCTCGGGCGGTACCATGGCGAGCGTCACCACCGTCGCTGACGCCCGCGAGCTGAACACGCACGAGTACTCGCTTCTGCGCGGTAAGTCCAGCAGCCGATGGTGCAAGTCGGCTCGGGGAGGGCACTGCCATCTCATCTCGGCGACGGGCGCCCTCTCTTTCGTCACTGCCTACTCTTTTATTCCCATACCACGCCCTCCTCAGTCTGCAACCTGAATTTGAATCTGAGCTGACCTATGTGCAGCCAACCTCCCCCACCCCAAGCCGTACCCCAAGCTCGTTATCCACACTCCCGAGGTGCCCGGTGCTCCCTCGGTCGGCGGCTTCTTCATGTTCAACACGACCAACATTCCATGCTACCGCCGTTCGTGGTTCCTCTCCCGCCTCGGCCCCAACGTCGTCTCCAGCACGACTGTCCACGCCGCCGACGCCGCGTGCGAGAACGAGCCTCGCCACGGAGACAACATTCACTTCCAGGAAGGCCTGACCAAGATGGGCGGCTTGAACATTACGTCCACCTTCAAGGCCTTTGTGTTTTCGGCCATTGCCCTCCTCTTTGGCGGCCTGTACATGTACGCTGCCTGGTTCCGCTCTCTGCTCAAGCCCTACGTCCCTCCTCCCGGCACGGGCCCCAGCATGGACGAGTGCATCAACGGCTCGACCAAGGTCACCAACGTGTCGTTTGCCGACAACGGCCTCGTCGTCGTGACCAAGTACTCGGCCAAGGGCGACCCGGGCTACGCGCACACGTCCAAGCTGCTTACCGAGTGTGCGCTCTCCCTCATCCTGCCCCCGCCCAAGGGCACGACCTTGCCCCCGCTCTCGCGCCGCGGCGGTGTCCTCACCCCGTCCACCGCGTTTGGCCAGGTCCTCATCGAGCGTCTCCGCAGGACCGGCGTCGCCGCTATCGAAAGTGAGATTGTCAACTTTACGTCGATCGACTCGAAGAAGGACGACTAGAGCAAAGAGGAAAGACCAAGCTCGACCCTTTCTTTTCGCCAAAACGAGTTCTTCCTAATCCTGCATGTGCCATCCACCTCCTGCCCTGCCTTTTCTGCTTTACGTTTGTCCTTTGCTCCTCCCTTTGATTCATGACAAAGTACCTATTATGGATACAACGGTATCAACATGCATGTGTGTTGTGACATAACGTGGCGGTGGTGTTTGTGGTCTGTCGTCTCTACCGTCTCCAGTCGTGGGCCGGGGTCGTGGTCGTGGTCGCGGGCATCCTGATCTTGCGCTCTTTCAGTACCCGTCACGCCAGATCGTGAATCCAATATCGTCATCGTCGTCGTCCAGTCCCGCAAAGCGCACTCTCTTGACGACCTTGTTGACCTCGCGCGGTGGCGTCGGCGTCGGCGTATACCTGCCCTCCTCGACTTGCTGGACACCGACGCTCAACGGATGGTCTGAGAAGGTAGCGTGAGGCGGCGCCGGATCGGACCGTTGCTGCTGCTCACCCAGCGTAGGCATGGGCGGACGCTCAGACACGTCCGAAAAGCTCGCGATGGACTCGAGCTCGTCCTGGCTGCCCACTGACGTGTCTGGACCCCAAGCCGTCCGCGAGCCGGCGTACGGGTCGACCTTGCTGGGCGCACGCGCCGGCGAGTCCGGAAAGTCCGGGGCGGGAGTGGCAAGCCCAACGGGATCGGAGACGCGCTGCATGGCTGCCAAGGTGGTCCATGCGCGCTCGGTCGCGCGCCGCATGCGTGATGGAGTGGGAAGAGCTCCCGGATTGGAGTCATGCCTGGGAGTGGCCATGTGCCAAGCCGTGGGGGTCGGAGAGGTGATGGGGATGGCGGAGGAAGTGGTGGCTGCCGGTGTCGGGGGTGCTCCTGTGAACAACATGGCAGCGGAAGGAGGGTCCTGCTCGCGTCAGTTGTGCAGCCTTTGTTTCGGCTCGCAACTCACGTCGTGCACCTGCGTCGTGCGCAGTTGGAGATCCATGTCCGCGTCCATGTCCATGCAGACGCCGCCGGGGATGCTGTCGTCGTCCTTGAGAAGCAGCTCGTCCTCGTCCGGGGCCACGGGCGCGTTGTCAAGCGGAGACGCGCAGTGGGGCAAGTGCGGTGACCCACACAGGTGCCCCAACTTGCCGTCAGTGAAGGGTTCTTTCAGGTCAGAGCCAGTGTGTTCTTGCAGGTCGTAGCCTGGCCGCTGTTCCTGCGACAGGTGCTCGACCACGATCACGGGTTCGACCTGGGACGCGTTTTGCTCCTCGGCCAAGTGTCCTACTTCAGTGCCAGGCGCGTATTCGTCAGACGCCTCGGCGAGCTCGGCCGCAGCCTTTTCGAGACAATTTGCCGGCCGCGTGGATCGGGCAGCTTGGAGGGGTGAACAGAAGGAGCAAGGGGAAGAGGCGGAGGTGGTGGGGTGCCGTGGGACTGCGGCAGAAGAGGCTCGCACCAACTCTCCTTCGTTGTCTCGTGATGCTGGCTGATGTCGAGCGCTCCACTGTCGGGTGTAGACCATTGTGATGCTGGCGAGTCAGAGCCTGAGCGCCTGCCTAGGGACTCCCCTTCCCATTCATGGTTGCTGGCGCTCCAAGTCTGGGTAGGCTTCGCCCAGTCGATGTCGCTCTTGCTCCACACTGCCAGGTTGTTCGCGCCGTCGTCGAAGGACTGGTCGTCGATGAACGGCACATGTGTCGGCAGACTTGGGTTGTCATTGAGCGTCTTCCTTGTGTCCTGTAGACTGTTGTGCTCAAACGAGAGCTCCTCGTCAGAGCCATAGTAGTGAGAGGTGAGGTCTGGTGAGTACAAAACAACCCTGGGAGGCTCTTGGAGTGGTAGGAGTTGTGGTGAGTATGGTGGTGTGAGAGCGCGGGGCTGAGGGAACGGCTCGCGAGAATGACCCGAGTCTCGGGGTACGCGCAAGGGGCCCGGAGAAGCCGGGACGGGGAGGGCCTGGGGGATGTCGTCGTGAGGGTGCCACTGCGGAGTGTCATGGACGTGGTAGCTGTTTGAAGGAGTGGGAAAGTGCACTGAGCGTTGGGAAAGTGCGCCAGGCGTTTGTTGGATGGCGGGTTGAAAGTTGCGCTGCGGGGCCCACTGGAGCACAGGGAAAGAAGGCAGGTCCAGTTGTTGCGGTGTTCCGGAATGGGTGCCAGGCAGCAACACCGGCCGCCCGTCGGTGCTGACGAGTCCGTAGGGTGTCAGCAGAAGGGGTACAGTGTGCGTAAGACCTTGAGCGTGTGATAGAGTTGAGGGGTGGTGGGCCGTCTGCGCGAATTCCGGTGCACTGTGCGGCATTCTCGGCGCAGCCATGGCGTCCGTGGCGGCTTGACCTGGCCAGGTGTGCGACGACGGCAACGGCGGCTGGAACGCAGTGGATGCGGCGCAGTTGGCCCACGACTCTGGTGCGCGCAGTTCCGTTACGTTTTGATGGGTGAGGGAAGGTGGTATTGTGATCGACTTTTGCTGGTACGTGCCGCCTGCCGCGTCGAACAGCCATTGTGGAGCTGGTACCGACACCGGCGGTGCATGGCAAGGGTTGGTTTCTGCCTGGGAATGTGTGTCAGCGGCCAGACGAGCGGTTATCTCGGCCTCATACGTAGCTCATACGCGACTCACCCGGTCAGCCGCGGGCCAAGTGTGAGCCTCCCGCTGCCCTGTTCCAAAACGAGGCGATACAAATGTCCGTCCGACTTGCGCGGTGGCAGAGCTTGAGGGCAGAGGTGGAGCAAAGCCTAGTTTCTCAATTAGTTCTGCTTGGCGGTCGAGAGCCCTCTGTGCGACGGTTCTGGCCTTTGCCTGCGCGCTTTGGCGGTCTGGAAGAAGGGTCGATGCGGTTGCAGGCGGCTTGTTGCGAGCGAGGCAGAGTACACGGTCGTACTTGGCATTGATGGAGCGCCTGCCCCGGCCTCGTGTAGAGGCGACCGGCATCCCAGACAGGGGGCCGCAATAGAAGGGCTGTGGGTCGCCTGACTGGTGGATGCAAAGTGAGGAAGAGTGCAGAAGCAAGAAAGGTGAGGAAGGCGAGGAAGGCGAGGAAGACCAAGAGTTGACTCATGTCGGAACACCAGGCGAGGACGGCGCGCCATCAAACGGACCAACAGCTACGCTTCATCAACATCGTCTCCATACAGCATGCATGTAAAGTTTTGCACCACGTCTGCAAAATGTGTGTTGTCTCTATCCCGTTGGTTTAGCGGGGGTGCCGCCACCGCGAGCTGTGCGCATAAAGTGTCCCTAGTGTGCCCGCGGCCCAGGCTTGTGGCTGTGCAAAAACGTGCACGGGGAGGAATCCGGCAGGTGGAACAAGATCTGAGCGTGCCGCCGTGTTCTTTCACCTTGTCAGCGACCGAGGGCTCTCTGTAATCGGTGCAGTGCAACATGGAGCTCGTTATTGCGTGGGTAGTGCAACAGGACTTACGAGAAGGGCTAGAATCACTGTTTTGGAAGCGCTCCGTCAAAGGCCAAAGGGGGGCTCTTCTGACGGTTGATGGGTGGACTAAGGTTTTTCGTTCTTTTCAGGCACAATCTCTGTGCACAAACGATGAAACAAGCGGACGCGACTTTGTGCGGACGCGCGCGAAACACGGAGAGACAAACAACAACATAAGCGCTGTTGGCCTGGTCTCTCAATAATGTCATTTACAAAGCACAGTTGCAGCGCCTTGACTACCGGCCCGCACTACATGAGGGGGAGGCGGAGCAAGCAGTGTGAGTGAGTGAGGACCGTAGCAGAGCATGTGTGTGCGCAAAAGGTGAAGAGAACGGACGAGACGCCACTGCTGGCACACCCCAGGGGTTCACCTTCACACCCCCCCTGATACGCGCGGGGGGTCTGACCTGACACTCGTGTCCAATCTTAGACCTTTGGAGGTGAACCCGGCGGCCACCGCAACAGCAACAGCGCTCTTGGCTTTCTGTGCCCGCAGCACAATCGAAGTGAGAGCCTGGGCCGCGCACGACGACGACCGGGGGCCGGGACCGTGCGGGGGCCCTATGCTCTCGCCGAAGACGACGTCAAAAGAGATCAACGGACCCACAGCCCCGCAGCAGCAGAAGCAGCAGGCTGTGTCAGTCAGTCAGTCGGCGGCATCATCCCACCCCCATCACTTGACCCCCGCCTCCGTCCCTCCGTCTTTCACATCGCCTCTATCTCACTCACCAGCTTCCACACTCCTTCCCACCCTCATTCACCACAGTTAAAACACGCCGGCCGCGTTCCCATCCGAGACACACACACCCCATCTCCCCCCACTATCGTTAAACCTATCTCTTCACACATTTACACCACCCCGCCAGCTGGCCTGTGCCCACCCACCATGACGACCACCTCTTCATCGCTCAGCGAACCTCACTTTGCGTCCCCGCGTGAGGCATTCAACCCCCTTCAACATCGCCCACACAAAACTTTCTTCTTCTACCTCAAGGCCCTTGCCGCCACCGCCGCCTTCCGTATCTGGCCAGTCCTCCTGTTCATGGCAGGATGGGCCTCCATGGTCATTTCCGTCACAAAATACACCGCCGCCAACCTCGCCATCCCCAACACCATGATCACCGTTCTCGGTAGGTTTGTTCCCGTGCATCAATCAGCAATCATCACCGTTTGTCTGACCCCATGCGCAGGTGTGCTTCTTGGTCTCACGCTTTCATATCGGTACGTAGGCTGCCTTGGCGCACAGGACATGCTCGTGCCTTTTAGACGTGGCGTTCCAACGACCATGTGCTGTCCGGCTGTCCTGTCCGATCCCGTTGTGCTCCATGCTGATGCAGAATTCAGCACGTCGTCGGCCTACGAAAAGTACTCTGAAGGTCGTCGCATGTGGTCGGCCATCATCCTTGTCAGCCGCACCTGGGCCCGTGCTGTCTGGATCCACTGTGCGTTGCTTGCCGCTGCTCGCTGTTGTGCCACCACCGTCTCCTTTTCCCTTGGACGACCACGCTGACCGCATGTGTCCAGGCCCTGACACTGTCTTGTCAGAACCAGCCACTGACCCTCAAGAGAAGGCTCGTGACTTTGCTCGCGGCGTCATTGAGAAGAAGACCATGGTCCAGCTGGCGCTGGGTTTCGCCGTCGCCGTCAAGCACTACCTCCGTTACGAGGAGGGCATTCACTACGAGGACCTCTACCCCCTCGTCAACTTTATTGTAAGGGTCAAGAGCCCAAGCTATGTACGTTTGCTAACTTTTTACAGCCCGCTCTTGACCTTCCCTCTGGGCTTCCTTCCGAGACCGACACCCACATCGCCGCCGGTCTGCCCTCGTTTGGCGCGGTCGGCGCCTATGCTGGCTCTGGATCGTCGGCTGCGTCGACACACGAGAAGACCTACACCCACGGACCAAAGCTTGCGCCTGCCAATGCGCCTCCTCACTTTGAGTGGGACAACCTGCTGCCACAGCGCCTGTTTGGCAAGAAGACCAAAAAGGCCCAGAAGGAGGAGCTGCGTACGTGCGCTCACGGCGTTGGGCACAACGTTCCTCTTGAGATTACCATGTTCATGAGCTCGTGGGTCAACACCATGCAGCACCGCAAGACCATCGACGTCCCAACCATCAACGTTCTTCTTGCCGCCATCGCGTCGATGAACGACTCACTTGTCAACCTCGAGCGTATTCTTACTACCCCTATCCCTTGGAGCTACAACGCACACATCTGGCAGGTCAGCTGGATCTACTGCATGGCCCTCCCCTTCCAGCTGGTCTCTGGCTTTGGCTGGATCACCGTCCCCGCCGTCTTGATCACCGCGTACATTGTCATGGGCTACGCCAGTATCGCCGGTGAGATTGAAAACCCCTTTGGCTACGACCCCAACGACCTCAACCTGGGCTACTTTTGCCAGGAGGTCATTGCCAAGGAGCTCGACGCCACCACTGCCCGTCCCTTCCCCGACCCGGCCCAGTGGATCTTCTCGTCATCGAACCAGATTCTCGGGCCCAACATGCCTGCTGCCGACCGCCTGGCGGACATGTCGGTCCAGGAGATCCGCGCGCGCCTGGCATCTGCTCCTGGCTACTTTAGCCCCCAGCACGTCTAGTGCATGTGCATGTCCATGTGCGCATGTGCAGTCGGATTCACTCCAGTCCATACACCCACACACACACACACACACCATCATAAAAAAGAACAGTAATCTGAGCATTGTTATCGTACCTTTTCAACCCCATCGTTGTGTCATATGAACCATTTTTTTGTCAATAACCAAAGTAACGTACACTTACACGTCACCAAGACGGAAGGGATCTCGCAGGATCTCAATCGCACAGCGGCAGTTGCCGGACGTCGGACGTCGTCTGCCATTTTTACGGCGGTTGCTGTTTTTCTTTTATTGCATTTGACGACATTGACGGTTGTCACCCAGCGATGTTGTGACATCAACAAGAGGTTACCACACTGTTACGTTATCCCGTACCCGGGGCGATAATCCAGCGGGGGGTGGCTTGTGGAATCACTTTTGGTCCAAACCGCCAAGAATCAGTCGTGACTCCCCGAGTCGGCACGTTTCCAAGTTGCGCTGCCTCCGGCACTTCATGAATGCCGAGATTGTAGCCGTCGTTCCGTCACCCGTTGTCTCCCCCCGGAATGCATGGGATCTGTTTAATCTGTTTCCCGTCCCCGACGTGGTCAAACCCCGCACCCCGCCTGCAGTGGACACGCCCGTCAGGCATCCAGAGAGGTCCAGACGTCACGTTACCGCAACAAAACGGGCCACACATGTACTTACTGTAATGTTTGAGCTCAAAACCCTTCGCTAAGCTTAACTGTGTAGAGTGGCTCTTGTTTTCGTGTGCCCATGATACGGTCCAAGACCTTGACAACTGAAACCAAAAAGGTTCCCGAGTTTGAGCCGGCCAAGACGGAATATCTGGCTTGCCGGATCTAATATGAGCAAGATGTACGAGAAGGAGTACGATATCGCGGCCCTCTCTCCACCGTACCGCACCCAAACCCCTGTCCTGTATCCGCGTTTCGTCGTCTGCGTTCCCGGTAGGCTTTCAGCAGCAGGCAGCAGGGTGACACACACACACAGAGTTGACTTGTGACGCCCGTTTTTCTGTTTGATTGTGGCACCAACTCCACAATCCGAGACAATTTGAGCGGATTGTGAAAAGCTTAGTGATCGACAACCAACGACGACCAACGACAACGACGACGGACACAGTGGGAACCCACTCCCAGTCCCCGGGCCCCGGTCGTTGGAGTGTGCTGACGAGATAATTGTGGTTTCGGAGTCTATCCGAGCTGAGCTTGTGTCGGTTCCGCTCCGGAGCGAACGCACGAGACGACGACGACGACGAATGGGCATGGTATCCATGATCCATGACTAATTGCACTGCGCCACGCTGGCCACGCGCTGCAGTGTCTGGACCGGGCCGGGATACCCGCTGCCGCCAGGACACACATGTACATACACACACACATACACACTCACTACGGCCTTGCGGCGCGCCGTGCGGCGTACAAGCGCGACGCAGGGGCGTGGGCGTGGGCGTGGGCAGCGGGCGTGGACGAGGACGGATACGGTCGAGCCGGAAAGTAACAATAAATGTGTCGGTGCTCGATCGGCCGATCACCTGCGGTGCGCACAGTTGCACCGGCGCACACATGTGGCGAGCTTTCCTTTTTGCACCGGACGCAGCAGCAGTAGGAACATCGCATCGCAATAGCACATAGCATCGACCGACCCGGACCTGAACATCACACCCGGCCAGACAGCCGGTACACATACAGATCTACGCGCGGCCACGGCCTGCGGCCTGCGGGTGGTGGCCGCCCGGTTTTCTCTTCTCCATCTAGGATTAGGACATGTGCCGTGCGGCGGCCGGTTCGGAGTGGACGCCCCCGATGGCGCACCACGTCCGCTCGGAGGCCCCGAGCCAGTCCGCTCCCACTTTCTGGGTGCTCGTTATCTCTTCCACAGGTCCAGGCGGTTAACTGTTGTGTGTGTGCGGGTGACCGGAAGGGGTGTACGGTTTCGGTTGTGGCACGGTCGCGAGTGAACAAAAAAAGTGGCGTTGCGTTTGGCTTTTGTCGCCGACAGACGCGGCGTCGGGATTCGTGTGTCCGAGCGTCACCGAGACCGTAACTGTGCCGTGGGTCGGGAGTAGGGAGTAGGGAGCAGGGAGCAGGGAGCAGGGAGCAGGGAGCAGGGAGCAGGGAGCAGGGAGCAGGGAGCAGGGAGCAGGGAGCAGGGAGCAACATCTGTGCTCAAGCTCGTGACGGGTACCCATTGATCACGCCTGAGCTTCGGGCCGCGCAACAACCCCATGTGGCAGGGACGCGACCGACCTTGGACAGACGGTATCCTTTGCTTCCGATGGGCCAGGCCTCGTGGTCGACGCGGCAACTAACTTTCTGGGTCAGGAAGCAGTGGCTTGAGGTGGTCTGTAGCTCTTGATTCAGAGGCGTTATTGTTTTATTGTTTTATTTGTTGTTATTTTTTACTGCGGCGCCAAGGGGCGAACAACCTAGGTTGCAACCACAGGGGGGGCCAGAGGTTAGAAGCGTAGAGCAGGGAAAAGGGAAAGAGACCGGTCAAAGGAAGCCGGGTCGGTTTTCACCAGAGTAGCCGTTCATGTCGACCTTTGCGGCAGCCATGACGCGCCACTAGATGCGCCCGTTACATATGCTAGCTAAGCGTATTAGTCTGTCTTGGGCATAAGCGAAACGCGTCTTGTCTGAGACAGCCGTAGCGTTCGGAAGGTCCGCTAGCGGTTGTCGACGTCACAACGTGCCGGTACGTCGGTGCCGGTGCCGAGCCCGAGTGTAACCGCGGCTCGGAGCAGTTTCCCTTTCACTACGTAGCCACCGCACACCTTCTCAAGCGTGGGGAGGGTGGAGTGGAGACGGTGGAGACGGTGGGGACGGTGGGGATGGTAGGGACAGAGGGGCCAGAGGGGACGGTGGGGACGCCGAGGACGCCGAGGAAAGGCGAGGCCGACTGCAAGTTGCCCTCATGGAACAACATGACCTGAACACGACTGCCACATGCACCCACCGAAAGGAGTGCCTGTGCGCGTTCACCGCGGGTCAACAAATCCGGTCCATTGATCCTTTGGGTTTCATTCGGCTCGCGGCGCTGGGTGGACGGAGCGGGCGGCGGCACCGCAACAGGGTAACATGACCCAGGGTGTTACCATATTTACCATTCCACCGTCCACGTGTTGGAAGGGTCAAGGTGCAAGGTGCTAGGCTGCAAAGGTTGCACCGTTCTGGACGATAAGGTCGGCTTATTGTCTTTGACAACCGGGGAGGGGGTCGCGCAGCAGCAAAGCGCACAAGCATCATGACATATGTATCTCCCCCCCCTCCACCCGTGTCGCTGCGCAAGGCAAGAACAAAGTGCGCAGCTCGCAAAGACTGTCCTGCCCAGGGCGGTATTGTAACGCCAAAAGGAACGGTTGTGGACCCATTTCTTTGCCAGTGATCCACCAATATTGCAGGTGGGCGTTCAGGCATTGGCTCAGAAAAGGACTGTGCTAAAGTTTTGAGCCCAGGCATGCGTCCGAACAGTGGCCCAGTGGTCTTTGCGGCTCGCGACAGGCAGCAGCGAGGCATTACGTTATGTCCCGGGCTTGGGGGACGGCTGTTCCTTGTGCCACACGCGGCCACCACGCCCATGTCCCGTTGTCGTCGTCGTCGTCGTTGAGCATCGTTTGTGAGTGCGACGAAACGAGCGGGGCCGGCGGGACGAGCGGGAAGGCTCGGAACAGGGCTTGGATGGACCTGAGGATCCGAGGGACATGACTTCCAGTTGAAGCACCGGCATGGGCACGACTGGTGGTACGGGAATGCATACGATGGCTCTGCAGGTCCGGGAGCGGCAGGGAAGTGCAGGGCTCAAGCCGGCAGGGAAACGCTCTGCCTGCGAACAGACAAGGGGCAAGAATGTCGCTTGGGGTTGGTTGTACCAGATGTGTGGGATGCGTATGGCAGCACTGTCCTTTGTGCACTGTGTCTCTCGGATCTGAGCGGCACTGCGAGAACCAGATCTGAGGAGCGGCAGGAGGGGGCTCGGTGATACCCGTGGGTGGGTGGCAAGACCCAAGCATGTCCTCTGGTCTCTGCTGACAGCTGCCGCCTCCAATGTTGCCATGTTCAGCAACTTTTGATCAGCGTGACTGTCCACTTGGCCACTTGGGAACATTGCGCCATGCTCTCATGTCCCACGCGAGGCTGCAAGGGCGCGGCCGGCGCGGTAGTCCAGCAAGGTAGCCCGGAAGAGGGACACGGGTTCAGGCCCAACCGGGAAAGCCGGAAACAAGAGCTTATGTATCGTAGCGTACCCAGGCTACCAGCTACCAGAGTCTGCAGCTCTACTGACGTCTCGCCAGTTGGGTTTGCAGCGGGAACACGGGTCAGGAGTACAGGTGTGGTTGCTATTTTATTTTGATTTTAGCACTATCAAATCATTGTTCCGTCCGACCAAGCCTGACGACAACCTTGCCCCCTTTTGCCCTTGACATGCGTTGCCTTGGCGGTGTCTAGTCTGGGGGTGGTGGTCGTCATTAACAACTGGGGTGCATGGGGCTTGTTCGGCTTCGGCACCAGTACGGCGAGCCAGAAAAAAAGGTGTCGGAGGTGCAATAGCGCCACCCGCGCGCCATGCCGAGCGCCACATAGGTCAGCTAAAATGGAGGCCACCAGCATGCACACCTGCTGGCCTCTTCTGGTCTCAATCTGTCTCTGGATCCGAGGCCGCCACAGCGCGTTGTGAGCATGCACTCCACCACCACCTTTCGATCGGTGCATTCAGACATTTGTGGGTGGGGGAGAGAGAGTCCAGCGGCCAGCGGCCAGCCTTTTTTGAACGCCTCTTTTCTTTGGCCGTTGTTCCGCATGCCGTCGCACATTTCAAGGTAGTGTAGCAGCTTGCTACCATGGCCGCCCGAGTGTTCAGGTGCCGTGGAACAGAACATGGGCTCTGATCATCTGTCACCACATGTGTGGATGGGTACATACCAGGCCTATAGGCTGTCACTCGTGCGTGTGCCATGGTGATGCGCGCACCATGCAAAGAAACAAAACAGACAAGAGCTTGTTGTGAAGCGAACGGGGCAATTGTCATGTGGTGTGAGTGTCTCTAGAGCTCTGCGGCCTGCTTCCTCTTGCCCTTTGGCCTTTGGGGGTTGTTACCGATGAATACCGCACCGTGCCGCGGCGCTGATCGACTGCAACGCAGAGAGACGAGACCTCGGGACGAACGGGGCCCGTCTTACACGCCCAGAGCAAGCCAGAGGCGCTGCAATAGCGTCATGAATGCGGATCAGCGTACTGGGTGGGCAATGGTACGTGCCCAACATGGCACCTGGGCACACCCAGAGTCAAAAGTCAGCTGCCACGCCACATGTCGCCCGCTTATTCCGCTTCAAGGCCAGAACGCAAAGGGAAAGCCGGCGCCACGGAGCCGTCATGCGGCCGCCACTGAGCTCATGGGCCACTGTGTAGTGCTTGCTGTACTGCTGTTTGGCCAGCCCGGTGGAGGTCTCTCGCGTTTGGTTGGAAATCGGACGGGGGAGAGGGGGGAAAAGGTGTCCTGGGTGGTGTGTGTGTGATGGACGGAGGGATGGTGTACATGGCACAGGAACAGGGCCACGGCCAACACAGGGAATAATAACAGGAATAACATGTCCTGCCGTGCCGTTCCGCGGGCCCCACCTTGTTCTCTGAATCTGCTGGATTTCGCAGGCCGGACGCGGGGGGGACAGGACTGTGGGCTGTGGGTTTGCTCCGTTTGCATGCCGAGACCGGGGCGGCGCGGCGGCGCACACAGCCAGCCACGCGAGACCAAGGTACAGGTGCACCCACTATACTCTCTCATCGGGGGGAGCAGAAGGGCCCGCGGGGCGGCTGGGGGCGTGAGATGTTTGCCGCAACGTTTATCCACGGCTTGGTTGCCCTCTGTCGTCCCCAAGGCGAACAAGCAACGGGTCGAGAGGCGCCTTGGAGGCGTCGGAGGCAATGGGGGGGGTCTGGGCATGTCTTTTGCCTTTTTTCGGTGTGGCCAGAAGGTTCATGGGAGAGAAGCAGGTTGCATATGACCCTAATGGCGGCCCGAGCAGTAGCTACGGTGCAGGGAACAAACGTCGGTCGGATGCGCCGTGCAAGGGGACACATGGCGTATTCAGTCTGGTAGCGTGTACGGAAATGGCCAGTCAAGCGAGCGTGCTGGCGCCAGTGGCGGTGGGAGAGAGTGCGAGCGCAGGAGCACAAGATATGGAGAGAGGGGAAGGGGCGCGCGCGCACAAAGGCCAAGCAAACAGAGGCCACAGACGCGGGGGGCTGGGCACATGAGGACGAGGACGAGGACGAGGACGAGCAAGTTTTGTGTGTGTGTGTGGGTGTAGTGGGTGTATACATAGGAGCAGCTGGTGTACCCAACACGGACGAAAGAGGTGGCGGCAGTGGTGGCGCGGCTGGCGGCGTCGGAGGGGGCGGCAGCGTGCGTGCGACCACTTCCCCCCCCACCCCGGCTTTGCATACCGAAATGGTGGAGCAATGGAGAGAGCATGCAGCCGCCAGAGGACTCACCAGTCACATTGAAATGGATATGCCATAGCAAGCTCACATCCCATCGACGCTATCATTCCCTCACCCCTCTTTCTCTCTCTCGCTCTCTCTCTCCCCGTCTTCACTCCTTTTCCCGCCGCTCCCACCCTCCCCGCCCTTCCCCTTTGCCTCCTGTTGACAGCTTGCCAAGGAGGTCTGGTATTCGCCGCTCGACATCTGGCCCCCACCCCCACCCAGCCGCCAGACACACATTCTCCCATTGCGACAAGGACGTGTGTGTGTGTCGATCTCTGTTCTCTCTTCAGCCCCCGGGGTTGTGCTCCCTTTGCTGCGGTTGGGTCTTTTGACCTTTGCTGCGCGGCTTCCCGAGCTTGCAACAGCTTTTCCCTGTTTGGGTGCGACGGGCCTTGTGCTAACTACAACTGGTGAGGACCTGATCAAAGACTCTCTCCCTCTCTCTGCTCGCTTTGGCATACCGTGAGGACATGAGCAAGCACCTGTGCGGGCCCAGACGCGCGGGTGTTGCTGGCGAGCCCCACTGGGGGGGGGGGGGGCAAGGGCGATTCATGACCGCACTGCGCAACGCTGTCCGCCAGCGCTGGTGTGCAGGATCCATGAGGCATTGGGTGGTGGTGGTGGACGTTTTTTTTTTTGTTGCCCTGTTTTGGGTTTGCCCCGATCGAAATCGTTACATGGGGGGCTCGGGGCAGGAACCAGCGCGCGCGCGCGGTGGCATGAAGTGGGTGTGATGGGATGGATGCCCTGTGCACGTACGCAATGCGGGACGACGGCGCACAACGCTCTGGCGCTCTGGGAGTAACCTTGGGTTCTGCCGGCAGAAACGGCACAGCTGTCGACGGCTGGACACTGCGTTGCCCAGCGTTGCCCAGCGCGCGCCGTCATGACATCCACACCCGTGTGTCTCCTGCGGCCCTCTCCTGTGCACCCCCCAACCCCCCCACCCACACATCCTCCGTGTTGACATCGTCCGTTGACATCTCTTTCTCCCTCTCTTTCTCTCTCTCTCCTCTCCCGTCGTGTCCCTTCCCCTCCCTCCCCCCCCCCCTTCTGGGCCCTGGCTGACGCCCATCCCCCTCTCCCTCATCTCTCTCTCTCTAGAAGTCCAGTCCCAACCGTCCCCCTCTTCCCCACGCCATCGTCGCCCTCCCCTTCGCCCACCACCCGCCCGCTGCCCAGCCCTTCCTTTTGCACTCGCCGACGTCGCTTGGTGATTCAAACGACGGCAACGTACGGGCGCTGGCATCCGGCATCTGGCATCAGACGGACGGATTTCTCCTGGTAACGGCAACACGTAAAACCAACAGCCAACAAGCCGCAGGTCGGCCATCCATCCACACCTTACCGCCCGTCCTTCCCAGCTTGCAACTGGTCGTCGGTGTGTATACCGATTCGGACCCCCGCCAAGCTTTTGGGCCCTCGTCCACACGCCTTGGACATCATTTCTGGTCTTTGGCACATCATCTCCCTTCACGACCCAATCCCTCTTCCCCCAACCCCCATCCCTTCGTCACCCCTCCTTCACTCGTCCTCCGCTTCCTCCGGCACCGACACCTCTCTCTCTCTCTCACACACACAAACGACGACCAGGCCCACGTGGTACATCATCCACAGGCTCACGTTCAGCGCACACGAACGCCCAGACCGAGACACGAACGAAACTTGACTTTTACGAACCGTTCCAACGTTACACTGAAACAGAAGCCGACGGCCCAAGTACGGCTGTGAGACAGGGTTGGTCCGAGACATTTCACGTCTTCCATCCCCCATCCCCCCCGCCTGCGTACCGGCGCACCCACCCCCCCCCTCTCCCTTCAACGCCGTCTGGCTCCATTCACAAAACCCTGCCGGCTACGCACCCTCTGCGTTTGCAGCACGTCGTGCACGCCAAACACCAAAAGTCGTGGCTTGCACGTTGTGAACTAGGCCGGCCCCGGGCCCCACCACCGACACACCTTCACTCCCTCTCTTGCTTCCAACCTCGTTGTCACCACAACCACCACCACCACCACCACCACCACCAGAACGGGGGTACCAGCGTTGCCAGCGGCGCTCTCCGGGTAAGACATCTGTGACGCTCTCGGCCTTGACGACCCTTTCCCTTCCCGCGTCCTTGTCCACCCCCCCGGCCCGCAGGCCCACACAGGTCTAGCCCCTCGTCTTCGGTTCGGACCTGTTGTTCCTCCTCCTGTTCTCGGTGGCCAACAAACACTTGCACTCGGCGTCAGTCACGACCTATGCAAGCCCGGCCCGGGACCTCCGCTTAATCCTAACCTGTCCCAACGTTTCGGCTTCGGTGGCGTTTCTTGCCATCGTGGCCGGCCCCTAGGCGACAACATCCCTCGCGTCACTTCCATAGGAGACCCGGTGTTGGTGGTACAACCATCAGTCCACACCGCTACACCTCCCCTGTTTTCCCATTCAACACGGCCCCACGCCATCTCGCATACCTACCCAGCAATGCGGCGCAGAGCCGACAGCCCACACGGGCCAGTGACCCAAGGTACGTCGTAGTACCTGGACTGTGGGCCCAGCGACCCTTTGTCGCATGGCTGCACTTACGGAACACACGCGATTTCTGATCATGAAAACATGAAAAACCTAACCTTGTACCAGCAGAGTCACATCCTCCATCGAAGCGACTCCGTAAATCAACATCACCGTCACTGTCACCATCAGAGTCCACCACCGGGACACGGTATATGCGTAGGGAGGCCGGTAGCGGTACATCGCCCCGTGTCATCCGCGCTTCATCGCCTTCCAGGCCCACACTTCCTCCTCTTCACCCCCTGCCTCTAATGCAGCCTGGCCAGTCTGGGTCTGGTGGCGGGGGCCCGTCGACCTACCAGTCCTTTTCTGCCGCAGGGTCACAGACGTCTTCATCGCAACAACAACCGCCACCTGGCTCATGGGCCCCACACTGGCCACCAGGACATTTGTCGCGTCACTCGATAGACGCCCCACATGTGATTGTCAAGTCGGCATCCTCGAGCCCAGACCACCGGCGCGATACGGGCGATGACCGCGACCACGCAGACACGACCGCCCCCAGCACAGGTCCGGACATTGTCTTTACGCGTGACGTCACAAACAGGCAGCCTCGCAGTATGATGGCGTGTATGCGCTGCCGCCGGCAAAAGTATGTGGCGCTCAATTGACTCGTGTCTGCATGGAAAGGCAACACTGTTCCGCTGACACGCACACAGAATGAAATGCGATGGCCCAGGCAAGGAGCCGTGTCGAGGATGTCGACAGGCGCAGGTGCCCTGCGTGTTTGAATCGCGTGCACGCCCAAAGTCGATTTCCACCATTCCATCACGCGGATCGCCATTCTTTGCTGGCTCGCTTCCGCCCGGCCGCGGCGGGACTCCGGGCGCTGGAGGGCCGTCGTTTTATCCGGCCTCGTCGCAACCAGCGCCGCCCATTACCTCGCGCCCAGCGCTCATTCCCGACTATGTGCCCCGGCAAGGACGGGACCCAAGAGAGCCTATGCCTCCGCCGCCCAACGCTTCTATTTCGTCTCTGGCCAACGTCGGCGGTGCGCCGTACCCTCCGCCACTTCGTGCCCATTCACCACCGATGCACACTCCTCCTTCAGTACCACAGCCACCGGGATACTACGGCCCCCCGCCCGTTCAAGTGCAACCACCGTACCCTGGCCCCCCACCTCCAAACGTCCCCCCACCGCCTGCTGGCCCGCCGGTGATGGACCAACGTTTCGACGGACGTCTCAGGAGTCTCGAGTCTGGATTCCGCGATGTGTCGGCTTTGCCCGCTGCCGTGGCGGGGCTGCAAGCCACTCTGGGATCTATTTTGCGGTCTCAAGAGCACCTCGCGGCTCAGCTGGGGAACAATAGCACCAGCGGCGGTACGATACCATCCGCATCGCTGGTCCCTACCCGGTCGGCCACAGACGTCGCCGATCATGTGTGGGAGAGCTATCGTGTCGGCGCCTGGCCGCTCACCCCGTGGTTGCCCGGTATCTCACCGTTGCCCGGTCTCCCTACGTTGACACTTGCATGCCTGGGTCGTCGAGCTGCCGTGGAGCGCAACGACGCCACTCGACGAGAAGCCAGCGTCGCCGCTGACAATGTTCTCAACGAGGTCACCCGTCTGCTTTCCTCCCGTCTTCCTTGGACCCGTGACGAGGTCTTGTCCCTGGGCGTCTTCGCGTAAGTCGTCGGCAACATCGAAGGGCGTGTCGGGCGTATAGTAGTAGCTGACATAATCGCAGCACCTGGACAAGTGACCCGGCACTGAGCTGCTTGGCAACTGGACTGGCACGGGAACTCCAGCTCGACCGCCCTCTCACTCTCCGGAAGAGCCACAACGAGTGGCGCGAGTGGATCTACGTCGTGCTTGCAGACCACTTGCTGCACCTCCCGGATTTCAACCGCCCGTCCGTGCACGAGCCCCTCGCTTCACGCTGGCGTGAGCTGGTCCACACGTCCAACCCAGACGACCCGGCCACACACGACCGTGACTCGAAGCTGCTGGCTTGGCTTGAGCTGTCGGAACTGCTCATCGAAGTTCAAGACGCTCAGCGAGCTCTCCGGCTTCCAGACGGCTCGCCAAACCCTGCAGAGGTCCGCCGAGACTCGGGCTCGGACAGGAGCGACCACGCGCGTCAGACTTCGGGCCCTCCTGCCGGCGACACGCAGACGGACCGCGACCGAGTGGTCACGCGCGACATCTGGCGGCGATTCGCGAGCAGGTTTGAGGCATGGGCCGGCAACAGTGGTGCCCGTCACGACCCAGTGCTGTCGCTCCACTTCAACTATGCCATCCTGTACTGTGCCTCGCCAGTGTGGGCAGCCAACGAGCGTCTGTGGAGCTCGCTTTCGCAGACGCACGAGGGCTACCAGCAGCTGGAGCGCGGACGTGACGCTGCGTTTGCCGTCCTGCAAGCACTTGCCGCTCCAGAGATTGCCCGCACGCTCGCGCACTCGTTCCCGGTCGTTCGGCCCTTTTTCGGACTCGCCATTGCGCACCTCGTCTCGCTCACGGCCACCATGAGCCACAACACCAACATCATCAGCGTTCCGCATGTTTTGGGTGCTCTTCGCAACATTGTCGACAGTCTGGCTACTTGTGCTCCTTATGACCCTGTTGCTCGCCCGCCGCCCGGCTCCCCGTTGGGTCTCCGCTCGCCGCCCTCTGCACAGGTCCACCCGTCCTCGGAGAGCGGCCATCCGACATCACGCACGCTGCCGCCTTCGCTCATCCTCGAGATGGCCGATACGGGCGCCATTGTTGCAGTCGGCAAGCGCGAGGTCGTCGCTGCCGAGCCCGGACGTGAGCTCTGGACCCGCCTCCTTGGATAATCACTGGTTCATTTTTCCCTCTCTCCCATCTTTTTCCGTCTTATCTCTTTTGCGCCACATTTTTTTTGCTTCTTCTTTTCTTTTTTGGCTCAACCCGACACGATCTCACTCCACGACTATCCGTCCCCACGAAACCACTTTCGCACATCCCACATCCCCTCTAGGCTCCCCAACGCACACCCCCCTAGTCGCCTCCCCTAGTCCTCTCCGCACCTATAGATCCCACTACTACAACCCTATCCCACCCCGGCGGCATATCTCCGACCTGTTCGGCACGATTTCGATTTGGTATGAGACTTTCACGAGCTGGACAGCATCAGCCACCTATGGCACGCAGGACATGTTATGCAGGTCATACACGACTATATACGGTTGCAGGGGCACAGAACGCACGCTGATTCGCACAAGCACGAGTGACATTTGGCCGGAACCGGCGCCCTGTATGGGGACCAGTTGCGAGTGGCGGTGGTTGACTTGTTCGCTGCATGCGGACAGCTCCACTGGTGTATATAGGTAGCGGGCTTGCGACTGCCGTCCAGCCATCTCTCCACTCTCCCACTATCCTCTACTGCTGACCAGAAGAGAGGCGTAGCCCGCGGCGACGGAGATGATCTGCGATCCCGGTGCCAGGGCAATCACTCACTCCGAGAGGCACTTCCGTCGCCATCCCGACCCGTACCCGGCCGGGTCAACCATCTGCCTCCCGTGGCACCATCTACGCCGTGGCTCTGGCTGGGTGGCGAGGTACGTTTTGAGCGTAGATGCGCCGTCCTGGCTGGCATAGCGTGCCCCGGATGCCACTCTGCCTCCAATGCGGCATGCCACCGTCCGCCACACAGACACCCTTCCTCTTCATCATCAACCCCCCTCCTCCCCGGCACTCCCCTCCTCCTCCCCACTGTCACTCACACCTCCCTCACCCCCGCCCGGACCAAAAGAGTACCTTCCGATCGCTCGGATGGTACCATCTCGACAATAACCTGATTCGAACAGATGCTCCCGAAGGAAATTGATTTCTAGTCAATCGCGTTAACCACTCCGCCATATTGCCCCCACTGGTGTCTTCTCCTGATGCAGGGCTATCGTACGATGCAAGAATCACTGCTCTACATGCATGGTGGCATGAGAAAATGGATGGTTTGTGTCGATGGAGGACGCGCGGATGGATGGTGGCAAAAGTGCCACACGACCGACAAGCAAGTGTGCCCATCCGCGGATCTATCCGCAGCCCCCCCTCCACCCACGCCCACGCCCTCGCCCGAATTTTCCCGACGGCTTGGAACCCCCGACAGCACGGCCACCGGCTGTTGGCACCGACCGCAAAAGGAGAATACCACCGGCGTGACCGGCTGTTGTGGTAGCGAGCTCGACCGTTACACCGTCTAGCTCGACTGGGCAAGTCACGTGACCCCCAAAACGGGGAATAAACGGGAAATCAATTCAAAAGCCCCCGCCGATCCTCTGAATTCACCGGCCAAGCGCGGATGCTTTTTTTGCTGGATTGGGGCTGTCTTTAAATCTTCCCCCCAAATAAGGACGGCCGGGTTGGACGCATCGGGAGCAATTACCCAACCGAGCAGGCCGAGTGAGTTGGACGCGACGCCACTTGACTTGTTTCTGGGAGGTGGTTGATGTCGACGCATCAAGCAGGTGTGATGGTGAGCTCGATGCAAGGCATGGAGTTCTCAAGGTATAAGAACAAGACGAACAGACCCGGGGGGAACGTCTTCTTCTTCGTTCACCTCTCTCTTCTCATTTCCTCTCCCCACCACCACCTTCCTCCACTTCGCCACTCTCTCACCGCCACACCCCCACCACCACCATGTTCACCTTCCTCCTCCTCTGCATCGTCGTGGTCACTTATGCCATCGACTTCAACCTCTTCCTCGGAGTGGTGCTGGCCGTCGCTCTGTTCTTCTCCCTCGCCATCCGCCGCCTCTGGCCCCTCCTCAAGTGGCTCTTCACCGAGGACCAGGTCAAGCCCACCCCCATCACCCCCGCCGCCGCCTTCCCCCAACCCACTTACGGACCCGGCCCCGACGAGGACTGGGACCTTCCCATCCTCCCCTCCAGCACCACCACCACTGCTGTCTCCACTCCTGTCCTCGACGACACCCCCACCCCCACCTCTGTCCCCGTGATCGACGCCTCGACCATGTTCAGGCGCGACTTTGAGCTTCCCACCCTCGAGATGCGCAAGTTTGCCGCCACGGCCTTTGCCATCCCCACCCCCGCCTTTGAGAGTGAGTCCGAGTTCTATGCCGACGTCTCCACCGACGAGCACGACATCTCCGACTCGCTCTCCATCTCGACCGTCTCCACCCTCCCCGCCGACTTTGGCGCCGACTACAAGCTCCCCGACTCGGTGTACCACTGCTCGGACCTGCGCTGCAAGAGGTGCCACCCTTTCGAGGTGTTCAGCATCCTCAAGCCCAAGCGCTCGTTTGAGGCGAGCAAGGAGCCCCAGAACCGCCACGCTCCTCGCAAGGCAGTGGGCTTTAGCGACATTTCGATCGTGTACCACTTTGACGCCGCGCGCACCCCCAAGCTCGCCAACACGGTCACCCCGCTCCCGGGCGTCCTCAAGCCCGAGGCGCTCATCCTCAAGCCCATCCGCAAGCACCGCTCCCCCATCACGGTGCTCATGGAGGCCAAGGGCCGCGCCCAGCGCCGCAAGCGCAACGCGAGGAACGCCGACGAGGCCGTCCTCGCCGCCTGGGACCAGTACTGCGACATGATGCAGGAGTTCTGCGACTGGTTCCTCGACGCGGGCGGTGCCGCATGGTAGTTGTCGCTGGTCGACCTACCCACAACAACAACAACAACAACAAAACGGGGCTTCCACACCCCACCCCGGACACTTCTCTCTTGGACACTTGTCTCTCTTGGTTGTACCCTCTTTGCTCTCCAGCATTACTCCATGTTGTAACACTATGGAATATAATTCTCGGGTCTCACCTCTCTCTTCCGTCGCACTTCTGTCACACTACCCTCGCACCACTGATCCAGTGACACCCCCACCCCCCACCCCTCCCACCCCCGCTGCACCGCTCGCTATCTACTGTCATGCATTTCTACGCGCCTGGCGCTTTTGATCTACCGACTACTCTCAGACTACTTCCTACCGCCTTGCCTCTGCTGCTGGGGCTGCTTTGGCTGGGGCGACGACGCGGCCGCAAGGAGCTTTTGGCCGCGCTCAAACGCGCCGGCAGCCTTGAGGCTGCGTCCAAAGGGGTCCTCCTTCTTGACGGCGTAGATGCGCACAATCCAGTTCTCCGAGGTGAACGCCTCCTCAATGGTCTCGAGGTGCTCGTGGGTGCCGTGCTCGGGGATGCGCTGCTGGCGGACACGGTCCGTGGCCGGGTGGCCGCCGTACAGCTCGGGGAAGCGGTGGTAGCACATCTTGTACATGAGCGAGTTGCGCATGGCCTCGGAGGCGCGGTCGTCGACGGCGTACTCGCCACGAGGCGTAAAGTAGCGGGGCTCCTGGATCTGGTCGGGCCACTCGCCCTGGGCGATACGGACCATCCAGAGGAACTTGTTAATGTCGTCACCCGAGTAGCCGAGGAGACCACCAAAGATGACGAGCACATAGTCGACGTCGTGGCGACGCAGGATCGGGTAGGCAATGTCCTCGTTGGACGACATGGCCAGGCCGACAGTGGCAATGTGGGTGTTGTTCCACGTGTTGTTGTCGACGAGGGTGGCGCGGTCGGCCATGCCGGCAATCTGGTAGCCATAGTCCCACCACGACATGACGACGGCGTCCTTTTCAGTGTTCTGGCGGAGCCAGTAGTAGGCCTCGCGGAAGTCGTCGATAATGTTCTGGCTACCGTCCTGGTTGCGCGAGGCGAGAACAACCGAGGGCGACGAGTAGGCCGACTGGGTGACGTAGGTGCAGTGGTGCACAAACAGGGTGAGGAGGAAGAGGAAGACACCAATCACGGCGACGCGCGAGTCCCAGTTGAAGATGCCGTTGGTGCTCTTGCCCGACAGGACACCGGTAAACTCAAACGCGGGCGCGTTGGCAGCCTTGTTGGCAGCCTTCTTCGAAGCCTTCTTGGACTTGGCGTGGCTGTCGTCCTCGTCCTCGGTAGGGAGGACAGGGTCCATGTAGGTGTCGAGGAGCTTGGAGATGGCCATGGCCGCGCAGACACAGACCACAGGGGTAAGGACAAGCATGAGACGGACCATGACACCGGAAAAGTACGCGGCAAAGACGGCGTAGATGATGACGAACACGTGCTCGTCACGGAGCTCGCGGAAGCACCAGAAGACACCGGCGGGGAAGATGAAGATGAGCATCTGGAGGTCGAAGAAGTAGGCGGGCCACGCGGTAGGCTGGTGCTCCGAGACCGAGGCGATAATGGGCATGTGAACCTTGGCGTAGCCAGTGTCCCAGAGCGAGTAGAAACGGCCAGTCCAGGGAGCGATCCAGCCCGAAAAGGTCAGGACCACGAGGGCGGCAAACGAGACGACGAACACGAACACGACAAAGGCGCGGACGAGGAACTGGAACTGCTTGCCGGGGACAAGACGGCGGACGATCTCGACAAAGGCGACCAGCTGGATGAGGCCAAACGTGCCGAGCGCAGCCATACCTTCCGACGTACGGATGGGGAGGAACTCGACAAAGGGGACCTGCATCGACGCCACAGTGCCGAGCACGTACCACGACGAGTAGGCGACGTAGATGCGGTTGTTGTAGCGGCCCATGAGGATCAGGACGAACACGTGGAGGGGCACCATGTTGGTGATGAAGACGTAACCACCCCAGGCAGCGACCATCCAGCCGTAGAAGAGCGCAGCGACGGTACCCCAGAACGCCGAGCCGGTCTTGAGCGCCTTGATCCAGGTGAAGAAGGTGATCATGAGGAGGAAGATGGCAATGGCCTCGTTGTCGTACGAACCAGCGACCGAACGCGAGATGTAACCGGGGACAATGCCGATGAAGGCGGCAGCCAGGAGACCCGCAGAGGGTGTGGCCATCTCGGCGGTGAAGCTGGAGCGAGTTAGAAGGTTTCACAAGACCAGCAACTCACAGGTAAGTGGCCCAAGCAGTCAACCGGAGAAGCCGGGTGCGAGGAGGACACAGACGTTGCGAATGTCGACGGGCATGTTGATCCACTGGAGGAAGCTCCAGATGACACCCGACGTCACCATAATACCGGGGTAGACGGTGCCACCGACGGTACGACCGAGAGGGTACCAAGCAGTGGGGTCAAACCAGTTCCAGAACTCCTGCACGAGGTGTCAGCTAGGTTCCAGGTTGGTGAAGAAGCTGCACGTACATAGAATCCACGCTCCACGAGGACCTTGGTTGCGCGACTGCGGGGTTAGCTAGGCCTCCGACAGTTTCAAGTCAGCTTACTAGTTGAACCAGGGGTCAAACTCGTGGATAATACTCTCAAAGCGAATGACGGCAAAGAGACGGCTGGCAACCGCTGCGCCGCAGATGAACGCGAGAATGACAAAACGGAGGAACGACTCGGTGTTGTCGATCGTCTCCCTCGAGAAGTGGGGGAGCGGGTATGCGAGCTTTCGCTTGTCCCAAGTAATGGGCGCGTCGGGGTCAGCAGCAGCAGGGGCAGCGACCTGCTCGACAGCAGCAGCAGCAGGAGCGACTGCTGGGGCGGCGGCCGGGGCGGGTGCGCGCGCTGGCGATGCGGCAGCCGCCGAGGCAGATGCGGCGGCGCTGGCCTTACGGGGGGCCATGGTTGCCGAACTGGCCGAAGGTCGGGAGGGGGGGGAGGGAGAGAGGGGGGAAGGGGAACGGTCGAACCCGGGAGTCCAGGAGTTGGGCGTGGGCTCTGAACGGGAGCTTGACAGCGCTCTGTTGTGTAAAGAAAGGAAGGGGGGGTGATGGAGAAGAAAAGGTGTTGTGAGAGTGAGTTGCCCCCTGCTGGATCTCTCGCGGTGTACTCCAGAGTGGTCGTCGTGGTCGTCAAGCCTGGCCCGCAGCCTGCCACGATGCACTGCTGCTACGCGTCGCAGTCAATGACGTGTGTATTTTGATTTCAATACGTCAGTGACGCGTTTTGATAATGGGTTTGGGCTCTGGTGGCCCCACATGCGGGCGAGTGGAGGTGTCTGTTTGGGGCTCTCGGGGGTGTCAGTCCTGCGGTTAAATGGTACGAGATGTCGGGCGTCGCAGTTTGCTGTGGTCTCTAATGGCCATGTCCCCTTGGATGGTCCTTTTTTCGTTTGACGCGTCGCTTCAGCTCATGAGTGTGGAGACGCGCGACAGAGAGTAGAACTGTGTCATAACAAACGTGTGACTGTATTTGAAGATGCTGCCCAAAGAAAGGAACGGCGCCGCCATCGTCTGCCCTTCTCAGGACGGGGGTGAGTACGTGTGAAGGACACTGCTACTCAGTGTGTGCAGTTTTAAGAGGGATTGAATAGACCGACGTATACCGATGTGTGGTGTGTCCTGTGTCTCTTGTGGGGGGGGGGAGGCTAATACCCGACCCACATGTGTGCTCGTGCCGTTCCTTGGATGGACGATCATCGCGCCACGCAACCAAAGTTATGACGTCGACCCATGCAACTGTTTTGGGTGGAGCCGATGATGTTCCCTAATTCCTCCCCCGGCAGCGGCCGCCGAGCGATGAGGATATATAATGAAATAAGCCTTGTTTGATGGGCGATATAGGGCCTATAGGGACACCCAAAAGACCCCAATTTGATTCCGCCATAGCTCTGCCTGGCCTGCTGGGCTGCTTGGAGCCCGAGAGAGGCAATCTGGCGGCGACGTCATGCTCGCCATCATACAGGCCGGCAGGGACAGACCGGGGGGAAGGGCCGCTTTTTAGACCTCCGTCGCTCCATGTATCGTTTGCGCTCTCTCTCTCGTTCTACCACATCTCACTCCCCCACCCACCCGCTCTCTCTCTCTCTCTCTCGTTCCTCTACTCCACAGCTACATCTCTTCGCGTTGCTCTTCTGTGGCCCGCATCCACATCCCTTTGCACACCCCACTCCACTACACTCATTCCTGCAAATCCCTATAAGCCTGGCCCGCAACACCACCCCGCACCAAGCCCCGACGGCGCCATCACAGGCTTCCATCGCCCTTACACCCACATTGTCTCTCGACACTTGCTACTCTCTTCTCTGTCCACCCCTATACTCTCGTGCAATCATCCACACCATCCTCTCCTTTTTAATCTCTCCCCGCCATGGACGCTCTTCGTCCCGGGCACACACACCGGAGCAGTAGTGACCGCCTCCTCAACAACTACCTGTACGTCCATGCTGCCCCACCTCCCCCCCTGACCAACGCCAAGAACGGCCCGCTGACCCAACCTTCTTACAGCGACTCACAGAAGAGCCTCACTACCTCGCTCCTTACACTCCTCTCGCACTCGCATGCCTCGACCTCGTCCCTCTTGGCCTATGTCACCTCATCCCCGGGTGTGCTCCTCCCCGTGAGGAGAGCAGTCCGCCATGCCGCCTTTGAGGGCCCCCTCTCCCCCTCCATGCACGAGAGTGCTGCGGGCACCAACGGATCAGCACTCGCCGACACTGGCACACCTGGCTGGGCTTCATACGTCAGCAGCCTCGAGGACTTTCGCAAGGACCTAAAGCAGATTCACCTGCTCGAGGAGGAGATGAGCCGAGTCAAGCGCGACCGCGAGATTCTCGTCACACGCCTCATCAAGACGACAAAGTCGCGCCCCACCAAGTCTGACATCAAGGACATGGCCAACTCGCTTTCGGTGCCCCGTGACCGTGAGGGCTCCATCATGTCGTCCCAGGCGTCGGTGTATTCGCACTCGTCGGACGTTTCGGCCACCACCAACAACAAGGAGTCGAAGCGCGCGGGCAAGCTGGCCGAGGCGCAGGCCGAACTGCTCGGCTGTGAGGAGCACCTGCGTTCTCTCGAGGTGCGCATTGAGAGTGAGCGCAACAAGGTCATGTACCGTGGCCTCGAGGAGCGTTTCCGCGCAATGGAGGTCGTCGGCCACATGTGGCTGGCTCAGTCTCGTCGCGGCCTGGAGGATCTCGAAAAGCTCCCCGACCTCCCTGCCAACGCCTACGAGTTGGACTCGAACGGCTCGCTTGCACCTTCCCAGTCGGCATCCCAGGTTGGCTACGAGGACGCCTCGCCCATAAAGCGTGCCATCCGCATGTCAGGCCCCCGGGGGCCAGGCTCCATCGAGGGCGATATCGCCGAGGAGGAGGAGGGAGGCGGCAGTTCCGACGACGAGCCTCATGGAGCGCTTGTCATGCACGAGAACCGCCAAGGAGGTCTGGTCATGCACGAGAACCGTCGGGCAAGTGGTCAGCTCAACGGCTCAGCTACTGGCCCCGCAACTGCGCCGCCACACAAGCCGTCACCTCTGGGCCAGCAGCCAGCTGGTGCCCCCGCGCCATACCTCCCCACAGCGCCTTACTCGTCCATCGACCGGAGCGCGAGTGCTGCTCGCCGTGCCACGAGCGAGATTGGGACCAGGGCCTACAACCCTCCTCAACGGCAGCCTCTCCGCCGCACCGTCTCCAATGACCACAGCCCACCGCGTCGCGCTGGCTCTGACACGTCCAGTATCCGCAGCGTGCGCAAGAAGGGCTTCTTTGCGTCGATTGCCCGCTTCTTCAAGGGCCCAAAGCACAAGCCGAACCCTCAGCGTTCGCGTAGCGGCCGGGACTCCCCAGCTCGCGCCGGTGGAGCATGGCAGACGAGGACCAACGACAACCTGAAGCGTGGCTCGACGATTGGCCGCACACGCATGCGCAGTGACTCGAGCTCGGACGAGGACGACATGGCAAACCTCGTCCAGGTCTCGAACCGTGGACCGACCGACTTTGGAGGATGGAGCGCAGCCGACGTTGGCAGGGTGCCATCCACATCTGGACGTGTCAAGCGCTCTGCATCGACCAGGTCAAAGGAGCACCATTGTCTCGCAGGCAACTGTGGTACCCCGGGCGACCACCCCCAAGGCCACAGCAGCGGCTGGTGGCGTCACGCGCTCCAACACTGTCAAGAGCACCAAGTCGGTGAACACGGTCAGGTCTTCAGCTACCGACACTGCCAAGACCCGCAAGAATGGCAGCATTGCGCGCACAAAGAGCGCCAAGAGCCGTGCCGATGCTCGCTCGTCCAACATCATGTCCATTGTCGACATGGCCCCTCCCGCCATGCCCGACGTTCCCAAGGCGCCCAGCTCGCAGAATAACCCCCGCATGGAGCTTGTCACCGCCCCTGGCTCATCCATTGTTCCTTCTGGTGGCAAGACCCAGCTTGTTTTGCCCTCGCACGTCATGACCGGAGCCGTGTCCCGTGTCCGTGACCAGGACGAGCTGCGCCCGCAGGACTCGATCTCGCGCTCCAACAGCGCACGTACTGCAAAGTCGGAGAGAGTCCCAAAGGCCGACAAGCAGCGTGACCTGCCCGAGCGCCCTCGTTCAGTGTCGCCCCTGCCCCCATCCAAAATGCGCTCGCCGCCTCTCAAGTCGGCCCTCCGCCCGACCTCGCCCTCTCCCCCAGGCTCCTCCCTTCCCCCTCCCGTCATCACCACACTCTTCTCGGTCTCGGCACCCCCTCCCGTCGACATTCCGTCCGAGTCGGAGCCCGAGCACGAGATTGAGAGGCAGCCCTCTCCTTCGCCAGCTGCGCGTCCCGCCATGGCCCAGCGCAACTCGTCATACAGTGGCACCGGCGACGAGACTAGCCTCTACGAGTCTGCTCGGGAGGAGGGCGGTGCTGCTGTCACTGGCGACGACGACGAGACGTCCGATGACGAAGCCACCGAGCTTGGCCGCTATAACGTCGTTGAGAACGAGCGTGTGGCGCGCCGAAACGAAATCGCCGCTTCTGCCGAGGGACGCGACCTTCCCCCTCTCCCCGGGACGACGTCTCGAACACTACCGCCGTCCGCGCATCCCCTCAGCCCATTCTCCCCGATGTGGCCCATGCGCCCGCGCCCGTGACCTCGGACGACACCAAGGTTGTTCGCCGCAAGTCGGTGCGCATGAGCCTCCCTGCCGGCCACGGTCAGAGCACGTCTTACGAGCAGGTGGAAGCCAGCGAGGACGGCCACGAGAACGGTACTACTTCGCGCGAACGTCAGCGTGAGAGCGCGTATGCCGACGCGGCCGTCGCCTCCAACGCCTCCACCTCGTACGCGCCGCGCGACGACTCACCTCCACCCACCCGCTCGCACGCCACCTGGGACACACGTATTGGCCGGGTGCGCGACGACACTAGCGACGAGGAGGAGGAGCTCGAGGAGAAGGACTACAGGCGCGCACGCAAGGGCCTCCTGCGCAACTCGGGCAACTATACCGCCGACTCGCTGGGCAAAAAGTCGAAGAAGTCGGGCACGTCCACCTCGGGAAGCGTCAAGAGCAAGGGCAGCTTGCGCTCCAAGATCTCGAGGTAATAATAGTCACCGCCATCTGTGCCATACAGCTCCGACAACGATCTATATATCTACAACAGCACCACCATCCACCCACCACATTCTACAATTCACGACTACAGCCTCTACCTACACATCCCCCGTCGCCTAATCAATTTTCCACCTTTCTTGATTATATATATTTTTCAGACTTGTTTCGCAAATACGCATGCATTGGGCCTTCTGTTCCCGGGTTTCCCTTATACTGTTCACATTTCCTGCACTGTACACGGATCTCTGGGTCTGGGTTGGTTGATACAAGAGGCGACTACCACCGACCCCTGGTTTCCGTCCTGACACAACTGATGGCTACATTTGGGCTGCTGATGGCCGATGGTGAGTCGGGCAATGGTGCGGCGGTGGTGAGGATCTAGGAGGTGAGGCGGCGACTGATGGTGTGTCAGGCGGGAATGAGAGGCAAGAGTGAACGAAAAGAGGCCTGACAATAGGGGAACATTGATGTCAGAGTCGCGACGATCAGGAGATCAGAACACGCTGGCTGGTATTCCTGGCCCACCACGCCTTCATTGTTCCGCAACTGAAATATTCGCCACTGATCAGATCGTCATCGCCACCCACAATGAAACCTCCCCGTCAAAAGACCACCACATCAGAGACACAGCAGGTGCAGGCAGTGCATGTCGCATGCTGCATCACAGTACAATCCTTCTCGTCTCCCCTATTGTCTCCAATCCATGCGTGGGAACGTCGCTTTTGCTCATGACTTCTTAACAGTTAGACCACACCTCCAACTCGTGCCACTATCACTACCTTGACCACCTCGCCACCGTACCACTCTTCACCCATCCGACTTCAACATGCCCCCCGACGGTCCCAGCCGCTTCAAGACGCGCTTCTCCAACATTTCCATGCCCGGGTTCAAGCAAAAGCAGCCCGACATCACCCCTTATCCAATGTATCTGCCGCCCCCCGTGTCGCTCGCCGCAGTCCATAGCGTAGCCCAAAACGTCCACTGTGTCGAGTCACACCGTGCGAGTCTCAAGAGCCAGCACGCCAGCCCAGGCATGTTCGTGCCCAGCTCGCCGCTCCCTCCCCTCCCCACGGGCCTGGGTGGCAACTTGGGCTACCAACTCTCGCCGCCCGAGTCTCCGTACCCGATCGATCTCGAGGCGTACGCCCAAGGAGGTGCTGCTTCGAGTGAAGCCTCTCCCGAGTCGAGTCCCAAGGCGCGCCCGCCGCCACTCGACCTCGAACGCACGCACCAAGTCTACCCCGCCAAGGTGGTGCGTGAAGTCCCTCCCCCGCCGCTCCTGAACGTCGCGCGTGGGCGTATCCCTCCGGCCCCTGCTGTGGGTCGAGGATCCGACACGACCGCCACGTTGGAGTTCTTTGATGTGGAAAAGCACGCGGGAGACTACAAGGCGAGCGAAACCCTCGAGGCAGAGGGGGGACGGTACCCGACCTGGAAGAACACCCGCCATCTCGAGCCGGCCGCCACTGCTACTGCTCCCCACCAGCAGTTTGCGGCATCGCACGCGCGTGACTTGGGCGATTCCGTCCTGCACGATGTCTTCCTCACACCCACGTACAACACGTTCTCTTCCTCCCCCGGTCCGTCGGGCTCCAACTCGACCGTAAAGGGACCCCGGGGCGCCATCCCGGCCATGGCAGCCAACGCTGCGCGGCTGAGCACCGCATGGATCATGCGGCCCAGTGCGCTCAAGCGCGACGGCAATGGCGACGGAGACTACAACGACAGGCCCAGGCCCCAGCGTACGGTTCGCATGGCGCTGCCTCTCCCGCTGCCCGAGAAGGACGCGTACGCCGGATATCGCAAGGCCAGGAGCGTCGCGTCCACCGCTTCGCCTGCTTCCTCGGTTCACAGAGCGCCTCGCTGGAGTGGCGCCAGGGAGTGGGTTATGAGTGATGTGGAGAAGGTGAAGGCTGCTGTGGGAGGCAGGCAGGCGGGTTACAGCAAGAATGTCGAGCAGAAGAAGAATAAGCGAAACGTGAGCTTCGGAGTAGGTACCAATAGCTGACAACCCAGCGGTGCATTGTCCTGGTCGTCCTTGTCTTATTCATCCTCATTGTGGTCCTCTGCATCAAGCTCATCCACAAGAGCCCCTCCAGCTCGATTGCCTCAGACGCCAGCTCGGCGTCCAACTCGGGCACACCGACGGCAACTGCCACCTCGTCCTCGGCGCCCTCAGCAGCTACCACAAGCTCGGCAATGCTCGCCACCTGCCTGTCCTCATTCACCAACGACGCACCCTCCAACCCCCAGGCGTACGCTTGCGGTGACTGTGTCCCTGTGCTCGAATCTGCCGTCAACGACTACACCCTCCCTCTAGATGGTGGCAACTCGACCGGTGTCGGCGCGGCGCTCCAGTTCTGTGCCCTCATGGACCTCTACGGCCAGGCTGCCGGCCAAGACTTCTTCTCCAGTGGGGGTTGGGGCTCTAATGCGAGCCCATGTGGAAGTACAGTGTGGAGTGGCTTGAACTGCGATGAGCGTGGACGAGTTACTGGTCTGTGAGTTACAAGGACGCGATCAGCTAACTGACGACTCTCAGTGCCATCACTGCAGCAGCTGTCCCGGCCACACTCCCTGCGAAGCTCACCAACCTCGTCTCCCTCGCCACAGTCTTCATCACCGGCAACAACAGCTTCCCGACGGGGACCTTGCCTCCCGGTTTCTTCTCTCTGGCAAACCTCACCTCGGTGATGCTCCAGGCGACAGCTCTGACTGGTCCCATTGACACGCTCGACGTGGCCGCTGCCACCCAGCTCACGAGCCTGTGGCTGGTTGGCAACAAGGCGCTTGGCTCGACCCTGCCAGACCTGTCGGGTAACAAGAAGCTCAACCAGATGTGAGTCAGCTGAGAACTCGTCCCTCAAAAGCTGACGATACCAGAGTCATGACCCACGCTGGTTTGACGGCGGCGGTGGACACGGCCAAGCTGCCCAGCTCCCTTACATACATGTGAGTTGGCCGGAGCCGAATGTCAACTGACCTCCAGCGACCTGTCGTACAACAGCATCGAGGGCCAGGCCCCCAACATGGGCAGCTTTCCCAACTTGTCCGCCATGTAGGTCCCATCTGCTGACTAAGCGACTCCCCGCTGACTTGGCTGCAGGACGCTCTCCAACAACGCCTTCACCCTCCCACCCACCACTCTCCCGACGTCCCTCCGCTCGCTCAACTTGGCCACCAACCCCAAGCTCAACGGCACTGTCCCAGCAGCCATGTGCTCGCTGGCCTCGTTGACGAGCTGTGACTTGAGGAACACCGGACTCAAGTTTCCGAGCGCGGCCAACGCCTGTGGCGACTGCCTGCTCAGCGCCAGCACAAGCACCACGTAAGCGCCGGTCACGCCGTTCTCTCCCGCTACGACGACCTGTAATCTAGGACCTTCTATATCACACCTGTGCCCCCCCGTATCTAATGTATCTGCCCATAGACTAGACTGTAGCCCGTTTTATCGTTGGAAAATGACCACATTCGAGAGTTGCCGCCACTGCCAATTGCAGCTGAACCCGGTTCAGGCACTTTTGAGCCCCATATCGCCGCCGCGCCTGGCGCTCCCCATCTCCATCTCCCCATGTCCTGCATCCAACTTGTTCGGAGCGAGACCACATTACTCATCTTCCAGAGCGTCCATCTCAGTCCGCCATCTTTGGATCCCCCATCTAGACCTCCTCGCCGGCCGAGGACAACGATCAAGTGCCACAGCAGCCCCAGTGTGTCTTGTAACGCACGGATCATCTTCGCGCACACACACACCCTACACCGCCCACGCCTAAGCCCGTGTTGCGCACGGACGCACGCCTACGCGCGCCCTCCCCCGACCCCCTCCTTCCATCCCCCCCGCCACCCATATACATTGCTGCCTGCCTGCTACGATGGGCAAGGACTGGGCAGACGAAGTGGACGATGACGAGGTGGATGCTGCACAGGACCTGCGGTCGCGACTTGGTGGACTCGGTGAGTTGAGAGGTGATGGATGCATGTTGAAAAGGAGGATTGCGGGTCTAGTGGAGGTGGAGGGAGACGGGTGGGGTGTGTGTCTGTTTTGCCAAAAGATTGCCAGGGAGGGAGAGGGGTTTGTGTTGGATCGCCCGTCTCGCTCATCAACACACACACACAACACACACACCGTACACTCTGGGGTGTCTTCCCTCTCTCGTCTTCCCTTCTCTCATCAGTCTTCCCTCATTCCTCTCATCCTCCCACTTCCCATCCCCCCAACTCCCTCCTGCGACACCCGGTTCCAGTCTCCTGGGCTAACATCCAGCACCCGAGAGCCCAGAGCCCTCATCCCAAGCATGTAAGCTGCTTGTAACGTTTATTGCAGCTGACAACGACAGCCGAGTCCCCCGCCGTCGCTTCCTTAGCTTCGCGGATCGGCGGCCTCTCTACTGGCCCGTCCTCTTCTCCCTCCCAACCACCTCCTTCCTCCTCCTCCCCGCAGCGTGAGCGTGAGCGCCCGCGTCTCAACCCGCAAGCACCCATCTTCGGCAGAGCCCTCGCAGGTGTAAAGGCCGACCGTACAGAAAAGCCAAAGGAGGCGACACCCACTGCCCCTCCTCCAGCACCAGCACCGCCCCCGGCTCAGAAGACTGAGACCACGCCCGGCACTCCCAAGACTACAGAACCCACAAAGCCCGCAGCCATGGCTTCCGCAGATGATGGTGAGTTGTCCAACCTTACTTGCTGCTCACCCGTTCAGGATGGGGAAACACGGTCGCTGCCGCTCCGGACGCTGTTGATGCCGTTGTCAACGGCGACGGTGACCAGGCCCAGTCAGTCGACATGTCCAGCACGTCTGGCCTGATATCCAACGAGTTCCAGGTCGAAGTCAAGCTTGCCGACCTCCAGGCCGACCCCAACTCGCCTCTCTACTCGGTCACCAAGTTTGAGGAGCTTCCCATGTGAGTAGCTTGGTCCAGCTGCGACGCGCCCGTGCTGACCCGTGGCCCAGTCACGAGCACCTCCTCAAGGGCATCTATGCCGCGGGTTTCACCAAGCCATCCAAGATCCAGGAGAAGGCGCTCCCCTTGCTCATTGCCAACCCGGCGCAGAACCTCATCGGCCAGAGCCAGTCGGGAACGGGCAAGACTGCTGCGTTTGCCCTCAACATGCTGTCCCGCGTCGACGCGGCGCTCATGACGCCCCAGGCCATCTGTCTTGCGCCCTCGCGTGAGCTCGCCCGCCAGATCCAGGAGGTCGTCGACAAGCTCGGCCAGTTCACCCAGATCAAGACCTGCCTCGCCGTCCCCAACTCGTGGAAGCGCGGTGTGCGCATCGAGCAGCAGATCGTCATCGGTACCCCCGGTACGCTCCAGGAGATGCTCCGCGGTGGCACCCGTCACTTTGACCCCAAGATGATCAAGGTGTTTGTCCTCGACGAGGCCGACCAGATGATCCAGCTCCAGGGCCTGGGCGACCAGACCTTCCGCATCAAAAAGGCCCTCCCGGAGAACGTCCAGAACGTCCTCTTCTCGGCCACCTTCCCCGAGGAGGTCCAGGAGTTTGCCAAGCTCTTTGCCCCCGAGGCCAACCAGCTGTTCCTCAAGCAAGAGGACGTCACCGTGGACGCCATCAAGCAGCTCTACCTCGAGTGCGACTCGGAGCAGGGCAAGTTTGAGGCTCTCTCCATGCTCTACGACTGCATGTCCATTGGCCAGTCGATTGTGTTCTGTCGCAAGAAGATGACCGCCGACATGATCTCGGACCGTCTCGGGCAGGAGGGCCATTCGGTTGCCTCGCTCCACGGCGACAAGCTCTCCGACGAGCGTGACGCCATCCTCGACGGCTTCCGCGACGGCAAGACCAAGGTCCTCATCACCACCAACGTCATTGCCCGTGGTATCGATATCCAGCAGGTCAACATGGTCGTCAACTTTGACGTCCCCGACATGGGTCCCGAGGGCGGCTTTGCCCCCGACGTCGAGACCTACATCCACCGCATTGGTAAGCTATCATTGCGCGGTACGCAGCAGCTGACACTCTCAGGTCGTACCGGTCGTTTCGGTCGCAAGGGCTGCTCGGTCACGTTCGTCTCGGACGACCGTTCCATGCGCGACGTCCAGTCCATCATGGACACGCTCGGCAAGCCGATGAAGAAGATTGACGCCAGGAGCCAGAAGGACCTCGACCAGCTCGAGAAGGTGAGCTGCCTGCTGATCTTCACGACTCCAAGCTCGTACTGACTCGTACTCCAGGCGCTCCGGGCCGCGATGAAGGGCCCCAACTAGACAACAGCCCGCAGACAGACTACAAGAGAACGCGCATGACCCCACCATTTGACACCATGAGAGAGAGTGCGAGAGAGTGCTCAGAGACACCGGGGGCCTAATGAGGCGATGAAGCCCCGCAAGCTATGTAAGGGGTGTATACAAAAAAGCAAGCGCTGGCGTCGGCCACGAACGGCGAAAAGACGGCCGCGGCCGGCGCAGGCGCTGTGATTCCTGTGATTCCTTATGCACATGTCGTATACCTGTACGTGCGGCCGGTGAGGCCGTACACGCCGAGCAAAAGCGAGCAAAGGGGCCCTGTTGAAGATGAAGATGATACTGACCGGAAGGGTACACGGTACACTGACCAAGGGGGTTCTGGATAGAGAGGGTGTACAGTACTGACACATTCGCATGCTTCACAAGGATGGAACCTGGAGACGCGTCACATGTTTTTCAAAACGACGGTCCAGTTGGCCCGGCGTCCAACGCGTCAGCTACAGCAGCCCCGTGACTCGACGTTCTCGCGCCTCACGGGTTGCCGTCTGGCGTCATCGTATCTGTCCACGACGCGTTCTATCTGACCTTGCCCACTCCGAGTAGGGCGGAACACTAGCGGCCCCCTTTCGGCCGACGGCGGCAATGTCCTCGGTTATGTGGTGGTAGCACGTTGACACTCGAACTCGAACGTATGTACCTGGAATGTGGCAGTGGCAGTGGCAGCAGGGCTAGTTGTCGTCGTGCCAGACTGACAAAGACATTCGCAGCCCCTTGGCCGCACATGATCCATCGCTGTCGTCGATAGAATATCGAATGCGCACCACCGGCCACGGCAAGTCGTACGTTGTTTGCACATGTGCACTGCCGCAAGGCAACGACTAGACTCAACTCCTTTACGGTAGATCCCAGAAGCGTGGGAGCTCGAGGTACAGTACAGTACGCTTGCCCTTCGTGGTCGACGTTCCTGTCCGCGCGGGAGACAATTAGTCTTGGTGTATGGCGTATGGAGCTTAGGTTGTCGGTCACTTACCCCCTAGTCGTCAGCGAGGAGAACTTACTCCGGTGTACTCGGCGGCCGTGGTTGTCACATTTGCTTGGCAGTAGCTCCCGTGGCTTGTTGACATTCCAACGGAGCTGTGAGCAAAGCACGAGACGTATGTACTTAGTGTGGTACACTAGTACTGCGGCCTGGTTTATCCAGCGGAGAAGTGAGAAAAGGGATGTATCATACATACGTCCTGCAACGACTGACAGAGGGTTGTATGTTTCGGGAGGCTGGACCACAATCGCCACCCCACTTCTGTGTCCTGCCTCACGCGATGAAACCATCCCTCCCGGGTTCTCCCAGCGTCATAAACTGTAAAGAGCGGGCCACGGTTTGCTTTGGATGAACAATGCACACTCCGGAATGCACGGCTCACACCTTGGTATGCCATTTGTGGGCAACGCGACAGTGATGGACGGACAAGTAGATCAGGTGTGCCACACCTTCCTGCCACTGACTGCCCGCTTTTGTCCCTGGCAGACGTTGGTTGAAACGCACTGCACATACAGGAGTGCGGGTATCGTACAGCAGAGTAGTAGTTCAGTACCTGTATACGTGGGAAACAGGTGAAGAGCCGCACACTACTGAAGGTACAACGTCAACTGTGCATGCCAACGGTACGCGTCTGTCCGGTCTGACCATCGGTGGTGGAGGGACAAGGAGCCAGTGCCTCAAAAGGCGGGACATACACTCTAACATAGGAGTGACATCAGCCGCGTGAAACCAGCTCCTTCCAGATGGCAATCTCCGAAAGCACGGACGGTCGCAGAGTATGTAGTTTCTCTGGCCTCTTGATAGACGTAGACTTGACTGCCCTAAAATTTAAAACACAGCCTTGCTATCCGCTGTCACTCTGCCATTGCGCGAAGGATCTCGGGAGCGTGCTGTACAAGATGTGCAATTCACAGGAGTTTTGTGGCATTGTGGGGGGAGGAGCGGCGAGGTCTGCATCGTCCCAGCACCTTGGTTAGGCTCAGCTGACCGACTTGTAAGGTATAAAAGACAGTCGACTTGGCCCAGTTTATCTCCTCATCCTACAAGTTCTATCAATCACCTTCCAACTTCCTCCAGCCTCAGCCACAACCGCTCAGCACTCGGCACAAGACACCACATCCACAATGAAGCTCTCGATCATCTCTCTTGGGTCCATCCTCGCCCTCACCACGTTCGTCGCCCCCGTTACGGCCAAAAGCTGGTGGTGTAACGGCAACTGGGACGACGGCGACCTCCACCGTGTCTCCTTCAAGTTCAATGGCTACTGCGAAGGCCAGTGGGGCCAGTGTTTCCTCTACAGCCTCCGCGCCGCCGGGTTGAACCCCCACAACTGGCAGGCCTGGAAGACCGACGATGGCAACTGGCAGGTCGATTTCTCCATTCCCAAAGGCAAGAGCGACCTAGCCAACAAGGGCATCGAGGACATTACCCACGTGTGGAAAGGTTGCTGGCCCGGCCAGTAAATACGCCGCCACTCTCAAAGTAGCCCCAGCCAAATGCCAATCGTTTAGTAGCCAAACTCGAATGAGATCACTTCCTGCTGCCTTCTCAACAACTGCATAGCATCATAATAGCACAAAGAGTGTGTACGTGATCGGCCAGTCGGTTCTACCACTAGTGACGATGACATTGCCCCCCGCGTGTACGCTGATACCCTTGACACGTCCACGGCTTGGCGGCAAAAACGGTAAACGAAAAAAGCCGCTCGGTGTGATCGGCAGGACTAACCATAAACTACCAGCAAGATAACCATAAAGTCATTGAATGCTGATGTGGCAGCCACCGCGTTAGTGCTAATGATACCAGCAGCGGCTGCTTGTGCGCTAGTGCTCCAGCTCGGCCAGCTCCATTGACCCATTGATGTTTCTGACACACTCCATACTCTGATTTACGGCCTGTTCCTCTCTCGGTCAAACGTTAACTCGTCCGGGCCCTCGCTGAGAAGGTTCTAGTGGTCAATAAGGTGACACAGGTGCTCAAGCGGCAACCACCGCCTGCTCGCGTTTGTTTGTGCCTCTTGAGGCCTCTGACCGGCCTGACCGCTCTGTGATATATCTGTGATCTGTGACCTGTGACCATCTGGTGCGTTTAGCGTCCGCGCGATCCTGGACGATGCGCGATGCGACGTTCTGGTGACGTGGTAACACGCGTGTGCACGCGACCACACTGATCCACTGAAGCACCATTAGCGTGGCCCGTGGGCCGTGGGCTATACCGCCAGCGGCATGCTAGGTGTCTCGTTCGACGCTGTTGTTGACTGACTGTGGGGGCCGGGGGCGTTGAAAGGCGTGACACTCGGCAGCTCTGGTTATACCTGCACTGCATCTGAGGAGAGTGTTACGGGGTCTGTGGTTGCTGTGCTGCAGAGAAGAGAAGCAGCAGCGGCAAGCGCCGCGCATGGGACGCGTGTGTGTATGGTGGGGAGGTGGATGCGTGGATGGGTGCTGCGCTTTGGCTCTTCTTGGCCAAACGGCTCATGCATAGGTGGGGGCAGGTGCCGTTTGGCCAGTGGCCAGTGCATGGACGGCTGATCAGCTAATGATCCTTCCTGGGCTCGGACCCACACTGGTACACTGGCCACCGGTGGACGCCGCCTCACTCCGCTGCAGCGCTGCAGAAAGCGGCAGGCAATCGTGCTCTACCTGTGGAACGTCCATGCAGCAACATGCAGCAACAGGCGGCCAAAATGGGTTAATGGGACCTGCAGCGGACGGGCAATATGGGGCCTGCGGCGTACGCCGAAGTTTGGTGCGATCGGAGCGGTGGGCCATGAAGCAGAGATGGCAGCCCGTTCTGGCCGCGGTGTAGTGACAAGCGCCCGCGGGGTGGCGTTCAAGGGGAGCAAGATCGTCGCCGAGTGATCCAAAAAGGTGTGATCGTCTTCTGCATGCTCCTCTGCACGGGGGTGGAGAGAGTAGAGAGAGAGAGCGCACTTTTAAGCAGAGCGATTCGGGGGCGTGTGATCGTGTGTGAGTGGCGCAAAATGCGCGCTCGTGGTGCGTGACTCATGACTGGCAATGACTGGACCGTGGCACCGACTGTCCTTTCTTTGTTATCCTTCCGTGCTCTTCTTTCCTTCCACTCCATCTCCCCCCCACTCGCCTGTGCCCTTCTCCACGCCCTCACTCTCTAACACTTTGCAAATCCCGTACCCCCTCTTGGACCCTCTTCACCGCCATCCCCACCGTCGCCCAGCTGAGCCGGGGGGGCACTTCGGTGCCAGACGTGTGCCCTCGTACAGAGCAAATCCCGTCACCGCGCGCGCCCCCGGGCCTGTTGGCCATTATCCATCAAAACAGAGAGCGAAGAGACGTCACCGTGACACCCACAGTGATCATCCTCTGCAGCAGTCGGCGCACGCCGCCCCCACCGCCCCCCTCCCCTCCGACGTCCCCTCCTCCTCACTCCCACACCCAAACGTTTCTTCCACACACTCTTTTATAACAAACCACTGTCTTTCCTCGCCAACAGCGTCCTCCCCCCACCACACTCTCCCCGGCGCGTCGAGGTTCACGATGCCTCCACCACGCCCCCTTCCACTCCTTGGCCCACGGGAAGCTGGCCTTCTTGACGCACTCGCCCATGCGCCTTCCGTCCACGACGCGCTCAACGCGCTCGATGAATATGCCTGGCGTGCCCTTGCAGGTGGTACACGCGTTCGCGACCTCTGTGCAGCCGCCAACCGGGCGGTTCACTCGGTGAGTCCCAAACCTTTCTCTGCACACTTTCTGCCTCTTGTCGACGCCGCGACTTTGTTTTGGCGGACGCCCTCCACCGACCAGCGAGCAATGTCCGAGTTGGGTGGACTGCGGGTGGCGCTCAATATGTCTCTCCACATTTTCATGGGTTTGATGGACGCGTTCCGGGATCCAGGCCCCTCCCCCGCGTTCGCGTCTCCTTTGCCGTCCCTACATTCGAAGCATGCCTCTCTTGCAATTGAAGGAGAAGGGTTTGCTGACACTACCACTTGTTTCTCGGTTGCCGTTGTTTTGTGCGCACGCTACGCCTTGCCTTGTTCCTTGAACCCCCATATGCGCCACTGGCCACTGGCCCCTGCACAACCCCGTCGCACGATTCAACGCCCTGCCGTCCACACTCCATTTGTACAACCACCACCAACTCATTGCACCGTCCACAGGCACCCCCAAGCTGTGTCCGCTTAGCACTCAACAACGTCGCTACCGGCCTGCTCTTCCCCTTTGCCCTCCCTGCCAACGCGCCCACAGCCGACGCAGCAGCATACTCCCTCCCGCCCAGCACCCTTGCGCACCTCTCACGCCGACAACTCGTCGACGCCCTCTCCCGCATCGCTCGCGAGCGCGAAGATGGCACCACCGAAGCTCGAGTCCTCGAGCTCGTCCTCGAGTACGTCGGCCGTCGCTGGCGCTCGGGCGACGCCGACGTCATCGAGTCCATTGCCAGGAAACTCGTCGAAGTCGAAGCAGAAGTGGGTTTGGAATCTATTTGCGACGAACGACCAGAGAGTGTTCCTAACCTGCAGGTCCAAGTCCACTGCGACACCCGGTCCGTGCTCCCCACCCTTCAAGCGTTCCGCTTCAGGCTTGGCCTCGTTTCGGAGCAGCACCTCGTGGCCAGACTCAATGTTGGCCCAGCAGCCTTTGGTCGTCCCTTTGTGGCTACCGACCTCATTTCAGTCTGGGCGACGCGTCGCCTGTGCGCGGGCATGAACCCTGCTGACCTCGCTACCGAGCTTCACTTGATGTGTGAGCACCTCGTACTTGAACCCCACCGCGACGCCGTGGACAAAGTTTTGGCATCTCTTGCACTCAACAGTCGTTCTCTTTACACATTGTTCGAGTCTGCACCTCGTCCACGCACTCGGACTCTCTCGCGTCTCTCGTTCCACTCCAGCAAGCGCAAGACCTTGTCCACTCCTCCTTGGTCTCTCCACCGCGACCTGAGCGTGTCCAAGCTGCAGCCGCACAGCAACACCAACCTCGACAACAACCAGCGCCGTCCCTCGTTGCCAACACACCTGGCGCCCGCCGAGTCACCAAGGCAACGCTTGGGGTCACCGCTGGCAGCTGGCGCACGCACCCCGTCCAGCGACTCTTCGGCCTCGCCATGCACCACACCCACTGCCACTGGAGCGTCAACACCTCGTCTCGGCACTTTGGGTGCTCTTGGAATGAGCCTTACCAGCTTGTCCACTACGACTTTTAGCCACCTGGGCATGAAGACCAACACCATGTCCACCAACGCTCTCGGCCTCGCCGATGCTGGTGATGTCCGCAGCGCAGTGGTCGACCACCTGCTCGGTCTCCGCTACCGTCTCGGTGCCGATGCCGACGGGTGGTGGCTCGGCGGTGGCAAGGACAAGGCTGCCGACTTTCTCCACAGCCTCGAGTCCAAGGGCGAGATGAAGGAGATGGTCGCCGACTTGCGCCGCGTGTTTGGTATCGCTGGTCCTGTGCCTCCTCCAAAGACCCCTCCAAAGGCTACGTCACCCATCGCAATCACCTCGTCCAGGCAGGCGGGCCCCTCTCACCAGCGTGACCAATCGTTTGACCTGGACCAATACCTCGACGACATTGGCCCCCAAGGCGACGAGAACAGTCCGTCCCGCGCTCGCCAGGCAAGGGGTCAATACCGCGCCTCGGTCGCGTCAATGTCGACCATTGCCAGCTCGTCGGCTTCTTCCACCGCCTCGTCGCCTCGCCGCCAGTCGGTTGTGGTCGACTTTACAATTGAAAAGGCCACTCGTCTGCCTGTCCCGCTCACGGCCGTCCAGTACCGGTTCCCGCAGGGTCAGGACGATGACGCCTCGGTTTACTCTCACGACAGCACACTCGAGGACCTCCCCACATTCTCGCGCATCTCATCAAAATCCATGCCCAACGTGCGGGACACGTACACCCAGTTTCCTTCTCCTAGCCCACGACGTCTGCGCCGACTGACCCAAGAGGACTCTGTCACCACCGCCACACCCGTCAAGGGCAGCAACACCAACAACAGGCAACCCGGAACCGAGTTTCCCTCTCACATTACTCCTCCACTGTCGCCTGCAGAGTCGGACTATGACTCCTTCACCGGCGGCGAGTCCATGTCGTCGCCCACGATCTCGGACCAGAGCCACCAGATCACGCTCACGTCCTCGCCTGGCAGTGGCAGTGAGGAGCTTGGTCGCTCTCGCCGTGCCATGTTCCGCAACTGCGTCATTGTCGACGGCGCCCAGCTCAGCCCTTGTGGCGACCGCTTCCCAGACCAAACGGACGGTACTCCACTCACCGCTGTTCTCTCGCTCTTTACGTCGGATGAGCTACCCAAGCACCCAGAAGACGTCGAGCAGCTGCTCACCATGGCCGTCGACCTCGAGGCCCAGCGATCCATTTCACGTGGCGAGGCGTTTGACGCCGAGGCGCGTGCGCGCGTCGCTTGGCTCCTGGAGCAGGTCGCCCGAGAGGTGAGTTTATTCACGGATACCTGTAGCTGACATTCAGTTGAACGAGCCAGAACTGATTGCCGCCGTCGGCCGTGTTTTACAACGTCTTTCGGGCGACAGCCTCCTGACTCCCAAGACGCCCGAGGTCGTTCGCAACGGCGTGCCGAACCGCTCACCTCGCGGCCGCCGCGACCTCACCATCACTGTGCCGCCTCGCAGGCCACCACCTGGACTGGCGCTCTCGAACCCTTCGTCTCCAGCCCCTTCTACAGGTCACACCCTCGTCTTTCCTCAGTCACGCTTCTCGCTCGACTCACTCTCAAGTACGAGTTCCTTTGGCACCTTTGGTTTCGACAAGCGACGTCTTGTGCCTCGCGCACAGTCTGAAGAGGACCACGAGAATGACGTCCCCACTCCGAGACCGTCACCTCCGCCAAAGGATGCACCTTGGTCTCGCGCTGCTGAGACGTGCACCCAGAGCCTGTCGCGCCGCGACGCCATTGTGCGGCGCTCACCCCAGCCCCAGGCGCCTGCTACCCCCGAGTCGCCGGCAATGCCGCTGTACCACACCCCACAGGTGCAGTTCCCCATCCCATCACCCGCACCGGGACCCAGTGCCCGCGACTCCACCGTCCGCGGCACCGCACCTCTCAACATCAACCCTGCCCTCCTCCGTGGCCCTACGGCGCCGCTCAACATCACCCCGCGTACCACGCCTCGTACCACCCCTCGCTCCACTCCGCACACGACACCGCGTACTGTCATCCGCGACTTTCCCTCCATCAACGCCCTGTAAAAAAAGCAACCACCACCAAGACCCGCGGTCTCCTGCAATACCGAAAAAGAAGGACCATGTACACGGACACCAAGTGTAAAAACAGGCATACAAGACACGCTGCCCCCCGCCGTCGTGTGCGCCTCTTGTTTGACTTAGTATTTAATATCCATCGAACTAACACGATTTTTCTTCTTCTTCTCTTTGCATGTAAATTGTCTGTCTGATCCTTCCAACCCCCCTTCTGTGGCATTGTACCTGCCTGTCCTTCACCGGCATAAGTTGCCGAGTTGACCGAACAAACACATCCCCGGTGCCGGTGCCGGGGTAACTCGCCGCGAACACCAGCCGGCACGGCGCGGTTTGTCGTGTGGCCCGACTGTGACCACACGCGTGCGCGCGGGGTCGACTGACCGTGGCGTCTGGCGGTGGATCAGTGCGAGCGGGTCAGAAGCCTTCTGTCCAAGCTGCCCAGCCACGAGAGTGCGGGGGTGGCGGGCGAGCGTACGAGCGTACCCGGCCGGGTATGGAGGGCTTGGCGGCGCACATACCAGAGCAGCGGGCCAGTAAGCCATCCAGCAAGCCAGTAAATGCCAGCCAGCCAGTCGCCTGTGGCCAGTTTGGTGTTAGCGTCCACATGCAGTCTCACTAGTGCAATGGTGCGCGTGTCTGCGGCCCCGCATGGGTGAACCGTGGGCTGATGGCCGGGCAAGGAGGATGCAGGGTGTGGATTGAACGACAGACTGGTGCCGGCTGTGGCGTGGCAAAGTGGCCACTGGCAAGCAGATCTCGGATCTCGTCGGTCGTCGGCACAGGACGATACATTGGACAAAACTACAACGCTCTGCGCTCTGCCCCTCCCATCTCGAGCGACGCGGGCTCGTCGCGAGCAGCGAGCAGCACTCTCTCCCTTGTGTCCTCGTACTTGTTCCTTCTCTCTCTTCTCTTCTCGTCTCTTCTCTTCTTTTGTCTCTAGTGATTATCCACAGACAGACACGGGCACAGGACACGGGCGCCTTTGGGCCAGCTTAGAGCTTGCCCTTGGACGCCTTGAGGACGCCGTCGAGCTTGGTCGCGAGCATGATCTGGACGCGGCGTGTCAGCTACAGCGATACACAAACCCGGGTCAGCTGCTGCTGCATATACTCACGTTGCCCTTGACCTTGAGCTGGCCGGTCATGAACGCCTTCTGGGCGTTGACCTTGCCGTCCGCGAGGCCGAGGAAGGTCTCGTCGGTGAGCGAAATGGTGACGTCTGAGAATGGAGCGTGTCAGTGGGTAGATCCCGTGTCGTGGGCCATGAGGCGGCGGCGACCTGGCTCTGGACCGATGACGGAGAGACGACAGCCAGCTGCCATCACAGCCCACGGGTCACGACTCACCAGCCTTCTTGCCAGCACCCTTGGTGACGTTGCCGGCCTCCTTGAGGTCAATAACCCAGGTGGCCTCCTTGCCCTCGGGGTTCTTGATGTTGATCTGGAAGATACCGTTGGTCTGCACCGTCAGCTCTGGAGTGCGCGGGTGCGTGCGTGCGTGCGTGCGTGGGCGTGCACTGCCACTGGCCATGGCTGCCGCGTCTCGTTCTCATGCGCTACAGCCAACGGCAACACGCGGCAAGTGGCGACCGAGGATAAGCTTGCTCTCACCTTCTTGATCTGAGCCTTCTTCTCGGCGTCGGTCATCTTGCCGAACGCGCCCGAGATGGCCTACATCGTCAGTATACCTGCCAGCTACTAAGCTGCCGACAGAGCCCATAGCTCACCTCGAGGACGTCGCCCGACTGTTGAAAAAACCGCGTCAGCACATGAAAACAGCGGTAAGTGGGTGTGTGTGAACTTGCGCCCGACGGTCGCGTACCTTGAAACCAGCTTCCTTGACAGACATTGTTGTTTTGATGTGGACTGAGGGGGTTGAGGGGTGGGGTAAGGGGGGATGAAAGGAGATGCAACAGAGATGGCGCGAGGGTGATGTGGAGTATGGGAAGTGAAAAAGAGCGACGCGTTTAGTAGTTTTGGTTTGTTCGTTGACAAGCAGCGTGTGTGTGTGCGTTCCTTTGACCTTCCGGCAATGGTCATGCCCGGGAAACCACGTCAGACAAACCCATTCCATCAGTGCGTCATAGCAATCGGGGCAGTGGCCCCCGCGCGTGGACGGGCCTTGGGTGAGAGGAAGAAAGTAATGGCACGCCTATGTTGAGATGTGGCAGGCGCGCCATATTCTTGCTGCAAGCCTGTTAACCACAGGCGCTGCTTTCAACCTGGTGCGGTGCAGTGGCACGGCACATGACAGGCACGAGGGTGAGACGTGAAAGAGGTGACGACTGAGACCTGTTGCACCCGCTGCGAGTGCTTGGCTCTGCCGACTGCGGGGGGGAAGAGATGAGAGGGTTGGCCTCGTTCTCTATGACGAGCACCGCGGAACAGCGGCACAGCCGGTGGGATCGCACAGCAATGGTGATATATGATAATAATGAGGGCACCACCGATATGCGCGCGCAGATGACGGACAGCCCAGGCCAAGCGAACGGGCAGGTCCAGGCTCCAGGTCTCAAATAGAACCATCGAAAAAAGGCTGCTTGGTCGTGGCATGAGTGTCACCACAGCCACACCGCCCTATTGACGACGCACGACTACGCACCACCGAACATTGCGGACAAGCCAAAGCCCTCACGCCGTCATCTCTCTTTTCCTTTCTCTCATCCATCTCTCCATCTATCACACTCTTGTGCTCTCTCCACACGACTTTCTTGCTTCCTTGCACCTTGCCTGCCCATCTTGCATCGTTCCATCAACACCCAAGGGAACATCCGGAACACACCCACACCCCCACACCCAACCCCGCAAGCCCGAGCGCGCGCGCGACTGGCTTTGTGCTGTCCGATATCGTCCACATCCGACACCACAACCACCACCTCATCCTTCATCACACCGTCCCAGCAAGCGGTCGCCCTCCTTGTCATATCACCAGCCACGGAAGCCACCACCTGGGTGTAATACGCCACCCCATCCCACTCATTCGGCCGGGCGCCGATCTGTGCGCCAGCGAGAGCGAGCGTGAGCGCGACGTTTCGCCCATACGACACACCCCTTCCCTCTCTCATTACACGCGCGCACACACCACCCTGTCCCCTGCGCCTGTACTCTTTCTTCCTTTCTTCCACACGCACACAGCAACCACACACACCACATCTACGTCTAGCGCACCATGTCATCAAGTGCGACAGCAAGCGCGACGTCCAGTGCGACTTCGGCAGCTGCCAGCACGTCGGAAGCAGCGTCACTGGTCGACACCACCAACCCGACCTTTAAGATCATTGGAGTGTGTCTAGCTGTTGGAAGTGGACTGTTCATCGGTACCAGGTGAGCACGATTGGGGAGCGTGCCAGATGCGCACTCGTCGCAGGAGCATCTCGTGGCCCAGCAGCTGACATGCCCCCAGTTTCGTGATCAAGAAGAAGGGCCTGCTCAACTCGACAGCCAAGCACGGAAACGTCGTGGGCGAGGGCCATGCATACCTCAAGAGCCCTATGTGGTGGACGGGCATGACACTCATGATCATCGGCGAGGTAAGTGGGGAAAAGGCAGTGTGCACCGTGCGCAGCAGCGCGGGCAGTGCGATGGGCATTGGGCATCGCCGCGCCGACACGACTACGGACGAGGGTGTTTCATACTGACAACGGGGGTTGCGAACAGATCCTCAACTTTGTCGCCTATGCCTTTACAGTGGCCATCCTCGTCACCCCTATGGGCTCCATCTCGGTCGTCATCGCTGCCATTCTCTCGCACTTTATTCTCAAAGAGACACTAACGTTTTTCGTAAGTAGTCTCGTTGGACACGGCGCCACCGTCGTCATGTGTAATTTCACTACCCCTCCCCTTGGTTCAGACCACGTCTGTCAAAGGGTACCCGGGCGCCGAGACGACGAAGCTGTACCACGTCGCTGACACGCACTGCAGGGATGGATCGGGTGCACGCTGTGTATCATGGGCTCGGTCATCCTCGCCCTCAACGCTCCCGACACGGGCTCGGCACGCACCATCAAAGAATTCGAAAAGCTCTTTGTGTCACCTGGCTTCTTGGTCTGGGCGAGCCTCTGTATCATCGCGTCTCTGGTCCTCGTGTTCTACGTGGCGCCCCGCTGGGGCAAGACCAACATGATGCCCTACATTTCAGTGTGCTCGCTCATTGGCGGCATCTCCGTGTCCTGTACCCAAGGCCTGGGCGCGAGTATTGTGACAAGTATCCAGGGCGAGAGCCAGATCAAGGACTGGTTCTTCTGGTTCCTCACAGTGTTTGTCGTGGTGACATTGTTAATAGAGTGAGTGTTGACCACAAGGTGGAGACTGGAGACTGACGTTTGTTCAGAATCAACTACCTCAACAAGGCGCTGGAGCTCTTCAACACGTCCATGGTCGTCCCCGTCTACTTTTGCTACTTTACGTCCACTACGATGATCACGTCGTTTATCCTCTACCGTGGCCTCAAGGCTTCCGCCGCGACGCTCATCACCATGGTCCTGGGCTTCCTCGTCACTTGCCTTGGCATCACCTTGCTGCAAATGTCAAAGGTCGACCCTACAAAGCTCAACGGTCTCGACCGCAGGTCTACCATCCTGCTCCAGGCCTCGCGCCACACCACCGAGGCCGATGAAAAGGGCGACGTTGCCGCCATGGAGGAGCCCGGAATGGACGCGCTCCGTGGTGGTTTCGGCGCCGTCGGTTCGATCATCCGTGCCCGTAGCATGTCCAGGCGTCTGAGCCGCAACTCGTCGGCTGCGTCGCGTGGGCCATACCCGTTCGCGTCGTCGCACCAAACGGCCCAGCCCAACCTCAACACCCACGGCCTTGCCCACCTGCCCCGCTACCAGCTGTCTGACAACCCCGTCCCCGAGGACGACATTGAACACATTTCGCTCAGTGAACAGGCGACTGCAGGCGGCAGCAGCATTGGCGGCATGACCCCCAGGTCGAAGAGCACCCTCAAGTTTGACGACGCCGACATGGTCCACCACTACGGATATACCAAGGGCGGACACACGGACGCACTGCACACGGTTCGTCAACACGACGAGCTGCGCCAGCTGCCACCTTTGCCCCGGACCGAGTCGCCCGAAAAGGAGTACGCCGACCCGTTTGACCACCTACCCCCGCAGCAGCGCGCCGAGCGCAAGACGAGTTTCACTCAGCTCTTTGGCTCGTTTACACATGGCGACTTGACATCACCAGTGAGCCCCATCAGGGGCTCCCCCTCGACAGAGCACGGCCAGTCGCTCGCCCACGGGTTCCGTTCCTCCTCGGGCGACGACAAGCAGGTCCGCGGCGGCGCGCACCGTGGTGTCAAAGACTACCCACACCTGTCCAAGCACGAGCAGGCGACCGAGCGCGAGGAGCGCACCGCGTTGGTCCGCCCCGAGAGTCCCAGCGAGGACGGCCACGGCCAGCTGCCACACCAGCTGTACGAGGGTTTCCCAGAGGTGGACCTGTCCAGCCCCATGCGCTCAAATTCGCCAGACCAAATCTCGGGCCTGCCGTCGTCGAGGAAACCGGTGGGACCGAGGTAGTTGCGCGCGCCGGGTAGCGCGCATGTCTTTGTGAGAAGAGGGGTTTTTTTTGGTGTCACAACAGTGTATCATTTGGTATTCTTGGAAGCGGAAGGGCGCTGGCGCCAAAGGGATGTGGAGAAACGGGACGAAGCAAAAAAAGAAACCACCGCAGGGACGGCGCAACGAAAACACACGGACGCTGGAATGATGCCTGCCTGTCTCCCTGCTGGGCTACTGGGCTCGGGGTTGAGGCTGTCGGAGCAGACGCTACGTATATGATAGTACACGTTATTACGGATAGACGTGTTGTATGCACGCGATAGACTTTGCTACAGGCCGCCACTTGGCCACTTTGTCTATGGCCACTGGCCACTGGCCACTGGAGACGAAGAGTTGGGACTGTCGGTGCCTTGCTCACGTTAGCCTCAAGTTGCCGCCCGCCGACGCCGACGCGACTGACCGCGACTGGGCATGCCACGATGCGATGACCCTTTGGACGTTTCGTTTCTCGATCCCGTTCCAACACATGTCCGTCACTCTCAATCACTCCTTTCTCGCAACATAGACCCACTCCCTAGACCGTTTTACGACTTACGACCACACCAACGTCTCTCTTCCCTCCGCCCATTCCCCTCCCTCCCTCCACCACTCCAAACGCTCACTTTATCCTGCGCACGCACGCCCCGTCCCCGCTACCCCCGTCTGCCCCGCCCCTTCCGATCCCTCTCTCACTCTTGCCGCTACCGCATTCTCCCGCAAGCAGCACCGAGACAGCCATTGGGTGCAAGAGGAACGCTCTCAACCCACTGGCGCAACCCCGCATCGTCACACTCGCTACCACGGACTCCAGCCCAACGACACATCGCCACCGCTTCCCCGCAGCCCTACAAGCACACGACCCCTACGACCCGTTGGGAACCCACCTCCCACCCCCGTTGGGAACTCCGTCACACCCTCCTCCCTCGCGGGTCCACCCACCTCGCTTCCCACCCGCCATGGCCTTCTCCAGCCTGGCGGACGAGCTCGACCTAGACGGCTTTGGCGCGTCGTCGTTATCTCCCTTTTCGCCTGGCCCGTCTTCCATGAGCCTCGGTATGGACTTGGGCAGCAGTATGGGCGGGTCTCTGGGCGGCGGCATGGGCCTGTCGCTCGCCGACGAGCTGGACGGACCGGGACCAGACGACATGGACGACATGGGCGTGGGCTTTGGCGGTGCCGGCGGTGATGGTAGGTGTTTAAGGCTGTTGGCCGCGATGCTCACCTGCTCCAGGCCTCGGCTCACTCGCACTCGAGCTCGAGCTCGAGCTCGACCCCATGCCCAACGGCAACGGACACGCACACCCCGACTCTTTCGACGCGCTGGGACTCGGGACACCCCGGCGTGGCCCACACAGCTCCCGCAGCACACCCTTGCGCTCCGTGTCGCGGCGGTCACTCGCGTCCGACCCCGACCCGGGCGAGGACGATGACGGAGACGGTGCCGACCTGGTCGTTCTCCGGGAGACTATGGAAGGGAGCGCGAGGCTGGTCGACCTGTTGCGCGGGCTCGATAGGCCAGTGCTTCCCACTACGTCTCCTGTGCAGGCGACGTCCGGCTCGCTCCTGGACTCGCCACCACCCCTGCTGGAAGACCGCCTCCACCTCCACCTGCAGCGCCTCACCGACTCTGAGCGCGCACGCGACGAACAAACGCGTGAAGCAGCGGCGCTGGTCCGTGAGATTGAAGGGTTGCGCGGGGAGGCGCTGGATGGGGATATCGACTGGACGTGGATGGAGGTGCTGGCTCCTGTGTCCAAGCTGCTGCCCTCGGCACCTGGCTGGACGGGCGAGGCAAGTGGTGTGAGTGACCACCACGACGGCAACGAATCAGACCACTCGGACGAGTACGAGTTCCACCCAATGTCCAACGGCCACGCCGACACTCAGGCCACTCCACGCGCAGCCCGACGCAGCCGCAAACCAACGTTCGAGACCAGTCCCTCGCCGTCACCATTCTCTCCCCTCACACCAACCACCCCGTTCTCCCCACTGTCGCCCACCACGCCGACCTTGCCTGCCACCACCACCACCACCCTCCCGCGCCTCGCGCACGCGCTCGCAGGCGACACCCTCTCCCTCTCATCCACCCTCGGCGCGCTCCACGAGTCTACGCAGCTCACGCTCGCCCTGTCCTCGGGCGCCCAGCGCAGTGCCCGCGGCGTCCGCGCCGCCGTCACGTCTGCACGCGAGCGCGAAGTCACAGAAGAGCACTGCCGCAAAGCCGTGGACGGGTGGGAGGCGCGTGTGGCCGTCGGCGACGTGCCCGATGCAAAGGCCATCTGCGAGGCCCTGGTGCGCGGGTTCCAGGAGAGGCTGGACGAGTACGAGGTCAAGATGCGCGAGGTGAGGGAGAGGATGAGGGCCGTGGGCCGTGTGTAAGTGGGGGCGGGCGACAAAGTATAATGTATATACACTGCAAGGCAGCAAGGAGGTGCAGGCCGTTGCCACTCTGACCCCAGTGACAGTGCGCCCTGGGACGTCGATGAGGATGGCAGAGCCTGATCCGTACGATAAATATCGACGCTCAACTTGCAGTGGGCTTGTGGCGCTTACACTGTTTTCTTACCCATACTTCATAAGCCACGGTGCCACAGTGCTACTGGGCTTTACTCATTTACATAAAACCTCGCTCCGTTCACACACGTTGTGCCGTGAAAGCGGTCTCAACCTCGTCATCCGTCTATATACAACCTTTACATTTGCGAGTCTCCTCAAGCAACGTCACGCAACGTCACTTAGTCGGTTTCGTCTTCCATCTCGCTCATGATTTCAGAGCGGGCTTTTGTTATGCCCTCAAGGAATGCATCGAGGAGGGTGGGTGCGTGGTTCGGGGAAAGGGGGCAGAGGCCTCCCTTGGCGGTGCCCAGCCTGCCCAAATAGGCGGCCGAGGCTGGCTGGAGGTTATATTTATCACTCATAGCTTGAGTGATGGGGGTCGATGAGGCAGCCTCAGCCAGAATGGGGCCGAGGGTGAACTTGGCTTGGTGAACCTACCACGCTGACCACGACCTGTGATGGTGCATGGCCGTCATGGTGGTCACCGGGGGCAGGTCTTCGTCGTCCAGAAGGGCACGAAGCTTGAGGTAGCGTCCCTGCTCGTCCTGGACAACCGCCAGGCAGTGCTGGGGCAGCGTTTTGGAAAGTGCGCTCGAGGATGCGCTGACAGAGGCGGACTTGTGACCGCTTGAAGATGACGATCTTGAAGTGCGCGTCGTACAGGTTGACGTTTAAGCCACCTTGGATAGCCTCGGTGGCACGGAAAACGACGAACGAGAGAACTTCCACGAAATGAGTGGCGATAACGGAAATGTTCTCAGCCGGCTCGTCCTCAAACGCGCGGAGGAAGTCTGGACGAAAGCACCAGTCGTCGACCGAGACGCCTTTTGCGTTAGCGTTGACCCTGTGTATTCTACTTACCATTCTTGGCGCTCTCAGGCTTTGGCGGTCGCCACACCGCGATTAACGTTTGTCGCCCTGCGTCCGCTCGCGATGCTCTGCGTCGACAGTCATTCCAATGTAAACAAGGAACGCCTGAAAGTCAGTGGATACCCCTGTTATCACAACTCACCGCAAGAAGTACAGACGGCATAAAGGCGTCGTGGACGGTCGTGGGCTTGAGGCGGTGGCCGGCGACGGGCGGCCGGGGACAAAAAACGTACATGCAAGGGCCGACCCACTTGCGCAGCACCAGGAGGATGCTTGCAAAGAAAAGGCTTCTGCAGAACGCCGCGTCCTATCCATCGTGGATGCTACAGTGAGCAAGGGGCAAGAGATATCGTCAACTTACGCCTGCGCGAGGAGCTCAAAACTTTTGTGGATTCAGCACGTTTTAAAAAGTAGAACTGCCACAGCTTGATGCCCCTTGCCGGCAGTGTCCATAACCTTGATCCGGAGAAGTTGGGGAAGCGCATGACTGGAGAGACCTCCGGTAGCCTCGAGGCCACCGCCGTCCGCAAGTCTTGTTTGTTAGCGCGCTATTGGGAGGGGTAAATCTCATTTGAAGCTGTCGAGTCCGTGAATGACTGACTGTTCGACGAGATAACCGAAGAGGCTCTGACGGTATAGCGAGTCCCACTGGAGGTCAGCAGGTGGCGAAAGACTGGTATCTCACGATTACACAAGCAGTTGTGAGCTGCGCGTCGGCCAGAACTGCAGGAGATGTCTTGAGGGCTGTGGGCTACGAGCCGTGTGTGATGGGGCGGCAAAAATAGAACGTAAATACCGCAAAGGCCGCAGAGGCGCAGGTTACTGCCACATGGCGGCACCCGGTATTAGTGCTGCTTGGCCGGGCCCAGGCCAGAGTTGACAGCAGTACACCGCCATTTGTGGCGGTTCCTATTTATTGATGTATTTATTCAATTATTTGTCTGGTGTTTGTTTGCCACCCGTTCTCTTCTTCACTTCCCCCACCACCACCACCACCACCAACCACCTCCATGCCAGCCGCATCCTCCTCGGCGCCGAGCTGGCCGCTCTTCAACACCACCAACACCAACACCACACGTACGCCCGCCTTCAGGTACGATACCACCAAGGGCACCGACCTGCGCGCGTACGTGCTGGACACCACCGTCTCCAGCCAAACGGTGTTTGAAATGGGCTCCATCATGGGCCCTATTCTCAAGCAGGCCGCTAGTATTCGCCCATTCGTTGCCACCGCCATCGGACGCGAGGCTGGCCTTGGCGTGCGCAACAAGGTCCACCGCGAGATGCTCCGCCGCAACGGCACCATTCATGCCGAGCTCTCTCAACAAGGTTACGACGTCGAGGACCTCCGTTTCGGTCCTTTGCCTCCCCAAAACTATCGCGAGTTCCTCAACTTCTCCCGCGTTGTCCGCTACCAACAGTATGCTGTGACCTGGAATTCCGAAGTAAAGACTGCCTCGGCTGCAGGCCGACTGCCCCGCATCATTTTTCCCGTCTCGCGCGTGCAGGAGCCAGTCGCTCCAATCGGCGCCCAGAATTGTCAACTGGTCCTGTGCAAGAGTGACGTGAGTTCCTTGTTCACAACATTGCTGACATACAGTGGGGAAGCGCCACGAAGGCGCTGGCCCGCCGCTACATCCAGCTCGTCCGCGCTGGCCGCCTCAAGACCTCTGCCAGCAACCAGGCCATCTGGAAGGCCCTCCAGGGCACCATCATCAAACCTGGAGGCCGTCAAGACGACCAGAAGTTCCGCCTCTTCCTTGAGGAGCCGTCGTCCTGGACCGGTGACCGCAACCTCCCCACGCGCAGGGTGCCATCCGTTGCCGTCCTCAAGAAGGTGAGTGCTAGGTCTTGACGGCGCTCCTCTGGGTGACCCATTCTAACATTGCCAGCTGGTCTTCAGCCTCGACGCCAGTACGCCAGCGTCGAGCCATCCAAGATGGGTTCCTGCCAACTCTCCGCTGACCTTTGGAACTGGTTCCGTGACGATGAAGAATACAAATGGTACCTGCACCACCACAACGCTGCGCTATGGGGCCCTGCCAAGGCTATGTGGAAGCAAATGGAATGAGAGTATAGGGAATACGGAAAGTCCGTACGGCGCATATGGGGCCGGCGGTATGTGGGCGGCACCAATATGGAGAATGCTATGAACAGTGGAGAGACACACATGACGTGCACCTTGATAAAGGCCCGCTCCATCGCCGGAGCCGACGATGACCAGGACGAGGATGGTGACGAGGACCAGGAAGATGATGACGAGAACGAGGACCAAGGCGGCATGGACGTGAACGACACGATCGAGGACAGCGACTGTCCCCACGGCGAGGTCGCAAATGTCATTCCTCGCCGCCGCGCCATGGACAGCGATGACTACGACGATGTCCCCTCGATCGAGATCCGATTCAAGCGTGTTGGCAAGAAGCGCCGCATAATTAGGAGTGATGAGGAGGAGGATGGCCTCTCATACATGTAAATTAAAGACTCCGAGCCGATACGGGAACACTGGAGAGGACACGCATGTACATACATAGCATGCAAACAGTCTGATGATTCCGTTTTTTTTGGGGGGGGGGTGGGGGGGAGGCCAGGGAGTAAAAAGAACTGGGAGAATGCAGTGGAAGGGGTACGGGCCCTAGCTCAAGCAGGTCGGATCGAAGTGTGCGCACAAGAAGTGTCCGTCGTGTGGCTGCGAGTGACGAAGAGTAGGATGGAAGCTAGGGCATTTACAATGGCAACTGACAGCCGACCGGATCACTTGGACGATGACAGTAGTCATAGTAGCAATGCAAGCGTTGTGAAGTAGGTGGTATTATATGGTAATGTAAGCCAGGTGAAGTATTGATGTAGCTGTAGCGGTTTGTATTATGAGGACGGCGGGACCGTGTGGCACCATTTGCCAACCTTGGACGTGGCGTGCTGTTGGTATGTGTGCCACACACGGTATCAAATCCACCCTTATATCTAGTATTTAAATTGTAATTTCGGCAGTTATATCTTCACTCTGCATTCTTCTTCATTCCGACAGTCCCTTCGTTGCCGTGGTGAGACTGTACAGGGGCGTGAAGCTTGAATATGTACAGAGTTAACGATAGACTGGCTGACCGGTTAATGAAGGCGTGAGGGGTGCTCTGTAGAGTGAGAGTGTATTGTGCGTGTGCAACACAAGCGCAAGCGCTGGCAGGTGGTCACATATCGCTCTGGCCATCAAGTCACTACAGAGGGAGGAAGGCGACCTGGTGAGCACTAATGATTGTGGGGAGTTGGGCGCAAGAACACATATATCGGCTTCTTCTTATATATATGTGCGTTCTTGCGGCCGTTATAAGAAGAAGCCGACATATCTGTTCTTGCGGCGGTCACGTACGCACAAGCACGTGCAAACATGCGCACAGCCTCGAAGCTCCCCCTTCCCCCCACCCTCCTCAGACGGCTGAGCTCTGGCCAGCCGACATCTGGGCCACGGCTATCTTCTTCCGCCTCGCCTGCCTCATTAGCGTCTCGAATTCATCCCACTGTACATTCTACTCACGTCCCAGTTGTCGACCAAGACCATGACCAGCCGGAGGGGAAGACGGGGGAAGTGCTGGTCAATGTCGGAAGGCGACAAGAACTTTTGCCTGTCGCGCAACTGTTGGAGCCTGTACGGCGTCAGCTTAACCTTCGCAAACCCCATTCCACGTTTCAATTGCCGACACTGGCAGGTTGGACCCAGTGTGTGTGATCAGGTACACTTACGCGGCGAGGTGGTTGTTGTTGTCGTCGGTGTCCGGGTTGCCATTGCTGTCCGCCACGAACGCCGAGCCGCTGGCAAAAAAATTGGCAAACTCATCCCACAGGAACCGGACGCTGCCGGCAGCGCGACTGTCAAGCTCGTTTGCACGAGTGACTACTGTTAGCCCCCCCATGTCGTTGGTAACTCACGAGTTTTGCGCATCAGCGCCATGCCCTCGCTAGCGTCCGCGTAGCCGGTGTCACCTGGCTGACGCCAACCAGTGGCGTAGTCAAACTCGCCGGCACGCATCAGCTGGCAGCCCTGAGCCACGGTGATGTTCTTGGCCTGGGTGGTCAACACCAATCTGGTGGATCCACTCACCTGGCAGGCAGATTGAAAGGCCGTAATGGCTGTGGCTTGGTCTGCTTGGAGCCACTTAAGGACGTAGGGTTCGTTTGTCCATGGAAGGAGATGGAAGGAGGGGACGGGGCGACCGACCATGAGTTTGGGGATCGAGAGGCGACCGCCAGCGAAGAAGCGGTGGGCAATGCCCTCTGCAGCAGTCGGACGGAGATTTCTCGTGCCGAGCTGCTGGTGCAACACGCCGAGGAGGTTGGCGCCCACGCTTTGGTTCATGCGCTTTAGGCGGATCGCCAAACTCAACCGCAGTGTACACCCCATGGCCTCGAGCTGCGTGTCCGACAGGACAATGGCGGGGCGGGTTGCACGGATGCTGTCGCCACTGCCGCCGGACTTGTAGTAGATGAGGGCAGGGAGAACTTCCTCGTCGTACTCGGGGCCAAACAGCTAAAGTGCGACCAGAAACACCCAACTTTCCGCTCATGCCACTCATCGACTCACAGCCTGGAAATCACGCAGCACCGCCGCGACCGTCCTACCCTCCTCTTGGTAGGCGGGGAACGACATCGGGGCATGATCTTCGTTCCTCGACTGGAGGTACTTGGCGGTGGCGCTGTCGTTAGCAGCGTCGTCAATGGGACATGTACTTACTGGAGCTGCTCGTCGGTGGGGACTGCGTTCACGTCTAGCTCTGATATGCCACCTGGCATAACCACACCAAGGACATCCTTCATCGGGTTTGTCTTCTCTTGGACGTTGAGACGTCCAAGCGGACACGTCGCCATGGTTTGAAAGACGGCGCGTGTCACGCACATAAGCTTGAGAAGCAGGTTCAGTTTGGGGTTGATGCTGTTGCATGGTCAGAACACGCCACCACGTATGGCTCTTTGCTCACAGCCCATTGATTGAGGCGGACGGGTGGTCCAGGGTGGAGCATGTCATGTTGGTGTGTTGAAAGTGATGAGAATGGGGAGATGGAAGACAAGTGGGCACGCTGTGCTGGAGGGTGGATATGTAGTGTATGGACAAGTGTTTTCTGTGGGGTTAGGGCGCAACAAAAAAGAAGCTGAGAAGCCGTGGATCCTGTGGAGCGTGTGTTTGAGCCAACGTGACAACCCCCCAGCAGCGCAGCAGCGGTGCAGCGGGCGCAACAAGGAGCGAGAAGGCTCCTTGGCCCTTGTATCGCTCTTTCTTCTTCTTCGCATCTTCCTTTCTCTCTCTCTCCCGTCTCTACTTCACTTTCCTTCCTTCTTTCTTTCTTTCTTTCTCTCTTTCTTCCTACACCACCAAGATGTCTGACTCGAACCGTGGAACGCCCGGCTTTGGCCCCCAACCCGGCATTGCGCCCGAAGACATGAAGCATGGCAATTGGCCACGCCACTCGCGCAACCCGCGTGCCGAGCCTCCCACCGTGAGTGTCTCGCACCAATGACTTGTGCTCACTCAAAGCTGCCCCAAATCGAGCCTATCACCGTTGCGCCCTGTCCTCGTCCTGGTCCTGCCCAGGAGACCGCTGCGGCTGCCTCGGCTTCACAGCCCATCCAGAAGGGCATGTCCGAGAAGGAGGACGACATCACGGACGAAGATATTCGCCTGTGCCAACGCATCCTTGAACACACAATCACCAATTCCCCCCAGTACCGTCTCCCTTTCACTGAGGACACAGAGGCCTGGCACCCAGTCATTTGCACCCTTTTAGACAACGACAAGCTCTCGCAGGCGACCACCACCAAAGCCATGCGCTTGATCCTCGGCCGTGCCCGCGATGGAGAGAGCTCTACCGCATTCCCCATGGGCCCAATCCTTGCCGAGTGTGCTTCGTTCTCGGCCGCTGCTCAACGCTCTACCGGCAGCCTCTTCCTGCAGCCCGCCTCGGCCGCCCACTTCGACACCCTTGAGACGACCGACGACGGCCTCTAAGCAGTCTTCCCGTCTTGGGCGAGATTGAACCCGCGCAAGGCTTAGGGGACCTGACAGAAAACCCAAAAGAGCAAGGTTTTTATTTTGTGGATTATTTGATGAAACTACATACCGCAATTCCGTTGACATGCATACGTATGTACATACTGGGCCTGCTCGCCGCGCACCTGTCTCCCTCGTTATACAGCGACGCATTCGCACATGAGAGCTGAAACAGTACGGGCATGCATTTAAAGTTCACGCCGGAAATGGGTAACACTGGACACTTAAAACACGGAACAACGAACATAACAGAGGTATTATCTTGCAAATCACTCGACGTTAGGACCGGTTTTCTAGTTTTCGTAGTCCTCCTCGTACTCCTCAGCAACCTTGACCATGTCAGCAATGTGTTCAAACAAAAACGTAACCAGAGTGGGTGGCGCGTGTCGGACTGCATCCACCACGCCCGGCGGCAGTCATGTGACTTACCTCCTCGGCCTCGTACTCGAGCTCCTCGTCGTCCAGGCCGGCGTTCTCGTACTGGTCGTACTCGGAGCACAGGTCGGTAAGGTTGGACTGCTCGGGTTAGCATACAGAACAGAGAGGGAAGAGGAGACAAGGTCAAGGGACACGGGACGTCAGGAGCCCAAAGGTCGCCACCCAAAAAAGTCGACTTGGGGACTCCCGACGTCCGCCACCTCTTCCTCGACAGCGAGCGCAACGTACCTCGGCCTCGGTAAACTCGAGCTCGTCCCTGTGATGTCAGCAATTCACTCACGCAGCATAGGGTAGAGTGGGCGCAGGTGTGAAGATCCGGGCCGTGTGGCGGAGGAAAAAAAAAGTGGCGGAAAAAAAGTCCCGCCGACTTCAACAACACCTCTTCTACTCAAAATCTCCTCTTCCTTGCACTCTTTCGAGTCCAAACGCATCGTTTTTGCACGTACATGCCCTCTCCTGTATACCAGTGCACATAGGCTCTTTTCCTTTCGTTCGTTAGCTGCGTTCTGAGTGCGGGAAGCTTACCTCCAGAGCTGGCGGAACTGAACGTGGGAACGCTTGAAGACCTCGGAGATGGCGGTTGTGTTAGCGACGACGGTGGCGGAAGCAGTCTGTCCGATGGGGGGAACGGTGCAGAGAGTGGTCAGGGCACCGTTGGGGATCCAGGGGACGAAGTGGGCCGAGTTCTTGGACTGGAAGTCGTAGACGGCAGTCTCAATGTCGCGCATCGAGAGCTTGCCGCGGTAGGCGACCGAGACGGTGAGGTACTTGCCCATCATGGGGTCGATGGCGGCAAGCAGGCTGCGGCGCTGGAAGGCGGCGGCCGTGAGCTCGGGGACGTTGGTGGCGGTGTAAGCGCGGGTGCCCGAGGCGACCAGAGGCGCGTAACCGGCGGTGAAGAAGTGGAGACGCGGGAAGGGCACCATGTTGACGGCGAGCTTGCGGAGGTCCGAGTTGAGGACACCGGGGCTGGACATCTGGGTCAGTGTCTACTGTAGGGCAATACCAATAGGGTCACGCACAAACGGAGGGTCGCTAGGAACATTAGCGGTCATTTCCCACACACGAAAACAAACTCACAGGTGAAACCGGTCATGACCTTGGCAATGAGCGCGTTCAGGTCCTTGTACTCGGGGGCCTTCTGCTTGAGGTCGTTGACGCAGATCTGGTAGAGAGCCTCGTTCTGAATAGCATGTTCAGCGCTGGGGTCCACATGAAAACGTGAGCACCTGGGCCACTCACGTCAATGCAGCAGGTAATGTCCGAGTTCTCGACGAGAATGTGGGTCGAGAGGATGGCGTTGTAAGGCTCGACGACAGTCTCCGAGACCTTGGGCGAGGGGAAGACTGAAAAGGTGGCGAGCATACGGTCCGGGTACTCCTCACGGATCTTGCTCAGGAGGAGGGCACCGAGACCAGAGCCGGTACCACCACCAAGCGAGTGGAGGAGCTGGAAGCCCTGGAACGAGTCGGAAGACTCGACCTGCTGGCGGAGGACGTCGAGGATGGGGTCCACGAGCTCGGCTCCCTCAGTGTAGTATCCCAGCGAAGTTTAGCATCAGTTGTAAATGTCTCGGTGGCTCACCTTGGCCCAGCTAATCTGTCAGCAATGACCCACAAGAGTCCTCTCAACTCACTTGTTACCGGCACCGCTCTGGCCGTGGACAAACGTGTCGGGGCGGAAGAGGTTGGCGAGGCGGCCGCCGCGGACAATGTCCACGACTCCGGGCTCGAGGTCGACCTGGATCGAGCGGGGGACATACTTCTGGTTGGAAGCCTCGTTGAAGTAGACGGAGACTTGTTTTGGTGTCAGCAAACCCGGCGGCAAATCCCTGCGCGCTCGCTCGCGCTCGGCTTGCACTCACCCCTGTCGAGCTGCTGGGGGTCGTTGCCGACGTACTTGCCGCTGGCTGTGACGGTCAGTGGATGAGTGTGATGGGAGGCGGAGGTTCCAATGGAACAATGGATATTCGGGGGCGTTACCCACCATCAAGGCCGTGCTCCTGTAACGGTTGTCAGTGCGATCACTCGATGGACGCGTGTCGGACAGACACATACCTGGAGGACGTTCTCCCAGAAGGCAGTACCGATCTGGTTACCGGCTGTCCGCAAGTGTCAGCAGTGCTATTCAAGAATGTCGTCCAAGTTTGCCAGCGGGGCTCTTGCGAAACAACGCCAAGAGGTTCGCGCGCGCGCCGGCATAAATCGCTCACCCTGTCCGACTGGTGAATGTGTGTCAGTAAACGGCAATGGGGGAGGGCAACAGTGTGGTGCTGCATGCAGACCTACCGGAGACGTTGACGATTTCCCTTCCCATGCTTGATAGATGTGCTTTTGGAGGGATGTAGGTTGTAGATGGGGGAGTGGTGGAAGAGAGAGAGAGCAAGATGTGGGGGCCACGCGCGCGGCGGCGTTGACATGCGAGCGAGCGTGGTGTTGTGCCCCGTTCCACCCGCCAGCGCCAGGCGCGCGCGCGGGCCTTGACGTCCACCCCACGCAACGCGCGCGCATTCTCAGGAACACGAACCGCCAGAACCACAGGGCTGCGGTGGGTGTGATGGGAAATGACACCGTGGGAGAGCGGATGGGAAACCACCGTGGGACAGCTGGGACTGGTGGAGGGAAGGGACAATAATACATAGGCCCGCCGCAGTGTATTCAGGTAATTTTCTGGGCAAATGGGCAAAGGTAGGCGCGCCACTTCGGTACCTGCCCTCCATAAGCTATTACCTAAGCCCATGTCCGGACCGGCCCGGCCGTACAGGACGGACCATTTCGTGCTTTTCCTCTGATCGACGCGCGATTAGCGAGCGCGGCATGTTGGGGAAATGGCAAAAGGTCGAGGGGGTGGGACGCGCTAGGAGGGAGTTACAGGGGACAGAGGTAATTAGACCACACGCGCTTATGGCAGAAGGGATGGGAAGACACGAGAGAGACACTCGTCGAGGCACACAGTGTACACTGGGTGTGTGTGACCTGGAATTCAAAAAAGGAAAAGGGGAAGAGAGCATGCATGCATGTTGGCCTTGTGGGGTACAGAACGGGGTTTCACCCGTGATCTGTCTCTCTCCTGGGTGACCGCGTCGCCGCGCCAAGAGCGACACCTGTGGGACTCCCTTTGGGATCGCTTCCTCTGTCGGGCCCCCGGGGGCGGTGTGTGAGTGTCATTTACACTTTGTGTCTCTGTCTCCCTGGCCAACATTCTCTCACATCTCCCTCTTTCCCTTGCTCTCATCTCTCATCTCTCTCTCCCTCTCTCCCTCCCATCGCCTCCCATTACACCAGCATACAGAACCGTCGTATCCATCGCACTCGCACACACACACAGACACAGACCCACCACAGACACAACACACACATACACACAGACACCTTCCTTTCAGTCTCCCATCGCTGCTCGTCCCCTTTCCCCTAGTCCCCCGAAAATGCGTCTCATCGACTTGGCAGTCCCCGCCGCGCTTGCCGCAATGGCACCCATGGCCGTGGCCACCACCTCCAGCGGACTCACACCAGACAAGCTTGCTCTCGTCTACCAGCGCATGGTCGAGCTCAGCACCAAGAGGTAGGTTGCATCCTTTTTGCCCACACACACGTCCCCGCGCGCGGACCTCGTGCAACCCGTCGCGGGGCCAAGAACGCCCGCCCTGCACCTGTCCGCAGCAGCGCCCCGCCAGCGCAGTTGAAACTCGGCCTTGCCCACGTCCCGAAAGGACATGCACTCCTTTGAGCGTATGCTAACGGGAGCTCTGCAGCTGGGAGAACGGTACCCGCGCGCAGGCCACGCTCGAGTGGAAGAATGCATCGCTGTCGGTCTTTTCGCCCACGACCCCGCTTCCCCTGCCCGATGGCCTGCAGTCGTCGAGCATCCCCGAGATCATCGAGCTCGCAGAGTCCACCCTCGCGAACCGGCCGAACGCGTCCGACTACAAGGTCAATGCGACCAGCACGACCACCACCGCGGCTCTCGAGGACACTGCCACTGCCACGGACGGCTCTTCCGATGGCGAGCAGACGGCATCGGCAACCACCACCGCCAACGCCACCGCAACCTCCACACCGTGGGTCAACGTCCCGGCCATGAACAACACCCAGCTGCCCGTCGGCTGGCCTCTGCTCAAGGACGACGCTGCCGGCGACCCCGCGTCTCTCGGTGTCGCTGTCCTTTTGGCCAACGCTACCACCGGCGACGCCACGTACAATGGCGAGACTTATGGCGCGGCTGCCGAGGCTCAGCTCAACTTCCTCCTCTACGATGTCCCCAGGGTAAGTTCTAATTTCGGCCAAACGAGGCGTTTTTTTGCTGAACGGTCTCTCTCTCTCTCCCAGACTGCACAGGGCGCCATCTCTCACCGTGTCAACGAGGCTCAGCTGTGGGCCGACAACGTCTACATGGTCCCTCCCTTCCTCGCCTACTACGGTGCCCTCACCAACAACCAGACCCTCCTCGACCTCGCCTACACCCAGATCTCGCTGTACCGTGACGCCCTGCGCCACTCGGACACCAACCTCTGGCAACACACCGTCTATGGCGGCGTCGTCGACTCGGGCATGTGGGCTACCGGAAACGCCTGGGTTGTCGCCGGCTGTGCTCGTGTGATTGCCACAATCCAGCGCAGCTCGTTTGCCAGCTCCATGTCGTCGCAGGTCGCCGACCTCCAGTCCTGGGCCTCGGAGATTCTGGGCGCCACGGAAAAGTACATCTCGTCCAACGGCCTGCTGCACAATTACGTTGACAACTCGTCGTCGTTTGAGGACTCGACGTCGTCGGCGCTCATGGCCGCCGGTGGTCTGCGTCTCTCGACGCTCAACCTCACCAACGACTATGTCAACATGTCGCTCACCCTCCTCTCGGGCGTCTCGAAGAAGGTCAACGACACGGGCTATGTCACCCAGGTGACTGACCCGTACACCTTTTCCAAGCAGGGCACCGAGTCCCCCGAGGCCCAGTCGTTTGTCATCCTCGCCTACTCTGCGTACAACGAGTGGGTCGCCCAGGGCTCCAACGGTATTGAAAAGGGCAAGAACCCCATCGGCTCGTCGGCCGCCTCCCCTCGCGCGACCGCTGGCATGGCTGGCCTCCTCGCGCTCGCCACTGCGCTCTGGGTCTTGGCGTAAAGCCGCGATCCCGTGGACAATCTTGCTTTGTTCTTTACTTCCTTCATTCTTGCCAACCCCTCCTCACCAACAACAACACATCACCCACAACTGTATCCCTGGACACTTGCGCACCCGCAGCCGTCTTACATGTGCTGCAGGGTGTAGCCCTTATTATGTTAGAAACGCGCCGGCCGTAGCGCCAGTAGTATTTACCTTTTTTACAAACATAAACAGCCGACGCTAGTCATTCTGTACTCTGCCGACGCCTTGTCACATCCCGTCTCACAGACGGTGCGCAGACGCGTACCGCCCACCGCAGAGTGCATCCACGTTCGTGATGGTTGCGAGTCTGAGTATCTGAGTGTCTGTGCGCCGTTCTCTTCCCCAACATGCTCGTCGTCCTCGACCCTCCATGACTTCTTTTGACCAACTGGCCCTCCGGTCGGGCCTCGTTTGGCTCATGGTGGGCAGGCGCAAGCTGATTGGCGGCGGGACATGAACATTGGCTGTGTCTCGTGTGAACTTGGAACCTTTTTCCCCACGGCAACACGCAACATATTCTGGTGCCTGGACGCCAACCCAGTAAAACACCAGACGGCGCACTGCCATAAAGAGTGGTTGTTGTGCGGGGTGTGGATGGGGGGTGCGCGGAAGGAGGGATTCGTCAGTGTCGTGGTGTTGCATTGATGCCGCAGTCTGCAATCTGGTTTATCTCCATTCTGGCCACTCAAATAAATGTTTCACGAGATCTTCTTTTATTCATAGCTTTTTGTGTCCCGCCCTCTCTATCAAGGGGGGCGGTGCTGGTATACACCACACACACCACCAGAGCAAAAGCAAGCATACCAGCCAAGATGTGCTCGGTGGGAAACATTGAACACCGGGGGCGCCACGCGCCACAGTGTCTCGCCGCGACGCCAGCAACGTCGGAGGCGGCACCGCGGCACCACGGTTCCGCAGCTGCTGGCTTTGCGGGGGTGCGCGGTTGTAGTACAGTGTTGCATGCCCCGTTCCTGCCCAAGACGGCCAGTCGGCGCCGCCGTGTCAGCCAGCAACGGCCTCGCCCGTAGACGGCGTTGTGCCGTGCGCATGTTCCGTCAGTAACCGGGGCCCTCGTGCCCTCGTCCTATCGTCCCAGGTCGTAGCTGTGCCTCGGGGCGATTACGCAAATGATGTTTAAATGACTCGTCAATGCCTGGTCGGCAATTGCCGCGACGCCAGGATCGACAACCGCGATAACAGCATGAACACGACCTTACCGACCAGGCCTGGCCGACGAGGATGGCGCAGCAGCAATGTAAGGATGTGTCCTGTGTTGCGCTCATTTCTTTTGTGGTTAATGTGGAACAAGCATACAAAGCTACATCTCACACCGGCAGAGGCCCTGAGCCGCGCAGTGCGCTTGCGCGATGGACCTGCCATGGCGTGTGGCTATGATGGGCGGCAAAAGCAATGGAATCTCAGCGACCCACAGGTAACGAACAATGTCTGCGCCTGGTCTACGATGGCTATGGCGATATGGCGACTGTACCACTAGAACGTCGCGTTGGCCGTGGCGGCGATGCTTCAACAGGGTCATAGCCACAGCCACATGCACAACGGTCACCAATGCAGCAAAAAAACACAGTTACGTAATACAAAATTTGGGGCCCCGTTGTTATTGTTTTTGTTTGCCTCCCAACCATCCTCTCCTTCTCGCCCTCACTCAATGCCCGTCTGTCCACGTCCCCACACAACTCACCATGCTCTCGACAGGACTGTTGCCGCCATCCCTTCCACTTCCGCTCCCCACCACTTATGGCGCCGCATTTGAGGCCGCACCGCCCCTCGAACACCCCAGCGACCTCAACCTCTACCCAATCCTCCACGACACAAAGGGCGAGGCGTCCTGGCAGAGAGAGCTTTCCGTCTACCTGCCTCGTATACGCCGCAAGCAGCAAGAGGGCGAGATTGCAGTGGTCGGCCTTCATGTCGATTGTACTCTTGAGCAAGAGCGCGACCTCATAGACACCCTCAACCTGGCCGGCAATTCCACGTCACCTTTCCACGAGAAAGTGGTGGATGCGATCCGCAAGGTCACACGCCCAAGCGGCGGTAGCAGGAGGAGTAGAAGCCGGCGCGACATTGGGGTCATCGCCAACATGAATGACAACGACGTGCACAACGGCGACGGCGAGGCGACACGCACGAACACCAGGGCCTCGGTGCGATGCTCCACTTCGCCGCCCGTCAGCTCAGAGCAAGTCCGGCCCAGCACCACCTGCCGTAGCGGCATCAGTGCAACTGGTCCCGCACCACCGTCCACGTCGCGCGTCGGCATCCGTTGCCCAGACATTTCCATGCGGTACTCAACGATCATTCAAGGACAACGGTATGAAGGCTCGGTGTTGGAGGGCGAGTTCAAGGTCTTCAAGCATAGCCGTCCCGACGAGATGCCACCGGCACCAGGTCACCTTGCCCCTTCCGACGGCGGCGAGGACCGCCATGCCCGGGAAAACACCTTGAGCTACTCGTTCGAGACCACATGGAAGCGCGGTCTCATAAAGGCGGCCGTGTATCTTGTCATCGCGCACGAAATGTCGGGCACCCGCCTGGGCGTGTGTGTCACTGGAGAATACATGCAGCGACTGGCGATCATCGGCGGCGACGACGCTGGATACATCGCAGTGGTCGTGGAGTTTGACGAGCAGCTCGTGGCCACCCAACAGCTTCCACTGGAACTCGACATGGTCGGCTTGGTCAACAGCAACAGCGCGGCCACCCATATGCCGTGGTGCTTTGCGGATGCGAACGGCGACGCGAACCCCGAGGCGCTCGCGACGTGGGGGCAACTGTTCCACGCGGCTTTCAACTTGATTCGCGACGTTTCGTACGCCGAGCCCCTTGAGCGTCTCCAAATGAGCCACAGTGATCCTCTGATCGATGCTCTCGTCCACCGTGGCTGCCTGAAGGCCATCCACCACACCACCGACATTACGCACACCGCCTCCGAGTCCTGTGGTGAACCAAACCCTTCAACCTCCTCCTCCTCCTCGGCCGACACGTCGCTGTCCGTTCCCGACTCCTCTGACCTCTGGGACACTGACACGGACGAAGGCGAGCGCTCTCCAACGGCTCCCTGGACGCGCCGCCAGACCGACAAGTACCTCGACAGTCTCTCAGAGAGCGACCTGGACGACCTGTTGCGCGACTTTCCACGCATGGCCGTCGTCTGCGCCTCGCCGACGGAAATGAGCCGCCTGGTCGCCATAATCGCCCAAGGATGAGCCTGGTTCGTCTACTCGTGAATATTGTCTCGTTTATTGTATATGTTTACTGCATGGTCTTGTGTATCCAACGGCCAACGGAAGATGTCGCGATCGTCCAACATTGGGAGCGCGTGAAAACGGCCAGTGAACAAATTCACTTTAGAGGTGTTGTCGAGAACAGGGCTGAACACGGCTCCAGCGCGAGAAGCAGGATCGGCACGACGGCTCCGAGACCGCTGGCAAACTGTGTGACTTATTCATTAACATTACTAGACCACAATGTACAACTAATCCAACGCCCCGGGTTTCGTACTTCAATGACTTCGTCGTGCTCAGCATCCTCCTCCTCCACCACACCCGCCGCCTCCTCCGCCACAACCTCCTCCTCCACCACAGCCTCCTCCTCCGCCCGAGCCTGCTCCACAGCCGCCGAAACCTGAACCCCAACCTCCGCACGCCGCACCACCTCCCCCGGCAAAGGACGAACATCCAGCCATGCCGTTGGCCGCACAGGCCGAAATGCCGCCCAGTCCACCGCCGTTCACAGCAGCCGAGCACGCGGCGCCCACACCGCTGCAGCACGCTTGGGGATCTGTCAGCAAAAGGGACATGAAGGAGAGGAAGAAGAAGAAGAAGGGACAAACACTCACCTGCACCCGCAGGCACACCTGCGCTGCACGCGGCGCCGGAGCCGGCAGCAACACCCACACCCACGCCCACGGCGACGCCGGCACCAACACCAATGGTCAGCGCCCAGGGATTGCCGAGACCCCAGGGGCCCATGGCCGTGTACGGTGCCACGCCCCAGTACGGGTCGTAGAAGTAGGCGTCGGCGGGTGCGCGCTTGCGCTGTTGCTGCTGCTGCTGGCCGAGGGGCTTGGTGAAGGGGTCTGGGTGGGCTGGGTCGGTCGAGCCCGCGCCCTTGCCCATGGTCGACAGGCTGTACAGAATGTCCAGGTATGGCGAGCCGCTGACGTGCACGCGGTTGTGGGTCGACGGGCACTCTGCCGCGCGGTCGTCGGCCGACGCCGTGCCGGCGCCCATGGCTGCAATGCCCTTCATGGTGCCGGCCGTGGACGCTGCCTGCTTCTTCTTCCAGAACAGGAACGACGGTGCGTTCTCGCGACGCACGGCGCGGTTCAGAGCCGTGGTGGCTTTGGCGGTCACGGGGCACCCGCAGCCCGAGTAGGACGTGTGGAAGCGGCTGGCCCAGAGTGCGGCCGTCTCGTCGTATGCGTGCTTGAGCGTGACGTCGGCGACGGCGTCGTCGTGGTTGATAAACCGCCCCACATACTGGCGCGTGTCCTTTGCGTACCTCGCAGCAAGGAGCTGGTGGGAATGCCACGCGAGGTCAATGTCGAGCGTCGGCGAGAGCATCGTGTACTGGTTCGCGTACATCAGGTCCAAAAAGGCGTGGTACCGCGCAGCAGCCTTTTGCAGGAAGAAGAAGCGCGCCGTGTCGGCCTCGTTCTTCCAGCGAGCAGTCTCCAGCCACCCGAGCTCGGCCATGCTGGCAATAAACCCTGCTTGGCGCATGATGGCTGGACCGAGGTCGATGCTCGTCACGCCGCCGTTGCCGCCGTTGTACACGCGGTTCATCCGTGAAAGCGCGTACGCAAACGTTCGGCGGTACGTCTGAGGGCTGCCGGCGCCCAGCATGGCCGACGTCTTGATGACGTCGAAGAGACGGTGCTTGACGGCAATACCCTCAATGTCCTCGCGTGCGCGGTCGTGCGACCACTCAAACAGCTTGCCGAGCTTGACCAGGTCCACTTTCGCCTTCATGTTGACCTCGGAATACGACAGGTTGTCCTGCGCCATGGCCGCGCTGAGGACGAGGCCCTTGGACATTTCGACACCGACAGCCTCAGTGAACGATTGCTGAGGAGGCGGCGTCTCGTAGCGACCCAAGCCGGCCAGGCATGGGATGCGTCCACTCTGGACGTCCTGGAGGTCGCGGATAAAGCGACCAAACCGCAGCGCAGGGTGGGTCACCTCCAGTTCGCAGTTGGGGCACGGGAACTCGAGCTCGGGCATGGCAATACCGCCTCCCTTGCCGTGGACGCCGATGAGTGGGATCTGGAGCCAGTGCGAGCACTTGGGACAGGCAATGTCCACAGTCGTGTCGGTCGGGTGGAGGGCGACAAGAGCGCGTCCACTTGTTCCAGAGCGGTATTCGTAAGTGGTGGGGTCGATTTGCGCGCACTGCAGGTGTGTGTCAGGACATGGTCGTCTCCTCGCTGAACTCACAATCCACGACAGGGGGAACGCGCCGAGCGCTCTCAGACCACGCAGCTTGCCCTCTGCGCCGCCCTCGCGCTCCATGTCCTGCTCGTACGCGCCAGGGTTGAGCATGTACGTGTGCCATGCCATGAGGACGTCAATGTCGGCGTAAGACAGGACCGCCTGGATCTCGGGACGCGTCGCGTACCGCTCGCCAGCGGGGCGTGTCATGATCTGGTCGTACAGCGCCTTCATGGGCTCGCTCGTCGCCCACTGCTGGAACCGGTGGCTGGCGCGCTCACAGAACGCGCCCCACTTGACGTCCTCGGGCACTTGCTTGTCCTCTGGCGCGTCCTTGCCCTCGCTGTCGCTCGGCGTGGGGCATTCGCGTACATCCTGCTGCAGGCGGTTGAGGCACGCGAGGAACACGAGGTGGTTGACGAGCTCGGGGACCGTCACGAGAGGGGGGATGTAGTGCGTGCCGACACGAAAGGTCGTGGGCAGCTGGGTGACGGGGTCGACGGGTGGGGGTGCGGGTGGTTCCTCGACGATGGGCTTCTTCTTGTCGATGGTCTTCTTCTCGTTGGACGACAGCCGGGAAAAGGTCTTGGACAGTCTTGAGCCGCTGTACGGAGGGGGCGGCGCCTCCTTCGAGTCGGTGTCGTCGAACACGTTCTCCTTGTCCTTTGAAGCGTCCTTGTCCTTGTCCTTGAATGACTTCATGATGGGTGGATGAAGAGGGGTGTGGGGTGGCAAAGAGATGCGTGATGAACAGGGTTATAAGATGCATAACCGCGCGGAGTCGGATGCACCCCTCTCCCCCCATGGCGTCACCAGCAGCGTACACGCGCGTATCAACCCCCCACCGCGCGCACTGCTTTCCAAGCCACCTCTATGAGCTATTTTCCACCTCCCTGCCAAGGCGATGCGGGGAACGTGGACCTGGGCATCGGCAACCACCATCAGCCAAACAACGTGGAGCCCATGCTGGGATCTTAGCGAACAACGTCGGCTGCGTCGTGACGCTCGGCAGGTCGAGCGGTTTGATGCGGGGTACGGTGCGCGGAGCCCATCCTCACACGGCTTGGCAGGGACGTCACACTTTGCATCTGTCGCCATTACAAAACGCGTTCTAATAGCAACGGTCTTTTTATTACAATAACCGGGCCACCGGCTTTTACCGGCGCATCTGCACCGCTCCCCCGACTCATTAGAGCTTGGCCTTGTCCTTGAACGCCGGCAGCTTGTCGCCAATCTTGGCACCCATGGCCTGCGCAAGCGCCTGCAGCCCGCTCAGAGGACGAACCATGACCTCAAACTCGACGATTTGACCTTGCTCGTTAAACTTGATGAGGTCGATGCCCTTGAGCCTCTTGCCAGACACGACGGCGCTAAACTCGAGCACGACGTTGAGTCCGTCGGGCGTCACCAGCTCGCGGTAGTAGACAAAGTCCTCAAACACGGTGAGCACAGTGTTGAGGGCGAGGATGACGGCGGCGCGCGAGTTGTAGGCAGTGACGGCCACGGGAGACCTGAAGACGGCGTCCGGGTGGACGATGGACGGGAGACGCGACAGGTCCTTGGCAGCGACCATCTCGTGCCAGAGGTTGACCGAGCGCGCGACGGCGGGGTGAGCGACGTTGTCGAGTTGGCCCATGTTGAATAGCTGTGGAGGTGAGTGGCGAGGTCTGGAGGGGGCGGGTATTCACCGTATGAAGTGTTGTGAATGTCGTCGTGGATCGTGGATGTGACGACAGAGGATGCGCAGCCAGCGTCTTATATCGATCTCGCCGGGTACTTTGGTGGCCGTGCCCCACCAGTAATCCCAAAGCGGCCGCCGGTGACGACCACAACAGTCGCTGCAGACGAGACGGAGATGCGCTCTCATCACCCACCCGCTTGCCCTCGCCATGCAGCGGAGACGCTCGTCTACTCCGACGAGCGCTGACCGCTGTCCGTGTTCGCCGTTGTCGGCCATCGCCGACAGCCCACCACCACCCACATGACATCCGGCATGCTCCGGGCGAACGATTGCGAGGTTCGAATCCCGGGTCCCCGCGTTTTTGGTTGGCCTCACGTGGTGCCGCCGATGATCCACCCGATCCATCACCCTCTCTCTCTCGCTCTCTTTTATTTCAGGTCACATCAGGATCAATCAGTGAGTTCTCCCCGCTCTCTTTCTTCTCCATCACTCGCGCTCAACGCAAAAATAATCACAGCGACAATGTCGTCTATCGCCATGGTACGTCCCCTGGCACGTCTGTCGCGCTCGTCATTACGGCGCGGCATCGGAGCTTCTGTCGTCCCCGCGCGAGCTCTGTCTCTCGCGGCGCGCGGCAGCAGTCTTCCTCGACTTCAAGCCTCGGCTGCCGCCTCTTGTCCTATCCACCCGAGGCGACGCGACGTCTCTTACGCCTCACAGACCCCCGTTCCCATCGCGCTCCCCACCGTTACCAAGATCACCTCGGTCGCGCCCAGCAGCGGCCCCATTTCGGGCGTTGACGCTGTCGTGATCGGTGTCGCCAGCACCACCGAGGCTGGTCCTCGTCTTGTCGGCGACGCCCAGGCCTTTGCCGGCGATCGCGCTGCCACCCTGGCCGGTCAGCTCGGCAAGCTTGGCTTCAAGGGCAAGTCGTGCTCCGTCCTCGCGCTCCCCGGTGCTGAGAACGACCCGGCTCCCGTCCTCCTCTTTGTCGGTCTTGGCGAGGAGCCCGAGCAGGGCTTCAAGCCCGAGACCCTCCGTCGCGCGGCCGGCGCTGCCACTCGCGCTGCTGGCGCCGCCGAGCACAAGACTGTCGCTGTCATCCTCCCCACCAGCACGGCCGAGACCCTCGCCGCTGTCACCGAGGGCGCGAGCCTCGGCGCGTACGCCTGGACTGCGTACAAGACCAAGGACACCACCACGCCTGTTGCCGCCATCCAGATTGTGACTGCTGGCGACGCCGAGGTTGTTCGCCGTGCCGAGGTTACCGCCCGCCGCGTCAAGAACGCGCGTGAGCTCGTCAACATTCCCGGTTCGGACCTCTTCCCCTCCAGCTTTGCCCAGCACGTCGTCGAGTCGGCCAAGGGCATCGAGGGTGTCAAGGTCGAGGTGTGGGACGAGAACAAGCTGCGCGCCGAGAAGATGGGTGGCCTCGTCGGCGTTGGCCAGGGTTCCGTCCACCCCCCTCGCCTCGTCAAGGTCGCGTACACTCCCAGCAACGCCAACGCCAAGCACCTCTCGATCGTCGGCAAGGGTATCACGTTCGACACTGGAGGTATCTCGCTCAAGCCCTCGCCCAAGATGTGGGAGATGAAGGGCGACATGGGCGGCGCCGCCGCTACCGTCCAGGCCGTCCTCGCCGCTGCCGAGCTCAAGGTCCCTGTGCGCGTCACCGGCTGGCTCTGCCTTGCCGAGAACATGCCCAGCGGCACCGCCCTCAAGAACGGTGATGTCATTCGCCAGCGCACCGGCACGACCGTCGAGGTCCACAACACCGACGCCGAGGGCCGTCTGGTCCTCGCTGACGGTCTCGCCGTGGCACAGGCGTCGGCTACCGGCTACGGTACCGAGGACGCCGAGCCCGACCTCTTGCTCGACATTGCCACTCTTACCGGCGCCCAGATGGCCGCGCTCGGCACGCGCACCGCGGGCCTCATGGGCGACGACAAGGCCATCAAGGCCGTGGAGCGCGCCGCGGCCGCCAGTGGCGAGCCCTTCTGGGCCATGCCCTTCCCCGAGGAGCTCCTCGAGGACATGAAGAGCACCACCGCCGACCTCAAGAACATTGGTTCGGTCCCTTACGGCGGTATGCTCAAGGCCGGTGTTTTCGTGAGTACTGCAGTGCTGCTGCGAGGGTTTCCATCACGCTAACAGTCCTACAGCTGCAGCAGTTTGCCGGCAAGCAGGGCAACTGGGCCCACCTGGACATTGCCGGTCCAGCCGCCAACTCGGGCGCTCCCTGGGGTTACACCCCGACCGAGGGTTCCGGCTTTGGAACCATGACGCTGCTCAAGGTCGCCGAGCAGCTCGGTGCTTGAGCGGAAGGAAGGTGTAGGTGTGCAAGAAGTACCAAGACGTGATGCATCAGCATATGGCATTGATTGGCGTCGTGGTGGTGCGGGAAGGGCCACAAAGAGAGTTTACGTCCGATACGGCCTGACCCTCGCCTCAGGACACGTCCACCAGCAGCTCGCAAGTAAGAGGGGTGCAGATGGACACGGGGCAGCTGGAAGGAACGAGTAACGCAGGGTTTGGCCAGGGGACAGCAACCCCCACACCGTTCAACTCGGGCTCGTACCGTTCCTTGCGGTCTTTGCCGCTTCCTCTGATCCTCTGATACAGCTCGCTGAACAGGAGCATTGAGTACACCAAGATCGTGCTTTAGTGCTATTTGCGACGCTGCATCCCGTCCAATCCGCCCATCCAACGACAGCTGGACCAGCGGCCAGCGGCGACGAGGCGCCATGGCGTCAATCCACAACCGAGCGTGTCTGAGACACAAGTGCCAGTGACCGAGTACAGCCCATCAGCTCGCCTCCATGGGTGATAAAAGGTGTACTGTCCGGATCTCTCGGGCAGCTCATCCGCTCGCCGCCACCGTTTTCTGGCCCACGCCTCCGCAGTTGGGGCGCCCGTTGGGGGTTGGTGGCGCACGCCCGAGAAAGACGACGAGTGGATCGTCAGCCGATCACGACACGTTCGTTGCCACGGCTATGCTGTTGGCCTGTTTTGCGGTGGTTCCCGCCGTGTTGGCCTTGTTCGTTCTTGCTCTCTCGCCTCAATGGCGTGGAGGTGGTGGCCGTGGTGCACTGAATACACGTTACACAGCGGGTAGCGGCACGGCGTATGTCAACCGACGGCTGTGGGCGTTGGGGTAATGCCCATTCGTCGCGACAATCAGTTGGATAAGTTGGGAGGAGGCGTCTTTGTTTGTGTTTTGACGGCAGTACACGGCAGGCACACAACGGCTATGGTGTGGTTGAGGAATGTGGGTCTGCAGCCGCGACACACCCGCGTCTCTCGATGTCGAGACTGATTTTCTGGCTGCGCGCGCCGCAGGCACCGGGACGCGCCATGGACGCCCATTCAACAAGTGCAGTAAAAGAAAAATCCAAGATCAAGAGGTTCCAGAATTCCAGAACGGCCAGAACCCCCCCCCCCCCTCCCGCTGGCGGATGGCGGATGGCGGATGATGGCATTCCACAGGAGGATGCTCTGGCCTGCTGGCCGCTGGGTGTGTGCGGCATTTCTGGGTCTCGCTCGGCGTCAACTGTGTTGGTCTCGCCCCATTTTGACCAGTGGCGCGTTGCGCGTCGCCATCCATCCTCGGCCTTGAAGCGTGGATGGAATCCTTCTATTCAAGGGTGCTCGGGTTTCCGGGTTGCCCGCGTCCGCCACGCGATAAACTGGCCGCCGCGCGCGCCATGGTTTGTCTGTTGATATGTTGGCCTATTCGCTTCACCCAGAGACGCGAACAGAGGCGTGTGGGAACGCAGAGATACAGCCCCCAGGTCCCAGGGAGGGGGGGACAGTTGGGGGACTCAGACTCGGGTCAGCTTCGGCGCTGCAGACAAGCTTACTCCCAGCGGCATTCATGCGCGCCAGCAAAAGGCCACGCACGTTGTGCCGGCGGAGGAGCAAGGAGCAAGGAGGAAGCAAGGGGGAGGCAGTGGAAATGGTGGAGTGGGTGGAATCGGGTGGATGTGCCTGAAACATCCGGAGAGCTGCCGTCTTTGACGGCCCATCGAGCGGCGGTGTGTGCCGTTCGTGCGTTCCGTCGGTCCAGCCGGGTCAAATGGAATGAGAGAGACAGAGAGCGAGAGAGAGAGAAACAAAGGGATGTGGTTGGCCAAGAGGTGTGTGTTTCTCAGATCTCTCAGAGAGAGACTGTGTGCGTGAAGTGAATGAGTGCGGTCACCCCCCCGTGCTCGCGCGTCTTGCGTGTGTTTTGGGCGCGTCGTTGTCTCGGATGGCGCGCACGGCTGTTCAGATCTGTCGTGCTCGTGCGCAGCTCGCACGCACGGCTGTCGCACTCTGCCCACTCTGTCCCAAAGGCCAAAGGTCTCAGTTCGCATGTTTGGCGCGAAACGTGCACAACCAAAGGAGACCAGAGACCACAAACGGCCCAACGGAGGACACAAACAAACGCGCACCAGGCAGCGTGCACATTGTTTATAAGGAGGAAGACACGCCCCCCCCCCACTGTCGACCACCCACTGTTCTCTCTTTACACCAATCCTTCTCTCTCGCTCAGCAACATGCTGTCCACCGTGGTCAACTTTGCCATCCTCGCGGCCGTGGCGTCTGCCGCGTGCCTCCCTACCACTACCACCACTTCGGGATCCACTACCACCACCACCCCGTCGTCCTCGGGCGCCGTGGCCCTTCACCCCAACGGCAACTCGAACGTGTGTCTTGACGTCCAAGGCAATGTCCAGGCCAACGGCACCCCCGTCCAGGTGTACACCTGCAACGGCACTGGGTGAGTACAACATTGCAGAAGGGATGCAAGGATGCCCTTTTCTGACGCAAAAACAAGTGCCCAGAAGTGGATCCTCCACAGGGGCAGCGGCAGCGTCCAGCTCGCCGGCACCAACTACTGCCTCGACGCCGGATCCAGTGAGTCACCCACCTTCCTCGCCCACTCCACTCCCCCTCCCACTCCCACTCACGCCACACCCCAGGCCCCGCTAGCGGCGTCAAGATGAAGATCTGGCAGTGCTACAGCGGCCTCGCTGCCCAGACGTGGTACTGGACCGACGACAACCGCATCGCCGTTACTGGCAAGGGCCAGTGCATGGACTTGCCCAACGGATCCACCTCGAACGGTAACGTTGTCCAGACCTGGGCGTGTGCGACTGGCAACACCAACCAAATCTGGACCGCGACCGCCGCCGCCTCGCGCAGGTCGATCGAGGACCGTGCCACTTGCACCAAGGTGCGTGCACATGCGTGTGCCTGAGACAGAGCGAGAGGGACACTGTGCTAACTCTTCCAGGCCGACCTCACCCCCAAGGGCATCAAGGCTGGTCTTGCCGGCGGCAGCTCGTTTGACGACTTCCAAAACTACGTCGGCTGGTGGTACGACTGGAGCGGTGCTCCCTCGGGCCACTCGGGCAGCCCCGTCCCCGTCCCCATGCTCTGGGGCAACGGTCACCGCGGCAGCATCCAGAGCGACTCGGCCCGCTTCAACCAGTTCACCTCGACCTGGAGCACGAGCAACGTTCCCGCCTACGTCCTCGGCTTCAACGAGCCCGACTGCCCGGGCACCGACAGCTCCGACCTGACCGTGGCCCAGGCCGCCTCGGCGTGGAACCAGTACATTGCGCCTCTGGGTAACGCCGGCGCCCTGCTCATTTCGCCCGCCATGTGCAAGCAAAAGGACGAAGACTTCCTCACCCCTTTCCAGAACGCCATCAACACACCCTTTGACGTCGTTGCCATCCACGTTTACAAGAACACGCTCGCAGGCGTCAAGGCCGACATTGACTACTACTACAACAAGTACGGCAAGCCCATCTGGGTCACCGAGTTTGGCTGTGTCAACGACGTCAACGGCTTTGTCGCGTGCAGCAGCCAGTCGGTCGTCAACCAGTTCATCACCGACGTCGTCTCGCTGTTTGAAACGGACAGCCGTATCTACGCCTATGCGTTCTGCGACGTCGGAAACGCCTGGCTCATGCGCTCGTCGTCGGGCTCGCTCTCCACCACGGGCCAGAACTACCTCGCCGCGGTTAAGAAGTACGCTTAGGGTCTGTCGGGTTTAGTTTCAATGGACGCGTTTGGTAGTTTAAATAATATGGGAAGATTGGGTGCTTGTTTATGAACGCTCTGTGTTTTGCAGACAGTGACCAGATACGACCATCCGCAGCGAGCGTCACCTCGTGCCAGCTGCATTCCCCGGCAAAGATACCTAGATGACGCGCAATAGGCTGATACCCAGGCGTCGGCTATAAGCTGGAGACCCCGCCTCCACCCAGCAGCGGGGTGGTGGTGGTGCCCACTTGCCCATATCGCGCCAATTACCCGCGCTCCATATCATCATTGTTTTCGACTGGTCACGCTCACTCACGACTATGGAGCCCTCCCGGGGCTACTCTATCCAGCTGGCGGACGGAGTCGTCAACGTCCAGCTCAGCTGCACCCAGTGCTCCAACTATGCCTGGAGCCATCAGCAAGTAGCGTGGCTGGCCGAGGCCATCGCCACCGAGGTCTTGCGGTTGACGGCCGGCAAGCATGCCCAGGCGCCGTCCTCAGCGACAGCCACGGCGCAGAGCAATGCCATGTCCATCTCGCCACCGGGGAGCCCGCGGGTGGATACCTCTGGCCTGGTGCGAATTCAAGATACGCCACAGGAGGACGCTTCGTCGGTGTCTGCCGTCACACCAGCCGTGTCTCTGGGCAAAAAGGGCCCACGGACACGCACAGGATGCTTTACGTGTCGCATGAAGAGGGTAAAGTGCGACGAGAGAAAGGTGAGCTACCCTTCTGTGCGAGCTGCAGCTGACTCTCAGCCGGCATGTACCCGCTGCATGCGCAACCCAGACCGACAATGTGTCTATCCCAAGAGGTTGGCCGTGTCCGTCCCAAACGCGCTCCCTGGCGTCAAGCAGCCTGCAGTACAGGCACCCCGCAGCGCAGTGACGAGGTATCAGCCTCGACCTTCCGTTCCCTCGGCCTCGTTAAACTGTGAGCAGGGTGTCACATAGGAGCGTGTCTGACCTTTCAGCGGCGTGGACAGCACCCACAGCCGGCGCAACAGTGTCCCAAGCCGTTGCCCAAGACAACACGCTGCCGGACCAATTTGGCCTGTTCTTGGATGGCCTGGCCCTTATCGGGTCTCCAGGACTGGTGAGTATGCAGATACACCAATCGCTGACACCCTTCTCAGCTCCACTTCCAGCCCGACAAGCGCGAGGGCCGTGCTCGCTCCGACCGCGTGCTCGCCAAGCTGTGGGAAGCGCAAATGATCATGTCGGTGTCGGGCAGAGACCTGCCCCCCGTCTCGCAGCAGGTCAAGCTCGCCGACGCGCTCGTATCCGTCGCGTGGAGCCTGGGCGCCGTCAAGCGCGCGTTTTCGGGCACGGTCCCCACGCCCGTCCACGACGTCATGCTCGCACGGTCGCGCAACTTTGTCGAGGACGCCGCGAAGCTCATCCACGAGTATAACCGCGGTGAAGGGTTTGACTCGCCCGAAACGTTCCTGGTGCTCCTCGAGCTCTTACTGCTGCGAGACGTACGTGCACTCCAAAAGTGAGGCAACGTGCTAACCCGAACCCCAGTGTGCCAGCGGCGATCCACTGTGGGCCAACACACACAAACTCCTCACATCATATGTCAAGCGCAGGGGCGGTCCAAAGGTCATGGTCGAGGAGGCGCGGGCCTCTATGCTCGGTATAGGTCTGCTGGAGCACCACCTCGTGTATCTCACTCTCTACGACACCTTTGCCTCCCTGAGTCTCAACCTGGAACCATACTTGCTTGCGCCTGGCCAATGGAGGTGGCTAGAGGAAGTGCCGTGCGCCCAGGAAGTCATCCAGTCGGATTTTGGAATCAGTCTGCAAATGCTATTCTACGTGGCAGAGGTGGGTTCACGGTTGGACGGAACAACGCTAAACCCGCCAGCTGGCGACACTGCTTGCCAACAGAGGCGCGCCACAGACCCCGGTCGGTACGGCACAGTACCAACAGGCCTGCGAGGCAATGTACGAGGCGCTCGAGACGGTCGCGCTCGCCACCATATACTCGACGCCGTCCTCCATCCGCGTCCAGTTTGGCGACTTGCTGATCCGCCACTCTCTCATCTGCCACTTGCAATGCGTGGCGTTTGGGCGACGGCGCGACGACCCCATCATCCAGCGCAGCGCGTCGGCCATCATCGAGCTCTTGGCCGAGGTCGCAGTGCGAACCGGGTCCATGGCCAACTTGATGTACCCGCTGCTCATTGCTGCGGTCCTCAGCGATACGGGCGACCACGAGCGGTTGCAACTGCTCATCGACTTTACAAAGGTCTCCACTGGACTGGTGGAGTTTGACCGAATGGAGAAGGTGGGTACAGAAGGAGGGAGGGCGAGAGAAGAGAGTTGCAAATGGAGAACCAGCTGACCTTTGCAGATTGCTCATGAATGTTGGCGGAGAAGGGATGCGGGCGAAGGCGAGCTGGAAATGACCGACGTCTGGAGTGCCAACTGTCGCATGCTCATCTTGTAGTGTTCATTTGTGCTACCACAGGCTCCCATGGTATGTATGCCTGGTACGTGAGCGAATGTGGCAATACTGGCGCCCCCAAGGCGCTGACAGAAGGATTGGTAAACTGGATTTCACTGATTCCTTTCACCTCTTTTCCGCCCATTCGAGACACGAGCAGGAGACACCTGGGGGATGAAAACGGACATGACATCTTTGGCGACCACCACATTCGCACTATGCACTACAACTGGCTGCTTAACTCGGACTGAACGCTACCTCGGCTATAAAAGTCGGCTATTAAACCTTGACGGCAATCGGGGTCTGGTCCTTGTCGTAGAAGAGGTCGTCGAGCTTGGGAACCATCTTCGGGTCGTGGCCGAGGGTGAGGAGCGGGTGCTCCCAGTTGACGTAGCCCAGGTAGGGAAGCGAGACGCTGGGGAGGGGTCAGCAAAGCGTTCAGGGGGAGACCGAGTCACGGAAATGTCACAAAACTTGATAAATGCAACAAGACACGCTTGTCAGCGGCTAGACTCACTCCCATCCAGCCAGCCTCTGGGCACGCAGAGGCAGCTTCTTGACGTCCTCGTGCTTGAGCTGGAGATACTGGTTCTCCTCCTGCTTCAGGTATCCGCAGTTCCAGCCGCAGAGTGCCATGCAGCGGACCGAGTTCTTGTCGCCGACCTTCATCGAGTTGGTGCCACCGCCGTGGTAGACCGAGCAGAGAATGACGACACAGTCTCCGGGCTCAGCAGTGACCTGGATGGCGTCCTCGTAAGTGGGAGGGGGCAGGTCGTCGGAGCGGATGTGCGAGCCGGGAACAATGTTGGTGCCGCCGTTTTCGGGGTACACGTTGGTGAGGGCGACCATGGCGAGAATGGACTTTTCCTGCGACGGGTCGTAAACCTCGGATCCGCGAATGCGGTCGTGGAAAATGGCATCTGGAGCTGTCAGTCTTGCGCGCCTGCTTGTGGAGAGGAGGACTTACCGTCGCGATGCAGCTCTTGAGCCTTGCCGCCCGGGTTCACCTCCAGCAGTCCAGTGACGTTGAGCTGGGGCTTGCAGGTCGACCAGTAGCGCTCGGGGCTGGACATTGTCGTCTTGGTGCGGCGCGTGAGGGCATAGTCGGCAATACCGTTGAGGGTGTCGTTGAGGAGAATCTTGTCAACGTAGGTCGCCGACTTGGTGAGGAGGCCCGGGACCTTTTTGGAAGTGGAAGGGAAGAACGAGCCGTCCCACTGCTCGTCGTTGCCCTCGACACCGAGAGCGTCCAGGTAGGGCTTAAAGTCCTTGTTCATCTGGTCGACGGCATCCTTCTTTACGAGACCCTTGATGACCACGGCGCCCATCTTGGCGATGAGAGCGTTGATCTCCTCCTGAGGCGCGCTGGCGTCGATGGTGAGGTCTGCGAGGGTGTAGTTGTGGCAGGGCATGTTGGGCGGTAATTGGTTTCGATTGGTGAGAGTGAGAAGGGTGGTTGGGTGTGTCAGATGCGATCCAAGCCAAGTTGTGTTTGATAGACTTTGAGACACCAAGACGTCTCTTTAAGTATAACAATGCCGCAGAACGCAGCACAGGTGGTGCAGCTAGGTGGATAAACTTCAGGATCATCAACGCTTTCCCGGTTCAGCCGGGTCATCTTGGACGACAGAGGATGGGAATGCTGTTCGCCACTGAGAAGCTGTCGAGGTAGGAAACCCATATGTGAGGGCGACGACGGCGAGCGCCTATCGGCGTGGATATCGGAGTGGGGAAGTGTGGGGTTGTGGAGACGAGCTAGACGAGATTCGGAGCGAGGCCACTCCGCCAGATCCCCGCCGTCCGTGAGAAGAGGTGCCACATGTTTCACACCGTGCTCGTCAAGCACCTCGTCAATCTCGTGTACTGAACGCGATATCACCGGGCGCGGTGGAGCCGCAATGGCCGTCAGGGCTTTTACGGTGGGCAATGAAATATAGGGGGTTTTAAAGCGGCCCTTCTGTTCTTCTGAGCTTCTGATAATCGTCAGTGGATAAACAGTTGGCCCCGCAATTATCCCCCAACCACCAACACCCTCGTCAGTCAAGGTCGTCAATGTCGTCTAACCTGGCCGTCTCAGACCGCTACAGTGTGTCGCCCAGCAACGACTCCCGGCAACTGTGAAAAGTGACAGCCGATATGGCGTTCGCCAGGCGTCGCTTAGAATAACTATCACAAGGGCATCGCTTAGGATAACTATCTTGGTGGGCCCGATCCGTGTGTGCCGCGACTCTCACCAGCCCACCAGCCCCACCATTGGGATCACGTTGATAGGGCCCCACGATCCATCGGTCAGGCATTGACCTTCTTAACCACTACCACGCGGACAAACTCCATTGCCACTCTCCCCCACGTCTTGTTCATTCTCTTCCACCATGACCGTTGAAACTGTGGCACCTACCGACACCAAACATCTGCGACCAGGGTCGCCGTCCCTCTCCTCGTCCAAGGAGGCCGGCAATGTGACTATTGTGGCCCACGAGGAGGACCTTGATGGCGATGCGGGGCTCCATGAGCTTGGCTACAAAGCCGAGCTGCATCGCACCCGAGGCTTCATGGACGTTTTTGCCATGTCGATCACCTGTACGTCAAGAACTGAAGCGCGAGGTGTGGCTAACTTGACAGGTTTGGCTGTCCCATATGGTTACGGAACAACGCTGGCTACTGGAATCTATGGCGGTGGCCCGATGACCATGGTCTGGGGCTCCCTCATTGTTACCATCCTGCAGTGGACGATCGCGTTTTCGCTTGGCGAACTTGCCTCTCGTTGGCCAACCTCTGCGGGCGCGTACTACTGGACCTTTCAGCTCGCACCAAAGCGTTTCCGCACTGTCCTTTCGTACATCAACGGCTGGCTCCTCCTCACGGCCGTCCTCCTCACCACCACGTCTGTCGCCTTTGGCATCTCACAGCACATTGTCGCCACCGTCAACATTGTTCACCCTGACTGGAGCCCTGCTCAATGGGTCTACATTCTTATTGCATACGCGCTCCTCGCCCTTGCCGCTATTCCCCTTTTGATGGTGAGTTCAAAGCTCCTGTGTGAATAAGTCCCTGACCCTCTCTCAGAACCCTCGCTATCTGACGTTTATGGAGAAGACCAACGTTATTGTCACTTGGGTCTACAAGTTTGCCCACATCATTGTTCTGTCAGCTCGCGCCAAGGCTGGACGTAGGAGTGCAAAGTACGCGTTTACCCACTATGAGCCTCAGCTCAGTGGTTGGGGTGATGTTTGGACCTTCTTCATCGGTTTCCTGCCCGGCGCATACGCCAACTGCGCACCGGGTTTCGTGCTCGCCATGACCGAAGAGGTCCACAAGCCCGAGACCAACGTTCCGCGTGCTATGGCTTACAGCATGATGCCTGCGTCGTTTGTCCTCGCGTGGGCATTCATCCTTCCCTTGACTTTTACCATGCCCTCGTCCGAGGTCCTCCTCGAGGCTCGTGAGTACATTGTGTTTAGACTTGCAACTGCATTTAGACGTGAAACTAACGCCACAGCCAACGGCATCGTTCTTCCATACGCCTACAAGCTCATCGTCGGCAACGACGCCGGGGCCATTCTCCTCATGCTCGGCATCCTCTACATTGGCTTCAACTGCCTCGTCGGCATCAACACCACCGCCTCGCGCCAACTGTGGTCGTTCTCGCGTGACCACGCCGTCCCCGGATCGGCCATCTGGTCGCGCGTCACCCCCAGTGGCAACGTGCCCTACGCCATCGCCCTGTGTCTCGTTGTCCAGTGCCTGCTTTGCCTCATCGACCTGGGAAGCACCACCGCCTTCAACTCGTTCGTCAGCACGGCTGTCAACGCCTTCATGGCTGCCTACGCGCTTCCCATCCTCCTCAGCCTCCTCGAGGGCCGCAAGAGCATCTCGTCTGCACCTTTCACGAGGCGCATCGTGGGTCTCGTCTGCAACTGGGTGGTTATGATCTGGGCCCCGCTCGGCCTTGTCATCTTCAGCATGCCCGCCGTCATCCCCGTCACCGCTCAGACTATGAACTACTCGAGCGTTGTTCTCGGAGGCTTTATCACCATCGCCAGTGTCTGGTACTTGGTGTATGCCCGTCGGGTGTACAAGGGCCCCCCTGCCAGCGCAGAGCTTCATTGAGTATGTGGGTGGGACTGTGGGCGGCGCGGGTATTTGGAGAGGGTTAGTTGTTTTGAGTATAAGTATACCATTCAGTCAATGCAAGTGGAGATTGTACGCCTCGTGTGCGGTGGATGGAAAGGTGCCCCAGCCCATCCTGGAAACATGGATTGCGGTGGGCTCGTGTCAGCAGAATTGAAGGTGAATTTGGCATTTATTTTACACAAACATTGAATCTCGCTCTCCTCGATCTTTCCTTGGCACCAACACGGCTCTGTATTCTGACTCCCATTATCACGCTTTAAGCGGCTGCATAAACGAACTGAAGCTTCTGTAATTCTAATGCCATTCTATACTACCCCGACGGGGTGAAAGCAGGGACACCCTCGCCACCCAGGATGTCGAAAATCTGGTCGTCTGACCCGTTACACTCGGCCACACGAAGCCGGGCACCGGGGAAGTGTGAAACTTCAAGACACTTGTTGGTGTCGGCAAGGTTGATGGACATGTTGTCGGTTACGATCCACGTTTGGCTGGGGAGACCACGGCACGAATGAACCTTGGCCCAGTCTCCGTCGCTCTCGCTGATTGGCGCCGTGATGCAGAACGCGTCCGAGCTGCTCTCTTTCGATTGGATCTGCGTACGACCCCTGTTCAAGCGGTAGCGTCCGCCACTCCCTCCCGAGTATCCCGCAACGCATTCACCACTGTGGACGTTAGAGAGTGTTTGGTGTTTGGCAGGAACAACGTACAGGAAGAAATCGTTGCCGGCGGCAATATCCCATTTGGTGCGGACGCACAGGTCCCACTTGCCATGTGGGTGCAGGGTTGTGCCACAGCCAGTGTCGATGTATGCGCCGGTCTTCACGTCTTGGCTGCGGGGGCAGTAGTCGCGCGGCGCAGGCGCTGCTGTGGCGAAACCGACAGTGGCGAAGAGAAGTGCGAGTGTTGAGAGCTGCATGATGTGGTCTTGCTGTTGAATGGTATGTCTGGGCTCCTGGAATTGGGACGCCATTTATAATGTATTGTGTACACGGCGGAGCGGTGTCCTCGACAAGTTGCAGTGTCTCGCCAAGCATTCCAGTGTGCAGGCACAATCCACAGCTTGTCGGGATGTTTTCCGACGGAGCGTGGCAGAAGCCGCTTCACTTCCAGGTCCCATTCCCTCTCTTGGCCACAATGGTTGCGATGGTCGGGCAACAGCGGTGCAATAGCCGCGGATGGTCCCCTACTCGTTTCATGTTTGCTGTCTTGGCACATGTGTACAGTGCAGTACGTAAGTACCCACCTTCACACAACACTGACTGCGTCAAGTATGCCTCAATGTAGGCATTGTCTGCCGTTGGCTGTACCATTTCGCAGTTGACGGTGAAAGGGTCAGCCTGGAGTGTGCCGATATCACACCGACGTTGAAATCAAGTCAGCAATAGTCCAGTGATCAGTGAAGTGCCTGCAATCTTCTTCTCACGTCTGCTGGGCACTGTGGCGCGACGGGACGACACACTTGACCACAGGCGCTTCGTCACAATGAACCCAACCTTGCATAACGAGTAGCACACACATGTCACATCTCTCGTCCTGTCCACCTCGCCATGCTGTTCAACGGTCTCCCCGATCGAAAATCATGGCAAATACAGCCACTGGTTGCACAGCAGCAACAGCAAAGACTCTCCCGCGCGGATCCGCCGCCGCCCGGCCGCTCGTGTGGTCCGAGAACAGCGGCTTGCGGTACTCACTCACCAGCCTGCCAACGGAGCAGACGGCCGAGCTCATGGCCTACCGTCGTAGGCATCTTCCCGGCTGATCTGACTCCAAAACTCCGTGGGGTCTCCAGTTTGCAGCCGTGGCCGACTAGACTCTCCAAACAGCCACGCAAAGTTGTCCTGCACACCCGTAGGGGCAACATTCGCCATGGGGTCCAGCAAGCGCACCCAGGGGTCGCTGAGGGAGTCGCCGCCGTCGAGTGTTGATCCCCCAAGTGGTGATAGGTCGAGAGTGGACGGCACATTCGCATTGGACGAGTTGACGTGCGAAGCATCAAGACGAGGCGAGACCACAGCCGAGTTGGCACCAGACTCGGGGTCTGGGTGATATTCGAGTAACGGCTCGTCGCGGAACTGCCAGGTGGGACGGCTGACGCTTCGCAGGCGCTCAATCTTGGCGAAGCGAAAGTCGCGGAAATCAAACTCGGCCTCGTCTTGACCGGGCTGATACTCGCTGCCAAACGCTTCGAGGTCAAAGCTGTCAAGCAGGGGCAGGTAGTCGCAGCGCAGTAGTCGGTGAACTGCCTCGACGTGAAGGACCCTAATCACCTCTGAACGTCTTCCACCAATACGAAGGAGTGCGAGCAGGGGCGGGATTGCAGCTGCGATGGCGTCTGCGTTCGAATCCGTGGCCACCAACCGGCGAGGCTCGAACAGGAGGATCTCGAGAGCATAGTACGCCTCGCCGAACGCCTGCAAGTCAAACGTCGTGTTCTGCTTGAGGCCCTCGGCCAGGATCCCAGACACTGCTGTAGCATGTGAAATACGCTGGTGTCGAACCTGGGGGATAAGGTGTGAAAACGCCGGGTCCAACCTATACAGCGCAAGCTTCATCATGGTGACGATGATGTAGAGCTTGTGGAGTAGCAGGTGAAGCAGCAAGAACGCTGGCAGGCGTTTACGGTGGAGGAAGGCATTGTCCGAAGTGAAATGGTAGCGAGCTGGCATCGAGTTGACAAACTCCTTCACGGTCGCTTCAATGGCTGCCAGGTCGGCTTGAACTTCGGGTACCTGCAGGTCGTGGTGCGTGATTCGGAACACGGCGTTTAGTGCACGCCGTCGAAGGTGCGTGGCACGGATGAGATAGGCAGAGAGTCCAAGCATGGCAGTATGTTCTGAAGGAGGCGCAAAGATGGATTCCGTCCGTGAATTGTCGTTTCCAAGAAAGCTTTGCTCGTTGCAAGGCAATTGGATACGAAATGTCCCGAGGTCGACGAGGCTAGACCCGTACCGTCCTCCATCCAGCGTCGAATCCTGGAAGAAGACCGACCATGCCACACGGCGCAGCGCCTCGTATGTAAAGAGCGGTGACAGGTGCGACTCCGGCAGCTTTGCCGGAAAGGTGTGATCCAGAGTGTTCAAGGACATTAGTTGGACCATTCTGCGTTTGTTAGCTGTGTTGTAGCACGGACACGCCCATGGGCTTGTACTTGACGGAGCGCGCGCCGCCGATTCATGCAACGCCCATTACTCCATCACAACACGCTTCGGGTGACAGGACGAGACACTCACCGAACACAGAGGGCTGACAGGAGAAATCGAGAACCAGTCTTGCCTCGTTGGCCCTCGTAGTGGGACACGAGAATCAGTGTCATGAGCTGAATGACGCCAAATCCTTGGAGGACACGGGGTAGGAGAGAGGCAATGATGCCGTCGACGAGCGCGTCTCCTCGCGCGAGGTTTTCGGGAGTGGGATCGCACGTGAAGCTTCTGTCAGCATGGAAGCCATCAATTGTCACTCACCGAAGGACATTCGCGACCATTGCCATTGTCAAGTCGCGCGGTGCCTTGCCGCGACTCAGCAGCCGCTTGAATCGCATCTCGTGGATGAACGTCAAGAAACCAAAGTCTGTTTGTCATTAGCGCAAGACCATAAGATAAAAAGCTGTGACTCACGATGAACAGTCTCGAAATAGAGGTCGATCATCGCCTCGGTCTCAGCTTGAGACAGTTCGTTTGGGAACGATGGCCCAGCAGCAATCGATGGGCCAGCAGTAGAGGCCAAAGGTGCCGCTGAGGGTGTCGACGTGGACGCCTTGGTTGATGGGCCAGCAGAGGTCCGTTGCCGAACTACACGTTCAGAAGACCAGTCGCACGCTGTTGAAGTCGCCTGGCACCGCGTGCAAGCACCTCGTTGGGGATCCCCCTCGCATTTGAGCTGGAAGTCAGCTACATCCGCGGCCCAAGCGATCTCGCAGAACGAACCTTGCGAGTGCGACACTGTTCACACGCCGAATCGTTAGGGCGACGAGGTTGGCGTGGAGGAGGAGCAGCGCTCATATCCTGCCAGACGCATTCCTTCTGCAGCCTGTTGCAGGCGGCGCATGTGGGTTGCTCGAGGTTGCACTTGACCTATGTTGTTGTGTGAGCTTTGGAACGACAGCCACGACGCGTACCTTTCGCCGGCGGCATGTGAGGCATCCAAGGCGTGGGGTCGATGATGACGACGATGAATCTGCTTGACTACTCATGCTGTGCAGCTGAGCGACATGGTATGATGGACAAGAGTGTAAAGGAGAGATGGAGGTAACGGTCTCGTCCGCAACGATCGGCAATCGCAGCCAACCGGCCAAGGGTTTTGCTGGCGGCGCCCATTCAAATCAATTAGGATGTAACAGTGTTTTGGTATTGGAAATGTAAACCCCAGATCAAATCACGTAAAAATGGCCGCATTTCAGCATGGTACGCTTCGCCAAACGGCCACGCCGTGTCCCAAGCACCCTGCGCTGGCCTGTGAGTGATGCAATGGACTGTCGGATCGCCCACTGGTCTATGGAGCTGTGGGGCAGTCTGCAGGTATGCGGCCAAAACTTCGAATTCATCCTTTCCTACAACGAAGCCTGCCCATACTCTGCTGCTTTACTACTAACTTTGTGCCACGCTGCTACCGTTCCCAAAACCTTCACCAAAGACTCCAAATCGTCTACCTCCTCCACCATCCTCGTGACATCTCAATTGGTGTAGCGGAAGTGGACGTTCTGCGGATGTCAGTTGGGATATACACATTGTGGCACTCACCTGGATATCCGTGAGGTCGGTCTCGCCAGCAAGTTTGCGTTGGTAGTCCTGCTCCTCCTTGGTCAAACCCGAAGTGACAAAGTCACGGTCCCGCTTTCGGTTGGTGTACTCATAGTAAGACCACCAGGCGCCGACAACGACCATGCAGACGGCCATGGCGATAGCACATCCGGTGAGGCCCTTAAGGTAGCGAGGGGCGTCGGACGGGCGGAAGATTTGTGAACCGATAATGTTGCCAATGCAAAACGTCATGAGCGCAGTGCCGCTGATCCAGGTCTTCTTGGTACGTCCCGCGACGTTGATGGACATGAGCGGCCAGGTGAGGTACATGGCGCAGCTGTAGGTGCTGCAGAAAGAGAAGAGGGCCCACCGCGTCCACTTGTTGTCGGCCGTGCCCTTCATGAGGCCCACCGAAAGGAGGCAGGCGCAGCAGAAGGCCGTGATCAATATGACGAACGGGAACCTGGCACGAGGGAAGATGTTGACAATGTTTCCGGGGACCAGGAGGAAGAAAAAGCCGATAGCCTGTTGGGGAAGGGCATAAAGGACCGTGTTTAAAGGCGAAAACCCAAACGACACGAAGACCAGTGGCGCAAAAGTGGTGACACCGCCGTTGGGGATAGTAATGAGGATGTTGAAGAGCATGAAAAAGTAGTACTGGGGGTCCTTGAAGCATTCACGGATCTGGTCCCACTTCCAAGGGTGACTCTCACCACCACCGGCTGGAACGCGTCAGAGCGAGTAAACATGTGGCACTCACTAGCGTTGGACACAATTCGCGAGCGTGCAATGTTCTTCTCTTCTTTGGTAAGCCACCACGCGTTCTCCGGGGTCCCCCAGACGAGGAGGTTGAGAATTCCGATAAACACGGTAAGGCCACCCAGGAAGAGATTGATGACACGCCACGCAGCGATACCGCCGTGGGTTTGAACATGGAGGGCGAGGTAGTAAATGATCACGTTGGAAATGACGGTGATAAATGTCGACATTGTGTAATAGCATACCTGGCGAATGGTCTGTTCGGACCGCAAGTACCAAGAGGCAGTGAGGAGGGCAAACCAGGCGTCAACACGCTTTCAAACAGTCCAAGAAGGACGCGAAGCGCGGCAAGCTGAGCATAGTTGTGGGCCGCACCCATGCACATCACGGTAATTCCCCAAAGAATCACGCAAGTTGCGATAACCTTGGCGATAGGAAAACGCTGGCAGAGCCAACCCATCGGCAGCTGGCCAATAGCGTACGCCATGACTGTGACGTTAGATACAAGGGCAGTTTCCCATGGAAGACTCACAGAAGAAAGTTGTAAGGTTGGCATACTCGTTGCCTACTAGCTTGGTGTCCTCGCGGAGACCAAATAGGACGCCGTTGGCAAGACTCTGTTTGTCCGCAAACTGTAGGCCGTACGCTGTTGCATTAGCCAACGAAACGAGGTGTAGAACTTGCTGATCATCATCAGAGGCTACCAGTTCACGTCAGCCACATAACAGGTGTGCGGGAGGTTTCGGCATTGCAAGCGTACCAGCTGAATACTGGACGTCAGCCACTCTTCACAGCGTTTGGCACTTACAAGTCCATCTTACGACGCACGCGGGCGTACTGTTCATCCGTGTACGTGTCAGCGTCGCGGATGTGGCGCTCTGCAGTGTCGAGCTCGGCATCATCGAGCTTGGCGAGGCGGATGCCAATGTCGTTCTTGTCCTCAATGTGTGACGTGACCGGCTTCTCGAGGTCAGGCAGAGGCGACATGTTGGAGTCAGCGCGGGTGACCAGGGTCCGGGGTTCAAAAGATGAAGTTGGTGTGGGGGGATGGGGGGCACCGTGGAGGTTGGTGAGTGACCGTGGGGAGTGTTGTGGGGCCTGAAGTCTCTTTAAGACGAGAACCGTGGAGGGAGTACACCCCGCAAACCGAAGCGAAACCGCGCTGTGGGGTTTGCCAAGATAACTCCTGGGGTACACATCTTCTGACTTTACTCGGTCCCGGTGTGGCCACTGGGTGATGAAGCGATCCACAGCAGGGCAACACCGAACACCATCTTCATGGCCCTGCAACGAACGCGCCTCCAGAGGCGTCCCAGCAACGTCTCCCAGCGATCTCCCGAGCGACCCGGTGGGAGATGGTGGGCAAAGGATACCGAGCCGCCCGGTGCCTGGGTCATTCTGGTCAATGCGTTCACGTCTCTCCGGCTGTGGTTGACCATCTCATCAACTCACTTATGGGGGACATATTGGCGACCCACCGGCAACCTGCAACATGTGCAGAACACGGTCTCGCTCGTCCGGATCCCGGTCATCGGGCACCGTCCCGGGGACCGCTTGAGCTTTCCGGGCTTGCTTTTGCCCAAGAGTGATGGCTCGGGCTGCCATATATACGGCCGAAAGTCCATCGCCATTGTGGACACCCCTTCCTCTCCAACCTATCCACAAGACTAGCAGCATGACCATCCAACCTGTGGAAGCTCCCAAACCCGTCATCATCATTGGTGGTGGCCCCGTCGGCCTCGCCGCGACTCTCGAACTCGCCCGCTTCAACGTCCCGACCATCCTGATCGAACAGCACAAGGGCGTCGCTTGGCACCCCAAGACCCGCAACTTCAACACGCGCACCATGGAGATTGCCACGCACTGGGGTGACGACGTCTATCAACGTCTCCGCGGTATCGACAGCGCCTGGAAGAGCCCTATCCGCTTCTTCGACCAGGTCACCAAGAACGAGATTGGTCAGATCCACTCTGGCGGTTTCGAAGGTCCCGGCCCGGATGTTTCGCCCTGCAAGCCCGTCATGTCGAGCCAAGACTTGCTTGAGATGATCATTCTCGACAAGGCCATCTCGACTGGTCTCGTGGACGTTCGTTTCAACCAGCGTTCTCTCGGCTTGATCAAGGGCTCGGAAGAGGACGCGACTGGTGTCGTTATCGAGGTCGAAGACAAGGACACTGGCAAAACGTACGAGCTCGAGGGATCGGCTCTCGTCGCTGCCGACGGTTACAGCAGCCCTATCCGCGAGCAGCTGCAGATCAAGCGCTCTGGCCAGCAGGACATCCACCACTTTATCAACACCTACTTCCATGCCGACATCGAGTCCCACATCCAGGACCGTACTGGTGTCCTCCTCTTCGTTGGCAACGAAAACGTCAGCGGCGTTCTTCAGCCTCTCGACACTCATGGTCGCTGGCTCTGCCAGATGATGATGAAGGAGGAGCAGTGGAAGAAGGAGCTCTGGCCCCCTGAGAAGTGCGCCTGGTGGGTCCGCGAGGCGACCGCCATCCCCGACCTCGAGGTCGATGTCAAGAGTGTGGGCATGTGGGCGATGAACGCCACGACGGCCGACACCTTTGTTCAAGGACGCGTGGTTTTGATCGGCGACGCAGCCCACCAATTCCCACCCACGGGTGGTCTTGGAGTCAACACTGGTCTGCAGGGCATGCACAACCTCATTGGAAGTTGGCCTACGCTGTCAACGGTAAGGCGGTGTACACGACCGACAGCGTATCGTTCACGATACAAGCTGCTGACTCAAAACAGGACACTGCGGGTCAAGAACGTTTCCGGACGCTCACGTCGAGCTACTATCGTGGAGCCCAAGGTGTTGTCCTCGGTGGGTGCAGCTGATACGATGATAGACTTGAAGTTGACCTGATCCAGTTATGACGTCTCGTCGCGCAACTCGTTTGACGAGCTCATCAGTGGTTCCGCGAGATTGACACGTACTGCTCCGAGGACGTTGTCAAGATTATTGTCGGCAACAAGGTTGACAAGGTGGGTGGACCTGGAATCACCGGGTCTTCTGTCTGGCAGCCACACCGTGTTGCGCTGGTGGTGGCTCACACGGGAAGACTGTGGGCCAACCTACATGACAACTAACATCTCTAGGAGTTCTCCAGACAAGTGACCTCCGAGGAAGGCCAGGCCTTCGCCGACCGCATGGGCACGCTTTTTGTCGGTGAGTTGCGCCCGTCGCTCTCTCACCCGCTGGCCGCTGACATCCCTCTCCAGAGTGCTCTGCCAAGACAAACGTCCACGTTACAGACGCCTTCCAGGAGCTCGTCCGACGCGTAAGTCCGTGCCCCACAACTCATCCCTAACGTACGCGCAGATCCTCGCCACCCCATCCCTCTGGACACGCGGTCCGCAGCCCGTCCGCAACCCCCAGTCGGTCATTGCGCTGGGCGACGACTCGGCGAGCGGCTACGGCGGGTGCGCGTGCTGAGCGCGCTCGAGCGAGCGGCCACTGCCTAGACATGGACCTCAGCCCTCCAACGTACCCCACAAGCAATCTAGACGTCGACGTCGGCGTCGACCTCGATCTAGAAGTTTGGTTGCCAAGTCAAGTAACGCAGCGCTTGGCCCTAGACGGACCCGATAAACTCTCCGGCAACGTGTGCGTGTCCCGTTCACCAAGAGAACACCTTGCATGTCCGAACTACCCTGTTGTATCACTGTTACCCCGGCCCATTTTGCGCCTAGCCTCGTCAAATTAGATGTAGACGGTTCTCGCCTTCCGCACACACTGGGGCTTCGGGGGCAGGTCATGGTTCTGGCTCTGGTTCTCTTTCTGGTCCTGACACTGACGTCACTGACGACCCCAGCCCGAAGGCAAGTGTGTTGTGTACGACAAGATTGCGCCGGTGCGTCGGTCCGAAGATATCGCTCGCTGTCAATGTGTAATGTCAATGACGCGAAGCATGGTCCCGAGATCCAGAAGATCTGCGTACAGGAGCCACCGAACCCCTTCCTGCCGCCCAGTAAGACCGACACCGCCGGACATCCTCCTCGCCCCCATCAAAACCCGGATACGAATAAAGTGGCGCGATGTGGTGCTTACGGATCATGGGCATTGAGCCACAAGGTTGGTGACCGTCGGCGATCAATTGACCGACCCGGCTTTGTTCTGTGCCCGCCGGCGGCTTTCAACGAAGGGTAATATGCCAGGCTTGGTGTCGCCGACGGGCAATTGTGGTCTTGTGACGCTGTAGAGTGGGGGTCGAGAGGCACTATTGTTTAGCATCCTGACGAACGCTGGGGAGGGCGCTTGTTTTGCCATCGTCCTGGGCCGGCAGCGTCCGTACCCTCACAGGTAAGAAGGGAACGCTTTAGACTGGAGCCCTCTGTCTCTCCCTTCACTCATGATCTTTCCTTCTGAGCACTATTTTCGCGTTTTCGGTTTCTTGGCCAACAAGTGAGTTGGGTCGGACTTGGGGGTGTGGCTTCACCCTGTCACAAATAGAGGAGTTTACACAACGTTATCACTCCAGGCAGCAACCTGCTTGGAATTCTACAAAGTACTTACATCTACAACATTACTACTAGAAACAGAAAGTCACTACACAGGCCCGACGATGATGGACATGGGCATGTAATAGGAGGCACCGTGAGAAGCGGGGAGGTGGGGAGGCCGGAACGCGATTTCTTCAAGGGGGAACGAGCCGGATTCCTTGATCCTCGTGACTATCTTTCCCATACCCTCAGTGGCAGTCTCGAGTTTCTTGATTTGCTGGCCGTACTCCATGCTCTGGGCATCGACGTTCTTGGTCGTCGCCATCGCTTCATTGATCCTGGCCTCTTTCTGACTCGTCTTCGTTGAGCTCGACACGTATCAGTGCGGTCTTGGACTTGACGTGTTGGATCTTGCCCTTGAGATACTGACACGGAGGTTAAGGAGCTCATCCATCTTGTTCTGGTAGGCCTTTTTCGCCCTCTTCAAAGGTTGCGTCGCTGGGGCCGACGCGTTCATGGTGTGGAGAGAAAGAGCATCGGGGAGCGTCGGGTTTGGCCGCGACGGGAGCCCTGCGATAGATTGTAGGGGGCGAGGGGGGCATACGAGTAAGGGGGGGATCCATTGTTTGGCTTGATGTCAACGTCCTGCGACAAAACTGGGCTGTGATTGGGGAAAGGATCTTTCATGACGAGATGCTTGACAGGAGCAATCCCGGAATCGGCCGTGCGAATGACGTCCGCAGTCCTGGCACGTTTGGTGGAGCTGGGCTGGAAACGTCAGGTGTGTTTTGAAACCAGTGCCAACCAACCTTGCTACCTGTGGAAGGTCGTTTAGGTGTGAGATGGATAAATTCCATGGCCCAAACAAGATATGAAGAAGGAAGAGACACCGACACGCCAGCCTCCGTAGTGGGTGGATCACCTCCACTCTGGCCGTCATTTCCCAGGCACGGTTCGTTCCAGTCACCCAACCTCCCGCCGTCCAGCGACTGTTTTCATTCCTTGCATCTCCCATTTCAGCGTCATACCCTACGGTCCCTTGTCCACCATGGCGTCCATGTTCGCGGGTCCGTCCCGCAGGCAGCATGGTGAGAATGTGTGTGACATATAGGTGAGCTAACGGACTTGCTTAAAGCTTACCAATCAGGCATTTGCTGAGTGCCGCGGCGATGACCGTCTTGTGAGTGACCTCCCTGGAGCCCTAGCTGACCTCTGTAGCAACCCTTTGCGAGTGGTGGGACACTGCGATATCGACGCAGCATTGCTCGTGAGTCGAGTATTACAGGCACTGTGCTGACATGCAAGAGTTTGAGCAAGTACGGCTAGGCCTCCCCGACGACGTGCCCATCATCTGCGCACAGTGGAACTCGATCATTGCGGTCAACTATCCGGCCCGCAAGTTCGGTATCAAGAGGTGGGTACAAGAGTCCTCTCATGGGCCTAACATTACAGAATGACTCTTATCGAGGATGCCAAGAAACTCTGCCCAGACCTCGTGGTCCAGCACGTCGCTACTTATCGTGAAGGCGAGAGCGAGGCTGGATACTGGGACGACGTCGACCGAAGGACGCACAAGGTAGGTTATCCGCATGAGCCGCTAGCTAACTTTACAGGTCAGCCTTGACCCGTACCGCCGCGAGAGCCTCAAGATTCTCGCCGTATTCCGGGAGATGGCCCCAACGGCCGAGCTGGGTGGGTTACTGTGGTAATTGACTGGAGCTTACTCGCCAGAGAAGGCGTCCATTGACGAGGCGTTCTTGGACCTCACCCCCATGGTCATTGAACGTATCCTCTCCTCATACCCATACATTGCCACTGTTCCAGACGATGCGCCAGACGGTCTCGACATGCCACTTCCTCCACCACCAGCAATAGACTGGTCGCGCGCCGGATCTGTGTTCCCACTCCAGGTCGATGACGAAACTGAAGTCGACGTCGAGGGACGAGGCTGGCACATGGCAAGATCTCGCACTGTGTATCGGCGCCGAGATCATGGCGGACGTTCGAGCGGAGGTCAGGAAGCGGCTGCATTATACGTGTTCGGCAGGTATCGCACATAACAAGACAATTGCCAAGGTGAGTCACCTTCATCTACTCCACCCGTCCTGAAGCTGACCATCAGCTTTGCTCCGCCTGGAAGAAACCGAACGCCCAGACGGTTATGCGACTTGAAGCGACGCCTGGGTTCCTGAGGGACATGGACTTCACAGATGTGAGCTTTCTCCACCTCTACCTCAGCTGACACCTCAGATCCGATTCCTCGGCGGCAAGCTTGGTAGCGCAATGGCTGCCGAGTTCAATGCCAAGACGGTTGGCGACATGCTGTGAGCTTCAAGCCACTTATGATAGCTGACGTCAGTACGGTTCCGTTAGAGGACCTACAGGCCAAGTTTGGCGAAGAGAGCATATGGGTGTACAACATTCTGAGGGTGAGTTCCCCGTGTCCGGATCTTCTAACTGGCCAGGGCATCGACCACACAGAGGTCAAGGAGAAGCTCGCGACCAAGTCCATGCTCGCATCCAAGAACACCATCCCCAACGTCCGTACCGCAGAACAAGGCCACCACTGGCTGTCTGTTCTTGCTGGCGAGCTCAACGTTCGTCTCCGGGAGGCACGAGGCGTGACGCCCGGTCTGTGGCCCAAGACTCTCGTTCTCTCCATCCGCTCGTCAGGTGCAGGAGCATCTCATTCTCGTCAGGCGCCGTTTCCGTTTACTCGCAACCTCAGCACCGAGTATATTGTCAAGCATGCTCGCAAGCTGTGGGACGAATCGACCCAGCCGCTAGCGAAGGGGACCATGAAGCTGAGCAATGTGAGCTTCGTAATTGTATACGTTGAGCTGACATTCAGATAGGTCTGGCCTTCACCAGCCTCGACAAGCTTGAGGAAGGTCAGCAAGGGATCGAGGGCTTCTTCAAAACTGGCAATGTTGAGAAACGACCACGCGAGACGACAGTCCTGTCAAATGACTCGTCGTCCAAGCGACCTCGGTTGCCTACTCTCCACACCAAGCCGAAGCCAAACGCTCTCGAATCGTTCCTCGCCCAAGGCAGGGGGACGCCTCCGCCGGTGGTCAAGGACGAGATCAAGGACAGCAGTCATCCTACACCCGATGCACGACCTTCACCGAGCACGCCGCCTGCTGCAGACACTCCGGGGGCCTGGCAGTGTCCGAAGTGCGATACGACGTTTACGGCTCCACCTGGCGTACCTGCCGATGAGCAAAAAGCATGGATTTCACACGCAAGGCAAGAGCACGACGACTATCACTTTGCCCTGTCGTTGCAGGAGGAGGATGGTGGGAGTGGAAGTGCAAGTTCGAGTCGGCACGGCAGTGCAGGAGGAGGAAGCGGGGGCGGAGGTGGGAGCGGGAGTGGTCGTAGTCGACAGGCCAAGAAGCCTGTCAGTGGCATCAAGGCCTTCTTTGCGCCAAAGAGGTGATGTATGTAGCAAATCCTGTATGTCATTACTGTGTCATAGCTTGCTGCCGCCTGCTGGCTGAGACAGCATTCTGACAGCTCTTTGGGGTTCTCACAGGCGAGAAACATTACATGTGTGTCGAAGATAGCTACAAAATCTACAGGGTGTCAAGAGTTGGCTGGGAGCGTGTGTGCCGTGCTTTTTTTTTTGTCTTGGAGGAGATGCCAATGATTGGGGACTGTTCACATCGTCATTTTGGCCATGTGGCGCTTTTGCGAGTACGCCTCAAAGATCTCCTGCGATGGGGGTCAGCCGCGGATTATGCTACATGAGTGAGGAGCGAGGCTCACATTCTGCCTCTCGAGAGGGTCACGGAAGGGACCCTTGGGCACGAGTCCACGGTTGTTGCTGTACGGGAGGGGGTTGAAGACGGTGTGGAAGTCGGAGCCCGCCGCAAAGTTGTCTCCAGGGAACTGGAACTGGAGGCGGAAGCAGGACGCAAACTTGGATTCGGGGAGGAGGTTGCACTCTTCGGGGACCCACTGGGCGAGCGTAACGGGGCGTGGGGAGGTGAAACCTGTGGCCATGGTGTAATTGGGGTTGCGAAAGTTGAAGGTGAGTTCCTGTGGGGTGCCGCTGGACAGTTAGCAAAAGAGGGGTAGGAGCTAACCGACACTTCGCTGGAGAGGATCAGGCCTGTGAGGTGGCAGCGGCCCTGTCCGATAATTGCCCAGATGGCGGCCAGGAGGTACATGGTGTATGGGTTGAGGTTGGCATCGGGAGTGGTTCCAATGCTATGCGCCTCAGCGATGGGATCGGCGAGACAGACTCACGGCTCGCCGCACATGCTGTGGGCTTGCTTCACCCACGCCGTACCCTGGGCGTAGATCTCTGGGATTCCCCACTTTGTGCCCGTCTGCAAAAGTATCAGAAGTAACCACAGCAGCATGCCTCGAACCTGGACATACCTTGAACAACGAGGCATCATATGGCCAAGCGTATCCCTTGCTGGAGCGGGGCAGCCGGAACTTCATCACGGTCTCCATCTCTGGGACACCAGTCAGTGGTAGGTTCTACGTATCGTTGGCACCTACCTCCAATGACCTTCTGGCAGCGGTCGACCTCCCACTCCTTGTTGTCGCCCGTCCACATGCTGTGGACTCCCGGCCAGGCGGTAAAGAGGAACTTCTCGTACTGGGCTCCGCTGTCGGGGATTAAGCGTGATGGGTGGTTCATTGTGGCCTGTTGTTTTGAGGGTGTTGCGCAAGAGACTGAAAGTGCGACGGAGGAAAGGTTGATGCTTTGCATCAGTGCATCAGATATCACACATCAGACATCTTTCCCCGTCCACGTCAACTGATGCAGCATGCCTACGACGACGCCCCCATCAGAAGGTCAGAAGAGCAGAATGATCTGCAGCGATTGAAAAAAAGGCGAGCTGCGGAGGGTGACTTGCATGACTGGAGGCCGTTGTTTGAACTCCTTGGTGGTTTTAAGTTCTGCGCAGTCCTTGCCATCCTCACTGAATCACTGGAAGGTGATATGAACATGCATATCGTTTCTTACACAAATGGTCGTTGTCTCTGGAAACTCGAAAGTGCTCCTGGACAAGCCAGCACTGTACATGAGGTTTAATTTGTACAAATGTATCCAGTTTTGACTAGGTTCCTTGTTCTGGAGCGAACGTTTGAATCTCCTCTACATTTGCATCCACTTTTGGTTACGCTCCTTTTCTCGGTTGAACGAACTGCATAAACTTGTCGAGCATCTCCTGTGACCCCACGCAGCACGCTTGCGTGGACGGGCATCCTCGTCTTCGTGTGGGTTAGTTGGTGGCAAACGTACATCGACCCCCAGCTAACACGTACGTCCCTCGTGAGACCCATGACTTTGGCGCGGTGAGGTGGGGTGACTGAGAGTCGATGATCTCAGGCGCCGGTGTGGTGTTGCAGGGACGGGATGGGCCGGGGCCGGGGGTGAAGCGGATAATGCCGGCGAAGAACGCCTCGGCGGCGGAGACAGGCGCCCTCGTCGACCTTCTACAAATCGGAGTTGAGGGTGAGGGTGGTGGTGGTGGTGGCGGTGGTGGTGGCGACTGATAGCTTAATGTTCCACTCGGTCTTGCATGCGACGAGGAGACATCATGATATGCTGCACGGGAACAGGTGAACTTGTCCACGGGATGCGAGACAAAGATGGCTGTGGAGGGTGGGAAGGGCTGGTGCTTGTTAGCGGTCGAGCTGCATGTACACTAGCGAACCCACAGCAGAAGCATTATCCTGGAACGGTACTAAGGTGGAGCAGAGGCGAACAGCTCGGCTAGTATCTCGTCGCGGTACTCGGTTTTGCTGTCTGAGGCGTGATTTTCGTCCAGGACGCCAGACTTGTCGAAGTCAATCACCATAATGCTCGCCCCGCCCTCCTTGACACGGATGTGCCGCCATTCGAGGTCGCCATGTTCGACTCCGGCCGCAAATATCGCATCTACGGCCTCGGTGACAGCGGTCCTGTGACAGTTAGCGCCCGGGAGATGGGGGGTGGGGGAGAGGGGGGGGGGGGGGGGGGGGGGATCCTCACTGAACAGCAGGATCGGTACGCTCGCGGGGCGAGAGCTGCCGGCCCGCATCCTCCATAAGTATCGCAAATGCCTGGCCGTCGCCAGTTTCCCATGCGCCGAAGACGCGAGGCACTACTTGACCTTGGAGGCCACGGAGGGGACCACGGAGGAGGGTCAGCTCGTGCTCAACCGCACGACGAACATGGCGGCTCTCCTCCTCGGTTGGCACAAAGAGGGGTATGTGCTCCTTCCACACCAGGCCAGCGTATGAAGCCGTGTCGGTCTCGACGGTTGCGTCGTAGGCACTCCAGATGGCCCCCTTGCCGCGCTCGGGTCCGAGGCGGATACGGGCCGTCTTGGAGGAATGGTCGCTGCCAAGGGGGAGAAACCTGAGGGGATGGGGCGCGGTGCCACAGAAGCAATCTACGGCCCTGCCGGTCTACCGTTAGTAATGCCCGTTGCAGTAAACGTACGATGTTGAGCCCAGAGGGTGAGGGTGGTGGCGTGGGCAGAGTGGCTATCTGGTCTTCTGGCCGTGCCGTTGTCGTGCTAGACGACCCGGGGTGTTGCCTGGTCATGGGTACGGTGGAGCTGCCGCTGGGGCCGTCGCTAGTGCGTTGGTCGGCAGCAGGCGCGTCAGGTTGAACATTGGAATCGCTGCTCTTCGGTTCTGCTCCCTCGTCGTCTCCTTGGGCCAGTGCAGTGGGACAGGGTGGTGTTCGGGCGAGGTCGATACCCGACAGCTGCAGCGCTCGGATCGACATGCCAAGGAACAGGCCAAGGGGGGAGGACGCCAAATTCAAGATACTCGGTCTCGAAGTGAGCTGCACAGGGAGACCAAAAGCAAGCGTCTTTGCTACGCGACCGTCAATGTGCACGGCGTTGCACCACTCGCCGTTGCATAGCGCGGCCAACGAGACCTGTCGCGCGCGGATGCTGTTGCGAAACTGGCGTGTCAGGAACCCTTGCCCAGCTTAATGGCTTGTCGCTTACCTGGTCGAGAATGCGCAGAGTTGTCTGCCCCGAACGCGTCTCGTTTGCTGTCCCCTGCGCAAACATCGTCAATCCACCTGGAGCCACAACAATGTGGGCTCTTTCGATGTCGTCTAGCATGCCGTTCATCGCGGCGAGTGGCAGTGACCGTGACGTTTTCATTTCAAGCAAGGCCTTTTCGGTCTTCGGGCTACCGTTCGGCGGCTGCTTGGGAATCCAAACGAGACGTATGTCAGGCTTGGAATCCCCGAGGTAGACTGGTTCCCAATGGAGTGTACCCTCCACATGGGAGAGCAACACGCCCAACATAAAGTTCAGCGGCACGAACATGAAGGCGTAGAGAAACGTTGTGAGGCCCTCTTCACCCTGAACGCTGAGGGTGCGTGCGGCACTCTGTGTCGCAAAGTCCATGCCACCCTTGATAGAGTTCCAATCTTGAGAACCAACGACAGGAACTGCCAGATACGGCATAGCCTGAACTATGGCATCGTGTAGCTGGCTGCCGAGCTCCTCGTCGATGGCGAGCTTGTCGGTGGGGAGCAGCCTTGACGCCATGGCGTCGCTGAGGCGCATCGATGATTTGGACGTGCCCTCAACGGTGACGACGGGGATGGAATGGGCACTGAGGAGTGCCAGCAATCGCTCGGTATCAGAGGCAGCCATGATGAGAGGTGAATTGGGTGCTGGATGTGGTGGAGAGTGTAGACTGCAAAGCGCAATCGATGCGTGGGCGCGTGGGTTGGTAGACCAGAAGTGACAACATTATTTGCCGCCGCCTTTCGCATTTGCGCATTTGTTTGGCTCGGCCGACTCCGCCAGAGTGTGAGGCCGCTCCAAACCGAAGGTAAAGGACTTTGTAATAATGTGAGGAGCAACTAGTTAGGAGCATTACTATTGACATTTAAAGGATTTGCTTCCACGGCAGTTATACCTTCTTTTTATCCCCCCCTTTAAATGTCGCAAGGATTTATTCTTTCCCCCCTCTATCCGCCGAGTGATTGTATTGCCTCCCCCCTCTTTAGATAACATATGTTGTAATTCCTAATAGGATTAGGGATCTCGCCATAGCATTAGTTATTTTATTGTCTCCCCCCTCTTTAGCTCCAGTTACTCGTGATTCCTAATCACATTACCTTTACTTCTTAGTTGTTTCAATTACCCTCAGCCCGTGGCCGAGTCGGCCGAGCCAAACAAATGCACATTGCGCAAATGCGAAACGCGGCATCAAATAATATTGTCACTTCTGATCCGCCATAGCCCGAGGCTGATGGTCATTAGCCGGCAAATTGTCTTTCAGAAGAGGGTGGGGATGCATGCACGTCTACAGAGCTGCTTATGAGGGTGGTCTGAGCGCCACAGAGAGATTCGAGGACAATAGAAGGAGTTGCAAGCGCGTAACCCTCGTTCTCTTCTCCAGTGAGCTCGGTGACACACTGTGGCGGCGAGAGAGATTACTCCTTCTCTCCTCCTTCTCTGCATTTCTGCGATTTGTAGTCCTACCCTGTATCAATGTGCTAGGAAAGTCGAGTCCTGTCCAAAAGATGAAACCTACAAAGATTACGTGATTTCAAACAAGACTCAATGTCCGTCAGCTCTTTATGAGGTGTCGGCAATGGGCAATGTGTTCAGTTTCAACACTGAAGGTTACTTACACTGCTGGTCGAGATCTTGGGGCCCACTGCGTTTGATTCTTAAACGCGTCATAGTGGCGGGATTTACCTGTTGTTTTGGAACCTGGGGTCGGTGAATTGTTGTCAGTATGACGCGGAGAACCGTCTCCGAATGGAGGGTGATGGTATTTCTGCTTCTTCCTCTGTTATCTGTTAGCCATGTGCGAAGAGATATATTGCCGGCAAGGACCAATGGTGTCCGGTTTTGTACTCAGCGGATGATTTTAAAGAAACCCCCCCGCAACCTGGCAACAGCCTTCTATGAAGGCCCTGCAACGCAGTTTATCGTCAGTTCCTGCTACCTGAGTTGCAGCATGGATGAGTGATGTTCAACACGTTGTTCATTCGGCTGGTTGAATTCATCGGGGGCCCATGCGCGTTCGATTCCACGAGCGTTTAACGGAGACGGGCTGGCTTACACGGCGAGAGCTGTATTGGGAAATTGGAAATTGGAACAATCGGTGACGAGGCCCGGTTGTTCCACACTCTTATTGCTTACTCGCTCGAGGCCACGTGAGGCGTCCCGTCCCCACGTCCCACGTCCCCACCCACGTCCCCACCGTCCGGCATGTACCATTAATACCTCCTTGGCCGGAATGGCCAAGGAGGTATTAATGGTACGAGTCATTAAATAACGTGACAGATCCGGGTTCCTATTCACAGATCTGGGTTTCCCTCCTCAGATTTTGCTAAATGTCCAGAACAGCTGCATGCATTCATGGTTTTTTGATCGAAAACCACCCCCAGATGCAGAATCTTCACATCTACCATGCATAGAGAACGAATAGCACTGAACACCATATGCATGGAGAGAGAAGCAAAAAGGTATTGAAGGGTATTCAGGGAAACTTCATTACTCTATTTGATTCCGTTGCTAATGTCGAAAACGCAATTAGCTTTTTGTTTCTAATCAATTATAGAGTATTACAAACTATTACTATTTCACTTCCAGCCTGTTACTCTGTGAATATTGCGTTCAGTGGTGTTCTGCCTCTATGCATGGTACAAGGAAGTATCCTGCATCTATCAGTGCTTTCCGATCAAAAAGTTATGCATGCATGAGGCTGTTCTAAGAGTTAAGGAGGTTGAACAGAAATCTGAGGAGGTATGACCTGAATATGTGAATAGGAACCCGGATCTGTTACTTTCAAAATGACATTGTTGCGACAAACCTCCGTTCGGAAGCGGAATTAAATGTTCTTGCCACCGTCCGGTTTCGAAGTCATTTAATAACGTGACAGAGAATGCTTTCCCTCTTGATGTTTCAATTACACCCCCTTAGGTTTTGTGTTTAACCTCCTCAACTCGGCATTGTTGCGACAAACTTCCGTTCGGCGGCGGAATTAAATGTTCCGTGTTCTTGGCCCGGGCACCCGCGGTCACTCACGTCACGAAACCCTCCTCTGCTTTGGTGCATGCCCAACCAAAATGCTGCTGGCTCTTCATAGTGTTGGAACCTAACACTGTGTGTCAGGATTTGGTTCTACAAAAGTGGTATCAACGTGTACTCGAACACCAACTGAGACAGTCGAAAGACGAGGATGGTCAGGAGACCCGTCAGTACTGCTGCGGACAGTACCGGCCAGAAAAGAGCGCATGACGTAGAGAGTGAAGGTGAAATAGATGCATGACAAGTGCTTGCGCTACAGAAGGTCTTTACATGTGGCGCTCGGGGAGTGCTGGCAAACATCGAGCAGAGGCAATTTAGTCATGTGTATCTTTCACCAACAGCCGCGGCGTTGACATTAAGATAAGGACCATTTGGACTGTTTCTATTGCCTCGTGTGTCTATTAGACTAGGCCTGTCCATATGCGTGCTATGCAGACTTGTTCTCGTTACTCTATCCTCGACCACTTCAACCTACTGTACTAAACATCCGCTTGCAGCGTTTGGACGGTGCTCCTCTTTACACGCTGTCATCGTTACATTGTTAACATTAGGAAAGGGACCATTTGACCGTTTCTATTGCTCTGGCTCGTTATTAGGTACTGCTCATTGTATTCATGCTATGCAGACTTGTTCTCGTTACTCTATCCTCTATCGACCTTTCCAACCTACTACGCATCCGCTTGCAGCGTCTGGAGAGTGCTACGAGTCTCCTCTTTACAGATTAAGAGTCAAACAATCTGTCGACGCGAGTTCACCATACCTACGGTCGAGCTCGCTATCTGCCCATATAACCAGCTCGCAAGAGCCTATCTCGGGCCAAACCCATCCCCCGTCGTCAAATCAAGTTCGCACGCACGCCCTCTGGGATACTGAGTCTACGGATACAAGTTAGAGCCTCATAGGACCACGACTTCGTCGTCGGCACCGCCAAACGAGCGCTCATCGATACTTCCCCGTACTCGCTGTGCACCTTTCATCGTCGACGTCCCGCTCCACAAGGCTTCCCACACGTTATTGCAAATACCTACGTAACCGCCAACCTTCCCGCTTTACGTCAGTCTCAGTCCAAGGCTCTGCAACAAGCTTTGTCTCGGTAAATCCACAAAAACAGACTAAAACACAAAAATCAAGTCATACTTGTCAAATCGTCATTGCTGCGTGCCTTAGTATTACGTAAACCTTCAAAACACCATTTCACGACTGATTTCAGTTCAACTCAATAACAATGGAAACCACCAAAGTCTTCGTTTCTGCAAAGCGCAACGATTGGGCCGATCTGGCAACAAGCGTTAGCAAGCTAAAGGGAGCCAACGACTACGACCGCTGGGATATCGCCCTATCCGACTACTTGAAGGGCAAGGGAGCCTACGGTCACCTACTCGGCAAACGTCGCGAGCCCTACCGCCGCGTCGATATCGTCGACGGCGTCGATCAATATGTTACGCCGGATCTCGAGCTTGGTGAAGCACCTCCTCGTGGCCCGTACCTTGACGTCGACACCCTCCGCGAGAAGCTAGGGCCTACGATAAGCAAGAGATACGACGATTTGGTCGCCAAGGGCGTCGTGACGCCCACACAAGCTATCGTCTCGACGGACGTTTCCCTCATCTCTCGTCTCTCGGCTCAGCTTTCTTCACCCAAAACACCTTCCAAGGGCTCGTCAGTCCTCCCTCCTATGTCTACGCTTCTCTCAAAGAGACCAGAAGCCGAGGATGACACAATCAAGCCCGCCGACAAGGATCTCTCGCTCTCTCAGATAGAGACGCAGATTGAGAAACAGGTCCTTAACAACAGAGAGCTCGCTACGTGGTCCGACTGGGCTAACAACGAGCGTCTTGCGCGTGTCGCCATCCTCAAGACCATCCCTGACGACCTAGCGCTCGATGTACGCGAGAAGTTCTCTGCACAGGATATCTACGAGCATCTCAAGACGCGCTTCCGCAAGGAGAATGTTTCTAGAATCTCTCAAATCAAGGCAAAGGTCCACAGCACGCGTCTGCAAGCTGGCGCGAGCTCTGCCGTCTGCAACACGTTCTTCAAGAGCTTTGTAACGAACTACGCAGCCATGGCAAGGCTTCAAAAGCCCTACGCAGACGAGGAAAAGGTGTCAACCATCATTGGCGCCCTACCTGTTACCTACAAGATCCTCATTGAGACGACCTGGCGCGCGCAGAGCGACAAGACTTGGGACAACTTTACCTCTGTGTTCTACGACTTCATCAATGATCTCAAAAATACCGAGCGTATCCCTGCCGTCGAGAGCAACGCGTCTCTCACGATCACCAAAGGCGGCAAGACTGGTCAGCCAAATGCAGCAAGGACCAAAAAGGGCAAGGACGGCAAAGTCGCTAAACACTGCGATAACCACCCTAACAGTACGTCGCACGACACATCTGAATGCGTCAGAGGCCCGCCGAAGAAGGGCGACAAGAGGAAGGACCAGAAACAGGTCGACAAGTCGACGCCGACGCCCGCACCTACGAGCAGCGCATCGATCGTCGAGATCGAGGACGCCTATTACGATGGCTCTAGCAGTAGCATGGCCGTCAAGCACGTCTCATTCTCGCCCTCCGCACGCGTGTGCGCGTATCACCCTCATAGTG